CTTATAAAAGTAGTTCGAAAATTATAGGATTTAAGTAATTAATTAGCCTCCGTATTTATTTAATCTTAACCCTATTAAACTAGTATAGCGACTTCTAAAGATTAAAATTCTTTAATTATATCTTTAGCTAGATAATAGAAGATCTAAATTAGATTAGGAGGTCTTTAAAAAAGCTATATATAAAATATAGGAACTACTTAATTAAAATATTATTGATAACTTAATTTAATCTATACCTTATAGAATAGCTACTATACACGTAGTAAAGGGTTGGTATACTAGATATTAATCTATTTTCTTTATATATTTAGTATGAATTTATATTAATTAATATTAGGGGAGTTATTTAGTTTCTAATATAGTAGGGTAAATCTGAATTATAGAGTGTACCCAGACTTTTGACCGCGTAGTGTACGAAGGTCCCGTAACATTATTCTATAAAAAAAATATATTAGAAATAGATAAAAAATAGATAACTAATATATTAAGATCTCTTATTTTTAATTTAACTTATTATACTCAAGTAGCTCTAGCTTACCCTTAGGCATCTTCTCTAAATACTGTTTATAAATAGTATTACCTCTTAAGAAACAAGCTATTTTAATAATATTCGATAAAAAATCGATAAAAAATCGATAGATAGATTAGATTGATAGATAAAGTAAGTTAGTTTTAGTATAGTAATACTAAAAAGTAATTTTTCATTAATTATAGCTAGCTAATCATAATACGTTTACATAGGCTAATTCCACACTTACAACTGTGGACTCAACACCAACCCAACTGTTCATCTGATCTAGGTTCTGATTTTGGGGTGCCCCTATCAATACCCGACTGCTCGTCGCTTCTTACGTGATGTAAACAAATAGGCCACTACGAAGAAATCGAACGAGTCACTTGACCAGGCCGCCGAATAAACTCTTGCCTAATTGACTTAACGGCTATGTTTTCTTTTTTCTACCCTGGTGTGGCTGGCTCCACAGAGGTTTCACTGACGTTTTCATGTTTCTGCGGGGCGGGAGGCATAATTTTGCATATTAACTTTGGGCCTGTTACAGTTTGTTTTCAGATTATTGGGTTAGTACAGTGATATTCGAATTCAGTTATACCTTCACAGAGTCATTGTAAGTTACCATTTGCTTCCAAGAGATGTTTTAGTCAATGGTGAACGTGGCTGGACTAATCTTAAGAATTGGCTGTGGGACAGTCGTTCAAAGAGGATCAATGCCGCAACTACAATCCTTCTTATATCACGTGATATAGCCTAACTAGACACGTTTCCGAGAATTAACTAACTTAGTAGTTATTATGGAAGGCGGTCAGGGACAGGCTAAAATTTGATTTTCAAGATTTCCCCTTATACTAGCCCTTTCCATTTACCATTTACCCCCGACATATATGAAATAGGCTCGGAGACAACAATGGACTGGGATGCTTTGTGTTTCAATGTTGCCACCTTGATTGCAGGCGTGTTTGTTCTTGACTATGGCGCGGACAAGTTTATCGACCATACCGTCATCGTCGGGCGGCGTCTAGGCATCTCGCAAACTGTCATTGCCCTCTTGACAGCTGGCGCTGAATGGGAAGAGGTCTGCAGCTCTCTGCAGTCTGATTCAATGTCTATTCTGGCTAATCTCCTTCTTAGCTCGCCGTGGTAGTTGCCGCCATCCTGCAACATCGCAGCCCCCTAGCCCTTGGGAACGTCATGGGTTCGACTATCTCCAACATTCTCGGCGCCTTTTCTTTGGGTCTAGTCTTTCATCCCCAGGGTCTAGAGTTTGACCGCAGCGCAAAATTATACTCGGCCCTGCTACTTCTGGTTACGACGCTCTTCGTAATGTTGGCATTCTTTGACCAATTGAACCCGATTTTCGGTGGGGTTTTGATTGCTATATTCGCGCTCTATGTCGTCTCTATCATCTTTGCTATCTATAAAGGTATAGCCTCGGCCCCAGAGCTATCCGACAGTGATAGCGACGGGGAGTACAGTGATAGTAATGACGGCGAATCCGTCAATCATACCACTATCTCCGAGAACTCCCCCCTTCTTGAGAATGAGCATACGCCGTCATCAACAGACAAAGGGACCAGACGAAGCAGAAGCCTTGCTTACCATATTTTCCAACTCATTCTCGGATTTATCTCGCTTTCTTTGTCAGGATACATCCTCTCCCATAGTGCCGTCACCATCGCCGACTCCCTACATTTCTCGGGAACCGTCTTCGGTCTGACCGTTGTCTCTTTTGCCACTACTCTCCCAGAGAAACTGATTGCAATCCTCAGTGGTTCCCGCGGCCACGGCGGCATTATGGCTGCGACGACGGCAGGAAGCAACATCTTCCTGCTGACGCTCTGTGTTGGTGTCGTTGCAGTGGCGGGGTACCAGGTACAAGAGGCGGATAGTTTTGTACTTTTCGAGCTAGTGGCAGTGTGGGTGTCCTCTCTGCTATTTTGTGTAGTTATCTTTTTGGGAATGGGGAGGAATGCGGGTGTAGTACTCTTGGCTGCCTACCTCGGGTTCCTATGTCTGGAGTTTACCGTTTACCGGCGGTGATTGGCATAAACTGTTCTCAGTTCTTCAGCGCCTTTTCAAAATCAATGTATGAAAGTGAGACCAGCATAGCTTCCTACCAATAATCAGTCTATCACTAGCTTAAAGCAAGACTTAGTAGGCTAGACGACTGGGTTAGATGGCTAGAACTCCCCAAAGACTCGATTTGTCCAGCCTCCTGGCCAGCGACCATTCTCTAATATATAGATAGAGCTACGGCCAGACATAGGGTCCTCTCCGAATACAAAATATTATTGATTTAAGAGCCCTCAAAGAACAAAGCAAACTGGTGCGAGATTGGATAACGAGAGGGGTAGTACATGCGACCTGGCTTATGCTATATATTGCATAGGCCTCGCTTCCTGGAACGGCGGTCACTCATATCTTTCCTATCGTTAAACCTATATAGCGGAAATGGCCTTCAGCGCTCTGCTGTTTTGCACCAAGATGATGGACGTACTGCCGAAGGAAGGCATGGAACCCTTGGTCAGGATTGTTTCCATAACTTGGCCAAGCTTTCTTGATGTAAGCCTTCAGCTCGGCGAAAAACCCCTCTATAGGGTTGAAATCTAGAGAGTAATACAGCAACCTGACACCTGCACCAGAGCATAACTGCTTAGCTCTGTCCGAACGATGGAAGGATGCATTATCCATAACAAGCACGGACTTTGGCTCTGGCCACCCTCCAAAGTGGTGACCAACCAGTTCGAAGATAACTGGTACTCCCCGGAAACCAGGGTAGTTTCTATTCAGGAACCGCCATTTACTCTTAGATAGACACTATAGGAACCTCTCAGTAGTTCGCTGAGAACAAAGCGAGCCACCTCCCATTTTGCATCGCATAGGAAAATAGTTTCTCAATCCGGGGTGGGAGGGGGTGTTGAACTTATGCTGTGTCACTGAAATTGAAACTTAGGTTTCGAATAGCATCCTTTCAAGGTAGGTGCGAGGGTAGACACGGTCAGTGTTAATGTTCTCTGCTCTTTCCTGGCTTTTTTTTGGAGTCTTCATGCTCACTCCTCCCGCGTAAAACGAAACAGATTTCTTAGTTACCCAGTCCAGTTGGCCTTTGTCATGAATATGGCCCGATGGATGGCCCCAATGGCTTGTCTGATATATTGTAAGAAATACCAGGACCAGAAAGATTCGTATTTGTAGAATACAAGAAGATGGAAAGTTCCTCCAAATACATAACAATGTGTGGATAAAGAAAATGCCACAGTAAGCTCGGGGGGATTGGGAGATGGGGGCCTGTGCCTAAGTGACCACTTAGATATCCACGGTTCGATCTATGGATGCTTAGTGGGCACCATCCTATTTTTCCAAACTGGACCCCACCCGCTGACTCGCCAACCTATGTAAGTTTAAGGATTACACTAAAAAGGATGGTTTGGGATTTGAGACAATGACCCACTTCTCCCATTACTCAGTATACATGTTAGAAGAGTAAGCGTCAGCAACAATAGGCTGCGAAAACGATAAGACCAGCGGGTTGTAGGCGTAAGAGAGCTCAACTCAAGTATATATGCTAACTAGATGCTTGATACAGCGGGCGGAGCCGAGTACGTTTCTTTGCTTTTCTTTTCTTGGTGGGAACAGTAGTGATCCAAAAGTAGTGGACCGTGATCTAAGCCAAGCTCATTACTCCGGCCCGATAGGCCAAATCTTAGCCCCCAGATACGTCTATATATACGCGTTAATACACAACTCAGGTAGGTGAGCCTGCAGTGTTTCATGCGTTGGTCCTCCAGGTACCAACAAGAATGTATCCTATATCTCAACCAGATGAAAAGAAGCCACTAGATTTATCTTTGATATAGGTTACTAATCCAAAAGAGAAACATATGCTCGGAAGCACAGGTGTGCTCGTCAATGCGTTTAGCACCAACAGCCAAAATAACGTAGGTCCAACTGTACTAGATGCTTCTGTGCAATCACGCCGGCTAGCCTTTGCTGCAATATACTTTCCGCCCCTTTCATACATACATATATGGAGGACCATCAAGACCTGGGTGGGCCTGTACATGTATACCGGGAAGGTGTAAGACGTATTGTCGTTTTTCATTTCAGCGAGGATATGCCCTTTCATCACTCCCACTTTCCCTTGTCTTACACATATACCCATGCTAGTCACCGTGTGCTGATTTTCTTTGCTTTCCGATAGCATATTGAACATGCGTGTCTTGATGTGGTGCCAGTTATGGCTTCTTCCTTTGGTTGCCTCCCGGGCAGTGAATGGACCGAGGTGAGCGATTTTATTCTATTCAAAGGGAGAGTGGCTTAGAAGCATCACAAACAGATACTGATTCAAAGACACTACAGAGCAGATACCACTGCCGATGCGCAAACCTCAGGCGCTCCCCCCGTTCCATAGAAATATACCAAAGGCACCGTGTTCTACTATGACGGATATTAAAAGACCGACTCCCGAGTGAAAGACTACGAAACCATGTGGTCTCAGCTCATCAGTCTCTTGAATCTAGTGGATCAACCAGAAAAGTCCAACGAGGTCTTCCAGAGGTGGTTCAATCCCTACGACATGCCCGTGGTAGAAGACGTGTTTGCTCGTATGTGGGATGCAGTTGAGCCGCCCAAAACCAACTCGAAGCGAGATAATACTCCCAAGGTCTGGATTACGAGCAGGGATATTGGCGATAAATGCGGTTCGGGTTCACCACTTGCGTACACGGGGTCTTTCGGGGCTTTACCCGATGACATCCGGAAGAAGATGGTCAGTCAGTACTCGATGTCTAACCAGGACTGCATTATCCACTTCTGTGAGAAACCTCTGGACTATATTCTAGAACGCCAATTTGTCGACTGCGACGAGATTCCGCTCAAGCGAATGAGCTTCTCGGTCGCTGGCAATGCCACAGCAACTTTACTTCATGAGCTCATGTAAGAGCTCCTTCCCTCTCTCTTAAAAACGTTTTATTGTCCAGCCACTAATATATCGGCTCTCAATGCAAAAATATAGGTAGGTTTCCACACACTTTATCTTTATGCGCGGCTTTGAATCTATACTAACAAGAGAGTAGGCTAGATGATGTCTTCACCGGTGGCAGTGGAGAGGGAAAGGAGATATACGACCCATATCAATGCAGCGCGGTCACAGACGACTGCTCCTCGGGAACTGCAGTTCGGAATCCACAGAACTACCAATACTATGCAGCAGTAAGACATCCCGTGGCTTCAGAAAAGCAATCTAGAGGCAGCTAACGAGGCTTTTATTTTTCGGCAGAACCGATATTGGAACAACAAGTGCTCATTCGATTTGAAAGCTCCGGCCCCGAAGCCTCCTCCAAAGAGCGATGCATTGAAACAATACGTTGTGGGCACGTAAATACTGCTGTGACAAATGCAAATAGTACCTTCTGATTTTTATTTTGAAATTTCTTTTCGGCAAGGAGATGGTTTATTACTTTATTATATGCGTGCGGAATATTACGATTTGTAACCTAGGGAACCCCCCAAGCGCTACTCTTACGGGGGAGCGCCAGCCACCAGAATTGTACCTGTGTTTCTATGGTAGTCTTAAGTACTCAGGGCCGGAAAATACCTAGCGGAAGAGAAAGAAATCGACCCCGTCATTGCACTGCGTTCCCATCCAAACCCATAACCAACTAACTACCAAGGATATCCCGCAGCCCGTTCAACCCATGACATGATTTTCACACTCTTGACTAACGAGGCAAGTCATGTCATGTCGCGGTGGCAACCAGGCGGCTGATATTTGGCTGCTGGTGCGCTCATGTAAAGAGGATTTACATAACAATGCAGCAGCCGCCGGGGGGTAGCTACGAAAGATATAGATGTTAGACAAAAGGGATCACCAGAGAAAGGGTAAGCAAGCACCGAGAATGGATTGAAACATACCCTTGAGGACAGGAGCAGGAGTGTTAATCGAAGGGAGAGCCATTGCGATGGATTTGGTTGCTTTAAAAGCGAAAATGCTTTGGAAAGATTGGATTGGATTGGATTGAAAGATTGTGATGATTGCGGGTGATGTAGCAATGTATTTACGAGGGATGAGAGGGTACTATTTATATTCGAGGAAAGACGACTTGGTGAGTTGTGAATCTCTGGGTTCTACACGATGCATAAAAGAAAACCGGAGGCATCCTGGCGCGGACATCATGTTAAAATAGGAATATGGTCGGCTCAATGTAAGAACAATATTAAGCAAATTGTGTAGTGGCTGCATGGGATTTTCTTTGAAGTCTTCCTTCGGATTTGAATACTCGAATCAAGAACATCAGAGAAAGTTGGCTGCGGCGGAAGTTAACCTCGACGTGACAGGGCCAAGGACAAAGAAATACTTCTCGGCCAACCACCTTGGAATATCGTCACGATTGTCCTCAGAGAACAATATTAACGATGTCTTTGTAAGGCTTGCCACAGTGTTTCAGCTGTGGGACTTGACAGTAACTAAATGAATTTCTCTCGAGGCCGCACAGGGCTCAATTACAGTGAATGAGAAGTAGTGAGATAATGGCAAGTACTAGAAAGGAGAAAAAAAAAATGTCCGCCACAAAATATTAATCAAGAGAGACCTATATACACTATACTGGAGTTCAATAGAGTACGAAATAAGAAACAATGGGTAACTTAACGCGCACAAGCTTCACTTCAAACCCGGCATATTGTAGAACGAACACGGTCCCAATATTAGGTCTACCCAAGCTATTTATAGGCTCATTTGAAGAAAAAATGAGGGGTACCATTTTTTGGCACTTCGTTTCGGAGGTCCATGGTTGTAATTTTCTTGGGTAAGAACTGGCGCTCGGCCTCGGGTCATGATGATGACGGAGTTTTGCTGTACAACTTTGGACTCAGGGAATGACTAGTGGGTCACAAAGACTAACGCTATATTTTCAGTATAGAATGGTCGATTTTTCTACATGCAAGGGATTTGGTATTTCACGAATGGATTTTGAGCTCGCACGACTGCTTTTGACTCCAGTCAGCGTTGAGATTTCGATGGCGCCGAGCACTGCCCATGTACCTTGAGCAGGTATCTGATTGGGTTGTACTCTTTTATTTTTATGTTTATTTTTTAATTCATTGGTTTGTGTATTTATGTCTTTGCCTTTTTTTTTTCTTTCGGGTTGAGGGTTGCTCTTGCGTTGATCCATTTGAGGTTCGAGGGAAATTACTGTAATGGATACCCTTGACAGTGTCGAACTAAGCTCCATCCGATTTCCCAAATCGGAAACTTCAACGACACACAACTTCACCCAGGGTATACCCCAACCAACTCTGAACCAAATTCCCCAGATCTAGCAGAAAAGTCGTGACCTCACTAGCAGTACTGGACAAAATCATCCAGACGCGCATTCTTAATCACAGTAGAGAACTTGCCCGAGCTCCGTGCAGTGCAAGAGTTCGTCTTCTGCTGCTCAGATACATCCTCAGCGGTATTCTGGCTATCATCATCCGGATCGTCGCCCTTGGGATACTCAATATGGAAGACAGGTTTACCCGCCTCAATAAAAGCCGCAAAGTCGCCGCACTCCTTGAACTGCGCACACTGCTCATTCACAGACCACTGGACATCCTCGATGACAGAATCGACAAGCTGCGCCCCGTTCTTAAGTCCGATGGACATGCCGCGCGCGGATGCCTCGCTGGCTAGGAACTTGACGTACGCCACCGCGTCGTCGAGGGTCAGACCGAGCCCGTTGTCGTTGTCGAAGCCGTCGATGTTGTCCGGGTCAACGCCATCACAACCCTTCTCTTGTGCCAGGTCCAGACGCGCCTGCATGATCTTTTGCACGTTGGTTGACTTGACGTTGAGCCAGCGCTCGTTCCAATCCTCGAGCTCCTTGCCGAGGTCTGTCTCCTCGACGAATTTGTCTTTGTCTTGTCGCCAGCCCTCGTATGTCCCCGCGGAGAAATAGCAGATTACTTTGCGGCCTCTGTCGTGCAGTTCTGAGATACCCGCCGGCGTGTTTTCGAACAGATCGATGTCGTAGATGGGTGCGTCAACCGATGTATCTTGCAGTTTGCCCTCTAACTTGATCTGCCATTTTGTGTTTGGCTCTGGTTGCCAGGTGCTTCCGTTGTCACTTTCGCGCTTGCGGAGAACCTCCCGTTTATAGTTTTTCTGGGGCGCCTGCTGGGCTCCGAGTCCGGCTCGAAGGTCCATTTCCAGGGTTACGAAGACCACGCCGACGATAAAGCACAACAGGGCCTTTTTCGTGAGCACCGAGGCTTCCCAGCCCGTCTGCTGCGACGAGATTGCCATGGCGAGACTGGCTGGAATCAAATATAAACAAAAGGATTGAAGCGATGACTTGAGATGACAAAACCAATGTTAATGAATGAAGCAACTGATTCTAACCCTCGCCGGCGAAAGAAAGGAATGAAACGACGCAAGCGTCTTGGAATTGTAATAAAACGAAAATGACAGTCGCAAAGCGAATATCATATCGAGATGATCACGAATTTATATAACAAAACCATGACGCCAAAGCCAACACCAACGCAATCTCAAAAGGGGGAGATCTATCCCAGTCTGGGGGCCACAGGTAGCGCTCCTTCAAGAAAGGTGGCTTCAAGCATGGCTTTGGGGTGAAACGCTTCCAGCAAGAGATCTCCTCCGGAACAGGACAACCGATCCAATAAACAAACCCATTAGAGCACGATCGACAAGTAGCATGAGGGGCCAGTGATCAGCGGAGGAAATGAAGAGGAACGGTGGAAATCACGCCAAGGCCATTCACACATGGCGGATCCTGCAATTTGCCAAGAAAATCCTGCGCGGTGATGAAACCGGTTACTATAAGGATGGGCCGCAGAGGGTGTCTTATGGAGATCTCAAGTCTATGGAATATCTCTGTGTGGTATTCGTACGATAGAAAGATATCTGAGCCCTGGACTCAGGATTCGCCAGTCCTGGTGTGATAAAGGGGCCTATATTTCGAGGTTAGAAAACGTGGATCAATAACATAAATCAAACACGGCATTCTATCAAGTAATGCTTCTTTTTACCCTTATTTCTCCGAAGGGATTTAAGATGCGTCGCAAAAGAGCACATATATCAGCTGCAAATGAGGCCTCTAGTGTCCTTGCTAATGTTTCAAGAAGCGTTTAATCTAAACGAAACAAATGGCAGATATTAAGGGGTAAAACTGGATATGAGCACCCAGCAATTCCTATTCGTGCATGAAACCACTCCATAGAATTGGGTATTTGCACACTGGTATAGTACAAACCAATGTCATTCCAACTCTCCCAAGCCCAATGTCAGAGATCAATTCCTATCTTAGTCAAAGCTTTGAAAACATCCAGATTCACTGTGAGGTTATTCGCAGACAACGCTTTCGTAAAGTAAGGCAGCTCCTTGCCGTTATAGACGCTGGAGTTACCTGTAATATCAAACGGCACGACCCCAGTTGTCCACACATTGGTCTTGGATGTCAGCATCTTGATGATGGCGACTTGGTCCACAGTGGATGTCATGGACACTGAATTGTTGCCCGGCTTTAGAACGAGGTTTTCGAGGAAGGTTTGGCCGACGGGTTGGCCTCTGATAGAGAGGTCGAGGGTGAGGTTGCCCTGCATTTGGCTAATCAATTATACTTTGCGAAAGTAAAGAGAAACCGAAATATGGGGAGTGGGCACATTCAAGAGCTTGGTTAAGCTTTCGATATGATCCTGCGGATTTGGGACATTCTTACCATTTCAATTGTCATCACCGTCGGGTTGGGAATGAGCACCGTCCCATTCATGTTACGCCCATTCTCAGGTTCCAGCAGGATATGAAACTCGGTGACATCGAAGCCTTTGAGTCTGTTCAGACCTGTTGAGAATATTCATTAGCAATGCATATACTAAGCAGGAAGCCATCCATCTCGACACAGAATACACAGCCCAACAGCAACAAAAGTAACAAGAAATAACAACTCACCCTTCATAGTAACAGTCTTATTATACGTCACCGTAGTAGTAGGCAGCACCCCCTCCTTCAGATCAGGCCTCCCATAAATATTCAACCCAACCTCCTTACTCAACATCACTGCTTTCGCATACCCCCCAAAAACCCCGAGATCACTTAGTGTCACCATCTGGGAGACATTGACCTCAGTCCCATCCTGCGATTTGACCTCCGGCACGCGCACAGTTGTGAACGGTGCCGCCGCGCCGCCGAGAGAGACATCAGCGTCGAATGCATATATGCGCGGGTGGTATTTGCTGTCGGAGCCGATGACCTGGGTTTGCTCGAGACGGAAGGATTCTGGGGTTGGGTTGCTGATTTTCATGGTTGTTATTTTGAGGGATGAGGCGTTGACGTCGTGTTGGGCGATTTTGGGATAGGCGACGTATATACTGTTGTATTCAGTCAGTATATTGGTTCTTGCGATTATAGGTAGATCATCTGGGTCAGGGCTGGGAAGGTGGGGATGCAGGTTATTGCTTTGATTCGCTTTCGAGGGTTTATTCTCTGAAGAGAATACATAAACCTACACTGGCAACACAATCACCAGAACCACGGCCACAAATGCAACCAAGTGCGCCCACCACCACCGCTTGAAATGGGCCGCGATGCGCGCGCCGATGCTGGGCTTGGCTGGCGGCGCGACGACACCGGTCTCGACGACTTGGGTTTTGGCGGACATGTTGCCGGCGCCTTTATGGTCAGCTATTCAGGTTATTTTGTGGGGGGAAGAGAAAGGGAGAAAGAAAGAAATTGTTATAAAAGCAAAAGGCAAAAACACACCGAGTCAACGCACTTAGACAATCAACACAGCTCAGAAGAGAGGTGCAGAAACCAAGAGAAAAACAACAAAATGCCAAGACAGGCAAAGAGGGATCAGCCGGGCCTTTGGAGGGGGGTGCAATACTTTATAGGAATAGTTGCAGGCATCTATAGGCGAAGGCAACTCTTACTATGATGATGATGATTATTAGCAGGCCCGGTCGCTCGCTAAAGGCCCGTCCCAAAATCAATCCGCGCTGAGCAGGGTGCAGACGAGAATCACATGGGAGGAACAGAACAAAGAAGAAAAGCGAAAAGCGAGAAAAGATGAGTCTAGTGAATGTGGCTGTCGGGTGGGACCTGCGCAGGTGAGACCTGGGCAATCTACTATATCGTACATTTTCTTGACCTGGGGATTTTAGTTTGCGGGGAAGAATTGAAAGTAAGACTCCTGATGATCCTGATGATCCATCCCTAAAAGTATCTGACCGTAGGTCTAACCTAAACATTAAAAGATTGTCAAGTCAATCAAATGAAATCAGCACGATAGCGCACGGTGTTTCGGGTCGAGTTCCATTTAAGAGTCAACGAGCATGCGAAACCCCATCTGCTGGATTTGGGCCGAGGTCTGCGTTGAAACGATAATCTGACAGCCGCCGAGGGATAGTTGTGATTTTATGTATTTTATTCTCTATTATTCAATGTGTTGCTGCAGCAGAGTATGCATGGCCACACCCCGTCCTACCATGTCGCGATGTTTGTCGGACAGAAAAAAAAAAGGCAAAAGCTGACCAGTTCTGTCGTGTTGCACCGGCTATGCAGGACATGCGAGTCTCATTGGAGAAACCCGCTGAACTAGCGGATTTGAGGCGTAGCAACTGTGACTGACTTTCTCCCCGCAAAGGTCCCGTGTTCTCGTGGCGTTGCTCATAGTGCTAAAGCCCTGGGGAAGAAACACCACATACAATAGGCAAATGTTGAGCCAAGTTTCGCCATCAAGACATCCTGGGTCAGTGCGGCCGAGAGCCAGGGTTGGTTTGGTACGCGAACCACAGAACGCCAACTCTAGGTCAGGAACAAACCCCCCGAACACCTAAGCAGCTTAATAGCATCACAAATTGAGAACTTGAATCATGGATTGCATCGTCGATACGTAGATGGACAGCTACACATCACAGGTCGGCAACGCCAATGGCTAGTACAAATCTCCAGAACACAATTCCAACACAGCCTCGATTCTGTCATGAGGTCATTGCAAATCGTCGCAAGATTCGCTAGGAAGCGTCTGCCGGGGAAGAATAAATAACGATAGGAAGAGAAGAAAAAGGGATAAAAATGTCCAGAGGGAAAAAAAAATGGGGAAAAAGGACCAGTCCTGAAAACTATAGCCAATCGAATGAAAATAAGGGGGAAATGATAGAAGAAACAAAGGGTATCAACGAAGAACTGAAGTATTAGGCCCGCGAGGCAGGTGGACGGGAGCAAGGCTCAGTCCATTACGCTCGAAAACAGCTGCCCAGGCGGCTCGGGTAAAACGTTGGAAGAGGGAAGTGAAGTGTAAGAGTATAATGCAAAGGAGAGAAAAGAAAATTAGTGACTGAGAATGCAGTCATGTCGGCGAATCAAAATCACAGGATTCGGCTCAGAACGCTCCAAACGCATTTGGAGATGCAAGATGGATGGCGATTGCACAAGTCCGTCAAGGTTGAACAAGAGAATCAAGTGACGAAGCCCTGTACATCGAGGCAGTCTATGCCTCCGGGACAATCGATTTCTTCCTTTGAAAGATGCTGCGAGTCCGCGACTTGCTGCGCGGTTTCTTCTCGCTGCTGGCGTTTCGCCCCCGTGAACGGGAATTGGCCTCCTCCGCGGCCATGTATTTTTCTTTGTAAATCCTATCGAGTAATCGGTTAATGATGCTTTCAAGTCAAGCAGAAGTTTTGTGAGACATACCAGCTGTTTCCAACCATACTCATACCATTAGTTTCGGCGTCGCGGTAAAAGCGCGCCGCCTTCTTCATATCCTTCTTGCAACCAACACCCTCGGCATAGCAGAATCCTGCCTCGGCCATGGCATCGACATCACCCCACTGCCCAGCAATCTCGAAGCAGCGAAGTGCCAGGCCCTTGTCCTGTTGAATGCCCCACCCGTTCAAGTGGCTAACGCCGAGCTCATAAATGCTCAGGGCGAATTGAGATCGATAGGCCTTTTGCAACTCCTTTGCTTTTGATGCGCCAGGGGCATCCGGATTCTCAAGCATTTCCAATCCAACCGAGTCCACGGCCTTGCGTAACCATCGCACGCCTTCGCGCTGATTCGGTCGCATACCCCAACCATGGCGACATGCGAGCGCGTACAGCAACATTCCGGTCGGATGATTCTGCTTGGCCGCAATCCGCAGGTGGTACGTCGACTCGTTTACCGATCCCTTCTCATGGCACTCGATTCCCTTGGCGACATGATCTTCCGCCGTGAGTGTAGTAGACTGCGTTTGGGTACCGGCGGTTTGTGGGCGCAACGTGCTTGCCGAGTCAGCGGATGAGACCGTCTCATCTTTCTCATGACTTTTCCGCGGGGCGGTTTCGGCTGAGCGACGCGGGGCAACCTCTGCTGATGGTACAGGTGGTGCGGCGGCAGAGGGCTTCGGGGAAAGTGTCGGGCCCGGACTCCTCTTGCGGGGTTGGGAAGCCGGAACTTCGTGCATCGAATGTGGCTTCGGCGAGTGCTCCAATTCGCGGCGTGGGGACGGAGAGGGTGTTCGCGCCGTCCGCAAAGGATCTTCCGAGTGCCGTGGAGGGGAGTTCTCAAAGAGGGGCTCTTTCCACTCAAAATGCGGCGTCTGCAGGCCCGCAAAGACGATCGAGTCTCTCGAAACTCCCCGACCGCGCGGAAGCGCGTACTTGGCATATACATAAGATGACACGGCCGAGGACGGCTCGCCTTCGCCCGGTGCGGTCGCCGCAGCCTCCTCGGTAGCCAGGGGCACGAGAATGGGAGCTGGCTTGCTGGCTCGATGCATGTGGTTCGGCTGCGAGGTGACGGTCGACTCTGACTGCGCCGAAGCACCGGGAGCAGATAAGCTAGTGCTTGATCGGCTCAGCGGCCGGGAGAAATTAAACGAAGGCCTGGCGAGATAGCCAGGCCCGGTGGTAGATGTTTCCGAGCTCAAAGAAGGCGACCGGGGGTGGGGTCGAGGGGGGAAGGTCGACATGGGCGAATAGGGCAATGACACGGCACTTCCGGATGACAGCTTGCGTGGTTTGGAGAAAGTTGATCCAGCATTGGAGCTGCTGTAGTCGTCGTCGGAACTCTCTGTATGTGCCACCCGGGCGCTACTCGGCGGACGCGAGTACGGCGAGCCGGGCGGGGCCAGAGTCCGCGGAATATGAAGCCGCGATGCGGAGTCAGTCGAAGACTCGCGAGACGGATGCGTCAGGGCCACCCCGACGGGTGATTCCTCTGCAACGCCTGCAAGCGACAGATCCTCTTCCGGGGACTCCGCCCGGGGTATCCCGTATAGGACCGAGCCCGAGTGAAGGATGGTTGAGCGAGGCGTGGCACTGTCATCGTTGCTCATATCGGTACTTGCGTGGGAGATGGAGCTGAAGCGGGGATATTCGGACACCGGGCGGTACTTGGGCTCTTCGACCTCAGGCTGGGCCTTTTGCGTGGGTTGTCGCGACAAATCGACCTTTCTCTCATCAGACGGGGCGCGAAAATAACCCTGTCGGGGTTGGGACAGCGAGCGGGCGACACTGGACGGCGGCAGGCGACTCATGCGCGGGTCCCCCGTCGGGAATCATCGAGTTGTCTGGCGAGGAATCGACCCTGGGCGGCGAATGCATCGAGAGGAGAGAGAGCCGGAGGGACTTCGCCGTCAAAATGTGCAATCCGAGGTGAAGGGATACCGCTGCGCAGAGTATCGTGGGAGTTGGAGCGACATTCGCTCAGCTTCACACGCGAATCCATCCTGAAGAATCAAATTCAACACGGATGTTCACTCCAGCTTGGGACTGCGAGTTTCACGAGAGACGAAAGGAGTCAAATCATCGAGAGTTGCTGGAAATTCGCCGTGGCCACATCGAATTTGGGGGGGTTATCCCTGAAAGCTGAGTTTGTAAGGTCGAGGATTTCACACAAAGGGGGATGGGCGGGTGGTGCCGAAGGAGGGCGAAGGAATGACAGCCCAGGGTGGTGAAATAAAAAGGCAAAGTCAGAGCATAGTCAGAGAGCATCAGAGAGCATCACAAAGGGAAGCATGGAAGCCCAGGGGAAGGAAAGGATAAAGGCGGACGGGGGGGGCGCCGATCCCAATGCAACAATAAATAAAAAGGCCCCGTGCCCTCTCCACCTTTTTTTAGCGGGACACAGGGGGGCCCTTCAGGAGACACCTTCAGGGGGTCGCCAAGAACCCTTGACGCCATTTACGCTAACTAGTTGGTGACTTAGTTACTGGGCTCGCGATGACTCGCCCCAATTCCTCTCCTTCTAGAATCCCGTGGCTCCACGCTTGTTTCATGCGGCCCACCGCGGCTTAAATCACCAATTAAATCGACTCTGCATTGTTTGGAAGAAAGAGAAGATCAGGCGAGAAAAACAGTGTTTATTTTGGTTTATTTTTTGGGAATTTAAAATATAAAAATGAGCTTATACTTTTCTATGACACGATGCAGCCGAGACACTCTTCGATGCTTCAATTGATCTGGTTGACCAGTTGCTACAAGTATACAGCAACACTGGCGCATTTCTATTTTTATGCTTATTCTTCTTTTTCCATTTTTAACATATTTCCTTGCCTATTATCTATGATGTTGATTATGGTTATGGTATTATGATATTTTTTTAGGATATTCTATCCTGCAAGACATAGAAGCAAAAAGGCCACAGTATATCCCCAAAGGGTACGAAGTGTAGCCGAGCAAAGCCTCAGGCCCCCAGTCAGCCTCACGGCATCAGCTGGACTACCTCCAGACTATAATATGACTCTGTTGTCCTTTTGTGTCCTCGTTTTCCCTTCCACAGAAATCCCAAAGAAACCATGCGCTGCATCCCATACACGACCCTCTTCGGCGTCGACCCAGCACACGATGGTCGTCATCTCTTCGAGACCTCGTGGCTCCTGCCCCCCACCATCCTCGCGGGTCTGCGTGCGCTGATCGCCGTCTACATCTTCACAACCATCATCATCATCTGGGCGTGGGACGGTACCGACGGGGACCGCAGCGCCATCGGCCAGTCGTTCAGCTACTTCACTTGGTTGACATACTGGGGACTGGGGTTTTATTTCCTGGTCGCCGCCATCCATACAGCCTGGTATACGCGGACGGGCCGCTCCGGACTCTTCAGCCGCTGGCCCCGGGTGTGTCGCGTGCTCCACAGCCTATTGTACACGACGGTGACGACGTTCCCGTTTCTGGTGACTATCGTTTTCTGGGCGCTGCTGTTTAAGCCGCCGTGGTATTCGGAGGTTTTAAATGGTTGGTCGAATGTATGTGCATCTCCAAAAAAATATCTATTGGGCAATTGGATATAGATCCCCGCTCTACACATCTACACCTACACTGGAACATGATGAATTCCCCTCCACATTCTTCGCCTCACTAACTCATTCATGTCCCAGATCTCCCAACATGGCCTCAACTCCCTCTACGCTCTCCTCGAGATCATCCTGCCCGCCACCGCACCACACCCATTCATCGCCATCCCCGTGCTGATCCTGCTACTCCTGCTCTACCTCTGCGTCGCCTACATCACCTACCACACCCAGGGCTTCTACGCCTACTCCTTCCTCGACCCGGGCGACCACGGCCAGCACAGCGGCCTCGTCACCGGATACTGCTTTGGCATTCTTGCCGCCATCCTGGTCATTTTCTTCGTCTCCTGGTCGTTGATTCGATTGCGGGTGTGGTTGACTGGCGGCAAAATCAAACGGTCTCGGTATGATCCGGTGCGCCAGCATGGATTGAGTGATGGTTCGCTGGATGGACGGGGTCGGGTGGAAGAGGTGAAACGGGTATCGGTATAATACACCGGACATACTTCTAATACTAGCATTTGCATAGCTGCATAGTCATAATTGAAATAGCACTGGAGTGGAATTCCCAATCTCTGTTTTTCTGAAGAGTTATCCAGAACAAGTCAGTGCCATTAAGAGCGAAGAGTATTCAAAAACTATATTTACCCGAAGAAACCAAACTCTCTCACGAGAATCAAATCAAGCGAGGAGGGGGAAAAAAACCACCAGTCCGGTCAGATCTTAAACTCTCTCCCAACTGGTTTCACTGCTGCTGCCACTCGGGCTCTCCATCATTCCACCACTGCGATAACCCATAATCAACCCGACAAGTCCACTGGGAACCCAGGCACCAATAACGCTGTACGACCAAGCTCCGCGGCCGACATACATCACCGGTTTCTTGGGGGTCTTGCGCCCAAACAGATCCCGTGGCGCCGGCTCCAATGCATCCAACACAGCGTAATGGAGACTCCGCACAGGAGATCCTCGCACAATGCTAGGCCCTGCCGATGCAACGGGTCGCTGCTCAATGCTGGAAAGATACTGCGACCCATACAAGGCTCGCTGTTGCGCGCTCCACGCAAGAACCTCGGTCCCGGCGATCTGGTTCTGCGCGTTTCGGTAAGCAGGTCCCAGGTCGATATTGCCGAGTCGGAGCTCAACCACATCGACGTTGCCGTTCTGGAGGAGGCGCAGTTCCTGGCGGAGCGAGGTTGCGAACCCTGAGATGGCACGGGTCGTGGCGACTTCCGGGCCAGCAAAGGGCGCAGAGAGAGATGATGAGATGGACGGGTAGGTGAAAACAATGCTACTGCTGGTGCTGCGGAGAGTCAGGAGAGGGAGGAAGAGCTGCGCGATGAGGATGGGGGAAAGAAGGCGCGTGTTGACCGTGTCGGCCCACGATGACGGGGGAATCGTCGCCACGGGACCGGCGGCATAGTTGGGTGACGGGAGAATCACCAGCCCGCTCAACTGGCAGGTGTGTGGGGGCACTCCAGCAACAGGATACTGGGGCTGGGTGATCAAGGAGCGTATCTCATGCAACGAAGGATGGATTTCGGATGGTGAAGAAGATGTCTAATCCGATAAGTCAGTTCAGTTGAATTCAAAATGTCTCAGTTCACATCACTTACGGTTGTGAGGTCTAGCCAAAGTGCCTTGATATCTGTCCGGTGCTCCGATTGAACAATATGCTCCTCGTCGGCTGACGAAACCGTCACGTAGACGATATATCCTCGGCGTTCCAAATCCGAGGCAATCACCCTAGTCATCGGCTCATGCGGTGATCCGGCGACGACTATTATGGGGTGGTTGTCAGTGCATTGCGCATAAAAACAGGTTGAATTGACGGGAGCTGATCAAACATACCCACGATCTCTTTCCTGGCGCCGTTACCGGCTTTCCTAGCCTTGCGCCTCTTCCCATTCAGCTTCTTACTTCCATATATCAGAACGAACCCGGTCCCAACAAATGCAAGCATAGCGGCCGTCCACGCGCGATTCCGAGACATCCAGTTCTGCACTCGATCAGTGAGGCCCTGCGATGCGCGCATGCTCTGGGAAGCACGGGTCGACGGCCTGATTGTGGGTGGCAGCCATGTCTGCTCGGACAGGGTGTTTCGGATCACGGTCGCGGCATGGTCAACCTGACGGTCGATCGAGTCGGCGACTTCGAGCGAATATCGCCTTACGTCATGGGGTATGGACGCAAGCTGGGACAAAGCGATGGCATTAGCGCGGGGATGGTATTGTCTGCTTCAGAGGCCAGTTACTCACATAGTCAAAGAAGAACTGGTCGTCGCTTGTCATTTTGGTTGGTTTGGAGCGAAGTTGGCGCGAACAAAAATCCGCAAGATCTCGATAAGCCCGCGACGGTCGATAAGTCGCTCGACGTTATCGAGTCACATGAGCACTGGTTTACGATACCAAGGACCAACATTGACTCTGGAAATATAGCAGAGAGCGGGGGTGGGGAATGGATATTGGAACATATTTGTCTTTGTAGATCAAATGTGACGGGCAGTTTGGACTTAATAGTAAATCTATGGGGACCTATCTATTCGAGAGCTCGATTATATATTCTGACTGGGAGGAAGCATTTTTTAATTCAAATCGCGAATCATCAACCATAACATTCGGATTTCAACAAAAAAGCAAAGCACATGGTGATATGTCCATCCGTAATGCTCATTCCACAATATCGGTTACTCCAGTATTTCTTAGTTTCTTTGACCAAATCCATGACTATATATATCACGTGATACAACACCTGAGATATCAGGCGTCTCTCCCTTTATCAAAGCTGAGGACGACGCTGAAAGCAAACCAGAGCCAGAATTTTGGAACCAGCCCCTTGCCCCCCATTCTCATGTGTAGGAGGAATATTCTCTCTGGGTCTCATGTGAAGGTCTCTCAGATCGGTATCTTCTCGCCGTGGAGAATGATCGTCCACCGGAGGCAGTAACGTCTGCACCTTACGCGCAGACTCCATGCCTATTTTATTCCTGCCTGCCCAGTTTCCTCCAAGGCTGTCGTTTCTGTAACTCTTTCAGGATGAGGGAACTTGACACCCTTATCTCAGAATACCGCCATGAAAATAAACGTCCTCGCGAGTCGGAGGCGCTCTTGATCCTGCGCAAGGTTGCCTCCATGGTAAAGCCAATCATGCGACAGCGCGCCTGGAGAGTGGGCGCACTGTGTGAGTTCTATCCGCGACAGAAGAACCTGCTGGGACTAAATGTCAACTCGGGCCAAAAGATCTGTCTGAGGTTGCGGTATGCCTCGGATCAGCGGCAGTTTCTCCCCATCGAACAAGTTGTGGATACGATGCTTCATGAGTGAGTAGATCTATCAATCATTTCAGCGAGATGTATTTTGTGCTCCTGCTTATCTGACCTAGATTATGTCACATCGTTCATGGTCCTCATCATCAGCAGTTCCATGCACTGTGGAACCAACTCCGTGACGAGCAAGAGGAACTCGTCATCAAGGGCTACACCGGCGAAGGATTTCTTTCTCAAGGCAAACGTCTCGGCGGTCAAAGGATCCCGCTCGATGAGGCCCGTCGTCGCGCCCGAGCGGCTGCCGAACAGCGACGGGTTCTCACGAAAAATTCCGGAAGAAAGCTTGGCGGCGCTCCTGTGCTACGAGGCACGGACATGCGCAAGGTTCGAGCCGATGCAGCCCAGCGGCGCATCGAGGTGACTCAGGGCTGTGCTTCAGGGACGGACCGAAGTGCGGAGCTCGCTGAAGAGGCCTCGAGGAACGGATTCCGCACGAAGGCCGAGGAAGACGATGCAAATGAGCAGGCTATCCTACAGGCTTTTATTGAGTTGATTCAGGAGGAAGAACGAGAGCGATACGGGTCTTCTTACGTTCCCCCGAGCCAGGAAAACCCGGCAGGGCCTCGAACGCGTGGGTCACGAACACCGTCGCCAGCTCCCTCTCAGAGCACCTCTACACAACCACCAGCAGCTCCGCCAGCTGATTCTTTTGAGGCCCTGGATCTCACTGCTGACAATAGCTCTTATGAGACCTCGTGGACTTGCCCCACATGTACGCTTGAGAATCCGTCCAATTTTCTATGCTGCGATGTGTGTGCAGCAGAACGACCGCCCCCCTCGAGCACAAAGTCCACTTCTGGACCGGCTCCGACACCAAGCACATCAACGAAACCGCGAGTACAGAATAAAAGGCCTCGAGCGGAGGGCCCCGGGAACGAAAATGATGAAACTACCCCGAGAGATACATTCGCCTTCAAGAATCGAACCCCTGCCTTGGACTCCCTCGCTTCCCTGAACCGCGATGTCAACAAACGACCGTTGGGATGGGTGTGCAACACTTGCGGCGCATTCATGGAGACTCAATGGTGGACATGCTCCGGCTGCGGGAAAATGAAAGAGTCATCTTAAATCTTGTTTTCTGTGAATATTAGTAAAAGTAGAAAGGAATACAATATTACAAATGAAAATATAATCTCGAATGTTTCATACAATGACCGGGATTCTCGAAGCCAATTACACCTGTGCTCTGCAGGCGGTGAGATAGTGCCACTAACACAAGAGAGTCACATGACTCTATATCATGACTCAGCCGTTCTCCCAATTATTTTTTTCCCACGACCAGACCACCAACTCTTCCACAGCTCCTCCAACATCCCGCCAGCATGGACATAGAACCCAGCAACCCAGCAATGCGCAGGAGTTTGTCCATGCTGGCTGTTTATTTCAACTTGGTATGTACAATTGTCTTTCTTTAATTGTCGAGCGCAGCGAAGCAAATTATGCAACGAAGCAATTAAAAAAAAAAAAAAAAAAAAAAAAAAGTCCCCAAAGCCGAGGAACGCTCCAGCATGATGAGACCTTTTTCAAGAACCGGTAATTTTTAGGAAGAGCCGGAAGAGGTATGGCAATTGGGAATATTGAACTCCCGTTGCCGTCGATGCTTATAATGGTTCTGCTGAATGGAGTCCTCGGAACCCTTGCTGTTGCTTTTTTTTGCTGGCACAAGTGACAAGAAGAGCTATCTTGCTCTTTTTAATTGGGACGAGTTGCTAATGCTCGCCCATTTATAGGTCTATGAGCTTCGACCCGATTGAATTGCTGTTGTATATATATGCCCAAGGCTGTTGTGAGGGAGTGGAAACGAGTTCCGGTTCTGTCGATTCTGTCGATACGGTCTCGATTGAGAACAAATCGTCCCTGGAATGGACATTCTAAGGAGGGAGCAGAATCTGAATGAGTTCAGCGCATTTAGTATAATACATTCCTTGATATTCTCTAAACTCCCCAAGGATATAGAACTTTTGAGATGGCAACATGTCACAAAATCAAAACGCCAATTGAGATGCTCTCATACATAATCCCACTTAGATCTAAGCAACGCTGACAAACTGTCGCTTCTTGCCAGTTCCCTTCTGCGTCTGCTGCTCCTCCCAGGTTTCCTCGTCGACGTAGTCCGTGGTGCTCTGCTCGCGGACCTGGTTGCCGATAAACTGCAGCGCGGACAGGTTGAATCCCATCTCGTCCTTTTGACGGGCCAAGACCCGACGCAAGGACGCCCGGATACTGTCGAGCATAGGGCGCATGATTTTGCTGGAAACAATTTGTCGGTGGTGCGTCTTGAGCATGAAAAATAAGATGCGGCAGGTGAGAGGCACATTCCACTCGCGCTCGGCCCAGATGTTGAGGAAGGTAAAGAGGGCAGAGAGTTTGGAGAACGAGAGAACCAAGAGCGCATCTTGCAGCGCTGCAGCGGGGATCTTCTGGACGACATTCAGAACATGCTGTTCAGCGGAGACATTGCCCAGTGCTAGATAAACGGGATTGCGATCCGGGGCGGCCGCGTTAGGGTTGGCGGCCTTGACCGTGCGCCATTCGCGCACAACCTCGAGATCCTCAATGCCCAGATCGAGCGCTTCCATGATTTTCTCTCCATCCATAAGCGTGCCGGTGGTCTGCTTGCCCGCGTCGACAGCTTCGGGCTTCTCCCCGTCCTCGCCATCCTCATCCTGCTCCAGAGACGCGGTGAGCGTGTTGTCGTAATCTTCTTCCATCTCCTTCTCCCGTTCTTCCTCCAGGAAGAGTGGCTCGTCTGTCTGCTGCCAGATGCGGATGCTCTTGTCGTGACTGGCACTCACAATGAACTCGCCGGAGCGACTCATCGCCAGCGCCCAGATCTCACCGTGGTGGCCCACCAGCCTCTGGACTTGCTCAAACTTGTCTCCGTCCCAGTACTTGATGACGCGGTCCTTGCTTGCACTGAAGAAATTGTGACCGTTGCCTTCTTTGTTGGTGGGAACAAATGCTACCGCCATGATGCTGTCCTCGTGCGCCAAAAAGGCCTTGTGGCAGTCACCAAAGTCCAAGCCCCACAATCGAACTGTCTTGTCGGCTGAGCAAGTGACAATAAGTTTGCTATCGTAAGAAATGTCCATGCTCAAGACTGGAAGTTTGTGACCATAGAGGTTCAGGAATAGCTTAAGGGAGTCGGTGAAGAAGACTTTGACAGTATTGTCAAGTAAGGAGACGGCTAGTAGTCGCGCATCAGGGGAGAAGCGAAGACTGAGAATATCATCGCTGACCTTCAATGTTCTGGTGTGCGTCAACTTGAGACGCGGCGTGGTGCGTTTCGTGCCAGGAATCTCCTCTTGAACGACCTGGAAATTCCAAAATTTGGCCGACTTGTCCGCGCTCCCACTGACCATCGACTTGCCATCCGGATGCACATGCAGGGACCAGACCGGGCCATCGTGGGCCTTGATGGTATCGAGCAGCGTCGAGGAGGCGATGTCAAACACTTCCAGTTCACCATTCTTGTTTCCAACCACCACAATCTTGTCACCCGGAAGGAAGGCAGAGCACAGTGAGTAGCCGCATTCCAAAGTACGTAGACAGGTTTCTGTGCGGACGTTCCAGATCTTGAGGCTGCCGTTGGATGCGGAGGCCAGCATTCGGTCATCCGAGCTCAAGGCAATTGACCGTATATCAGTTCGATGGCCGGGGATTTCCACGGCAAGATTCCGGTTGTAGTCAGATTCATCATCATCCTTGGTCTTTTTGCTGGCCGTAACGACGTTGTAAGATTCAAGCTGATTATTAGTCGTTGCGGCAAGGAGGTTGAGGCCACTGGACTTGGTAGTCATCCAGTCAAAGGATCGGATCTTCCCACCGGTGCGAACGATGACATGGAGAACGAAAACCTCCGTGACTGGAGCAGAGGAAATATCATCGGGATTTTCCTTGTCGTCCGCTCCTTTTTCTTCAGGCGTCCGCTGTGCTTCCTTTTCCTTTCTTCTCTTCCGCTTCCGAGCCATACTTTTCTGTACTTCTGACTGCGATCGAATCCGCCAAATCTCAACGGACTTTTCTGAGCCATGGACTCCCACGTAGTCGGACCGGGGGTGGAATCGGATCCCAATCGTGCGATCTTTGCCATGCCGGTAGAAGGTCCCTCGGTCTGTCAGGATTTTGCGATCTTCCGCACCGACCTTTTCCTTTGAGATCTCAACCATAGCAGCCTCATCGATAGACCAGACCTTGAGCTCCCCGTCATTACCCGCAGTAATACAACCGCCCTGGTCCGGTGAAAGACCCAAACTCCAACATTCGCCATTGCTTTGCGCAACATGTGTTTCGATGCAGTGCTGCGAGGCGAGATCCCAGACTTTGATCAACGAATCTTTTCCGGTAGTCAACAAGAACCCCGAATGGTCGCCTAACCCCGAAGCCTGCAGCAGCTCGGGAGTGGGAAACAAGAAATGCAACGAGGTGATCTGGTCAGTATGGCCACGCAATCTGAACAGGCCGACTTCCGCGATCAGGTCCCAGATGATGATATCTGTGTCTCTTGCGCCACTCGCAAGTCGCACACCGGCGTTGTCAAAGGCGAGCTGGGTGACGGCAGACTTATGGCCATTGAAGGAGATGATTATAGTGCCTGTTCTCGAATCCCAAACACGAATGCTGCCATCGTCGTATCTAAAAAGAGGGAGAGTCCGGCATTAGTAAAACGAACCATTCTCGGGGCTGGGGACGATTTACCCGACGGCAAAGATATCTTCATCTGTCTTGCTGTGCGTCACCACAGTTACTTGCGCCCTGCACGCCGAGTCGCGCCATCTGCCCAGTAATTCTCCCTTTTTCACATCCCAGCAGAGAACTTCTTCACTTGCGCCCACAATGGCTCGGCCGGCGCCCGTCTGCCGAGTTTGCTCGTCTTTGGTCCAAATCGCATTGGACGACGCCGAGGCGACGAGCCCGAAAGTATTCGAGTGCTCGAATTTTCTGGTCGGATATTAGCGCACGAGAAAAGCAACAACAGTCATCCAAAAAGCGCACGTACAAGTATGATTTTACCATCGTTGGGAGGTGGATGGGAAAAATTTGGACTCCGACTGCTATCGATACAAAATTATTACGGGCGGCGATAGCGACCGCTCGGGCTCCCCCACCGCCCATGACGATCGCAGTCGCCCGTCTCCCAACAGCCACCTTCGGACAAGAACCCATCATTGTCTTGACCGTCATGCTTCTCTTGGATTACCAGAATGTGTTGATTCAGTCCCTCCTCACGGAGCGGTTCTCTGGGTACAATTCCGTCCCTTCTCCCACCCCCACAGCATCCCCTCCAATTGTATACACATCACCCGGTGCCAGGCACCCAGCTAATGCTTCTCCAGAGCTCCCCCGGTCTTGATTGACCAAGTGGTTTCCGACTTCGACGGCGTGACCTTCCACCTGTCGACCCCCGAGTCCAAGACCAAGATCCTGATTTCGATCAATGTCAAGTGCTTCAAGGAACTGGTCCAATATGGCGCCGAGGCTGTACTGCAGAGGGAATATGGCCCTTACATTGTGTCCCCCGAACCCGGTTACGATTTCTCAGTACAGATCGATCTTGAGGATTTGCCCGCCGAGCAGGAGGCCCGAGATGAGCTGATCATGAAACTCGCCCTCTTGAAACGGAATGCCATGGCCGCTCCCTTCGAGAGCGCATTCGACGAATTCACCAAACTTGCGGAGGAGGCTTCTCAATACACGTCGGAATCGGCACCACAGGGTGTGAAGGAGGGTGGACAGGTCATGGCTATCCACTATCGCGAAGAAGAGGCCATCTACATCAAGGCCAACTACGATCGAGTCACGGTGATCTTCAGCACCGTGTTCCGCGAGGAAACGGATCGCATCTTCGGCAAGGTCTTCCTGCAAGAGTTTGTCGATGCCCGGCGACGGGTTTTGACGCTACAGAACGCCCCGCAAGTACTGTTTCGCAGCGACCCCCCACTTGAACTGGAAGGTGTGCCCGGTCTCCAGGCTGCGGGCGAGGGCGAAGTCAGCTACGTTACCTTTGGTAAATATGCCCTCGTATCCTGTCGACCAAACCTGAGGGGATTGCTCACACGTGGATATAGTCCTGTTCCCCCGTCACTTGACTCCTCAGCGTCGCTATGAGAACATCTCCCACATCCAGACCTTCCGTGATTACTTCCACTACCACATCAAGGCATCAAAGGTATTTGTTACCGACATTTTGGCCGAGCATCGTTTGACTTATTATCTCCCACAGGCGTATATCCATACCCGAATGAGAAAGAGGACGGCGGACTTCCTCCAAGGTATGAACTTGTCCATACCACTGTTGATTAACTTGCTAACCCCAGTAGTTCTCAACCGAGCTCGACCAGAGAACGAAGAGCGCGAGCGCAAGACGGCCAGTGGTCGTACATTCCGAGTGCAGGCTTAAACCCTTCGACGTGTCTATGTTCATATAGGAGGACAACCTTGTTTTACCAGCCAGCCGAGTGTTGAATATCGAGTTTCTTTTCAAGCATAGGCAGGTTTGTTGTAGCCTATACGTAGGTACGTAGGTGGAATTCGAGTTCCCGCGTAGGCCAAGTAGTCGCGAGTCCAAATGAGCCCAGGCGCCAACAGCTTCAGTGCCTTCCAGTTCTGGCAATCAACAAACTCCAGGTTTTGATCGCGGTTTGATCGTCTCATCACTTTTTCTCTTCTCTCTTCCTCTCGGACCAACCGCACCAGAAGAAACGTGACGCGATATGGATTCCTCCCACAAAAGCCGTTTCTGGGAGCTGGCTATCTCCAAGCTGCGATTCAGACGTCAGCCTCGACAGCCCAAGACCTCAGACGAGGTTCATTCCTTGGATCCTGATGTAGGCCTTGACAACACCGAAACCCAGAAGGATGGCTTTTACAGGTATTCCGAATCTCTTCTTGAGGAGGCCAACTCATTGCTTTTACAACAGACCGAGTCTCTGGAGGATGGCTCCGAATGCTTCGTGGTGAGTTGCACGCAACGCCTACCTAGCCAGATATCAAGAATGTCGCTCACAATGCGTCTGTCTCGTGGTAGATGGCACCGAGTCGGCGTCACTCTCGTCCTTACACCGTCAGCAGTGAGGAATGGGTGCTTCTATCGTCACCCTCATCGCCATCACAGGTCCTGTCTCTGGATGACTTGAGTGGCGTACAACTGTCGATTCATTTCGGGGGCGTGCTCAACATTTTCACGAAGTTGTATGCCATGGGTAAAATGATGCACGTGGTGTTCCTCAGTTATGGGGTGGAGGTATGCACTGATATCGGACTTTGGTGTCAAACTCGAGACTAACAACATTCGAATCAGCTTGACACCTCGGAGACCGGCCTAATGTACTGGGTTCAGCGCGCGGAGGAGGAAGTGAGAACTAACTCACTGGCCACACTTATCGAAATCGTGGAGAATCTGTTCTATGCCCTGTACGCGCGAGTCGTCCTGGAGATGGCGAGCATCGAACTCTGCTCTTGCTTCAACGTGGACGTGCCATCGTTGACTACCCACCGCCAATTCATCTTGCCACACGCTGATCACCTCTACCGGATTTTTCTAGCGTGCAAGGACGTGCTCGACTCCCCGGTCATCTGTGAAATGCTGCAGCAGGAGCTGGTGGCGCGATACCAGGAAGGCTACACTCGCCGCGTCATACACAAAGAAAACGAGAAAGGGCTTAGCTCTGATGACATCCTGGGCTACCGCCGTTATGCTTTGAGCATTGTGTCCGAACGGTCGTCGGCGTTCTGTAAGAAATGGGAAACCCTCATCCCTCTCCTTCGTGATACACCCGCAGAGGTGATGGCTGTCCTGTCTGAGAAATACCTCGCCGTAGTCCCAAAGTCCGTGCTCTCGGATGATATTTCCTATGATGAGCTTCCATTCACCGACCTCATCACCATCGACCCGGCCACATGGGAGAAGGACACCATCCAGGACCATCGTCTGGCGACCCTGGCCAAGCTTGAAGGCAACAGCGTCGGGCAGGAGCGCCGGGATGACGCGAATATCCGGCTCTTTTCCTTGGCGAAACGGCACAAGTGTGTATGCGCATCAGTCTGTCGGTGCTCTTATGAATGTACGAACAACGTCGAGCGTCGGTGCCCTTGCGCTGAACGACAACTGCGTATCATGCTGGCAAAACGCCGAAAGGGGACCGGTCGGTATAGTTTTGCAACTCGCGCGTATACCCTGGCGCGAGTTGGGTTTGAAAGCTTAGCCACTCTCAAGCGGCACGTTGATGACGATGACATCCTCATCGAGCTGGGGCATGTATTTGAGGTTTTTGACCTTGAGATCCAGAAAGAACGTTCTGCTGCGGCTTTGTCCACATGGACCTAAAGGAAAAAGCATGGAGAGATTGATTTGTTTATTATTTGAGATCCGAGGCGTCGGGGTTTGTGTATTTGACAGACAGGGACTCGGTGCGGTGTTCACAGTTTGGCGCATTCCTTAATGGATGTTTATTCGGACTTCACCATAGATCATATCTGGGGAAGTGAAGATTAGCCCTGGGCCATCGAGGGCGTTTGCATCGACTTAACCCCAGGATGAAAATAGTGTAGAAGACGCGGATGGCATGCTGGCACATTGCTCTGCTGGCTGGGTGTGAGTGCAGTAGACGTAGAAGCTGGGGTTTTGTAGAGACCGCAAGGAATTCATGGAATTCATTTCTGGAATGCTGGGTTATTCAGAGATTCGAAGAGATCTTGGACACAGACGAACCCCAAAATCAAAATTGAAGACATTCGGTGGACCAAAAAAAAGTGCAGCGTAGCGCAGGGCGTCGGCGCAGCAGGCCAGTGACACTTCGCGATGTTCTCTCGGTCGGCTTCACCGGTGAGTGGCCCCTTGGAGATTCTTTTTTTCTTTGCGCTCAAGCCCAGGATTTTTGCCCTTTATTACTTATTTTCTTTTCTCCTTCTAGACCATGACTTAAGGTCACCCACAATATCCCCCCTCTTGTCGACGGGCATCTTGGTGAAAGCGCTGAGAGGCGCCGAGTGAAGGCATGGTGATCAAGGCGCCCATATCGCCTGCATTAACCTTCCTCTCCTCGCTTCCAAGGCCCACGCGTCGGTGGATCGCGCGAGTGTTAAGCATAACCCCGGACCAGGGACTGCGGCCATACCACGCGGCAGTGTGGCCCTCCTACGGCATCACAACCCCGGTCCCCGACCACCTCGACTCCGGTCTTGCACGATCGCCCTTTCGCTTCGAGACTGGCTATGCCCTCTGCGCCAAACGACCGTCCCGCCCGTTCCCCCCACCGTTCCTGTCCCCGCCATCCTCGTCCTTTTCCGATCCCTTGACTACCCACGGGCTGAGCCAGGATAAGAGATTATCCGTCAAGGGTGAGCTGATCCGCGGGCTGAACAATGGAGACGATGCGATCATCGTCGCCGAGACCTTTCTAGGCGTTGATGATGGTGTCGGCGCCTGGGCCACTAAACAGCGGGGCCATGCGGCGTGAGTTTGATCCCTGTCTCGTCTAGCACCAAATAATTGTGTTGACCATCTGGAAACCACCTCCACAGACTCTGGTCCAGATTACTCCTTCACTTTTGGGCTCTCGAGGTGGAAAATGAAGACCACCACACTACCACCCTAGATCCCGTTGAATACCTGCAGCGGGCCTACGAAGAAACCCTGCTGGCAACCACATCCCCAACGGAGTGGCTGGGGACCACGACATCGGCCACCGCTCTTCTACACTGGACCCTCGGAGACGATGGTACCCAGACCCCGCTGCTGTACGTCACAAACCTAGGTGACTGCAAGGTCCTGGTGATCCGGCCGAGCGAAGAGAAGATATTGTTCCGGACTGCTGAGCAATGGCACTGGTTCGACTGCCCGATGCAGCTGGGCACCAACAGCGCGGATACGCCGCGCAAGGATGCTGTGCTGTCCACAATTGTCCTACAGGAAGACGATATCGTGCTGGCGCTCTCAGACGGAGTCATGGATAACCTGTGGGAGCACGAGGTGCTCAAAATTATCCTGGACAGCGTCAATAAATGGGACAAAGGGCGCACCGATGCTCCCAGTGTAGCCCCCACGCCAGATTTGTCCGACAACCGTATGGTCTATGTGGCTCGTGAGCTGCTAAATGCTGCTCTGAGTATTGCCCAAGATCCATTCGCCGAGAGTCCGTACATGGAGAAGGCGGTTGACGAGGGCTTGGCTATTGAAGGGGGCAAAATGGACGATATCTCTGTTGTGGTTGCGTCCTGCAAGAAGCGAGATGGGTGAGAGTCTGAGTGTGATGATTTGGCTATCCCCGTACTTCTTCCACGAACTCCATCCACAGTCGACTCCTGCGAGAATACTTTCTATCTCTTGGGAAATTCCATGCAGGAGGACCCCCAATCCTCCGGACTCTACGGAAGGACCTGCGCCAGCTCGGTGATGCATATCCCACCACGATGGCCCAAGTTTCAACCGAGCCACACGTCAATCGAGCCACACGCAAACTACACCCATTTGTTTGCATGCATTTCTAGAGCTCTGAATACCGACAGTGTTCGTCCATACTCGGCGGGCTCCGGGCTTTAGGAACCTGTTGCCTCGGCGGTTTATAATTCACACAACCAAGCATAAACAGAGTTGCTATGGTAGCAATAACAATCCATATCTTGATTTAGCATTTCTTGAAAGTGATCAGTTTTCATGTAAAGTAGAGTAAGACGGCCTGCCCTTATAGTTGACTCGAATTGAAGGTTCTCGGTACTTGGTGAGTGCTGCTGCTTTCTGCCAATCAGTGGGTACCGGGTACATCAGCCCCAGCACTGACCAGATCACCGCCTCTGCCGCCGCCCGGCAAAATGAAGCAAAAAAAAAAAGTTGGTTCAAGCAGCAACCCCCAATCTCTTTGCTCTTGTCCCACTCAATTCCTCGATCACTATTCACAATGAGGGCCAAGCGTTCAAAGAAGTACCGTAAGCTCATGCACCAGTATGAGCTTACGTTCGGATTCCGCGAGCCATATCAAGTACTTGGTACGAAGTTCTCTGCAGATGCTCACATTCGAAGTACTGACCGTTCGAACAGTGGACGCAAATTTCCTCCATGCGGTGGATTCGTTCAAGATGGACCTGATTCCAGCACTCGAGAGGACACTCCAAGGCAAAGTCAAGCCATGTCAGTTTCCTTTCCCCCTCAGCCCCAGAGGTCTTGCGGTGCCATTCGCAAAAGACAACTCTGGGCGAGACACCCAAACACCGCCAGCTAACACAGTCTCTGTAGTGCTGACCAAGTGTTCGCTTGCCGCTGTCATGGCCGCGCAGCCCATCAATCCCAAGACCAACCAACCGTACCGCCCGCACCACCTCCCCCCACCAACCACACTCCCGCTCCGCCACTGCTCGCACAACGAGGACTCGACGCCCATCGACGAGCTCGACTGTCTCATGTCTCTTCTTTCCCCCAACGCAGACGCAAAAAAGAATAAAGAACATTATATCCTCGCGACGGCGGATGCACCCGCAGCAAAGAAAAATGACAAGAACGACGCGCAGCAGCGCAAGCGGAAGCGCGACGACGAACGAAAAGAGGAGCAGGCGCAGCGTCGCGCCCGCGCATTGCGCCTCAATGCGCGCTCCATTCCTGGGGTGCCGATTGTGTATGTCAAGCGCTCGGTCATGGTGCTCGAGCCGATGAGCATGCCGTCGGAGACGGTCAGGGATGGCGTGGAGAGAGGGAAATTCCGGGCCGGCTTGGATGCGGAGCCTGCTATTGGCAAGCGCAAGCGAGACGGCGAGGGTGACGCGGCTGGCGCAACGGAAGCGAAGAAGAAGCGCGGCCCGAAGACAAAAGGACCGAATCCGTTGAGTATGAAGAAGCCGAAGAAGCGCGATGTTGCGCCTGGCTCGGCGTCCACTCTAAAGAAAGATCGCCCTGTGCCAGATACGAGTGACACTGGTGCCGCAGATGCTTCTGTACGGCCCGAAGGCGATGACTCGGGTGCTACCAAGCCCAAGCGGAAACGCCGTCACCACAAGGGCGGTCCTCAGGATGGGAATGATGAGGCTGCCCCCCTCGAATGACGGCGGTGCCATGGAAGTCGACGCTTGATTTCATGTGGTACTTTGTGCATCTGTAACGCTTATATCTTTCTTTCTCTTATGAAATAGGCGTGGCGTTCGGATTGGAGATACTTTATTCATAGAAAAGTTCCGTGCTCATAGCAAATGTACATTCACTGCTATTTTGCGACCATCAGGGCTTCGATTTTCATTCGACAACAACCAGTTATTCAACGGCCATAGGAGGATTCAAGTAACAATTCCATGCCTGGCCTATACGTTATCTAACCGGCCTTGTAGGCAGCAGGGGAGCTCCGTACCTTCCAAGAGTGCACCTTCTCTCCAGTTCAATCTTTGACCTCTCATTCTCTGCTTCGTCTTCTGTTTCACCCTGCTTCAATCAGTCATGGCGACCCCCGAAATGAAACAAATCCCCCCCTCAGGCCATTCCAGCCCAGCAATGCAATCGAGCAAATCCACACCTGTTCCCAGTCTTCCACCCGAGCTGTGGGAAATGATCATTCGATACTTGCAGGGAGATCTATGCTCACAACACCTGAGCAGACTTGCACGAACATGTCATTCTTTTCATCAACGAATAACACCACTTCTATACCGGTCTGTCGGCCTGATGTGGATTGGAATGGTCCTCGGCTTGCTGAGACGCTTGAGAAGCGTCCAGATTTGGCATCTCTTGTTCGTGAAGTGAGACACCACGATGATACCGGTTTTGAAGATTTCGCCTGTATCTCGGAGCCACTTTACAAGGTCCTTGCTAAGCTGCCGGCGCTGCAACAATTGGTTTTGAGAAAAAGGAGCAAGTTGAAACCTGGAATGAAGTTGACACCCGATGAGAAGCGGACTCGAATGTTCGCATGCATGATGGATGAAAATTTCAGTCTCACGGACTTGGAGGCTATGGCGATACAGGTCCGGAATGAAAGCGAACTATCAACGGACCCGCTTGGCCTTGGGTCTGATCCGACTTTCGACGAGACCTCTCCTTTACGGCCTGAGCAGAAGTTCTATTTGATCGTGCTTATTTCTGTCAAGCCCATCTCAAGAGCTCCGCGGGTCTCCCTGCACTACGCGTCTGTGTGCTTCCTTCCTTTCCTCTTTTATAAACAGTCGCTAACATCCACTAGGCCATATTGGAAGTGATCTCTACTTCCATACCTTCAAGTCCCCAACGTCGCATTTGAATGAATCCATCCTCAACCACCTCAGACGAGGAAGCTTTGCATAACTGGTGGTACATTTGATGAAAATTTTGACTTAGGGGACCACGAAGTGCACCGTTCGACCGCACTAGAAGATCTAATTCTAATAAACTGCCGTATCAATCTTCGCGGGGTTTTCAAAGCTCTCAAATACCCAAAGGCGCTGAAAAGCTTCACCTTCCGAGGTCCCGGATTCAATCCATTTTGCCATACCTTTCTCCCAGATATCTCTTTACTGGAATACCGCAGCTGTAAAGTACGTCGACATTTTGTCTTCTCTCAAGACTCTGACACCCCCCCCCAATACCTACTAGGAGGACGAATAGACGGGATGGGCCCACTGAATGATTACTTCCCCTGGACACCGGAGAGGCTTACGCTTTGCTACGAAAAGGGATCTTTATTGCCTTTCGCACATATCTACGACTCGTTGAACAGCGGCTATCTTCTGAATCTCCACACCATCATCTGCGACATACCCGACAACCTGAGGGAGTCCCCAACTAGTTCGGAGATTCGTCAAGACGGGGAGACCTGGAAAGAGAAGTTCCAACAGCTGAATGTGGATTTGTTTATGGTTCTTGTCCCATATCCCACCACTATGCCTGCTCATGACGCCTGCTCCTGCGAGTGTCTACGTTTTTATCACCGGTTCGATCTCATACACCCCATCCTCTGGCGAGACAGCCTCCGCATCTCTAGTCGGTGACTTTACTTCTGAGGATGATGGGTAATGGCCGAATTCCCTATTTGTCTCTTTTTCTAGTTTCCTGGGGCTCTCCATTCTTAACAATCTGATTTTGATAAGACTTCCATTGATCACTTGGTTTGAATATCCGTCGTTATAGCTGTAAAACTGTTCCTGGAGTATCGTATTGAATGGAACCTTCGAGCCCATATGGTAGAGCTGCGATGCACAGCAGCATAGTACCTCTTCCTATCCACGAGTAATGCTGTTTAAGGGGCAGGCCACTTGAACTGAAAGGCACCTACGCGTAGGTGAAAAAAAAAAAACTGTCCGTCATCCCCGGTTCTAAAGTGAACGTGTCTACTCCACCCTAATGCTGGTTAATTTCCTCGGGCCATAAAACGGAAATTAGTATGGGACCACTCCGGTCAAAGGTCTTCGCAGTAGGCATGACGGATTGAAGAAAGTATATTCTTGACCAGATCACGAGCACATACTTAAGAAAAGCCACTGCCACCCTTTACTACCATGCCGGCCATCAAGTTGCAAAATACCCGAAGCCAGGAGGGGACTAAAGGCGTTGCCACCAAACATGCAAAAAAAAAAAAAAAAAAAAAAAAAAACCATAGCAACCCTCTTCGCTAGCTCTTGCGTCGTGTACCACGCAGATAGAATATACACCGCACCCGGAATATATCCTGCCTTGACAAATCCGAGGAGCAGCCATGTAGCAAGAAACCCGCCTCGAATTCGAATGAATACTTGCATGGTAGCAAGTAGACCAAATATGAATATCTAAGTTGAGATCCACTTGCGAGGCCCAAACTGCTCTATTTAGTATCACTTTTCCGAGTCTCGGGTTCAGTCAGATGTACTCGTTGCTGGGCCACGTTGCATGGAATCTCGAAGACCACGATGTCCATGAACATTGATTGGACACAGTGAGTATACCGAAGGAGACATCTCGGTTTTGAGATGATAACCATGTATCATAAGAAACACACCCCCTACGCATAGAACATGGAAGATGCTGGAGTGAGGAAAATATGTTAGTACTAGGCCAAAGAAATATCTGTGTAAATTTACAATCTCGGATACTGTACAGGGGGATCTGCATCGAGAAATCCCAAGAGAGGAGAAAAGAAGACACAAGGTCAACAGGAGGATCACACAGGCTAATTTCAAGCTCTGCACGACTTTGAATCCCATCGCTTGTGCATAGAACAACAATCAATCGCTTCACCATAAAAGCAGTCCCAAAACTCCATTTCCAACACGATTGATGGAATGCCATATAATTGCAGTTTATTGCTTTGCTGCACCCGTATTTTCGGTATTGGTGTTCGAAGGACCCTGCTCCACAGCCCGTTCCCTGGCCCAGATCTCTTCAATACGTCGCCGATTGCTGCGCGCCTGGTCGCGATTCCGCTTAGCGCGGTCATAACGCTCGCCAGCGAGACACCGGTTCACATCGCGCTTGATGTCATTGCAACTTCCAATTGCTTTGTGGAGGAATCCCTGGGCATGGCATTCATCCAGGGCGGTCATGATTTCTTCGCAGTCTGGGAATTGATGCATTAGTCACTGCCTTGCGAAGAATTGTGTTGGTGAAGATATGATATCATAATAGCATTGCTTGGTCTGTAAAACATACTGGCATTGTATGGGGTATGCAAATGGGAATGCATGATGGAAAACCGCGAGTATAGCAAGAGAGGGCCGAGATAGATCTCAAGAGAAGACGACGCCGCGATGTCCCCGGGCGGTGAAACGATCGGCCATATTCTGCCGGGCGGAGAGCGCCCGCACCGATAAAAAAATATATATATCGCGATTAAAAAAAGTGGGTTGCTCGTTGGATGTTTCTTAACCATTCACAATGTCTTCGATGATCACCACGACCTCATGGGTGCGGCGAGGAGTCGCTGCCCAATTCCCCACCAAGTATGAGATTGACGAGGAAGAGATGAGCCGTATATCTAAGCTTGCGCGCACGCAGCTTGAGGATGCTAAGGGCGATCTGAGTGCGGCTCAGGATGGGAAAATGGACGAGGGCGAAGATGACACAGCAATGGATGAAGACAATGATGATAAAACTTCGGGAGCTGGACCAGATGCTATGGAGGACGAGGGCGAGAACAAGACCTCGAAGAATGGTACGAATTCAAAGGAGAACAAGTGAGTATACTAAGCTCTAAAAAGCGGCCGAGCAGCAAGCTAATTGCACGCTACAGCGACGATGATGTCTTGAAAGAATTCGATCTCGACCATTACGACAGCGACGAGGTGGACGAGGACGGCGAGAAAGTCACTATGTTCGGCAATGTGCGATCTCTGGCATACCACCAGCCTAACGAGGAGGACCCGTACCTGGTGATGCCCGAGGAGGATGAGGATGAGGAGCGAGAGGAACTCCAGATCATGCCCACGGACAACCTGCTTTTGGCGGGTAAGGTCGAGGATGAGGTGGCTCACCTGGAAGTCTACGTCTACGAGGACCAGGCCGACAATCTCTACGTTCATCACGATATTATGCTGCCAGGCATTCCTCTGTGTCTGGAGTGGCTCGATATCCCCGTGGGCAAGAACACCGAGGAGCGGTCACAAGGCAACTTCGTGGCGGTGGGTACAATGGAACCGGATATCGAGATCTGGGATCTGGATGTCGTGGACTGCATGTACCCCAACGCAATCCTGGGACAGGGTGGCCAAGACCACGGCGATTCCAAGAAGAAGCAGAAGAAGAAGAAGACCAAGGCCAACGACGAATACCACATCGACTCGGTTCTGGCCCTGGCAGCCAACCGACAGCACCGCAACCTGCTGGCGTCGGCCTCCGCCGACCGCACCGTCAAGCTCTGGGACCTCAACACAACCAGCTGCGCCAAGTCCTACTCGCACCACACCGACAAGGTGTGTTCCCTCGACTGGCACCCGAAGGAGTCGACCATCCTGCTGAGCGGTAGCTACGACCGCACCGTGGTAGCCGCCGATATGCGGTCCCCAGATACCCAAGCGCGCTGGGGCGTCGACACCGACGTGGAGAATGTGCGCTGGGACCCGCACGACCCGAACTACTTCTACGTCACGACTGACGGCGGAATGGTGTACCGCTACGACGTGCGCAACGTGCCCGCCTCCACCGCGGAATCCAAGCCGGTCTGGTCGCTGCAAGCGCACGACTCCACGGTGTCGTCCTTCGACATTAACAATTCCATTCCGGGATTCCTGGTGACCGGCTCAACAGACAAGCAGGTCAAGCTGTGGAACATCGAAAACGAAAAGCCCAGCCTGGTCGTCTCGCGCAAGCTGGAGGTTGGCAAGGTCTTCTCGACTAGCTTCGCGCCCGACCCTGAGGTTGGTTTCCGTCTGGCTGTCGCCGGCAGCAAGGGTGTTGTCCAGGTTTGGGATGCTTCTACAAACGGTGCTGTGCGCCGCACTTTCGTCTCGCGTATGCCGGACCTGGCTGGTGACGTGCCGGAGCGGACTGTTGGCGTCGAGGCTGACGATGAGGATTCGGATGATGAAGGCGGCGAGGTGGCTGGCGCGGAGGCGCAGGGGCCCGATGGCTGGGAATCGATGGATGAGGATTAGATGAGCACAGATACCCGTGGAGTCTTTCCTTTGTGTGGCTTGAGGCACTAAAAAAATAGATCGCTGTGTGGATGCGTTAATGATAAGCTGGGAATAAGTCATTGACAGTAATAGTTCGCACTCTAGTATTCGTCTGTAGAGACGGCGATTTCGTTGAAGACTGCGTCACTTGTATATTCCAATTCTACACCCACACTCCATAACCCAAAAATAAACCCAACCATTATGCCTCCCGGGCATGCACCAAAGTAGTCAAATCCAACAGTCGGTTCGAATACCCCCATTCATTATCATACCATGCCATAATTTTGAAGAACTAAAACCAGGTGAGCTCGTATCCGACATTGGAACACAGCAGTAGGATTACCTGAGGGTTCAGTTCCGCACACGCCGGAGCGTCGATGATAGCGCTGTACGGACTCCCATTGTAGTCACTGCTCACCAGCTCCTCGTCCGTTACCTTGAGAACTCCTGCCATATCAGACTTTGCTGCCCGGCGGAAGGTAGCCAGGATTTCCGGCAGCGACGTTGGTTTTGTAGTGCTGATGGTGAGATCGATCATGGAGACATTGGGACTATGAAAAGTTAAACTTGCTTCTGGGCGTGCTTCTGGGCTACATGGATGTGATGAGTGGAACTCACGTTGGCACACGAATTGACACTCCAGTCACCTTTCCTTGCAACTCTGGAAGTACGGCGGCGATAGCTTTGGCGGCACCGGTGCTGGTGGGGATGATATTATTGAAGACGCTGCGTCCTGGATGAGGATTAGAAATGAATGACATAGGATAGGTGGTCAGAAAGAAAGGCCTTTTCGCACCCAGTCGCTTGTTCTTCTTGCTGTACCCATCCAGCACCTGCTGGGACCGAGTAGCCGCATGCACCGTAGTCAGGAAGCCCTGCGTAATACAGAAGGTCTCATGAAGCACCTTCAGAACGGGGGTAACGCAATTAGTCGTGCAGCTTGCATTAGATACAACACGACAATTGTCGCTAGCCGTGTATAAGTCCGAGTTCACGCCGTAGACAAACGTCGGCGCGTCAGAACTGGGTGCCGAGATGAGGACGCGCTTCGCTTGGCCGTGCGTAACGTGGTCCAGGGCAAGTTCCTTCTTGGTGAACTTTCCCGTGCATTCGAGAACATAGTCGACGCCCAGGGCAGCCCAGTTGAGTTTCTTGAGGTCACGCTCGGATGTTAATGCGATTTGTTTGCCATTGATGGAGATCCGTGTCTCGGAGAGGGTTTGGATGTTTGTTCGTTCGTCTAGGTCACCCATGCATGAGTCGTAGCGGATGAGGTAGATTAGGTCTTCGACCGTCGTGCAGGTGTGGTTGATGGCAACGGCTTGAATGTCAGAGCGGACCAGGGCTGCGCGGAGGACGTTGCGGCCTGGATGCTGGATGAGTATCTGCAACCAAGTAGCATTGAACTGTGGCAGATTCCATTACCTATCCGACCAAAGCCATTGATACCCACTTTACAGGCTGAGGGCAACTGTGTTGGAACATGAGATGCATCGTCAATTGAAGGAGCCATGATAGATGATAGGGCTATGTCGATGTATAGAGCCAAGGGTGTGGATAACGCAAGCTGGTCGAGACAGTACAACTTATTGACCGGTCCAAACAGGTCTGTATGCCCGAATGTCATTTCTATAAGTATATGGAATCTACCCCAGCCCCAACGCCCACTCTTCCTAAAAGCCTCATCACATCGCGGCACACCCGAGAACTCCCGTCCCATCTCGGAATATAGTATCGGCTTCCAACATGTCCGGGCCGTCTCTCTCTCTCACTGGCGGTGATTTTACCGCGACTAGATCCAAGCAGTAAGCCTATAGACCGTCAGCCGAGAAGTGCCCGCCGAGTCTGCCGTCATCGGATAACCGGAGCCCACACGGCGAGAGACGGCCAATAACGCGGTCGATTGTCGCCGAAAGTCCCGCGTCCACCACCCGATCGCAGCGGAGATTATCATGTCCGGCCTTTTCTCCTCTCACCTAATTGTCATTGCCGCACAGGGGCACACTTCGTGTGCTGCCGGGTTACTGTTGTGGGCTGGGTGGACTCCGGGGTAAAAAGTACCGAAAGACGGAGGTGTCGATTTGGAGACCACCAGATGGCCCCTGTCATTATTATTGACTCTGTATCAGAAGGCATTCTTATAGGTCTGTTGTTCCTTTTTGGTCACTGGTATACCGAATTCCTGGCATTCCTTCGCCGTGATTTGCGGAAGAAATCCACTCCTCGTCGCTTCTTCCGCATCGGCATTCCGATCTCTGGCGGTGGTTCCGGTTTCGCCGATGTGAGTGACAAATGGGTTGACTCGCATTGGATCTATTCAGGATTGACTGCGAAAGATGGAGAGACTGCGTTGCAAATAATTTGTGCGAATCAATTTTGAGAAGTCAAACTATAGCATCCACCAACATTCAATTCACCACTATAGCTCATTCACACTTTCTCTTTCATCTCGACCGAGCACTCGTCATCTTTCTCATTGTTCCGGGACATCAAGTCCACCCCAGTAACCTCGCCCTGGGGCAGCTGGCGTGCCATAGAGACAATCTGCCACGGCGACGACGCGTCCCGAAACACAAGGTTCAGCAGCTCAAGGTTGCGGTTCATCGTTTCCGGATAGAAGAAGTATACAAGAACGGGGATGCACGCCGACAGAATCGCATACATGATATAGTACTGGTACCCGATAGTATCCAGCGCCACGGGAGTCACCATAACGACGACGAAATTCCATAGCCAGTGATTGGCCGTCGAGATGGACGACATGGCAACGCGCAGACGTACCGGCGCAACTTCGGTGCAATATAAGAAGTTGCCGCCCAGAAAGCCGATCGGGTAGAAGAGGTTAAAGAGGAAAATGAAGACCACCGAACCGATCGATGCGCGCTTGTTGTCTGGGCCGAAACTAGTTGTCACGGCTAGGGCTGCCATGCACACTGCCATTCCAGTGCCGCTGATCATGAAAACTGCCCGTCGGCCCAGCCGGTCGATGGAAAAGAAGGCGATAAAGCAACAGAGGAATTTCCACGTCAGAGCGCAGGCTGCGAGGATTTTTGAGAGGCTAGGGCTCAGGTGTAGGTTCTGTTCGAAGATTGTCGAGGCGTAGACTGAAATGAGATTGCCGCCGCACATCTGCTGAAAGAATTGTAGGACGATGCAAAGGCAAAATCGATATAGTAGACGTTCATCGTCGTCCTTGGAGAACATCTCACGGATCGCACCTCTGGACTGTGCCGTGGCCTCAAGAGACACCTCAATGCCTGCAATCTCAGACTTGACGGACTCGTCGCTCGGGTCTTTTCCTTTCAACGCAGCAAGATTGAAAGACGCTTCATCGGCTCGATTCACACGAACCAGCCAGCGAGGTGACTCGGGCAAGCAGAAGACCGATGCCAGAATGACCAAAGACGGAAAAAATGACAGAGCCAGCGGCCCGCGCCACTGGCCTGTGTCGCCTTCGGGGAGCTTGCTGAATCCAAAGTCGATCCAGTTGCATAGCGCGTACCCGAGGCACATAAAGATGCCATCAGCAATAACATGCTGCCCGCGACTTTTGGCAGCCGAGCATTCAGATTGCCAGACGGGCACCGCAACACTAAACTGGCCTACGCCCATTCCCAGAATGACACGACCGACGGTGAACTGAATAACAGAGTATGCAGACACCTGTAAGATCTGGCCGACGACAGTGAGAATCCCGCCCAAGAAAATTGTCTTTCGACGCCCGAGACGATCCGAGATCAAGGTGCAAGAGAGGGCACCGAGTAGAGCGCCGATTTGAAAGGCAGCGAGGACGGCACCTTTGCCCGTAGAGTTCTTGGCCTCCTCGGCGCCCTCGGTGTGAATGGTGTCGATTTCGGGGAAGATCTTGACCCAGCTTTCGAGAGTTGCTAGAGGGCCTGCGCCGGCTTGGTTGTAGCCGAAAATGATGAATGCTGGAGTCACGACCAAGATGACTTGAGCCATGCGCAGGGCTCGGCCGGTCAGGCCTAGATATTGATGTGAAAACATGTTGATCGAAGTTCGTGCACAGTTGTTGTCAATCGAGGGTTGAATGACAGTATTGCACACAGAGAGGAGCCCCGTAGTAGAGAGACCAGTAAGCCATTATATACAAAATTGACGAAAGCCACGCCATTCCTAGAATGTCAAGCCTTCGTAATGCTGGCACTTGGGCTTGGCCTGGGGTCCCCGGAAAACTGGGGAAACGGACCATTGCATCCCCGCAATCCAGGGAATGGCGTCCTTCAATGGGGATGAAGGATTGGGATCCTCGGGGTTGGAGGTAGTGACTGGTCGAAGCGATGGAAGCGAGATCCCCGTGGCGTCGTGGTCTAATCGCCGGAGGATGCATTGTCCGGCGTCTTTTACCATTCAAGCCGGTGGATGTGGGGAAAGGCTGGATAAGAAGTGCTTGTGGGGAATGGAATTCTTCGATAAGAAAATAATGATTGAGGGGGTTATCTTTGATCTGAATTTGTGATGTTTTTGTGCATGGCATGGGGAGCAAAGTCTTGGTATCTATATTTTCTAGGGCGTATTTACATGTGTTTTGCTGCAGAATCCCAACTTTAGAGTAAACATCACATTTAACTTCAAATCAATACATTCTATGGCATATTTCCATATACTGCAGAGCTCCTTTATTTCCCCGGCGTCAGCTGCTTGATCTCCGCCACCACCGCATCGGTGACCTGCTTCGTCGTAGCCTGGCCACCCAGATCGCGAGTGAGGATTCCCTGCTCGCAGACATTCTCCACACAGTCCAGCAGCTTCTTGGAGGCATCATCCTCTCCAAGCCAGGCGAGCATCTCTGCCGCAGTCCAGAAGGTGGCCACGGGGTTCGAGATACCCTTGCCGGTGATATCAAACGCAGAACCGTGGATGGGCTCAAACATACTCGGGTACTCGCGCGTGGGATCGAGATTCGATGTAGGCGCAATACCAATTGACCCAGCCAGGGCAGCGGCCAAATCAGACAGAATATCCGCGTGCTAGCCAATACATTAGCTTGAGATCCCAGTATATACTCTCGTACAACCTTCGTGTGGAAAGAGTACTTACCAGGTTCGTGGCCACAATTGTATCCAGACTCTTCGGGTTGAGAACCATACGAGTGGTCATGGCATCAACCAGCATCTTGTCGACCGTGACATCAGGGAATTCGTTGGCAACAGACTTCGCCACCTCATCCCACAGCACCATCCCGTTGCGCTGCGCGTTGCTCTTCGTGACAACCGTCAACAGCTTGCGCGGCCGCCTCTGCGCCGTCTCAAAGGCGAAGCGCATGATGCGCTCCACGCCGTGGCGCGAGAAGATCGACGTCTCTGTTGCGACTTCCCACGGCTTCCCCTGGTGAGACCGGCCACCCTGGCCCGCATATTCGCCTTCGCTGTTCTCGCGGACGATCACCCAGTCCAATTCCCCGGGCTGGCATTTGCGCAGCGGCGACTCCGTGCCGCGGAACACGCGGGTCGGGCGCACGTTGGCATATTGTTGCAGGGGCTGGCAGATGGCCAGTCGCAGACCCCAGAGAGAAATGTGGTCGGGGACATCTGGAAGCAGTTAGTGATAAATATTGTTCTCAGTCTTGACTTGAGTCGCGACGGGCTGTGGTTTTTGTTTGTCTTACCAGGGGCACCGACAGCACCGAAGAAAATCGCATCGTGCTTCTTAAGCTCGTCGAGACCGCCGTCGGGAATGTATTTGCCGGTCTTCTTGTATGTCTCGGAGCTCCAGTCGTAGTTTTTGAAGTTCAGTTGGAATGTCTTGAGGGTATCCGTCAAGGCATTCAGAGCCGTAATTCCAGCCTCGATCACCTCTGGCCCAATTCCATCCGCTGGAATTGCCGCGATGCTGTAGGTCTTTTCGCCGGAGAGTACTGAAGGCGACATTGTGATGGCAGTATAGCAGACTTTCTACGGTTTGAAGAAAGGCGACAGTTGAATGGAAAATAGGGGGAAAAATCCCAAAAGTACAAGACAGCAGGTTTTTCTTAAAGAACTTTCCTTTCGACGGTGTCCTAAGTTCGAGTCTTTTTTTTTGACGAAGATGTGGCATCGAAGCCCCTCATTGCAAGACCGGACATTGAAATGTCCGGCCTGCCTGTATACTCGGGCTTGCATCCTCCGGGCCCACTGGGAGAAAGGAGAAAGACATGTCCGGGTGGAGCCCTCGCTTGCCACTTGCGGTAGATGTACATTGCTAGGAAATGATCAACTTGGTTGTGTAGAAGTAGAGAGAGAATAGAAAAATCAAGTACAGGACAATTGTATCGTTCAGTATCTAATTGGGCCGAGTTCAGTTTTTCACAAAATCAACACCATGTCAATCCCTCACGAGGAAATCGATAGCGTACTGGATCACATCCTCCCTCACATCCAGCGACATAACAAAACACAAGATCCAAAAGGGCCATTCGTCCTCGGTCTCACTGGCTTGCAAGGAAGCGGTAAATCAACATGGACCGATGCTCTAGTGAAAGCATTGAGCGAGCAACACCACTACAACGCAATCAACATCTCTCTAGACGACCTATATCTTGACCATGACGATTTGCTCCAACTGCGATTGTCAAATCCTTCCAATAAACTTCTCCAAACGCGAGGACAGCCTGGTACACACGACATAGCTCTCGCCGTGGACTTTTTCGAAAGCCTCAAACACCAATCAGGCGATATCCGCATCCCCTCCTTCGAAAAGAGCAAATTCAACGGCGAAGGCGGCCGAGCACCACAGGAGTCATGGCGTCACCTCCCTGCCGGGACAAGGGTTGATGTTGTTATCTTTGAAGGCTGGTGTGTGGGATTCCAGCCACTTGGTGATAACATGGTTCGGCAGCGCTGGGATGAAAGCAGCCTGAAACAACCTGCCACAGAGTTCCCAACAGAGACCCTGAGGGAGCATGCAGTTGAGCATCTTTGGGGGGTCAACGCCAATCTTCGACGGTATTGTGAATTGTTCATGGGACCACGGCATTTTGATTATCTGGTTCATCTTGATACCGATGAGCTGGGTAATGTCTACCAATGGCGGATTCAGCAAGAACATGCTCTCCGTGCGAGGAGGAATGATGGCATGACGGATGAAGAGATCGTTCGCTTTGTTAAAGGGTATATGCCTGCGTATGAGCTATATCTCGATCAAATGCGGCAGGGCTTTTTCCACGATGCAGTTGGTGCTAATGGCAAGGGGCAGCTGCGTGTTATTTTGAATCGAGAGAGGAAGATAGTTAATACGGTTGTCTATCGGTGATGAAATGAATTACTTGGATTTACAACCTATCTTCAGCAAAAGAGTGGGCTTTTGCCCTTGAAAATCGAATATTTGTACATGTTGTCCTCCCATGCTGGGCAAAGTAGAAAACCATGTATATTACAAGAAATTGCCGTGAATCATCCATGGCCCATCTGCCACACTCCATAGATCATTCATGAAGAGTGAGGGGGATTCCGAGAAAGGTAAGGAGCTTTGGCCGGCAATCCCTGGGTAGAACGGGACATTGCTATCAGCCATATTTCCAAATATGAGACCTGCGTTTAGATACCCGTCGTGTTCGGGACCGAGGTCATTATTGCCTCCATCATGGTGTGGGGAGACGATGGCAGAATCAGATATTTCGGATTCAAACCCTCGAGTAGCATGCGGATGTGCTGCAGTGGAGATTGACAGGTCCTGAGATCCATTGGCTGCAAGATATTCTGCCCGTGCTGGTGTGAGGTGGGTAACACTGGCTTGGGAATTTGTAGCATGGTTGGCTAAGTTGTTTGCAGATGTTGTATTTCCGTCCACGGGTATTCCGGTTGAAGGTTGAAGCTCACTCTGTCCCTCTTCTGAGGTTGTCGCAATTTTCGAGCGCTGCCCATGAGAGGCATACGTCAACAAAGCCGACTCCATGCCTCTGATCGCCTCGATACAGGTTTCGGGCCAGCTACTTCCACGCAGTGCCAGGTTTTGCAGAATATAGATACCCATTCGAGCATATTTCAGCGCGGTTGGTATCACAAATTCGCCCTCCCACGACGCATACATCAAAATAAGACACGCCATCCACGTTGCCCACGTAAATGAGGGCCAAGCGAGCGGTGCCTCCGACGAAGAGGACATAGATTGCTTCAGCGCCGCAAGCAATGATCGTGAGGATTCAATACAGGTTTGCAAGGCGTTTTTGTACTCAGGACTGGGTCTCTCTGCGGCAAGCAATGGTCGATTCATCGAGATAATCGCCTCATATCTCAGGATGATCAGCACCAATCGATGGTATGGCTGGACAGGTGGACCTTGCTCTTCTCCAATATCAACATGTTCGTCAATCGGATACACATCGTCATAGACTTCATTCCACCACTGGGACAGTTCACTATTAACGTGGGCCGCCTCAACTGAGCTGGCGTGACTGTGAAGTATCGATTTGTTGCGCAATTCCAGGATCAGCCCGCGGATCCTGGCGAATTTCGCAAAATGGCAGAGAAGTCGCAAGCGCTGGTCGTCAGAATGCTTGGATGCAGCAGTAGAATGCCTTTCAATCCCCGGGTAACAGACGTCAATGTCATCATCACGAATACCAAGTGGCATTCCAAGTGCTTGGGAGAGATATCTCTCGACGGAATAAATTGACCAAAACAGGCGTCGTCGAATGTCAAATTCCTCATCATTAAAACACGAAAAGCGTCCTGGGCATCGGTGCAGGCCAAGGTGGAATGCAGTCCGAGTGATCACTCCCCCCACTCGAGAAGCAGCGTTGAGGCGCAAGAGCGAGGTGAGTGCGAGCTGAGCCGTAAACGCTGCTTGCAGCAGTGGAAGAGTTGTTCGCTCCTCGAGGAGAATCTGCACTTCATGCATTACTTGTTGCACGGTTCGAAACACGAGGGTTGCCGGAATCGGACCGATCTTGGATTCCGGAGCCGCTGTCTGTCTGCTATCCCCCAGGGAGATAGAAATCATGGAGCGAAGGATCATCATGTCTAACCGGCTCACAGATCCTGGCTCTCTATGGCTCACTCGCTCCATGACTTTGAGCACCGTTGGTGCATGGAGACATGGAAAGATCGGATGCCAGTTTTGAAAGTAGCTGCGTGTCCATTTGACAAGATCCTCGAAGGAAAATGTAGGATTTGTAGCCAAATTCAATTCAGATTTTAACCACAAATCGTCGGAATCATGGCAGCCCCCTGGGCTTCGGTGCAATCGGTCATCTTCGCCCGGAACCGAGCTTCGATCGCGGGATCGTGTCTGATTCAAGTCGGCTGAGCGCCGCGCAAAAGCATTGTAGACGTGTCGAATGAAATGAATACCGCTGGAACTTCCAAGAAAACTCGCAGATTCATCATCGCGAGGCTCCCTCATGAAGCCAATTTCACGGGGCGAGGGTTTGCAAGTCCCCACTGTCGATGCGCGCTTGCGACGCTTGGCCGCACGAGGAGCGTATGTCCATTCTGGGTCATTCTCATCGAATCTTGTACTGGCGGAAGAAGGCGATGCCATCATTTCCATTTTTTTTTCCTTTCGTGTCACATTTTCTGCAACTGTTGGAGGCAGAGTATCATTGTCAAACGAGAGTCCAGTCGCCGGCCATTCCAACGGGGGTTAGTCAGCAGCTAGGTCACCTGCTTCGTTGCTTCGACATGCGACATTCGTGAATGCTTCTGCTCAATTCAAAGTCGAATCAACCATATCTGCCTGTTTCTCGGGAGATTTCACAAATCTTGTCTTGTTCTGCTCTTATTTCCCCTTCTACGCCTCTCAATTTGGTGAGAAATTCGCCGTCACAAGAGATATGTCACGTGCTCGAACACCCGGAGGTTTCTTCCTCCGGGCGACTCTTCCCCAGCCATGCGCGTGCAATTAACAAGAGGCAGTGGAGTTCCCATGGCAAAAGGTTCTGACAGCCTATAACTATAACATGCTTGGATGATAACATGTTACATTAAATCAATGAGACCATTGCGATCCAAGCGAACGAGGACATCCGGTCCGACTATGCCTGGTAAGTCGAGATCGCATCGAATTAAGTCACCAGTATAGATTGATCATGTTGGTATCAATTCCAGAAGATGAGGATTTGAGTCCTATTTCCTGCGAGGTCTGCAGGCAACGAAAATGCAAAGTACGGTTGCTATCTCCCATGTCATTGATGCAGCGCTAACGTCTCGAGTAGTGTGACCGCCATCTGTGCGCTTTACCCTAAGCGTCGACAGTCTTTAAAATTTGACTGGAAATTGTTACTGATTTTGATCTCTGTATAGCCCGTTCTGCTCCCAGTGCTCAGCAGAGCCATCCAATTGTATATATCCGGAAAGTGGCAAAAGGTCAACATCCCCATGTTTTAGTGAAATGACTGCGACAAGCTAACTCGTCGATGCAGAGGCCTGCCGCCCGGGTACCTGAATCGACTGGAGCAACGACTGGCAGAAACCGAATCAGCCCTATATGGGGCGCTCATCACCCTTCGTTCGATGGGCCCAACCCGAGTGGCCCACGCCTCCACACGGCCAGATGCGGTGCCCAAGCAGAAGGCTGCACGCATGGAAGAATGGTCCCAGCTCCCTCTGCAAGTCTCATCGGGCATGGATCGTTGGCTGGCGGTCATGTCCAACCAGTTCACCATCGAGCCTTCCTTGGATATGCCACCTCATGGGGTCTCTGGAAGCGATTATTCGATGCCCAAGCCTTTGGGTCACAGTAATACTCCTGGAGATGCTCGGGGACCACCAGCCCCCTCTGTTTGGACAGCAAGGGAAGGAAACAGTGCAGAAAGTCCATATGAAGCACACCGGTATGCTCAGACGATAGTTCCTTCACCTCTGTACTCGGACACACAAGCTCTCGTCGGATCCAATGGTGTGGCCTCGCCATCGATTGGTTCAGGCATGTCCGAGCATGGAGTTCCTGAAGAAGGAACAGTGGAGATTCACCAGTCCACCAAGGCCGAGCAATTAACCAACAACCACCCCAGTATCTACTTTTAATTGACGTGGCCCCGCGACTCCGTTGACTAGGAGAAATGTGGATCACATGTCTTGGCCATCGCATCACCTCGAAAATGAATCCTCGAGAGATGATGCTCTCCTTCATTTCACTGTCATTTCACTGCCATCTCGTTCATATCGAAGCGTAGGACTGTGCACGCTTTACGCAGGTACACAGCATGACGCACATCATCCATGGCCCGAGACTCTCCACCGTATCAAACTTTTCCGCCACGGGTGGAGTCCGTATCAGGCCGTGAAGAGATGAGAAGAACAGTGCGCGCCCCACTCGAGTCCACCGGTCAGCCAAGTGGCCCACGAAACGCTGCTGAATGCTGTGGTCTGGACACCCCTGGTTGTCCCCACTTGGATCACTCAGACAATGCTGTGGCCGAGTCCTCAAGCGCCGGTCGCAACACTGTCGCACGGTGTTGATTGGACTTGCTCGGTGACCTCCCTGATTGGGTGATGAATCTATAGCCGCTCCTGGTCACTGCTGATCAGCTCAACGGGTCACGGAGCACGGGCTGCTTCCAGCATGGAACGGATGGGAGTGGTCGGTGGTGAAACACTCTCCGTGCCAGCCCTGGTCGGGATCTCCGGGGACACGAGTCCAGGCGTTTCATTCAGATTCTTGTTGCATCACGGTCTATCCACGAGGGATAGAATGAAGTGTCTCTGTCCTTTTTCACTTGATACCCGACCGTGTGAAGGAGAGGTTACCTGTCACCCTCCATACCCAGCAGGACCCTTCATAGTCAACCCTAGACATAGTCAAGACGCCTCCTTGGTCATTTCTCCAAAAATGAAGTCTGGATAGCGAATGAGAATTTGGTAGTCAAATAAGAGGCAAAAAACGAAGTCTGGATGAACCATTGTTCGGGCCCAGCATGGTCCCTGGAGACGGTCGGGAGGTTTGGGACTGGTGGAAATGCCCGGTGGACTCCAGCGGGTGCCGTGGGACTCCTCAATTTTTGCCTTAAGCGCCCAGGCCCAAAGAACCCCCCGTAAGGGACCCTCTCCTTCTTCTCTTCTTCACCCTCTCCCTCTCCTTCATCTTGTTTTTTTGCTTTCTTTTTGTTCATTCCTTCATTCTTTCTTTGGCCTTTTTTCACTTCTTTATAGTCCTCGACTCTGTGATCTGTGATCCTGGACTCCTTTTTATTAAACTCTTTCCCCTGGCGCGTCCTGGTTGTACGCCCAATTCCTTCCCTCAGCCCCGGAAGACAAAGAGGCCCAGGTCCCCCCATTTTGCTGAGCAAAATCTGGAGAGACCCGTCATTCATTCAATCAAAACGCCCAATACCCCAGTTTCGGTGAAGATAAAATCGAACGCAACACATTCCAGTTGATTTTCCATTCCTTCCACCGTCTCCGCTTCCCGCAATCGTCGACCACGCGAACGAAATTGTCCGAATTCAGTCGCACCACCTCGAGAATTAGCTAAAATAGCTGGCCACAACGCTGCCCTTGTGTACAAGTACAAACTCCCGAAGCACGCTCACGCCGATCGCCCATCCGTGTCCGTGTTACCAGACGTAAATCGACCACACTTGACCATGTCGAACATTACTCGCGCATTCACCAAGCGCAGCAAGCGCCCGGAGGTGTCCGCCCCCATGCCGTATCGTGGCGAGGGGCATGTGAGATTTAACTCGGGGAGTATCAAGCGTGGCAACATCTCTGGTCCCGTCCAGTTGGTGTCGACCACCAATATGTTGGCCTACAATGCACCCGATCTCACCTCGCCGGCTTCTTCATCCGCCTCGTCATTGCAATCGCGGGACGATTCTGACGCGGCCATCTCCCCGCACAGCTACTCCTCTTCCATCACCTCACCCGATGTGTCTTCCTTTGAATGCTCGCCTATCGAATCCAATCCAATGGCGTCGTACTTCCCCAAGCGGTCGGCTACCCTGACAAGCCACCCTCGCTCCTCTGCCTCGTCCTCATCCACAACTGATGCGCCGCTGGTGCCGAAGCGAGCTCTGTCGCACACTAAGCGGTCGCATCAGGAACTGGCACACAAGCGGTCCATCTCCCGGATGTCGCCGCCTCCCACGAGTCCACCCCGCAGCAACCCAACGATTCGCTCGTCGGTGGATTTGTTTAAGGTCGAGGCACATCCATTCAGCAAGGAGTTGGAGCAGGTGAACGAGGTGGCTGAGGAGTTTGGTGGTACGCATGTGCTTGATGATGAGGAGAGGATACTCTATCGTAAGGGACTTAAGAAGTTCTCCGTCGATGATTATCTCGTGGAGCTTGAAGATCTCTACGGCAGCATCTTTGACGACCGAATGGGTCCCATCAGCGCTGGGCCTTGGTTGTAAATTCCCCCGGTTGATCCGGGGTGATCGACGACACGAAGATTGCGGACTCTTTGGAAGGACTGGACATTCTCCACTTGGTCCGCCACGACTGACTCATATTCTTTCACTGACGACATCTGCCTTGACTCTTTTCTTTTTCTGCACTATACCATGGGAGGGCCGTCTTTATGTTCCCGCATTTGGTCTTGATTGTTTTTCTTTTTTATTCTGCGCGACAACGACGTAATTCTCGGTCGCGCCCACAATGTTTCATTGGGGTATATGCGTGATATGAAATTTTCCTATGAGATTTTCGATTTATGTTTATTATACTGCGAATCTATTTTGAAAAGTTCCCTTGACAGATATACTATTTCGTAGACATCTTCTAACAGCACATTGACACTAGGACAAATTCCCAATGGATGAGGATCATTGTTGCGGTCAACAATTGATACCTTGTTGATGAGGCCATGATGACTTCAGTCCATATACCCTAAAGTAGACTAGCGTAGGGCACACGCGCCAGTCACGGGTTCTCCGCAGCCCCACACGCAGCAAAAGAAAAAAATTTCCCTCACCGTGTTTTTGGCTTCATGGCCTCGACGCGCCTCTGTCTGCATCCGATTCATTGATCCTTTTTGCGCAACGGGACGACCTCTAAGGGTGCGGACAGATGTGGTTGCTTCAGTTCTGATTCTTCCAGCCTGTCCCTGAATCTCGAGAATCCACCATCAGTGGTGTCGTGTGCTTGGACCAGGCTTCGATAAGCTCTGATCCCCCCAGCGTTCTTGGGCTTCCAAGTCGTCTGGGACTTTCTACCACACGTACAGACCGACAAATGTCGAGACTTGACCGTCTTCCTTGCTTTTGTTTTTCAAATCCTAACTCGCCTCACCGGCCATGGTCTCCCTTGCCACGACTTCCCGCAAACCGGCAATCCCGGCCACACCCACAGCCCAACGATCAGCCATGATAGCAGCATCATCTCCTGCTTCCATTCTCAAACCATCCAAGCCCGGTCCAGCAGCCATCGACACTAAGCGCAAAATGAGTGAAATGGACCTCAGCCTTTCCCCATCCTCCATGGCCTCGGACGCTGCGGAGGATGCCCCGCCCACTAGCAAGCGTCCACGCGTCGTCAAATTCGACGACGATGTCAAGATGCACGATCCCAGCCGCAATGGTAACCAACCGAGCATCACAACAGAAAAGAGTTTGCCGGTAGTACGGGAGGAGGTGCGCCGGGCCATCCACCGACATGTCTCCGGATCCGAGAGTGAGGCCTACGACCGTATCAAGGAGATTTTCACCGCCGATCCCAAAAAGCAAGACGATGATACCATGGCTTCTTACGAGCTGCCGACTCCTACCAGCTTGAAGCATCACCTCATGGGGCTTTTGGCACACATTGCCTCCCTGGACCGCTCCTGCAATGGCTTGGTGAACGCCGTTCTCAACAGCGAATGGCTCGGCCGCGATGATTCCTACGTGAAGCTGTACATTCGGTTTCTCGGTAACCTGGCGGCGGCGCAGGGCACATATCTGAACGCCGTGATGAAAATGCTCGCCACCAACCTTAGGAATATCCCACGAGGAAGTGGGCGGTTGCCTGGTTATGCCCCAGTCCCCGTGTCGAACATGTACGCCCGTGTACACATGGCGCTGCGCTACGTGGTTCAGCTCATTCCAGCTGGAAGCGGGGCACTGTCGCCGATTCTGTCCTTGCAATTCCCGTTTGACAATGACCCGGCTAAGGCGAACATCACTTATACCCGAAACCTCATCCAAATCATCAACTACGCGCCCGAACTCCAGTCTGATATTCTGGCCCTGATAACTGAAAAACTGGTCAAAATCGATGTCCAGATTCAGGTGGATATGGAAGATTTCGAAGATGAAGTGGGCGAGGATCTCCTACACGATGTCTCGCCCGATGCTGATGATGACGACAATGCCTCGATTGCAAGCGACGAGTCGACCGATGACGAGACCGAGCGAGTAGAGACGATTAAGGCCAATATCCACAAAGTGGATGGGATGATTGATACGCTTTTTGAGTATTTTGCTACTCTGTTCTCATCAGGCAGCTTGGATGACAAGGAAAACGCACTGGACCTTCTTCTAAGCCACTTTCAGACCATCATTCTTCCGACTTACCGGTCGCGGCACTCACAATTCCTTCTCTTCCACTTCTCTCAGTCGTCACCGGTACTCGTGGACCGCTTTGCCTCGACCTGCGTGCAACTCATCTTTAACAAGCTGCAACCCGGCATACTCCGCCAGTCTGCTGCCGCCTATCTGGCTAGCTTTGTCGCGCGCGGTGCCCATATTTCGGGCGAGGTGGTTCGTGACGTCTTTGACTTGCTGATCGCGCATCTGAACAACCTGCGAATGGACTACGAAGGCGGCTGCCGTGGACCGGATCTCCGTCGCTTCGGGCCGTTCTACTCCACCGCACAGGCCATCTTGTACATATTCTGTTTCCGCTGGCGCGACCTGACGACCGCCGCCATCGAGGGCGACAGCGCAGATCAAGTCGAAGAGCTTGAGCCGGGGCAGATAACTTTCTCGCCGACTGTCAAGGAAGTCCTACACAAGGCCATCTACTCGCGCCTGAACCCACTCAAGGTGTGCTCGCCCGCCATCGTCGCCGAGTTCGCGCGCATTGCCCACCACTTCCAGTTCCTCTATGTCTACCCCCTTCTGGAAACCAACAAGCGCATTCGTATCTCCGCTTTTCGAAGCATCTCCACCCTCACTGACCCGCGATTCAGCCAAGTTGAGCGCGAAATCCGTGCCGGTGGCGATCTCGGTTACCAACTTGATGCCTACTTCCCCTTCGATCCGTACCAGCTTCCCCGCAGCCGCCGCTGGCTTGAAGGCGACTATGTCGAGTGGCGTGGCATCCCAGGTCTCGATGAAGATGACTCAGACAGCGGGGCGGACGACGATGAGGATGAGGATGGCTATGATGCCACCGAGACCGACGAGGAGTGAGCAAGGCATGGTCTTTCCCATTCCTCCTCCAGCTGTCGGTAATGTATTTGATCTATCTGCACTATCTTCTGTTACTTCAGCGTGGCGTTCGGATTTGATATGGATTTCTGCCGTTTGTTTTCTCAAAAAGTTCCCGATACCATGGGTTTTGCCTTTGATTGATGATATCGCGCTTTGGAGATGGATGCACCTGAGCTAAGGGCGACCTATTGTGGCCTCTTGAGGCCTGAGTACTACGAAAGTACTAGTAACACTTGCTTTAACACAAAAAAATGGGAAAATCATTACACGAACTGACGGTTCTTCCAAGGTCAGGGTCAGAGCTGAACCTATGCAAGCCCCCAATGTGGTTCGCGTCCCTGATACGTTAAGCAAAGAGAAGTTCGTTCCCCGAGAGAAGACCCTTGAGAACGATGCCATTGATTCTTCTCAATCCTCTGGTTTCTGCAATGATATCATCCATCGCAAAAGCGGATTCTCCTGAGTATAAGCTTTTTTCTTATATATATTTGACGCCATATTGGTAGGGCTAGTGCAGATCCATCAGGAGTGCCTCGGTTTCTTATATCTGAACATGACACTAGCACAACACACCCCCACTATGCTTCGTCCTGCCTGGGAACCCTGGGTTCGCATGTCAACAGCCCTGCAGTTCATTGTGGTGGGGATGTCTTGTATTTAATCATCGATCTATACGTCAGGCTTGTCTAGATCAGGGAATCTATTCAAGTATTTAGCAAGCTAGGCTACTATTTATTACTACAGCTTGGCCAGATATTAGTTGCAGGCATATCAAAATGCATCAGCCGAGGACTGTTACAGTCCTGATGGATAGACATTCTGAAAAAAATACAATGGAAGCTAAAAATGGAATGCAATGTACAACCAACGCCATGAATGCCTCTGACCCGAACACCGAAAGTCAAAATAAGAAAACCCGTGGAGTGCTCTTGATATGTTTTGCATCAAGTCATCACCGCTCGAATATTGCCTTCATGTCCGCGCAGGCATCGCGGTACAGGATATCCACGCTGCCCTGGTCACGGAACGGGTTGGGCGATTTGTCCCAGCCATGTTGGGCCTTCTCGATCATCATGGCACGAACCCGCTTCCCTAGACTCTCCAAGCGGCGGACGAAAGACTGGCCCTCCTTCATCAGCATGTCCCATTCACAGATGTACAGGAACACGTCATGGGGCAGGGCCTCGGCCAGAATGCGATCGGAGGCGCGGACGGGAGAGGCAAAGGGGGATGCTCGTTCGTCGAGGTCGGGGAGGTAGGACTCATCGAAAAGAGAGGTGAAAAATGCAGGCAAGGTCTTATCAGGCATGAGGCTCATGGCGCGGCGATGGTCGCGCGACTCCTGGAAGTCGAGGATCGGATACCAGCAGAACAGGGCGACGACATTGAGATCGCTTGTCTGGTCCACGAGCCGCTGCGTCGATTCAGCCCGGCCCAGGCGCTCCTTGACCACGGTGGAGACTCGTCCCCGCAGACGCAGCGGCACCGTAACGGCCAGGTTGCCGCCTGCCGAGAACCCGCTCAGCGCGACCCGGCTTACGTCCAGGCCCAGTTCTGCAGCATGCGCGGCCAGATAGAGCAGCGCCTCGACGCCATCATCCACCGCTGCGGGGAACGGATGCTCTGGTGCTCGGCGGTAACTGACGCTCACCAGGACCGCCCCGACCCCGTCCAGCACGGCCTGGGCCCATCGAGCATCGTCCGTCGCACATCCGAGAGTGAACCCGCCACCGTGGAAATTGACAGCGACCGGGTATCGGTGGCCGAGTCGACGTTGTTGGTGATAGTTGGGCGGACAGTAGAAATGGAGGACCACCGAGTGGCCGTGGCTATCGGACTTAACGGTGCGGGTGAACAACGGTCGGGGCGGCCGTGGCGGAGGCAGGTCATGCAGAAACATGCCAATGCGCATTAGGAAACGCCAAAGAAGGGCCTGGCAGTATAGCCACCAACGGGATGAGGCCATTTGATCGATCGATGCTGGTTTGCTCTTGTTCTTTGTTGTCCTTGTGGCAAGGGCGGGTTTGCTTGGGGAGCCTTGTCCTATAAAGAGGTACCCGGGCGAGGACCCCGGAAGATCCCGGAGGTTGCAATTGATAGACGATAGGAAAGATGAATGGAATGGGGAGGAATGGGAAGAACTAAAAAAAAAGAGAGAAGAGAAAATTCCAGGAATTGGGGGCAATTAAGAGGGGAAGACGCGGCCCGGACCAAGAAATACCAAGACTGCACTCCGACGTGATGTGCACAATCCGGGAAATCTGGATGATGTCATGAGACAGGAACAAGCCTCGAAAAGAAACGGTTTATAGGGCTAGGCAGGGACTGGATCTTCTCTAGCTCCCTTGTTTTTCTTCTCTTTCTTTTCCTCTGGTCTGTTCCTCGGTGTTTCTTGCGTGGATTATTAACGAGTTCCAAGAATCGCCACTTGCGGTTCCCCCACCTACGTTTATATTGTTCATCTCACCCCCCTCTCCTGTTTCTCCCCAAGCCACTATCCACCATGTCCATCAAACGGGCCCTCTCCAAGGCCATTCGAGGGCACATGGACGAAGATGACTCGTCTGGTTCTCACATTCGATCCACCTTGTCGCCCAAATCGCGCACTTCGCGTGATTACTCTCCTAACTCCCCTCACCGAAGCATCCTCGGTAACTTCCTGCGCGACCGAGGAGACTACGTTTCCTCCTCTGAAGATGTCTCAGATGACTCCTCCTCGACCGGGGCGCTGAGTAAAAACCAGCAGAAGCGATTGGTGCGCCAACAGCGACGCAGCGAGCGCAGCCGCCTCAGCGAGGAGGCCTTTTCTGAGTCGGAGCATCGGCGCAAGGAAGAGGAAATTGCCCGGGCTATAGCCGAGGAGACAGTCGAGATGAAAGCCCGGTATGGGGAGCTGCCCCTAATGCAGTCGCAGGACCGAACCGGAGAGCCACGAGTGCGCTTCGATGACATTACTGCGGCTATGGCGGGCCAGCAGGTGTTTTTCACGGCTCGACTGCATGTTGTCCGTCGGATGAGCTCCAAACTTGTTTTCTTGGTCTTCCGCCAGCAGCTGGCCACCTTCCAGGGTGTCCTGCACGATCGGGAGGGGGTTTCGTCCATCGCCATGATTCAGTGGGTGGAGCACCTCCGGGTGGGTTCTTTCGTCCGTGTCCGTGGTACGATTCGGGCACCCGAAGTCCCTGTGCTGGGCTGCAGCATCCACGATGTCGAGCTGTCCATTGAATCTGTACACCTCCTGGTCCGTCGTGAGGAACCGGTTCCTTTCAGCGTGTACGAGGCCGAGATCCGGACAACCGAGGAGGATAAGGTCGAGGGCCGTCGCAGTCATATCCCCGATCGCACACGACTCGTCAACCGGCTTCTAGACCTTCGTACAGCAACCTCGCAGTCCATCTTCCGTCTGCAGTCGGCAACCTGCAACCTGTTCCGAGGCGCTCTCGACGAGCGTGAGTTTATCGAAATCCATACCCCTAAGCTGCAGGGTGCCGCCACCGAGTCCGGCGCCAGCGTCTTCCAGGTCAACTACTTTGGCCGCCCTGCCTTCCTAGCTCAGTCTCCCCAACTAGCTAAGCAGATGGCTATTGCTGCCGACTTTGGCCGCGTCTATGAAATTGGTGCGGTGTTCCGCGCCGAGAACTCCAACACCCACCGACACTTGACCGAGTACACCGGCTTGGATATTGAAATGGCGATCGAGGAACACTACCATGAGATGCTCGAGACCATCGATGCAGTCATTAAGAATATCTTAAGCGGCATCTACTCCAAATATCGTCGCGAGATTGAGCTCGTCAAACACCAGTTTCCCTCTGAGGATGTTGTGTGGCTGGAGAAGACGCCTATCATTCGCTTCAGCGACGGCATTCAGATGCTCAATGACTCGGGCTGGCGAAATGAGGACGGCGACCCACTGCCGCTAGATGAGGACTTGGCCACCCGTGATGAGATTCGCTTGGGCCAGCTGATCAAGGAGAAGTATGGCGCCGACTATTACATTCTTGACAAGTTCCCCCGAAGTGCACGCCCCTTCTACACGATGCCAGATCCCGAAGACGACAAACTCACCAACTCGTTTGACATGTTCGTTCGCGGCCAGGAGATTGTATCTGGTGGCCAGCGTATCCACGAACCCCACATGCTTGAGGAGAACATGCGTCGTGTGGGAATCAATCCAGACGATATGGAGGAATACATGGAGGCTTTCCGCTGGGGTGCTCCGCCCCATGCCGGTGCTGGAGTTGGCCTGGAGCGTCTTTTGATGTTGATTCTCCAGGTGGGCAACATCCGTTTGACCTCGCTCCTCCACCGCGACCCGAAGAGCCTGCCGGCGAAGCCCCCTGTGCAGCAGCTTCGGCACCCAGACTCATCAACCCTTGAGCCGATGTGGCTACGCGATGGTCGTAGCCGCGTTGCCGCGCATCAAAATGAGCTGCAGCCGTTAGCCGAGCTGATTGCTAACTACGGCGATGCCACCTCGACATCCTGGTTTGACGACCGGTTCAAGATTTGGCGTGATATGGCCACGGGCGCTGCGGTCGCCTATGTGGCCAGCTCCAGCAACTATGCAGTGATTCCTGGCAACCCAGTGTGCGACCCCAGCCAGTACACGCGGACCATCACGCAGTTCCTGCAGTGGTTGCGCCGCGACACCAAGTTCAAGCCGGTGTGGATTCTGTGCTCGCCCGAAGTCGAAACCATTCTGGGCGAGCGACTCGGATGGCGTAGCCTCTCCTGCATCGCCGAGGAGCGCGTCGACCCGTCTCGCAACCAAGCTGCCTCCGACGGCGAAATTGCCCGCAAGCTGCGCCGTGCCGAGAATGAAGGGATCAAGGTGGTGACGGTAAACCAGGGAGAAATGGTGCCTGAAGACGCACGCACAAAAATTGACGAGCGCATCCAAGAGTGGCTCCGCAACCGCAAGGGTACGCAGGTTCACCTGTCAGAGATTCGACCGTGGTCTGACTCCCAACACCGCTGGTACTTTTATGCTGTCGACAAGACAGGCGCCATCTGTGCCTTCGTGGCTTTGGCCATGCTGTCGCCTGCGCACGGCATGCAGGTCAAGTACAGTCTGGACTTCCCGGGCGCGCCCAGTGGCGTCATCGAATACATTGTCTCGCACGCGATCCAAACCGCGGCCAAAAGCGGTGTCAAAGGCCTCACCTTTGGTGCTGGTGCCACGACCCATCTTATCCCGGGTCACAACATGCACGGCGCCAAGGTCAGGATGCTTGAGCGCACCTACGAGACTCTTGCCAAACAATTCCACCTTGTCCGCAAGAGCGAGTTCCGTGCCAAGCTCGGTGCTACCGAAGATCCTCTCTACATTGCCTACCCGGCTCACGGCCTGGGCTCCAAGGGCATTCGCGCCATCTTGAACTTCTTTGAAGATTAAGCCGTTGCGCAACTAATAATTATGAAAATCTCTTGGCGCAATCATCTACGAGGCGATGACTTGATGGGATTCTATAATCGGTCCTATTGTTTGATCTGCATTTCTGGGTTTAGGGACGTTTCGATTTCTATCGAGACCTTGACAGCCCAATGAGTAGACAAGATGGAGGTGCCTCTTGGGGAAGTCAGCTTTCACTAGCTGTCTACGGTGTTGGCTTTGTGCTCTTTTTGGCTTGCACACCTGCTCTTATTTTTTGCTTTTAATTTAGGTAGTATTCCCCCTTTCTGTTGCTCCTGTCCTCATCCACCGCATCTATCTCCCCTTGATCTGCTAGTTTAGGCTTCGGATATGTACGTATTGGTTTTTTTATCCTAGTACTATATGTAGATAAGTGCTTTACTTGGCTATGAATTTTATGCTGTTTTTGCATAAGTACTGGGGTTGGATCCCAGGAATTTCTCTGTAGTTGACCTCAAATATATATTTACAGCATCCGAGAAACAACGCAATGCACCAACCACCACCATCAATAATTATTTCCCCTTTTTACTTGCCTGCACGACGTGATTTCGCTTCGCATCCTCAACAACCCTCCCAAGTTCCCCAACAATCCACCGTGCGAGCACCAGCGCAACAACAGCCACGACAATCATCCACCCGGCCGTGGGAACCAACGACCGCGGAAATACATTCAACAGGAAAGGATCGAGGATCAGATCTACCGCCACGGGCGGCACCTCGCGCATCAGGGCGTCATCGGCACTGAAGTAGTCTGCCGCGGCCCGCACGCGCAGGAAGAGGACCGAGTCCGTCGTGGGCGCTGGGTCCAACGTTTTCCCTGCATCATGCGTGCTGGCTCGGCGGGGGATGGCGTTTGCCTGGAGCCGAGAGTCCAGGGATGCGAGGCGCGCGGTAGAGAACACGCTGAGGGAGGAGAGGAGGGCGGGATCCTCGATAGTGTTTGTTAGGGGGTAGGTGGTGAGTGTGAAATCCGTTGGTTGCTAAGCTTGTTTTTAGTGGAGCACCCTCGAAAAAGAGGAGAAACAGGAGGAATTGGATACATACAGTCGCCAGCCAGCACACTCGCACTTCGTACCGCTGCCCTGGTCTCAGGTTCTCGAGAAAGAACCACGAGTCTGTGCCGTCGGGTGCCTCGGTCGTCGGAAATGATGCATTCAGACGCGTGCGCACCACCGTGTTGTGTGGTGAGAGCCGTTCCAGGCCGAGGTCGTCGAGGTCGGGCTCATCGGAGGGAACAGTTGCGGCGGGCGGCGCGAGGAAAATGGTCTTTTCCACGTTTGCCTGCCCAACGGCCGCGAGAAGAGGAATGAGAATCCCCAAGATTGAAAGAGAAGAATAATACATGGTGAGGCAGAATCACAATATCTCTGCAATATCGAGTGGCATTAACTCCAGTGTCCTTTGGGATTTCTACTCCCGGGACATGCTGAGCCTTGATATACTGCTCTCTCTCTGCCCGGATCTGGCGGATTCGTACGATCTGGATTCTGGTTAGTCTCTATTTTCTCTGCGTTTTTGGAGGTGATCCGGTACTTAAGGAACCAATCTGGCATCAATTGAGTGTACGTCGCGGTCTGATGCAAATGGTGTTCCTCAGGCTGCCCAGGTATCTTGGCTGCTTGGTAATAACTTGGCCCAGCTATGAGTCGTCCAACGTCAATGAGATTAGCAGGGAGGACAGGCAGCAGCTCTCTTGAGCTATATCGATAGATTGAAGCCTAAGATACAGAGTAAATTGCTTTGCGGACACCAAGGCACCTGCCTGGATGGATTGGCTACCTCAGGCTCCCTCACCAGTCAGCAGGTCACCTGACTCAACGAGGCGGTGAGCCGATTCCATTTGGTCACGCCGCCAACCAATCAGCGCCCTCGACGCGACCCAAACGGATCAACAACGAACTTCCCCCCCCTGTAAACTCCAGCACAGACGCCCTCCACAACATTTCTGTTTTCTTTTGATCCTCTCGATCTTCATTCCTCCCATTCTTCTGGTTTGTACCCCCCTTACCCCTCCCCCTTCCGTCCCTGAACTGACGGCAAGATACAGGCCCGCGTTTGTTGTTGGGTCGTTCTCCCCCTCCCCTAATTTTCTAGCCCGAAATACCCTCGGACTCGACACAATGAGAGAGATTATCAGCTTGAACGGTAGGTCATCCCGGCTCCCATCGATTGGCATTTCGTGTTTTCCCTCTTGTTCATCAGTTTCCCCCGAATTGTGTGAATGATATGCTGACTCGATTTCCCTTGAATAGTCGGTCAGGCCGGTTGTCAGATTGCCAACTCCTGCTGGGAGGTAAATTTCACAACACCCATTGAGAAATTGACCCAAAATGGGCTTCAAAAACTGACAGTGTTCTTTCTATTAGTTGTACTGTCTGGAGCACGGTATTCAGGTACGTTGGAATTCCAATTCCCCCCTCGTGGTGGCGCCCAATCTGGATTCGGGCAGCATACCCCTTTTTCTCCCCGAGAAGGGAATACCCGCGACTAACTCGCTTGATAGCCCGATGGTTACCTCACCGATGAGCGCAAGAAGGAGGACCCCGACCACGGCTTCAGCACTTTCTTCTCCGAGACTGGTATGCAAGAAAAAAATATCGTTCTATTTCATGGGCCCCCCACTTTCACCTTGGGATGGGCCAAACGTCCCAGCATGAGTTTCTAACATTCTCTTTCCCCCACAGGCCAGGGCAGATACGTTCCCCGCACCATCTACGCTGATCTCGAGCCCAATGTCGTCGACGAGGTCCGCACTGGCACCTACCGCTCGCTCTTCCACCCGGAGCAGATGATCACCGGCAAGGAGGATGCCTCGAACAACTACGCCCGTGGCCACTACACTGTTGGCAAGGAGATGATCGACCAGGTCCTCGACAAGGTCCGTCGTGTTGCCGACTCGTGTGCTGGTCTTCAGGGATTCCTGGTCTTCCACTCGTTCGGTGGTGGTACTGGCTCTGGTTTCGGTGCTCTCCTGATGGAGCGTCTGTCCGTCGATTACGGCAAGAAGTCCAAGCTGGAGTTCTGCGTCTACCCTGCTCCCCAGAACGCTACCTCGGTCGTTGAGCCCTACAACTCGATCCTGACCACCCACACCACTCTGGAGCACTCCGACTGCAGCTTCATGGTCGACAACGAGGCTATCTACGACATCTGCCGCCGCAACCTCGGCATTGAGCGTCCTAGCTACGAGAACCTGAACCGTCTCATCGCTCAGGTTGTCTCCTCCATCACTGCCTCTCTGCGCTTCGACGGCTCCCTTAACGTCGACCTGAACGAGTTCCAGACCAACCTGGTCCCCTACCCCCGTATCCACTTCCCGCTGGTTGCGTACTCGCCCGTCATCTCTGCTGACAAGGCCGCCCACGAGGCTCACTCGGTCACCGAGATCACCTCCAACTGCTTCGAGCCCAACAACCAGATGGTCAAGTGTGACCCTCGCAACGGCAAGTACATGGCCACCTGCCTGCTCTACCGTGGCGATGTTGTCCCCAAGGATGCCCACGCCGCTGTGGCCACCCTCAAGACCAAGCGTACCATCCAGTTCGTCGACTGGTGCCCGACTGGCTTCAAGCTCGGTATCTGCTACCAGCCCCCGCAGCAGGTGCCCAACGGAGACCTGGCCAACCTCAACCGCGCTGTGTAAGTTCTTTGTCCCCTGTGTTAATTTTGCCGTGATATCATCATGAATACTAATATGGGTATAGCTGCATGCTGTCCAACACCACCGCCATCGCCGAGGCCTGGTCCGCTCTCGACCACAAGTTCGACCTCATGTACTCCAAGCGCGCTTTCGTTCACTGGTACGTTGGTGAGGGTATGGAGGAAGGCGAGTTCTCCGAGGCCCGTGAGGACCTGGCTGCGCTGGAGCGTGACTACGAGGAGGTTGCCAGCGACTCCCTGGAAGAGGAGGAGGTCGAGCCCGAGTACTAGATCCTTAGAGATGCTGTTTGACCAGGTCTGGAGGGTTGGGGCTCATTGGTTTCTACGGGTTTCTTTGGAGACTGCGCCCATCCTCAAGACTCGGTCTGAATGCGTCCGGGCTTGTTGCAAATAAAAGGGAACATAGCTTTCGCTCCGATGATTTCTGGCTTTATTGTTTGAATATATCTTTAATATCCTTGAAGCAGCCGATGGATTCCCCCGCTCGTTCCATGTCTTGGGATGCCCCAAGATTGTAATTAGAAAATCACAAAAAAGAAGAAAAAAAAAAACAAAGCACTACTCTCGTTTCAGGTCCTTGTCAATGTTGTAGTTTTCATCGCCCTCCATACGAAGTATACGCACAGATCATGCTCTGGCCGGGTGGGTGCAGAACGTGGAAGGATCATCCCTCGACCCCTGGAGGTGCATTATGCAAATCCAAATGTGATATTAACAAATAAATCCATAAGCAGGTCATTTGTGATTTCGGTATTTGCATTGTCTACGTATTACTTGGGCAGTGGAAGTGAACCCTTGTGGAATGGACGCTAAACCGACTGACCGCCTTGGCCAGCACCTGTCCTTACGCCATCGACCCCAGCCACTCTTCTCCATTCCAGGCACCACCGCCTACTCTCTTCCCTGAATCTCGAGACTGAACTGCTTTTGCCTCCCCGTCATATCTTACCCCAGACGCCGCGCTAGGCCCATCGATGCCCGTGGCCTTTACTGGACACCCTGACGGTACTCCGTTTTCCCAACTCGCCCTCCAGGCACCCCGACAATTGTGAAATCATCCGGAACAAGAGGGGTTGAGCTCCTCCAGAGTTACAACAATGGCTGACAGTGGTGAGTGATCTCTGAATTTGGTTACTTGGGCCTCAAAACAAGAGCAGAGGAGCTTCGGCGCAGGTCAGGAGAAGACCCGCCATCCTCCGCTATGGAACCGCCCCCCTCTCCTTCATATCCACCCCCGTTCCTATATGCGCGAACCATCGGAACTAACGGTTACCCCTCGGCGTCAATTCAACAGCACAACGACATCCGAACCTCAACCTCACTCCAGAAGAGAAGCGCGTATTCTACCAGCTTTTCCAGGCTGCCGACACAACTAACCTCGGTGTCATCACCGGCGAGGTTGCCGTTCCGTTCTTCGAGAAGACGAAGCTCCCACCTGACACACTTGGCCTGGTATGTGGATTTGAAGGCATATGGGTTCCATTAGCTTGATCCCAAATCGCTGATTGATACTGTGTGACTACAGATATGGCAGCTTGCGGATAAAGAGAACAGGGGTCTTTTGACCCCAGCAGGATTCGGCATTGTTCTACGGTTAATCGGACATGCTCAAGCTGGACGCACACCGTCTGATGAGCTGGCTCTACAGCGTAAGCGTCTACTTCAGCCCAATTTCACCTCGTGTTTTCCCCAACCTGCGGTGATGGTCTCGGTATCATGGCTGACCGTGTTCTCGACTGGTTTTAGCTGGCCCCCTACCCAGGTTCGATGGCATCGCAGTGGATACGACGGCCAATTTACCGGATTCCGGCACCACAAGCCCCCCGCCGGGCGCCGGCCCGCCCATTCGAGTTCCGCCCCTGCAGCCAGATGATGCCCATAAATTCACCGCACTCTTCGAGAAGTCAGATGTGGTGAATGGCGTGCTTTCTGGTATGTGACTATCTTCCCATCGGTGCCAACCTGAAGGAGGTTGTGATTGCTCACAAGAATATGCGGGGACATATAGGCGAAGCTGCAAAGCAAATCTTCGAGCGTGCGAGACTGCCAAACGAAATTCTCGGCAGGATATGGTTTCTTTCAGACACCAAACAGCGAGGTGCCCTCGATGCTACCGATTTTATCATTGCTATGCATCTTTTGACTTCCTACAAGTCCGGTGCCTTGCGAGGCATTCCGCAGACATTGCCGCCTGGATTATACGAAGCGGCAGCGCGCAAAGGTTCCGGCAGGCCATCTTTTGGGTCGCGCCCAGATGTCCCACCTGTGCCGGCCATTCCCAAACAATTTACTGGCCCGGGCCGGACAACCAGCCCCATGAGCCCTGCCGGTCGCCCGCCATTCGCAGGCCCGCTCTCCGCCCAAACAACCGGTGGTGATTGGCTTATCAATCCGCAGGAGAAAGCGCATTTCGACAGTATCTTTGAGACGGTCGATAGCGCCAAGGTTGGCTTGATTACCGGCGATCAAGCCGTCGCATTTTTCATGAAGGCCCAATTACCTGAGGAGATTCTCGCGCAGATCTGGGATCTGGCGGATATCGATGCCGATGGCCAGCTAACCCGAGAGGAGTTTGCTGTGGCCATGTATTTGGTGAGGCTGCAGCGCAGCGGCAAGGAGTCGCTGCCGCAGGTACTCCCTCCTGCACTGATCCCGCCCAACATGCGCCAACAGGCTCCCATGCCTGGTATGTCTGCTCCTGCACCGGCAGCTGTCCCTGCTCCTGCTCCCCTGGCCCCCGCTCCCATTGCTCGCTCCGCTGCCGATGACCTCTTTGGCCTCGATTCGCCTGCGCCTCCTGCCCAGCCCCAGGTGTCTCAGTCTACCGGTGGCTCCAACCCCGCTTTCCACACTCCTGGTTCGCCGGTATCCAGGGCTTCTCCGCAGGCTGCATCTACGACGTTCAAGCCTTTTGTCCCAACCTCGTCTTTTGGCCAAAGCTTGCAGCCTCAGGTGACTGGCGCTTCGGCAGGAGGTCCGGCAGCAGCTCGATCGCCTCCGCCCCCGTCGGATGATTTGCTTGGAGATAATGATCCAGAAGAATCGAAGAAGTTGACCAATGAGACAACCGAGCTCGCAAACCTGTCCAACCAGATTGGCTCGTTGGCCAAGGAGATGGGCAATGTGCAAGAGAAACGAACGTCTGCCGAGCAGGATATTTCACAAACATCACAGCAGAAGCGCGACTTCGAGGCTCGATTGGCGCAAGCGCGGGCTATGTACGAGCAAGAGGTCACCAATTTCAAAGCGCTCGAGGAGCGATTAAAGACTTCCAAGGCCGAAACCGAAAAGTTGCAGCAGCAGTACGCGCTGATCGAGGGCAGCCGCCAGGATTTACAGAACCAGTATACCCAGGTTTCGACGGCTTTGGCTGCCGACCAGCAGGAAAACGCCAACCTAAAGGAAAAGATCCGCCAGGCCAATGCAGAGGTCGCTCAACTCAAGCCGGCGCTGGAGAAGGCGCGTTCTGATGCACGTCAGCAGAAGGGATTAGTCGCCATAAACAAGAAGCAGTTGGCCACTGTTGAAGGTGAACAGGAGAAGATTCAAGGGGAAATCGATGGTCTTGCAAAGGAATCCTCCCCGCAGTACACGGAGGAATCCTCCACCCCTGTCAGCAGCGCTGCCGAGATTGCCAGCCCTGCGGCCTCTTCTGTGAGCCAAAACACAAACCCCTTCTTCCGGAGGACCGCGACGGGTAGCTCCAGCGAGCAAGCTCGCTCGCCGGAACCATCTGCCGACCAGCAAAAGGCATTTGACAGTCTCTTTGGGCAAACCTTCCCGGCTCCATCGACCGCAGGCCCACCACCCACTTCATTCCGTGCCGAGTCACCGCAAGTCCCACCCAAGTCTCCTGCAACATCTAATGCGCCTACTCCGTCGGTGTCTCCGCCTCCGGGTTCTTTGCCTGGGGCCTTTCCCACCGGCCCAGTCGCGGAACCCCCGGCCCCAAGCCAGTCCAGGCAGCTTACCCCGAATAACCTGCCTCTCAATGAAACCCAATCTGTGACCTCGTCCACCATGGTTTCCCCGCCGGGTAGCCGGTTTGGCGGCCCGGATATCTCTCGCCGAGGCACCCCATCCCAGGCGGCCACTAGCGACTATGGACCCCCATCAGTCGCGGCGTCCAGTGACTACAGCCGCGCTCCAACTTCAACAGTTGAAGGCACTCCGGCTCGTTCCCCGTTTGAAGAGGGACTGGAGTCGTCGACCCGGTTCCCCGAAGTTCCTGCAGCGAGTGCCGAGCAACCTACTTCTGCCGTCTCTCTTTCCAATGACAATCCAAAGGAAGGTAACAAGGACTTGACTTTTGACGAGCTGTTCGGCAGCAAAGCTCACAAGCGATCTGAATCTCAGAAGGGAAATGACTTCGAAGAAGCGTTTGCAGCTATGAAGCAAGGCCCTGGAGCCGAGAAGGCCCAGGGGGCGTCTACGGGCGCTCAATCGGAATTCCCTCCCATTCAAGAACTGCACCCTGACGACGAGGAAGACAGCTCTGACGATGACGGTCCGCTGGGTTTCGATGACAACTTCACGCCGGTTTCCCCATCGACCACCAAGAAGGAAACCCGAAATGACTCCATTGATGCTGCTCAACTAGCCGCCTTCCCTGCCCCAGGATCGTCTGCCCCATCGACCAAGCCCCCGGCACCAGATGCGCAGCAGAGCCCTCCCGGGTATGAAGCTAACGCTTCCAAGGAAGATCCCAACCATTTCCCTCCGCAGTTCAACGGCCTTTTGCCTGAACGCGCGGATCCCACTGCTCCGCCGGATGCACCTCATTCAGTAGAGTCGAGCACTGGAGCGCCCGTTTTTAGCAACGAGCCCCAGCGGGATCAAGCTGCGCCGAATACTCTTGCTGCGGCCGGAGGTGCCAAGACTGGCGGACCCGACTTTGAGGCCGCCTTTGCGGGACTTGACCTTGCACCGGCGAATGAGGCAGAGGACGATGATGACGAGCCAGAGGGCCACAGTGCGAAGAATGCCGTGGACTTTGACTTCTCCTTTGATTCCCCGGCTCAAAAGCAGCATGGACCGTCGGCTAGCACCGACGCTGGCCCCGCCGGCTCATCCGATTTCTTCTCTTTTGACAACAGCGCCCATGCGACAACCGCGCAGGCCATCACTTCACCGACTACAGGCGAATCCAAGCCTGCTGCACATGACTGGGACGCACTTTTCGCGCCCCTCGACAGCTCCAAGCCCTCTACTGGCGAGGAAGCAAACGGAACCAAAGAGAAGCAGCCCGGCTGGGCCCTCAACGCCGAATCTGGTCAAGATGATCAGATTCTCCAGCGACTGACTGGAATGGGGTTCTCGCGGGAGGATTCCCTCAAGGCGCTGGAAGATTTTGACTACAACCTTAGCGAGGTAGGTGTTTTCTTTGAAACGTTTCATTTATGAGTTTTCCCACTGACAGATATTGCGTATAGGCAGCCGATTATTTGACCTCCAAGTCGTGATTGTATCCCAAGCTTGGTCTCTATTGCACATATGACCCATGCATTAGTTGTTTCCTCTACTGCCATGTCTTTCCTTGATGATTATTTCCCTTTTTCTTTTCTCCTCGCCCACCCCCGAATGACCAGGAGGCGGGTTTCTTTGCATCATCGTTCATCTGTTCCCCTTTATCTTGTCCAGCGCTGTGTACATTTTCTTTTTTTTTTCTTTCTGCCATCATGCTGCGCCATCATTGACCTTGAGTGGACTCGAACCCTCTTCATTGATGTCTATTTCCCCTGAATTGGATGGAAGGTCCTGAATCTAGGGGTTTCGTCCTCGTGTGTCTCTGGCTGTGAAGTGTAGTTTACGATAATCCATAATTGACATAATTTCTGGTCTGTTGTCCATGTAGAGTAAAGATAGCTCCTTTCATAGATGGCTATGGATACTGCCCTTTTTTTCATTCTATTTTAATACCCTCTTCGCTCCCCCTTTTACCATCTCTATTCAGTTTCACTTCTCCATTTCCTTTACTCTCAACCATCGCGTGATAGCCCTAGAATCTTATATTCCAAGTTCTTCCGTAGTATTCATCCAAGGTTTTAACCAGCCGTTGACCCTCGCTTCGCTCGGGTGGCTTTAGGAGGTATACTAAACAGCAAATATTAGATTATATAGCTTTCCTTACTCTAAAGATTCTATTTTATTTAGAATACTCTATTTTCTCCTTAATATAAGCTTACTATGGTTATCTCTTTTTCTAACCTTTTGAACCTTCTTTTAACCCGTTTTCTTCTATTACTTTTTCTACTAATCATTATGATGATAGTAAGGTGGTAGATAGCTAAAAGAAAGGGGCTGTATTAAGAGAATATTTGCTTCTTAAAAGAAAAAAAGAAAAAAAAAACACAATCTAGGTCATATATAAGGTCATATCATAGTTATTTGCGTAAATTGACATATTCTTATAGTATGTATAGCATTATCACTGACATTTCCCTCGTGTCTTGAAAATGGGGCTCTGATGAAGCGCACTCTCTGCCTTAAGGGGTAGTCGGAGCACTAGGACTTCCTAAAGGAGATATGAAGTGTACACCTCTCAATTAGGCAGTCCGAATGCAAACTTGAAAAGCTGCAACTCGACTCCTTTAGGGGTTTCTCCTGTTTCATAAGGATTGCATGCCGATTACAGACTTAGAGGTTATAACGCCGATCATTCAAGCGAAATGGACAGATCTTGATATTCCACACAGGGCGATAACTCCGACCGTTACTCCGCCTGGTAATAGTCTGGATCTTCCTCGAAAGTCTTATAAATCGCAGCATCCTCCTATAGGGATAGCAGCCCCAGTGTCATTGCATGCACTCTACCATCCTCAGCTAACAGCACAATTCGTCTGATAATCCAATCCAATCCACTCTACTCAAATCGAAAATGTCTCGCATTCTTCTTACTGGCAAGCTTTCTTCTATCGCAATCGATCATTATTGATATTGACTAACATTCAACAAGTGGCAGTGGCTTCATCGCTGCCCATGTGCTTGAAACCCTCCTCTCGCGTGGCCACTCTGTCGTCACGACTGTTAGTTCGCAGCAAGAGGCCGAAGCCACTCTCCAGGCTCATGGGCAGCTGCCCAGGGATCGTTTGGACTGTGTTATTGTCGAGGATATAGCTAAGCCTAATGGTAACGTCCCTCCATTCTTCGTTCGCAGGATTATTCCTCACTGGGCGACCACTGACTGTTATCTGGAATAACAGCCTTTGACGATGCAGTTATTCATAACGCCAGTCCGTATCATTTCAATGCTACGGATGCAAGACCTTGCTGGAGTCAGGTAAGTAACTTGCTGTATTTTTGGGCCATCGAAGGGCCATTACTGACAGGTCACTGCATTATAGCCATCATGGGAACAACAGGTATCCTGAAGTCGGTTCAACAGCGTGCCCCAACGGTCAAACGGGTCGTGGTGACCTCTTCATTCGCCGCAATCAACAATGTCTACGCCAAAACAGCAGGGAAAGTATACTCGGAAGTATGTTTTGCCTCGCTATCTTCGCAGTCCTGTGGCTAAACAAAATTATAGGCGGATTGGTGTCCTATCACCGAAGCTCAAGCTCATGAAAGCCCAGCAAATGCCTACCGGGCCAGCAAAACATTGCTGTGAGTTGCAGACCGAAAAAGCTTTCCATAGGACTGACACTGACCAAGATTAGGAACGAGTTGCATGGGAGTTTGTCGAGAAAAAAATGCTCTCCTTCACCCTTTCAGTGATCAACCCGCCTCTCGTCCTTGGCCCCCATCGTGCACCACCTCACCACCCTGAACGACCTGAACACATCCAACGAGCGCATTCGCGACCTCATTACCGCTGTGGCCAAGGAGCGCTGTCCGCTGACCGGCAACTACGGCTACGTCGTGCTGGCACATGTGCTCGCGGTGGAGAAAGAAGAAGCAGGCGGCAAGCGGTTTTTCGCGGTGTCGAGCCACTTCTCCGACAAGACCATCGCCGACATCATCGGCCAAGAATTCCCCCAATTTCGGGATCGACCGCCGACGGGCGATACCTTGGCTTCGGGTGATTACCCGGCGGACGGAGTGTAGGGATATAACAACACTCGCGTTCGCGAGATCGTGGGGGTGTCTTTTCGGTTGCTGAGAGAAAGTGTGGTGGGCGCAGTGCACAGCTTGTTGGCTGTGGATCCCACACTCTAGCGCCGATCCGGCGTTGATTTTAAGTGTTCGTTTTTGAGATAGCCATGACTCGCGTCCAACCAATTCACTTCGCACTTAGCCGCTTCCGACGGTTCTTTGAACTTGTGCTCACCATTTGACGATTTCACCCTCTCCCTCTTTTGTTGACCCTGAAAATGTTCTCGACATTTTCCACAAATCTCCAGGAGAAAGCGGCGACCTCTGGCCCCCGCCCGAAGCGCAACCAGGTCGCTCGCGCGTGCGACTGGTGCCGCCTCAACCGGATCAAATGCGACGATTCCCTGCCCTGCCAGAACTGCCGCAGCCGTGGGGGCCAATGCAGCAATACTAAGCGAGTCGAGGGCCATTCTCTGCCCTCCGCTAATAGGTATTCTTTTCTTATAAATATGAGGCAGTTCGCAATTGATTGATGCTTTGTCGGCAGAGAAATCCTGCGATTGCGCCAGAGGGTCAACGAACTGCAACAACAACTGGAAAATGCCACCAAGGAGGCCCAAGCCCAAGCATCAGCCAAATATGTGACTCCACCCCACTCTACCGACGCTGGATGCCCGTCCATGCAGGAGGAGTCCTTCGCGGCGTCGTCGCGAAAAGGGTGGGAGGGCGTCCAAAGCCCTGATGCACAGACTGGCCAAGTTATCTACTTCGGCCCGCTGTCCTCATCTTATTTCGGGACTCGCGTGAGTCGCTACTTGGCCGAGGCCTTGAAATCATCACATCCTGAGTTCGAGTGGGCTAAATGTGCTGGTCGACTCAGCTACCCACCCAGTCCGTGGTCACGACAATCACAGTCTCAGCAAGACCAGCAATCATGTTGGAATGTCAATGCCGATTTCCCAACCAACGCGGTGTCGGAACTGGATGAAGATGTTGAAGACCTATCCCGTGCCCAAGAGGAATACTTTCTTGACCTGCTCTGGCAATCCTTCCATTGCGTTTACCCCATCATCGCCGAGTCTGAGTTCCGCGAATACTATGACTCACTATGGGACGCCGACGATAGCATACCACGTCGACCCTCTTCATTAGTGGATAGCTTGCTGGCGGTTTGTATGCAATACGGAAGCACTTTCCTCATGAGCGATGGAGACAGCCGGGGAGGTGACGAAGGGTATCATGCTGCTAATGCTTCTATGACTGGTCATGCATTCTACCGGCGGAGTCAGCACCTACTGCTGAATGAGCTCGAAAGTCCATCGGTGATGACCATGCAGAGCTATCTCTATTCCATTATCTATCTGTCCAACACGGCCTTGCTGAACACAGCCCACACCCTTCTGGGGACTGCATTGAGGGTAGCGCAGATGCTGCGACTGCATCTTCGACCCTTGGACGGAACGCCGCAGCGACAGCAGGAATTGCATCGCCGGATCTGGTGGACACTGTACCAAGTGGACAGTCAGCTTTCTATGGCTTTGGGTCGCCCTCCGCTCATTCAAAGAGGCGAGATCGAGGTTAATATCACTAAAGATGGACCGGAGTATGCCTTCATGTCGGGGTCAATGTTGCTGTGTCCCAGCAACGAGGACATCAGCTGGCTGAGTTTCCATGCGCAATGCGTTCGTCTGGTCTCCACCGTACGATGTGCCCAGAACACTTTCCAAGCGCGATGCGCTCAGTTGGTCGAGGCAAAAGATTCACAGGATATATACGGCGACCCATACATGATTGAGGAGCTGGCTGGCTTCCTGGGCCGCGAGGTGCGCGCAGTATATGACTGGGTGCGCAATGTCCCTCGGTCTCTTCAAAACACTCGTAAGGGCTCTGGAGAGCCCTTCTCCACCGAGCGAACTCCACTCAACCTGGATAATCTCAGTCCGATTTGGCTCCAGCGGCAGCGACTTCTGCTTGAGCTGCTCTACCATCACCTTCAATTGTCGAACTTCCGCCCATTCCTACGCTTTCCGCCCGGCGGCTCATCCATTACCCCACTGGCCGACTGCCACAGCATCACCTGTTTGAACCACGCAATATCTCTAACGAATATCTTGCATCAAGTTCTCTCAGAAACAGACCTTCTTCGCGGCTGGTCCCCGATCTTCCAGTATCAGTGGGACGCGGCTCGTTGTATTATGGGGTTTGTTCTCTCGAACCCTGTCTGTCCGCCGAGCCCAACGGCTCGCAAATTCATGCATACGGCCATTGGAAACTTCGACGTGATGGGCCATTACTCTGCCGCTGCCGCCGAGGCAGCCCTGATCGTGCGCGAGACGGGTGCTTATGCTGAGATGCTTGTCGATCGGTTTCACAATAGCCTGTCGCTGCGGCGGCCTACGCCAAGGAATTCGGCCACTCCGTCCAATTCTTCCTTGTTTGGTTCGTCTACCACAACTCAGGTGCAGAATCTTGCGGCGCCGGCATTGACCCCGGAATATCTGCAAGATTTGACTGCTGCGTCCATCAGGGCTATTCCCCAGTTGACTGTTGATGCGCCGCCATTCCTGAAGGAGAATGCGGATATCTCACTTGACCAGGCACAGCCAGGTGCTGCCGTGACCATGGCAATGGATGACTCGCTGGTGCTGTCGGAGGATATGCTCTCGGGCATCGGGGAGGACTGGATGCCGAACGAGGGGGGGGCCCTTTTGAACATTGGAATCACTTTCCTGGGTAGTATTTAAGCAGATCCAAATAAGTTGCTTGGGTGAACTGGATTTTTTTATGTAGTTTGGGTGTACCTCGAATGATATGACGGCCCGATCCACCAGGCAAACGTACCCGAAATGTGCCCGTTGTGGATCCGGCGATCTTCTCGGACTCACCCGACTGATATTGGATAGTTCGTTGGTCAAAACAATCACCAATTTTGCCCTTTAGTCAACGTTTTAGACTATGGAGATACCCAGCATGTACGCACGGGTATGCGGACGCCGCTTCCCCCGCCGGACCCCCACGATACGACCACGAGCAGACCCATCTCCAAGTGGCCCGGTCGATCGACATCCGAACGAACCCACCAGGGTAAAAATGCCCACGCAAGACTCCACTGTTTCCCTGATCGACCAGCTCGTTGCTAAGCGCCAATTCCCCGGATTACGCCTTGACCCCGCGAGGCCACTGACTCTCCTAATCCGAGGAAAATAACGAGCCCATCCTGAGACGGAGTGCCCACGGACGGTTGTGGGGGCGTTGATGATGGATGCAGGCAAGAACCAGACACCGCGCCGCTATGGATTTGCGTGTCTGATGTGCTGGCGCCGAAATATCAGGTGCGACGGCAAGAAGCCGAACTGTGCGAACTGTATCAAAGCCAAGGAGATATGCAGTTACAAGGAGAGTCCCGGCTACAACGCGCACTTGGTCCAACAGTTGCACCAGTTCAAGAAGCGTGTCGATGACCTGGAATCCCATTTACGGGATCTGGCCCATCTCGGCCATGAAGACCGCGATCGCCGGCTCGCGGAGATCATCCGGGACTTTAATAAATTGGATATGGACGGCACCTCGCCAGACCAGATGACTGAGCTTTCGCAGTCGTACGACACCGACAAGGACACCGCCAGCGAAGACCTGCAGCCGACCGATTTTAGCGTCGGAGAACATGGCATGGTAAGCCCTATCCCGATATCCTCGGTGTCATCCCGGAGGAAGTGGATGTGATCGGAACTAGAATTCATTGGCTTATCTTATTTTTTTGTTTTCTTTTTCCAATCTTGCAGTACTGTTGAGCCACATCCAGGTTTCACCCCCTCGGCGCGACTAAGAATCGCCCGGCCAAGCCTCCTGGCCTCGAAGGCCAGGAACACAAGGCCAGTGAGGAATATCACCGGAAATGGCTGGCATCCAATGCCCGATTCCAAGAGTCACTTGAAGCTTTCGGTAATCTCCCCCAATATACAGGGGTGGATGTGGATGTGTGCACCACTTTGTTGAAGATCTACTGGACGTGGCAAGCGCCTTTACATAACTGCGTCTATCGCCGATGTGAGTACCTCTGACAACCGCAGTGGGGCGACAATTCGTAGCTAATTTATCTTGGCTAGGCTTTTATCGTGATTAAGCGTTGAACGGGCCCTACATCTCCACTTTTTTATTGAATGTAATATTTGCCCATGCTTGTCGCCATACCAAGGACGACGACCCCAAGTTCGCTCGCCTCGAACGTGGCGAGTACTCTATGCGCAAGGCCAAGCAGCTCCTCTTGATAGAGATTGAGCAAGAAAAGCCCAAAATTCCTACTATCCAAAGCTTGCTTATCCTGGGGGGTTGACAGTGTGCCATTGGGAAAAGCAGTGAAGGATGGCTGTACACTGGAATGGTTGGAAATGTCCGCATCTACTTGGCATACATATTAATGCTAACTAATACAGGCTATCCGAATGGTCACTGACCTTGGCCTTCATCTCTACCGAGGAAACCTAGAAGGTCTTGATGGCATGGAGCCCGATGACCTGGAAGTCAGGAAGCGTCTTTACATGTCGGCATTTATGTGGGATAAGTGTGTCAAGTCTACCCGCAGAGATGAAAACATGCTGATCATTCCTCAAAGATCTATAAGCCTCTGTCTAGGGCGTCCACCCTCTTTGACCGAGCTGCCATACTCGCCAGATGGCCTTTGTAAGTCATCCCTTGCTTATCTTGAGGTTCTCCCACACTAAAAATTCCCAGTTGACATGTCAGACAACGACGTTGAATGGAAGCCGTTCTACATGAAAGAAGTAGAAAATGAATACCCTTTTACCAAGTCCTATGACACTCTAAATTCATCCAGTTCTGCAAGCTAGCCAAGGTTCATGGTACTCTCTTTCCCTCAGATGAGCCGAGCTAACTTTTGTCAAATCATCAACGAAAGCTATAACAAGGTCTAATGCAGGAGCCTCCACCGCGAAAATATTGGCCTGCGGTTTGGTATCTTCCTCGCTGGGTCCGCTTTGGCCAATGCGTACAGTGGAGCCTTGGCCTATGGGCTTGGGCATGTCCATTCCAGTATCTCGAACTGGCGGTTTTTGTTCATTATCGAGGGCGTGCCCACAGTGCTCCTGGCGGCTGTGACTTGGTTTTGGCTGCCGGACTCTCCGTCCATGGCTCGATTCCTGTCGTCTCGCGAGCGCGAGATTGCACAAGAATATGCGAATAATCAACCGGGCGACTACAAGCACGAGGGACTCCAGCTTGACCAGCTGGGAGAGGCATCCAAGGACTACCAGAGTAAGTAGCCATGACCTGAAGAAGAGAAAAAGTACCAATAATATTTGACCAGACTACCTTTTCGCCCTAATGAACTTCTGCAACAACGTCAGCTTCGCCTCACTACCACTCTTCCTCCCAACCATCGTCTCCGAAATGGGCTCCTTCATCGAAGTGCAATCCAATGGCATCACGGCTCCACCCTACCTCCTCTGCTTCATCTTAATCATCGTAGCCTCAATAGTCTCAGACCGACTCCGACTCCGCGGGCCCTGCTGCGCCCTCTTCGCAATCCTCGCCGCCATCGGATTCATCCTCCTCGGCACGACAACCAGTGTGGGGCCGCGGTATTTCGGCACGTTCCTGGCGGTAATGACCTTCGTCAACATCTGGATCACGCTGATCTGGAACTCCGACACCAACTCCACCGGCTCTAAGAAGGCCGGTGGTTTGTGGATCATGATGACGGTGGGGCAGTGCGGCCCGCTGCTGGGGACGAATGTCTTTCCGGAGGAGGACGGGCCGTACTACCGTAAGGGCGAGTGGATCTGCTGTGCTTTTTCGTTGTTGTCGGCTGCTGCAGCATCGTTGTTGAGCTTTTTGCTTTGGAGGGAGAATAGGCGTCGGGATCGGATTTATGGGCCTGTGCGTGAGGGTCAGCAAGTGGATATGTCTTCTGCGGAGAGTCAGGGGGCTGGGTTGAGGTATATCATCTAGGATTGAAGATGGTGTTTTCCGGATGAGTGTTCTCCCACACCGATTTTTCACTTAGTGTCGACTACATGGTATTCAGTCTATCTTGCGCAATACATAACTCGTCTTGGATGATCTGATGCCACTCCAACCAAGGGATAGTAAACAGTGCTTTATTGTGTTAAAATGAATCATTGCAAGGAATTAAAGAAAAATTCCAAGATGATATCAAAAGATCAGATAACTTGAAATCAGAAACATAGAAAGCAAGATTAAACCAAAAATGAAAATGAAAATGGAGATGGAATCTTGCAAAAAAAAAAAAAAAGCGCAGGCAAAACGACATAGGCAATATAATGACGAAATTGAGCGGATAGGACAAATCAAAAGCCGCAATTTTCAGTCCTTCAACCGACAGTATATGCAAATACAAATAACATGGCTTAAATGTAGGGCTGGTTTATGAAACCAATGGTCCAATGAGTGAGAGGTGCAACCGCAGTAATAGGCGACGGTTCAGAGTCCACCAAGTCAGATAGATATGAGAAAGATTGGATTCTCAAGGTTCTAGACATAGCCAGCATTTTCATCGGCGCCTTTGAAGAGGTCTTACAGGCCTTGCGTGTCTCGGTAAACTGGCCAACTCATCAAGTGCTTGATCTTGAAACCGAATTTGCTGGACGTATCTTCGTCCTCTTCGATGCTCGTCAATATCGGAGTCGTCAGATGATGAATCCTCCATAGCGGGGCTGAATGCGGCCTCATATCTGGGCCCTGAGGGATTATTGCGTACTCTACGCAACAACGGGTTTGTATCCACCTCTGCAGTCGGACCGATGGTGATGTCTCTACGTCGAGATTCACCGACAGCAGAGGGGTGTCGAGGAGTAGGGTCCAGGGCCCTGTTGTGGTAAATGGTACTGCGCCAGTCAGACCCTGGGGCTTCAGGATAATTATAGCCCCTGTCCAGTATTTGGGAAGGAACTCTTTGTTGAATAACCATGCCACCGGAATTGCGATTTCGTGCGCATCGATCTGCGTAGTCTTCACTAAATGTGAAATACGCTGCATTTTGCGGTTGTCGGTGAAAGTCACCTGGATTTCGAGTCACAATAGGGTCTGGAATTCCTCGCCGAACGTATTCAATAGCCCGGCCGGGATCGGACCCTCGATAGACCGTACGAGAAGGGCTAAAGCTCCTATAGTTAGTCTTATAAGGTATTCCAAGTACTGCACTACAAATTAGAAATGGGCAATTGTACTCACGAGTCGTTAGCCCTAACAGGACGTCCCGGGCTAGCCTCACGGACTCGTTCAGGACCGAAGGGGCCAATGGCAAGTCTTGACTCGCTCGAACGCCATGTTCCATGAGGGGTATCATACCGACTTGGAAAGGGTCAAATAAGCACCATATAAACTGTGAGAAATAAACGCTTAACTTACTACACCCCGTTATCATACTCTTGTGGCTCTCTCACCATGACTTGTGGACGAGGAATGCTGTTGATCCTCTGGAAGAGCAAATATATCGACCTTCGTGCCAGAAGTCTCAAATGAGGCCAACAAAGGGCTTGAAGAGAGTCTTTATGGAGGAGAATCGAGAGCAATTATTTTGAATATCACCAATATCAAAAGACGATAGAGGAAAAAAGGGTAGTAAAAGCAACGTATTCTTTCAGGCTTTTATAATCCAAAAGCAGAAGGTTTATAGGAAGGGGGAGAATTAATATTACTAAAATCGAATGTAAAAGTATGCTAAATTTGGTCTTTCCCTACGCAGACTACAGTGTGCGATTCGCTTTTCGTTTATCAAAAAGGGCTTTATGTTTCAGCATTTGTTTCAACACGCAAGATTGAGCATCCGCAGTAAGGGATATCTATAGTTAGACTGTCACTTGACATATGTAGATAGGTAGTAATGCATGGTCTAACCACCCTTGGACTGTGCGAGCGCTTAAATGCCATAGCGGAACGAGAGAAATACCACAAGGGCTCAACCAGGTAAAAGATGCGTCCAATCAAGGCGAAGTCTCGTTCATTTCAAGTCATCACAGTGGTAAGCGCTTTGGAGCTTCCTCGGAGCGTTTCATAGTTCATTTGTCGCCTGCATAGAGGTAAAACGATGGCGTGCTTATAAGCCCCATAGTTTAGATATTTGGATATTTGGATATTTGAGTGGATGAGCGAGAGTCTATCGTGGCGCGCGCCTAGACAGAGCCTCATCCTGTTCGAGTCTCCGTGGAGGGATGTGCGGGAGCTTGTTATTTATAGCCGCCGAAAGAATCATCCTACCCCGCACCTTATATAAATACCTTGCTCTCAACAGCATCTTTCTAAGACCCCGATTCCGAGCGCAACAACTTCCTTCCTATAATTTGATCTGCCGAGTCCTTTCATCAATCTTCTCCCTTTCAATCTCTCTTGTTTCAGGATGAGTGACGAGAAAGACCACTCCGAACATGCCACCCACCAGCAAGTTTCCAAGGAGATCAACTTCGAATGGACTCCTGAACTCGTGAAGCTTGTTACATCCCGCGGCTTGATACATCCATTGATCGGCCCCCTTGATCAAGACCCCGATGGATTCCCAAAATGCATCTACCGGCCTGGCATGACCCTCCCAGACCCTGCTGATACGCGGGGATGTCTGAACTGGGTTGGACTATCCGAGGAGAAGATCCTTGAGGTGGAACGGAAGTTCAAGCAGCTATATCCCGATTACCAAGCACCCCGATGTGGGTATGATGAGAAACATTTGCCGCGTGGTCTCAATGAGATTACCTTCCCTACCATTGACAAAATGTTGGATATATTTTTTCAAGGGCTGGACCAAGGGCTGGATATCGACTCCACAGAACCCCTTCAACAAACTCATGGTAGGTTTTTTCTTTTTTTTGGTGCATCTAAGCCGATAGGCTATCATCGGCTAATCAATATATAGAGGCGTACATTGAGAAGGGCATCCAGGAAGGACTACGGCCAGAATTTGCCATTTTCTGTGGAATGCACAAGGACGATCCCCGGGCTACCGAGGACCCTGATCTATTCAACGAGTTCTGGTTTACCAAGGGCCCACAGGACTTTATCGCTGATTCCATCATCCCATCGTCTTGGACAAAGGTCAAAGATTTTCTGGAGCAAAGGCTAATACACGAGGGGAAGGCATGGCAGGATCATCATGGGCGGTGGTTGGTCCATGAGGGAGAGAGTATGGAGCAGGCAAAAGCGAGAGTAGATGATCAAGAGCTTCAGAGGCTACGACAAAAGGCGTCTGAGGAGTATAAAGCAAGGAGAGAACAGGAGAGACAAGAGATCGCAAGGCTGGATGCTGAAGATAAAGCACGGTGGGCAGAAGAGGAGAGACTGGAGGCAGAGATGTCGAAGAAAAGTACCTAGATTGAGTTATTTGGCGGAAGCATGGAGAGCATTCATCCATTGGATTCCACAACCAAGAATATAGAATCTTTTGCAGCATTTTCATTACGGCAATCAATCGCTCTCCCTAGAAAATAGCCATTGCATTAGCCGGACTGGCCACACCACCCGGTACATGCAACGGTTGACTCGTCAACATGAACGTCCAGCGGCCCAACGCCTGACAGGTGCGACTAAGTTCTTCCAAGTCCCAGCACTCGCCAATAGGCATGCCCCATCCCACTCAAGAGCACCTGGAAACAGAAAGTGAGCGATAGCCTCATTGGCTTGATCCGAGCTGGGGAAAACATACTTCGTGCATGCTTACACCCCACGATTTGGGCGATGGCCATGCCTCGTAGGTCACCGTGTCGCTGGCAACCGCAGCAAAACCCTGCTCCCAATGCCACTGGATACTTTCTTCCGTGGCTTCCACGCCACATGAGGCGCGGTCATCGCGCCCGCCGAGCTGCTCCTTCTCGTCGTCAGACAGCTGCTGGTAGGCGGCGGTCCACCCAGAGCGGATAAGCAGGACATCGCCCTGGCGGAATGTCACGCCAGCCTCATGGGCGATCTGCAGAAGATGGGATAGTGGAATTGCCTGGTTTGTGAATGGACTGCAGGCGAGTCCCTCGCGTTGTGCATATGAATACCAATCCAGTAGGATACCGCGGGTTACTATTGGCTCTATTGCGATGTCTGGAAAGTCAGTAAATGGGGATGCTTTTTAACTTTCTGGAAATCGACCTGGAACTTACTCTTAACACCGATCTTTGTATTTGCTTTGCACCCGGAAATGTCATCTTGCGTGACGCCGTTATAGAAGAGCTTTGAATCTGAGTACGGATAATGCCGTAGCCCGTCCCAGTGACTGGAGCTCTGTGTGTTGAAATCAATCTGGTTGAATGTTAGAAAATAACAAATCGAAGATGGTCATGCAAGTAGTTATGCTCCAGCTCACCTCGTCATCATTAGCATGCCCTTTTGCAACTATCGTATGCGAGCACTTCTTCCGCCGTGGATTTATTGGTTTGAGAGGAACATTCAGCGGCAAGCTATACATTAAGATGAACTTTAGTAAACGCAGGTCAGGCCCCCAAAGTGTACTATGCCTTGGTACTTACCTGAGATTAACGGCTCTCCCCTGAGAGACTTCGCTTCCGGCGGTGTGAGCTACATCCTCCGTCAGGAGGTTGAGGGTCCCGCGTTCATCGTCGGCACCCCGAAGGCCCCACGCGGATCCCTTGGGGTGATGCGGCTGCAACGGCAGTTGATCACAGCGAGGACGAGTCAAAGCCGAGGAATTTGTCTTGTCTTGGGGATGAGGCATCTGGAAAGTATAAAAATCTGTATCTATGCGACCCGCTTGGATGCTGTTCATTCTGATGGTCATAATTAGACCCCAAGGTCTTCGATAATTGTCTCTGGATGTTGAAGCTGAATAGGAAAAAATCAGAAAGAGAAGAAGGATAGGACGAAGAACGAGGAAGGATTCAACAAAATCCTTTGGAATGCACAGTCGAAAAGGAGGGCTGCTTACTGGGCGAGAGAAGACCATATATAGACCAGACTTCTGGAACCAAGATGGAATACCTGTATCGCCGTAGCGAGTATATTCTGACTCGATCATGCTATTTCTCCGCTATGACAATGGCATGTAGCCGAGGCGGACGAGTTCTCGCTTGTTCGTTGATAAGGGACGCTCGGCATCATTCCGATTCTCCCCACCGCGGGGACGACGTTGAATGAAAAACGTTGAGAGCACGACCACTAAGACGGAAATTTAGGTGAGTGATTGGGATTAATTATCGTTTGCTTGTGCCCAGCTGGGTTTCATAAGTTCAGGCCATGTCTTGAGAAATCAAGGTGCTAGCTTATGCTAGAGATGCTGGAATCCAAATACATGCACAAGGATTATTGGCATCGCTGTTATGCTCTTTTGGAAAAGAGCTACGAACAGGCAAATTGTAATGGCGGCCACTCTAGTCTTTGAACCAACGATTTATTACGTTTAGTATAGTGAACATATCCAAGGATAAAGGCCATGAAGCTCAACCGTCCAGCTGGTCGAGGGTACCTAGTAGATTCTGGAATCAGACCCACGAGCCTATCGTGCTGCCTATTTTGAAGTGTGGACAGCAACCTAACGCAAGACGGGTCGGCAATTCGAGTGCGATATGCATGTGACCAGCCAAAAATATACACCTACTTAATTCAGTCTTCCAAGGTCGAGAGACTTGTAAACTCGATTGGGTACCCTTTTTCTACGGCCCGGCTCGTGTTTCATCCGGACATGCAAACGAATGATTACTTAGATGTCACCCTCATCATACAGACTTTTCAGATACTTTAGTCCGAAGTTAGTGGACGGCGTAAGACTTGGATGGCGACATCGAAAATTATCTTGTTGAGAGGTGTGACCAATAGCGTGATATATAAGCCCGCCATCATGGCAGTAAACTAGTATAACTTCGCGAAGCAAACCCTTTCCATGGATACTGTATCCAGCGGATCCTCACTGGTTAGAGCGGTTTTTCCCGATCGTATTGAACCGTATGCTTAACAAGACCATACTAGGGCTTGGGTAGTCGATGCGCGTACTCAGGTTCCTAATGCTAGCACTGACTCTGATCACCTGTGTTTCAGTATCCTCAACTGCCCCAGGCGTAAAAGCGGGCCCCCACTACTCTTGGGGGCATGGAAGAACCCGGACTTAGGATCTGCAGATCGTCGGGCTGTTCCTAGTGATCTGGGGCCTGTTCATGCCCTTCTTGTACATTCCCGGCTACGCTGAGTGAGTCGATCTTGATCAGCATGAGGATGTCGTTTTATTCTGTTGCGATTTCGAATGCTGGCTTGCTTTCCGGACGGCCTCTCGGCGGGAATTGTGGCATTACAATACTTTGATAGGTGCCTGCCCAGTCGCTTGGTGGTATTGTGGCGTTTTAAATCCCTTTTTGCTTCGTCTCTGGAACTTTCATTGGGCTCCCCCTCCCCCGACCATTGCCATGAAGGCCACGCATTCCAATGAGATTGGTTTTCCTCTGGGGATAGAGCCCGGGCCGTGAGGCATCTCTTGCTTGACTGGCACCCCGATCACTGGGGCCATGATCAGTCACTGTGGCACCTATTCCCCCGCTATGATGTTTGGGGGCGGGGCAACTGTAGTGGGGACGGCGATCGTATTTGCGGCGAGGCTGTGTTATGCTGGGTACATGAACTCGATCCACTCGAGTTTCAGAGTGTCAGAGATTCGAGACATAATAGACAAATTTCGGTTCCCTGATCATACGTATGTATGAAATGAGGCACTTTGTAATATCAATTATGTGTTTTGTGTGCCTATCTGTCTCCTTTCGCTTGTCGCCGAAGATTCTCCACCATTGAGCCTCACCTAATTGAATGCTGGTGCCTGAAACAGGCGGTGCTTAGGGACCCTAAAATGTGGAGATGCGGTGGATGTGTTGTGGATCCCGGAAGATAATCACAGCCAACCGTTAGGTTGTTAAGCTTTGTCGCCCCGTCTTGTCGAAGCTTGATGGGAAAGAAAAAGAAAAAAGAAGGGGGAAGTCCTGGTGGTTTGGCTGATGTGCTAGGGAGTATCGAGAGTTGCGCTATTTTGCTCATTTGCTGTTTCGCCGGGCTTCTTCTCTCCATTCGTCCTTTCCTTTGCCCGTGGTGCCTTTGCTCTATGCCCTGCTATGTTTCTAGGCGACTTTTTCTGAGAGAGCAATCTCATATCGTTCCTTTTTGCCCCTATTTTTCTGTTCTCTGTCGTTCTTTTTCTTTGGCCTCTTTTGTGATTTCTATTGCCAATCCCTAAGCGCCGCAGAAATGACAATTGTCGCTCGCCATGGTGCGAATCTGCGAGAGAAGCCGCTAGAGCCCATCTCCAAGCTGGCACCCTTCTCAGCCCTGATCATCTCGATTATCCTCGTGGTCTTTTTCCTCGTTCGTTTCTATGTCCTCGAGGGTTTCCTCATCCGCAAGGTGTATGGATCTATCTTCACCGACATGAGCGAACTGAACCGTCGCGGCTTCGTCAATCATCACATCGCCGGTGTCACCAAGATCATCATTCTGGCCATTGCCGCCTACCCATTCGTCGATATCACCTTCTGCCATGGAACATTTAACACGCCCTTTGCCTATGGCTCGACGGTCACTATGGGCGATATCCTGGTGGTGGTTGCCCAGATGCTCATCGCTATGTATATCTTCGAGCTGCTGTATCGGTCAAAGTTGTCGCCTGTTGCTGTGCTGCACCATGTCGGTACGATTCTCATCGGACAGTCCGCAATTGCCATTAGCCTTAAACTCGCCCGCGAACCTGACGCCGATATTGAATTTATTCTGTGTACTGTATGGGGTATGTTCAATTTGAAGTCCTAATCCCCCTTGATGTCTGCCGCATACTGATAGAATGGATTCTCTAGGCGCCTTCGACATCGTCTCCGAATTCTGTCCACACATCGCCATCATCCTCTACCGCGTATTCCCCCAACGCCACCTCTTCCTCAGCCGACTCTTCCTCCTCTCGTGCATCACCACCGCCACAGGGACCTTCTGTGAGACCATTGTGACAATGTGGCTGTTTGGCAGCTTGTGGAACCGGTGGGAGATTGCATTCAAAGTGGCCACCCCGCTGCTCCACATCGCGTTTTCAGCTGCACAGATCCACGGAAGTCTCGTCTTCTGGCGCATGTACCGCAGACAACAGCGCTTTCTGGCTGAGGAGTGTGCTGAAGATGTCGAGAAGAGTAAGGATGAGGTGGTTGAGTCTGCTCAGGCTCAAACAGTGGATGTTTCTGCGTCGAGGGAGGAGTTGACTCGGCCTGTTACATGATATATTTTCTTTCTCTCTCTCTCTTTCTCTCTCTCTTTCTCTCTCTCTTTCTCTCTCTCTTTCTCTCTCTCTCTTTCTTTTCACTTGTTTAATCTATCTTTCTGTGTATGTTTCTCTATGATGTATTATACATTTTACTGTTTTGTTTACTGTTCTGATGGATGCGTTTAGCAATTGCATAACTGCATGACAGGTGCCGAGAATCAATTGGCTTTACTGAAAAGGAGCCATACTCTGTTTGCTAGCTTATAAGTACATTTTGCAACTAATCTTTATGCTGATAAAACTCTTTCATGTCTATAAAGCCCCAATAATCTCCTTGATATCAGACGCCAACATCATTCTACACATCTTCCGGGAACCATGTCTGGCCAATATTGTAGTGACACGGAAGCAAAGAGTATTTTCTTTGTGCCATACCAAGAAAACAGAGGTTCCTTCCATCCCCGTCTGAGATAGTAGTAGGGCGTATCCAGCTCTTTTCATTCCTTGCTATTAATGTTAGGACTCCTTCAAATGAGAGGCTTCTTTCAATTTTCTTTAATGGATGATAGCCCCATGACTCCCTTTTATGGTGTGTCTGAGTGTTTCAATATTTTAATATGATCGAGAATTGTTTTGAGATGGGCTGTCAACATGGGGTGCTCATGACACACTGAGAGATATACCATGGTGTAAGAGTTGGACTCGAACATACAGCTATTGACAGCAAACAATGGATCAGAAACAACTGCAACAATGGAAGTATCTTCAATTTGAATAATCTTTGCTTTACCTATCGGGTGAAATTTCAAATTCATCTCGGCCGAATAGTGAGTTAAACTTAGTAAACAAAGGAGACTAGAGGTGCAGGAACAAAGAATAGCCCCATTTCCCTTCTTTCAGAGACTAAAGCAAAGATAAGAATATGGATAAAGAACAGATTGAATGATGGTATCCCTCGGTCAAGGAGTTCGTAAAAACATAACACATGAATGAAGGTGGCATCAACCTTGCCCTCAAGCCTCGCGCGATACTAGTTGTCCCTGTTAAAAGTCGGTTTTCCGCGACCACCGCTTTTCTTCGGTCTCTTTTCCACGCCTAGGCAGTCTTCTCGTGCTGCGTGGCGACTCGCTGAAGGGAAACCACTGTACTCAAATTAGCTGTCTGCCTAACCTCCGAAAGGACAACAGTGAGAACTTACCAAAGTCCTCCCACGATCGCTCTCGGGCCTTGCTGCGAGGGCTTCGGCCATGCATCAGGTCATCGAAGCCAGTCGAGTTCTGCAGGAGCGTGTACACCACCGCACAGACAACCCACACGCCAAAGGAGAACACCCACACGCGAACTGCGGCCACGATGGATGTGGGCCTGTCAGCAAAGACACCAAACACGCAGATAAGTGTTGCGGCAACATCGACCAAACCCACAGCGGCGGTGAGCTGGAGAGACGGGAACGAGGACCAGAAAGGGCCAGTGGTGCGGGTAGCAAAGATTAGCCAGTTTTGCGTGAGTGCGATTTCAAGGAACAACACGGAGTCGCGAGACCCATAGTTCTGCACAACACCTCCCTGGTCGCCCTGCAATAGCATGGTGCCAAATGCAATCCACGTTCCGGCAGCGAGAATCATACCCAGAATAAGCGCAATTCCCCAGAGCTTGGGCTGGTTCCACTTCACTGGAGAAGATGAATATGGCGCATTGTCATAGGCAATGGCCAGAGTGGCAATGTCGGCGAAGATGGCCAGCAGAACAACCAGTCGCAGGTCAAGCGTTTCATTCATAGCGACAATCCAGAGCCCCAGGAACAGCTCGAGGTGCAGGGACAGGGCAATGCGATACACCACATAAGCGTACATACGGTGGAAAATCTGGCGGGATGTCTTGATCGCGTCAATGATGGCAGACAGTCCAGGGGCAAGGAAAACAATGTCGGCAGCCGAGCGCGCAGCATCCGATGCGCCTTCGACAGCAATTCCCGTGTCAGCCTTTTTGAGCGAGGGGGCATCGTTGACACCATCTCCCGTCATTGCCACCAGGTGGCCTCGCTTCTGGAGAATCTCCACCACGCTGTACTTGTGCTGGGGATACACCTCGGCAAACCCATCGGCAGCCTCGACAAAGTCGTTGACCTCAGATCCAGGCATCGTGCCACCACCGGTGACGCCAAGACGTTCAGCATTGTAGATGTTGGTACCCAATCCAAGCTGGCGGGCAGTCTCGCGAGCAATGCCCACCGCATCACCGGTCAGCATCTTGATGGAAAGACCCAGACTCTTAGCCTCACTGATGGTCTTCGCGGTATCATGGCGAGGAGGGTCGGAGCAGGGCATAATTCCAAGAATCTCCCAATCGTTATCGCCACACTTGCGGGCAACTCCAAGGGCACGGAATCCACGGCTGGCAAAGTCGGTGACCTTTTCACGGTATGCGGCATCAATTTCCTCGGGCACTGGGTGGTCCTCCTCGACAGTCCTCAAAACAGCCATGGGAGCGCCTTTCACACACACAATTTGCTCTCCCTCGGGAGATTCCACAACGGCGGTCACCTTCTTGGACACCGGATCAAACGGGAAGAACTCTAGGGTTTTGAAAGAAACGAGCTTGGCCATCGCCTCAGGATAGCCCCGCAGACCTTTGATGAAGACCTTGTCGATGGCATCGATGCCCTTCTTCTTTCGGCTTGCGGCCAGACAGGCCGTTAGCATGAGCTCCTCACGACTGACATTAGGAGCAGTATAGGGCTCCCCCAGCGTGAGCTTGTTGCGTGTCAACGTGCCTGTCTTGTCAGAGGCGAGGATATGGACACCTGCCAGCGACTCAATGGCGGAGAGTCTCTGCACAATTGCTTTCCGCTTGGCCAGATAGGATGCTCCCACAGCCATGGTCGTAGTGACAACTGCTGGCAATCCCACTGGCACACCAACAATGGTGACTGCCAGAGTGAACTCCAGGATGTGAACGATAGGGTCCGACCGGTAGTAGGCGGCGATCCACACAACCAGCAGGGTAAAGACCACCAGGACCAGAAGAATAGTTCCAATCCGGTTCAGGACCAGAGTGAAGTGACCAGTACCGGCTGACGCCTGAGTGACTAGCGCTGCAGCACGGCCCACGAAGGTATTGTCCCCGGTGGCAGTGACGATCATCAGCGCCGACCCACGCTTGACAGTGGACGACGCAAAGCAGATATCGTTCTTGTGCTTGTCGACAGCGAGAGACTCTCCGGTGATCGAAGATTGGTCAACTTGGAGGTGGGCATCTTCCGAGGCAATGACCCCATCGGCTGGGACGATCGTGCCCTAAAAAGTATGCAGTCAGCGTATGTATTTCACTTTGGGGTCGCACGGTCCTGACGAACATCTTCCAGACGAACTATATCCCCTGGAACAACCTCCTCGGTGCCAATTTCCTTCGCTTTGCCGTTGCGGATGACGGTCGCCTTCAGTGCAAGTGTCTTCTTGAGATTCTCGACGATGTTGCCCGCATGGAACTCCTGGCAGAACCCGACCACTGCATTCAATCCAAGCAGGGCACAGATGACGCCGAAATCGATCCAGTCCTTGAGACCAGCTGCGAGGAGAGCCGCACCCTATGGTAGAGGCAAGCTAGTAAGTCCCTGTACCATGCGGAAAATCAAATCAGTGAGAACAGACATACCTCCATGACGAATTGGACGGGGCCGACAAAGAAGTTGAAAAACTTGATGAACAGGTTTCTCTTCTCCTCTTTCAAGCGGTTCCAGCCATACTTTTTGCGGCGATTGATCACCTCGATGTCCGTGAGACCCAGGCTGAGGCTCGTTTGCAGCAGCTGAGGTGCGACCGGCCGTTCTTCACCAGGCCCGATTGTGAGAACCTCTGGATCTTTTTCCTCGCCATCATCGGCCTCAAGATCCAAGATGAGGGCTTCCAGGCTCTCGTTGGTCTCGGTCTGTTCATTCCCTTCATCATGGTCATTGTTTTCAGCATGGCCACCGGTCCTGTCATGGTCGTTGACTTCACGGTGGAGATTGGGGTCGTTATGGTCGTGAGCTTCGTTCTGGCTGATGACGATAACCTCTTTGTCCTCTTCACCACAGTTATCATTGGGCGGATGGCTGCGAAGAGCAAGTCTTCTGGTGTCCATTGGGTCGGACATGATGAGCCACGCTAGAGTGAAGAGAAGACAATGAGCGACACTTCAAGCACTTCAAAGAGAAAAGACTGGGGACAGATAGAATAACTTGAAACAGGTCTTGGACAAGCAGTCACCAGGTAATGGGGGGAGATGTGGTGGAAAGGAAATCGAGTACAGCAACCCACCCTCGACGCAACTGGGGGCTGGCAGACTATAAGGAAACAACCATTACTTACTCAGATGCAGGAAGGAGCTTCTTTTAATTGTTTGGGAGGAAAGCTCGATGGACAACTGACGCGTCAAGGTAACAGAGAAGTGACGGAGGGAGAAGACGAAGGTAACAGAGAACGAGGTCGAGGATGGCAAGCGTGATGACTTCGAAGCCGGATTAGCCGGCGGATTATGATACCAGAGCCTCTACTAACGTTGCTATTGTTTTCTAGGCCTCTGCCATTTGATCTATCAGAGCTACAGACAGATTACCTCGTCAGCCTGGGACTGCCGAAGCCATGGAGCAGGGAAATCTCGACCGGATGCTCTCCATGGCAACCCACCAGTACATCTGGGTGTCGAGTAAGGGAGATACAACAGCAGGAACCTGCTACCGAATTGAGAAGTCTTGCACCAGTGGTTTGGCTAAATAATTGACTACGGCAAGTTGGATCAGCACCGAGATATCACAAAACGGCACCCCCCCCCCCCCAATATCCCAATCAAGCCCCTACAAACGTGCCATTCTTGTAGACGCTACACCAAAAGCGAGGAGCAGTCCATGTTAGATGTTACTTTGTTGTGATGGAGAATTTTCCATGCTCGGCTCTTTCAGGGAATAGAGTAGGTTTCAAACGCCGAGTACGTTCGAGGGACGGGCCAAGATTGGACGAACCGGAGCATAGCACGTCTTTCAGCTTTCCTTAGGAGATGAAAAAGGTCATCGCAGCGAAAATCGCCATGGAAACCTCATCGACGCAAGAAAATAAAACGCAAGAACCGCCGATTAGGGCAATTGCCGTTGTCGCCTCAGGCATTGATATTTTGCCCACCTGTTGACAGCCTCAGGCATCATTGCTCGGTCGGTCGATGCGGCTGAGGTTCCTTCCCCACAGTTGGAGTATCTACATCTCCGCACCCTCTTCCAACCTCAAAACCCGATTTTGTTTTGCTTCCAGAATTACTCTCAGGGGCATTTTCTGTGTCGTACACACAGCAGACCCGACTATTAAAATGACCCAGCCGGGAACAACGACATTTCCTGTCAGAGTCAGTCTATCAAGCAAGTTGATACAAACACGTGACTGATTGGAGCTATTCTTCTTCTCAATCGTTTGACCGGCCATTCTGATACTGCTACATGGTACTATCGTGCTCGTATACGATGCTGGAAATGCCTCGGCAGTTTGGTCTATTGGAAAAAGCGCCTTCTGCAAGGTGAAATTGAGTGTGCATGATACTACACCTGAAGCCACGACACTTGCGCTTTGTCCAAAACCAACAACCGACTTCGATATCCCCAGGGTTTTACATCAAACACAAGCCAATGATCGGATCTACCTCTTTGTCAGCAGGGTACCCGGTCGAACCCTCGCCGAGGCCTGGCCTACTCTAACTGAGAAATGGAGACATCACTACGTGAAGACCATCGTGCAAAACTGCGAGACTCTCTCGAACCACAAAGGACCTATCCTCGGGGGTGTCGATGGCATGGGTATATGCGAGAACTATCTCATCAAGTTCCAAGCCGAGGAGAACTACCCCCAGAATCTGCAGCAGACGTGAACTGCTCGGAATTGTTGTTTTACCACGCCGATCTCGGTCCCGGAAACATCATTGTGGAGGATATCCCGAAGACCGGCTCTGTGGGGATCATTAATTGGGAGATGGCGGGGTGTTTTCCGCGAGAATAGATGCGGACCAAGTTTCGCATCAGCAGTGGATTGGATCTTCCCAGCTCTGACACAGAAGAGCATTGGTGGCGGTTCGAAATTCAGAAACTACTGGGGGAGCATGAATTCCCGGATTATGTACCTCAATGGCAGGCGTGGTGGTATTGATATAGGATGATATCTTCTAGTCAACGACATATATACATTTTTCACTTAATCTTTCATCCCTCGCTCCCATGTTGCCATTCACAATGGTCTTGGACGTTGGCAGGTTTGAGGCTCGGTGGATGAGTGGGGCGATCTACACAGCACAGCATCACATCCCCCCCTCCACTCACCAAACAGGGAGCTACGAAATACAAGTTTACAAACTAGAAATCCAAGTTCGAAGCCAAAGTAATAAGAAAAATGGGTATAATCAACCTGTAAGAAAATGCTATGCACGCAAACCAATTCCCAAACAACACCCCCCTCCATACACCAATCCAACATCCCAAAAAAGGAACAAAAAAAAATACATCAGTCCAAGCCACCAGCCAACCACTCCCCAACTTCAACCCCAATCCCCTTAGCCAACTCCCCAATCCAATCCCCAGAAACATTAACACACCACTTATCACCCGCATCGGCACTGGTGTTCCCACTGCTCATAGCGGCCGCGCCAGCACTAGAGGCGGGAACCACGAGACGAAGACGACGCAGCGTAGCCAGTTCCGCGTAGATCTGGTCCGCGACGGCGCCGACGCGAATCGGGTTGGCGGGTGGGTTGGGATCGATGGCGTGGTAGATGGCGAGTAATCGCTCCAGCGGGAAGGGACGCGCCGTGAGGATGGTGGATGGGCCTGTGATGCCGGCGCCGCCGCCGATGGCAGATGTGGTGGCCGAGGAGGTAGCGAAGGCGGAAGACAGGGTTGATTTTGTGATGCGGGTTTTGGACCGTTTGCCTCGCTTGTTCGGGGTGGATGGGTCGGCCGCGGCGGCTTGGCGGTCTTCGGCCTGCGCTTGGGAAAGGACCTTGAGGCGGCGGCGGTGGTGGGCGCGCTTGTTACGTGCGGAGAGCGATGACGAAGAGAATTTCGAAAAGAAGATCGTGTCCAGGCGCTGTGGGGTATGCGAGGCCACATAGGCGGACGTCAGGATCAATGTGGAGAAGTACGGCAGAGATGGAAGTGACGAGGGGGCGGCAGTCGAAGCCAGCGGCGTTCGAGATGCCGTGCCTGGTGCAGGTGCTTCCTCGGGGACAATGCGGTGCACCAGTGCCGATTCACCCTGGTGCCGAAAGAGCACTCTGTTTTTGACCAGTAGCCGCGAGAAGTCCCATTCGTTATTTCCGCCTGGTGGAGTTTCGCCTTTCACCACGGGAGCAACAAATTGAGGCCAGAGTCGGTCGCATATAGATCGGAACGTGGGGATCGAGCCAACCGTCGGTCCAACGAGCGAGTCGTAAACCGTAGACACAAAATGTGGATATAACCTCGAGGAAGTCTCAGCAGGCAGACCGTCAACAACGGGTGCCCCCGTATTTAGCATGATGTCGATAGCATCCTTGCGAGTGTAGGGAGGGAAACTAATATGCGGGACGGCTGAATGCTGAAGAAACAATGGTCGCGGAGTAGAACTGAGGACCAGAACAACGCAAAGAGATGGAATCTGATCAACTGTCAGCAGTGCACCGAGAGACAACATTGCGCGCCCCAGCCTAGCAAAAACCCTCGACGAAAAGTACTCACAATCTCTCCGAGACGCGCCAATGCAGATAGCAATGTCGGCGGAGCCTCTCGTTGTCTATCAATTTCATCCAACACCAATACAAACTTGCCGGCCTGCTCGGCGGTTCTTGCGGCCAGACATTCCTCCAAGAGAACTGCGAGCATGCTCACATGCTCACATCTTCCCTTGCCAAATTTTTCCCACTCGTCCTTCTGGCCCAGGGCCTCTAGTATACCCCAGAGAATTTTTGTCAAAAGATGTCGGGCGGTAATGCACTCGGTGCTACGAACAATGGCGTGCGGCACTTCAAGGGTCGACAGGACGGCCTGGAGGATGGTCGATTTGCAGGTTGCGGAGATACCGTGAACCACTACTGTCGGAGGACTAGGGATATGAGGCTGTTTTTCATGAGATATATAGGTTAGTTACCAACCCTCGGAAAGTCAGGGTCTTCGACTGTAACGAACTCACACTGAGAAGACTGGCTAGTTGCTGCACCTGGACCTCACGGCATGGCCATTGAGGGCTCAGTGAGCGGGCAACATCTGCTGGTAACATCAGAGGCCAATTTGCTGGATCTCAGCTTCTGCTGGGACAGACAGAGTAAACCAAAGATCTTCGCCGTTGCATGATGGAGCTCCGAAAGGGTGATTAACAGCACGTGATCACGCGTCGCGCGACTTGAAGACCGCGGACCCTTCATCCCTCAGCCCTTAAGAGGTCTACAAACGATTTTCAGGCTTTTAAGATGGAGTGTAGAGATTTGGGGGAACTGAATTCATTTCCTGAGCCTAAAATACAGCATTGCGAACTATGGGTGGTGGAACAAGCATCTAGACGGTCAGCCATCCGATGCCAAAGCAGAGATCGCAAGGAAATGCGCAGTCGCAATTTCCCCAGACTCCACTCCATGTATCCTTCGAAAGCCCCATCTACAGGAATATCCCAGTCTGTGTGTTCAAAGAAACACTTCAAGCGAGATTTCCAGGCGAGGATCCGAAAGAACCAGCACAGCGTAGACGCATTGCAAAATCAAAACGCAAATACAGTTGGGAAAAAAAACAAATGGGATAAATGGTGAGTAAAAATCACAAGCAGGAAGGAGAACCACATCTCTTGGACAAGCCGAGTCTGCCAAGGTCCAAGGCAATGAAACGATCCCGAGAGACAACCATAGGCTTGAGCTCAGCAGCCAGCGCTTGTAAGATTTTTGGAGGGCAAGGGAAAAGTACAAAGGTCAGAAACAAAGTGATGGAAGACAAGGAGAAACATTGGGTCAATGGGGTCAAAAGACAAGAAAAGAAAAGAAAAGGCAGAGAGAAAATGCATCATGTTGGATTCGCTTCATGGAGAGTATGCAGGTATGCAACACAGGAATCCAAGTGCAATGGTCATGGCGCATTGCTTCATGAAGGTATCTTGGGAGAAGATAAAGTGCATGTGAACAAATGTCAGGAATTTCGAACGAAATGCTGGGTAAAAACAGTCCATGGATGGTCATGGCATATGCAACTGGCCCTGTTTCGGTGACAGCGTTAGAGAAAAAACCGTAAAGTCATGAAGGTATCGTGAAATCATCATTCACTATGGATACAGTGGAGCGAATGCACGGGCAGGTGGCATTTCCCTCAGAAGTAGGCAAAGACCTGGCCGTTGCTGGCAGTGGGTGGAGCCGCAGGACTGAAGATACCCGAGGTCTCGCTGTTGCCAGAGGGCGTGTTCGAAACAGAGCTCTGGGCAGAGACAGGGGTAAAGGGTTGACCACTGAGGCCGTTGAAGCCATTCGACACGGTCGGAGCTTGGACATTGCCCTGTTGGTACATGAAAGGCTTGGGGGTTTGGAGGAGGCTCTTCGGGATCTGGGTCGTGTTGCTCATTTCATTGGGGGTGGCCTGGCCACTGTTGGTAGCACTGCCCCTGGCGGAAGTCTCTGGGGACATCATCTTGCCAGCGATACGTCGACCGTGGGGGGTCTGTCGAATAGACGGCAGGATCGGCCGGATGGCATCCACAATTCGAGTGCGAGTTTCGGGGTCCGCAAAGTCCATGGCAGTTTGAACAACGTAGTTGGCAAACGAGTCCCGCAACATCCTTTCAAGTTCGCCGCCGGTGAGGATCTCATCAATCATCTGGTGCCTGGTAGGGCTGTCTGCAATCCGCAGGCATTTTTCGATCACGTTGGAGCTGAACTTCTGCTTGGACAACGAAGGAATGTTGCCCGAGAAGGTCTGGCACAGCGGATTGGTGAAATGGGGCTCGGCAAGATCCAGAATGTACTGAACAACGTAGTTCCCAAAGGGGTCCTGCACCAGAGCAAAGGAATTGCCCGTGATTTGAGCAATGAGACGGGCCTTCTGGGCACCAGAGGCATGGTCAATGCATCTCTGGAGAACACAGCATCCGTGGCGATGAGTGCCGACGACCACACAGTTGGATCCAACAGCCTCGTAGATGAACTCGGCATCTTGAGGCGACAGACGGTTCAGGCACTTCTGGATCACATGGTTTCCATTCAAGTCCTGCACCAGCTCAACAACGTGGTTCTCCAGGGCATGGATGACGGTCTGGGTCTGCTCAGAGGTCGAAATAAACTCGATCATCTTTTGCAGAGCACGGGTTCCATGCTGGTTGAGGGCAATCTTGACCAACTGGGGGGCAGCATGATCAATGAGGGCGGTGCGCTGCTCATCATTCGAATACTCGAGCAGCTTCTGGCAGAGGTAGTTACCGAACGGATCTGGAATTGAGTTAGTCTTGTGTCTAAGGGCCAACGATCCACACAGGGGCGGAATTTGAATTTCCATACCAGTCATCAATTCGATCACATGCATGTAAGTCTCGCTGAAGATCAGCTGCACGTGTTCAGGGTTGCGCTCCTCCAGCTTGCGTTGCAGATACCGACACCCATGCTGGTCCTTGCACAGGCTGTAGAGCTCTCCCTTGTAGTGCTCCAGGGGGAAATTGGCAAAGCGAGTCAGCTGGGTCGAGTCTGCATCGCCCTGGCGGCGCTGAACAATGCCACCTCGGTTTGCACCTTCGTTGAAACGATACCCGTTGGAGTAGTTCTGGTAGCCGCCATAGGCATTGGAGGCCGAAAAGGGAGCCAACTGATTGCCCGGCTGGCCCACTTGGCCGACAAATGGCTGAACCCCATATCCGTACAGAGGAGCCTGGAACGGGAAACCAGCGGGGGTGACAGTCCCTGGGATGTTGTTGCTGGGAGAAACCGTGGACAGCTGAGGCCCGAAAGGTGCCGCGCTCGCTTGGAGCATCGTTTGAGCTGGTTGGGTAGTGGCAAGCTTGGATTCATCAGCCTCCGGAGACTCCTTTGACTGCCGAGTGCCATTGACGGCACTCGGGGGGATACGTCCCATGCTGGCATTGTGCTGATGCAGGTGCTCCGCGTGGGTTTTGGGTGGGGTAACAGATGTGTTGAGCCCATTGCCCTTGACCGTAGGCAGGTCATTGGTGGAGTATGAAGATTGCAACGATGTGGGTCGGCTCGACGGGACAGGAGTTGCAGCCTCGTGGCTGCGCTCACTGTTGAAAAGCAAACTACCCTCCAAGGAGTGACGGGCGGCATGTCGTGAGGAATTGGCATTGTTGCCATGATCCTCCCCAGTCGGGCTGCTCAACTGCTCATAGCGCATGATGCCAGAGATGTTTTGGGGCATGCTCTGGTGCGATGAGCGGTGCCGGCTATGGTTCGAGTACGACTCCGGGCCAGGGGTGCGGGAATTGGCCAGGTCCAGAGCATCCGGATTGGCTGACAACTGAGCTGGAAGTTAGCAGAGAAACATTGGGTTTGATTTCATAACCAATCAACTGACCAGGTTCGAGCCACCTCGACGCGACAAAGTCGGGAATTTGTCATCCGGCTCGGTCAGCTTTATGTAACTTTTAATGTCCGGAGTAGACAAACGATCCTCGTCCCTCATGGGGGCCTTGTCCTCGTCGCTAGGGAAGAGGTACTTGGCAGCTGCAAATGAGTCGACGCCAGACCCGGTATTGAAGCCAGTTACATTCGGGCGGGGCTGGCCACCGAAGTTGCTCGAAGGCAACGAGTACCGATGGAGACTGGGATTATTAGTAAATCAAGGCCGCAGCAACCGAAAGGCTTCAACTCACTGAGGTCCCGGTCGAAAGGTAGAAGAAGGCTCCGCAATGAAGTCCTCCTTCTCAGAGTTCCGGCGAGATCCTGGGAGAGAGTGGCCCACGAACCGGTCGGCAGACTGGTTGGCGGTGTGAGAGGGTGCCTGGGGAGAGGTGATGTTCGACGGAGCAAAGGCATTGAAAAAGCCAGGAGATGAGGTCACGCTGGAGGTGGAAAAGCGAGCAGGGCGAGAGAATGCACTGGACACAGTAGGAGGCTCACGGTACTCCGGCGGAGTAGTGGGCTCACTAGCCCGACCGGACAAGCCAGCCTTAGCCAGATCTCGAGCAAGCTGATCCATCTCTAATTTTTCTTTCTCGTGCTGCATGTCCAGTAACTTCATGTCCTCTTCGAAACGCCTTTTCTGTTCTCGCATATATTCAATATGCTGACGTTTCTTTTCAAACTGAATCAAGTTAGAGAAGAGCAGTCAGGGAAGAAGAGAAAAAGAAAAAGAAAACGAGAAACGAGATTTGGAAACAGAAATATCGAGAGCAAAGAAAAGAACAAGGTGAGATCAGAAAAGGTAGAACATGGGGTGAGTGTCGAAAAGGTTTGAGGCAAAAAGAGACAAGACGAAACGATATTTAGAGTGCCTGTGAATGCATTTTAGGTATCTCTTCGCCAGGCGACAATAGCAGATAAGGCACCAGTCAATAGAGACAATGCTTCACAGCTGCCAGGCGGCAAACTCATCACAAGGCAACAGCGCCTTCAAGAGCGAAGAAACGCATTATATCTTCAATGTCAAAGGCAGAAAGGGAATACAGAGGGCATCGGCAAAATGAGAACTTATGCGACAGCCCTACGTCCCGCTATAACAGGAAGTAAGGCAGCAGTGGGCTCTCGGCCAAACACCCGGATATTGAAATGAGGTCCAAACAAACAGATATTGGAATACCGGCGATCAACAAGGAAACACTATGCTCACCGAAGATAACAGGTCCAACGGATCCGGCAATGGAGTGGCCCCTTGGTTCAAATAATTCCATGAAGACGAGAATTTACTCGAGTCGGTGGTGAATCGACGTTGGAGATTGGCACGCACTTCACCCGCGGGGCGACCAAACCCGGACCCGAAGTTCGGGTGACCGGGGGAAAGCGAGGTATAACCGGGGAACGCAGACTCGGACGGGGGGATCGTGGGGATGGGAAGCGCAGCTCGTCGAGGCGTTCACTCAGCCCATTCTTGAAAGCCATGGTGGGCAGAGCGACCGAGGGAATCCAACTACAGGGCCCGAGGGGTCAGCACACGGAGCTAACGAGGTCCAGGCGCACAGTGTAAAGAAGCACCCTCAAAGCAATTACAACCAGCCCCAGAGATTCCCAGGTTGTCTCCAGCTGTGTCCGGTGGCAGGGGGAAATTGACCGAAGGTGTGGATATGTTGAGCTGGCGGTGTGCTCCGCAAGTAAGGGGAACCAAGAGGGGCTGAGGGGTGGCGGAGACGATCTGCGCTCGCGAAAAGGACCCAACTCACACAACGAACGCCTCAAGAGGGATGGAAATTCAGGAGAGTCGAGTATCAGGTGGAATTGGCAAAATTCATCTATGAAACTTGTGTGTGGGAACGAATAGGTCGGGAGGGAAAATAATAATCAAAAATACAACAGTGTGTACCTAGCCATGCGGAGATCAGCAGGGAATCGCAAGAGGGGGGGGGATGGAGCAGACTCACCCACTTAGCGACCAAACGAGAGTGTCGCGAAGAACCCAAACACAATAATCCCAAAAGAATGATACAAGAGATGTTGTACAAGAGAGAGGTGGAAGGGGAGAGGGAGAGGAAGAGAAGGAGAGAGGAAGAGGAAGAGAGAGGGAGAGAGGGGAGGCGGCTGGGAGGTCCAGAGCGGAGCGGGGAGACACTCGACCCTTTTTTGTTGGCTAAGCGGGCGCTTTTTTTTTTTTTTTCTTTGTGTTTTTTCTCTGTGTTTTTCTTGATGTTTTGTGGTTTGTGGTTTGTGTTTTCTTTTCTTTCTTTCTTTTTCCCGCTTTTACTGTGAGGGCTTAGGACCAATTCCTCTACTTCCCGACTCTCCGGGACGAGATGTTCCCTTTCCTGATTTATATTTATTTATAATTATTTATTTATTTATTTACCTAGGCTCGGATGCATACAGCTGAACATCAAACTGACTCGGGAATCATTCGGGAACCCCAAGTATGATTGGAGAAGCTCGGGGAGGTTGTACAACACAGCTCCGAGTCAAACCAAGAGAGGCTTGGAGTGCGGGACACGAGTGGTCAATTCCTGGACCGGGAACCTCCCTGCTTGCATGGTCATCGTGAGATCGCGCAAGGGGGGGGGGGTTATTTCAATGCGTTGGCGCGAGCGTGGCAGCTGCAAGTGCGCATTTTGCATCATTTCTCGAGTGGAGTATTTCCAGTGCCCGAATGTGACAGCGGATCCACGGGTGTTGTGGTACCTGAATGTTAGAAATCCTCGCCCGGGATGTATAGATTGTGGTTTGGACTTGATTCTATGGATTCCCGCGCGTGGGAATGGTTCGTTGATTCGGGCCCATGGGTCTATCAACCGTGGAAGACAGTATAAAAGAAATAAAATACTGGTCAACATAAATGACTATAGTAATATATAGTAATAATATAGTAGTATCCATGGATATGATAAGAGAGAAGCGGTGTAGCCCCTGATCCACACTTCTGTTCATCTTCATTCTACGCCAATCATTCCTCTCATCCCCTCCTATCTGCCCTGAAATCATTTCCGATCTGATCTCATGGGAGACGATCACAGTGATACATCCAACCCTATGGAGTACATACCTCGAAGGATTCATGGAGTGGAATGGGACAACCCCCCCCCCCCCCTTTGGGCGCCTTTCATGCCCGACGCCAACGCCTGCTCCATTTCAATGCGCCTCGGTCTAGCCGATTCCTCTATCGTAGCGACGAGCCATCTGTCATGAAACTGGTTCCATGTTCGCATTGCTCATGCTCTTCTTCTTAATCTCTGCACGGTCTGGCCGATAATACAGACTGTGAATCTGTGAATACCACTCCCGGTCTTGGTCATGGGACTGACATATACTTCCAATACATCCATGGATTTTATGTACTGGTGGTTCATTTTTGGCCGAAATGTGTCTTCATAGTGCTATAAGTGAAATACTCCCATCTTGCCTACACTTGATCGACATCGTTATCGCTGCCCCCCCGTCAGACGCATGCAGCAGAGCTGTGTCTGGGGGCAAGAACTCTTCCCCGCCATTCATTCGGTAGAATTGCGGTCAAACCCCCCTTGGCTCGCCGCTTTGCTGGATTTCTGGTCGCGATTCTCTCGTAGTGTCACGGAAGAAGTCCCCGTGCAACCGCTCGATCAATAATATCCCTCTTTTTTTCAGGATCCTTGGTTTTTAAATTGATGGTCTGTGGTGAATCGAAAAATATATTACAAAAAATAGAATAAAACAAAATAACCAGTCATTTTCCGGTGACCTTGCCTGGTCAAACTACAGCTCCACGTTCCATTGGTCGTCCATATTTACTTCGTCATAGCACACCTGGAGAAGATCTCCCCAGTTTCAAACCCGTCGTCCGTGCAGATACAAAACGTCCGGGGCTGCCCATGCTGCAGGCGCAAGGAATATCAGGGACCCACTGAGACACGGGCAACCCAGGAAATCTTGATGCTATCTCCACTATCAAGTCTATGGAATAGGTTATTTAACTTCTGATGGTTTGAAGGGGTAAAAATGTAGACATGAATCATGGATAATTTTCAGAGGTCCTGCTGGTGGAACTGATTGTTCATGCCATTGAAGTATATATTTTTCTAGGTGAATGCTCCGATCCGAGTCTTCTCGATTGTCAGGACAATGGATATGCCTCAATCTCAAACAAACCCTGGGCTCAATATTTTTTAATCCGTTATTTTATCATGCAAGAAATTTTCTCGAAAGCTATTCACCCTGAACTTGTCTCTTTTCTGCAAATCGAAACATGCGACTGCCTCAGGTGTCAACAGGATGGATGAGATAAGCCGTCTCCAACTTCTCAGATCTTTCCCCTCCATGCGGAACCGTCACCAAGACCCTACTTTGTCCTGACGTTTTGGCTTAAAGGCTTCGAGATCGCCTATATCTAGGCCTCAGCTTCATTGCCAGAATGCCGCCTCGCAAACGGCCGCAGCCCTCCGCGGCTAGCCAGGCCCGATCGGCACGCCCCTCAGAGGTAACAAAACTTTTTTTCCCATGAGCGCATGTAGCTTGGTTGTTGAGTTTGCTAATCCTTTGGTCTGGAAACAGACTGTGGACCTCTCAGCGACTGAGCCCTCCAAGCGAAAACGCCCCTCACAATCCAAACAAGTTCCTGAGCTAACGCGACCGACCGAGCCCAAACCCTCCGAGGGCTCGGAATCTCCGCAATACCAGCACCGCGACCCTTTCGATGCGCTGTTGGAACCGTTCTACTACAACAAATCGCTCACCGATCCTATCGACACTGTCAAGGATAAATGGAACCTCCTGCCGGCCTTTCTAAAAGTTAAAGGTCTGGTGAAGCAGCACATTGACTCATACAACTACTTTGTCGAGGTGCAATTGAAAAAGATCGTGGAGTCCAGCTCGACCATTCGCAGCGATGTGGATCACCATTTTTATATCAAGTTTACCGACATCTACGTCGGCTCTCCTCGACGCTCAGATGAGAACCAGGATGCCGAACTCGAGTCCGAGTCGACTGTGACCCCGCAAGAATGTCGGCTGCGAGACACGACCTATGCGGCGCCGATTCTGGTCGATTTTGAATACGTCCGTGGTCGCCAAAGGGTTAGCCGACTAGGAGTTCTCATTGGCAGAATGCCGGTCATGCTTCGCAGCTCCAAGTGTGTGCTGGCGAACAAATCGCCCTCGCAAATGAGCGTCCTCAATGAATGCCCTCTGGACCCGGGTGGTTACTTCATTGTCAACGGAACGGAAAAGGTCATTCTGGTCCAAGAGCAGCTGAGCAAGAACAGAATTATCGTGGAGACAGACCCGAAGAAGGAGATTGTGCAGGCTTCGGTGACGAGGTATGTAGATTAACACCCTGGTCTTCGCTTGAGGTGAACGCCTGCTCATTTTTCTACAGTTCTTCCAATGAGCGAAAGTCGAAGAGTTACATTATCCTGAAGAAGGACAGACTTTACGTGAAACACAACGTGCTCAGCGAAGATATCCCTATCGTCGTGTTGCTGAAGGCCATGGGGATCACTACCGACAAAGAGATGATGCTGCTGGTCACTGGAACTGATGCGCTCTACCAAGATGACTTTGCCATCAACTTTGAGGAGGCCATCAATGTTGGCGTTTTCACCCAGCAGCAAGCCCTGGAGTGGATTGGATCTCGGATCAAGATCAACCGCAAGCAATCGACCTACCGCCGGACCCACGTTCAAGAGGCCGTCGAAGCGATTGCGTCCGTGATCATTTCTCATATCGAAGTCAAGGACATGAACTTCCGACCAAAAGCCATCTACGTCGCCCACATGGCCCGTCGTGTGTTGATGGCCAAGAACGATGCAACGATGGTAGATGACCGCGACTACCTTGGAAATAAACGGCTGGAGCTGGCAGGCCAGCTCTTGGCTTTGCTTTTCGAGGATCTGTTCAAGAAATTCTGCTATGACATCAAGCTGAACATCGACAAAGTCTTGAACAAGCGCAATCGGGCAGAGCAGTTCGATGCATGGAGTGTCATGAGTATGCATGGCAACCATATCACTCAAGGCATGAATAGGGCCATTTCCACAGGAAATTGGAGCCTGAAGCGTTTCCGTATGGAGCGTGCTGGTGTGACCCATGTTCTCAGCCGACTGAGCTACATCGCTGCTCTCGGTATGATGACCCGTATCAGCAGTCAGTTTGAGAAAACCCGCAAAGTCAGCGGTCCTCGTGCCTTGCAACCATCCCAATTTGGCATGCTTTGCCCGGCAGATACCCCAGAAGGAGAGGCGTGTGGTTTGGTCAAAAATTTGGCACTCATGACCCATATCACGACCAATGACGAGGAAGGCCCAGTGCGGAACTTGATTTTCATGCTGGGTGCTGAAGACATCTCGACTGTCAGCGGCAAGCAGCTCTACGCACCAGGCTGTTACACAATCTCCATCAACGGAACGCCGACTGCTCTGACTCGACGCCCGAAGCACTTCCTGAACTCTTTCCGCAGGTTGCGTCGTATGGGCCGCATCTCGGAGTTCGTGAGCATTTACATTAACCACCACCAGCGTGCTGTTCATATCGCGACCGACGATGGGCGAATCTGCAGACCGCTCATTGTTGTCGAGGATGGGAAGTCCCGTGTCAAAAACCATCATCTGAGCAAGCTGCGAGAAGGGAAGATGTCTTTTGATGATTTCCTGGCCCAGGGGCTGGTGGAGTACCTGGATGTGAATGAGGAGAATGACTCCTATATATCCATCTACGAGAAAGAGATCAACGACGCTACGACCCATCTCGAGATCGAGCCGTTCACCGCGCTTGGAGCCGTCGCCGGCCTCATTCCTTATCCTCACCACAACCAGTCTCCTCGTAATACCTACCAGTGTGCCATGGGTAAACAAGCCATTGGTGCCATCGCCTCGAATCAGCTCCAGCGCATCGACTCTATCCTCTACCTCATGGTTTACCCACAGAAACCGATGGTCAAATCACGAACCATTGAGCTGGTGAAATACGATCAACTCCCCGCAGGTCAGAATGCGACTGTGGCCGTGATGAGTTACTCAGGCTACGATATTGAGGATGCTTTGGTGCTGAACAAGGGCTCTGTGGACCGTGGGTTTGGACGGTGCCAGGTCTTCCGCAAATATGTCACCAACTTGAAGAGTTACTCCAACTTAACCAAGGACCGACTGAACGGACCAGAGTATGAGAACGATGCACCGATCCGCAAACACGCGCTCCTTGAGAATGACGGTCTGGCCGCGGTCGGCGAGCAAGTCAACGCCGGCGAGGTCTACATCAACAAAGTCATGCCTGAACAATCGCATACAATGGGCCTCGGAGGCTCCGATACTGGCAGACCCCCAGTCTACCACCCAGCTCCCATGACCTATAAGCTCCCCGACCCGGCATACATCGACAAGGTTATGGTCTCTGTCAGCGAGAGCGAGACGCAAATTATCAAGGTGTTGACCAGACAGACCCGCCGCCCCGAGGTTGGTGACAAGTTCTCGTCGCGTCATGGACAAAAAGGTGTTGTTGGCATCATCGCCGACCAAGCCGACATGCCCTTCACCGACCAAGGAATCAACCCGGATATCATCATGAACCCGCATGGTTTCCCATCCCGTATGACAGTCGGTAAGATGCTGGAGCTGGTCGCCGGTAAAGCCGGCGTGCTCTCGGGCCAGCACGGCTATGGTACATGTTTCGGCGGCAGCCCCGTCGAAGAAATGTCGCAGATCCTGATCGACCGCGGCTTCAGCTACGGTGGCAAAGACTACCTCACCTCGGGCATCACGGGCGAGCCGCTTCCGTTCTATGTCTTCACCGGCCCCATCTACTACCAGAAGCTCAAGCACATGGTCCAGGACAAGATGCACTCGCGCTCGCGTGGCCCGAAGGCCATCCTAACCCGACAGCCTACCGAGGGTCGTTCGCGTGATGGAGGTCTCCGTCTCGGTGAGATGGAACGTGACTGTTTGATCGCTTACGGCACCAGCCAGCTGCTGCTCGAGCGTCTGATGATCTCGTCCGATCGCCACGAGGTCGATATTTGTGAGACCTGCGGCTTTATGGGGTATTTGAACTGGTGTCCTCGGTGCAAGTCGTCTCGCTCGGTTTCTAAGATGGTTATTCCATATGCGGCCAAGCTGCTCATCCAGGAGCTGATGAGTATGAATGTCACTGCTCGCCTGAAGATTGACGACGAGTTCCCGGAGATGAAGGGACGATAAGACATCTGGTTTTGGGTCTTTTGGCTGATGGAAAAAAAAAATTAGAAGAACAAACGTGATGCATAGCGGATTCTTCCAAAAGTTGGTGTATGTATTTCTTTTTTATTTATTTTCTTTTGCATGTATAGCATAGCGAGGCGATCTGGCTGTTACTTCGACGGCTCTCAGCCCTAAATCAATATCTGATTCTCCGTTTTCCTGATTACCATAACTACGAGTTTCCCTAAGCTGCATCAATAGCATCAAATTAAACCTGATTTTATTCTGATCAACAAGAAGACAACATTTAAACCGAACAACAAAGTCTCAACACAACCATCAACCCTCAAAGCATCACAACATTCGACTCAAAAGCCACATGCTGATAGCGCGTAAACTCAATAATCTCATTCAACAAATCAATCCGCGTCGCCAAAGCCTCATTAAGACTCACAGGCATCGACCCCCTCTTATCCCGATTCTGAAGCGCCAACCTCGCCATCGACGTCGACAAATCCTCATCCTCGCGCTTGTCATCACTCAGCGTCCAATCCAGCCGCTGCGGCGGAATATTCGCCGTCGAGATGATCCGGATATTGGGATCAACGAGCAGGAACACCAGCGCGCGCGCGTACCCGGGCTTCGTTTTGTCTTTCAGCTCGAACCGCGTCAGCCGGTGCTGCACCGTGCTCGGGTACATGACCGTGCGGCCGACCTTGCACCGGATCGAGCCCGAGCACTGGACCGACGGCTCGCCGTTTTCCATGCCGTAGACTTGGCGCAGCCAGATGAAGTCGTTGGGCTCGTGCTCGACTTCGGCGAGGGTCGCTGTTTCGACCATGTTGCGGAATTCCATGTATGCTTCTTCCATGTTCTCTGAGTCGTAGGTTAGGAAGGCTGCGGCGCAGATGTGTTCGTTCTGGACGGGTTTAGTTAGTGTATCTCTCTCTTTCTCTCTCTCTCTCTTCCTCTGGCATTCTCCTCGGGGAACAGTCTATTCACTCACCATCTGCCCCTCTACATGCCAGTCGCTCTGGAAATACGGGTCCTCGGGCTTGAGATCCACCCCGAGAATCCGCGTGATGACTTGCAGCCCGCATTCTCCATAGTCCTTGTTCAGCTCGACGCCCTGCTCAATACGCACAGGGCTAGGCAGGTCCTCGGGCAGCTTGTTCATCAGCCACGGTGGCACCGCCCAGGGAAGAAACGTTCCCGCGTCAGGCTGGATAGAGCGATACGTCTCTATGCACCACTTCTCATAGCGTTCATCGAACTCCGTCTGGGCCTCACGCGGCTGGATCTTAGGTATCTGGTCGGCGATATCCTTGGGCAGCGGATAATACTCCGCCTTGTGGTACTCGATACGGGCGCGCGAGTGCAGCATATCCTTGAGCGGAGTAAGGGTTGCGTTCCACTGCGGAACCAGGCAGTTGAAGGCCTCCTCGATCAGCTTGTAGATGTTGCGGTGCTTGACCGGGTGCAGGTTGTTGATATACGTCGCGATGTGCCAGCGGTTGTCGTCGCGCAGCTCAAAGTCCGTCGGCAGCACCTGGAACCACCGGCTATACGGCCGCACCTGGATATCTGCCCGCGATAGTACCCGCCATGCGATGTCCTCGCGCGTGATCCCTGTTTCCTGTGGCACGGGGATTACCTCACCCTGGCCTGCATGCTCGAGCGCGTTGTCGAGTGTGATTAGCTTGTCGGGCAGAATCCGGCTCTTGCCATATACCAGCGGGTACAGGGCCATGGCGAGGAAATCGCGCTGTTTTTTGTAGCTGCCCGGGTTGTAGAACTGCAGCTCAGGCTCGTCGAATTCCAAATCGGGAACCGAGTTTTTCAGTTCTTGGACAACTGACTGCGGCACGATCGTGTCGGATTTGGTGACATCGCCGTTGTAGAGGGCGACCACGTCCGTTGCGTCGTAGATCATGGCCTTGAACTTGAGCTCTTCGATGATCCATTCCGCCATGTTGAGGGTGATGTCTGCCCTGGTATCCATGGCGTTCTTCTTCCAGTCCTCGGCGACGCCAGGTTGAAAGATCTGCGAGAATGATGCTCAGCGGAGTTTGGCCAAATCAGGCTAAACAATGATATTCTTACCTTCTTCCACCATTCGGGAATATCGGTCAGATCTTCCATGACATCGACCATTTGGATTTCACGGAGTGTCTGCACAGGGAGGCTAGTTCACGATTTTGTTAGGTATCGGGTTGCCTTTCAACATTCGTATATCCAGACACGCTTACTCTGCATATCCGTGCTGGATGTCCCTGTCATCTAGAGCCGATGGGAACATACTCCTTCTCTCGACGCCATAGATGTTTTTCTCCCGGGGTGCAAAGTCCAATGGTCGGCCATAGCCTGGAAGAAGAAAACGATCTTCCAGGGTCTTGCCTGTGCTGATAAAGCTTTGCTCGTTGGCTCGGTGTTGGAACATGGCTGCTACCAGATTGACTAAAATAGTGTGAGGCCGCTTCTTGACAAAACACTGTAGACTTTCACTGGTAAGATATTCGGGGCAATACAATGGACGAAAAGACATCAACGGCTATAGTATGCGCAGTGCCGAGTACTGGGTAAAGTTTTGACGTAGACCAAGAATTAGCTGACAGTAGTGGTGCAGCGATGTCGAGCTGTCGTTGTCATCATTGATGAGTTACAGTCTGTCTTTTGGAGGATAGCGGAACTTTCTTCCGACAGTTCACGCTCGCGGCCAACAACGGAATTAGGGCAAGGCAGGCAGATTGCGATGGTCATAGTGACCAAAGCCGACCTGGGAACCATGGGAAGAAAGAAACCCAAAACTACAAGATAATACCAATAGATCATTGCAAATAAAGACAAGAAAAAGATTATTTGATTTACCATCTGGCTTCTCTGAGCAGAAAAGCCGCGCGAAACCACGGCTATATCTATATATTTATCAACACAAAACTGCCGCTTTTTCCTCAGCACAAAGTCACGGAGACACAAATGCCACCAAGTACTCGTTGATAACCCCCCAATAGCGATCGGGCGCCGCTCTCATAAGGCCGACATGAGGGGCACCCTTGAACAGTTCACGCCGCACGATTAAGCCCTGAGCTTCCGATTCATCGGCATGCTTCTCCACATCACGCGGATCGATCAGGCCATCAACATCGGAGTACAGATAGCAGCGAGCCAGCGCGCCCTTGCTATTGACAGCCTGCACTAGGGTTGGATCATTGATAACGCGGTTGGCTAGAGTAATAGGATCCAAAGACCGGGTGAGAGTCTGCACCAATTTGGCCAGCGACAAAAACAAGTACATAAACCCCTTTCCCACGAGACGCAAGAGCCAGATATCAGGGAGAGCATAAGAGATCGCCGTGACTGAGCTGGGGATGCTCGCGGTGCCGGGGGCGCTGTCGACGATCATCGACGAGATCGGTAGCGGGGTCCCAGTCGCGGCTTTGTAGGCTTGCAGCACATTGGAGATGGTGAACAGCCCTCCGTTCGAGAAGAAATGCACAAAGACCGGATTATCGAGGGAGGCAGAGGCGCGTAGCGCTTCGACCGCTGGCGCGACACGAGCTTGCTGCGCGCGGGCTGTGGAGTGCCAGAGGAGGTCGGTCGAGGAGCTCCCCACGAAGATGATTCGTGCCGAGGGTACGAGCTGCCTGTACGCGACGAGATACTTGGCCAGGGTGCGTGGCAGCGCATTTAACCAGAATGCTATGAAGATCACGGGCCCGGGCTTGGTTGGCTCGACTGGGTCTTGCATGTAGACCGACGGGCCCAGCTTGGTGAAGGATGCCAATGGGTTCTCGGGGGTGGCCATGATGTATGTGACTGTCCGAAGGTGAGAGGGATTGGATCTAATCATGCGAAGCTGAAGATTCGCCGATCCCGTGCCAAGTCGCACTAAAGAGATTATCGATCTTTGAGGAAGTTTATTGATTTGGAATGGCTGCGTGTTGCGGTGCTAGTTGTCTAGAGGCAAGGGGGAAGGGGGAATAAATGCTACGCGATACGTCGAAGTAGGAAAAGGCAGAAGGAATAAAAGAGAATACTTGAAGGAATTCATTCCCCGCAAACGCCCATGGACTTCATCTAAAGTTCTCATTATCTAGAGGCCTTGAAAGGTATCGTAAGGTAGTTTGGAAGATCACGAATGGACTATATCAACGTCGAGTGCCTCCCAAGGTGCGACCGCTTCCATGCGACTTTTGGTCGCGCTCCTTGCCCTTGTGGCTCTCGGCGTCACTGCCAGAGGTGGGAGTTGCCGACTCGCCCAAGTCCTTGCGCTTCCCCCGCAACGTCTGACCCGCTCCTTGGAACTTGGGCTGATCTTCAGGGACCAGCATTCCGTTCTCGTCGCGCTTTTTGAGCGGCTTGATGGCGTATCCGAAAAAGAGTTGGTTAGGTTGGAGGCGGAGGGGTTGTGGGCCGTTTGTTGTTCGGGGTGGTGGGTGATGTTGGGGATTTGTAGCTCCGGGAGCTGGGGTAGTAGGTTTTGGCGTAGGTGCTTTGCTGCCCTTCTTGGCGTTAAGACGCTGTCCTCCTGTCAGAAAATTCGAGGAAACGGCCCGGGCACCGGCGGCGGCATCGGTTGCCTCGGGGGCAATGGCGGCGTAGTTGATGGATTGGGCCATAGTGCCCTGAGGATGCAACAGTCCGCCCGCCGGGAGCTTTCCACCGACCACACTGCCCGGGGTGCTAGTACCACTGGCCCGTTGCGACTCCTCAAATCCCACCGGAGGAGCAAAATCGACTTCCAGGTCAGTCTCGAGAACGGATACCGCGTTTTTAGACCCAGCTGGCTTGGTCTCCAGGACCGCCATTTCATAGACCTGATCATTATATGCAAAGGTAAAGACATCGCCCTTGGTAAGACACGAGAAGTTCCGGAAGGCATTTTCAAGCACGGCTTTGGGGTCGCTGATATCCAGGAAAGATGTCGACTGAGCTTGGAGCTTGATGAATTGCCCGGGTGGGAGATCTGTAGATTTGATTTGGAGAAGGTCTCCAGGTTCGAGTAGAAGTGTTTGCATGAGCTGTAAAATGAAACGCATTAGCACAGGCCGAGTATCCAAGTCATCAACAGCTTCCTCTGTACTCACCCAGAAAGGCAGGTATATTTTTCCCTCCTCCGCAATGAATTCCAAAACACCAGCATGGGTCATTCTTTCTTTGGCGCCATTGTGCAGCTCGAACAGCATTGGATAGGTGATGTGGAGTCGAGTAAGCTTATCCAAAGCACTAGGCGGCATGATGACCTTGCCGCCATGGTTGACATTCTCTCTTTCAGGACCAGGCAGCATGGCAACCGGGTAGCAGCGATAGTATTCATCGAAGCGGCGGGCTGTGGCGCCGGGACGCAGCATGCCGGAGCCCAGGACGCCCTCCATGGGGTCATCAGTCCAGTAATCGGGCCGAAACTGGTGCTGTTAGAAAATGTTGAAGCTGGAGAAAATTCTATAGAAAAGAATGCTCACCATGATGGATGTGAATAGTAAGAGAGAGAGGAGGGGATGAGGGAGAACGACGGATGCCTCTCAACGGCGAATTCCCGCGTAGTGACGCAAGTTCGCTCCGCCATGATTTTCCGCTCCGACCCCAGACGCGATGAGAACCCCGACAGCTTTCGCTTTTTAATCTCTTGATTCTTACCTTAAGCAATTAATTTTCTCTTGAGCCACCATGGCAAGCTCACTACCGCGCCCCAAGCGGGCTGGGGAGGACTTTGCCCGCACACACCAAGACGAACAGGACGGCCCGGCCGAACACAAGAAACCGCGATTCGACCTGCGCAATCCCTCCGCTCTTGCGCCCGACGCCCTCGAAGAAGATGCAATATTGGACGCTGATGAAATTGGCCGAAGGGGGCAGCAAGTGCGCCGAAAAGCGATCAACCTGGATGGCTACGACTCCGACAGTGACAACGAGGGTTTCTCCGCGCGCATCGAGGAAAAGGGGAAGCGCAGCCGGGCCAAGCACGATGCAGACGATGACGACATGTTCGCTGAGCTCCAAGAAGATTTTGGCGAGGAGGAAATTGACGCGGATGAAGCGATGCGCAAGAACAAGAAGACAGTCCGCTTTCTTCGCGACGATGAGATCCAGGGACAGGTTGCCTCCTCGAAAGGTGGCGGTAGTCTACATGCAGATTTGAGCAAGGGACCCGGTACCATCGACGCCGAGGAGGAAGAAAGCGACAGCGATGTCGGGGAGGAAGAGCGCGCAAAGGCTGACGACGAGATGGATGATGAAGTCGGCGCGGGGGCTAAGAAAAAACACGCGCCTCTTTTGGATGCCTTCAATATGCGGACTGAGCAGGAGGAAGGTCGCTTTGATGACCAGGGTAACTACGTTCGGAAAGCTGCGGACCCAGATGCGGTCCACGATACATGGATGGATGGGCTGTCTAAGAAGGACATCCGCAAAGCAAAGGAGGCCGCCGAAAAGCGAGAGGTCGAGAGAAAGGAGAAGGACCGCGCGGATGATAGTGTACTGACATCCGATGTGTTGACAACAATCATCACCCACCTCGAGCGCGGCGAGACAATATTGGAAGCGCTCGCCCGGCTCGGGAAGGGCCTCCAACGCAAGCCGAAATGGCAAGCCAAGAAGAAGAACAAGAAAAATGGCACATCCGAGGATACCGAAATGACAGAGGACAATCCAGAGGAGGCTGCTCGGAAGGAGGCGATCAATGCAGTTACTGGCGCTGCCGATATCCTCATGGGCCGAGGCCAAGCAGATATCTATGACACCGAACGTGAGCTCCTTACTCGGCAGTATCGCAACGAAATGGGCGAGCAGTGGGTCGATCCGCCGTCCACATCAGAGGATGTGGCGCCCGACCAAGCGCCTGGGATGTGGGAGTTCCGCTGGTCGGACGCTCGAGACGGAGGAGACGCGCATGGGCCGTACGACAGTGCAATGATGGAGTCGTGGCAAACTGCTGGCTACTTTGGCGAAGGCGTCGAATTCCGCCGGGTCGGGGACACAGGTCCGTGGAGTCGCACTGTTAGTTTTGTGTAATATAGAAGTGTCCGCTACACGCAGAGACAATTGGACCATGAACTGTTTCTTGCGAGAGTCATCTTTAAAGAGGACATCAATTCAATTCCCAGGAAAAATCACAAGCGCCAGTCCTATCATACATCATTTGATGCGACCATAAAAAACAAAAGCTATCGAAATCCTGTGTAGTTTTCTTCGACCCGCTGAACCATTCTCCAAACACTGAACATGTGTCTTTGAAACAAAAGGGTGAAACAAGAGCCTACCAACTCGGCGTTAGGAAAGCTCCATGGCGTCGCCGTTGGTAGCGGCGGAGAACGAGACGGCGCCCTGGTCGCCGATGAAGCGTTGCTCGTATTGGTTGACAAACTTGACACTGCGAGCTGGGTCATAGAACAAGCGGAAACTGCGCTGAACATCGTCAATACTGACCTCCTTGGCCTTGCGCTTCTGGCTCAAGAGATGGGAGGTGGTGATGATGTTGCTGGCATAACGGAGGTTGGACTCTTGTCCGATCTTTGTCAAAAGAGCCAAAGCGTCCGGCGACACATCGATTTCCTCCTCTTGTGCGCGGATGGCGAGGATTTGACGAATATCGTCTGCCGAGTAGAGCTGTGTGCTCACGATCACCACGCGATCCAGGAAGTCGAGGGGCAGGCCATGAGGAGACGTGTATGTGGTACCGCGGATCCGTGCCTGGCCGCGATTGCTGGCCATGATGACGATAGGGGCCAATTCAGCCTCAAGGGCACGGTTGATGTAAGAGAAACACTCGATGTCAAGCATGTGGACCTCGTCGATGAACAAGACACCGGGAATAATCTCTGCCTTGCCTTCTTCCTTCCACTCGGCCACCTTGGTGTTGATTTGGTCTCGAACCTCACTCCGGATCTCGCCCGTATCGCCGGAGAACAGGGCCAGGAAGCCTTGCGAGCGCGAGTTGATGACATCAATCTCGTGCAAACTAACGGTGTGGACGATCTCCTTGCGAACCTGGAGCTCCCCCTCGGGACATTGCACAAACTTGGTATCGGCGCCCATTGCATCGTAGTCGCGCGACCGAGCATATGACCGACCCAGCTTGGTGATCTTGCCTGAGGACTTGTCAATCGATATCACATCTCCTGCCATGACCCGCTCCTTGGTCATCGAGTCGATCATCTTGGTGCCCATGTCGTAAATTGTTTCCATATCCGTGGTCTTGATCGTGAGCTTTCCTTGTTTGTTGCCCTGGGGAAGTCAGTATTCGGTAACCCATGCGCCAGAGAGGACTAAGTATATATACATACACCTGTGACACTTCGGTCAATTTGGATCTCCACAACTTCGCCCTCAATGATTTCACTCTCCTCCTTGATCCGCACACCGATGGACTTGCGGAATGCTTGGGTGAGGGCCTCCGTCTTCGACATCTCCATGGAGAAGATCTCGGAAGACGCCAGCATAGTGAATGGAACATCAGACCCAAGTGACTGGGCCATACCCATTGCGATTGCAGTTTTGCCCGTGCTGGGTGGGCCCGCAATCAGCACAGCGCGACCAGCAATCTTGCCTTCCTTCACCATCTGAAGAATTACCGCGGCAGCCTTGCGCGCCTTCTCTTGACCTACTAGACCCTGAGAAGACGAGCGAGGCTGCAGCGAGTCCACATCAACCCCCAGGCCTCGAATGTGCGAATGGGCGGCGATGAGGTTCAGACCTCGGAGCTCCTTGCTCTCTGCGACGGTTGAAATTGGCTGCTTGGAGTCAGCGATAACCGGTGTATAACCACCAGGGGAGCACATACTGCAGCCATGATGTTTTGTTTCTAGGGCAAGAGCTCTTTCTCTCACACTCTCCGGATGACTTGACGCTGAGATTAAGCAAAGCGCGGAAGCTCCAAACGAAAACCAAAAGCGCAGATCGGAAGGCCGCCTTACCGCCCGGCAGAATGGCATGAAAGAAACGGCAAGAGCAAACGGGCCTCGAACGCTTCCAGGGCTTTCTTTTGCCTTGTGTGTTGACTTCGTCTTGTTCTTCGGTGGTCTTATTTCCTCGCGACTTGTGGGTTTGTTTTCCGTCATATTTCTTTTACCCTGCCTTTCGTGGATTGTCCACATACCTCCATCGCCAGGACTCTCTGATATACGCTTTTTTTCGCGTCTTATAGTCACGTTCCCAACGGCTGAATTAATCGCACCTAGCTCCCTTTTCCCGCTCTGAATTACTGTCTATAGTGTCAGGCGTGGTCTGGATCGTCCGTGAACGCGCTTGCATTCAAGGCTTGGTCACTATGCGAGGACCATGAGCATATCGCGAAATTCCCCCAGATTGGGCAGATGACCACCAACATGAATGATGATAACTCATCTCGTCGCTCTCAACTTCCTCATCTTCCTCCACCTCCACCCCCGCTATCTCAGCCCCGAGATCCTCGACTGGCCACCCGTCCCTCCAGACCATCCATCGACACCACCCCTTCGCACCTAGGACCGCCTCCCCTACCGCCGAAGAGCGAGCTCCCTTCTCAGAAACGCTCCCCGCAACTGTCTCCCCAAATCCAACCCAATCCGAGATCGGGGCCAATCTCAGGAGGCCACAATGACTCGGGTTACGAGTTTGTCCAGGCCCTAGAGGACTTCTCTCAATCAAGAGATGCAGAGAATAAATGCAAAGCAGAAAAAGAAAACCTGGAAAGAGACATAGCGAACAATGAAAGACACCTCCAAAAGTCCAGGGGGGCGAGGCATTTCCTCCTACAATCGCTATCTTCGAACAGACCAAGGCAAGGCTCAAAGAAGACCTTGCCAGAGTTGAGAAAAGCCTCGACCAACATGCGTCAAACCACTTCCAGACACAAGCACTACTCAGAAACTTTTGGGCTGAAAGAACACGCACATCTGAGGGCGGTAACGAAAGAAGGATGGCCGAGCTAGAGTCCCAAGTGAATGAGCTCAAAAATTCCATCCCAAAAGACTTCCCCAAACAACACAATTTTCCCAACTTTGAACGCTTCGAACAGAAGTTGGCAAAGCTAGAGTCTGAACTTCGGGAGCTAAAACATCCTGTCGTGTCCAAAGAACCGAGTCCGCCCACCGATGAGGACAGCCTTAACTCCAGGCTCAAGAAGGCAGAGAACTCAGTGACCAAGCAATCTCACCGCAACATGGAACAAACTAGGGATCTGGAAGCTATGTCATTGCGAATGAAGGAGCTCGAGAAAAAGTTTGAATCAATTTCCAATGTTGGGAGCCGGCTCCACGAGCTCGAAAAACGACCTACGGATTTTACCCAACTTGCGTTGCCTTCACAGATGCCGGATACGCCATCTCATGCTCAAATTCAGCACACAGACACGCAGTTGAAGTTCCTACAGAATCGCCTGCAGGGACTTGAGGGTCGGTTCGATCTGTTGGCCAAGGCATCCAAAATGACTCATGATATACATATGCAAGAGCTAGAGAAAGACACTAAACGAATCGGTCAGCTGGAAACAGACTATCACCAATTCGCTCAAAGACTGGATAAAAGCGCTAAAGAACTGGCTGCCTCACAAACAGCATACGCCAACTCAATAACTGGTAATCAATCTGGGATCAATCTCAAAGTTCGCGATGATTTGAACAAGCTTTCAGGGGCCGTGGACAAGGTCTCCAAAGAGATGGTGCCAGAACTCTCCAAATCTCTGGGCAAATCCAACGGTCTCTTGCAGTCCGTGATTCAGGGAACCCGATCTCTGGAATCCCGTTTTCAACAACTTACCACCGAGCCGCTGGTCAAACACATGATGCATGCCATGCAAGAAATGTACCCTTCAGTTGGCACATTGTCGGAGCAAGTTCAAGCTTTCAAGGGTCATGCCGAGAAAGAGATCGCTGAAGTGAAGCAAAAGCTCGAAAAATTGGAGATGTTGCCATCCGGCGAAGCCCAATCAGAAGCCCTAGAAAAGTTACGGGCTCAACTGGAAAAGCATCAAGAAGAGAGCACAGGAAAGATCGATGCTTTTACATCCGGCCTCAAGAAAGACCTTCGTTCGCAGCTCGATGACATTTTGGTTCTTCGAAACGACTTTGCTACTCAGTCCAACGCCGTGGCAGATCTAGGAGAAAAGATTGCCAGTGGAGAGACTGAATGGCCGCCCGATGATTGCAGAAAACTATTGACGTCTGTTTCAGATCTGAGGGAGGAGATCAAGATTTTGACAAGCAAAGTCGACAATTTGACACCCAATGCCACCACCAAGAGCCAAACCGAGCAGCTCGAAACCCGCCTGAAAGCATTGGAGGAACTTGCGTCGCCGGAGACTGCGGAGTGGATAAAGGAGAAATTCGCCGAACTAGACAGAATCCAACACGAGTCTATTCCACGAATCTTCAACCGAATCAGAACCTATGAAGACTGCTCTCGCTCTGTTCAGTCCCCCGCGGAAAATGTCCAAAAGCTGGACAAGAGTTCCTCTGACAATCCCAGCAAGTCTGGCACACCGCAAGTGCCAGACCAACAACCATCCCGAGGGTCAGCCCAGGGCCAATTAGCAAAAGCCATGTTGAAAAAGAAAAGATCTCGACACTCTCTCGCCTCTGATGACGATCGGTCGCTCCCCGGAACACCCTCTGCGAGTAATTCGTCGCCCGTCCATCCCTCCTCGAGCTCGGATATATCATCGAGCAAGAAGAACAAGAGAAAAAAAAAGCGCAAGGATCAAGACGCGACCCAACGTTAGGCTCCCGAAGGACTTGGCAAACTGGGTTTTCTTTCCGCTATGCTACTACCTCGCTTTCTTTTCTTTTCTTCCCTTCTTTTGCCTTTTCACTTACTTGTCCCTATTTCGGCCACGAGGCATTTCCCCTGGCGTTGAGGGTTCTTCCGTCGTATTCGATATGATATCTTTGGGGACATTTGTTGCGGCGGAGCGCAGTTATTTGCCTGTGTGATGAATATTTACGTGAGCCCTCTTTGACGGGCTCGTCTTTGCATGGCTGGCGTTTTATCTTATGTTAATACCCCCAGTCTAGGCTCGCATAATTGGACATATGAGACTTCCAGTCTATCATTCTCAAGTATACAAATCTATATAATCCCAGCCAATTTCTATCTAGGAGGGGTCGATCAAGATGATCCCAAAAACTTGACGACCGCTGCGAGCACCGAATAAGTACGGAAACCACAAAAAAACAGATAATAGGGGAATGCCTACCCTGCCGGAATGCCTCGGGATTCTCTGAGATCAGCCAGTGGCCTGCATCTACATCGGCGATTTCGGCATTGGGGAAGAACTTCTTGATCGCAGGAACAGTGTCATCCGACACGTACTGGGAGTTAGTACCACGGACGAAGAGGGTTGGGCCCTCGTACTGGATCGTGTCAGACTCGGAGAAGGGCCAATCGGCCATTTCATCCAACGACCGCCCGATCACCGACAACGGCACCCGGAACTTTAGACTGCGGTCTTCCGCACGGATAAGATTGGTGAGAAGGAATTGGCGGATTGGGAGGGACTGGATGTTGATGTCAATACTGTAGCCAGAATTGAATTGAATTAAGAAGAACAGAATCCGGCTTGTATCGTGAAGGCGTTGAAAAGTTCATGGTGGAATGGAAGGGAAAGTGGTTATAAGCTCACCTCTTCGTAGTCCGAGAGGATTTTGTCGGCCTCGGACTGCTTGGATACATTTTCTCTCTCGATGTGCTGCATGCCTCGGACATACTTGGGGAAGTCGCTCTTGAGTGCTGCGTTGACTGGGGCATTATCAACGGGGATCAGTGCAGAGACTCGTTCCGGCGAGCGCAGGGCCACCGTCATTGCCGCTTTGGCGCCCCTTTACACAAAGTATTAGTTTGAACTACCCCGGCCCAACATGACATGCACAGATATATGCCCATGTGTATATGTCAAGTCACAGCAAGATTTTAATTCGGCCCAAAGCGGCCACAAGGGGGAACCGTACATGGAGTGGCCAACCAGAACACACTTCTCCAGCTTCTGTTGCTGAATAAACTCTTGCACGTCTTCAGCCATTACACTGTAATTGTGCTCCGGTGCATGGAAGGACTGGCCATGGTTGCGCAGGTCCTGATAAATGATAAGCTTTGCTGGTCGAGTTGTTTTAAAGACCAGGAAATATGCACCAGGGTATATATTTGACATTTGAGATCGCGGGCCAGCGCTCTGTGGGATGGGTTAGAAGAGAGAAGCTAAAACCACTCTAAAAAGGGGCAGTAAACACACTTGCTGATACTCCGGTTGTTCAACTTGGACCCGAACAGTCCATGCAGGAACAGGATCGGATTGCGGACGGCTTGCTCACTCTCGGGTCCATAGACCTGGTATGACAGCTCAGACTGCAGTGCACGGGCAGTGGAGAAAGCCCGGAGACCCGGAGCCACTCGACGGGCTGTTCGAACAAAGAACATCGTTCTATGGGTTCTATCTGGCGAGAGAATCAGGAGCGATGTCGCTGATCGGGAACGCGATCCGCAGGATGACTCAGCATCCCGACGATGCCCCGGCCCGTCTGTGATATTTTTTTATTATCTTTTATTTTATTTTATTTTTATTTTTATTTTTATTTTTTTTTTCATAAAACGTCATTTGAACTGCCCTTTATCGAATCAAAATCTTCACATACCATCATTCTCTTAGCCTGGTGGTTCCTCCCTGTACTCTGCAATATGGTTGGCTCCCCGCACCTTGCCAAGTATGATGACATGGACTGTTGACTCACGTCGTTCGTATCCTGCATCAATGACAAATCAAAGCTGCTTGGTAATGTACAAGGATGAGTTACAAGGATCATGCAGCAGCTATGCAGTCTTTGTTTGAACTTTGAGTCTAGCCATGAGCCATAGAAGGACCGTGTAACTGCACGCTAGTCTCGTATTGGAGATGCGGAGAAGCCTGGGGTAAAAGAGCTGTATATAAACTTGCTTTCCTTCCTCCAGGTGACCCTAAAATTTCAATCCTCATCACACCCATCATGTCGGAGTACCAGCAGCCCTACACGATCTCGGTCCCCCAAGATGCCCTTGATGAGCTCAAGCAGCGCTTGGCTCTTGCGAAATTCCCAAGCCAGCTTGAATCCCCAGAGCAGGATCTCTGGGATTACGGTGTCCCAGTTAAAGAGGTGCAGGGGCTGGCAAAGTACTGGAAAGATCGCTTTGACTGGCGCAAGGCGGAGACTCGTTTGAACGAGCTGCCCAACTACCAGACTCAGATCGAGGTCGCAGGGTTTGGTGTCTTGGACATCCATTGTAAGCTTTTCCTGGCTGCTATCAGTGCGGATGGCTTTCCTGAAGGTGGTCATTTGCAGATATCCATCAACTCAGCCCTAACAAAAACGCGATTCCGCTGCTGTTCAGCCATGGATGTGAGTACTAGCTGTTCGTGTCATTTTATTAAATATGCTAAGCCTTCTAAATCTCCCCATAGGGCCCGGATCTTTCATCGAAGTAACCAAACTTCTGCCATTTTTAAAAGGTGGCGATGATCACCCTGGCTTCCACGTCGTCGCCCCTTCACTGCCCAACTTCGGCTTCTCTTCTGGAGTCACTCGCCGTGGATTTGGCATATTGCAGTACGCTGAGACCTTCCACAAGCTGATGCTCAAGCTCGGCTACGAGCAGTATGGTAAGTCACGCATCCTTTTTGGAAAAAGAAAAAGAAAAGAAAACACAATGAAACCAACTGTCTACTATAGTAACCCAGGGCGGCGACTTGGGGTTCTGGATAACCAGAACTCTTGGGCTGCTATACCCAGAGCACTGCAAGGCATCCCATGTAAACATGGTCGTTGCCCGGCCACCGCAATGGAGCAGCAATCCGCTCCTGGCACTGCAACACGCCCTAATTCCATACACAGACCGAGAAAAAGACGGCCGCCAACGGTCCAAATGGTTCGACCACGAAGGATTCGGGTACAACATGCTGCAAAGAACCAAGCCCCAGACCATCAGCGCGGCCCTTGCTGATAGCCCCGTTGCCTTGCTCGCTTGGATCTACGAGAAGCTGCATGACTGGACCGATTCGTTCCCGTGGACCGAGGATGAAATCCTGACTTGGGTTTCCATATACTGGTTCTCGGTGGCCGGTCCGGCGGCTAGTGTGCGGGTTTATTACGAGGGTTTCCATCCGGATCCTGTGTCAGGGATCTCCTACGCGCAACTAACGGGGTATATTCCTCGTGTGAAGCTCGGCCTCGCCCATCTTCCTCGGGAGATTTCGGTCGTTCCCACTACCTGGGCTGCTGCTTTGGGGCCGGTGGTTTGGCAAAGTGAGCATGTACAGGGTGGACACTTTGCGGCATGGGAGGTCCCTGATGTTATTGTCAAGGACCTGCGGGCGATGTTCAGCAAGGGAGGCCCATGTTATCAAATTGTGCTGGGTCGAGATGGGTATTAGTATCTTTCCTAGGATTATCATCAAGCCAAAGTGAAATAAGAATATCGAATCTCCCATTAGACGAAAGTTATTCTACCAATCCTGGCAAGTATCCAGGGATATGACGCCAGAATTCAATTTCGGAAACCAAACCAGTGGCACAAACACTGCTCGACAAGCGAGATATGATAAGTAAAATGCATATATAATATCTAGTTAGCCATATACAATTCATATATACACTTCAAATCTATTTTCTGTGAATCACATTGGATCCCCTAGCTGTCCAGCAGCGGCGGCACCTTCTCGCAGAGATATTCGACAATAGCATCAGGCCCACGCTCGACCTGCAAGCCAGTAGGAATAGCATGCAGCTTAATATCAGGCTTGATCGACCTGGCCGTCTCATGGATCTGGCGGGCCTCATCGTCGGTCCACATGGATGCGCTGAACTATACGTTGGGTGAGTCGAGACATCCCCACAGCGCTCGGATAACCCGAGAACTTACTAGAACGTCCGGGAGGAGTTCCTTCACCTTGGGCTCGACTTCCTCGATCTCTGGATGAGACTGTCAGCTAAATGATCAACCAACTATGGTGACTCCATTCCACTCACTCTCGCAGTTGTCCACGTGGATGATGGTGTACTGCTCTTTCAGCGTGTCGGCCACCCGCCCAATGAGCCGTTTGGCGCGCTCGGGCGCAGTGTTGACAGTGACGAGGCGGAAGGGACCCTTCGGGGTGGACATGGTGACGATGGAATGAAACGGGTGGTTTCAGGGAAGAATTGCGACACGGCCGGGCTTTTGAGTATTTCCATCGGCTCGCGTCCCACTGTCGCCACCGGATCCCCACAATGTGGGAGGCTGCCCCTCTGGCTTATCCATCGCCGGGGTAGAAATACTCCGCCGATAAGAAACGCGTCTTTTTCAATTAAACTTGTTGCTTTTGCGATTGCTTTTCTAACTTTGTTTTTAAGCTCAATCACTATGTCCAAGATTGCATCTACCTTTTCGCGTGCGTATTGGCCACCCCCCACTAAATGTAACGCGTCGCGGAATGATTGAGCTGACCAACAACCAGGCCTGGTGCGCTTCGTCCCCAAGTCCAACCCCTCCAGCATCCTGATCGGAGAGCCGGTTGATCCCCAGCTGGACGTAGGATTAGCCCTGTACCAGGGCAAGGAGGTGTCCGTGCGCCCATTCTCGGGTTCCTCGGTCCTGAACCCGGGCCAGGTCACGAGCGCGACAGAAACGATCGCGCGTATTTTGTCACCGCTGGCGCAGACAGAGGTTGGGTCAATTCGGTGTATTGGCCTCAATGTGAGTACAACTATTTTCCAACATCTATACAAACAAGAGACTAATGTGCTCACGCGGCAACAAAGTATGTGTCGCACGCCAAAGAAATGTCGCTGCCCATTCCCGATGTGCCGACCTTGTTCATGAAGCCCTCGACAGCGCTGGCTGATCCCTGGCCTGCACCGACTGTTTTGCCCAAGATCACGCAACAAGACAACACTGGCGACTACGAGTCGGAGATGGTCATTGTTATCGGCCGTGATGCCAAGGACGTGCCGGAGTCCGAAGCGCTTGACTACGTACTTGGTTACACTGCTGCCAATGATGTTTCCAGTCGTACCTCGCAGATGAACCAGAGCCAGTGGACTTTTTCGAAGGGATTCGACGGTGCATGCCCGATTGGTAAACTCCTCACAACCTTGATATTGAAATGCAAATCGTTCGCTGACCAACAATATTAGGTCCCGTGCTGGCCTCAGCTGCTTTGATTCCAGATGCCAGTAGATTCCAAATCCGCGGCCTGAAGAGTGGTCGAGTGATGCAGGACTGCCCCTTGACGTGAGTTTAACAATTTCAAAATGTTTTAATCTATAAACTAACTTTCTTTGCTCTAGCGACCTGATATTCAGTGTCCCTCAGCTCGTCAGCTTCCTCACCCAAGGCACCACCCTGCCTGCCGGTACAATCATCCTCACTGGTACACCTCCTGGTGTGGGTGCCGCCAAGAAACCCCAGGAGTTTCTCCAGGCGGGCGATGAGTTTGCTGTGGAGCTTCTTCCTCATGTGGGCACGCTCATCAACAAGATCGAGCACCAGTGATCGACCAGAGTCATGAATATGATCCATTCATGTGTATATATGATAGAAGACGTGGGCCCATCCCAAAAGAACTTATTGGCATGATGATCGCTATGACTTTTACCTCGCTAATATGGACTCCATAAATACGAGCCAAAATGCCAATGAGAGCACGGATTTCCGCATATCACCACCAAAAACCAATCAAAACTAGAATTCTATTTGAAATTGGTATCATTCAGTTCTTATTCTCTACAAGAAGTCTTGATTTAGTATAGAGAATTGTTGACAGGTATCACGTGGGCCAGATAGTCAACTAGCTCTTCGGCCCCTCATGAAGATCATGATTTTTCCTGTTCTTTAAACTTTTTTTCATGCGAGATCTTCGCCTTCTTCTTACACAGTATGAGCTGCTGCAACATATGACTCAATATTTATCAGCACGGGGCTTGTTTAACATTGCCCTGGCATGCCACGATCTATACTCCTGCATTCTGATGTCGCTATCCGTCTTTCGCAGGTTAAAGCGTCTCACAATCTGTGATGGCTCTGGTCTAAGAAAGCGACAGAATTTCACTGGATCGTACAAGCCATATTCTGGTCCTTTGAGAATGCTCCCAGGCGCACCATACTACGACGAAGAGATCGAGGTTCAGGTCGATAATATCAACTGTGACGCAACCAATGCCCTCCCATGTCTCAAACGCGAGATAAATGTCTGCGAGGTTGGCCTAACTGCCTATGTAATTATTATACCATTTTGGAGATATAATTCTAATTTGTATTCTCTTAGGAATGCCGATATGTGCCCCGAGTGAGAGACACGCATCGCTACCAATCCCGTCGCAGGCCCCATCTAGATCCAGCATATGAGAGCCACACAATTGTTTGTTATTGTGCATCCTGTGATGAGGAAGTTGAAAAAGACTTGCCACTACGCATATCCGAGCTTTGCGACTGCGACCAATGCACTCGCTGGATATGCCACTCCTGCAAACAAAAAGAGGAAGACGATGATCGCGATTACTATAGAAAAACGGACTATGTGTGTTTAGCAGGTTGGGTTTGACAGGTTCAAGGTGGATGAGGGCTTATGGCTGCCGGATCACCAGCTCTATACCGCGGTATATATATCAGAAACCAGCCTGATTAATGAGACCCATTAATTGAGGCAACTGCTGATGACCTGATCTTTATAGTTTTGGTGTCCGTGTGGAGCTCGAGCTCCGGGAGACGGGAATATCCGTTGCGCGTGGTGCAAAAGAAGACATGATCCGGATACGTGGATGGATGAGGAACCGGATCATATTCCCTTTTTTGATGGTCCTTTAGAGGAGGATGATAAACCTGAATGAAATTATAAGAGGAGGTTCTTTTGAGTCTTATGATCAGTGAAATAAACACGACAATTTACGTAGTTCTGGACCAATAATCAGTCTGCAAGAGATCTAAATGCCACACACTTGATCATCAACTCCACCACATGAGTTTTATTGCCATTTTAGAAGCGTCGGGCAAACGGCACTTCGTTTGCAATTCAGGTAGAATTCAAATCACCCAGCAAACATCTAACAATGGCATGAAGGACTCGTAGATGCTGACCACAACTGATGAGAGTGGGGCAGGGTATAATTTCTTCCATGTCGGAATAGATTTCTGCCGCCAGTGACAGGAATGCCATGCCAAGAGGAGACTTGACAGGATCGGATAAATCATACATAATTATGGCGTAGAGCGAGTGTGGGAATTCAGTGTCTGTTTTATCTGTAATTAACAATTGACCAATCTCTATAGCGAAGTCAAGTGTATCAAGATGCCAAAGGCATCGACCGAGTGTAGATCACATAGATTGAAGTACATATATACGATGTGGCTGCATAGCTCATGCTTCAAAATCCGTACAATTCTGAGTTCTCTACGAGATCAGGCCGAGTTCGGCGCGGCTTAATCTCGGCTCGGTGGGCCGAGTGATCCCGGGTTGTTTACTAGATGACTATGGTACTTGGTTAATTTTGGCTGATAAAAAAAATCTTTTGTTTAGCCGGGTTTTATTTTACTTCGACAATAAGAACAGGAAATTCCGATCCTAGTTTTCTTGATTTTCTGTCTGGCTGTGTTTCCAGCTCTACCCATATCGACATTGAGATATTGAGTTTTGTGCGGTCTTTGCTTCATGGAGATGAAATTTCTACTGTGAAGCATGGCCGTGAATCATGAAGCAGTCCTTGTCTCATTGATTTATATACAGCGAATTCCCCGACAATCTATCCCATGTCGAGTCGAGTCTAACCACCATATCAACTTACATGCAGACCCATATTCCAAGTTCACACACTCAAAACGATTCCCTAGGAAGCTCCGAGCATGATACCGAATGCCAAAACCACCTCTTAAGCCCCTACTCCTCCCGCAAACGCCAGGTCCGCCCTTTCCCGTGGAGGAAAATGGTCGGAATGACACTCACCGCGATGACCAGCGCCGATCCAACACCCGAGCTGGAAGCCACGCCGACATTTTCGAACATGGGAGAGAACCTGGATGACTGGTTAGCAAAAATGATACGGAGCAAATTGAGCGGAGGGAGAAGAAGGGAGGGGACACTCACCAGAAAGGGCCAATAAACCCCCAGATCTGGCGCACGAAGGTGATGAACACACCCACGCTGGCAGCCTCCTGAGGATAGCAGTCGACGGCGTAGGTCATCATGACCGTCGTGACTAGCTGGTTGCCAACGGCGCCGATGGCGGTGCCGATGATGGGCGACACGTTCCAGTGGCCAGAGGGAGACTCCTGGGTGCAGACCAGGAAGACAATCATGCCGATGATGGTGAGTGCGAACCCGAAGTAGCTGAGCCACAGCCGGTACTCGGGCTCGGGCTTGTGCTCCAGGCGTCGTGCGCGACGGCTCATCCAGAAGTCGGACAGAACGCCGCCCATCTGCTCGCCAATCACGGACCCGATGATAACGCCCAAGAACTGCAGACCCAGCTGTTCGGAGTTTAGCTCGAACTTCTCCTGCAGCAGCTGCGGCACTTCGACCGTCGCCAGGATGCTTCCAAACAGGAAGACCATCGAGTATGCACAGGCAGGGATCATAATCGACGGGTGGCGCACCATGGTCAGCGGTCGCACGAACTCGTACCAGGTCAGCGGAGTCGGATCGATCCGCCGAAGTGACAGATACTGCGTTTTCCAGCTTGATCCCTGATATTCGGCGCCGCTACCCACGTAGCGGGTCTCCGGGCCCAGGAGCAGATACAAGATGAACTGAGCCCCGTTGATCTTGCAGCGGATTTTGATCAGCGACCAGACTCATCTACTTGAAAATTCAGAACTTACCATGGCTAGGATCCAATAGATCCATTGATAGCCAGCCCGGTAGGTCACGAAGCCGAAGATAAAAGGCCCGATCGGTACTCCCAGAGTGACCATGAGTGTCCAAACACCCATATACCGGGCGCGATCCTTCTTGAAAGTCGTCTCCATCACCACGGCACTGCCGATGGCAGAGGCCGGGGAAATGAAAAAGGCAACAAGGGCTCGGCAGGCGGCTACCGAGGCATAGGTGGTGCTTTTGGCACAGCCAATATTGCACACCAGGCTGCAGATAAGTGACAGAAGGAAGATGGGGCGTCGCCCGAACCGATTAGACAACGGCTTCCAGAATAGAGGAGCTCCTCCCAGGATGGCGATTTGCAGCGACGTCAAGTAACTGGCCTTTTGCAGGTTGACGTTAAGCTCTTTGGCGATGTCCGCATAGGCAGGAATGATGGCGGCAGCAGTAAAGGTGCCCATGCAGGCGTGGAATGCCACCAGAATAAGATTGGACATTTTCTAGCCATTTCCGGCGCATTAGCCTTCCAGCCAGATGGGTTACTTGCCATCGCCATCTCAAAGGGGCAAGGGATGGTGACGGCGTAAACGGAAACAACTCACCTTCCATTCGGGCCAGTTGTAAGGATCCGCCGGGTCCATTCCCGGGATAGGATCGAGTTCATACGTCCCATGCCGTTCAAGCAGATAATCCCGATGCGCCTTGGGGAGGCGAGTGGCCACTGACTCTGCATAGGTGGACGGCTGGCCTGCCTCGGCGCTCTCGACGAGGTCGATGTCGGCCTTGGTGGCCGGGGCTCCTTCGACCTCGGCGGTCGGAGAGGACGACGGTTGCAACTCCATAGATGGCATCTTATAGCATGTCCTTCTGAAACCAAATGAATACAAACTTTTCCCGACTCAATGTTCAGGTTCAAGAAAAGGCCAGGTGTCGAACGCCGTAAAGGGTCTGGGGCATTTGACCAGGAAAAGAACCCAAACGACTGCAGAGAAGGGTGTTATGGAATGGAGCCGAGAAGGATTGGTCGAGGGTTCTCAGGCGAAACAAGACTTTTGGACAGCAGCCATGCTGGGTGTGTGCATAGCCAAGACGCTAACTGCACGCCCCCCTGGCCCCGGAGATACCGGGAAGCCCGGGGTACTCGCGCGGCATTGTTGTGGAGAGAAATGCGGAGAGTCCCCACAGTCGACTGGACTCGGCGAGTCACAACGCAGCAATTGCGAGTGGTGATTAGTCAAAAGCGTCTGGCACTTGAACCCGGCTAGCCGATGGTCTCTGTGGATGAGTCCGGCACCGCACGAGTGGTCAATTACCGAGACCTCATTCCTTCATATCCCTCTGCCCCGGAAGCCCCAAACCGTGTAAAGAGACCATTCAACCTGAGGTTGGATGGCGCGGGGGAAGTAGTCAGCAACGATGATAACGAAGTTAACTACCGAGGCGATTGTTTGCAAGCCGCGTAACCCCCCACTCTGAGGCAGTGGACTCGATAGTCTGGCCTACCATCAATATGATAAGACCATATGCACACATCCCTGGGTGCCTTGTGGGACAGTGGGTGGTTGGTATCAATAGCTTCAGAACAATCCCCTCGCTGCCCACTCCGACCAATCCTTCAGGAAGAATAATCCATACAAGATCTAGTTTGCTTATTGTTTCTCGTCAACTCGGGCGGTGAATCGCCCACAGAAAAAAAGCGACTTCTCGGCACCGATCACTCCGGTGCCACACCCCACAACCGCTCCACCACTTCCTCTCTTCACTCTCTGCAATTCCCGGCCACTCAGAATGGCGTCGATGGAGATCACGACGGCACCGCCTGTCCCCGCGGGGGTCAAGAAACTGGCATGTCCAAACTGTCACAGAACCTTTTCCAAGGCTGAACATCTCAGAGTGAGTCTGAACTTCATCCACAATGCCCCACGCATGAGGAGCAGTTGGCTACGCCAAGGCATGCAAGAGCTAACCGCTTTTCCAGCGCCATCAACGATCCCGTAAGTGCGATGATTATTGAATCTTTGAAACAGGCTTCATGCTGACCAGATGTTCCAGACACGGGGTCCAAGCCATTTGTATGCGACGAGTGTAGTCGGCCCTTTGCTCGAAAGGATGCCCTGAGTCGACATGCGAAGATGCATACTCGGAATGTGAGCGAGAATGAAAATCCTCCACCCGGTGCAGGCCTTTCGCAGCCGGCATCGATCGAGTCAATCACCCCGGCGGACACGAGCAGTGTCCCTACTGTCCCTACCACAGGCCCCGCGTCGACTTCGGCGACCAGCCAGTCATGGGATGATGAAGCTCAGTCAGAACAGCAACAGGGCCTGCCCAGTATTGCCCAAGAAATGGACTTTGCATTGACCTGGCCAGACTCGGAGGAGCTGTTCCAGAGTTTGATGTCGTCCGACGCAACAGACCAGTGGCAGATGCCTTTGGGCACCCTACCCTTTCCACCGATCATGCAGGATGTCAATGGCATGAATTTTGAGTCTCCCAACTCGTTTGATGATCGAACCTCTTCCGTTGGGACAATCCCATCTGGTGGCGGACACCAGGCGGTTCGTGATGTCACGGAGATGGTGACCATCTCGGTGAGTAGAGTGCCCCACGAGGGAGACTTCAATTTCCCTCCGCATACTTACCATCTCTTGTAGTCTTCTAGTGTTACCGCCGCAGTGAAAGCCACATCCATCACCTCGGTCTTCCTCGACGCGTGTCTCCACATGTTCTTCGTTCGCTTCATCCCCACATTCCCTATTTTGCATCCAGCGACCTTTGTGTTTCGAGAATGCACCCATGCTCTCCTGCTCAATGCCATTGCCATTGGGTCTTTGTATCTCGGCCCCAAAGACTCGGTTGCCAAGGGTGAAGCATTGTGGCGGCTGGCTCACACTGCCGTTGCTACTTCCTGGCAGTCTTTGATCAACCATCGTGGCCCCTACGATTCCTGTCCGGGAGTACAGCTAGTTCTCACGGCTCTTCTCGGCCAGATTTACGGGGTGCTGTCCAAAAGTCGGGCGATCCGCACCACGAGCCAGGTTTTTCGGCCGCTGGGCTTCTTTTGGGCGAGGCATTGTGGCATGTACAACAGCCAGTCGTACTCAATGGGAAACCTACCTTCTGCCACTGCCCCTCTCGCAGAAAAAGACTACAGCTGGCGCATTTGGTCTGCTCGGGAAGTCCAAAAGCGCGCCCTGTTGGCATACTATGTGCTGGATGGTCTTGTGGCGCAGATGTCGGGTGATGGCCCGGCTGCTCAACATACTTCTAACCCACTGACCCTGCCCAGTAGTGAGAATGCTTTCAATGCCAACACTCCAGATGGTTGGCTGTCCTATATGGCCCCCCCGGACCAGGATCAGTCCTTCCTGGCCATCTTTCGGTCTCTTTTCCCGCCAATTAGCAATTTTCGCTGCCTGAAATACCAGTTCTCTCCATTTGCACTCCGTGTGGTTCTCGAGGGCCTCCAATCTCTGGTCTCCGACAGCGATGACAATGAACTTGCCGTGGGAGTGCCCGGTCAATCCGATGTTCGAAGAGCCCTAGTCCAAGTGCTCGAAACCATTCACATGAGCCTTCATTTCTCTGAACCTGAGAGACTTGAGCTTCTGCTTCGCTGGCACACAGTTTGTCTGGACACCATGATTAGCTCGACAGTTCTTGCTCGGCATGTGTGTTCTCGGTACAACATTTCACAACATATCTCGGGGGCCGGCCAGACTCTCCATCCAGGATTCGATCTCGTCAAATGGGCCCATAGCGAGGAAGCTCGCCGCGCGGTGCTGCACGCCTGGTCTATTCAATACATTGTCGAGCAGCTCCCTCGTGGCCGTGCTCATGTTGTACACATGCCAAGCTCTCTCTTTGCTGCTGCGACTGTGTATGTGGTCTTCTCGCTTGCAGGCCTCGCAACTGTCAAACTCCCGCGTGCCGTTGTCTGGCAAGATGCCGTGCTGTACCCATCTGACCTCTGCCTGGGCGATGAGATTATCCCGCCAATCTCCAGTTCAGAGACTCGCTGCTTTATCCAGGGCGAGCATGCAGGGCTGTTGGTTCATACTGATGTTGTCATCCGCAATCTTCTTTATGAGCTCAACTCGATGCAGAAGCTGTTTCGCTGCCTCTCCTCGCAGTGGGGCATTGCGCATGACATGGAGGAAATCGTTGCGCAGTGGATTGAGGTGTGCCATTAGACGATGGGCCTCAAGAGCTGTCGCATGCACGCTAGGCGTTTCTCGGGTTTGCTTTTTTTTTTCAAGTTAGGCGCTTCGGAATGATGGCATTTGCACACTGTAGGCCATTTAGCCTGGGGATACCTTTCGCATATGAGGTGTTCAGTTAATGTTTGAATATCATGGAATGATCAAGTGAGCCTCGTTGTAACATGTTCTTTTTCCCATTCAACTTGGTACTGTGGTGTATTTCGTCCTCGGCAGCTTTGCCTATCGGTGAATTCGCTGTTGGTTTGTTCTTAGTTGACCCTGAATTTTACCGAGTGCTTCGCTTAAATCGCTCTCAGAGCTAAGAGCGTGAACACGACTAGCAAACCCGCGTGGGTGTCCCCGCTATGCGAGACAGGGAAATGAGGCGTTTTGAGGCGACTTCATTTCCACCAACCACAACTGCCGCTTTTGATTAGATAGTCGTGTTCTGTTCTAACGGTGTGTGTTGTGTTTTCGCGATAACGATGGAAATAACAGCGACAGTGTCGCTTAATTATGGCTGGAACCTTCGAGTGCTGATCTATACTTGCTCAGGTGACTCGATGTTCTCGACATGTCTACATTCATAGATCTATACACTCATTTGGTAACTGGACAAGCGGGGAATCACTAGTGCAACGAATGGGGCCTGTTTCCACCAACGAGAGCCTGAATCTGCCAAAAATTGCACTTTGTCTGAGGCAAAATGAGACTCGACATCCCCGCAAACATGCCACTCCGCATGACTGCCTTTCTGTGGGGAACGCATGTACCCTGTCTTCTATTCTCCCACCTGCCGTGCCGATGCTCCTTTACCCGCATCGGAGATTTAACCCCTCCATGAATCTTCCACTCATCCGACTGGACTCAGTCCAACAAAACAACCATCAAAAATTACCCACAATGGAGTAACCACCTCCCCACGGGAGCCCTGTGTATTTTCTGTCTCAATCAAAGATCAATCCCCAAAGATGGCGAAAGTCCGGCGGGGAAAAGCATGCGGCTTTTCGGACCGATGGTCGTCCCTTGTGTCTTCAATGGCCACAACACGTTAAAAGCCTCGGCGTCACCCCGTTGGGGGAAGGCTGAACGCCACTGTGCTTTGGGCAGCTTCCCCCAGTGCCTCTAGCATGAGTGACTAGCTTGAGCAGACTACACGTGGTTTTGGATGGAACCTGGACACCTGACGCTAGCTCCGGCTAATTCTGCATATTGACCATGAATGGCCATGCGTTTCCCTCTATACGCACCTCTCCCAGTCTGTGGTATAAAGTGCGCTGCATGACTCCTTCGTGTGGTACGACTCTTGGGTGAAACCAAGCTTTGGCGCTTTCTTCGAGGCACTGTTCGCTCAGATTGTCGGTGTAACACTTCCCAACGTCCATAACAAGGTCTCCTTTGGCAACAATTGACCACGTCCGCAGCATCCACAATGGGGTTGCTCACATTCCCCAAGGTGTATAACACCTACTTTGTCGCAATTATTGCGACAGTCGGTGGCATGCTGTTTGGCTTCGATATCTCTTCGATGTCAGCTATCATCGGCACCAGCCAGTATATCGATTACTTCCACAACCCTCACGGAGTTCGACAGGGTGCGATTAACTCCGCTCTCGCCGCTGGCTCGGTCGTCGGCTCGCTGATGGCTGGCCCGATCTCCGACAAAATTGGTCGCCGAGACTCGATCTTCTTTGCGTGTCTATGGTGGCTGATCGGAACCGCGGTGCAGGCCGGCGTGAATGGCTTCGGGTCGCTGATGGCCGGCCGCATTTTGAACGGCGTCTGTGTGGGCATTACATCCTCGCAAGTGCCCGTGTATCTGGCGGAAATCACCAAGAAAGAGAAGCGCGGCTCGATCATCGTTATCCAGCAACTGGCAATCGAATGGGGTATTTTTATCATGTTCTTCACTGGCTATGGCTGCTCCTTCATTCCGGGAGCTGCGTCGTTCCGTCTTGCCTGGGGGTTGCAGTTTGTTCCATGTCTCGTGTTAATGACCGGTCTGCCCTTCTTGCCTCGCTCGCCTCGCTGGCTTGCCAAAGTGGATCGAACAGAAGAAGCGATCACGACTCTGGCTCGCATTCAGGCCAAGGGAAACATCGATGATCCTCTCGTCGTTGCTGAGTGGGAGGAAATCACCACCGTCTTGGCTGCGGAGCGTGCCGCTGCTCCGGGCTGGCGCAAGTTCTTCCACAACGGAATGTGGCGACGTACTATGGCCGGCTTCACGGTCCAGGCGTGGCAGCAGCTCTCGGGTGCGAATGTCATGACATACTATGTTGTTTATGTGTTCCAGATGGCCAAGTAAGTGGGCCGGTTGAATTTCTCCCTCCTTGCGAATCAAAACTGTATAACCAATGACTCACGCCTCGCAATCAACAGCATGACCGGCAACATCCTTCTGATCTCGTCCGGCATTCAATACGCCCTCTTCATTATTTTCACATCCATCATTTTCTTCTATATTGACAAGACCGGTCGTCGCACCCTGTTCATGTACGGTGCCATCGGCATGGCCTTATGCCATTTCGTGGTCGGCGGAGTCCTGTCCGCTGGAGAATATGTGCCTGATGGCGTGGATGGCAATCTCAATGTCCTGATTAGGGTCACCGGATCCAAGGCCCACACTGTCATTGCTTTCAGCTACTTTCTGATCATTGTCTACGCGCTCACCCTCGCGCCCGTCGCTTGGGTCTACGCAGCAGAAGTTTGGTCTTTGGAAACCCGCGCTGTGGGCATGGTGAGTCTGCATACTTCAAAGCCCTTCTATGTCTTTGTTTGAGTAGAGCAAGCTAATATGATTTTCCAGAGTATCTCCGCCGTTGGAAACTGGCTTTTCAACTTTGCTCTCGGTCTCTTCGTTCCACCTGGCTTTGCCAACATCACCTGGAAACTCTTTATTGTCTTCGGGGTTCTCTGCATCGGCGCCGCTGTGCAGGTCTTCTTCACGTAAGTTTTCCTCCACTTTCCTCGTTTCCGGACTTTATGATCTGACCAATCCCATTTCTTTCACAGGTACCCTGAAACTTGCGGCAAGACTATTGAGGAGGTCGAGGAGCTGTTCAGTGACAATGGGCCGAAGCCGTGGCATACCAAGCCTGGAAACTCCAAACTGGATGGTCTCATCCAAGAAGCCCGCGAGAAGACTCTACACGCCAAGGATGTTGTCGGAGAGACCGTGCACCACGAGAGTGTGGGTACGGATGTGTTGTCTAATCAGACTGTCGAGAAGCCGATTGCCAACACTCAGGATGTGTAGATGAAAGGAGAAAGGGTGTGATTGCTGATGTTCAGCTGTCCTACCAATAATTGGCATATATAGCGACAATTGTGAATCGACATTCAAAAATTCAAAATTAAAAGTGATATGGGTTCGTGATATATATTTGGTTATGTCCAGTTTGATCACGACTACGTTTGCACATTCCTTGATGCTTGAACATAGGCTTGAGAGAACCCATAGCCTAGGGATGGTATTTTTTTTTTTTGATATTAGAAAACATTATCATTTAAGTTTGTTGGCTTATGTTCATGCAGCATCCATTTACTTTGCTGTGCACGTTCATCTATGCACAAATCACGTGCCATACGCGAACGCGTCTCAACGCGCTTCTCGGCAACCGCGACATGTTGTCCAGACCCTCTCTTATCAAGATTGGTGCTTTGCCAAATGTGGGCCTGATGGCAATCTTGCCTTTTGCAGCCCCACCGATCTTGTTCTGACATGCCCTCAGTTGAGCCCAGAGCTGACTAAATATCACACGCCTGATATATCGAAAGTTGTTTGACACACAACGCCATGTCTAGCCCACAGCCGCTGGGCTCAGGACTTGCGTCATCTCGAGGGACGCGGTTGCACGATATCAGTGGTCGCCGTGACCCTGTCTCCGGCCGTGGCAAGCAGCTCACAACGGGCGAGCAAGCAGCTCTGATCGAACTCTACAAAGAGCGCCAGTGTTATACTACTGTTGCTGAGCACCCAAAAAGCTTCTGGGTCGCTTTATCGGCTCATTTCTTTGATCGGACTCAGCGTGCTTATTCGTGGCAATCGTGTCGGCGCCGCCTGGAGGTTCATGAGGCACATACAAAGGAGCATCAACAGAATCCTCGGCTGAGTGCAGGGCCAAGTCCAGAACAGGAAATTCCTGGCAATGTGCCTCCCATCTCTGAGTATTCTCATCACAGCAGCGAGGAAGACCAACATACTTCGCCCGACATAGAAGAGACATGTAGCCAAAAACCCCAGCCAGCACTTCGGCAACAGGCCCTAGAACTGGTAGGATCGCCACGAAGAAGTCATCGAAGTGTTGAAAGGAGGACTCGAAAGACCTCGTACCCCGACTCAGAAGGACCGAGTCCGCGCCTTGATGGATTTACCAGAAGCTCTCGTCCTTTTGATCGCCCGCCGTCACAGTCGCGATCACGGTCTCCTCATTCTCGTGGGAGTGCTACTTATCGCAGGCGTTTCTCGACTACTTCGAGAGAAGAGTCGGTTCCCAAGCCCTTGCACCCCAAAAATCAAATGTCCGCATTGCGCACCACAACAGCAAGACGACAACATGAAAAAATGCCTTCAAATGATGTTTCTGTGCCAAATGTCTCAGGTTTCTCGACTCCCGCCAAGCAAAGGTCACGCGGAAACCCGAGACCTACTTCGACTCTATTCGAACTTGCGAGCACCACCGCTAAACCCTCGCCCAATTTGGAAGATTTAATCCGCTCCTATGGCTCACAATCCGGTGACTCTGATGACGATCTCCCCGATACACCCGTGCCGCCCACCCACCGACCTCTCCAACAAAGTACTAAGCCTAGCCACGCGCAATTGGAGGACCTCTACCAACGACTCACCAGTGCCTTCCATAATGAAACGAAGAAATTTATTGCGCAATCGAATACCCCCCGCAACAAAAGATTCTCATGGAAGCTGCAGCCGATGCCTTCATTGTTGACATGGAACGGGCGACGGCTAAGTTCAGGGGTGTAATTCAGTGCATATTTTGATCATTTTCTGAACACCTGTGTTTCCGGGATACCCGAGGATATAATTAGGCTTGTGGGAGGCTGTTTTCTTTGTACTATGTGCTTTCACGTTGTTTCCCTCTGCATCTGTTTAGATACCCATTGACATGAGCGGCGTTTCTTTGTTGGACTTGATGAGCATTTCACTGGTTTTTGTATTTCCTTCAAGGCCAAGTTCTTCCCATATCCTCGGAGATTCGGATGTGGCTTTGCCCGTGTCTATGTTTCTTTGGATCAAGGCACAGGCAGCAATCACAATGTATACATACATAATTGATCGTGTTTCTGGCTTTTGACGGGCCTGTCTTGTTGTCTCAAGACCATTAACATCTGTAGAACAGTTATCTCTAATAAAAATGATTGTCTGAAGATCTTTTTGGGTAAACAATGAATTGGTGGAGCAAATTAGCAATTCCATTGATCGATAACACTTCTCCCTAGGTAGATTCCAGCGCATTCATCTGTCTTCTTCAAGGATCTGAATCATCCCTAAGCTCCACTCCATGATCGAGAAAGAAAAAACGAAAACACAAAACTGTTCGATCCCTCCGTCACCAACTCATCCCCTGGCTGGCAAGATTGTCAGACTGTGAGCTCAAGCCTCATCGAGAAGAATAGCCTCGGCAATCGCGGCCTCAGTCATGGCCTTGTCGAGCTTGCTTGCAGTGGCCATGGCGGTGGCGTCAACAATCTCCTGCGACTCGACGTTTACCTCAATCTTCGGAGGCACATATCCATTCGAGCGGCTGTCGCGGCGAGACACAGCGGCTGACTCGATTGTGGGCAGCTCGACGGGCAGATCAGTCGCGGTGATGACCGACTTCTGACGCTTGCGAGCGGGCTCATCGGCAGGCAGCTCAGCAGTGTGAATCCTGATACCGATTGCATTACGAATCCAATCGTTCTCCTCCTTAATCTCGGGCTTGATTGGGGAGACATCGGTTTCATCGTCGACGATAAGAACGGGAGACTTGAGCGGGACATCATCAGCGGGGAGATCACCGCCCTTGGCGCGCTTCTTGCCCTTGGTGGAGGGAGTAGACTTGGCGGAGGCACCACGGGGAGTGCGAGGAGCGCGAGGGCCTGCAGGCGAGAAGTTGGCCGTTTCGCCGCTGTCCTTGGCCTCGGCGCGCAGCTGCTCGGCCAACTTGCGAAATCCACGGAACTTGTGCTCGACGGTGTTGTACTTGGCGCCCTGGCCGTACATGGCGGCGATGCTGTTGTAGTCGAGCTTGCGAGTCTCTGTTAGCTTGCACGATGTGTGAGGTTCATCGGACGCGCCTGGAAAATAACGTGGACTTGCCTTGAGTGTAGGGCTTGCCGCGAGAACGGCAGCGAGAAGACGGTCGGTTTCAACCTTCATAGTGATGGGCGGGGTGGGTTTTGGTTGAGATAGAAGCGAAATTGATGTTTCGAGGGATGGAGGATGTAACGTCGGTAGACAACGGCTGTCGGCTTGTGAGTCGTGGGTTTGGAAAGTGTTGGGACGCAGTTTTACAGACTTACCGGGTGGTAGCAAGAAACAGTCTGATTTTGTTCGGTAGATCTAGGATGGGATTGTTAGCAAATAAGGGTGAAGTAAGTCGTGCATCCATGTTCTCGACTTACCAAGGCCGCGTTAATTGCTAGCAGGACGGAGTTGTAGGAATCAAGGGCCCAGAAAGTTGTAACCACAACACAGGGACCGGTCTTTGCAGGCTGCAGGGCTCCGATATCAAAATGCTGGCAATAGGGTACTGGATTGGACCTAGGATAAACATTCACTTTCCTAGGTTTCCTTGTTTGGATAAAGGTTTACAGTCAATAAAGATGCTTTGCCTCTTAAACATTACATAGCAAAGTGGCGAGAAACTAGCGGGAAAGTACGAGATAAGTGATTTTGAAGTACGAGATAAGTAACATGAAGTAGGATGAAGACATAAAAACCCAAAACATTCAAGACCACAAACATTGAGATAAATATATACCCTAGCTACAATAATACTATGGTATATTGTTTGATTACTGCTTCATCGTAGAAATTAAATGTTAATATGCGTGGAGCGTGGCTGCGCGCAACAGGGTTAGGCCTTCATTATTACTGTTTTAGGAAATCCTCTCTACAAAACCCACGATCTGAAGTGAAGCGTCATTGCTGCTTATTTGGGAAATCATAAAAGGCACCTTTCTCTCGCTCAAGTCATTTCTCTCTTTTTCCTTCTTCGCACCCCTCGCACCCCCAAGCCTCTTCCCACGCTTCCTGCCTCGGTTGAGATCGTTTCTATCTTTATTGAAAAGCCTCACCTCTACTTGTCACTCGATCAATACCATCACCATGGGCAAGATTCGCTGGGATGCTGCAAATGACCAAATCGTGAGTTGCTTTACTGACTCATCCCCATTCACCTTGCACGAACTCTCACCCTACATCATCTCTATCTCTTGCTTGTTGTCTTCCATTCTCTCTCTTCTTCTTCACCATACTCCTTCTTACCTCTCTGCCTATTGACACTGGGTTCCTCAGTTTTGACACCATACTGATATCTTTGTGAAAACCCGGCTCTTGACCAAGATCCTCGAGATCCATGATATCTCTGTCGATGCCAACGCGATTGCGGCGGCCTGGCGTAAGTATTCCACCACTTACCTTGATACAACTTCACTCCCCGTCACCGAAAACCATATTATGTTCAATCAAGCTAACATCTATCCCAGCCGGTGAGGAGGCTTGCAAGCCCACCCCACGGGCCATCAAGGAGCGCATCACGAAGATCCGAGATCTGGTCCGACGAGCCAAGACCGCGGACACGGATGATGCGAAGACCGGCGCCCCCAAGAAGGCTCGCTCCCGAAAGTCGACCATGGATGGGGCCGTAGAGCCCAAGACCCCAGCTCGAAAACGGAAGCGCGCCAACTTGGCCAGCCCCAACGAGGGCCTGATCAAGACCGAGCCGACGGCGGAGGAGTTCGACAAGCTCTTCGCCGACAACGCGCGTGAGCTTTCTGAAGAGGCTCTGGCTCGTCTGGACGGCCTGGATGTCCAGCAGGTAAAGCACCTGAAGTCCAGTTTCCTGTCGGCTCGTGGGGGCGAGTCTGACGAGGACTTCGAGATCGAGGAAGCCTCTCCTTTTGAGGCCCTTCACTGAGCTGGGCATCCTGGTTCGTCTTTGCGGCCGGCCTTGGTCTGTTCTTCATGGTGTGACGCGGGGAGTTTCTTGGAGTTGAGGGTTGAGAGGGTGGACTTTGTCTTTGTTCTGCTTGGGGGGGGGGGGGGGGGGTTCTTTTTTTTGTTTTTGTTTTTCGGTGCCCAATGTTTCTTTGACGAGCGATGGAGTTGGGCTGGGCACCCGGTAGATAGTCTCGCGTTTTCAATGCGACAACCACGAGAAGTCTTTCTTTTGCCTCTTTTACTTTGTCGGTGGGCTTTCCTGCGGGTAACCTACATCATCTATTTCTACTAATTCTTTGTATAGACACACGGGAAGAAGTTGGAGATCAGTAATTGGATTGCAGTCCGAGAAGTATCTGCAAAGTCTCCAGCATTGGCCAATTCCGGTCATGAAATAACCACCGAGATCACCCTCTCGAAAAGAAAGAAACATTTCATCAAATGCACCCGAGTCCCATGCATGCAGACCAATGGAAACAGAAGAAAAAAGGAAGCCCCGGATCTCGTTTCATGTATCATTTACGCCGTGATGAACCCACGGGGCATGCATAGCTTCCTCACGAATGAAGAATGCAGATGCATTTAGTCGGTGCTGTTGTCCTCGGCAGTAGGAGGAACGTACTCATTGTCCGAGGTTTCGGTCTTGAGCTTCATGTTGCTCACCTCGTCCTCGTCCTGGGCAAGACCCTCGGCCATGGCGGTGTCATTGTTGTCGATGGTAGAAGTAGCCCCAGCCTGGGCCTGTGTGGTCTTGGAGTTGGCCTTGGAGTTGGCCTTGCCCTTGGGCTTGGTAACCTTGGTGGCCGTTCCCCTCTTGCGTTTGGCGGGGGTGGCGGCAGGCGGGCCCTTGGGCGTGGAGTCCATGTCTCCGCCCTTGGCACTCTCCTTGATTCGGATGACACGATGTCTCAAGGCATTCGGAGTGCGGCCTGTAGTGACAGAGAAGAAGCTATGTTAGAAATGTACCCATTTGTATCGGAGAAATAGTGGATAGGGAGGATATACCATCTCCCATGTAGGCAGCAACAGCGTTGAAGTCGATAGGATTGGGGTTCGTTTCAATGATCGCCGCAAGAAGCTGTTCTGGCTATTAGCTAACCTGTGCTAGGTTGTGTGTTGGACGTGTCTCGAGTGTTGGACGTGAATTCACGGCAGAAGGAGAGAGGCAAACTTGGCCATAGACTCAAATCTGTTACCGCTTCGTACGTACCTTAGCATCAGCAGTCCGATCCCAGACCTGAGACATCTTGGGAGAGACAGGTGCAGTATCCTTGGTCATGGTTGGGAAAAAGAGAGTATTTGTATTCTTTGACGGTGGGAAGCTTTCCGAGGACGGTGGAAGAAAAGAAAGTGACGCGGAGAAAATGGAATCAGGCAAAAGCCTAAGAGAGGACTTCAAGTGACGTGAAAGTAAATATGGGTGGTCAACAGACCACGAGATCTGCCCGATCGAATAAGACGAGGGTTGGTGAGAGCTAGTGAGCAGCTGCCGGAGGCTCCAAGAGCGTACGTACGAGCCTTGATCTATCTTGGATATCTCTAATCTAGTCGTGGAGCATCCGGTTCTGATATTCTAGCACGGTGTATCTATCTTTTTATATTGAGGTCATGACTATATAGACTGTCCTCTTTTCTCATTCACTCTACATACTAGCCTTGTCAGTAGTGTCACAATACTAGATATAGAATGCACTTGAAAATATAGGCGTTTAACAAGCGTATATACTTGTTGGAGCTCGGGGCAACAGAAGCTTCAGACACAGCGACATACGATGCTAGTCTTGTGCAGCATTCATAGGTACTCCCTATCTCTAGCTGGAACTATTTTTCTATTTCAATAGACAGAAGTATGAACATGCTGTTCGGAGTCGCTGAGTCTTCACAGGGATGAATCCTCCGCGGTTAAATTGCATCGCAGAAGCACCGCGCCATGTGGAGCTTGCCCGTTGGAAAACCAAAAGGTCCAACAAAACGTTCTGCAGGCCTTTACCTCACAGATATAGTAATGCCGATGGTCGAGGTACATCCAGCCAGCCATCGGGGAAGCAGAGTATAGCTCCAAACAGAGAGAAGCATCTCCATGAAAGACCATCTCAAGACCCGTATGTTCCTTATGGAGCAATCTTGGCCAGGCTCCATTGCCCTAGGCTCTGGAGAGATTTGTAATTGAAGAGAGCTCGGTGGTTGCGGTCGGCTATGTGGTCATGAAGGATAGATGCTGAGGCGCCCGAGGTTGAGCCGGTGAAAGACCTGCTGCGGTGGTCTTCCAGTAGCCTGGTTTTCATGAGGCAGTCGACGGTAGCGGATGCTGAGTAAAGTATCTAAAAGGTTAGTAAAATCCAAACATCTCACATGGTCTAGGGGTAGGGTGACTTAGTAAACGAAATTTGACCTAGCACAATAATTGACACAAGTGTTGTACGTCGCCCTAGGCCCTTTCCACTGTCCATATCCAAGTGCTCGTCGGTAAAGTGTAGCATGGATTTAGAGAGACGGGCCGGCACTAGACGTTTAGCCATGATAGGTATCTTCCAGGACAGGGCAGCATAGAACTTAGACCGGTGCAATATAAATGTCATCAATGTCCAAGTACGGGCATCGGAAAAATTATCACATTTTGCGGTCTGTCGGGACATTGTTTAGCGATGGTTTTGTTAAGAGAGATTAGAACATCTTCACAGATGATCAAGGTACCAGATTTTAGAGAAATAGTTCTTGACGTTCTACCCCGGTTAACAAGTCTTGACTTAATAAAAACTATTAAGAGCTTTGTGTGGCCACAAGGACCTTTATAGGTAATACTACAAACGATCATATATAGCTAGTATTTTATATTGGAAGGTCCATTAACCTATGCAATATCTATACTATGCCTCAAAGCTTGCTGATCAGAGTCTATATACTTTCATACAACCGGAGACGTGTGTTTATTATCTTAGCCGGATATACTGATCACAGCAATAGTGGCCACTAAAAAGAATATACTATTGTATTCAGACTATTTTAAATAACATTAATAACCAATAAGCAGTAGAGATAGCTAAGAAAAGGAAATACCAGTCCCACGATCCGGATCTATGGTGTAGTTAATAAAATATACGGCGGAGAGATAATGATTGCTTGTGAATAGATCGATCTTTGTAGATCTGATTTGGCGTTAGCGAGATCAACCTCACTTTCTCAGTGAATGAGATCAAGAGCTAAGCGAAATCAGCCGCCTCAGTTGATTTGATTTGGCCTTAGCGTGATCCGCGTTTAAGATCTCGATCAAACCTGCTTTTCCCTTCGTATTTATTCTCACAACCCTCAGTTCTTTCAACCTTTCAACACCCGCTTCACTTCCTTTGACCAGTACCCAGACACGAACAACTTGACCTTTTTTTTCTTATTCTTGTTATCAATTTTCATCATGGGAAATACTACCTGGGACCATGACAAGGACAAGAGAGTAAGTTGACCTACTTCTTTGATTACAATGTCCCCACAATCTGCGCGCCTCACTTCTCTTTTGCCATACACGATCCCACGCGGTTGCCTCACAATACTAATATTTTGATAACAGCTTCTTGTCACCATTTTGAACATCAGCGGGGCGGTCCTCGACTATGAGGCCATTGCCACCAAGATGGGCGGTAAGATTCCCTCGAGATGCTTCTTCACCCTGGACATAAGTGGTGTTTAGGTTGGCACATATCAAAACAAGAATATAACACTGACTTGTTTTCAACAATACAGACTGCTCCGCCGAGGCAGTCCGCCAGCACCTTCGTGCCCTGAACAGAAAGAACGGCGACGAGGCCAAGGACGCCCCGGTTACCCCCACCGGCACCAAGGCCGGCACCAAGGCTACCCCCAAGTCGAGTGGGCGTGGCCACAAGAAGAAGGCTGAGGAGGAGACCCCCACCAAGGCCGCCGACGACAAGACCCCGGTCAAGCGTAAGCGTGGCCGCCCCTCCAAGGCGGAGAAGGCCAAGGAGGCTGAGGAGGCTCCCGAGAAGGAGAATGAGGCCGAGCCGCAGAAGGAGTCCACCGAGGAGAAAGAGGAGGATGATACCTCCGAGGGTCCCAAGAAGATCGCCAAGCTTGAGAAGACCCCTGCCCCCGCTGCTCCTGCCGAGGAGGCCTAAATTTATGCGAGAAGCCTTGGCTCTGGGATACCAGGACATGGATCCCTCTGTGACATGCCACCTTTCTTTCGTTGTTTCTTTTCCTTTTTCTTTTTCGGGCCCAGGTTTTGAGGACGCCGAGGATCGCACAGACATATGAGACAGGAACTTGTGATTTAGCTAGCTAGTTGGGTGTTTTACGGGGTTTGAACTAGCAATGCATAGCATCAAGATATGTTTCTTGCCTTGGTTGTAAAGACGGGCCGATTAGTGTTAGGAATATGGTTTGAGATATTCATTGAGGCAGGGTGATCGTTCACTGTGCAGTCGTCTATGCGTAGTTCTATTAAGTCTTCCAACTTCTCATTGCTGCTCTAACAAGACTATCACCCTAATCAACAACGTACGTTCGAATAATTCCCCATTCCATATCGACGGCAAGCCATCCCGCATACCCATACGCACATAGGAATTCTCATGGTTCCAAACCCAGGCCGCTGCGTTCTTGGCGACCTGACCCCGGACTCGAAGACTGGGGTGGACTGAAAACAGGTCCGCCATGACACCAGCAACGGTAGGCGCTGCAAATGACGTGCCCTCCATCCGAACAGTACCACAGGTGTTCTGGCTGGTGACACACTCAATCCCAAATGCAGAGCTTTGGCTCGTGGCATGAGCGCTGACGGTTCCCGGGGCCCACACCTTCACCAGATCGCCGCCCTGCGTGAATCTGGACGCGAGACCATCGATATCGACCGAGCCAACGACAATATCTCGGTGTGGTCTACTGGCCTGTGAGTTGTCACGCCCTAGGTCCCAGGTATCGATCGTATAGTGTTGGCCTACAGTTGAATAGACATTTCCCCGGTCAGACCCCAACAAGACGTTGCAACGATCTGTGACATGAAGGTAAAATTAAGTTTCATTCAAAACTGGAAGCTTCGCTATGGCAATCCTCAAACAATCAAGCCGCTGATCTGAATATGCTAAACGCTACCAACTAGGTCGCCCCTGCAGCCCAAATATCCCGGACAACAAAAATGCAGACATATGCCCATGTCTCAACCCGAGAAAGAAGACAGTACTAAAAGCCTGAAATCTATAATGAGCTGTTAAATGAGCCGGACCGCGAAATGAAGTCCAGCTACCCGACTCGCTCATACTCCCAGACTTCGCACAATCCGTTCCACGACCTCAATGACGGGCCGGTTGTGAGGGCCCGGATGTGGGTGGAGTCGATGATGCCCATGGGCCACTAACAAAATGGGGATCTGAAGCAGCCAACCGAGAGTCAGGAGACATATCATTCCACCGTTGCGAATGACCAGGAGACCGACTCGGTTGGTGATGGAGCGTCTGGTGATACTGGGCCGCCCCTGGATACTCGGTGGCTCCAAGTGTATGCTTGGCCTGGTTTTGAGAGAGATACTGGTTGACGCCGGCCTGTACCAGAGGATTTTGGTATTGGGGAGCTTCGTTTGTGGGATTCTGAGAAGGGTGTGCCATTCCTGGACCTGAATGTGTTCGTGCCATAGAGATGCCATGATAGTGACTCTGCGAATTTGGGCGGGGTGGGTATCCCGACGGCTGTGAATTGCTAGATGAGGATGGCTCTAGCTGTTGCGGAAAAGCCACACTCTGATGAGAATGGGATCGTGAAAGAGGATGCCCGGACAGAGAATGACCTTGTTCGGGCAGTGTGAGGGAGGTGTGACTTGAATGAGTGTCGTATACCGGCACAAACACTTGTGGTTTTGGTCTAGGGTCGGCCCTTGGGTGCGAAACATCCGAAGACTGGGTAGATAGATTCCCAAAGCCTGCTGCGCAATTTTCAGTATTTTGTCTTGAAGGGTATGTCCCGAAATATGCCTGCGAGACATTCGAGGAAGCAGCATTGGGTAATGTATAATGGGGCAAAGCGTTGGCAAAGGCAGCCTGGGGCGCAGCCTGCCACTGAGGCTGGGGTGGAGGGGGCTCAGCCCTCACGCCATTGATATGGGGAGCTAGAAGAGTCGCAGTCCACGGCTGCGTTGGCAGCCCATGTTGGGCTGGTCCTGCAGAGAAGGCCTGGTAAGACTCCCGGCGTTGCTCGTGGGATAAAACCGGTGGCCCTTGTACCGTACCCTGACCATGACCCCAAGGCAACTGATGAATACCTCGATCGAGAGATGGCTGCCCTGCGACATTGCACCGGGGATGTGCTTGACCGGCCCAGAATGGTGGTTGTATCATGTTCAAGTGTCCAGATGATTTCTGTTGGAGAGGATCCTGAAGAGCAATCAGCGAGGTAGACCACCGTCGTCTTCCTGGGACTAACATACCAAACTATATGCGCTACCTGAAGCAGAATGTCCATTGTGATTGGATGAGTGCTGGCTGGTGTGATTCGAATGCCAATCTAGTCTCCCGACAGGCCCATCGGTTGAAGTGTCTAGCTGCCCGCTGAAAGGGGGGTCTAGGGAGCTCTATCTGGCCATCAGTGCCACTCTTGCAATGGTTGCGCAGACAGAATGAGCGCGATTCCCTACGGAAAGCCTCGCACTGTCCGCCGCGGTATACATCCCGCCCGTCGAGGTGTTGCCATATCCCGTCACGCCAGGGCTATTTGCCGAAGGCCGTGAAGCCGGTGCTTGCGAGGGACCGGTGCCGATAGACGTCGGGGTCGTGGACGGGGTGAGCACAACCGGTTCGGTGGGAATCTCCCACTGGGACTTTCCCGTCGCCCGCTGGACGTAGTACCATTTGCGCTGGACACCCTCCCATTGAGGGAGCCTGGTAATGTTCATCGTCAGATCGGATCTGCTGGAAGAACAGCGTCGCGACTTACCATCCCTCTGGCAAGCGAGGCGGAGGCGAAGACGGGCCTGCGGTGTCTGCGGGGGCCTCCTGCGGCATCTCGGACCTCAGACAAGAGAGATTAAGGCAAGACAAAAAAACATCAAAGGCATACAGCGCAAAAGTACAACAATATGCATAGACAATAGACGATAATCCGAGAGAGTGTGTTGTCAAGGGAGACTCGCGAGGATGTGGGGCTCCCTCCGCACAGACCGAATTGCGGTGTCGATCAGCCGACTCAACATCCATAGACGCCTCCTTGGGTATTCGTAAAAATAATAAAAATAATTTTGATTCTGCGTGAAACAACACGGAATAACATAAATAAACACCGATACGCACGAATTCGCCACCATCTTCCTCAACACCATAACGCCTGTCTATCCTGCCGTGAACAGTCACATGGTAAAACAATAGAAGCTCGAAAATAGAAGCACAGAACAAACCCTCGCAACTACCATGCATGGCCTGGGGCAGGCTCGAAGTCTTGGCCGTCCCAGTCTTCGTCACCACTCAGCTCATCGTCAAGGAAATCGTCTTCGTTGAATTGCGTTTCAGTAGGCCTCTGATTATCAATGCGGATCTTCACCACGTCGCACATGCCTTGAATATCACGGCTCAGCGGTTGCGAAAACGGCTCAATTGGGCTCAGCTCAGTAATTTCCTCGGCTTGTGAGGATCTGTGTTGCGCCAGGCGTGCGCTATGGCGTTGGGAAGGGCCGAACGAGCCGCCGTCAGCTGTCTCGGTGTGTGCAGAGCCAGGTAGAGCTCCGTCTTCAGGATGGGTGGCTCTTTCGTTGGCGAGAGCGCCGGATTGCAAGGGGCGTTTGCGAATTGACCGTAGGTTGGGATTCGGGGGCTGGCTTCGTCGCAAAAACACTCGCTCCAGCTGGCTAATCCATCGCTCCCGGAACGATGCACGGTCACGCCATCCGATCTTCAGAATCACACTAATAAGCATTCGCCGAAGGTCACGAAGTCGGGGTGCCGCATCAATCAGTGAGGTGAAAAACACCTCTGCTGTGGCATCATCCCATTTCCGAAGCTGGATCAGTTCGATTTGCTGTAATTTCTCGGGCCAGGTGGGAATTTCCGATTTTGTTAATAGCTCAAGAAAGTGTGGTTCAACGTCATGGTAGCTGGACCAGTCATGCATCGATATGTCCATCTTGAAGCGTTCAAGGTTGGGGCATGATGGACCAAGTGTCTGAATGAAGGACAAATTCAGGTGACGGTTGTGACTCAGGTTAAGTTCACGAAGATGACCGCCACGGGATTTCATGAAGGACGTGAGTTCATGTGAGAAGATTCGATCGCAATTGCAGAGGGTGAGCGACTGGAGGGCGGATGGCAGCTTTAGCAAGATCTCGTGATTGACAAGTGAGGATTCAAGGAATTCTAGGCATTGAAGTTCCGGGAGGGACTCAAGAGCCGTGGCGAAGACAGTCGCCGTTTGAAGATCAGCCTCTTTCTCCGATTCACTGAGATGGAGCACCCTGAGCCTTTTCAACCCATGGAATGCAAATCGCGAGTGCTTCTGTGTCATGAGTTCAACCAGCTTGGGGGTCTCGCAAAATCGACTGTTCCATTCCCAGCCGCGAAGACGAATTCCAGTGTTATCGATGGAGGAAAAGATTGGTTCAGTATAACCCCATCTGGACTGGTGAATATTCCACGGTGGTATTCCCAGGATGTAATCTGACCTGTGGTAAAGCCGGACCGTTTGCACCTGCGGAATTCTCTCGATAAACTTGGGAAGGTCGAAATAGCCGAGCGTAGGGCTACTCTTGTACAAAATAAGTGTTTCGACATCAAGAGAAAGTTCCTTCACCTTGCTGGCGTAATTCATCGACAGTGATTCTTGTGGCATTGAGAGGAGATTCATCAAGGCATGGCTTTTGTAGGCGGGGAGCATGGGCGGGGAGTAATACAAAGCAGCAATAGCTGGCTCAAGGAAACTTCGGCACAGCAAGCCGACATTGACCAGCCATTTGGCGGAATCGGTGCGAGTGTTGAGCTGTTCATTGAATAGTGGATGTGATGCACACCGGAAGATATCGAAGAGGACCTGGTAAGGTAGTGTCTGCCAGGGAGGAATCACTCCCGAGCCTACAATAATTGTGTCCTCTGCCTGTATTTTGGGTCGCTTGGTGCGGCGTCTACCCACTTCTCGTTTCTGCTGACGACGTCTTTTGGATTGCTTTGGTTTCGATGACGCCGTCATGCGTCGCGATGGCTGTGATTGAGCGCGAAAAGGACGAGCGTTGGCGTTGGATTCGGATGTAGGGACAGCAGGCATTGATGTCGTTGGCGCTTCCGCTGGACCGACCACCGCGGAGTCTGATTCGCTTTCCGCTTCTCCGTCGAAACTGGTATCAGTCGACTCTTCGCGATACATTCGGTTCGGATCGCGCGGGCGCAGAGACAATGATGCGCGCCTCCATGTTCCATCTCCCGATTCAGGGTCCATGTTCTCTTCTCCAGAATTACTGTCTTCGTGATAGGTGTCCACTTTAGTACGGCTAGAACGAACGGGGCGAGTGGACCTCGATGCGCGGCCACTTGGGCGCTGCACGGGCGCCATGGCAGATAAGGTTGCGCTAGGGTAAGATGGGGGGAGAACGGAGAGACACTCGCATTGTAGGGAAAGTCACCAATTCTGACACGGTCGAAGACAGAGCCGGGCCGGGCCGGCCCAGGGAAGTAGAAGGCGATTGTTCACAGTGAAATCGTCAGCAAACAGGCGATGCCGTGGGACTTGATGGATGAGGTGGAAGATGGAAGGATCCGAGCGCTGGTTTATCGATAAGAGGCCGCGGCGACTATCCCTTTTCAGCGATCGTGGGTCCTGTGACTTCAAGTGACCCATACCCTAGCCGCCTCGGGACAATCCCTGCACGTGACATGATGGTCTGGGTCACGTGATGCTCTGGACAGGAACCCCGCCCTCAGGCGACAACGCTAGTCCCGAAGTAGGAACCGTCCATGGGCCCAAAATAGAACTCAGCTGCAGCTTTAAAGATCGCGCCAGCCACCTCGAGGGGGCATCCTGACGGCTCTCCAAACTGGTTGCCGACTTGCTGCCCTCTTTCAGTATATTTGTTGAGCCTGTTTTTTTTTTCGTGTGGCTTTAACTCTATCGGTATATATCAGAAAGATTGTGCTGCCGACTCCTGATTTGACGATGGTGACGACTTCTAAATGTGACCAATGATCCCCATAATTCCTGGTTTGCACGACGTCTTTGGCTCCTTTGTGACATCCAGTCACACAATTGTCGATGGAAACCACATTTCCAGTCATCATGGACTCGACCGACCGCTCAAACAGCAGCGATCTCGGTGGGCCGCAAATGGTCATCCAGCAGTATGCGCGGTATCCGGCGACTCTGGAATCGACGCTGCAAAGTGCTTCCTCCCTAGGAAGTGCACGAAGCCAACTGGATATGGCCAAATCCCCGCCGCTCCAGCGTAAGGGGACCCCGCGAAGCTTGCATTCTTCCCCGAGGGGCATGCGCTCGGCAATACCGCCATCATCTGCTGTGCGTTCAGGTCCATCCATGTCCCCGCCACTTTTTGATGCTCTTCGGCATAGGCAGATGAAAGATCCTGCCGATCAAGCAGAGTCCCGTGCGCTGCCGTCTCGGAATGTTAGCGATGAGACCATTGATGATGCCTACGTATTGTTCATTCTTTATTGCAACCCCAACGTCCCTTCTAATGTCGAGACCTCGGAGCTGCGAAAGTGTTTTCGTTGCCCACCACGGAGCGATGGCAAAAGCTTCAATATCTTCACTCTATTTGAACTCATTCGAAAGTTGGACAACAAGGAACTCAAGACTTGGATTCAACTAGCCATTGAGTTGGGTGTCGAGCCCCCTTCGATTGAGAAAAAGCAGAGTACGCAAAAGGTTCAGCAGTATGCTGTTCGACTTAAGGTATGCTTATTCACTCTGGATATCTCGTTCTTCGGATTTCTAACATAGTATAGCGCTGGATGCGTGCCATGCATGTCGATGCCTTTTTTGAATTCTGCCTAGATCACCCGCATCCTTACTATACACACCTTCCACCGTCCGGTCCATTCGTGACTGACTCCCGTGATGGTGTTCCATTGGAAGAGGATCTTGCCCTCAGGGCCCTAGTTCCACAATGGAAGCCCAAGCGTGGTAGGAAAAGAGCCGATGAAAGAGAGCTTGACGATGAAAAAGCCTATAAGCGCCCTCAGTTAGACACTTCAGTCGGTGGTCTTCATCAGGGTTCGTTTCAGGCAAATTCTGTCATTTTCCCGCAAAGCGCCATTCCATTCAGTGCATTCCCCGAAGACATGGAGTCTAACGATCCATGGATGACTGCTGCGTCCTCGTTTCCACCGGGTGGGGGGCCGGCACCAGATCAACAGGGGCAAGACCTGCGTTGGAGACTTCCCGACCGGGAAGCATCTCCGGCAAACTATCCACAATCAGCTATCGTTCCACGACAGTCGTCTGATATTCTCATGTCTTCCGAACCGCGATCTGCAGTCACGCCATCATCTGGGGAGAAAAGTCGCGCCAGAAGAAGACATGGTCCAGCGGTTTCATCAGCCTGGCCAAATAGCAATGGCTCATCAACCGGAAAAAGTCGAGGAAGACCACCAAACAAAGGATCCACGTCTGGATCCTTTTCTACATTCCAGCTCAATTCAAGCCAAGAGTCTCCCCAAGTCCCTAACTCCGTCGTTCCATCCGAGTCTCATGTACTTGACCGGCAACCACCGAATCCCATGCCAAACTCTTCTTATAACCAGTCGCCCACTCCTGCGAACCATGGAAGGCCAGGCAAGCTCCAGCTTCAGGTTCCTCAACATCCTGGAGCCCCTGTTCGACTCGCTACACCTCCAACACTCCAGTTAAATGGTGTCAATGGCGCTGTCATTTCCGGCTCAGAAGATGGCAACGGGCCACATGAGGCCGATGGATCAAGTAGCCAAACTACAGTTGCAGCAAATCGAATCACTGATTCCCATGAGCACAATCCAAGACGAATTTTGGACATTTCTATCAACGATCTTGTGTGCGGCCTGACTGTCGAGCTGCTGCGTGCTCGCCTTATTGGACGAGCAGCTGCTCTCAGTCCTGACGAGGCCCGGGCTGTTGCATCGCAGATGGTAGCGGATATATCCGTGTTGCATTCCTCATTACCACATGGACCGCATTCGAACTCCATGTTGGCTTTCCACCTGGGCATGGGCCATCATTTTGGGATACTTCGCGCTAATCCAGGCTCAATGGTTGTTAAAATCGATCCTCCCTGCAGAAATACCAATGTCGGGGGTGCAGCCACTGGCTCGAACCGCCATGCGGGGAGGGCACGATATACCGTATCCTATGATTACAATCTGTATCATGACTCGTCGATGCAAATAATTATTGGAGTGTTTGAGCCTGATGCTTGGGCTCTCGATCCGCAGCACCAGCCAGTTGAGGCTGCGGATCCCGCACATGATGTCGAAAACGACCCTGCTGATTTCGAGCTTGAGGATGACGAGGGCAGCCATACTGTTTCTGAAGCAACATGGAAACAACGTTACATGAAGCTTCGGGCGCAGATGCAAAAGAAAGACCGATCCTTGGCACAATACAAACGCAATATTGTTGAATCGGTCATGGCTGATATTTGACGAACTTGAACTGTGGCCTTTCGCGCTATTTACTTTCCAAAGCCATCATCCATCATTCAATATTGGTTACCATTTGTTGGGTGATATTTGTATTGTGTGTTCGTTTGACGTGATACCCATTTTCTAGTCTAAACATGTTTCCTGGAGTCTCTTCGCCATTTATGGCCTATGTCTCCTTTTTACCTTCGACTTGCGGCATGCGACTTGCATCTTAGGGCCAATGTTCAACGATACCCTGGTCGCGATGGATACCATTTTGTTTGTTCCTTTGTCTTTGAATCCAATCTAAGAGCACAGTTGGCCTATTATGCCCAATACCTTTTCTTAATCACTCTCCATGGTGTATCCGGATTGATCTCAGCCCCTTCTACTTGCTGTCTGGAAGCAATCCTGCCGACATGAAGCTACGTATTACACGCCTCTACTTAGTCATTTTCTACCTAGACTTGATTCGAAAAAATGAGGGAGAAGCGTTAGTGAAATTCCAGAGGATAGCACACCAAAAACACGGCATCTATCCTACACTCCTCCAAGTAACAAAGGAAAAAAAGACTGCCAGCCTAGATACATGCCCCAACTCCACACTCCCTGCCTGGCATGAAAGAAAGTATCAAAAGGGCTATAATAATGGTCCCACTAGGGGCAAAAGAAGAAAGAAAGAAAGAGGAAAGAAAAAAAAAGCTCTGGTCGTAAGGGAAGTACATCCTTGCTCCAAGTTCCCCAGAGTGAGTGAGAGCTTAGGAGGCGGACTCCTCGATCTCCACCTAAGGTTCCTTCTCCTCCTGGTTCTCCTGGTCCTCCTGGGGCTCCTGTTCGTCGCTCTTGTCCTTGGCAGAGCGACCACAGGCACGGCTGGGCTTGGAGACCTTGTAGGCCTTGCCCTTCTTGTCCTTGGGGGACTTGTCGGTGGCCTTGCCGGCCTTGGTAGGGGTTCCGGAGGCCTGTTCACCGGCCGAGTTCAGCTCGTAGGCTTGGAGGAGGCGGGAGTAACGCTTGGACCTGGAACTTAGTTAGCTTTCTTCATCTCTGAAGATCCTCCAGCGGAAGTTGGATCTTACGCGGCCGCCTTAGAGATGATGTTCAGGTCGCTGGCGACCCCTTCCCAGTCGACCTAATCATCACACAAGCATTAGCTTCCTATCATGCATTCGAAGCCTTTCTGTTGGTGGCTATGTGAGGGGAGCACTCGTAGTCAACATACCTTTCCATTGTGGGTGTTCTTGATGCAGTTCACCAAGAATCCGATCTGCTCCTTCTCGGTAGCGGAGGGCGGCATGTTGACAGGGGAAAAATGAGGAATTTCTTTAGAATATGAAATGGAAATAGAAGTGAGGGTGTACTCGTTGCGAGGATTCAATAAAGTAAAGATGAGTGGAGGCGCGTGCGTGGTTGTGGGGAAAGAGAAGACAAGGATGAAGAGACACGCGTATCGGTTTTGTAGTGCGTGGAATGATCGCTGCCTAGCTCGATTGCCTGAACCTCATTCACTTGCTGGCAGATAAAATGGCATGACTAGCCTATTTAAGGATGGCAGGCAGATAGCCTCACCTCGCGTGGCTTAGAGGGTACACCTATAAGATAAAGGGAAAAAGAATATCACTGCAGAGCAATGCTCTACAGGGTACTCAGTTAGGTCACTCAATAAGACTAACAGCTTCGAAAATAAAATTGGCTCAGAATTCCGAGGATGGAGCTATGCCTTGTCTTGATATGTGGGATCTATCTCAGGTCTTTTTCCAATCTATACTTCTCTCTTTATTGCGCTTACCTTATAGAGTATTTGTTCTTATCTTAACAAACTATATTATAATTTACTATATACTATAACAAATAGCATAGGAGCTCTCTTTATTTTCTTTTATCATTTCCTTAGAAAGAAAATTAGGACCGTGGTCGTTTTATTGGGCAGAATATTGAATTTCAGTTAGAGTATTTTGGCCTGCGCCTAGGCCTCATATCCAACGCATTGAAACTAGGCAAGAGATATATAAAGAATAACAAGAAAAAAATAGGATTATCTAGCTTGATTGCTCATGATTCAAAAAAAAATCTACAGACCTCGGGCTACCAAGCTAGAGCTGAGCAGGATGCGCTTGGTTTACATCATCACGTGGAGCCACGTGGTACTCATCACGTGTATTCACCAACCCTACATATCAAAACGTTGGAGCTATCTTAGGCACTCTTTCTAAGACCAGGTGGAAATTGAATTTGACTGAAACTTGGATGAATATTAAGCTTTTAAACTTCTGATGCTATGGGAGTACATGTTCCTCGAATTCCCGAATATCCCATATGAAGCCAAAGCAAAAAGATCGAACTCATCCCGTTCGCAAACGTCACATCGAAGAAACAAGTTTGTGGTAAGAACAAGCGGGCCAAGGGAGGCTCAGGGGTCCTGGAAAATAGCTTAAGCATCAGAGGGCATCTCCTGGTTGCTGGTGTTCTCCTTGTCGTCGTCCTCCTCGTCGGTCTCGAGGGCACGCTTGGCGCGCTTGACGGGATGGGCACGCTTCTTGGGAGGGGTCTTGGTGACCTTGCTCGGGCTCTGGCTGGTGGTGGTCTAGCTTGTGTTAATGAGTTCAATTGACAAAAAAAAGGAGCAGTTGGTACATACCAGGCTAGGCACAGTGGTGCCATCGAGCTGGAGGTTGTACTTCTTCTTCATAGCACCCCAGCGGTTTCCGGCAGACTTGACGTTGGAGTAGCCCAGAGCCTCGGCCAGCTCAATGAGGTCGACCTTTGTAATTTATTGTAAGTGTGTTTCAAGATCAGTGGCAACATGAATTATGTATTAAATCTTCGTACCTTCTTGTCGCCAGCACGTACGCACTTGAGGCACAAGGCCAGGAACTCGTTATCAGCGTGGCGCTCTCCATCGGAAAGCTCATGGTCAGGCGAAACAGGAGCCATGGTAACGGTTGCTTGATAAGACGTCAGTTTACTCTCGAGGATGAAACCAGATAGAAGGCTTTTGGGGTACTGGGAGTTACAGTGGAGGCACGAACCTTGAGATTTTTAGTTGGAGATGGTTTTGAGAAGAAGAAACAATGGAACAAGTTAAGAAAGGAAAACGTTGATGAATGGCGGAAGGTAGAAGGTGGAATGTGGAAGAGAAAAGGGTGGAGGAATGGTCAAGCTGAAAAGGTGGGGGGAGTAGGCCGACCCGAGTATCGTAGCTGGAACTTGTTCTTTCTCAATGGCTTATGATTTTGAGAGTTGGATTGAATTGGAGAGAAAAGAATAAATCTCCAAAGAGGAAGATAGAATAAACACTCAAAGAAAAAGCAATTGCATTCTATTATCACCGAATTATGCATGCAATCCCCAATCTACTCATCCTGCGGCTTTTCCACCTTGATGAAGACCTCATCATCCGAAATCACCGTTTCAGGCTCTTTCTTTACCTCAACAGGACTGCAATGGCCGCTTGAAGTGTGTTGCTGGCTCCAGGGCATCTGCCGGTCAAACTCCAAGATCGGGGACTGTCCGCTGAGCTCCCCCATATTGTAGCCCGGTGACATACCCATCGGTGAATTCTGTAAATCCATTGAGCCCCCTGTCAAGGCCGAAGAGTGCATCCCGGGCGCCATCAGAAACGGCATCGGAGGACACGTGGGATGGGACATGCCAGGCTGAAGGTGCGCATCATAGGGGGGCATCATTGGGAACCAATCGGACGGAATTTCAGGCATGCTTTGACTCAGCTGAGGAGCAAACTCAGACTTGACAAAAGCATGGGATGAGAATGATGGGTCCATCGGTTCCAGCTTTGGGAGCATCCCAGGATACGGCGGTTGTGGCATGAACATCTGGGGTTCGGCGACGAGCTCGATCTTTTCACCTTTCTTGGAGTTCTTCTTCTTGTTCCTTGGCTTGCTTGCGGTTCCATCCATCTGTTGTCGAAACCGAGAGTAGCGCATTCGTGCCGCGTGGCCATTGGAAATCCCGACTTCTTCGGAGACTCGATTCCAGTCGACCTAGTAAGAGCCAGAATTTCAGTTGGGTTCTTTGGGCTAAGGAGCTGAGACAATGCAGTACCGTCTTGATATCCAATTGCCTGATGATTGCGTAGAGAAATTTGGCTGTCGGGCCGTCTGTCTCGATCACCTTGGTTCGTTGTCCCATAGCTGTGACTGTCTATGGAGAGGCCGAGGAACCAGGAGCAAACCCGAAGATTGTGGTCAAAGTTCTGAAGGCACTTGGCGCAATTATGGGGACCATTGCACTAGTAGGAACAATTCTGGATTAATAAATGATCACTTAAACACAGTGTACCCTATGAGAGAAAGAAAAGGAGCCAGAACGCTCACCCGTGGAATCAAAGAACTGGCCATCAGGCTGTCATAACTGCTTTGAGGACAAGCTTGCCTCTAAGAGCGGTAATTTTATTTGGAAGCTTCTTCTATCATAAAGAGAATGCCGTGTCTGACACGTCAACGAGGAGAAGAAAAATCCAAAGCCGTAATCCTTTCAGTGATCCTTCATTCTATGCCTATTCCCCGTTACATGCAAACAGTGTGGTCTTTGTTGGGAGTTTGACAACAATACCATCTTACTATGTTCACAAAAGGTTCTTTTAGACACACATGAATACACTAGGATTGATCTAAGAATGCTGTTGTTCCCGGACTATAAGATAGGTGTCACGTGGATAACCGTGCCCTGGTCGGTTGTTGGGCAGCGGATATCAACAAGACGACAAATGAGAAAGGCTCGACTCATATTCTACGGATTATTTTGCAAGGTTCTTTGAGCTGTATATCCTGATAAACAAAAGAAACCTTTTTGTCTGCAAGGCAATGCCGGCGCCGATTCTGGGTTCCTGTATTATTATTATTGTTATTTATTTATTTTTTTTTAGGTTCATTTTAGGTGGCGAAGTCTAATGACCTTTTCCCCTGATTAGAAAATTTACAATTAGACCTCTTTCCTTTCATCCTCCTAGGAAGAATATGGATAGATATAAACAAAGGAGAGATCAAACTTGCTGTTTGGCCTGCAGGTCCACGGGTGGCAACGGGATCCTGACTAATCCCCCCTCGTGGTCCGAATTTATGGCCAAGCAAGCAGGTGGGTGGCTGATGACATATTCATCCCAGCTTTCGGTATCGAAACATACTCCTCTCAAAACACCGCCTGAATCTAGCTCCTCAAGGCACTGATTATGGCCGTGGTTGCAATAGGAGCGTGTTACGTAGACACCATTCTCACGTAGGTTCCCCACCCCCCACCCCAGGAAGAAAAGTTGCTCCCATACACTCAACACACATGATGCTGACGATGATCAGAACTCCTCATTATCCCGGTGAAGATGAAAAGCTCCGGGCATCAACCCTGACCCGTCAGCGGGGCGGCAATTGTCCCAACACTCTGGAAGTGCTTCAGCAACTTACACAACACGTGCCATCATATCAAGAGCCTCTTCTGAAACTCGTAGCAGTTTTACCTGCTAAGTCTTCGGTTGCGTCGGAGCAAATCAGATCAGGCTTGGAGCCACGAGTTCGGTTGAGCCATTGTATTTACCGGGAGCAATTCAGCGAGCCGGCATCGAGTTACATTATCAATAGCCAGTCCACGGGGAGCAGGACTATTGTTAACTATCATGAATTGCCGGACATGACGGTCGACGAGTTCTCCCACATCGCCGATGAGCTGGACCCTCAGACAACCTTGTTTCACTTTGAGGTGTGTTACAACTGCACTAGAAATCATATTTGAAGACTCGTCTGATGGTTTCCAAGGGCCGCGATCCCGATGTTACTCTGGGGTGCATTCAATACATCCGGAAAAAGTTCCCACACGCTCAGGTTAGCGTTGAGGTTGAAAAGCCCGGAAGACCAGGGCTGGAGAAACTTGCGGAGGAGGCCGATGTTGTTTTTTACTCGAAGGGCTGGGCTCAGGTGAGTTATCTGTCTCGCTTGTTAATCTGGCATCTTTGCTGATGATCTGAGCAGCACAGTGGATATACCTCCGCAGAGGAATGTCTGCGCAAGCGATCGAAGCTGACGCGCAAGGCGTGAGTATTCGAATCATCCAAATTCATGAAGACATTCAGCCTAATATATTTCGGAATACAGGACATTGCTATGTTGCACATGGGGCCAGGACGGAGCCGACGCTTTCGAACCCGGCACAGGTACTTTGGCTCATGTCGGCGCATACAGCGCCGAAGATTTTAGAGTGGTTGAGTAAGTCAAGGTTTACGGTTCATCATGGGCAAGAAAGAAGGGAAACTGACAATACACAGTACCATTGGTGCTGGTGATACCTTTATCGCTGGGATGCTATACGGAATCACTTGCAAGGCCAGGGACTGGGATCTCTCTACAAAACTGGGATTTGCAAATCGGCTTGCAGGGATTAAAGTGTCCCAGGAGGGCTTCTCGGGACTGGATAGGGCATTAACATCGTATTTGTGAAGTGCCGTCCTTGAGTCCAAATGGTCTCTTGTCTTTGAAACCCTTGGCCGCCAAGTAGAGGGTAGCGAACATTACGTATTTAGGGGACATTTCATTTCCCAGAAGCTTAATACACGTGAAGGGGATGAACAAGTCCAAGACTCATGCAGCAGCAGATTAATTTCGTAGAGTTGCCCTACACCTAGGATAACAATAGCTGAAAATCGCCGTAACTCGAACCATTGGATCTTGAAATTCTCAAACAAAGATATCCCACAATTTTACAACCCAAGAGTCCCCAGGTACACAGACAGAACAACATCGGCATGTTCGAAGTCAAGACTAATCCACCACAATACCCATCTCGTGACCAGCGATGGCTGCATGGAGGTTGCCATCATCGTCGCCTCGCTCGCCCATGACAAAAGCCAACGTATCGCCGAATGTCTCGCCGTTGTCACGAAACCAGCTCCCAAGAGACGCCACATACTCTTCCACCTGCTCCTTGAGTAGAGCACGTTCTCGCAACCAGAGTATTTCACCGGGGTCAAGCTTCATCATGTCTTGAACGATGTAGTAGTGTGGAATTTCATCACCCCAGCCCTCGAATCCCGGGTCGTGGGAGAGATCATTTCGGAATCGAGAGCGATACTTGGCTGGGGACTCGGTGAAATTGGCGGGATGGGCCGTATGAAAGCCATGGTCCACAATTGGCTTATCAAACAGCGAGCGCCCAAATGACGATGAAGCAGATGTTGGGAGTGGGTAGTTGAGGTGGATATTGAAGGTGGGCTGGTGGCTGCTTTCCGGATAGCGCTTGTGGAACTTACGCTGAATAGTTCCGTTGCTGGGGCAGATGTGGTTTTGCACGACGTCGGCCATGATCAGACGCAGGTCTTCAATCTCAGCCAGCTCTGGAGTCGACCAGTTGTGCAGAAGTTGGGCGCGCTCCAATACCACGGGTCGAAGGTTCCGAGAAAGCCGATCATACGCCTGGGTATGGAATGCGCGATGATACAGCCACAAGCGGTAGAGCGCACGGCGCAGGCGCAGGCGCTCATTGTCGGTCAACGAGCGCCGACTCTCGTAGTCAACTTTCCATTTCTTGAAGGGATAAATGGTCTCCCATTTATGTGCCACCAACCCCAGTTGGACAACTTGTTTCAGGAGTCCATCGGACATGGGCGGACAGCGAATGACATAGGCTGGCTGGCTCACATTCTGGGTCACCACCTGGATGATATCATGCAGAGGACCAAACTCGCTGTCGGCGGCGCTAGCTAGGATCTGAAGCTTGTTGGTTGATTGGAAAACGCGGCGCAGTCGGCGAGAGGCAGCGGCCAAGTTCAAGACATCAGAGACAGATTCGCAGGAACGGAAGATATGGAGCAAAAGCTCCGTTGCAAGGTATTCAAGCGGCATTGTGGGGGAAACCACGTCTTCGCTGTATAGCATCTGAATCTATTAGCTGAAACCATGGCCACTGAACGTCATTGTATAGGATGTACCTTTTTTTGTTTTTAGAAAACTGTGATTTGGTGAAAGAAAACAAGAAAGGTGAAATCAGGGAAATGGTATAGGAGATAGTATATCTCGGGGCTCTATGATTCAACAGAAATGGGTGTGACAGCGTCGCCGCGGCGATGAGGCGAACAACAGCTGTCGCGTGTATTTAGGACCTAGTTCAGAGGCACCCCGCCGGTGGGGCTCGCCAGAATAAAAGACATAGTGGGAGATGTAGCAGGAATTAAAGAACGGCTTTGCAGCAGCCGCACGAAGCGGCTGGACCCTGAATGCGATGCCATGGCAGATGGTGTCAGGAGGGAACGGGGTTGCAGCCAACCGATGACTCTTTATATAGCGCTTATATAATTCGCCCCTTGCGCGAGATTGCCATCGGCGATCTCGTGAACTCGAAGTACATCAACTGAAGAAAAGCAAGGAGAATAGAATAAAGGTCCAATAGTTTGCGAAATAATTTTGAATTACCGAGATAAAAACATATGAGACTTTTGCCTAGACGCCTGAAGAGACCATGAGATCGTCGAATCAAATGTACATGTAGTCATCCCGAGGGATATCAAGTCTAAAACGCACGCGACGAGAGAAGAAAGGAAATAAAACCCCCCTATGCAAACAACTTCCGTGTGTCCAATACATCCGGCTCCTGCACTGAGTTGTCCGACAGTCCCAGGCCGGAGCGCTTGGCCACGCGATCGGTCTGCACATCTCTGCGTTGCGAGTACCGACTGGCCTTGCCTAGGCGAATCTCACGACGGACCTGGTTCGGGCTGACATATTCTTTGTTCTCGTAGATGACGGGACCACCAAAACTGCCTTCCAGAATCACAATGGGCGTGAGGACAAATCGAGGACCGACCTCAACCAAAGAGACCTCGGGCAAGCCGTCCTTAGCCTTCGGGGCCGGCTTAGCTTTCTCGTCGCCGTCCTTCTTCTTGGCTCCGGCCTCAGACTCCCGGATCTCATAGACACGGATCCAGATCTTGCCGTCCACACCGAAAATGCCGATGATGCGGTCGACAAAAGGTTTCATACCCTTGACCCCCCGCTTGGGGACACAGAAAACTCCACGCAGCATCTCTCGGACCAGTGCACGGTATTCTGTGCCAGGGCCACCCATGTCTGGACCTTGCTCGTCGAACGACCGATCAAATACCACGAGGCCTCGACCACCCTTCAGGCAGTTTCCGGCGAACCCAGCACCGAGCTCCCCCATCGTATGCAAGTTGTTAAGGTGGAACTTGATTGTCGGGCCGTTGGGGGGGCGCGCAAGCCAAAGATAGAGATCCTGGCCGTTTTTGCGGGCCTCCAAGAAGAAGATGACATTACACGAGTGCAGATCGGCGAGCGAGTTGAGAAGAAGGTTGTAACCCGCAGTCTTCTTTTTCGTGTCGAGCTTGGTTTCCTTGTGCGTATGGGGAAGGAGGACGCAAATGTCGGACATCAGGTGTCGGTGACTGGGGCAGCGCAAATTGTAGATTAGCAAAACCATTCTCGACATCTCGGTTGCCCATGCAAGCCCTGGTATGCATACCGATACGAAGCACCGCGGGAGGTCAATATGAGCACTCGAGTCTTGGGCATGTGGCCTGCTGCGAGCTGTTTCTTCGCCGAATCCACATTTTCTTCCTCTTCTTCCTCTTCCTCGCTGTCAGTGGTGTCGTCCGCCTCATTGAGAAGATCCTCCATGTCGATGTCGTCGTCCTCCATCTCATCCACAGGCTGGCGGGCCTTCCTCTTGGAGACTGTCTTGTAAACCGAAGCCATGGCGCAAATGTCGTGGGATTGACGACCGTGCAAAAGCTTCCGATCAAAAAGTTGGCGGCAGAATATTTTTGTTGTACACCGCCTGATCACGTGCATACTATAAGTCATCGTCGCCTGAGGCAGCAAAAATGAACGACTACATCATTTCGCTTTCAGAAATCAGCATTTCTAGATGAATTTTCAATCTGGAGCTCTAGAGCGAGCTGTGTTGTTTTGTTTCTTCTTCCCTAGCATGTTTGTTATAGCGAACGATCGATCAAGGCAAAAAATAATCTCACATAACCAACAGAAGAATGTAATGAGACAGTATATGTTGCAGCTAGAACGGAGTAGTGGTCGAGTAATGGACTATATATAGCAGCCTTTGGCATAGAAAGACGAAGCGATGAACAAGCGCTTGAGGGCAAGACATCGAGACACTGGTGGAGACACCCCTAAGCAGGTGGGTCCTGACAGCCATCATGTCTGGCCTTATTCCCGGCTACCGAGAGACTATTGCTACTGCATTGTCTACCAGATCAAATTGAATATACTGTTTTTTCTAGGAAGGCTTCATACAAAACCACATAGCCACAATGACGCCTACCCAAGTTCATTGCCTCAGCAAGGACCGTGGTTAAACACACAAAACAAACAGGAACACGGTGTGAAAGACTCAATTTCGTTGGGGACCACGCAAGAAAGGAAAAGAAAAAAACAAAGATGGAATCAAAAAGGATTTGACCGAGATTCCCGGCCTCCCATGCTGTTCTCTACCAGATCCCGTCTGTGTCTTGTTTTCGTAGCCATGGAAATTACACACAGACCACAGCCAATTCCAACATCACATCACAAAAGAAGAGTCGTTGCGGTCGGTGCCTCGTCGAAAATGGCGTCTAGCAGCAACCCTGCTTGGTTTCGCTGTCCTGCGGAGTAAAATCGATCACCGGGCGGCGGTCACCGGGCTGGTTCTGACCCGATTCGCCGGAGTCAAGGGCTTTGCTGGAAACGATGCGGTAGATTTCTAAAAGACTGTCAGGCCGGTTTCTGCTAAGCAAGTCTAGAAGCTACTCACCTGTGAGGATGTTCTGGAAAGCCAGCTCAACGTTGCTGGCATCGAGAGCCGAAGTCTCGATGAAAGAGAGGTTGTTCTCGCCTACCGCTTGTCAGCACCCACTTCCCACCACTCCCGCGGATCTCACACGTACTGGCAAACTGCTTGGCCTCCTCCGTGGGGACGGCACGCAGGTGTCTCAAATCACTCTTGTTTCCAACCAGCATAATCACAATGTTGGAGTCGGCGTGGTTCCGCAGTTCCGTCAACCAGCGAGTGACATTGTCATAGGTCTGGTGCTTGCTGATATCGTAGACGAGGAGCGCACCGACGGCGCCACGGTAGTAGGCAGAGGTAATGGCACGGTACCGCTCCTGACCGGCAGTATCCCAGATCTGGGCCTTGATCGTCTTGGAGTCGACTTGGATGGACCGGGTCGCGAACTCCACACCGATGGTCGACTTGGAGTCCAGGTTGAACTCGTTGCGGGTGAACCGACTCAACAGGTTGGATTTACCGACACCGGAGTCTCCGATCAACACCACTATTTACCCGACAAGACCACCGCCGATCAGTATGAAGCCTTGGGAGGACAAGGGATGGTTGAAGTAATGAAAGCGGGCACCGGGTAGTGGCGACGTTACCTTTGAAGAGAAACTGGTAGAGGGAATCATCAGCTTATCAGCCCAAAGCAGCGTGCAAAGCCACTATCCAGGGAAACTCACGTCATATTCGTCGTTGGCCATGGTGAAGGTGATTGAGCTAAGAGCAGCTCGATGGGTTATTCAAGGGTCAACAGGGACGATGGTCAGAGAAGAGATAACTATGTGGGAGGAGTCGGTGTCAGTAGAAAAGCATCGAGCAGGCAGCCAAGAAGCGACACACCAAAAGTAAATCACCGTACGGGCGCAGGAGGGGGAGTGGATGCTGATGCCTCCGTGTCTCTCCTTAATCTGTGCCGAGCCCATTGAGGATTAGCGTGGGTCACGTGAGACCCAAAGAAAGCATTCTCTCAGGTGTCAAGGTGCTAAGGCAGTAAGGTGTCAAGGCGTCAATGAAGGGACATTGATTGCGCTTTGTCTGATTTGCTCATTGGAGTATCACTACCAAGCTTACCCATGTGCCTCAGCATATTATGACCCGGTGGCTCAGAACACCATTCTCTCAACTCTCCTTTTTTTGTGCTCAGCTCCTGCTAGCAATCCCGCAGCCATGGACTCGGACACAGAAATGCCACAGGCTGAAGATTTTGACTCGAAATCGCTGGCATCCACATCGTGCAGCGACGAGCAGTCAGAATACGAAGTAGAGGCCATTCTTGCCGAGAGGGAATTCGATGATGGTCTAAAATACTTAGTCCAATGGTCGGGGTATCCCTCCCACCGAAATACATGGGAGCCCGCCGAGATGTTTGACTCGAACGAGACTCTTGACGATTGGGAGTCTAAAAAGCAAGAGATTGCCCAAAAACGCAGCACGCCCTTCGATGTGGCATCTTGGGAAAAGCATTGTGAGCTAGTTGCCCAGAGAAAAGAAGAACGGAGACGTCGACGCGAGGCGAAAAGAGCAGGCATGGTCAGGGTGGACGTGGATCATGCGGAGAACACCGCGCCAGCCTCAACAACCTCTATTTCGGCAGGCCGCAATTCTGGACTAGAATTGTTGGGTGCCTCAGGAGAATTCTCCTCTTTATTTGTCCCTTTAAATACTCCTCCACCAAACACTTCTTCTAGTCGCCCCGACCTGCTCCCGCAAGGCCCTCCGAAGGCTCCCCCCACATAAACCTCAAGCCCTTGCACCTCAAACACAACCTTCAGTCGCCAAAAATCAGACGCAACCTGCAGAGCGAGAGAAGCCCTCAAAACCGCCCGTTACAAAGCCGGCCTCACTTGGCTTCGGTGTTGGCCAAACATCAAGGCCAGGGAGACGTGACCTCAAATGGGGAGAGCGAGAGCCAGACATCAGCCAGCTGGAGCTTATGAAGCCGTCTGAATTTACTCCAAGGGTTACCACTGCTAGTGCGACGACGCTTCCCATATCTATGACAGAGAACCCCTCCGCCCCAAAGGACCAAAACAGTACATCTTCCATCAAGAACAACGCGTCAACTGCATCATCAGTTGCCCAAAAACCAAACAAAAACAGCAATCCACACACAGGGGCGGGCCATACCTCCCCGAAGCCAGCCCCAGCTATGCCTCCGCCGTCTTACAACTCGAATCGCCGCGAGTCCCCTCGCGGCAGTGCTGACACCTCTCAACCGGATCATTCGAAACAACCTGAACATTTTTTCCGCGGTGACTGCTACAGGTATGAGTACTCCGAGTGCACCGACACCTTTCGATGGTCCGTTTCCGGCTCTTATCGGCCGTTGAGTGATAGGACAAACCGCAGACATTCTCCGTCTCCCCCGTGCTCTCTCCCCACTGTTGCTTCACGTAAGAATTTCTCCTCGACGCCCCAAAGGCCACTCCAACCCGAAGCTAAGATGGCAACCAGCTCCCAAGCGAGCACATTGTCGGTCGAAGCTCAAATCGCACGGATGCCATCCAAAAAATTGCCCGGCGCGATGGTCACTAGAGGTGGTTACTTCTGGAATCCCGGGGAAATTCTGGTGCACTTGTTTTTTGGGCCCAACAAAAAGTACATAGGGGCTACTCGGCTCTGCGGTAGCAGCACTGGTGCAAAGGCCGAGCTCATTGGCACTAAGGGCAAAAACCCGAGACTCGAGATGTGGTTCAAAGAACTCTGCAATCTTGAAGACTATGGCATGCTCTGCGAGAGAGTACGTTTGGTCGTTCGGGTTACTGTTTATTACATTGCTAACATCCACCCTAGGCGCCCAATAATCGATTATGGTGTAATTCCTGGTTGGAGGGCTTCCATGACACGAATAGCGCCTTATTCATCATGGCGGAACAACTCCACAGACAAAATGTCATTGCCATCCACTACCCGCCCCACAATGGGAATGTGTGGCTTGCCTACTCTCGTTGGTCCCAGGATTTCGGATTTCTTCATGAAGAAGCCAATCACTTGCCAGATGAAGTTCCGATTTTCCTTGTCGCGCGCAATATGCTGCCGCCTGTGACCTGTCTCGAACCCAGGGGTATGGTGCAGCAATCGCAAAGGCCACAGGCAAATACTATGTTTCCGCAGAACGCCCTGCCTTCGGGTGTCCAATTTAGCCCACATGGCTACATTGGTTCGATGAGAAACTCAGGTCTTTTTCCTGGTGACCAGGCACCTCCCAATTCTTATAATTCCATTTCGACGGGCCAGGCAGTCGGATATTCACCCGACCCCAGGCTCAAAGGCCAGAGCTCCACCTCACAGAGTTCATTTCCCACGCGGGACCAGGGTCTGCAGAGTAACGGAGAACCCGCCCTGCCTCAGCTTTCCAAGTTTGCGGTTTCAAATACCTCCACCACGGGTAATTACCAAAGTCCAGCCGTTAATCAGAGTATCATCCCTCGGAGCATTGACCCCATCTCAAATGGAACAACCCTCACTCCAGAAGCAGAAGCTTTGCTACAATACTTCAATACCGCCAAGATAACGATGAATGAGCTTGCGACTATCTATGACTCTGGAGAGGCGAGCCTTGCGGAGTTTTTTATCTGCATTTCCCCTTGGGAGATCCAGAGGTGGAAATGGAGTTGGGCTTCATGGAAGTGTGGCTAAAGCTCAAGGGGAAAACGGCATGGACGAATCGTAATCCAGCAGACTGGAAAAAGTTCATCAGGAACAGCAGACGGGGTGTGGCTGTGGTATGTTTCACCTGTTTTGTAAAGAATACGAGGAGCCACGATAAGCTGATTATACACACAGTTCCATGAATCCTTTTTTGACTACCACAAGTTGCGACCAATGATTCGCGAGGAAGTTCCAAATGACTCGTTGAACGTCTGGAGCATTCGCCTTCTCAGACCTCTACAGCTGCCAGATCTCCGATATTGCTCTCCCGGGACGCACATGCAACGCATATTCCCGAAAGATCGCATCTTCTTAGTAACTGAAGACGTTCTAGCGGACCTCAAAGGCACCGCAATCCTACTCAGGTGGTTCTACCAAAGTCAACGGCCTGGCCGGCGTCCCTGGAAAATCATGTTCTTCCCGGATATCATGGGCTGGCTCGAGAGAAAGCTCAGTAGCGAACCAAGGAACACGTCTGCAGACAATCTGTAAAGCTCACCACCCTCTGGCGTTTCTTTGAGACCGCGCTAATATCCAGATCATTTAGGGTTTTGACCATCATCACGTTGATTATGAAAATTAATTCCATCGACGGAAACCCTCCAATCGACCCCAGAACCATCAACCCGAACAGCCTCGACCGTCTAAATCATCACGCTTTCTCCCTTTCACTGCCAGGATACGGCAATCGTGCCGAACAGGACGACCCAACCCTACCCAAGGGACTCACCCAGGAGGAGCGAAACGCAGACCACCTCATCCAGGCATTTGCTGGATGGTCGATCGTCAACGCAGCCCGCTTCGGCCGCTTCATCGTCATTACCTCTTTGGCGGATGATGTCCTGAAGTCGCGATGGAGGGAGTTTGGCCATCTGAACATCCAGGGCCCATTAAAAAACGTCTTTGACAAGTTCAAAGTCCCGCATGCGGCCATCTGGGACTTGCTCCAACATGGCCCGTCAAAACATAAAGGAGATTCTTCCTCGACTGCCACCGCACCCCAGGCACCTATTGGGCCTGTCTCTGTCTCTACGCCGCAAACCCCAGTCGATCCTCCGTCTTCCACACCACAAACTCCGGCGAATCCCCCTACCGCTAAGGATGCCGATGCCATGCAGCAGAATCAGTGGAAGGCTCCAGTTAGACACGACCACACTACCTCGTGGCAATGACTGTGGCCTCATTTTCTGGCAAAGGCAGTCTGTCTTGGCAGATTCTCCATCACCCATCCATTGTATCTTCCTTGAGCCCGCCTCCCCCTTTTTTTTCCTTGTATTTCCCCCCTCTTCTCGAATCCGAATTTTCCCATTCATTGCATTGTTGGTGATCGCTTCCTGGTTTTTCCATACTTCATTTTCACGACTCATGACCCGATATCCCCACCGTTTCCCTACTCCGCGTTCAAATCCTCTTTTTTTTAAATACCTATCATGTATGATTTATCTGCGATTCTCTGCTTTTGAATGTTGTACCCAATGGCTGTAGAGTAGCTGTTGGAAGTGTCTGCGGTAAAGTATCGTCTCAATGTACAAATGAAGTGTTCTTCCCAGGCCTAACTATAAGAGCTCCATTTATAATTTAAGAATTTGTGAGCCCTGCGAAACAATCCCCCAGTTGTGATTTCTCAGTGCTCGCTAAGTGTAAGGAAGAAAGAGACCCGAGTTATTAGTGAACTTGTCTCTTGAATACGAGAAAATTTACTTAAAAAGGCTTTGGAATTTAATCTTCATTTTCTATCACGTCTCCTAAAGCTCCCTGGGCGAAGCGACGGTCAGCGGCTAGTACCATGGAGAAGAATTCATGGGCAGCGAGGGATATCCTTGTCATAAAAAAAAAAAAAAAAAAAAAAAACCAAAACGAAAGGCTAAAGGAAACTAGTGACGACAATTAGACCTTGGATACACTGGAGGCTCAGCTGAACGCTTGCTTTCGATACTCCTGGAAGTTAGAAGGATGAGGTGCGCCCTCGCTGGGATCCTTTCCTCCCGGGGTTTTGGAGTCTTCATCCTTCTTTTCGCGCCGCATCTTCTCTTCCCATTCACTCTCCTCGGCAGAAACCATGGCATGGAACCGACCACCTTGACCTCGGGCAAGATAGATTGACTTCTCGTTGCGTGCGGCGACAGCCTCAGTGACTAGAACGAATTTGACGCTCGAGCCGGGGGCTTCAAACATGGCATCGCTGAGGATTGTCTCAATCTCGGTGCGGAGGGCACGGGCACCGGTTCCCATGGTGAATGCGTTGGCGGCGATCTTGTGTAGTGCAGGGGTAGTGAACCGCAGTTCAATGCCGGATAGGGAGAAAAGCGCAGTATATTGGGCAAGAAGGGAGTTGCGGGGTTCGGTGAGGATGCGGAGAAGCAAGGGCTGCGTGAGGGTAGAAAGCGCAGCGGTGACGGGGATCCGCCCGATTAGCTCGGGGATGAACCCATAGCTTTGAAGGTCTGATGGTGTCAGGAGATCGAGTGCGTTGAAGTACGTCGGTTCACTTCCACGTGAGTTAGGAGAAGCAGAGGTGAAAAAGGGCAGGTGTCTTTTGTACAGTGCCTCTTCTTCGGACCCAGGAAGAATGGGAAGAGGTGCGGTAGGCGAAGAATCAGATGAACCAGAGAAATCACCAGAGCCTGAGGCGGCACGAACCGGCTGGCCAAATCCTATCGAGCCCCGCGATATTCGTTCCATGACCACCTTGTGGAGACCTACAAAAGCCCCCGAGCACACAAACAATATGTTGTCAGTGCGTACATTGTAAACCTCGCCTTTCTGGGCCGGATTGCCCTGGTTCGGGTGGAATGGGGTGTTGCCCAAGGGACTGTTTGACGGGTAGGAATTCGGTGCACTGCTCGCACGAGGGTTTTTCTCAGGCTTGGCTTGTACTTGCACTGTCGTGCCTTCAATAATTTTCAATAGTGCCTGCTGGACTCCTTCCCCACCAACATCTTTGCCGTGGCTGACTTTTGCCGCGGCAATTTTGTCCATCTCGTCGAGTACAATAATCCCGCGCTCTGCCTGCTCGACATCGTAGTCTGCGGCAGCCAAAAGTCGGTGTACACACACCTCGGCATCCTCTCCGATGTAGCCGGCTTGTGTGAACGGAGTGCAATCGGAAATGCTGAAAGGGACAGAAAGGACCCGCGCGAGAGTTTTCGCCATCAGGGTCTTGCCTACTCCAGAAGGGCCTAGGAGCAAGATATTGGACTTTTCCAGCTGCAGCGGCGAGCTGTCGACAAGTTCGGTTTGGTGGAGGGGTGTTGTTTGGCGGGGCTTAGAGGTCGGCAGGCCGACAGTTCGTTGCTGGCCGGGAAATTCATCTGCCAAATATTAAAAAGCATTAAGATGGATACCGCAAGAGGAAGGGTGAACCGGGGCGAGGAAACGCACCTTCTAAGGGATGGCTCTCCAGGGCTTCCTTCCGCTGACGCTTTGCAAGAAGCTCCGCAGCCTCTTCTTCGCGTCGTTGTACCTCTTGCACCCGCTGGTAATGGTTGTATACTGCCACACTGAGCACCTTCTTCGCGCGATCCTGCCCCACAACGTATTGGTCGAGGTATTGCTTCAGCACCTTAGGTGTGATTCGCGGGGCGCCGAAAGCCGGCGTGGACCCGAGAGGGCCGGACGTCGGCAGGCCGGCCTCATAGCTGCCAGTAAACGGCTGGCTTGTAAAATCTGACCGGTTGAACTGTGATGACGTTGGGAAAGTCGTTGACGAGCTGGAAAGCTGTGCCTTGCGGACGTATGAGTTGGCGAGGTGCCGACATCGGATCACCTCGCGATGCGTCCAGGCAAGCGGGATCCGATGTTGCAGAGGCCGCCACAGCATTGCTGTGTGCCAGGAATAGTGTCCAAGGGGCAGGAAAGGCGGGATAAGAGCAGGGATGCGAATGAGATGCGAGTGAGACAGCGGAGGGACTTGGCTTTGATACGGAGCTTTCCCCGCAGGAGTGGCCTTATCGGCTGAGTCATGGAATTCTTGCCTGAGGTGTAACTCGAGAATATTTCAGGCACGTGTTATGCCTCAGGCATAAAGGGCTGGCTATCTACACCGATTCTCCCTGCTGGCGGACATCTGCCTTGAGAATCAACTTAACACTGCCTCATAGACCGCTCAGATCGCCTTCGATCCCAGCGTGAGATCATCGGCCCAGCTGATGAATATGTACGAACCATGTTTTGTCTCCCAAAACACGAGGATCCACTTTGCTCTGCCTTGCTGGCTTTACTTGTTGACACCCGATCATCAATTACATGACCATGGGTTGTTGTTTCTGGTGTACTTCGCGAGGACTACCTTAACCTAGCCCTTCTTCTTCGATTGTTTTGAGATTGTACATGTCCTCGGGGAGAGGATTACTTTCATTTCCTTGAAGATGCTGTGTTGATTGCAATCTCTAGTATCATCTATTAAACGAAACTATAACTCAGCGTGGGGGGTGTTGTTGCTCTGATTTGGTGGAGCCTTTGCCTGGGCGATGCAATGCAAGTGGCAATAGTAACCATAGCCAGTAGCTTGCGGGCGAGATACGTGTGGATCCATGGGTAGATCTAGTATCCGCATCAGGGCTTTGGTCTTCATTTCTCAACATGGCAATCGTCGTATTGGTATCCATGTTGCTAGTCAAGCCTTATTTGTGCACTGCCTCTGAGAGGACGATCTATATATAAACCGGCTGGCCTTGGGCTTGATATGATAGAGATCACACAGCATTAGGATATACTTATATTCATCATGCTTCGAATGCTTCTTGTTTTTCTCTTCTCGAGTTTGGTCTTAGCTGCCTCAAAGACCGCCCGCTGTCGGTGTTGGCCACATGAAAAATGCTGACCCTCGCACCAGCAGTGGTCTCTGAATGACACCATTTAGGGCAACCTGGTCGCTGTTCGACCACCAGCCTCGGTGTGCCATACCGAGAACTTTAGTCAGAAGGCATGCAAAGCCGTTACAGGCCTCTGGTCAGACTCGAACTGGCGCGCTGCGCAGCCGGGTTCCGTGCAATGGACAAACTGGGAAGCTTGGCCCGAACATAACCAGAGCTGCTCTGTCGAAACATCTCGGAGCGTCAAGTGCGGACCAGGCCGTATTTCACTGTACTCAGGGAAGGTCCACTAGGCCTCGTATATTCAGAAGAAGGCTGTCCAGTTTGCAAAGACACACAACCTGCGTCTGGCCATTAAGAACTCGGGTCATGACTTCCTGGGTCGCTCCACTGCTCCGGAGTCTCTGAAGATCTTAACTCAGGGCATGAGGGACATCAAAGTCGACGATGACTTTTTGCCTACCGGGGCGCCGAAGCACAAGGTAGAGGGCCATGCCGTCACCATCGCAGCGGGAGTGGACCTATCGGAGCTCTATGCTGCAGTGGCGCAACATAAACGAGTATTGCTGCGGGCTCTTCTCACATGGTTGGCGCGGCTGGGGGTTATATCCAGGGTGGAGGTCATTCGCCTATCGGCACATAGAAGGGACTGGCATCTGACAATGCCCTTGAGTTTGAAGTCGTGACGACCAATGTGAGTGAATGGCCTCCCAACACGTATGAGATAGCAACTAATGACGCATAGCATAGGGCACTTTGACCGCTGCGAATGCGTATCACAATACCGATTTGTTCTGGGCTCTGCGCGGTGGAGGTGGAGGCACGTTTGGAGTGGTCGTCAGCGTCACGGTCCGCACGTTCCCCGAGGTGCCCGTGGTGGTAGCCAATCTCAACATCACCACTGGGCTCGGTCCGCAGTTCTGAAAGGCTTTTAGCCAGTTCCATGCAGGGCTCCCAGCCCTCAATGAGGCCGGTGGGTCTGGCTATTATTTTGGCATGCCGATCCTACCACTCAATGCGACGGCGAGCGTTTCATCCATCATATCTCTGCTGGTTTTCCCGAACGTCACTGACAAGGCGGTGATCGACAAGTTGTATGCACCACTGCATTCCAAACTGCGACAGATCCCGGGGGCTGCCGTGCAATACACGTTCATTCCCTTCCCTACTGTCAACTCGACCTTTTCCACCATGCTTCTGTAAGGAAAGGCAAACAGCATCGGGGGTGTGGCGCTTCTCACGTCACGCCTTTATTCAAAGGCCCTGTTGACTTCTAAAGATGGTCCGGACCGGCTTGCCAAGGCATGGAACAGCATCAGTTTCAAGGCCGGCGAAGGCTTCACCGGCCATGTGGTCGCGGGTTGCGCCGTTGCAACTAATGCGGACAATATTGACAGCGCGGTAAATCCGGCCTGGAGGAAGACCGCCACTCACATGCTCTTCGGGAGAAGCTGGAATGACAACTCAACCCTGGCACAGCAAAAGGCACTCATCAGGAATACGACTGACGCGGAGGTACCAATCCTTCGATCCGTGGAAGGTAAAGATCATATGGGTGGGGCGATAACTACCCCCGTTTGTATCGCCTCAAGCAAAAGTGGGATCCCACGGGATTCTTCATTTCACGCAAAAGCGTGGGCAGCGAGGACTGGGTCGATGTCGGCCTCTGTTTGAATCGCTGAGGGATGGGTATTTTGAAATTCTTGGGTAGTTCCGTGTTTAAATGCCACTCTAGATCACTCGCGAGCTTGTCCATACAAGTAGTTCGTTAGAGCCCGAGAGGGCGGAGAATGTATTTCATTGCTTTGGTATATTGAGCTGCAATCCACCGTTGCAGACATTCTGGTAGGTGGACTCGGAGTCTGGGCTGTCAAGTGTTTTCTGGGTGGCTGATCAAACTGCTGATAAGAGTATCCACGCCACTTCATGGCCGGGCTTTGTGGTTGAAACTCAGCACAGCTTTCTTTTCATCGAAAAATATGCATCGACGATTTTTTTTCCCACCGTCTCGCTCCACATATAGCCTCCGGCCACATGCCATGCCACGTGGGGTAGACATTCCCGTTGATTAGGAATCCATGGGCCGGGTCTTGTTGTGGTATATGATAACAATGTACCAGTTGGACTGAGGTGTTTGCGTAGCACAAGGTCAGACCCGTTCCTCAAGGTATATTAATCCGGGCCATCGCGCTCTATTTCTTGTCTTTAAAGGCAGGCTGCTGCTCCATGGTCTGCGAAATGAAACTCCGCAGCGCAGACCATCGATTACCCGTCGAATTTGACTGCGGATTGGTGTCAGTGGCCGTTGTGATGCCAGACATCTGAGCCATGTTTTTCGCAAAGCGGTCCCGCTCCACCTTCTCCAGCTTTTCACGGCGCTTCATCGCCCCCGGCTTGTGCCTCAATGTCTTTTGTTTGATCACATTCACTTGACTCGAGGCATCATGGGAGTCATCAGCGGCTTCAGGCAATGCGTCGGCCAAGGACTCGAGGTTGGTGGCGAGTTTCTTTGATGCACGTCGACGCTTGGGGGTCTTGTGTTTTTCAATCTTGGACAGCAGCGCCGAATGCTTGATCTGGCGCTTATCCTTCTTGCTGGTACGGAAATCATCTCCAAAGAGACCCGATCTAGGGGCACCCCGCGATACTGTCTTTGCCATCACGAAAAGAAGAAACAGAAAAACGATAATTAACCGGCGGGATGTGGATCAGGGGAGAAGTACATGTGAGATCGGGAGAAAATTCGCCGCCGACCTCGGGCGTCTCCCGTCGGATTTGCTCACCGCCCGGGCCCACCGTTCTCCACTCTCCGACACACTTGGCCCTGTTGGGTTCACCCAGACAACCAGACAACCAAAAAGAAAAGCAAAAAAAAGAAAAAAAAAGAATCATCGCGAAAACGCTCGGAAAGGCTGTGACGTTACTTTATCGCCTTCCTGCAACAGCCATTGCCCAGATCCACACGGGTGAGTCCATACCCCCTCGCCCATGACATCAGTTCCATTGGGCGACATCCGGGTCCCTGGTCTGATTGAGATCATAGGGGCTCCCAGCACGAGGACTTTTATGGATGCTTTCCCCAACTCGCCATTATCGGATCTACTTTCCTAAGATCAGAACCACGGCCCATCTACCTCGGTCGCCTTTAGCCACCCGGTTCCAAACCCCACGAGTCTTCACCCGTTCGCCCCCGGCTTCTCCAGGCATTTTTAAACCCGCCTCTGCCTCCGGTGGATTTGTGTCGCGCAGATCATTTTCTTCGGTTTCTTTATTCTCCAATATGGGTTCTCTCGGTACATTCCAGCGAAAGCACAAGCTCGCCGTGGTGGGCTCCGGTAACTGGTAAGGCTTGAATCTTAGATGGCGCATCCACATAGAGCGCTGGCTCTAATCTTTTGTGACTAGGGGCACCGCCATCGCTAAGATCGTTGCCGAAAATGCCGCAAGCAATCCCGATATCTTCGAGCAGACGGTGGAGATGTGGGTGTTTGAGGAGAACGTCGAGATCCCCAAGACCTCGCAAAACTACGATCCTTCAAACCCGGGTCCCCAGAAACTGACTGAAGTGATTAATCGTACCCACGAGAACGTCAAGTACCTCCCAGGAGTCCAGCTGCCTACCAACTTGCACGCGAACCCGTCGGTGGAGGATGCCGTTAAGGACGGCACGATCCTCGTTTTTAACCTGCCCCATCAATTCATCCTCAAGACCTGCGAGCAGCTGAAGGGCAAGATCCTGCCCTTCGCTCGCGGGATTTCGTGCATCAAGGGTGTAGATGTCAACGAGTCGGGAATTCACCTCTTCTCAGAAACGATTGGCAGGACACTTGGTATCTACTGCGGTGCGCTGTCCGGTGCCAACATCGCCAACGAGGTTGCCAATGAGAAATGGTCTGAGACCAGCGTTGCCTACGACCCCCCGCCCATGGACTCGAAGGCGCCTACTCCTCAGCGGACCCCTACTTCCTCCCAAATCGATCTGGTGCAGTTTGAACACAAGGATACCTCAGGGCAGTTGTCAAAGATCAAGTTGAAAGCGCTTCCCTCCGAGTACCCGCCTGTCGACCATGCCGTGCTCAAGGCGCTCTTCCACCGCCCCTACTTCCACGTGCGTGTGGTCCACGATGTCGCCGGTGTCTCTATCAGTGGTGCCCTTAAGAACATCGTTGCCCTGGCCGCCGGCTGGGTCGACGGCATGGGATGGGGTGACAACGCCAAGGCCGCCGTGATGCGCGTGGGACTTCTGGAGATGGTCAAGTTTGGCGACAAGTTCTTTAGCGCCACCATTGACCAGCGCACCTTCACCGAGGAGAGTGCCGGTGTCGCCGACTTGATTACCAGCTGCGGTGGTGGTCGCAACTTCCGATGTGCCAAGCACAGTGTTGAGCGCAACCAGCCCATCGAAGAAATTGAAAAGGCCGAACTCAACGGTCAAAAGCTGCAGGGAACCTTGACGGCTGTGGAGGTCAACCGCTTCCTGAAGAAGCAGGGCCTCGAGGACGAGTTCCCCCTTTTCACTGCTGTTTACCGTATGTGACTTCACCTGCCAATATTCTGAGGGATAAAAGCTAACATACTTGCAGGAATCTTGGAGGGCAGCATGTCGGTCGCGGAGATTCCTTCGCACATCGAGCGGTAAATCCTCTTTTATCGGCCCTACCTTCATGTGTGTGTTGTTAATTGCGGAAACTGGATTTCCTTTATAGCCCCCCTCAGACCCGTTCCCCGAGTTCTCCTTCGCATGGTGAAAATGGTGACAGCCCTCGGTTGACAGGCGCACGACTTTGATTTCTCTTTTTATCGGCACGGGGCATTTGAGGTTGTAGATAGACTCATGGCTGTATCTGTCACTTAGCATGCTTTTCAAATAGAATTGATTTGGGCGCACTGAGATAGATTGACACTTCTGACACTTCGACTTTGACTAGTAACGTCTTGAGGAACAAGGTAGTTTCTGTAGTTTCTTGGCAAGGCTAAGATAGCTGTCACTCCCGAGACATCTATGATGATCAACATCGATGATCCGCAGTATATTTTGATGCGACACCGATATCCAACCCACGAGACTCAAAGGAATTAGAGCAATGGGGATCAATCGATATGAGGGTATCTGTAGAGTTCTAAATTAACATAAACAATTGAATATCTCCTCAGATCCATGGAATGTATGTGCTGTAGAGCCAAGGCGCATCCAATGCATGATGTCATGCTCCCCGCGGGGCCCAGGAACACAACTGAGGGGAAATCCTTCTCTTCCCTGCTTCCTGCCACCTTCGCTTCGACTTTCGCTCTGTGTCTTCTCCATTCTTTTCTCACGGATTCATAACCCCAAAAGACTAAGGGTAGAGCTGTTCCAAATTTTGCCTGTGTTGCAACTTCGGTAGCCCGTGAGTGATCCGGTCGTTCGAGATCAGCAATTGCAATGGGCGCCTCACGCCAAATCTACCTTCTTCCACTGAAGGATGACGGCTCCCCTGATGTACCGGGCGGGTATATCTATTTGCCACCCCCAAAGCCTGTGGCGCATGTGCTACGGTTCATCATCGAGGGAACCAGCTCGATCTGCCGACAAGGTAGCCTATGGGTGAACATCCCTGAGGAGGGCAAGCCCTTCGATCGCCATGCCTTTCGGGAATTCAGGTACAATTTCTGTTCTTGCTTGATCCCTGTTGGGGTGGGAATTGGCGGTTGCTGAGCAGCAGTAGATTGCAACCCAATTTCAACCAGAACATCGAGGTCGACATTCCCGTCACATCCGCGGGTGCATTTGCCTTCTACACGACGTTCTCTCCACTGCCTGAGTTTTCGGTGGCAGCTGTGCCCACTCCAGAACCAACTCGGACACCAACTCATTACATTGACGTGTCGCCGAGTCTGACGTTGCGTGGGAATGAATTGCCCCTGACAGCGCTTTCCATTTTCTCGGTCATTTCCAAGTTCATGGGACAGTACCCTGCTGATTGGGACAAGCATCTCCATGGAATTAGTCAACGTCACTACAATATGGTTCATTTTACGCCCTTGATGCAGCGCGGGTCGTCGAATTCTCCATATAGTATCTTTGACCAGCTGTCTTTTGACGCTGCCTTGTTTCCTAATGGAGAAGAGGATGTTTCGTCTTTGGTTTCAAGGATGGAGAAAGACTATGGGCTCTTGACTTTGACTGATGTTGTCTGGAACCACACAGCCAACAATAGCAAATGGTTAGAAGAACACCCGGAATCGGGTTACAGTGTTGATACTGCTCCGTGGCTGGAGGCGGCACTCGATCTAGACACAGCACTATTGAAATTCAGTGATGACCTCCAGAGCCTTGGTCTACCAACCGAGTTCAAAACTGTCGAGGATCTGGTGACGGTCATGAACGCACTGCGGAAACAAGTCATTAATGGCATTCGCTTATGGGAGTTCTACGCTCTTGATGTCAAAAGAGACACAAAACACATCCTGGATGCTTGGACTAACGGAAAGGATGATCGTACAAGCATTGAGCATGTCGATTTACAAGACCTGAAGAAAGGAACGCCCAAGCAACAAGCGGCATTCATTCGTGAACACGCGATCCCGACCTCGAAGCAGGTCCTGGGAAGATTCGAGCGCAGCATTGATCCAACAATAGGCGCAGGCATTCTGACCGTCCTCTTCGGTGATTACGATCAAGCGAGCTCGGATCTTCCGGGGATCGAAAGCTGCTTGTCCAAGCTTCTCGACGAAGTCAATCTGCCTTTCTATAAAGAATACGATGCAGATGTGGCTGAGATTATGGATCAGCTGTTCAACCGCGTCAAGTATCTCAGAATCGATGACCATGGTCCCAAGATGGGCCCCGTCACGAAGGGAAACCCTCTGATCGAGACCTACTTCACTCGCCTTCCGCTCAATGAGGTCACCAGAAACCACAATCCCAAGGCTCTGGCTTTGGTAAACAATGGCTGGATCTGGAACGCCGATGCAATGCGAGATAACGCCGGCCCCGATTCCAGGGCCTACCTTCGCCGTGAAGTCATCGTATGGGGTGATTGCGTGAAGCTTCGATACGGAAGTTCGCCAAGCGACAGCCCATTCTTGTGGGATTTCATGACCCGCTACACTCGCTTGATGGCCAAATACTTTTCTGGATTCCGAATCGACAACTGCCATTCGACACCCCTGGTGGTTGCGGAGTATCTCCTGGACGCAGCGCGCAAAGTGCGACCCGACTTGACCGTCTTTGCAGAGCTATTTACGGGCTCCGAGGAAGCCGACTACGTGTTTGTGAAACGTTTAGGCATCAATGCTCTGATTCGTGAGGCCATGCAAGCCTGGAGTACGGCCGAGTTGAGTCGATTGGTTCATCGCCACGGTGGCAGCCCGATTGGCAGTTTTGATGTGGATCTTCCTTCCGCTGGGAGTAGCCATGCAATTGCTTCTGCGAAGGATGGCAATGCTGATGGGAAAATCACTCACATTCGACCATGCCCCGTTTCAGCATTATTCATGGATTGCACTCATGACAATGAGGTGCCTGCCCAAAAGCGCGATGCCAGAGATACTCTTCCAAATGCGGCTCTTGTTGCCATGTGTGACTCTGCAACTGGTAGTGTAATGGGCTACGACGAGGTGTATCCCAAGCTTGTCGACCTTGTCCATGAGACCCGACGATATAGCTCCGAGATATCTGGATCCGACGATTTACACATCGGCTCCGGCGAGGGAGGGATTGGGGGTGTTAAGAAGCTGTTAAATAAGCTTCACACCATGATGGGAGTCGAGGGCTACGATGAAACTCATATCCATCATGACGGTGAATTCATCACCGTCCACCGAGTACACCCGAAGACCCGAAAGGGCATCTTCCTCATTGCGCATACTGCATTTCCCGGCAACGACAACGGTGGGATCATGGATCCTACTCATATTGCTGGCACCCGAGCCAGGCACCTTGGATCATGGTTGCTGGAAGTGGATGCAGACGATGGGACAAAAGAAAAGGTCTTGTCTGACGATAAACATCTGAAAGGTCTTCCCAGCCGCACCCGCAGTCTTGAAAGTATCAAGATCGAGGAGAATGGCAATGATGTCACAATTTCCGTCCTTGATACCTTTGCACCTGGTTCAATTGCTCTTTTCGAGACATCGATTCCTGGCGCAAAGCACGCTGATGGACTGGACAACTACATCAAGAGCGGAGTCGACGAGGCATTTTCCGAGCTCAGTCTGATTGATTTGAATTTCGTGCTCTACAGATGTGAGGCCGAGGAGAGAGATTTCAGCGACGGCAATGATGGTGTGTACAGCATTCCAAACCATGGTCCTCTCATCTATGCCGGGCTTCAAGGCTGGTGGAGTGTTCTTGAAGACATCATCAAGTACAACCAGCTTGGTCATCCACTATGTGATCACTTGCGGCAGGGCCAGTGGGCTCTGGACTACATAATTGGGCGCATGGAGACTGTGGCCACCAAGGAAGGATACGTCGCCCTGCACAAGCCTGCGGCATGGCTACGTGACAAGTTCAATGCTGTTCGCGGTCTGCCCAGCTTTCTGCTCCCCAGGTACTTTGCAATCATTATTCAGGTCGCTTACAATGCTGCGTGGAAAAGAGGCATCCACCAGTTCGGTGACCTTGTGCGACACGGGCAGGAGTTCATCCATCAACTAGCTATGGTCAGCGTACAGCAAACCGGCTTTGTCAACTCGGCTTCCTTGTGGCCTACCAAACAAGTTCCTAGTCTCGCAGCCGGCTTGCCGCATTTTGCGGTTGACTGGGCCCGATGCTGGGGTCGAGATATTTTTATCTCTATTCGTGGCCTTTTCCTCTGTACAGGGCGGTTTGACGATGCTAAGAAGCATATAATTGCTTTTGCAAGCGTACTCAAACACGGTATGATTCCGAATCTTCTCAGCAGTGGCAAACTGCCCCGATACAACTCCCGCGACTCCGTCTGGTTCTTCCTGCAAGCAATCCAAGATTTTACCGAGATGGCCCCGAACGGTATTTCTCTGCTGCAAGAGAAAGTGCCTAGACGGTTCTTGCCCTACGACGACACTTGGTTCCCATTCGATGACCCTCGTGCTTACTCCAAGTCTCCCACGGTTTTGGAGGTCATTCAGGAGGTGTTTCAGAGACATGCACGTGGCATGTCGTTCCGAGAATACAACGCCGGATCGAATCTGGATGTTCAAATGAAACCTGAGGGCTTCCAGATTGATGTGAATGTCGACTGGAATACGGGTTTCATTTTCGGTGGCAGCCAGAATAACTGTGGCACCTGGCAAGACAAAATGGGTGAGAGTGAAAAGGCTGGTAATAAAGGTGTTCCTGGGACTCCACGCGACGGTGCCGCTATCGAGATCACGGGCCTTCTCTACAGTGCCTTGACATGGGTCACACGCCTGCATGAGTCCCAAGTCTATCCCTACGAGGGCGTCGAGACTGGAGACGGCAAAACAGTCACATTTGCCGAATGGGCCCGAAGGATCAAAGAGAGCTTTGAAAGATGCTACTATGTCCCTAGCGACTCCAGCGAGGACAGCCATTACGACGTGGACTCCAAGATCATCAACCGCCGGGGCATCTACAAGGATGTGTACAAGTCAGGCAAGCCCTTTGAGGACTACCAACTGCGTGGCAATTTCCCCATTGCCATGTCGGTAGCACCTGAGCTTTTCGACCCCGTCAAAGCGCTCACTACCCTCTCGATTGCCGATGCAGCCATCCTCGGTCCCGTGGGCGTGGCGACCCTCGACCCATCTGATCTCAACTATCGCCCGTACTACAATAACTCCGAGGACTCGGCCGACTTCGCCACCTCCAAGGGCCGCAATTACCATCAGGGTCCGGAATGGGTCTGGCAACGCGGCTATTTCCTTCGCGCCTTGCTGCACTTTGATCTCTCTCGCCGAAAGACGGCCGAGGAGCGAACCGAGTCTTTCCAGCAGGTGACCCGGCGACTGTATGGATGCAAAAAGGCGTTGCGGGAAAGCCCCTGGAAGGGCCTGACGGAGTTGACCAACAAAGCTGGCGAACATTGTGCTGACTCGGTAGGTTTTCTTTTCTCTTCTTCTCTCCTCGAAATACTCAATTGATCATCTGATGCTGACTATGTTTCAGTCCCCTACCCAGAGCTGGTCCGCGGGCTGTCTCCTCGATCTCTACTACGATGCTTCAAAAATCGCCTAGAGTGTTGTTTTTTGGTCATTTGAATAGATGCTTCTGGCCTTTGCACGCTACACATCCCCTTTTTTTTTGGTTTGGATTCCATTCACAACATCGTGTAAAACAAACGCATAATACACTTGTCTGTTGTTGTTTTGGTTGATTACATTTTTCGTCCTTCATCATTTGATCGGGTTTTGAATTGGACTGCATGATAGCGCTAGATATATATAGAGCCAATCTGATGTACAGAGTTAGGTCATACAGCTGATGAGATAGTTCGGGAAATACACCGATATTTCAAACAATTCACGGTACTTTCAGGACAAAATGACTCGCTATGCAGTAGAATATGATCATTAAGAGGCTCGTAGATCAATGCAAAGGGGTGAGTTTGAAGTCATCCACCAATGTCCAGGTGCCCGACTTAATCGATGCTGACTCAGCCATCTGCATGCCGAAGCGCCGAAAAACAAACCTTGGAAGGGAGAGCTCCCTCGCATTGTATTCTCTTGCGAGACTCGACGTGGTGCTCTACGGTGATACACGAACATTCCTCTGATCTGCCGGCAGCCGAGCTCCCGAGCCCATCGCCTCTCCTCGCATCCTTCTGACGTCAGTTGTTTTTGGGTGATCTTCCAGGTAGCCCTAGATGAATTGGTAGCTCGTGCACCTACCCCATCACCGAATTACCACTTCAAACCTCCCTCTCGAGGCGCCGCCACTACCTTCTCACACCCAGAAGCGATGTCTCTTACGACATCCGCGATCACCTCCGTGTGGACCGCGCTTGCCGACGACTCCGACGATGGGCCAGAGAAACGGTGGGACGACCAGACAAGAGAGCAGCGCGATCTGTACACGCAGTTTGTGATAAGCTCTGCGCTGGGTCTGGGTGCTTTTCTGACATTTTGTGTATGTTTTGGGTCCTTTGCAGAGATCGTTTGTCTGGTTCTCGCTGACCGCACGGGCATCCTTAGGTTTTGCGGCCCAAGTGGACGGGGCTATATGCAGCCCGAAGACGACAGCGATGCGCCGCGTCGCGCTTACCCGAACTTCCGGATACCTTGTTTGGTTGGATCCCGGTCTTATATCGTATCACTGAGGAGGAGGTGCTGCAATCTGCGGGCTTGGATGCTTATGTGGTAAGCGCCGACATTATGCAGAGTCGTGCAAGAAATCATTTCTAACACAGAAGCTTCCTGGCAGTTCCTCTCCTTTTTCAAATTCGCTATTCGCTTCTTGTTGGCTGTCTTCGTGTTCGCCGTCGCAATTATCCTTCCTCTCCACTACAAATACACCGGCAAATATGGGGTTCCTGGCTGGGACAATAATGATTCGCCCCATAACAAGACTATGAGTGTCATTGGCACGTTGGGAAAAGATAAGGAGAAGCCCATCACAGATCCGGGATATTTGTGGATCTATGTTCTCTTCACCTACGTTTTCAGCGGCTTGGCCGTCTACTTGCTTCTTCAGGAAACAAACCGCATCATCCGCACCCGACAGACATATCTCGGCAACCAGACCAGTACCACTGATCGTACGATTCGCTTGTCTGGTATTCCTCCGGAATTGGCCTCGGAAGAGAAAGTAAAAGAATTCGTGGAGGGCCTTCAGGTCGGCAAAGTGGAGAGTGTCACGCTATGTCGAAAATGGCACGAACTGGATGACCTGATAGACGAGCGGATGAAAGTGCTTCGAAAGCTCGAGAGATCATGGACGAAGCATCTCGGATATAGACGGAGAAGGAGTGTTGGGAATACGTTGCCACTCACCAATCAACCGCATGCTTCGAGCGTGCGAGATGAAGACAATGAAAGATCGCAACTACTTTCGGAAGCCGAGCAAGACTATGCATCTCGAGACCTTCGTGCGCGGCCGAGGGTTCGTATCTGGTATGGGCCATTCAAACTTCGGTATCGCATGATTGATGCAATCGACTACTACGACGAGAAGGCACGGAAGATCGATGAACAGATTCACGCCGCGCGGGAAAAAGAATATTCCCCCACTGAGATCGCGTTTGTCACGATGGAATCTATTGCGGCCTCCCAGATGCTCGTGCAAGCGATCCTCGACCCGCATCCTTTGCAGATGTTCGCTCGGCTTGCCCCGGCCCCGGCCGATGTCATCTGGAAAAATACCTATCTCTCTCGCTCCAGACGAATGACACAGTCGTGGTCCATTACGCTTGTCATTGGCTTTCTCACTGTGTTTTGGTCCGTTCTTTTGCTCCCAATTGTGGGATTGCTGGAAATGAAAACCCTCCACAAGGTTGTTCCCAAGCTTGCGGAGGCTCTTGAGGTTCATCCGATTCTCTCGTCTTTGGTTCAAACCGGATTGCCGACTCTAGCGTTTTCGCTGTTAACAGTGGCCGTGCCGTACTTGTATGAATGTGGGTTACCTGAGTCTCCCTATCATGTGAAACTTATTGACTAATTGTGTACCCAGGGCTCTCGAACAACCAAGGAATGATGTCGCGCGGCGACGTTGAGCTGTCTATCATCTCCAAAAACTTCTTCTTTTCCTTCTTCAACATCTTTTTGGTCTTTACCGTGTTTGGTACCGCGAACGGTTTCTACGGATTGTGGGAAAACCTCCGGGACGCCTTCAAAGATGCCACAACCATCGCCCTAGCTCTGGCGACGTCGTTGGAAGGTCTCGCGCCCTTCTATATCAATCTGCTGGTCCTGCAGGGATTGGGTTTGTTCCCCTTTCGACTCCTCGAGTTTGGCAGTGTTGCTTTGTACCCCATCCATTTCCTCACGGCTCGAACGCCGCGGGAATATGCCGAGTTGGCAACTCCACCCCAGTTCAGCTACGGCTTCTCGATCCCGCAGACCATTCTCGTGTTGATCATCTGCGTTGTATACAGCGTGTTTCCCAGCTCGTGGCTGATCTGTCTCTTCGGCCTGGTCTACTTCACGGTCGGCCAATTCATCTATAAATACCAACTCCTGTATGCCATGGACCACCAACAGCACTCGACCGGCCGCGCCTGGCCGATGATCTGCAACCGCGTGTTTGTGGGGCTGGTGGTCTACCAGCTAGCCATGATCGGCGTGCTAGCCTTGCGCCGCAATATCACGCGTTCGCTGCTCCTCGTTCCTCTTTTGGGATGCACCGTGTGGTTTACCTATTGGTTTGCGCGGACTTATGAGCCTCTGATGAAATTTATCGCGCTCAAGAGTATAAACCGTGACCAACCTGATCCCGGCGAGATTACCCCGTCTCCCTCTTCTACATTCTCCCCGCCGTCGGGCTTAGATCGCGATGCGCTCCCGATCCGTATTGGCGGGCAAGAGCTTGGGCTGCGGCTGAAGAAGTACGTCAACCCCAGCCTAATCCTGCCACTTCATGATGCTTGGCTTCCGGGCCACAGCCCTGCGCAGGGCAATGGGGCACCATTGTTCGACGTCCACGAGACGCAGAACCATGCCTCCCATTGAATATCCTCGTTTTCCCGTTGTGTTTAATATTCCGTTTTCCTTTTCTCTTTCTATACCCTTTTTCTGTTCTTTTGGACTCATCCATGACGATGTACGACTGATACCTCTCTCGTTTTCTGGTCACTCTTATTTCGGTTTTTTTTTTTTTTTTCATCTTCGGTGTGCTGCCTGGGTTGGCGTCTTTCGTTTTACGCACACAAGTATGGGGCTTTCGGGTAGTCTGTGTAGATGTTAAATAAAAATTTCTCGCATTGTCCGCGTGAGCTGAGATGGTCTCTTGACTGCGGCTGTCTCGCCCCAATTTTCCACGATGGGACGAGTTGCCTATGGAAGGAATCGCTATTTTTGTCTCTTGTCCACATTCCAAGCGGCTTCGATGGGCCCGTGGCGAACGTGGTCGATGAACTCTGTTCCTTGATGGGTTTCTTTTCGCCCAAGAACATCCTAGTATCAGAGGAATGGAGGGCCCGCTCGAGCAGCGATGGAATATCTCCCTTGCAAATCAAGCAACTAAGAGAGACCTCAGTACGAAACTGTGTTGGTGAAGAAGTGGATCAAGTGCCAAGAAGGCTGCACTCGGCAGCATTCCTCGCGTGTTTCCCCGTGGAATGCGATGTTGCAGATGGAGCCAGGGATTCATGCACAGTCCTGAGAGAGACACGGCCCTTTTGGCTGGTTTATTTTCAGGTGTATACTCGTATACCAGTATACCAGTGTACTGGTTATACGCAGACTCGAATTGCCTCGTTGCCTCTTCCATTCCCAAGGATCCGCTGGCCGAGCGGCCTTGGACTTGGGCGCTCCACTTTTTCTTCGATCGACCTTCCATCGCGCAAACCCGATGTTCTCCCGCCCGAGTTGTCGACGTCAGACCCGTCAAGCTGGTCTCCGATGGCAACCAAGTGGCGTGCAGCTGAACATGACTGCTGCACGAGTTTCTCCCCCAGGGGCCATTGTGTGAAGAGCTGTTAGAGAGAGGAGGAAACCGGTAACCCTTGCCGCGTCTCATCTGTGGTTTCATTTTATCTGATTTCGCCCGCTTTCAGTGCCACTGCGGCCGTCAAATACAACCTTGCACATATTTTTTTTCCTTCTCTTTTTTCCTGTTCGAATTTTCAAATCCCGCTTGCTACGATATCTTCGAGCGAAGGTAACCCTCGGCCATGGCATTTTCCGGACGATAAGTGCTGGCCTTCGGACCGACCAGATTTCCTACTAGACTGTTACTAGACTCTACTATAGATTCTAGTACATGGCGTCGGGTGTCACACCCAGGTCAAGATCTGTCGGACAGTGTGTACGATCGATCATCCCGGTCGTTTCGTCACTCGCTTTTCATTTCTTGGGTGTATTTCTTCGCCCAAGGTGGCTGGAGACCAGCGGCTTGATCTACTGTTCAAGGGAGACGCCCCCGCCATTGGGATTCTGGCAACCCTTTGCCAGCCGTTTTATCCTCGGGACAAGCTCCAGCATACAAATCTGCAGCTGCAGCGACGAACCGTCTTCGTGCATATCGAAACTCTAGAGTCGAGCGTCGAAATGCGATCGTCCGAGTCTTCCCATGTGGGGCCGCCCAGCTCACATCTAGAAACCCTTCTAGACAAGTCCACTGCACCCCGACAAACTACCACCAGTCAAAGGGAAACTGGGGGTACAATCCCTTTTCAACATGACCGGGATAACTCTTCCCAACCGACAGCCTACTTGCCCTCAGCAGCCAACACCGCTCCGCCGGAGATTCTACTCCAAATCTACTCCATGCTGACGCCCCGAGACTTCGACAATGCGCGGCGGACCTGCTCACAGTGGATGCGGGTCAGTTTGAATCACAGGCTGTTGCAGGGCATGCTACGACGAGCCGGGTGGTGGGATGCCTGGCAGCAAGACTGCGAAAGGCACCGCACCTCGAAACGGCCCGCCGTCGAAGAAAGCGAGGCCTGGAGGATGAGCAAGCGCTTTGCCACCGAGTGCCTTCTGTCAGGACGCAAGACGAACGTCGAGAAGCCGGGCTTCTTGGTGACCACCGTTGTGGATTTCTCGAGTCTCTCGCAAACCTCGCCGGCTAAATCTCGCCGGGTCTCCTCTCACACGGTCTCCCAGGATGCGAGACCGGTGGAGCCACGGGGTGTGTCAATGTTCACTTTCAGTGGTTGTGGCAGATATCTGCTCGTGACGACTGGTTGCATGATCTATGTTTATAGTCTCCGTGCTCGGAGGGCTAGGTCGACTTTGTTATCAGTTGACTCAAGCGATGCTGATTTAGCACCCATCGCAAGCATCGCGTGCCAATCCGAGGTCCTCTCGGTGACCATGGACACTAGTACAGCTCAGCCCGTTGTGGCAGCGTTGCTGCGCAGCCGCGTCGGGATGGTCTGCGATTTGAATGTTCAACCCGAGAAACAGGAAGATAGCGAGAGTGGCAATCCTGCACCCACTGCTGGTCCAGTGGGCAATGGAAAGTCCTCTCCGTCTGCAGCGTCAATAAATCAAAGCTCCCGCCACATGCCAATCGTCGGCTCTTCTTCTCGTCATTACTTTCACAACGTGTGCTCTCCCGACGCTCCACCTCAGACAGTTACAATTTGTCCAGGGCGGCGATGTGTGGCCTTTGGTTGCGCCTCCGGTGTCGAGATCCACTGGGTCGACGAGACAAGCCATTGCGATCAACGAAAGCGTTTCCCCATGTCCCAGCCATCCGAGATTCTACATTTCCTCCCCAATCGTCCAGACATGCCCACAGAGCTGCGGTTGATTTCGTCCCTGGCTGGTCCAGGGATCCTCGACAGCGCAGGATCGCAGTCGCCGCTGCCCAGCCAGTCCAAGAAGACCCAATTCCATCTTCTAGCCGACGTGCAGTCGCTCACTCGACGCCGGCCTTCGAATGGGTCGACGCTCAGCCTCGTACGCGCAACCCACTGCCACCACTACCGAGCAGTCCCCATCAACGACGGCTTCCACATCATCTTCATCGAGCCGCGTACCGGCCTCCTATGCATAGGCTCAGATGCGCCAATCGGCGGCCCAACCAGCCTCACGCGTGCATTCGTCTGCGTGCCCCCGTCCGAGTACGACGCACCCGACGCGAACAAAGAGGCCCGCATGCCGAGCATCTTCGTAGCGGGCTCGGATCTGAGATGGGGCCTGCGAGTCGTCGCCGCATACCAGGACCGCATCGTGCTCTATTCTATCCCGCTGGACGTGTTCAACGTCATCCGCAAGGAGCGCGAGCGCCAAGGCGACGGCGTCATGGGCGACAGCGACCTGGCGCGCGACTGGTTCGTCGACTCCGAGCGCTCCCGCAAGCGCCGTGAGAGCCTCGTGCAGAACCAGAACGGCGACTGGGAGTTCCTGCTGAGCGTCAGCTACCGGCCCACCGCCATGATGTGGCCGTTCAAGATCTACGGCAAGGAGATCGGCCGTGTCGACCGTCTCATCGAGCTGGCCTTGCAGTCCTCTGACGGCGGCGCCCGTATCTGGGCGTTCAGTGCGTCGGGCGAAGCTACCGTCTTCGATGTCGATACTTTCTCCTCCCCCAATGCCCAAAGTCTCGCTGACATCCCTTGCTCGTCCTTGAAAGTTGCCGCAGACGGCAGTCTTGAGCCGACGCGGTTGGTAGAGCGCCGCGACTCGACGCGGCTGATGCCGCTCTCGTCCCGTAAACGCAAATTCGCTGAAACCCGCGATCACTTTTCTGGTCGCTATGGTGCTGCTCTGCAGACGCCTGGCTTTGCTCTGGATGCCTCTGAGCTCGTTGGTGCTGGTCCCACTGGCACGCATGCGGCATTCGGCGACTCCTCTAGTCATCGCACCTCCTTTGCTGCTTGCATTGTGGACTTCAAAATCCCTGAGCTGGGGCCGCGCGAGGGTCGATGGAGGGAGTCGCCGCGTCGAGGCAGCAGAGCGGCCTGTGTATAAGTTGAACGTCTCTAACCCTTTTTTGTTTTGGTTTCATGTTAGTGTTGGTTGTTTATTGAATGTGTTCGGCGTCTATCGGAATTTATACCCATGTCATCCACTCTGCACAATTTTTTTGGAGAAGGCGGATCTGTATATTTGAATCACAACAAATCATCTGATGAAAATCTCACGGGAAATCGTAAGGCCTTTTTTATTTTTTTATTTTTATTTTGGCAGTTCAATGTGCTCGTAAAAGATATCTGCATTTGTTCTCAAAAATTACGTCAAGAAACCCCTCCCATGGATTCATCATCACACAGCTCAGTTTGCTGCGCTGAGTTTCTGTCGTCGAGCCTGCACCGCTTTGGCCAGGGTCTCCAGCACCGCCTCGGTGTCCTCCCAGCCGATACAGGCATCCGTGATACTCACGCCGTACTTGAGACCGGCCTTGCCTTCGGGCGGGACCTTTTGGTTGCCTGGGAACAGGGTATAGATATTAGCATGGATGAATTCACTTGGTGTCACAGTCAGAAACTCACCCTCGTGGATGTTGCTCTCGATCATGACACCCATGATGGCGGTCTCGCCGGCAGCGAGCTGCTCGCCAAGCACGGCCGCCACCTTGGGCTGGTTGCGGTGGTTCTTTTCGGAGTTGCCATGGCTGCAGTCGACCATCAGACGGGGGCGCATGCCCTTGGCCTCGAGTTTGGAGCGGGCGTCGGCGATGCTGGCGGCGTCGTAGTTGGGGCCTTTCTTGCCGCCGCGCAGGATCACGAAGCAGTCCGGGTTACCGACGGTGCCGACAATAGAGACGACACCAGGCTTGGTGACGGACAAGAAGTGGTGCGGGTGCTTCACGGAGCCGATGGCGTCGACGGCGACGTCGAGCGAGCCGTCGGTACCGTTCTTGAAACCAACGGGGAACGACAGACCCGACGACAGCTCGCGGTGAACCTGCGACTCGGTGGTGCGGGCACCGACAGCACCGACGGACAGGCAGTCGGCCAGGAATTGGGGGGAAATAGTGTCGAGCATCTCGCTGGCGATGGGCATGCCCTTTTTGGTCAGGTCCACGAACAGCTGGCGCGACGTGCGCAGGCCCTTGTTGATCTGGAAGCTGTTGTCGATGTCCGGGTCGTTGATCAGGCCCTTCCACCCGACCGTTGTGCGCGGCTTCTCCAGGTACGAGCGCATCACGATTAGCAGGTCGTCCGCGTACTTCTCCTTCAGCTTTAGCAGCCGGTCACAGTATTCCAGCGCCATTTCCGGGTCGTGGATCGAGCACGGTCCGATCACCACCATCAGCCGTTGTCGCTCGTCGTCGCCGTGCACCACTGACACCGCCTCGTCACGGCCCTGCAGCACCGTCGCCCGCGACTTTTCTGTCAATGCGATCTCATGCTGGAGGAGGTTGGGCGGCGTGAGGGGGTTGTAGCCCTTAACTATACTCGGGAGAGGAGGGTTAGCTTGAAAGTCGCACCGCAATTTAGCGCGCAATTTGTGGTCACACGTACTTCTTGAGTCTTCCAGGTGGCTGTGGTTACCCACATTGGTGTTTTCAATGAAGAACTATGCCATGGGGGTTAGATATGGCCTTCGGCTTCATCGAGGGGCCTCTATGAGGGGCAGACTTACCGACATGGCGGGGTAGCCGTTCAAGTGCCGCGATGAGGAGATTGGGCTGGGACAGAGGAGTATATTGTATAAGAAAAAAGTTTCAAGAAACGAGAAGCAAGCCGCGCACAGTTTGAGAGAAAATTTAAGAGAATCGCCGCACACGAAAGCCGCGTTCATGAGTCAATCGAGAAAATACTTCGACACGTGACTCTCGGTGAGCCGCGCCAATAAAAAACAGTGCGATGAAATAAACCCGAGCAACTAGCGGTCCCGCTAACAATGACAGGATCGACCGCTAGCGTAAAAATATATAGCTCCCATCCCACTACATCGAACTCTGTTGCACCCGCTCGTCCAGCTCCTGCAATCCTCGGATGAGGTCCTCACAAATCTGCGCATGCTGGGCCTTTACCGAATGCATCTGTTGGCGATAGAGCTTCAGCCGCACCTCCTGGGCGCACGTCAAATCGTCGAGAATGCGACTGCATCCCTGTCGATAGATCTCGAGCACCCGACTGATGGTGGCTTTTTCTGCCGCCAGCTGACTCGAGAGATGCTACAGCACCTTGAGCACCACGGCCAAATCCCAGAGCAATTCCTACTTACTTGGTTTGTTTCCAGCAGTGTGGCATGAGCATTCTTCTGTGCGGCCTGCAAAGTGGTAATCCATTCCAGCGGATCGGAGATCTCTCCACTGCTTGAATACCGTGGCCCCAGTTGAGGTCGATCTGGAGCGGGGACCTCCGTGGACGCCATCGTTGAAACCTCTGGCGCTGGCATTTCCTCGGGTTCTGCATGTTTGCCCTCAATGGTCCTCTGAGAGGAGACCGGGGCAGCCACAGAAGTCTTTTCGTGGTTGAGACCAACAGCACTTGTGGTCTTGCCAGTGCTGGTACTATTGGAGGACAGGGGAGCTTCATGTTCCGGGTTTTTATGCCATGGGCGAGGCTCGTTGTGTTTCATGTCCTGTGTGTCAATTCCATATTCCAGGAACATGTCTCTCTGGAACTTAGTCCACATAAGATCACTTTCGGTGGATTTCCTGGGGGATGATCCATCTGGGCTTCCGTTGTATTCACTGGAACTGGTGTCAATCTCAGAATGTGCTCGGTCAGCTTCCAGATGTGGAGGGAATGCAAGTCGAGGACTGCCGTTGTAATCAACTATACTGTTCCGAGGGACGGTTCGAGGGGCTTTCAAACATGAGTCATTCGTTTTCATTGTAGTTGTCTCAGCCAACAATGGCTTTTGAGACTCGGGGGTGTGGTCAGTTCCATTCATCTTGGCATGTAAATTCAGGAGGTGGCCAGCTGTTGCTGCATTTGGGCACTCAGATGAGACATCCGAGTTGTACTCGGAGGATTCCGTAGATCGCTGAGACGCCAAAAATCCATCCTGGCCCTGTTTGGTGGCCTGCAGAGTCGTAAGTGCAGAAGAGTTGGCATCTCCCCAATGAACTTCAGACATTGAATGCCGGCCGGTAACCGCATCCCGGCAAACTTCGACACCAGTAGAACATTGACTATTGAATTGGCTTCCCGGTTGCAAAGGCCCTTGGAATGCCGTCTTGGGAATCTGCTGTGAACTGGCAATCTGTTCAGTGACGACATCCTCATTGGCAGTCAACTCGGTGTTATCTTGCTGGGTCAGTATACAATCAGTTGTCGCCTTGGTTAAACCATGGTAAGAGGCCGTTGATTCTTTGCTCAAAGAAGCTTGTGCCAGGGACATGCGTTGGGGTGGTTTGTTCAGCTGCTCAGAATTGTTCGGAAACGAGAGTATATTGGCGGAGGTAATGGTATTCTCTGTAGGAGGCCGAGGCTGGGAGACGATTTCACCTCCACGCAATGCAGCCATCAGCTTTTTTCCAACCACCTTTCCTCTGCCATTGGACCTGGGACTGCGAGGCCCATGTGCATTTTTGCCACGATGATTTGGTCCATTGGATCGAGCGCTCGGTTTCAACCGGCGAGACTTCGGAACAGTAGAGGGGACTGGCTCTGCAGCATTGGTTTCATCCCTTGGGGAAGCGGAAGGTGACGATAAGCGACTCGATATCTCAATGATCTCACGCTGTCCTGTGATTCCTTCACTTGGCTTCTGGTCATGTTCCACTTGCGTCCTCTGGCAGGAAGCACTAGGATACGCAGTCAAAGGTAGTTGGGGACTCGCAGTGCTGCCTTCTCCAGATACCGTGCCGTTCCCCTTGATTGCTTTCTTGCGTTTTCCCGATGCGCGTTGGGGCTTTGGTTTCCTCTTTCGCTTGTCGCCTGTTTTCGTCCGGGCCACATTGGCATTCTGTGGTTCTGGGGAGGAAATCCGAGTTCCCACACTCTCTCCTCTCTCCTCAACTGCCTCGTCATCAGTGGGCCGAAGGTCTTCCTCCCAATCCACCTCCGTCTTTGAATGAGATGTATATACTTTTGGGTGCGAGCGCTTCGACCGAGGGAACACCAAAGACTCCTGCGTGTTGCTCAAAACAATAATTTGCTTCGGGCGGGCCGATCGTCTGTGTTTCATCGAGTGGGTTACTTTCCGTGAGGATCCAGCATTACCCACAGCAGCAGTCTGCAGAGGTTTTCGTTGATCCTCGGCTGCTGTTTGTGTTTCATCGTGAGGAAGAAGCGTCTCGACATTGTGCAGCATCATGTCTGATTTTGGTGAAGAAACCGACTTGGCGAGGTGTTGCGGCTCCGATCCAGCGACTGAAAATAAAGTGCTTATTGTGGGGTTTTGCTCCTGTGAATCTGGTACGGCGTGCTCGATGGCAGCGTTGCGTGAGATGATAGCTCGTGACAAATGATTGGCACCATATGATGTTTCATGAGCCGTGACCAGCTCATCCTCTTCATTACTGTGCAGGCCTCTATTTGTCCTCATGTTTGGGAAGACGGGTGTTGCAGCAGGTACTGCGTTTGGTGCGAACACGCTTGATGGGGAAGAAGTACAATCCCCTGTGGATGGTGAGCTGAATGGTTGAAGTCGCATTGATTTTGCCAAAATGACGTCTCAGGGTCGAAATCGATGAAAGCCGAGGCCACTCTGCGCGAGCACATCAAAGGCGATGGACCGCCTCACACGAACAATCGAACACCCGGGCCAGATATTCCAGCGTCTCTCAGTTGGAAAGGGTGATTACTTTCAGTACACACTGGTGTGATGCAGTCGATGGCTTGACTGTTCAGAAGGGTGCTGTCAGAGCAAAGGCCCCGTCATCCCCGAGATTTACCCCAGTGCCTGGTGCGAGGGTTGTGCAACACGCAGCTATTATGTGCCAGTAGGCTGTCCCGGAACCCTGCAGAGTTCCTGCAGATGCATGGAGATGGCTTCTTCGAAGCTCAAGGAAAGTTGACGCGGCGAAGGACGAGCTGCTAAAAACGCCTACAGGTCACATGATTGTCTTTCGACCATGACTCGCCGTGTTCCTTTATCTCTTCGTCCTTGGAAACCAAGAGAGAGTTCTGCTGTTATGCAGATGATTTCTCCATGGGTTCAGAGGCCTCTAGGAACTGCCGACATCCAGATGGTTCGTTCAAAGCTCCGACAAGAGCAAGTACCATGATATCACCAACTCACCGAGCCATACTGCCTGCGATGCCTATGCATATACAGATTCACGGTACTTTTCCTGTTGCTTCCATGTCGACCTTCCGGTGGCAATGGCTCGGTACGCGCAGCATCCGCTCCCGAGGCTGGATGGTGGCTTGCTCCGGCTGCCGCGATTATTAATCGAGGAGTTCGGCTCAATACACCTTCCGGTTCGCTGCAGAGACGCTGCAGCTGCACGTCCGATGCGCCGATGGAGCCATATATAAGCATGCATATTGGCCCCTGGCTAAATCCCATCACACACTAACTTCCAGGTCCTTTTCCTTTTTCGCATTGAACTGTTCTTTAATCCTAGCGTCATGGCCCTCCATCATGCCTCCCGCGAAACTGACGAAGAAGAAGCCGTGCCAGCTTCTCAATGCCGATTCTGCGCCGTTAGACCGCTAGACCGACTGCGAAGTGTTTTACCTGCTCCCTTCGCCAATTCTGCAGCCTCTAATCCCCGCCCTGTTCCCACGACTACTCTCGAGCGCCGCCAGGCATCTGTCCGCGCTGCGTCCCTCGACCAGGATGGACACCTTGCCGAGAAAGTCGCGGCAGTGATAAACCCCGCGGAGGAGATGGCAAGCGATCAAACAGTCTTTTACCTGGCCTATGGGTCCAACTTGGGCACCAAGACCTTCCGCCAAAGGCGCGGCATCGAGCCGCTTTCACAGATCAGTGTCTTCGTGCCAGACCTCCGATTGACCTTCGATCTCCCATGGTTACCATATGTGGAACCGTGTTTCGCAACTACTCAGTTCCGCAATTCATATTCAGAGGGTGCTGAAGGCATTGAGCTCGAAGATGATGTGACGGACTCGGACGAGGACTGCTTGTCAGAGAAGGCGTCGCTGTTGATGGCCGAGACGCGGGGGACACGGGGCGCCGATTACCACAAGCGCCGGTGGCACAAGCCGCTGATCGCAGTCGTGTATGAGGTTACGCTGGCCGACTACGCAAAGATCATTGCGAGCGAAGGCGGCGGCCGTGGATATAGCGACGTGGTCGTCGACTGCTATCCCTTCCCCGAATCCTACCAGCCCACCGACCCGGTCCCGGATCATCCCAACACCCCTCCTTTCAAGGCACACACTCTCATCTCGCCTGCGACGCGTAATGCTGGGCAGCTCGGCTTACCCACAAAGGGTTTTCTGGCGCACACAATACCCTCTCAAGCAACGAACAACATGCATCTCCGACCTGACCCCGATTATGCTCAACCCTCGGCTCGCTATCTCAACCTGATCTCCACTGGTGCCGCTGAACACAACCTGCCACTGTCTTACCGGGAATATCTCGCTCAGATCCGGCCATACCGGGTGACAACCAGGGGCCAGCGGGTCGGTAGGGCATTATCTATCGCTGTGTGGGCGCCTCTACTCATCGTTATCCTCGTGTTGTCGAAGATGTTCGCAGGTCCCGACGGTCGCAGTCCGCAGTGGCTTGTGGTCCTTGGAGATTTCTTGCTCATCGCGGTGTGGAAACTCTATGACTTGTTCTTTGTCAAGGTGTTCGGGGATGGCGAGCGGACAATCTATGATACCCCGGCTCGGTAGCGATGCCGGCTCTCTTTCTTAGCTGTACCATTTAGCTAGCATAATCCCTTGCACATGATAGATAGCAATGAAATCCAAGCACTGTGCCCATATCGAATTATCCATCCCCTACGACTTTGAGACTAGAATCTGGGAACTTGCTGGTGTTTGAAGTCATCACAAAGGAAATTAAATTCAGTTGACTCCTCGAGCACACAGTTTTCAAAAGGGAAAAAAAAAAAAGGAATATATCTAGGGTACAGATACAGGTGTTCTGGGAGCGTTCTAACAAGACAAAGGCAGCGACCAGAGATAGACACAAAAAATGACGGAGAAGCCTCGGCAAGGTGGCACCACCAACACCGAGGTCATGATACAGAAATCCCCTCGGTCAGCGAACCAACCACCTCGTCCGCTTCTTACATCTTCCCATTCATACAGGTCTTGCTGCAATTCATTCAGCGGCGGGGGGCAACCGGGGGGCTGTAGACGATCTTCCTCGTCTTGATCGGGGCCCACTTGTAGCGCTTGATCCAGACGCTGATGGCGAACAGACCGGTAAGGAGAGCGACGGACTTGACACCCATCTTCTTGCGGTCGTCCATCTCGGGTTCAGCGGTCCAGTTCAAGAACTCGACCACGTCCTTGGCCATCTGGGAAGTGGTGGCGGGAGTGCCGTCCTCGTACTCGACCACGCCGTCGAAGAGAACACGGCCCATAGCAATACCTGCCATCCAATTAGACATGCCTCACGCGAGTATGGGTTTGGGTCTGACCTACCGGTACCAGGGAAGTAAGGGTTGAAGTTCATGCCCTCGGCCACGCTGGCGCCCGCCGGGGGCTCATCGGGGTAGCCGGTAAGCAAGCTAAACACGTAGTTGCAGCCACCGTGGCGGCCCTTGATGATCAAGCTGAGATCCGGGGGCAGGGCACCACCGTTGGCGGCACGGGCGGCCTCCTCGTTCTTGTAGGGAGAGGGGATGTAGTCTGAGAGCTTTCCGGGGCGCTTCTCGATCTCGCCCTGGTCATTGGGCTCGGTGTCGTACTCATTCTCTTCGGCGAAGGCCTTCATCTCATCGACGGTGTGCATCGTACCAACGAATGAGCGCCATGGCACACGGGTGAGAGAGTGGCAGCTGGCGCAAACTTCACGGTAGACCTGGAAACCACGGCGGAGACTGGATCCCATCAGTTAGTAAGGACGGGAGGAAGGAAAAGGTCATCAGGGGTGGGCAGGTGAGTACGTACGCGCCGTGATCGAAAGTCTTGTTGAATCTTTCGTGAACCCAAGGGTACTGGGTAGCGTGCAATCTATAATAGAGCCGAATGTTAGCCCAACCAATGTCCACAACCAGACCGCACAATACGTTTCTCGGTGTACAAGAGCAATGATGGGGTGAAAGGTCATCTCGACGAGGAATTGCACTCACCCTTCCTCAGCAGGGGTCGAGGCAAAGGCCTCCTGGCCATAGAGGTGATAGTACCATGCGGCAGAACCGGCAGCCGCGGCGGTTGCGAGCGAGGCAGTGAGGGTGAGGTAGAAGGGGGAGCTGGCGGATTCGGCGCCGGCGGCGGTGGAAGACGCACGCTAGTGATATCATTAGCCAAGGACCCTTCATGAAGCAAAAAGAGCAGTATCGAAGCGATCGCCCTCCAGATTCGAGACCAATGGGGGCTGTTGAGATCGTACCGTGGTGGTCTTGCCGAGCGACTGGCGTGCGATGGCCCGCGAGGGCACGCACAGGGCGGAACGGGCCAGCATGGCGGAATTGAAACCCTCCAAGCGATTGAAGGTGGAAGGGAAGGGCTTGGATCGCAAAAGCGAGAGGGGAGGGGGAGGGGGAGGGCAATGCACAGGGGAGAAGTGCTGGAGTGGAAGTTGAGGTTGACGGACAAGTTTCTCTCGGGGCACTGGATTGCCTAAACCCTCGCTGTGATTGGCCCTAGTGGGCGCCCTAGACTCAGTTGGGTGTACACCCGCGAAATTTCGGAACAACTTTTTGCACTTTGAATTACGGTAATTTTCACTTGATTCCGAATATTTTCAATATCATTCTTGATCATCTTGGATAGACATCTATAACCTATAAGCAGAGTATCTTATTCAATGGTTAGTCATTTGGTGGCTATTTTCATTACTATGACTATACCAGTCCAGCCATAGCAGAACCACGAGAAAGCGCGACAATGGACTCTTTACGGACAGGAAACTTGAATTCTAAACGCCAGCTTCATACTATGAACATATAAAACAAGACATTGAGCGCGATGCCTATCCGGGATGAAGAGCCCCAGGCCAGCTCTTGTTAAGGCATCAATGTGATCCCTCAGGCATAAACTCGGAACCTCAATTCTGCCAACATCCGGGGAAGGCGGTGGCGTTGTCACCGGCATGCTTCCAGGTGGACCTGATCGCCGACACAAGCTGTATAGAGCTTGTGCGTTTTGTCTTGTCTGATTCGAGCCTATTCCCTTTCCCTGGTGGATTTGGGGATCTCATCAGGCCGTCTCGGTCCCGTCGAGACACGATTTCTCTGCTTCCCCGATGAAGATTCCAAGCCGACAAAATGCCGAGTGCGAAAAAAGGGCCTACGCCCCCAGCTCGGCCGCGCAGAGATGTGCTGGCCTCCCTGCGCATGGCGTCGATGGAAGATATTGCCCGAGCAGCTTTGCCGGCAGGTATGTGGTGCAAATTAAATAGTTGATGCGGGGAGGCGCTAACATTCACCAGAGATCGTCTCCTCTATCCTCGACTACCTTGGGCCAGTCGATCTCATCCGAGCCGCACGATCCTGCAAGCTCATGCACGAAATGGCGTATGACGATACGCGGTGGGTACACAGATTGAAACGGATTGGGTGCTGGGATGAAGCGGAGGCCCGAAAATATGCCGAGAAAACATATGGGACTATTGCCAACATGGAGACCGTTCAGCGGGAAGAGCAAGCCGAGGAAAGCAGGCGGGGTGGTGGATCGATTCCGATTATATCTGTTGAGCAAAGTCCCTCTGATACATCGCATGCACTATCCGATGGATTCGACAAGATCGACCTGGCGAACCAAGCCCCGCAACCTGACATGCTGGACGATACCGCGGATGACCCCGCGTTAGGGGCAATTAAGCAGGCCAAATCAATTCGAGGCGAGGCGCGTCAGGAGTACGGGAAGATCCATGCTGCGCTGGCACCATTCTTTCGCGACATCACCGAATCAGGGCCATCGCCCGAGAACCTGGTCTTTACGAAGTTCAAAGACCCGCTGCCCCAAGCGCAGATTCTCTCCCAGCTGCTCGCATTTTCAAAGAGTGATATGGAGTCAGGCTGGCAGGATCGATTGCAAAACCTCGAGGGTGCAGCATCCATGTTTGAGACTGCGTCACTGAACGAGTTCCGTCAAGGCTACGAACTTGACGACATTGACGGCGCTGTGCGGAGATACGCCCATATTCTCTGGGCGCTCAATGGCGGGCGTTCTGCTGTGGAACTGTTTATCCATCATAATCACCTGATGACCCGCAAGGCCGAGCTCGGAAGTGTTGCAGACTGTATTGACGGGTCAACTAACAGTGTGAAACTGGAACATACACAGGCATTTTTCACACGTCTGAGCGTTGCTTATAACAAAGAGGTGTCCATCATCAACCGCGTGTTCCCCTCGCAATTAGACGTGACATCTTCCTTCATGGAGAAAGTTGGTCAGGACGTACTCTACCCGTTCCTGACAGCAATATTTGACGAATTGCATCGTGTGAATATGGAGGCCTACCTCACTGCGGTGTCGGTTACTTTTATCCAGTGCATGAACCTTTCTGATGTTCTGCTGCCATCACGAAATTCTGGCGACAAGTTCGAGGAACACATTGACAACATCGTCGCCAAAATCTATGAACCACATGTTGACCTCTATCTAGCAGAGGAACTGGGCTATTTCCGAAAGGCCTCCGAGGCCACGGTGCTTGAGTGGGACAGGCAGTTGTCGGAGCAAGCCGCATCAACTGAATCATATCTGATGTCCAACGTCAACCGGCAAGCCGACAAACGCGATTTCTTGACTTCATTCAAGAAAGTGATCATGATGCCTGTCAATATTCTTCCCAGCTTCTCAAGTGCAAAAACAACCGAGGACCCAAAGTCAATCGCCGAGAACAATGGACGAGTCCCGTCTCCAGCGCCAAAGAACCCCAATCGATTTTCCACAATATCCTCCCCAGCCCCAGTGGCTGTTGAAGAAGCCCCGACCACCGAGCTGGCTGCCAAGGCGGCTATCATGAAGTTGAAAATGGACGGCATTCGCTCACTGTTCAGCATAGAAATCGCCCTGGGCTTGGTTCATTCAGCCAAGTCGAGTTTGGAGAGAGCGGCCCAGTTTGTGCGCCTTGGTGGAGAGTACGGTGCCGCTGCAAAACAACAGTGCGAGTCTATCTTTGTGGCTCTCCTGCGCATTTTGGGCTATCAACATGTGATCGTCGGCTTTGACAAGGCTGTCGATCATCTTTCCAACTATCGACCACGCGAGCAAGGGGAGCGCGACCAGTCAGGGGTTGAACCTCTCGTGACTTTCCTTGAGTTGGTCAACGTCGGCGATCTCATTCTCCAGATGATGGATGTGTTCTATGAGCAGGAGTTGATTGGCACAAGACTGACGGACCGCAACGATTTCATTGACCCTGCTGTCAAAGAGAAGAAGAAATTCGAGCAGGTTCTCGACGAGCGAGTGGCCGCCGGTCTCAACAAGGGCATTGACGTTCTCATGGAGGAGGTGGACTATATCCTGGCGACCCGACAGCTTGCTACTGATTTCAACCCCGGTGTCTCGTCAGACCCACACCGGCAGACCATGGATGTAGGCATTAGTGAAGTGGCCGCAGCTGTTGTCGATGTGGTGTCAACGCACACACAGATGCTGGTGGGCAGTACGGACAAGAGCACGCTGGATGTGTTCAACCAAGAAGTGGGGCTCCGTCTGTTCACGGCTCTGTGTAAGCACCTCAAGCGACAGCGGATCAGCGTCGAGGGATCCCTGAAGCTAATTAGGTATGTACCATTAATGCTCATCGCAACGACAATGTGTCCGAAGATCCTGACTGACCTCTGCCATAGCGACATGAACCACTACTTCAAATTCATTCAGACCCTCCGGAACAACGAGCTTCTTCATTATTTCAAGGCCTTCCGCGAGCTGGCACAGATCTACCTGATTGACCGGTCTGATGCCAAGGAGTTGGCCACTATCATCGCCGACGCGGACCGCTTCCACGGAATTTGGCGCGTGGAAGAGGTGTACGAGTTTGCCGAACGCCGCGCCGACTGGTACCAAGTCAAGCGCGATGTGGAACGAGCCATGTACGGCATTGGGTGTAGTGTGATGTGACCCGATTCAGATACCCTGACGATTGCATAGCAAAAAGGAAAACAGTGTATAGACTCTGCATGGTGTTGTGACTGAATATACAAGCATTACATATTTTGGAAAATTGATTCTTTGCTTTTGCTTCTGTCTTGTAATGTTGTAAAAGGAGGAATATTTACCACTGTCATCGACCAGATAGGAAGACAGAATAAAAGGTAAGGAGTCTTCTCACGGTGTTAACCGGGCTCACACTGGGACCACTTAGGGCTGAGATTGGAGAAGCACCAAGCCTCGAGTCGGTACAAATGGAGCCAAAATTCCTTTACCTTGATACCTGCAAAACTCCCAATGCCTCTTATTTCAATGCGTCTTATTTTACTTTATTTCATCTTTCGTCTGAAGATCTTCTCCGGCTCTTCCGCCGATGTAGCATCCTGACGTCAACCAGCGGCTACTGGAACATCGTGAAACGACATCCAGACTTTCCGGCCCAACAGCCGCCCTCCGTCCGGTTGCAATCTCAAACGTCTGGTTTGGAATTCAGAAATAGAACTCAAAATGCGTGTCTGTTGCCAAGTTTCCTGGTTGTCCAGGAGTCCTTTCTCTGGGGCTGTTGATTCCAGGCATGACCTCTTCCCCCCCTCGGTGACCCTACATTATGGTGTTTACTTTCCCTACTTGCTAGATCTTTGATTTACTGTTATTGACTCGGGTTTAGCTTACAGGATATTAGGAACGACTGCTGCTGTTGGAGGTGTTGCATCTCAAGACAACTCGGACAATTGCACCGTTGCATTTGAGCCTAGGTTCCTTCACTGCTGTCGCAACTTGACACGGCTTTCCCCAACGAACTTGAAAGCGTCTTCACCAGTATCTCGAGCAACCCGGACCAATTTGCCTTCGCCCAGATCATGTTGTGACCCGCCAGGAGTTCTGTGTTTCCAGTGATCAGTTCATTGATATATATCGTGCGACATAACAGTTCGAGACCATGGTTCCCAAGTATTTCACACGCACGGCTGGGCTGTTGTTTTTCACCACCACTACTACTTTCTTTGTCGGCAGTAGTGCTCAAGAGGTCGTCGTGGTTACGGTCGAACAAACTGCAGACGCAGCCACCACGTCAACGGTATGGGCAACACCGACAATCCCCAGTCCGGCCTCCTACACCTCGCTCGACGATTTCAAGGACACCGTGCTGCAGGTCAGCAACGATTACCGCAACGCCCACGATGCAAGCCCACTAGTCTGGAACGAGACGCTGGTGGAGTACTCGCGGGACTGGGCAGAAGCCTGTATCTGGAAACATTCGGTGCGTATCCCACCCAAGAGAGACAGAGATTGAGAACAAAAGAACAGCATTCTAAATCATCGTGCCTCTACCTCTAGAACGGCCCCTATGGCGAGAACCTCGCATACGGCTATTCTAATGCCTCGGCTGCAGTGGCTGCCTGGGGCGATGAACGCACGCAATACGACTTCGGCAAGCCGACCGGCTTTACGGAGGCGACGGGCCATTTCACGCAGTTGGTATGGCGGTCCACGACGGAGATGGGATGCGCAGCGGTCAACTGCGGATACACGGAAGACCAGAACTCGCATCATGTTCGACGCAGCCCGGACGGAAAATCTCGCGCCCAGGGCTGGTATGTGGTGTGCGAGTATACGCCGGCAGGGAATGTGGTGGGCAGACATGACAAATTCTTCAAGTTGAATGTGAAGGCACGTACCGTGTCTGAGACGTCTGCTGCGTCGACTCCGTCTATTGCGTCCACTGGATCGGGTGTTCAGCCGACAGGTGGCGCGCGAGTGCGGGTTGGCGTGGACTCGACAGTGGGGGTGATGCTGCTGGCGCTGGGGACGGTGGGAGTGGGAATGGGCCTGTATACGTAACAAGAGAAAAATAGAGAAAGAAACAAAAAAACACTTCGTTGGTAGGGCATCTCTCATGCTTATCCACATTGCGCATCAAGAACTGAGCTCCATCTATTGTTTTTGGATGTCCCGGTCCTCGCCGGGAGACCACCGGCGGGCCAAAAAAGAAAAGAAAACACGAGGGGACAGAAAGCTGGGGGAAACCCTGGCGCACACAGAAAAAAAGGATAGAAAAAAGAGAAAACACATTATGTGCGAAGATAGAAAAAGATGGGTTCATCAGCCAATGACCTCCTCGGTCTCCTCGATAATCTCCTCCACCATCTCCTCGACCACCGTCTCGCCTTGATCCTCGCCTGCGGGCGGCGCATCGTGGGCTGCCTTGGCCGTGTCGGCGTCCTCGGGCAGACCAAAGGCGTCCTTCTCTTCGGCCATGAGTTCCTTCTCCCGGCGGATCCAGGCCAGCCACTCGTTGAGCACCCGCTTGCGTGTCTCGACCACGGCTGTGTTGGCGATGTCCACGGCATACCTGTCCTCCTCGTCGAACTCCTTCGAGTACTCACGCAGGTTCTTGCGCACCTGCTTCTGCTCCTCCTTGCTGAGAAGTGTCGCGGGGCGCGGACGCCAGCTGAATTGCTTGAACTTGTCCGTGGGGTTCTCCGAGAGCGTGTTGCCGAAGAAAGTGTGCATGTTCCAGCCGTTTTCCATCTGTAGAAACGAAAAATTATTAGTATGACAATGATAGTGGAACCTATATCAGGGTTCAATCTTACCGAGTGAGTCCACACACTGGCACTGCTGACCACGTAACGGCCAGTAGGGTCCCAGTCAATGTCCGTCACACCGTAGTGCTCGACAGTCTTCAACAGCTGGAGGTTGGCGGCAAGGTCCTTCTCGCCCTCCGCCTTCTCGCCTTCAAAGTCCATATCCCAGAAGTCCATATCAAAGCTGGACTGCGAGTGCACAGTAGCAACCACAACAAAGCGGCCCTTAGGCGACCAGTAGATTCCATTGCTAGTCTTCTTTTCAATCGTCCGCACCAACTTGAAGTTGCCAGCTGTGCTACCCTTCTTCTCGGGAGCGAAGAAAGACACAGCCGTCTTGGGGAGCACAGCGGCACCAGCGGCTGCTTCGCCTGTCGTGATGACGACGAATCGCGAGCCATTGGGCTCCCAGGAGAAGTTGATCACGGTATCCTTGAGACTGTCAACAACCTCCACCGGTACACCCTTATCACGCACCCGGAAAATCTCCAGGTTCGTAGCCATGGACTTCTTTGACTTGGAGTGACGGTCGACCTTGACACAGATGTAGGCACCCTGGGATTGCCAGTGGAGCTTGACATCTGACACATTAAACAGATTCCGGGTTCGCACAATTTCCTTGGACGGCACACTCATCATCGCCACACGAGCGGGGTTGCTGCCAATTTCGGGGGACCAGAAGCAGAGCAGTTGCTCGTACTGCTTGATGCCCTCGCGACTGACCGTAGCGGGCGACCACTCAATGTCACTCACGCCCTCAATTTTTACCGAGGTTCGGCCTAGCAAGTTCATGTTCGGCAGTTCGTAGATAGAGATCGACTGGCCCTGAAGCATCCTCGCCACATACTTCTCGTCGGCAGACCACTTGAACGCAGGCCACTGCACCTTCTTCTTAGGTTGAACATCGCCTTCGGCGGGAGGCCCGGCAGCCAGGTCGTGAGAGACAAAAGATCGAAGAGGCTTGCCTGATTCAATGTCCCAAACAATGATGTTCTTTCCATCCTCCTCGTAGGTCAAGATCGGCTGGCCCTCTTCCACTTGAATGGGGCGTGCCGACCACGTCGTCAGGTAGCCCTCCAGCGGGGAAAATTCGATCAACTGCACAAACGGGTGAGGGAATTGTTTTTGCTTCGAGAAGGAAGATCCACCCCAAAGCTGCACGCCCTGCGGGTGGACGGAGGCAAGGAAGGTTCCCTTTGGAGACCATTGAACGAAGAGTTGTGTCCAGTGCGCGCGGTCAACGACATTCTCTGGCGGGTTCGACTTGTTGTTCCAGAACACGCCAACCTTGTCACCTCGGTACAGAGCGAATTCATCGCGGGCATTTGCATCTCCCAGCCACGAGCGGAGGTGCTCCTTTTCCTTGAATGGCTCCACTTGAGGTGCTTTGTAGTCCTCCTCAACCCGACCCTCACGGCCGTAGCGTTCGATATCCATCAACTTGTTCACGGAGAGAGTGTGTTTCTTATCGAGAGGAACACCGTTCAGCTGCTTCACGGCAGCAACTGCCTGTTCCGGGGTCTCATACTCCACAAAGGCGAACCTGTATTCCCAAGAAAAAAATCCGAAATTAATTATCTGTTCGGTCCAAGCTCGTCGGATTATCCATACGTACCCTTCAGACATGTTCTTATCGGTGAGCGGCATAAAAACGGCATCTTCGGAGGTGTGGCCGACAGAGTTGAGTTTTCTCAGCAAGAACTTGATCAGTTTTTGCCTGCTTTCGCCGGGCACGATTGGGAGGCCATCGATGACCACGAATGTGTCCAAGCCTTCCTCGAGCTTCACTTCATACTGCGATTTGAGATCTGGGGGCGGGATTAGAGAGGGGCACGGGCACACACAAGGCCGGACAAAGGACTCGCGCACTCACCAGAGAAGTCGACCTCCTCCTCTTCTTCCTCGTGGAGATCCTGCTCGGACAGAGTATCGAAACTGGGCGCCATGATGGGTACACCGCGACAGAGGGCCGGATCGGATTGAATATGCAAAGGCGACTGGATTTTCGGGGCAGAAACAAATCGTCCGGCCGCCAAGCGGGTTCTTTGTGCGCGCTGACTCATCCCTGACTTATCATGCCACGTGACATGCTGAGTCAGACATTTCCCCAGCTTCCCGGATCATCGCGACTTCCCAGTGCGCTTTTTTCTTTTCAAACAAATTGCATTGGGCTCTTCAGACTGCGTGTCTAGCTCCGGCGATCTCTTTCTCGTTTTTGGTTTTCTTTTTGGGCACATCCCACCCCTGTCCCGCTCCCCTCCGCTCCCTCCTAATGCCCCGCCGGCCCTAAGCGCCAGTGCGACTTAGTATAGCCCGCCTGACACCATCGGCCTCACGGACAGCGCGCCTCGTCACCACACTATCTCTTACCCACCGAGGATTCCTTCAATTGTGAATTTTAAAATTGCTACAGCCGTCTATATCCTCGAGGTTCAGGTGGCGAGCCGCGATATTACATGCAGACAAGATGTCGCGTAAGACCTCGGCCTTATGCCGGTGCCAACTGCCGGTTGCTCTCTAACCACTTCGCTGACTCCTTTGGATATGTGCAATAGTTTCCTCTGAAGTGCGCGACCAGTACATCGAGATTATCGACTCCATTCTCGGCAAAAGCGATCTCAACACGATCTCCGAGAAGCGGATCCGGAAAGGGCTACAGGATGTCGTCGGCTACGACCTCACTCCGCAAAAGGTTTGTCTTGAGATGGAAAGTCAATCACAAAGAACTCCAACTCACTTTTTGGCTCTCCAACAAGGCTACCATCAAACAGCTCATCATGGAACGGTTTGATCTCTACGCTAAGCGGAATGGGGTCGGCGCATCGCCCGAAGCGCCCACCTCCAGCAACGGTCAGAGAGACGGAGACTCGGTTTCCGCTGCGGTGACATCTCCACCACCGTCAACCTCGCCCGTGAAGCGGGATGCGGACAGCGAAGAAAGGTTCGAGCCTACCAGTACTTCGCCACCGACCAAGAAGCGAAAGCCAGATACCGATGTCGACGCAGACGCGGTTTTTGCGGCCAAGTTGCAGGCCGAAGAGAACCTGCGCGCGCGGCCCACCAGAGGTGGCAACACACGGCGTGCGCCTCCCACCAAGAAGAAAACCAAGACTAAGACCTCAAAGAGAGTTAAGGCAGAAGATGATTCGGACATTGACTCGGGCTCGGAGACCAAGAAAGAGGTCAACCGGTCTGGGGGGTTCCATGTATGCTTTTATCGCCATAATATATTGGGCCTTGTTTATTCTGACTGGTATAGAAACCGCTCAACCTTTCACCCGCCCTATCTGCACTCTTGGATGGCGAAATAACGGTGAGAACTACCTCTTTTATTTTCCGTAGTGGATTGAACCTGACTAATCTCTCAATAGCTGTCCCGGCCACAAACGGTCAAGAAGGTATGGCAATATATTCGAGAGAATAATTTGCAGGATCCGAGTGACCGCCGGCAAATTCGATGCGACGATGCCATGCGGGCTGTGTTCAAACAGGACCGGGTCCACATGTTTACTATGACCAAAATCCTCAACCAGAACCTGTACAGCCCGGACGAATAGCCCCTTGGCCGTCCTTGATTCTTCAGGGTGGGCTCCGACCCGCCTGATCCTAACGACTCTCTTGGTTTTTGTTCTTTGGTTTCCTGCGATGCATGGGGATGCTGGCGTGGCTTCTGACCAACCTCTTTTCTTTATTTCGCATTTTTCTTTGCTTGTTTCCATTTGTCTTTTTTGTCTGCTCTCCAGCGGGTGTTGGTGCAGCCCTCTATGGTGATTTCAATTTCTCGCATCTGCAATTGATCTATCCTAGACCCTTGAGGAATCTTGCGAATGCTTCTACTGACTGTAAAGAGGCGGGGTCCGCTATGTTTCTATACTTTTGAGGCGAACGACCCTTCGTGGTCATGTAGAACTAGGGCCATCCATTTGATGAGGTTTGTTTCAGTCGCCCGGATTGCCGGCCAAGAGACAAAAGAATATGCCAGACTAAAGAGCCTCCTGCAAAAATTTTTTATAAACAATCCAGTTGCAAGACAGGTTTCTCCCAGAGTCTTTGGATCGTGTTTGGAGGCGTAAATGCTGTGTTGATCAGTCAGCGAGATCAACTTTTTTCACCCCGACCATTCCCCCACCACACAACATCGCGCGATTACTCGCTCGGGTCGTCTGCCTTTCGTTCAGCCATTGACTACATCCGCTCTGTTCCTGGCCTCCACCTCTCCCCGTCTCCGAAATGGCCGACAACCATCCCCCCACGTCGGAGTCGCAAGGACAGGGCCGCGGTGGTCGTCGTCGCGGCCGCGGAGGGGCTCCACCCCCCGGCCGTACCGCTGGGGATAGTGCAGACAGAGGCACCAAATCTCGTGGGCGTGGCGGTAGAGGAGGCGCGGGTGGACGCGACAGACAAAATCGCGACGCCGATCCATCTTCAGCAACCACCACAAAATCACCGTTTAAAAACCCCGCAACCGAACGGCCAGCGCAAAAGGCCGCAGCAGCCACCGATGATGCCGACGATGGGGAGATGTGTTTCATTTGTGCCTCGACAGTCGAACATACCTCCGTCTCACCGTGCAACCACCGAACCTGTCATATTTGTGCTCTTCGATTGCGGGCACTATACAAAAATAAAGCCTGCGCTCATTGTCGAGTATGCGCGCCTAGCTATGCTGAGTGTGGCTGTTTCTGGACATGACTGACTTTGATCCATATATAGACCGAGTCAAACTTCGTGATCTTCACCGACGATCCTGTGCGGCCGTTCGATGAATTGAAGAGGAAAGACTTTGCTCGGACCGATGACAACCTCGGTATTCAATATGAGAATGACGAGATCTTTGAAGACACCGTGCTGTTACTGCGGTACAACTGTCCAGACGAGGACTGTGATGTCGCTTGTTTGGGCTGGCCGGACCTGCATCGCCATGTCAAGAGCAAGCATGGCAAGGTGATGTGGTACGTACCAGCCCCTCCGCTTTCTTTCTTGTTTTGATCGAACGACGACTAATCAGCGCGACTCATCTGCTGTCGTTGCCTTCTACAGTGACCTCTGTACTCGGAACAAGAAAGTCTTTACGCACGAGCATGAGCTTTTTACCGTTGCCGAGTTACGCAAGCATGAAAAACACGGTGATCATAAGCCTGGTGCTATAGACCAGAGCGGCTTCAAAGGACACCCGGAGTGTGGCTTTTGTCGTCAGCGTTTCTACGGCGATGATGAGCTATACACCCACTGTCGAGATCGCCACGAACGCTGCCACATCTGTGATCGACGTTCCTCCCACCGCCAGCAGCAGTACTACGTTGACTACAATGCACTCGAAGATCATTTTCAAAAAGACCACTTCCTCTGCCTCGACAAGGAGTGCTTAGACAAGAAATTCGTTGTCTTCGAGTCTCAAATGGACCTCAAGGGCCATCAGCTGGAGTCACACCCAGATGGCCTTTCCAAGGATGTGCGGCGAGATGCGCGGGTTGTTGATCTCGCTGAATTCGATATCCGCTCTCCATATCAGCCACACCGCCAACGCCGCGGAGCCGGTCGAGGTCGCGACCCGAATGCCGAGCCCCTGCCAGCTTCCAGCGCCCAACCATTGAGGCGAGACGAAATCGCCTACCAGCGACAAATGGCTATTCAGAGCTCGCAGTCAGTCTCTACACGCAATTTCGGTGGCCAGCTCACCCGTAGTGATACCCAACCTGTGCGCGCACCTGCCCGGTCCGCAAATGCAACCCCCACGCAGTCCACTACATCAAGGGCCCCGGCTTCTCTCACTGCCGAATTAGAGAGCATGAGCCTTGCTGCCAATGCGGAACCGCTCACCCCACAAGATCAAGCACGCCGGCTCCGCCACTCCGCTGTGGTTGAGCGCGCATCGAACCTTCTCCGCAACGATTCAGCTAAGCTTGCAGAATTCCGCAGCAGAGTCTCCGGCTACCGCACCTCCACTATCTCGGCCACCGAGCTCATCGACGCCTTCTTTTCTCTCTTTGACACATTCAGCTCCGAGTTGGGGAAACTGATCAAGGAACTTGCCGAAATCTACGAAGACGAGCCCAAACGATCCGGCCTTCTGCAGGCCTGGAATGACTGGCGCGCTATCAATGAGGATTACCCGGCCCTTCCAGGTCCCGGCGGTCTCCTGCCTGGAATGTCTCCCGGTACCGTTAACACAGGCGGCTCAGGGGGTAGTCGTGTCCTGCGCCTGAAGTCCTCGACCGCTCAATCGTCCCGTTCCTCCGTTGGCAGAAGTGGCGCCTTGCCATCCGCGCCCTCTAACCCTTTCCCTCCTCTCTCTGCCAGTACCTCTGGCCGGCGGAATAATGCAGCTTCTTCCACTCCCTGGGCTACCGTCGCCCCGCCACCTTCTCTCTCGCGCCCATCTATGCCGAGCTCGTCTTCCCGTTCCTCCCCGTCCACCCCTGCGGGCTCGAGCCGCACTGCCCCCAGCTCTGGTGCCGACGCCTTCCCCTCACTTCCCCCTGCGGCCAAGCCGAACGTCCTCATGGCGGGCAAGACTCGCGGCACCGTCCGCTGGGAAGATAGGCGCGGTCCCGCTCCAAGCGCATGGGGATCAAACCCGAGCTCTGGCGCTGTCACTCCCACCGAGCTGGTGGACGACGACCTCGCCGACGACCCCAGCGGAGGCTTGAAGAAAGGGAAGAAGAATAAGAAGGGGAAACAGACGTTATTCCACTTTGGGTAATATCTGGCCTGCCTTTCTTTTAGCAGGCTGGGAGTTAATAATAAGGTTGTCACATTTCGACCGTACTTACTGCATGATGATTTACGGTCTCATGTCAAAATAGTCTTTTCTCTTTTCTATTTCTCTTTTGGAATGATGTAACTAGCGGCTGCGAATACAAAGCATCATGTATGAAACATGTCATCCTTCTTTCACTTTCATCTGAATGTCTAGGACTATTGTTCCTGGCTGCGTATATAGATATCTCACAGCATTCTCACTTCGAAAGCAGAAATAAAAACCATATAAACAAACTACGATGCTGGGTATAACGATATAATAGCCTATGCTCTGCTTTAGGTCGAGGACACTCACAACAACACCACACTATCACTGTCTCCTTCCTCCACCTCCGATGAGTCTGACTCGATCACAATCGGATCCATCGCAGATGTATTCTTGGCACCAGATTTCCCCGAATAAGAGCTGAACGTCGGAAGAGCAGACGACGAACGGACCGACATAACAGGGCTATGCCGTCCATCTTGGTTGCCTCCTGCCTTATCAACGCCATTGCCATCCGCATCGACATTTTCATCAACAGCAGACATCTGCAATACAAAGTCTTCCTGCAATCTGGTCAGCCACCGTCGAAGGGAGTCGTCATCCATGGTACCGCCCCGAGCAAGCAAGAGCTGTTCACGCAGCGACAGAAGCAGGCTTCGTTTCCGGGCGATAGCCAAAGCACGCAAGGGACTGTTCCGGCGCTGAATAAGCCGATCCAGGGCCTCGGAGACCGAGTGCGCGACGTCCAGAACAGCAGGCGGCAGATCCACCAGTTTTGCGAGAGCGAGGCCGTACCGACGGTCCGGGACGGGGCCTTCAGTAATGCGGTATAACATGGTCATTTTGGCGGCATCGGGGGCGATATCTGCTGCCAGGTGTAGATTGACCACGCCACTGCGCTCGGAGAGGATGCGTGCGAGATCGTGGAAGTGCGTGACGAACCACACCAGTGCGTTGCTGGAGATCAGGGCTTCGGCTAGTGCTACGGCGATGGCAAGCCCGTCAATGGTGCTCGTACCCCGGCCCAGCTCGTCGACAATCACCATGCCTCTTGGCTGGAGGTGGCGCAGGATAAAGGCCATCTCGCGCATCTCTGCTGCGAAGGTGGAGAAGTTGGCGTCCAGGTCGTCGGCGGTGGCTACACGCGCGAAGAGCTGGTGGGCGATAGGGAACGAGGCGTACTGGGCCGGCACGAAGCAGCCGATTTGGGCCATCACGGTCATCAACGCCAAGGACCTGATGTATGTTGACTTGCCGCTCATATTGCAGCCGGTGATGATCTGGAATCGTGTCTGGGGCGTGGCGTAGGCATCGTTGGGGATGAACCTATTCGCGTGGATCTGTTCTCGGATTGGGTGACGGCCCGCCTTGATGGCGAGCGTGTCTGTCAGTTCGGGGCGGATGTATTCGTGGCTGGTGGCCAGCTGCGCATATGCCGCTAGCATGTCTAGCATTGCAATTGCTTCGCTGGCGCGAAACAGGCCGGATATTTCAGAGCACACATCGCGGATCAGTTTCTGAATCGTCTCGTCACTCATGCTGATTACTTCATTGTGTGCATCGGTGATCTTCTGGTTGAGCTTGACCAGGTCGAGGGTTTGGCACTCAATGCGGCTTCGCTTGCGATAGACGTTGATGAACACGTCGGGCAGGGGCCCTGACTCTGCGGCCCGGATGCAGATATAGTATTGGCGCGCCGTGTCATACTTTAGGTCTAAAGCCATCTCGCATGTGTCTGAGAAATGTCAGAAACAATACCCTGCAACTCCCAACTAGATGCCTTGCCTGCCAGATTGTCTACAAGCTCGGCAGCGTCTGCGTTGGCTTCCTTGTATGTCTGCCTGGCAACGTCGAGGAGACTGTTGACACCAGTCTACATGATATCAGATATTCAAGTTAAGAAAGTGAAAGTTTGATCAATACCTTGACACAATATATACGCTGATTCCTGAGGTCAAGAGGCCTAGTTTGATATGTAACCTGCTCGTTCATGGTTGCTTCGATGAGCTGTTCGACCGAGCAGTATCCCGCGGGAGAGCATAGCTAGAAGCGCATCAGCTGTAGTCAAGGAACAATAATAACAGCACAATTACTTCACGAATAGTCAGTAGCAGGTCGCTTTGCACAGTTGCCAGTGCTTGGTACACTCTTTTGATGGCAGACACATAGGTCTTGAGTATGATCACATTGTTGACTGACTGCTCGACGTACTGGACCGTCCGTTTGGTGGGGACCAGGATGATCTAGATGGTTAGCTGGGTCTGTTTCTGAGACTTCTCATATAGAATGATACCGAAGTCAACACTTTATCGGCATCAATGAAGCCCCTGAGCGCCTGTCGAACGGACTGAAACATGTCCTCTTTGGTTGATAGATCTTCGACAGCATTGTACCTCGCTGTCAGCTTGACTCGTTCAGTGGACGGCTGCAGAATGTTGGCTCGCAGGAGCCGGGCTCCCATGGGGGTCAATGTTTCATTTAGCAACCCGTAAAGACTGTTGCGAGACTTTGCATTCTGCAGGTTCTGGATGAGCTCGAGAGAGACAATCGTAGCGAGATCAATGGTCATGGACCCCTCGGACGGTTCAAATCGGATGCGCAGGGAATGAGAAGTGAAGACCCGTTGGAGCTCGAGCTCGACATACTTGAGCACCTGCGCTAGTCAGTGGCTTTCTGTCTCCTCAGCACATTTTGGAATTGGTGGGCCTACTGCTGCAAAGCAACACGCGGCAAAGTAGTTCCCACCCAGAGTCACTTTGAGGGAATCCACCTCCTCGGGGAAGGCCAGCCGATCCACGTATTCATGGCCTGTCTTCTCCGACCAGCATCTACGATCCAGGAAGGTAAAAATAGGGTCTGGCAGGTTCTCCTGGATGATATAGCGAAGCTTTGACTCCTTGGCGGTGTTCATGATGAGGATCTCGCTTGGTTCAAAGACGGTAATCTTGGTGATTGTTTTGACGTAGGTCTGGCTATCACAGATCTGACAGAGTACTGCCTCAGCTGTTGCAAGATTGACGAATGCCAGACCGACGGTGCAAGAGACACCTCGTGACTCGCTGACGGCGCAAACGATGTCCTGCGCGGCGACGCTGGTGGCAGTCGTCGTCGGTCGGGCCGTAGCCGGGCGCCTGCTGCTGGCCCTGGAGGTCAACGGAATAAACGAGTCTAGGGATGACTCGCGTGAATTCATTGAATCCATCGTCAAAGACATCGACAAGCGATGGAAAAGAAAGGAAGAAAACAGCCAGGAGTTGTCCAGGTGGGAGAAAAGGTAGTTTGGAGGGGAATGGGAACACCTTTTATATATTCAGTATTCAGGCAAAACACATTATCCTCAACAATTAATTCAAAGCAGTCCATCTTTCCAATGCCAAATACTAGGATTTTTTTCTAACTCTCTTCTCACCATCTACTTGTCCGGAACACCGTTGTTCCCAAAGGGACATGCAAGTGGGGCGATAAGATCGATAACCGTCAAAATTTCTCTCCGTCTTGCAACAACCCCCAGAGACCATGGCGACACTCGTTCCTCCGCCTACTAAGCGCCAGAAGGTGGCGCAGGTCGAGAAGGCGAAACAGCAGCAAGAGATCCAGAGTATCCCCACCGACCTGGGCAGCGTCCGGGTACAATTCTTCGACCAAGCCACCGGCAATGCTACTGGCCCTGCGGTGTCGGTGCCAGTCGCCGACGCCAATACCAAAAACCTCGAAACCCTCCTGAACACAATACAAGGCAACGTAAGTGCGCAATTGAGCGGTGATTGGAATTGTTGGGATAGCAGACTCACATCTTCGCGTAGGACGACGATGAGCGGGTGCCGTATCGGTTCACCTACCAGTCCGAGAAGGAAGGACAGACCATCGATATCCTCGCCGACTTATACCACTCCCTCCTTCAGCCGGGGATAAAAACCACCGAAGATACTATCTCGCTGTACTTTACACCGCAAGCTGTCTTTCGAGTCAAGGCGGTGTCTCGCTGTGCGGCCTCCATTGCCGGACACGGTGAGGCGATTCTCGCGACATCTTTCTCGCCGGTTTCATCGTCTACGATGGTGTCTGGCAGTGGCGACTCTACAGCGCGGGTCTGGGACTGCGACACGGGGACGCCGCTGCACACGCTCAAGGGCCACACGAGCTGGGTGCTGGCAGTGGCATATTCGCCGAACGGGGCAATAATCGCGACGGGTAGCATGGACAACTCGGTGCGGCTGTGGGATGCAAAGAAAGGCCAGGCGCTGGGCGGGCCGCTCAAGGGCCATGCGAAGTGGATCACGAGTCTCGCGTGGGAGCCATACCACGTGCAGGAAGCCGGGCGGCCGCGCCTGGCGTCGGCGTCGAAGGACTCGACCGTGCGATTGTGGGATGTGGTGGCGAAGCGGATTGACACCGTGCTCACCGGCCACAGGGGGTCGGTGACCTGCGTGCGCTGGGGTGGCACAGGCAAGATCTACACGGCGTCGCATGACAAGTCCATCAAGATCTGGAACCCGCAGGATGGCACGCTGCTACAGACGCTGTCGGCTCATGCCCATCGTGTGAACCATCTGGCGTTGTCCACCGACTTTGCTCTCCGCACCGCTTACCACGACCACACGGGCCGGGTGCCGGGGACGGAAGCCGAGAAGGTGGCTGCGGCGCGGAAGCGCTTCGAGCAGGCGGCAACAGTCAATAACACTATCGTCGAGCGACTGGTGTCGGCCAGTGACGATTTCACGATGTATCTGTGGGAACCGTCCAGCTCGAACAAGCCCGTGGCTCGGCTGCTGGGCCACCAGAAGGAGGTCAACTATGTCACCTTCTCGCCGGACATGGCCTACATTGCCTCGGCCGGGTTTGACAACCACGTCAAGCTATGGAACGGGCGTGACGGCAAGTATGTATTTCCTTACTTCCTTTCTTTCATCTCACGTATACACAGTTCTCTCTTGAAGTTTTGGTCCCCGCTGACATCCCAGGTTCATCAACACCTTCCGCGGCCATGTGGGTGCTGTCTACCAGTGCTGCTTCTCAGCCGACTCCCGGCTTCTAGTCTCGTCGTCCAAGGACACCACCCTCAAAGTCTGGGACGTGCGCACCGGCAAGCTGTCAACGGATCTACCCGGACACAAGGACGAGGTATTTGCTGTGGACTGGAGCCCGGACGGGCAGAAGGTCGGCAGCGGCGGGAAAGACAAGGCGATCCGAATCTGGCGGAACTAAAACAATACCCATGGGATGCCCATTCTACACTTTTGAAGCATGTAAATTTTCAATCAAAGATAATAAGATAAAAGCGATGGATTATGATTTTGACATTAGACCAAATATCCACACAGAGCCTCTCTAAGACCTACCAAATTATACACAATGAAACCGAATAAAAAAAAAGACGCCAACCATTATGCACCCGTCATATATCCTCTTTTCCAGTCATTCATTCAACACAAATTGCACCCATACCCAGGCTTAGGAGTACTGCCACGCAGCCGCCGCACCCTTGTAGGGATCAGCCAGCGCATGGAAAGGCAGACAAGCCTTGCGATCGCCAAGCGGGACCGTGGCATTCTGCACATTGGCAAAGACCTGCCATTGGGAGTTCTTGGCCGGGCAAGCCATGAACCCGTTCGCACCCCATCCCGTGAAGTTGTAGAAGTGGTTCGCCGTGTTTCCAGGGTGGGTCTGGTAGGTGAAGGGGCCGCGAGCGGAGCCCGGGGGAATGGCAGCGGAGTGAGCTTGCGTGTAACGCAGGGCGCCGGTGGGATCGACGTAGACTTGTTGGCCGCCGGGGACAGCGACGTCCTGATAAAAACAAAGTTAGCTGAGATGTTTCAAGATATTTATAGACATGATGAATGGCTCGAGGGAATATTCAAATGGAAGGAAGAAGGATCTCCCAGTGGGGCGAATGGATCTGATATGGAGGGATGTTTCTTTTTTTATATTTATGCTTACCATGGCGGTGCCGCCGGGCGCAAAGATCGTCTCTTTGCCGGGCGGGCAGGGCTGGACGTTCTCGGGACAGAAGGCTTCTGTCTGGTTGCCCAGCCAGATCTTGTTCTCGCGGGCGGTCATGCGGAAGTAGTGGATTTGCGAGGCAGAGCGCAGGGCCAGGACGCGGAAGCTGGGGTTGGGGGTCGGGGTGGAGGTAGCGGCGGGCTGCGTGGTGGCAGTCGGGGCTGGGGCAGCAGCTGCCAGCAGAGGGAGGAGGAGGGTGGTGAAAGCGAGCTTCATGGTGGTGGATATGAAAGGGGTCTGTGTGTGGAGAAAAGAGGATGGTAGAGGATGTAGAGTGGAATATCAAAAGTAGAAGGTAGATGTAACAGGGAGTAGACTCTCGCTTTATAGCTGCGATGTCCCCCTCCCGCAGATCAATATAAATAGAACCAGGGCTGCTTGCCTGATCGCCAGAGCAACTGGGTCTCATGGAAAGCAGTCGTAGCGTGGCGAAGCGATCGGCATGATTTTTCGATTGATTCCTGATTCCCCTGCAGTATTGTCAAGTGCATACCCTACAGAGTCTTTCAGAGGGATAACTCTCTGTTCTATTCTATTTTTGGTCAATTCTGTTCGTTCGGGTGTGTATCTACAGAGGTGTCTCTTGAATCTTCTTGACATTAGGGCTACTTGTATCCTCTACACAACAAATGCCTCACCAACACCTCGTAACCACCACAATGCAACAACTTCGCCAAGACGCGGAGGCGGTGCACGCCCAAATGTTTGCAGGATGAAATGACTCGCGAGTGGTCGATTTAGCCTTGTGGGGCGGCGATCAGCAGAAGTGGTGTCTCGGATGCAGCGACCAGGGGGGCAACGCCCATAACATCATCAGGATCTCGGGCGTTGCTTATCCTCGCCACACCTCCGTTTTCTTGGTACCGATGATTCCGATGTACAAAGAGACGGGAAATTGTATGTGGAGCTGGCAGGACAGATGCACAAAGATAATAATATATGCAAGACATAATTAAGATCCTGGCCAATATACTTGGGACATGGGGCAACGGCGGATTCTGTTTCCGTGGAATTGCTGCCGATTCCAATCGATTTCTTCTCTACCCGCCTCTTCACGCCCCGGTGGCTGTGTCTTCGATTATCCGCAGGATTTTCTCGCATTTTGGGCGGGTGGCCCAAGGATCCTTGGTTGTTGGCAGTCCATTTGCTGTGACATTCGCAGTTTTCGCTGTGTCCCCATACAGTGGCCACTTTGCACTCCCTTTACCCGCCGGCTGATGCAGGAACGATAGTAGTTCTGACTGGAATTGATGGGCCAGGGAGACATTGACCACCGGGGTCGAGGTATTGTCCTTGAAGAAAAAGTCTAGTTGGTCAGAATAGGCGAGAGAGAGAGAGAGAGAGAGAGAGAGAGAGAGAGAGACAAGCCAGGTAGGTAATGAACATACAATTGATATCCAGAAAATGAGTCGCCGGAGGAACCGAAAACACATATCGCTGTGCCTTCTCCGCGTAGGCCCGGGCAATGGCCCGCGCATTGCACGCATGCGTACTATCCGTCGTCCAGTCCTGAGCAACGCGATCGATCCACGAATCTGGATACGGGTACATCTCCCGGATCGTCTGCACGCTCGAGTCATTAGCTCCGGGGAGGGCCATGCGCACGAGCTTGGCAAACTCAGCCGGCGATCTGATGTCGGGCGTCGTGGCCAGTCCCTCGTCGGCCGTGTTCCCGACAATCACTGCCCGAACCTGTGGGTTGAATTTGCCGTGCCGAAACAAAACCATGCTTGCGTCCGTGATGTACTCGCCATCTGGGAATGGTCCCAGCCCGATGCCCGGGCCGAATGTCCCGCCGCCACTGCCACTAGGCATGTCACTCAGCAGATGTTTGTTAGCAGCTGCCAGTGTGCGGGGCGAGGTGTGGCGGAGGCAGTCGAGCGAGGTGCAGTTGGCGCTCTTGAGGACTTGCTTGTAGACGTTCTCGCGCCTCGTGGTGACATTTCGCCGGGGCAGCATGGCCGGAGATGAGATGAATGCCTTGAATTTGTGATCAGCTTCAGGAAAGAGAATGATAATAAAGTAGGAGATAGCATACCTTCTGGAACGGCAGAAATATCTTCCCCTCCTCGGCCACCAGCATCAGCGTAATCATCGCCGCCCCAGCACTCTCTCCCATAGCCGTAATATCATCTGGATTCCCGCCAAAGCGCGAGATATACTTGCGAGTCCAGCGCAGAGCCGCCAGGCCATCATGCAATCCCACATTGGCATCCATATCTTCGTGAGTCGAAGATGCCCAGCCATACAAACCCATTCTAGACGAGTCAGTATATACTTTCATTCCCATATAAGAACCATGATCCAGGAAAAGTGAACAAGAGAAAAGAAGAGAATAGGAACGAACCGGTAGTTGGAAGCAACAAAAATAAACCGACCCCCCTTCCCCTCCGATCCATCAACCCCATCCCATCAAACAACAAATCCTTACTCCCAAACGCATACGCACTGCCATACAGCCAATGCACCACCGGCACGCCATCACCGGGCCGCACGCCCTCGGGCACCCACACATTCAAAAAGAGACAGTCCTCCTGTCCCCAGGTGGTGCCGTTGAGTTCCGGGAACGGGACCGACGCGGGAGCCGTGCTGACGCAGTCCGACGAGAAGAGGCGGTGGCGGCCATCCTGGATGCCGGACTGGTGAGGCGGCGGGGTCTGCGGCTTGCGGAAGCGGCGGGGACCTGTCGGGGGTTGGGCGAAGCGGATGTTGTTGTAGAGGGTGATGGTGAGGCCTGAGACGGTCGTGTTGGTGGAGGTTGGGCGGTGGGTGGCAGTGTCGAGGTTGATGGCGGGGAAAGTGGCAGCGGTAGTTGTAGTTACTAGTAGTAGCAGGGCTGTATATAGGAGAGAGATGGGATGCATCTTGGGAGGATCTGGATTGGTTGGATTCCAGGTTATTTGCTTCAGTTTGTTGTCAAGAAGTATGTGGTTGTCAACGATGAGAAGGAGACTTCAGTAGACTTGGGTAGATTTGACTAGATTGCGATATATCAAGAAAAAGAAGGACCATCCATATTTCTCCTGTTGCCAGGGACTTTTATATATCGGTCCTAATTCAGCCCTATCCGTTTCCAGTATGCATCGTATTGGGCTTGGCACCGATTTCTTCTTCATGCCCGAGCTTCGCTTGCGAGAATACGAGATGCCTTATTAGTGACGCAATGAAGTCATTGAAACCCATTGTCATGATCGAGTATGGTTGCCTAGACTGCACCATGCTTAGGCAGGTTGACAAGGCTTCAGACTATGTGTAAACTTTCAAGGAAGTTCGATTCATCGAAGAAAAAAACATGTATATACGCGCGGTGGTTCAACCGCCAAGGTATATGGATAAACACGGCTGTCAGCCAAAAAACCGGAACCAAAAAAAAAAAAAAAAAAAAAAAAAAAAAAGCCAGCAGAAACAAGACAGAACCCCTCCTGCACCGGACCATGTAGCAATATGGAAACCCACCCAGGAGAAAGAGGCCACCAAAAACACCGTAAAGCCAACACGCCCCCATTTTGCCCCCATCTTGATCCAGTGACCCAAGCAATAGAAATAGAAGAACAGGAAAAGAAAACACCCAAATCACCGCATCAACTTGTAGTGACTCTGGAGTGGGAATCAACCACGGTCTAGTAATCGCCTTCATCGTCGTCGTCTCCATCGCCACCGCGGCCCCGGGGACCTTTCACTCCGTCTTTGCGAATGGGAATCTTTATCCCCTGCAAAGCGAAGCATTTGCTGAGCTGGGTGCTCTCAATAACACCCGGGAACTTCTTGGCCGAGAAAACCTGGAAGGGTTCCGAAAAAACGGAGGCGAGAACGGGGGCAGAGCCATGATTAATGACAGGCGCGCCGTTGGTGGTCTCGGCAGACTGTGTGCCCACATTAACGAAGCTCATTTTAAGACTATTCATCAGGTCAGCTTTCATTTCCACGCTCCATGTACCCGAAAAAGGCGAATTGCCTTACCGGAAAGTACCCTCGGTCCGCACACTGAGATCTTGCAGAATGAACCACACGCCAATCTTGTTGTCTGGGTCGGTCAGCCGGAAAGCGCTAGCGCTCAAACTCCCGATGAGGTTGCGGGTGAACATGCCTCCCGGGCCACCCGAAACGGGCTGTGAGGCGGCGGGGGACATTGCCGTGGGCATCTGACCACCACCGTAATATGGCGGGTAGCCGACAGACTGCGTGTATGGGTTTTGGTACCCCATCTGTTGGGTACCATAGTAATTGTTCATCCCCGGGTAACCGACCGGCGCGCCGTATGGGCTCTGACCATAGGCTGGATACGTAGGGGACATGCTCTGGGGCGGGGGCGGGTATGAGGATGACATGGCGGTGGAGATAGAGGGAGAGGTGGCGGAGTGCTTGACGAGGTTCACTTCGTTGGTGCCGTCGGCGTTCCATAGATCGACCGTGAGCACATAGAACGAGGTGTCGATTTCACTATAAGCGCAAGAGAAAACGGTCAGAGAAACCCGCAGCGCAATCAAGTAGCCGGGGAGCAAAAACACCTACTTGATATCAATCTCTTTTTCGGTTTGTGCATCTCGCACGATCAGGCGAATACATGGCGGTGGCGTAATCGGTCTTCGATCCTAAAACACAAAGTCTCATTAGACCACCGCTGGCACGTTGAGCGGAAAAATCACCCACCTTATCGCCAAACCCACACATGCGAGCGCGGATGGGTTGTTGAACCACTTGGAGGGACCAGATCCGACCATCGTGAATGGTCGCGATCGGCGCCAGATGGTCGGAGGTCCGTAGCGGACCCGACCCCGGTGTTGGGTATGCAGCAGACGGAGCCGAGATGCGATCCATTGAGAGGGGCGGCGGTGGCGGCGGCACCGGATGAGCCCTTTCTTCAACAGCGTACATGGTTCGGGAGGAGAAGGAACCGAGGACGACACTCGCGAGAGAAACGATGGATCGCTGCTTTTATAGATTTGCTCGGTGGGCCCCTAATTGCCTGGTCGATTGCGAGAAGGCGGGGGGAGAAGGCTGTGACATGCGACCCCGCGGAATCCACACGTCACCCTTGGAGCATCGACTCCAGGCCACACGGAACGAGGTCGAGGGGGGACCGGTCGCGACCGCTCTTATCAGTTGGGACGTTCCTCCAATCCTGCTGGTCGGCCAGAACTCGTGGATCTTAATTTCGTTCGAAAACTGGATCGATTTTCGTCGGATGCGATCGCGCAGGTTTAGAGGGGAAGGGGGAAAGTCGGTGGGATCGAGGTCGGGTGAGGTTTTGCAGTGCCGAAAGCTTTTCAATCCACCGGAACCAGAAAACGAGTGGCGACACAGCACGACACAGCAGAGGCCGGACGGGGGGGAGGTTGGGGATTGCGAGAAAAAGGCGAAGAACCTGGAGATCTGCTTGCTAATCAATATCGGGGCTATCGAGATGCCGCACAAGGCCCATTCGCAGGATGGGCGAGCCGCACGATGAAGCTGTCAAAAGTGCGGGAGATTCGCTGGGCTTCCACGGATCGCCCTCAGGCCCAAAGTTCTGCGAAAACAGATCCACCTTCGAAACTGTACTTACCAACAAAGAATGGTCATTCAAGAGATATCCAGGGAAATGCGGTCCACGAGGGAAAAAGGGGCGAGGGGGAGGATGGGGGAGGAGAAGGAGGGAAGGTCGAGGGGAAGAAAGTGACGTTCTCGAAATTCGGGGATGGGGCCACTTTCACCAATTTCATTCCCAACTGTCAAGGACCAGACCGTCGGGTTCTGGTGGATGTAACCGCCGTTTGCGGATATGCTGCTTCCAGGCTATGGATTTCTCACCCATCCAGTACTTCAGTACTACTTCAGAGGCCCAGGTGAATACTCGCGTTAGTAATCCATATTCCCTGCCAACTCCATCGAAGCATCCTGAAATTGGGGAGAACATGGCCCGGCATTCAATCTGACTGAAACACCCCTATATTTAAGACAGAGTAGGGACTAGAAGATCAGCAAAAATAGAACGAATAGAATGAAGAAATTGAAGAAATTGAAGAAATAAAATAAAATCAAGCACGAGTCCCCGTTTTCGGCCTTGCAAATCTGGCCCCTTGCAGCGTCCATGTGCGACCGGGGGAAGTCCCGACGGCGTGGTAGCTCGAACATGCTGGCGTGGTCTCTGGGTATGCTTAAGTATGCTATAGCCTGTTGATTTCAACGATTATCAAGATGGAGGGTGCACAGTAATAGTCGCAATAATAATAATAATAATAATACCAATAATAATAATATTCCTCTTCTCTTTTTTGGGCTCTTTTGAATACTTTGGCTCCGAAATGGTAATGTAGAAGTAGGTATGTCAGCGTTCAAGGTTGAAGTGAAGATTGGCCCCGGATGTAAATATCACCAACTGGTTAGACTCAATCTTGCATCTTGCAACCATCGACCACCATCACATCTTGGCCACTTTCTGCATCCTCATGACGCCATTCGATACGCTCGAAAGACCCTCTACTCGGCTCTCGCCTGTCGACTACACCGCCAGATCTGATTGGATCTGCAGCGTGAACCCCTGCGATCATGCGAAGTGGGCACAGGCCATTGCACGCTGTGAGCGACGCCAAGGATGAGCTGCTTTCGGGGTCAGAAACCCTTGTATTGGCCCTCCCCGCCCCCGCTCGGCAAGAAACTGCCCTTGAAAGGCCATCTGATATGGATGAGGGGGCTCGCGCAAGGTGCCCCAGCCATGTTGTGATCGGGGGGGGGGGAGGTTGGATCGTCACTTGCAACCATGCGTATGCAATGCACCCCGTCGCGTGGGAAGAGAGGTATTTGAAGTCCTTGACGCCCCCCGAAAACAACCATGGCATTCTGGGGCTGCAGAGCGGGCTTGTTTCTTACTATAATCCTTTGATCGGCATCTTGGGCCCCTCGATCAACATACTGGTCCCTGGATCTGTGTACAGGGCTGTTCTGTACCATGCGGTTGTACCATGTTCGCTGGGCTCTGGCCATGGCCATGGCCTGGGTGTCGAGTGAGGCCACAACCTACTCACCCGTGAAGCCTCCCTCGTATCCGTTGGCCGTCCGCAGTCCCTACTTATCGGGTGCGTTGATTCTCCTCTTCCCCCCGCAGAGGAAAATTGAGTGATTGACTGATCGGCAGCGTGGATCCCCGGCAATCATATCGCGTCACTGCCCACCAGCAATTCGCAATTTTGGGCCGGTAATGATCTGACCTGGTCGGTGATTGCACGAGTGGACGGCGTCGCATACAATTTGTTCGGAGTGGCCAAGGCTCCCGACGGTACTAAGTCAGCCTCGGTGACCGGGGCCACCTATACCTCGACGCACTCCACGTTCACGCTCGAGGCTGGATCGCGCAAATTCACTCTCGACTTCTTTTCGCCCGTGTCCCCCAAAAATTATGTGCGCCAGTCGCTGCCCTTCTCTTATCTCACTGTCACCGTCTCTGCCGGCGACTCGAGCGTCGTGCAGATCTACTCCGACATCGATGATAGTTGGACGGGCCAGTCAAGCAACTCCCGTTGGAGTTCGTCCACTAAGGGATCCACGAGCCTGTTCCAGATTCAAGCGGTCGGCGCAGCCACCTACTCGCAGAACCACGACGGTCAAGCCTTGTGGGGCAGCGCCATCTACGCCACCCGTCCGTCGGGCGGCAGCTCCCTCTCCACAGCCTCTGGCCCATCGGCTTCGGTTCGGAAGCACTTTGTTGACAAGGGCTCCCTGGACGGCAAACATCCCGACTGGTCTTCTGGCGGTGTCGTGGGCTTTGTGCATGATCTGGGAACTACCTCAAAGAAAGCGTCCGTGACCTTTGCCGTTGGCCATGAGCGCGAAAAGTCGATCGACTTCCTCGGTACAGACCAGACGGGCTACTACCGGTCTAAATTTCCCGAGACAGCGGATGCTGTTTCCCACTTCCTGGATGACTACACCGACGCCAATGACGAATCGACCAGGCTGGACAAACTCATTCAAGATCTCGGTACCTCGACCTACGGCACTAACTACTCGGACATTCTTGCCCTCTCGGTCCGCCAGGTCTATGGGGGTATTGAGGTAACGATCCCCAACGAGTCAAAGGACACCAGTAAGACCAGTGCTTTCATCAAGGAAATCTCCAGCGACGGAAATATCAACACTGTGGATGTTATCTATGCAACGTTTCCTATATTCTACATACTGAGTCCCGATTATCTCAAGCTACTCCTGCGCCCGGTGTTCGAGTACATGCGCTTGGATGATTACACGAAGACCTATGCAGTGCACGAGCTTGGTGCGAACTACCCCAACGCGACTGGCCACCCAGCCGATGGCGAAGAGATGCCCATTGAGGAGAGCGGCAACATCATCATTCTCGCCTACGCCTACGAAAAGGCAACTGGAAACAAGGACTTGACGAATACGTACGCCGCCCAACTCGAGCAGTACGCCAATTACCTGCACCAGCACGGGCTGTACCCAGCCTCGCAGTTATCGCTGAACGACGCGCTGGGGACCTTGGCCAACCAAACGAACCTGGGCGTCAAGGCCGCCGTCGGCCTGGCTACATATGGCGCTCTGACAGGTCAGAAGAACTATACTACGGCAGGCAAGCAGTTTGCCGACCGCATCTGGACGGACCATCTCGGAACCGATGACCATGGGACTCGGTTCCTGATTCAATACAACACCAAGCCGTGGTTCCTCGTCTTCAACCATTACCCAGACGTGCTGTTCGATCTCAACGTCTTCCCCAAAGAGACATACAACGCTACCGCCAAATTCTATCCGACCGTGCGTGGTCTAGCAGGAGTTGCTCTGCATGGATCACTTGGCTGGGGCCAGACGAACTGGCAGGCCTTTGTGGCGGCAACGGTAGACGGCAACGCCCGCGAGGTTTTCATTAGTGACATACACGCGTACATTGCCAATGGGCAGAACTCGGCCCCATTCTCGGACCGATACTGGGTCGAGGCCAAAAATGGCCACATCGTCGGGCAGTCATACGCGTTCCGTGCTCGGCCCACGCTGGGGAGTCACTTTGCGCTGGCTGCTTTGAAGGGAGCTAATCTCTGGTCGTCATGAGGGTCTCGCTTCACTGTGAATGGATACGGCTGCATCCAGGCGTTATGTATGACACTAGCACAGCCATTTGCAGCAGCAGTTCGACCTCCAACTAGCCTAATCTGGTAGCAATGTAATTGCTTAAATACTTCCCTTATATGAGGCTCAGATTGCAACACTATTGCCGTCCATATCTCCTGATTACTGTCCAATTCGAATTCCTCTCCGCGAGTTCAAATTTGTGATGTGGGCACAAAAAGCCCTAGAGCTGGACTTCTCGCGTAGATCTAGGATGACTCTGACCTGGGAATCCATACCTAGTCCGGGGGATAGGATTCCGGCGGGATTCTGAGTTATTGTTATTATCATCTTTGTTATAGAAAGATATAGTAGAGATAAAAGTTTAGATTGAAAATACTTGTTAACTACATTCTATCCTCCAGGCTATTTAAGAGGTTTGATTATTAAATATGTAGATAACTATTTTATTACTACTACTATTATTTTATCCATATCTTTTTTTCTGTCTTGAATTAATTAATTAATTCTCTTGATGTTCTTTCTCTATTTTATATATCTACTTTTTAACCTTTTCTAATCCTTCATTTAATCTATTTTCATAATTATCTCTTTGCTTTCTTTTCTCTTTTCTTCTCTTCTTTCTTTCTAGAAAAAGATTTACAACTATAGGCGTATAGAAGGCCGAGGGGTCACGTAGGGGGTAGCAGAATCGAATCTTGCCAGATTTTCTGCGACCCATGCGCAATTAGAGTCGGCACTTGCCCAGGTTCCCCGCGGAGGGCATCGGCCAACATCACCCCGAGCTCCATAAACATTCAAAGGCACAAGCTACACTGAAGTGTCCAAGGAAACCTCTGCGGTCCTATCCTACGGGGGATATCTCTTAGGCGCAACATATTCCACCTAACAACAAGACGCGTATCGGTATCCGCTCCAAGATGATGATCGGCGTCCGCTGCAAAACCCACCTCAACCGGAGGTCTCCACGGGCCTTGCGAAACCATTGTTCCGCTACTGGCTGCCAGATGCTGGCGTTGATGTCCACACCGTCCAAGAGGATATCAAGTCCGCGGGGGCTATTGGCCTCGGCGGCGTCGAGTTCGTGCCATACTACAACTACGGAGGCCAATTGGGCTCCCAGCCTGTGGGTGCAAATTGGTCCAGGGATGTGTTCGGAACGCCTGCGTTCAAGAAGATGTTCGTGGCTGCGCTGCGGGCTCACAAGGAGGCCGGCTTGGCTATGGACTTTGCCCTCGGTCCTAAACCTACCTGTCGCCGGAGAACTTCGCTCTTTCTGAGGCAAAGGTTCGGAATGGCACACTGGGGCGCGACGGCCCTGCGTAAAGAGCGCTGGTTATCACTAGCAATAGTAACCTCACTCTCGACGGCGTGCATGCTATTCAAAATACGCCCAGGCCGGGCTTCCCGTCATCCTCAGTGGCGGAGCACCAGGTGTCTACGCAACGCACGATGGACGAGACCACTCCAAGGTCCAGCGGGCCATCCAGACCCTGAAGCAGTTACAGAACGTTTACAGTGTCTCGACTGGGCAAGTGGCAGCCAAGCTCGGATCTCTCCATCTGCGGCCACAGGTCGCCGTGCAGACTAACGGTACTTGGTACTCGACCTGGCGGGAAGATGCTAGCAATGGAATGGACCACGCGTTTGTGTTCTGCGACACCAATGCGTCAACAGGTACGCTGGATATCTCCAGTACCAAAAGCCCAATATTTCTCGATCCTTGGACGGGAGAGCAGAGGCCAGTCCTCAACTATCAGCGACATGCAGACCGGGTAACAATTCCTCTTCGGCGGGCAGGTAACCAAATAGTGGTCATTGGATTCACGGCCGAGAAAGCTTCTTCTCTGCATGTCACCCAGTTACCATCAAGTGTCCTCGGCTACAACTACACCCAGAACGCCAGTGCAGTGCTGCACGTCTCGGCCAGCAACACGCGCAACCAATCTATCAGCCTGTCCAACGGCACGCGCATCACCCTGCCAACAGATATCGCACCCGCCACCCCGCTATCGAACTGGATACTGACAGCCGAGCACTGGCAAGCACCACACAACATTTCCAACGCAGCCATCAACGCAGTCAAGCACAACACCACACACCACCTCCACAAACTCGTCTCCTGGACACAGCTCGAAGGCCTGAAAAACGCCTCAGGAGTGGGGTATTACTCCACAACATTTACCTGGCCCCGACCTCCTTCTACCACCACCACTGCTGCTAGCAGTAGTGCAAATAGCAAGAAATCAAGCCGAGCAGACGGCGCCTACCTCATCCTCCCACCAATCAACCACGCCGCCCGGGTCTACGTTAACGGACACCAGCTGCCACCGCTAGACCTGGCAGCACCCCGCGCAGATCTGGGACCGTATCTCCGCAGGGGCCAGACGAATGAGGTCACCGTGGTTGTGCCGACGACGATGTGGAATTACATCCACAGCATCTATGGCCGCATCCGCAATGCCGGACAGCCGCCGCTGCTGATCTCTGAGGGGTATTCCCTGCCCCCGCGCAGTGAGAATGATCTGTATACTGACTCGTGAGTCGACCCACCCAGGTCTACACAATAGGAAGAGATATTGAGAGACATTTCACGCGTTTTGCTTTGCAGAATGAGCAAATTCAATTTCTCATGATTTCGTAGGATTCCAGCACGGTTCATATATGTTACGAAATGGGATGAATTCGAAGGTTTGCTCGTTAGATTGCAAATGCTCGTCGGGTCGGTGTTGACAGCCTTTCGAAAGGCTGGTCCAAATCAAGGGCGTGCTAAGAATCATGTCAATTCCTTTGTGCCCGAGAAATAAAAGGCAAATCTCTTTTAAAAATTGAATGAATGAAACAGATGTGCCCCATAAATAGCACTTCACCTCCCCGACCTTTCTTATCGTCCCCAGTACTCCGGTTCAGTATTCCCGTATATTATTTTCCGAGACACCAGGAGGCAGGAACCAGTCCCTTTGCCCAAAATCAGTGTTGCTCGCAAAATCTTGGCTCCTCTGATTGCCACTATCCTCGTCTCTGCGGTTGAGTCTGCACTAGCCCCGCCCTGGAACTCACCCAACTCGATCGACTCGACAAGATCACCTATCTCAGAAATTGATCTCCGGTGGTTCGGTAGCAGTCTTGTGAAAGGGACTGCCGAAAAGGAAGGAGACACGTGGGGTTTCACCTCGAATGGTGTCCGATACACCAGACAACGCAAGGTCTGGGGGCCCCGTCATTCTCGCCGAACGCCAGCAAGCAAGAAGCTAGCAAACAACTCTAGTGGTATTAAAGCTATTAAGAAGCGCAAGTGACGCGGAAAATGAGGCCCAAATCCAGGCCAAGGCAGCCGAACGGAGCCCTGGTGTGCTGAAGATTCTGGATGCGTTCAAAACTCTTTCTTCCCAGTGTATTACACCTGTGACCCAAAGAAGGAAAAGGAAAGTATTCGTCAAAGATACATCATCTCGTATTGTATGAGGGGGACCACTTGGAATCCTCGGCCCGCACTGTGCTCTACTTCCCTCGCAAGCTCGCCTTCGCGGAGACCGTTGCATTTACTCCCATGGGCTTGTCAGCGCCTTCCCAGGCATTCCCAGTGATGCGTGTCTGAGGGTTGTGTCAATCTCGAAGGCTACTGTGATTTTTATGATTTCTACATTTAGGTTTCCTTTTCCAAGTGATGTCATCCCGGGTCTGAAATACGAAAAACACCATGGCCTCGTCTTCAATGCCTATCTAACTCACGGCTGATGTATACATGCATGCACATACTGCAGTTGGGGGCCATGGTCGATCCTTCAGAACCCATTAGATGCACAACAGAGTTTTCTAGAGGGTGTTCTAGCGCATCATGACAAGGCTGATCAGCGCCCACCGGCCCTGATCCTTCGGGTTTATCGATGTCGAAGCGAGCAGACCCAGTGCTTGCGATTAGTTATGCACCGTACTCTACAGCCAAAAATGGTTCCATAACCTGCAGAAATCCCCTCTTTGCGACCCATCGAGGACTGTCCGATGCGGCAAGGCTAGCACCGGGCAACATGGGATCGCTGGCCAGGATTCTTTCTTTTGGCCCCCTCTCGCCATCCCTCTTCCTCAGTCTCTCTCTCTCTGACTCTCTTTACCCCCTCCCCTGCATCCTTCAGGCCTCGTTGCCCTAGTCAGTGCGCGTGGGGCTCGCGATGGACATTGGCCATTCACATGAAGTATGATCAAGAGCTCTGTGCTAGGCTTATTGGAGCTGGGAAACGGTCGAGCTATTGCTGTATAATGTTATAGTGCCGGGTGTTCTACACACGAAAACACCCATATCCATAGATCCCATGGATATATAGACCGTGTCCCGGCAATATCCGCGGCCAACTCCCGAGTCAACTGGAGCCCAAGTGGAGCCCGACTTGGCGCTCTTGCCCGCATCGGGGAAACGCACTCCAGAAATCTCGTGGATTTGGTCACTTTGGGGGGCGCGGTTGAAATGCCCAATACGGCCATTCGCGGATTTTTTTTTGTTCTTTTTCTTTTTCTGGCCCCGGGGATATACTGGTGGGGACGCATATCTTGAGAGCGATGAACTTACCTGAACTTACCCCCTTTTTGTGCTCAGCACGACATGTGTGACGCAGATTGTCAAGGATTCACAGCACGCAAGTGTGGTACGTACTGTACAGAGAGGGCATCGAATGTGTTATGTCATGGCACGCTGCATTTGCCGATTTGGGTCATTCGTGGCGAGCTATCTGTTCGACATAGACCAGGAATATCCCGAGACAATTCCCGATGAGTTGAAAAGGAAAATGCAGAAATTGAGACAGACAGAAACGGAGAATGAACAGAAAATATGGAGAAAAGAAAAGAAAAAAAGTCTCTGGCCACAGATGCCAGACCCACTTGGTCCACCTCTCGTTGACCCCCCCCCAAGATCCAATCCTCCTCATACTCCGGTGCAATGGTCACTCACCTGCTGTCGGATCCTTGGGGCCAACTGGGCGCACTCTCCATCACTGTGGTGTGTTAAAGTCTCGACCAAACCACCAAACCAGACACATCACAGACGATCCACGATGGCGTCTCAGTCCATCGCCGTTCAGTCTCCCGAACGTCCTTGGGTCATGTCCTCGTGGCCGAATAAGCGACGTCGCCAGGTATGCAATCGGCCCTTTCATGTCAGCCACATTTGGGAGTTCTCGGACCTTGCTTGTGCATGCAGATGCAGGATGCATCCATGGATGGATATGGGAGCTCTAGATGCGCGGAACTGCCGATGACGATGCCCGCATTCCTTCCCTGCCCAAGCGTGTATATATAGCGTGCGTTGAACTAACCTTATGCCTTTCGATTCCCAACTGTAGACCTCCGAGTCGCGTTCCTCCTGCCCGCACTGCATCGATCGCAAAATGGTCAGCCAGTATCCGCCCCGGCCTCGATTGACCCGGCTAGACACCAAGCCCCGATCCTCGGGCTCCTCAACCTCCAGCTTCTCTTCGACATCGACATCCATGGCCTCGATCCCGTCACCACCGGCAATGACCGAAATCGAGCCTCAGCCCCACCCCCCAAATCCCAGGAGGACACCCCGCCGGTCTCGACCAACTTGTCTCGAAATTCCAATGAGGTCCTGCATCTGGAAGAGTTGGAACTAATGATGCACTGGTGCACGACAACATACCGATCGATGGCCCGGGACGACGCCGCCGAGCCGCTGTGGCAGACAGTAATCCCTCATCTATCGCTGCGACACCCGGCTCTGCGGCACGGGCTCCTGGCACTGTCGGCGCTGCATCTGGCCAAGGCCAGCGGCAGCCCCGAGCGGAAATGGCGGTACATGGTCAGCGCGCGCGAGCACCAAACACGGGCCCTGGCGGGGATCGAGCTGGACGAGGGACAGGACCTGACGACGGCGCAGTGCAACGCGACATTCGCGTTATGCTGCGTCATGATCACGTTTGCGTTTGGATACTGCCTGATCGAGGGCCGCGACGATACAGAAACCGACGAGCAGCTCGACGTGCTGGACGAGTTCCTGGAGATCTTCCAGCTGACACGCTGGCTCGTCTGCGTCATGATAGGGCTCATCGACCGCATTTCGGCCGGCGAGCTGAGCCCGCTGGTGCGGCCTGAACAGCCGTCTGCCACCATGCCGGACATGTCGCGTCTGGTAATCCTGTCGCTGCGCCGCCAGAACGGCATCGAGGGCCTGCGCGACCCGGCCCACGAGAGGGACATCTATGACCAGGCCATTGGCCATCTCGGTGCCCTGCTCGAGCAGCTGATGAGGGGTGGCGAGCCCAAGATGTTTGCGTTTTGCTGGAGCTTCCGTATTCCATACGTGTTCCTGGATCTCGTGCGCCGCCGTCGCCCTTTCGCCTTGATTGTTCTCGCCCATTATGCCGTAGTTCTCTACCATCTACGCGACTCGTGGTGGATGGGCGACTGGGGCACCCGTGTTCTCGAGCAGATTGGCGATTGTCTCGACTCGGAATGGCGCCAGCATCTGAGCTGGCCTATCAATGCCACGGGCTGTTTTCTCCCGGAGAGCTAAGGGCAGTGGCGTTCTCGCTTCCTCGCCCTTAATCACTACCGACCCATAGGGTCAACATCTGAACGGTCCGTTCTCAGCTGACGAGATGGCCCACCACGGGAATCACATATCATCTTGCTCGGACTGCATCCAGCCCACGCCATCTGAGATGAACCGACGTCGATCTACTTCCTCGACAATACCCCCACATGAGGGTCGGACTTGCATATTCGATATGGGACATGACCGTGACGAGGCAACAAATTGTACATAGCATCCTATTCAACCGCAGGATCGTGACCCCTGCGGCATGGACTAATCCATGGTTGTAATAAATTCGACTAATTGGCGCCAATGAGAAGCCTTTGAAATCAAAGATCCGACCATATCTATGGTTCAAAATTAACACGGGGGAAAAAAAATGTCCGCCCTGGCTCGATCCAACACCGAGCGCCGTCCCAATCCCGGGGATCCATGAGACATGAGGGTATTGCAGCATCCCAGTCTTAAGTACATCGATCATAGATCAAAAAGTAGAAAAGCCAAATAACCCTCCCAAAAAGCCAACGGCTGGTCCTGAGCAATGAGATTTGATCAGGCAGCCTCCCCAACAAGTCCAGCTCCGAGCACTGCCCGCAGCGCTTTGTTCTATGTATGGCGACGCATTCGACAGCGGCTCCCAGTCGGATTGCAACCTCTTTCCTCGAAAGTCAGAGCAAGAGAGTAAGAGGATTATGTCGAGGTCGACTGGTTGTGCAGCTCCTGTCGCTCATGCTCGATCTCCTTGACGCGATCTTTGGACTGCGTGCGCACGCGCATCAGCTCAGCCTCCTGCTGCCGGATCTTCTCTCCTTGCTCCTCTTCTTCGGGGGTAGGGATGTAGGCATTGGCGGCACCACCTGAAGTAAACACCGGCGATGATTAGTTCTACACTCTTCACAAATTCCAAAAGTGATGTGGTGGTGGTCGTGACATACCTCGGCCCGTGTGGTGAGGGATCTGCTGCGCGCGCAACGGCGGCGACTCGACGTCCTGGCTCTCGCGCGCAATCTCCGGTCGCTCGGGGTCGTTGTGGACCATGTTTCCTGAGCCGCCGCGGCCGGTGGTGTAGACGTCCTGCTTGATGGTGGGGGGTGACGAGGTCCTTGCGCGTAGGCGCAGACTGTTGCCGAGTGATGTTTCCTGAGTTGCGAGGGATAAGATTAGCTTCAATGAGCCCAAACAAAATAGAATCGCAACTAAAAGCAGTCGCTCGAGACAAGAGTATCCTCACCGGCGCCTCCACGGCCATGCGACACGTTTCGACCGCTCATGGTTGCTGGCAATTCAATGATCGGACCGTATCAGAAATGCCCAGATGCCGCAAGATAATACAGCACACACTTTGGCGATGTTCCAATAGACAAATAGACAACGGTCGAAGAAAAGTAGGAAAGGCGAGGAGGGGCAAAGGCAAGCTGCGAAAGGGCAGAAAAATGGAGACGGCAGTTTCTGCCCGCCTTTGTAGGCTTGGCCGCAATGACGACATTTTCTCTCTCCCCCCCCCCCTTTTAGTTTTTTTTTCCCTTTCTCTCTCTCTCTCTCTCTCTCTCTCTCTCTCTCTCTCTCTCCTTTTTTTTTGGCTCTACAGACATTTCAGTGGCAATTTATGGCCCCGTGTGCCCTCTAGAGGGGAAATACCAACTCTCATTCGAGCAGGGGCATCTGTATGCCAAGGCATAGATGAGGTCATGACCAGGGCCATCTGTGCACGCTTAGGGCTGGGATCGTCGCTGGGTTATCCCCCACACTGAGCCCTATTCAACGGAAGGACCTTGGGAAGTGCCATCGGTCTATCAGACCCCACCGAAAGGCGCCGTACAAATGCAGAGACAAAGCTGGAGAGATCTTACTTATAGTAGGGAGTAGGGGAACAATAGTGTGCTGCAAATATACAGTGTGTGCAGTTGGTTGATAATATGAGGCACATGTTCTGTCTAATATGAACAGCATATATACAGATACAACAAAGCTGCGCAGACTCAAAAACATCCACCGATATCTACTGCCAGCTGCTGAAGGAAAGGATCAATCAAATCCCAAGGAGCGACATTTAGCAGAGGAGAAACTTGAGAGATGGTGGTGGCTCGCTTATTTCGCCGGAGGGAACTCGGCCGCACAGTTTCCGTGCCATATGCCGCCCTCGAAGCCAGCCCAGCAGCCGGCATAGACACCCAGGGGAATAGCAAGACCCTCCTTGCCAACCTCCTCCTGCGGCTTGCTCACCACAGCCTGGCCCAGTTCGGCGGGGCGGCCCTCGAACTCGTGTTTGCCGTGCCACAGGGTCACGGTTTGGTTGCCGCAGATCGCGGAGCCCTTGACATCGGGGTCGGCTGGGAGAAAGAAAGGAAGTGTTAGATTTACCATGACATTATCATGACATAGCAAAGCACAAGGAATAAGAGAGAAAAGAAATCATCGGACATACGGCCACAGAATTGGTTTTTCGTGTTGTAGGGACCAACTCGCGCGGACTTTCCGTTGCACTGGTCACTCTTCAGAGTGAAATAGCATTCCTTGGTTTCCGCGTTCCCAACCAAGACGGCAAGCTTTGAGTACTGCTCGGGGTTCTTGATCGAAGGAATCGGCGAAGGAGGGGCGGTGTTGGTGGGCAAACTGGCAGCATTGGCCATGGCCGTGAGCGTGGTGAGGTAAACGACGGAGAATTGCATTTTGATAAAAAAAATGATTGAAAGATTGAAAGATTGAATAGTGGCACTGGTATTGATCAAAAAGAACGAGTGTAATGGATGTCCTCAGGGGGTGTGGAAAAGATCTTTTATACAAAAGACCTCCTGTAGGATCAACATCTCCAAGCTCATCTCCACCGAATCCTCGCAACCCAATTCGGTTGGAAGTGATCGACTAAGTTGCCTCTGAAACTGCCCATGACATGACATGGGAGGCTGTGTTCAAGATTCTGTTTGAATGGACGATCAGCAATTCTGGGACACGGTACATATCGACTGGGGCAACGATGTTTTGAAGGTCCATCCCAAAGACCCCATCTTGCGACTGAGCAGATGTCTGTCATGTACCAAGGCCGGTGCACATTCCACGACCTCATGAAATCGTGCACACCGCGGAACATGGGTGTCTTGCCCAGGTATCAACCGTCGACTTCTTCAAGGGGCCAAAGGGTCATGGACATGGAGATCGCCGTCTTGGGACTTGGATTTCTTCGTCAGGTAAAGCGCCTTCCATAGTTCCACGCGTGTCACTGCCTTGACATCACAGCGGTGCAAGAAGGATTATCAGATCCCAGTTCGAGAGCTGAGAGCTGAAACTCGCAAGCACCAGATCAACATTGATCCGGGTAAAAGGACAGGGGTGTTTGTTTTCGAACCACTCCAATGTCAAGTTCGCTGCCCTTGAATCGTGTAGCTCCACTCTGTTCACTGCTCGCCCCATGGGGGTCTGCTCATCGCCACGATGGACCACATTTTCTTGGTAATCAAGGTAGTGAATACTAGAAAGATGTCGGTCGACTTCCAAATTCAATTAGGGCAGGCGGGACACTTCCTCGCAAAGATAGGAAGAATGCAGTGGGAAAATGCCGATGAGAGCGTCATCGGTCTACCGGACCCACCAAGGGGCAGTGTGAACTTCGAAACACCAACACCCATCTTGGCAAGCCAACGAGGAAATGAGCGACATGGAGAAAGAAGTACGTAAGGCTGTGCATCTTGTCCCCTCGGTCTGACCGATCTGGAGCATCACGCTGCAATTGCTCGCTTCCCCGTCTTCGGAGCCAACCCGCTACTTTCTTCACCCGACACTGACAATGTCCCCATAAACAGGTCACCAGCGTGGAGCAATATCAAACCGCGCGAGCACGGCTTCTTGAAAAGAAAAAGCCGCCACACGTCTCCTCCAGGAGCTGGCCGCGTCGCGGCGCCAGCTGCCTATGGTCCCAGTGTTGAATCCCACCCGGTTCCAATTCGACACGAATGAAGGAGTCAAGACGCTTGTTGATCTTTTCGAGGGCCGCAAGCAGCTGATTATGTACCACTTCATGCTAGCACCGCAAGATACTCAAGCGTGTGTGGGCTGCTCATTTTGCATGGACCATATCCCGGACCTGGGCCACCTCAACAGCAGAGACACGTCCTTTGTGGCGGTTGCCACTGCGCCATGGGAGAAGGTCGCTGCATATGGAAGTCGCATGGGCTGGACATTCCCCTTTTACAGTTCGGCCAGAACGCATCAGGCGTGGGCGGAGGCCGAACAGAAGGGTGAAACTATTACCTGGAAGCCAGGTAATGGGTATTTTGGGCTCTGTGTGTTCCTCAAGGAAGGTAATAAGGTGTTTCACACCTATGATACCACCGACCGGGGCATGGAAGCGATTCTCTCGACGTACCATCTGCTGGATATGACGCCCTTGGGGCGGCAGGAAGTGGGCAATGGAATGGGGAATTTCCGTCGACATGATGAATACTAATTTTGGTCGAGGATGATTCTCATTCAAAAATGTAGACTTGGAAAGGGGCATTCAATCATTATCTTGGTCTCGTTCGAGTCGTTTTCAAGCATCACTTGCTGAGTATCCTTTCTTCTGCGAAGACCTAAGTAGAACCACCCTATATCAATAAACCCAAAGCCCAGAATGTCCATGTAAAAGGATGTTCTTAAACCCAAGAACTCCATATTCTTGATGCTGGTTATCTCCGCCATCTGCCTAGATATATAAACTAAACCTTTGATCTTTTGCAGTCAGACAGCATGCCGACTTCATTCATAAAATTTCTGGCGTTTTTCAACAACCAGGATCGCAAAACAGCACCAATCGGCATTAAAGAAATCCATATACTCCTCCCTGGCAGTCTTGGAAATAGAGTTGATGCCTGAGAGCTCAGGCACGAGTATCGGACTGTCTAAGCCCCGAATTGCCAGCCATCGGGTTGTAGTTCCACCCGACACTCTACAAACTCGACCTCAAGACGCTCTTAATGGCTGGCAAGACGGAATTGAGTGATGCGAACCCAGAATTTCCAGACTAACACTCTTCTACACAAGGCGATCCCCGATAACAGTCATGAAACCGAAAACAAGCTTCGGGCTCTGCAAACTCCGAGCAGAAATGGTACAAAAACCAGACATCGCAGCCATCATTTAGAGCTCAAACTCGTTTCACCTTACTTGGGAGGCATCTCTCTTTACTTACACACACTCACACCATGAGTGACTGTTTCGATGTCATCATCGCCGGTGCAGGCCCAGTAGGGCTCTTCCTAGCCTGCGAATTAGCCATGGCCAACGTCTCGGTCCTGATCCTGGAAAAAGAGGTGACATGTGTGTCACCGTGGAAAGAAGGACACTTTGGTCGCCGCGGACTCTTCACACATGCCGTCGAGGCTTTCCACCGCCGTGGGCTGCTAGAAAAGATCCTGAATGGTGGCCCGCGCTTTTCGCATTTCGGGAAGACAACGGGCTTCAAGTTCGGGGGCCATTTTGCCGGCATGAATCTCAATGCCAACAATATCGATTTCCAACGCTGGCAATACCGTTTGCCAGGGCCGTCGTTCATGCCGGGGGTCTCTTCTCTAGGCCAGATCGAGGCTGTGTTGACTGAACGTGCGCAGACGATGGGGGTGCAGATCCGCAGAGACATGGCTGTCTCTCAGGTCCATGACAGTGGAGAGAATGTAAGAGTCTGGGCAGGGGACCAGTGTTTCGAGGCCCAGTGGCTGGTGGGATGCGACGGAGGCCGCAGCACAGTACGCAACATCGCAGGCTTCAAGTTTGAAGGCACCGAGGCCGAGTTCATAGGCTACACCGCTAAGTGCGAGCTGGACAAGCCAGAGCTACTCGGCCAGGGGTTCTGCCGCACGAAAACAGGCTTGTATATCGTGACCGGGCCGGGACACCTGCACGTCATGGATTTCGACACCAGCTTCGACCGTTTGCAGCCCATCACTCGCGAGCACTTCCAAGACGTGCTGCGCCGAGTCTCGGGCACAGATATCGGCGTTAACACTCTTCATCTAGCGTCCTCGTTTACGGACCGCTCGAAACAAGTCACCGAGTATCGCCGAGGCCGGGTTCTTTTGGCCGGCGATAGCGCGCATATCAACTCTCCGCTGGGGGCGCAGGGACTCAACACTGGGATTGCCGATGCCATTAATGTCGGCTGGAAACTTGCGGCAACTGTCAAGAACACCGCACCCCCGGGTCTGCTTGATACCTACCATGATGAACGCTATCCCAATGCCGCATGGGTGCTTGAATGGACCCGTGCTCAGGTTGTCACTTTACGCCCGGATGCTTATGGCAAGGCCGTCGCCAACATTGTGCAAAGCTTGATCAGCACCGAGGATGGAGCTAGCTACTTTGCTGACCGCATGTGGGGGATTTCGATGCGCTACGACCTGGGCAATGCCCACCCGCTAGTTGGATGTAGTGCCCCCGACTTTGAATTCGATGACGGACTACGACTGGCAAACAGATTGGAGCAAGGGGGTTTTGTGTTGGTTGATTTTCAGAATAGTCCGTCTGCTGCGGACTTTGTTCAGTCCTTGGGGCCTATGGTCCACTACTCTGGATCTCACGCAAAGCAGACCTTGGGGCTGAAGGCATTGTTGGTGCGCCCCGATGGTATTGTTGTATGGGCGTCGACGGAGGAGATGAACCTGGACGCAGTGAAAACGGCCTTGTCGCGTTGGGTGAACCTCGAAGTATGAAGGACATGAATTCAGCTCTATGTATATAGAAGTTAGATAATGGCGTGTTGGATGGCACGACTCTGCTTTTACATTGAGTTTTTTCTTAGGGTTAATGGCTGTGCCACATCGATAGTTGAGCTTCGCAGCAAGTAAAGCATTGCCCGAGGTTTCAGTCACCCCGATCATATAATCACATCAAAAGCATCCATGAATATCATTCTCTCGGATTGCTTGCGGGGAAGCTTCTCCACACGCCCCACCGAGCCGAAGCCGCGGTTGAAGATCGAAGGATGACGGTTTAACCGAAGCAGCCAACATCACAGGAAGGGCGTGTGGGGGCTATAAAACCACAATGCATCTGGGATCTCTCTCATCTCCGACACTTTCCCAACCCCACTGCGCAGCATGATTTTCGACCCCAGCCCGATTGAGCTCCCGGCTTCGTACGAGACGGTCCGCACCACGGGCCATGTCGTCGTCTCGCACTATCCGCCCGGGGCACCAACAGCGACGCCCGTCGTTGTCGTGACACTGAATCGGCCTGCGAACCACAATGCCTTTACCGGACAGATGGTGCAGGACTTTGAGACGCTCTTCCCTATGTTCGATGTCGATGAGCGAGTCAAGGTGATTGTTTTGACTGGTGCCGGCAAGACTTTTTGTGCTGGCGCCGATCTCGATATTGGATTCCGGGGTGGCAAGGAGAGACCGGCTGATCACCGTGATGGGTATGTTGCTTGCTATTAAGAGCTGTGAAGCCCACTAGACTGATATCTTTCTATAGCGGTGGACGAGTCGCGTTGGCTATCCATCGATGCCGCAAGCCGACTATTGCGGCCATGCAGGGGTCGGCCGTTGGAGTCGGCATGACCATGACGCTACCGGCGATCATTCGGTGAGTACAGAGTACTTTCACGATCTGCATTTCCATCCAATAACTGACCACGCTAACCTCTATCGCCGAAACAGGATCGCGTACGAAAAAGGAAAATACGGATTCGTGTTTGCGCGCCGAGGCATCACAATGGAATCCTGCTCATCCTATTTCCTGCCCCGGTTGATCGGGCACTCTAACGCTAGTTACCTGGTCAGCACGGGCGGCGTGTTCCCGCCGACGGCAAAGCATTTTGGCGATCTGTTTAATGAGATCCAGCCGGACGCAGCGCGGGTGCTGCCGCGGGCCCTCGAGCTGGCCACCGAGATCGCCGAGAATGTCAGCCCGACCTCGTCCTATCTCAACCGCGCGTTGCTGTGGCGGGACTCTGGGTCGGCTGAGACTGCGCACTTGGCGGAGTCCAATGTCATCTCGCACATGTTTGGGGCTGCGTATGTTGCTCATATCTTCTCACATTCTTCTAAGAAAATAATGAGGTAGAGAAGGACACATCATTGACTGTGCTTGCTATAGGGACCAGAAGGAAGGCGTGGCCGCCTTCTTTGAGAAACGCAAGCCGAACTTCCGCGCCAATCTTGATGATAATCCGCCGCCTAGTTTCCCTTGGTGGAATGAGGTAGATACCGGCCGGCAGCCCAGGGCAAACAATCCGTCGAAGTTGTAATGCAACCTCGTAAATTTCCCACGGAGTACCCGACCAAAGACCACCCAGAGGGACTTTTTGATGAATTATAGGCCATCTTCATGACCCACCAATCATGTTGTTTTCTTGGGCGTCACTTTGTGGTCTCTAAACAAGTGGCTACACACACTATTCCTATGACAACTCCAATACATACGACCACAGGATGTGGAGAACATGTTATGCGTAACACGCTCATTATTGTGAATTTCATGTTTAGGCCAAGGGTTTGATGACCAGTATACCTTGGCGTATAGTCAACATCCCTGAATTCAATTATTCTCGAGGTCTACTAGTGACCACACTCTGATGCTTGCCAGAACTTGGGCAATGTTTGTATTTTCCGCTGCCATGCCCCATATCCTGAAGCAATTTCCCACTCGGCTCCCTTCAGAGGTCAACCTTTTATCAAATTTTACGCGGTCCCTTCTACGCCAAACAACCACTTCTCCAAAGCGACAATTCAACACTTTCTCGCTCAGAATGGAACATGGAAGCCCGATTGAAGAAGAGACCCTTCCCTTCTATAAACAAGAACAGTTCTACCCCATCAAGATTGGCAAAATTCTTGACTCAAGATATCGCGTTGTAGGAAAGCTTGGCTATGGACCATATTCCACCGTGTGGTTATGTCGTGAGATCAAGTATGATGTCCAATACTGCTTTATGAATGAAACTCACACTTTGTTGAATATTTGAAGAAACCACCGCTACGTTGCTGTCAAGGTCCTTACCAGAATCTCTCGATCTGATCATGCCATGAATGGCGAAATGGAAATCTACAGTCATCTCAGCAAAGTTCACTGCTCGCATATCGGAGGTGCATATATCCGTGGGCTGCACGATGCATTTGAGATACACGTCCCTGAATGGGTTCACCAGTGCTTTGTTCATCCACCAATGCAAATCTCGATACACGAGCTGCTTGTCCAAGCCAAGTCTCACAAATTGAGCAAAGATCTCTTGAAACAAACATTGATTTGTCTGTTTCAGGCTATGGATTTTTTGCATAGTATTGCTGGAGTTGTTCATTCAGGTACCACTCTTTCGCTTAAGACTCGAGGTTACGCATAATCTGAGAACCGAAACACAGATATTAAGACGTCAAATATTATGCTTAACATCGATGACTCGATTCTTACAGACTTTGAAGAAGCATAGCGACAATACCCGAGTCTACGAAAATCTGTGGATACTAACCGCACAATTTACTGTTCCCGCGAATTCCGCCTACCAGAACCTGATCTATGGGGACAGCCGGTACTGTGCGACCTAGGGCAGGCGAGAATAGGGGAATTCCATAGAGGCAATATTCAGCCGAATATTTACAAGGCTCCAGAGGTCCTCTTTGATATAGAGTGGAGCTTCAATGTTGATATATGGAATGTTGGCGTGATGGTAAGCTCTTCCTGAATTAGTTCTACCTACCATCTAATCACAGCAATAGGCTTGGGATATGTTCGAGGACAGGCATTTGTTCAATGCCCTTAATGAGGACAGGCAATACTCGCCATCTCATCACGTCGCTGAAAGGGTGGCATACCTAGGGCTGCCCCTATTCACTTCTTGGAACGTAGTGAGACACAGAAAGTTTTTGACAGGAACGGCTTGTTTATCTAATGTCAATTATAAAAATGGGTTTAAGGCTGACAATTATCAATTATCCAGGGAAGTGGTTAATAGACAAGGGCCATCTGTGTGCTAGATCGCGTAGAGAAGCGCGTTGACCCACAAGTCTTAATGTGGTTACCAATGCGAGCGATGGTGGAGACTAATTGTAGGTTACTAGTCAGACTAGGAGCCTAGATTAATGTAGGCTTATCAAATGGCTCTGACTCCATACTAATAATTGTTGTTGTGGCTCGAGGGGCGGCCCCCACTCAGCGCCAAGCTTTCACTAGTTAAATCTTCGCACTCGACTTATGCGGTTCGAACAGATTAAAATTTGAATCGGGTGAAGACTCTACCATTACTTTCTATTTTGCTCGAGCCTTAGCTAGGAGTTATTTTCGTTAAGATTCATTGTCTATATATGAGTACCTAAGTAAAGGGAAGACCTGTTGTCAACCTCAACTATGCTTTCAATACCCTAAGGCGCGGAAGTCAAGTGAGGGTTTTGATGAAGTTCTACTTTACGCACGAACACCGGATGATTATTTTGATTCTGAAAATCGCTTCTGTAGACAGTTAGTGAATTCAGGTCAGCGTGAAGGCCGCTTATCGATTAGCTGAACCACCATATACAGTTATTCTGGCCCCTTCTTGGCCCCCCGCGTGTAAGCTTATTGTCGATCCCTAATACTGTGTATGTATATAAGCACGATTCCACCCCCTCTCCCGAGAGCCTAAACACCTATTTCCAGAATCACCTGAAAAATGCTCTCCCTCAAACTTCTGCTCGCTCTTGGTTTCTCATCCCTGGCTGTGGCCAAGGGGTTTACCTCATCATGCAAGATCACTAGCTCAACCGATGAGCTGCCGACGATCAAAGCAATGTGTTACCAAGACGGAGGCCGTATAGCATATAATCCAAACGCTGAGTTGAACTTGGATGACTGCTTTGAACTGGATGGCAATGAACTGAAGGCTACCGACCAAAAGTTCGTGATTCTTTAACTATTAGTTACTTTTGTTTTCTTTGTTTTTGTTTTTTTGTTTTTCAACATAGTGCGAAGCTAACATAAACCTATCACTACCTCAGGGGGTCTGGCGGAGTCTCGGCTTGCTCTGGTGTCGAACTGGTGGCGACGATGGGGAAGCTCAAAGGCGGCTGCCTTGGGAAGGACAAAGAATTCGGCCTATGTAAGTGTTACTTGATATTGCCTGCTCCATGTCGTCATAATTTCTCTCCTCTTTCACCCACTCTTCTCGCCAATCCACCAGTCATTGGATATTCTAACAGAGCGATAGACAACTGGATCAACAACCTGGGTGGCAACCTCGTTTGCCATACTTAACTACTACATCCTGCGTACTCTACTGTGTCTGGTGAAGTCCGTTATTATGGAGCGTTTGGATCTATCTAAAAAGATTCTCTTCTTGAAGGTTTACCTATATATCACGAAGTTAAAGGCGATGAAAAAGATTTATTGTCTGTATGCCACTATCCTCAATTGAAAACGCCAAAATAGGATCCTACGCCTCAAGGGTATTTAAAGACTTCGCTTTATTTTACACCTTAAGTCACTTCTACACCTATGCGGGGATCATCAAACTTAAGGAGAGAGCGTGGTACCATTAGGCCTCGCATATCAGGTGGTAGCGGTTGTTTATGGATATCAGGCACCAGAATGCTTCGGGGCTGTGATATGATACAAATATTATGTGTCACGGAGCACTAGCACCCGCTAGGCATACAAGATATGAAAGTGCAGCTCTAAATTAGGTTTTGTGAGTATGAATCCTAGAGCTTCGTAACAACTTAATTCTAATCATCAGCAGATGGAGGCTTTCTCGCAACGAAGCGAAAGATTCCAATTTCTCTAAAGACCAGCCTATCCTGACTCCGCAACATCCGAAACTTTTGTAAAAAAATATTATCTCAAAACCCGCGTGCCAGAACCTAATCGGTGTTTTACGTCAAAATGGGAGCGAGAAACCTCTCAATCTCTTCTCGATGCAATCAGTGAGAGCTGTCATTTATTACCGTTTGAAATTGGCCACTAATATCCAATGGTACATTCGAACCACACTTGATATCAAGTATAGCTCCCTTACGAAACCACGGAAATGGATCATAATCACGACAAACGATATAAAGTCCCTCTTCGCCACCTTTTCATCAATGATTATCACCATTATATACAAGAGAGGGGGCGGCTAGGATCCAAAGGTTCCCTTTTACTCTTTGCTGGCTCGGGTGCCAGCCCGGGTGCGAGACTTGAATCCAATTCTTATCGCTACACTAACGAATATCTATACTATAGGGTTAGAACCCGGATACCTGTCTTTGATGCCAGTTCTCTCTTCTAATGACTCTGGATATATAGGCTCTATACTATGATTTGGGGTGTAGCTAAAGATACTAGAACATACAATAGAACATAGTTAAATATAGGGACACGACCATTCTATATCAGCTCGACGTAGCTACCATTACGCAGTTCTAAAGATGAAGACAAGATCGTCGAGATAACTCAGAGAATTGTAAACTTAAGACGGCATATGACTGGTAAGCTCGAAGCTCATGAAGACCTTACGCCGTAGACTTTAAAGTTGGAGTTCATTAAAAGATAGTGGAATACCTTATATATAGTCGTATCCCCACATGCAGCTACAGGAATCCCTCAGAAATATCAGGCGGCTCTCCAAAACGATGTTCCAAGCTGTATCTCTTAAATTGCTCAAATACGGAAAAAAAAGATAATACAGATATGGATATTTTATCCATATTGCATTCTTTCTCTCCAATCCGAAAGGTCCAAGCATTTCTTAATCATTCACCGATCACCGATACATCCGCCATCGCAATTACAGCCAAAGATATTACACTCTAATCAGGAGTAGTATAGGTTATTCAACCTATGATGAATGAAATGGGATAACTTACTTCCGTTGCCACAGTAAGCTCCGCCTCGACTCGGTACCCAACCCTCCCGACCCTGGGGACCAACCGGACAACAAGACCACTAGAAACGCAGTAAATTAGGCCAATTGCCCTAGAGTCAAGTACTTGGTATATTATTACTCCGCAAGAATATATTGAGCTCGGCGAAACTACGGCACTGCATTTCGCAACTGCGGGTGTAAGATAGAAGCCAATCTATTTTGATCTCGTTATAGGATTTAGGGTGGCTGTGAAGCTGCCTGTTTCTTTACCCGTTGGATATTTTAGTGTATCTCTTTTGTTATACGGTCTATAATTCGATTATTCGTATCTTTAACTAAGAGAGGCCCTAATATAGGGATTTGCCTACGACTTTTAGGTGCTTTTTTAGGCTGAATTTGGTAAAGACATTAAGCGAGAACTAATTACGAATATAAAGCGAGTTTAGTAGCTTTAATAAAGGCTTTAAAAAGACGATTAAGGCGACGCCGGTAACTATTATTTAGCTACGGACTCTTATCGATCTAGGTCCTTATTTTATTAATACTTCATTATATACATCGAATTAATAAAAGAGGTGTGAAGGGGTTATAGAGATGAGAGGCATGAAGCTATTCCTAACTGACGGAAGGGTATTGATACCCCTGGGGCACTGCAGATTTTCCGCTATTGGCACTGTATTTTCTTATGTAATACCGATTTTGGCTTATGCAATCTTTTTTCGATTTCTTTTCTAATTATATGACAATTTTTTCACGACATCCCTTATCACCTGACACTCTCACTTAACCACCCAAAACATATTACCCTATTTAGCAATAGGGTGACCTCGATATGTATGACCTTTTTCGCCGTAATTCGAACACTTCAGTAGGGCCTTCTTTTTTTGATTGGCCTAGCCGCCTCGCTCCTATCTGATATCTGTGTAGATTGCCTTTTTAGGAAAGCAGTAGGTAGAATTTAGGGATTTAGCAGTAGCTGCCAGGCGATATTAGATAGAGCAGAAGGGTGAGCAAGCGTGAGTAGATGCTATTTTCCGTCACATTCGATACGCGCCCGCCCATGCCTTCCGCCAAACCCAAAAACCACCTCCCCTAACCTCCAGATCAGTCCACCGTCACTCCGCATTATAGCGCCAAGGTTCCCAATCTCAAAGTTTGCAATGATTTAAACTATTATTGAGCAAATTACTGACTACCTCACAAGTGGCTACAGCTGCTGAATGTAGCAAGCGTTCAATAATCAATATCAGCAGCAGCCTTCGATTGTTCGGAGACGTCAAAGCGGCCCCAACTCCTGTCAACTGACAAATACGCGTAACTCCTCCGATGCTAGAAGACTTATGTGACCACCTAGTCGAACAGCCTGGGTGGTATGTAGATAAGATGGTGGCTTTTTTACAGGGGTAATGCTTAGTACCTGATGAGGCGCTCTGAGGCGCTCCCTATTTATCCTTGATCCATCCATGACTATTAACTCTCAGTACAACATCTCCAGCGGTAAGGTAAAACTCGTTATCATCAGACAGCTCAAACAGGACCTCACCATCCATCTGCTGCACATCAACAACAGGACATTTTCCCCTCATGTATTGGAAGTTGTCGACTATAATCCTTTCGATGTCATAGCCGAAGGATTTGTTTCTGGTCTCAGAAGTTGATTGATCCTCTAATCCAAGATAAACTTCAAGCGCTTCAGTGGTATAAAGACGGAAACGCTCGTTATATCTCACAGAATCATTGATTGATCCTCCCTCGGCCAAGTAAATGGTCTCTAGGAAACTATTCAATGAGGACCTCGTGATTGAATTTCGGCTGAGTGTCAATGAAGGGCCGTATCTGGGTGAAATTTCCGACAGGGTATTGAGCGAACCAATCGATTTCATTTTTGCCTCCTCTGAGTTCTCTGAAACGAGCTCTGGTAGATTCACAGTTGTTGAAGAATCCGATAAGGTAAGCAAGTTGCTTTCATTCGGAGTCGGATAAACAGGCAGCTTCCCTTGAGCTAGGCCTAGTGAAATATTGCGTCGAAGTCTTTCGTCTAGTCTTTCGTTGAATATCTGCTTGAGTGCGTAAAACCCTGGCAGACTCGGGAGTCTCCAGCCGGGATAAAGCCGACCGTGGGTTTTCGGAGTATGCATCCGTCCGTACACATGAATGAAAGTGTCGCAGAGAAAGCATGCATCTTTGCTTGAACTAATCACTCGTGGGAACGGTTTTTGAACTTGAATTTCACAAAATGCAACAATTTGAATTTCAGCGTGGATTTTAGACGCTAATAGAGCCTTTTGAGCTCCTTCATACCTGGCAAGGGCAGCGTCTTTATCAATTTTCAAATTGCGGCACAAAAGGAAGATATCTTGTTGCCTCTTGGCCAATCCAAGCTTCGATAAGCATGAGTACAAGTTCGAAATCTGGTTGGAGTGCGTCTGGCCTTCGAATGCCTTCTTGGGGAGGCTTGCCAGTTGAATTTTCATGTTTCGGACCAGTGGAAACTTTTTGGCCATACGATAGAGTTTTCTTGCGGCTTCCCGGTATCGTGACACTTTTCTGATCATATTCAGGCAGCTTGACCTCGAGGACGGACTCATGTCATTGTTCGAGATCATATTTAGGAGCTCTTGCAACCGCGGGGCTGTTTGTTTCAAGTGATGAATCCCTTCCACAAGATCATTCAGCTCATTCAAAGTTCTGTGCTTCAACCATCGATCGACCAGATGTATGACTTTCTTTGCTTCTGATATGAACAAAGTCGATGTGAGTGATAAGTTTTCGCTGTGAAGCTTCTGATCCGTAATTTGTTGAATACTGAACATAGCCTCCCTCAGTAGATCTTGAATAGGTCTCTTAGTTGCTTTCCGGTCGAGACCTAACCGGCATAGTACCCGTGGTGAGCACATTGAAATAATAGACATCAAGACTCTCCCTTGAAGGTCAGGCTTATCTATAGGTTTTGGAGGACAGTTAAAGTTTGCCATCATATTCAAATTAGGCAGGACAAACCATATTCAGAATCGTGAAGTATTTGGAAGACCTGTTCAAAGTTTACTTTCAGGTTTCGTAAGATATCATCTCCATCGGAATAGGTTCTTTTGTTGATGGCTAGAATGACATCCAAGGCCGTCCCAGATGGATTCTGTTTAACGCAGACGGCCGGTATATAATCCCACCCATCCTTCGTTTTTGCTATGAAAGCAAGAACTTCGGTTAGTCCAAGCTCTTTAGAAAATGGCAAAATGTATTCTTGGTCGTTTGACAATCGATTGCTCGTATTTCGAACGACTGGCGCAGGGGCCTGGTGGAAGAAGGAGTTGAGAGCGATATACTCAGCGCATGTTGTTGCAGGAATCTGGGTTGTTTGAGCCATGGAACTCGACGGTCGAGGAAAGGTGCCTTGACGAGAGCGGAATGTTCCAAAGAGGTGGGGGTAGAGGGTGTTTATGAGCTGGCGGGGTATTTGCAGGTCTACAAGTACCATATATGAGCTGGCATATACATGGGTAGCTACACGCGTGATAAGATAATACATGGTATTAGCCAATGACAATATCGAATCCGCGTTTGTATGATTTGGAGCACAGGCCCATCGTTCGTATTGGTGAAAAGGATCTCAATTTGTATAAACGAGTGTGCATGAAGGCTGTGTTCGGTCAAAGAAAAGGAAAAGGACAATTATTTTGTCAGATCGCAAGGACTCCCTCTACTGCTCACAAATAGTATCGTATTATAGGCTTTTGTTATTGCTTATCTATAAGGCGTTGGGATAACTCTGTGAGACCGTTCTAGTTGTAGTAGCCGAAGCCCGCATCGCGACTTAGGTGTGCAACCGAAGTATCCTGAAGTAGGGGCGTATTGAATGCCCGACATTCATGGAAATCCAAGACCGTTACCGTTGTAATACGATGCAACGGCATAGTCCAAATCATGCTGATGTAACATCAGCATGACTTCGGACATACAGTCTGGCGGATACAGATCCCCAATCAGAAGGCAGCACTGCCACAAAGTGAAGTGCTAATTAACCAGCGGATCTCGCTTTGTTGGTTTGTTTGTAGAACTAACTTTCTAGAAACTAAAATGAAGTGGCTTCACCTGAAGATCTCCGGGACTTGGAAAACCCGGCTGATGGCAGACTTATCAGCTCTGGAACCCAGATTCTGTGGGTAACTGAAGGATCTCAGATGGACGTGACAAACCCTAGTAAGGCCATGATCCATGGATTGGAAGGACTGTGCGAGCTGACGATTCAATTGTCAACCTCACAACTCTCGACGTCACGGACGGTTCAACTTCATCGACCTTCAATGCCATCGAAACCGTTCTTAAGATTCAGACTGCACTACCAAAGAAATACTTGGAAAGTGAATATGTGGAGAGGGGTGGGTATCTTCATGTTGCTCGAGTTCTGCCAGACAACCTCGTCAACTCTGCCGAAGTTGAATTTGCTAATGGCCGAGTACCAGTGCCGAAATCCCTTCATTCTGCGGAGACGACAATTCGCCTGCAATGTGAGCGAGTCGGCACAGTCGACGCGGTTCAATACACCCGAGGTGGCCCCGACAGAGCTTACTCTTAAGGAGAATTTGGTGGAGGTGGAGCTTTTTGCAGCTGGATTGAACTTCGAGGTGAGTTAAGAGTCGCTTTGGGAAGACTTGCAGATCTGATCAGGTTGTACCAGGATGTGGCTATCGCCATGGGCATTGCGTGAAAACGAACATCTCCTCGGTCTCGAGGGCGCCGGCCTTGTCCGACGATTCCATCCTTCGGTCACCAAATTCAAGCCTGGCGAACGCGTCCTCGTCTTCAAGAAGGGATCCTTTGCCACTGTTGGGAACAATGAAAAGAGAAAGTTCTTGGTGGAGCGATACGGCATACCCGAAAATCGCATCTTCAACTCTCGCTCTACCGCGTTTGCCTGTAATTTGATGTAGGCCACACAGGGCGCGGGCGTTGACGTTATTCTCAACTCTTTGACGGGTGAGTTGATGGAGGAGTCGTGGCGATGCATCGCTGCTGGAGGCACCATGGTTAAACTTGGGAAACGGAATATGCTCGACAGGAATTACCTGTCTATGGAGCCTTTGGGTCGCAACGCGTCCTACCGCTGCTTTGACATGTCTCATACTCATGTCTCTGGCCAACTCATCTCGAGGTAAGTTCTTTGATATGATTTCGATTGAAACGCTTGAGCACGTCATAAGTCACTAACTCGAGAAAAAGGAATAGACTCCTTGATGAAATCATGAACCTCATCAACAAAAGGCAGCTTACGCCAATTGGACCTATCAAGACATTCTCCTTTGCGGATATACCCACGGCTTTCGGATACATGCGTCGCGCCAATCACATTGGAAAAATCGTCATTTCCGATGGACCTGACGCAGAGGTTCAAGTTGAGGTACGATTCTTCGCTCTTCTCCTAAGCTCGGTACTAATTCCCGCACTGGGCTCGACCCGCGCTCAATCCATTAACTCTGAAAGGGAATGTGGCATACTTGATAGTCGATGCACTCCATATCGCTGCTGGGTCCCGATCAATGAGCCCCTTTTCATGCGTCTCACATATTCGAATGCCGTTTTCATCAGGTCTGTCTTGCGACGGCATTGTTTTTGGCGCATCAATTTTCTCTTGGAAATGCATAGCAATGAACGCAAGCTTACGCACATATGGGCTTCGCTGTCTCTTCATTCAATACTTTAGCATGGCCATATCGCCTATAACCTCCGTTAGGCGCTCTTCAAGCCTGGCTCCCATGTTTTTACCACACGCTTCGGCACAGGAGGTCTATCTGCTGGTTTCTATGGAAGGAGTTCTTAGCAAAGGTGTTGCACAGTGTGGTGTTGTGCGAAATGATTTGAGGGCAGAGCCCAGCAGGTAGTTTGGTCCTGCAAGATAATGGGGGCTGCTGACTGGCACAAAGGGACAATATATTAAGCATTCAACTTTCTAGAGGAAATTGAATACCATCGAATAGTGTCTCCCACCCCCGCCACTGATGGCACATGCGATGAATACTTTTCCCACCCTCCGGAAAGAAAGCTGCTCTTTCCCAGTCGATCACACCTGCCACTGCGTCCAAATTTGGATGTAATACAATGTTCGACAGATCCCAATCCATATGCGACAGCACTGGTAAACTCAAAGGATTGGTTTCATGAATAAGAGGTTCATCCTTATTTTTGTACGACCGGAGGAAATCACTGGTTGAATAAAAAGGCCCACGATGAGGAAGTTGGTTGTGAATTATTTCCCCCGAGCCACTGAGTGATCGAACGCCACCAGAATCATTAGGGACTCTCGCGAGCTCTTTGATATAATCCTGCACCTGCAGTCTGATTCCTTCCTGCTGGCGAGGGGAAATGTTATCCCAAATTGGACCTTCGAAGATCGTTATGCCCTGGATTCGTTCAAAAACATTGAAACTGCATTTATTAGTTTTAATATATATAAAGACTTAGCTCAGAACTTGCCCGTCCCCTTGATAAATGAGCTTCGGTATTGGAATATTCGTGTACTCTCGAACAATTTCCAAGGTCCGTATTTCGTTTTCATCCCGTTGAGAAATTGTAGAAGTGTCAGGTTGGTAACCATCAAAGCCTAGCTCACCCGGCCGAAGACTTTTCTTCACGACACAACTCTCGAGCATGTAGACATATCGATCAAAAGGTGGAACAGGCAGAGTATCGGATTGGCATTTTTCCAACCACTCCTCATCAGACGAATAAATCATATTTCTCTGGGCAGCCACGAAATGGTTCTTAGGAATATGAGAAAATGCATAGCAAAAGGAATTTGGAAGGAGTGGCTGTACGATGGACCCCTCTCAATTGTCTCGTATGTGTGCGCACGAGCCTCCCTTAGACACGTTCCACTGTTGCTTAGCCGGAGGCGAGTCTGTGCCCAACTGTACCGAATCATACTTCCAACTTTAGCGCTAAGGTTGACTTCATGCGTTCCCCCTCCATTTTAGCCGAGGAGCACCTTTGCTCCAATGATTATTTAAAGTTGAAAGCCCCCAGACATTGCTTGTGAGCGGTAAATCATATTATTGCTCACCGACTACCTTCATAAGTTCTTATCCGCCTGTATGCACTAAGCCACCTCTCCAGAATCACGAACTGCATATGAGGCTGGACTCGATTCATCGCTGATACATAAGAAGGTCCGTCGTCTATGTGGGCTTTTTGTCTTTGTCAAGAACTCCAAGTTTTATTTGATCCACCAGACTGCAAGAGAATTTCTTATTGCAGAGAGCAATTCGAATAACGCCGGCCTCGTATACTCATGGAGACTAAGTGATGCTGAGGACCAAATAGCTCGAGTATGTTTGCGATACTTGTTAATGGAGGATCTGGTGCGTAATGGCGACAGGGTTTGCTCCGGTACCCAAGACTTCTTGGAGTATTCAGCAGTACATTGGCCCGACCACGTAAGGAAAATGGACCTGGGTTCGGACCAAAAAGCGATCGACCAAGTGCATCGACTATACGACATGAGTGGAAAGCTATTCTCGCTGTGGTTTCCTATCTTCTGGAATGCATCAAGGCGTTACGAGAGACTGCCTATAATGAAAGCACTCCATCTAGCAGTATTTAACGGCCATGAACAGGAGGTGCAATCTCTACTTGGTGTTAATAAAAGGGATGTTAATATACCCGATGGCACAGGAACGCACGCCGTCGTATGGGCGTCATTGAATGGACATTATAGGGTCGTGCAGCTACTACTCGAGCACGGAGCCAATGTTAACGCCTAGGGTGGCAAGTACGGAAACACCCGTTAGATCGCTTGTTATAAAGGACACGAAAAGATTGTAGCTACTGCTCGAGCACGGAGCCGATATCAACTTCTAGGGTAGCGAGTTTAGAAACGCCCTTTAGGCCGCTTATTCTACAAGACATAAAAAAATTATATAACTACTACTCGAGTACGGAGCTAATATTAATGCCTAGGGTGGCTTCTATAGAAACGCCCTCTAGATCGCTTGTTCTAAAAGACACTTGCTTCTTGATTATGTCATCCGCTTTAGACGTGAGAGCTTCAGCCAAAGTTCGTTATCCGAATCATCATCTTCAATATACAAGTAGCCAGTATCCTAGCTCACTAGGCCGAAGACTCTTTTTCATGACCTGTTCCTCGAGCATATAGATATATCGATCAAACGGCGGAACAGGGAGATTTTCGAGTTGGCATTTCTTTAGCCACTTCTCATTAACAGAAGATGACATTTTGTTCTAATTGGGCGATAAGGAAACGGATATGAATGTGATAAGAGGAAGAGGAAGGGAAATTTGAGAACAGGTCTGTCTATATTTCAGCCGCTCCCAAATCATATGCCCCGTACCTGCGCACGAGCTGAGTCAGTGAAGTCGGCACTTTGATTTACTTCAGCGGCACTACCTACAATATGTCTTAGCTATTCAACTATCTACAGGAGTATGACTGGCGTAAAAGACCGCAAAGACATCTTCTATCTATCCACAAGTATTGATGGCCAGAAAGCCCAATGACAAAATAAAGACTGACGAGAACTGGCTGGCTGGCTCATATAAATGTAAATACTGTGCAGCAATCCAAACACACTCGCCAGAATTTCAGTCTCAAGCATTCAATTGAACAGGAATTGGGTGGCGCTATCAAGAATCACTCCAAAATACATTGCAATGCCCCAGCTCACCGAGTTCCGTTAATGAGAATGGCAACAAAACACCGGTTCCCATGACAAACAAATAACATAAGAAAAGGGCATCAGCTTTGGGGTAGGAATCTGCGAGTCTGGCATGGACTCAACCATATCCACACGAAGTCGAAAAGAGAAAGAAAGGAATTTTAATCAAAGTAGAAAATACACCCGAGTTTGACACAAAGGGGAAAAGGAAGAATTAGGCAATGAAGTTGCGACGCTTCCGGTTGTATGCCCGCTGGTCCTTGAGCCACTGCCGATAGCCCTGCACACTGCCGATCTTCTCGCCGTAGTAGTCAGGGACGGGGTTGGCGATTGAGTTGGTGGAGGGATCGACGCGGAAGCGGCGAATGCGATCAAAGAACTCTTTTTCTTTCTATAGAGGCGCAAGAGAAACCGTTAGATAATTCATCACCAAACCAGGAAGTTAGGAGGGGTTAAGAGCAGGCTGAGATCTCAGGGGTATATAACTCACCACAACAACAGAAGGCTTAAACCGTCGATATACCAAGCCCCAGACCCCGTTCCCGACAAACGGTCCAGCCAACCATCCTATTGCACCGCATGCCGCCGTAGCCAGACCAAGCACCACGAAGGGGTCGAGGCCCATCACCTGTGCGCCGAGAGACTCCAAGTCCTGAGAAGACAGGACCTGCACGCCGACCGTGGTAGTGACGAGCGAGCTGGCAATGGACGAGGCGAGAGAGTAGCGACGGCGGGAGGCACGCAGCTTGAAGAAAGAATTCCAGTCCAGCTTCACATCGTTGGTCTTCTTCGAGGCCGCGGTCGAGTTTGTCCGCAGACCGATCTGTTGAAAGCTGGAGGGTGATGATGGGAGGGTGCGGGCGTGCGGCCGAGAAGCCTGCTTCAGGGCTGCACCAGCCGAGGGACGGGCTGTCGTGGAGAGCTGTTTGGAGGCCATTTGCGGGCCTGGGTGGAACGAGCGGAGGGGGCTGGCGAGGGCGGATCCCAGCTGACTACCGACGATGGCCGTTCGGGCAGACATTGTGTGTATTGACAGGAGTTGGGGAACTGACGGATACGCGGATCGAGATGTGAGAGCACCGGCGCAACCGTGGAAGTGGAGAAGCAGTTATGTAAGCTCGAAGCCTTAGGCATCTAATTAATGGATCTACAGCACTTCACAACACACTAAAGAATATGTTCGACTCCTATTTTATCATACAGACCGAAGAAAATACAGGAAGAAAACAATACACGGCAGAGGATATCGAAAACAGCGACAATAAACCTAATCACGGAAAAACCACAGACTCCCCTAGACTCTCTTCGGGTAAGGCTTGTGCAGCAGTGCGGATTGCCCGTTAGGCAGGATGTCGCCTTGGTCCGGCTCGCTGCCGTCACTATCACTGCTGCTGTCATCACTGCTTTCCTTGTCTTCACTCGAGCTGGGTACCTCATAGACATCACGGCGCGAGGTCGGAGGGGCCGTCTGAGTAGCCGGGTCCTGTTTCCGAGCTGTTTCCTCCCGGACCTTGACAAGGAGGCCCTTGAGCGTAGTATGACTACCAAGGGCTGGCTGCGATGGCACCTGTCTAGGTGTAGGCTGGAAGGGAGGCAGAAGAGCAGGGGACCTTGGTGCGCCATTCGGTTGGGGTCGTGGAGCGGACATTGGAGGATCGCGACGTTGGGCGGAGAAATTATTCGTAGGCGTCTGACGGGGTTCCCGGTAATCCTCATCCGACTGGGAATCAGATTCAGATTCTTCTGAATCTTCGCTGGACGAGATCTCAACACTCTCCGCCACCTTTTCTTGCTGGCAACCGACCTGCTCAGTCACCTTGGGACCTGCGCTAGTCGGACTCTGGATGCTGCCCCGGCGCTGATTTTTGGATTGGTCAAATGACCACGTTGGAGATTTGTTCACGGTAGTCCAGGGTGAGCCACCATTTGCGGGAATAGATCTTGCAACCCGGGCACCCGACGGCGGAAGACGAGGCTCATTTGCTGAAGGTGGGGTCGCGGGCCGCGGACGACCGGTTTCCAGAAGAACTTTTGGGGAAGTTGGGTTTCTAGTGGGCTGAGCTGAGGGTGGCGACCAAATCGTAGGTAATGCTTTTGTGAACAACTTAGCAGCAGTGGGCGAAGTCGCCGTGGCGGCTGCTGGAGAGCCAATGCCATTTTCAGATCGCGATCCTCGACGAGAAAACGTCGGCGTGGGAGATTTTGCTGCAGGGGTTGGAGATTTGGCCCCAAGAGCAGGAGACTTCCGTGCGAAGATAGGGGATTTGGCTGATGGAATAGGGGATTTGTGTACGGGCGTGGATGATTTCGCCGGAGCATGAGGCTTCTCCACCGGAGCCGTCGAACTAGCTCTTCGGGGAGTAGGAGACTTCCTCACTGGAGTAGGAGATTTGGCTGCTGGAGTAGGAGGCTTCGTCGCTGGAGTGAGAGATTTCCTCGCTGGGGTAGGAGACTTGGCTGTCGGACTCGACTTCTCCGGTGCAGGAGCAGGAGGCCCAGGACTCTCCGACCTTTCCGATTCCGGTTCACTCTCAGAAGAAGTCTCAGAATCCGAGCTTGGCGAGGCAGTGCGGTGAGAAGCATCTCCATTCGTCACAGCAGGCGACTTAGAAACAGACTTAGCAGTCGTCGACTTCGAAACCGACGCAGACGGCTTCCTCCTCTCTTCATAAACCCGCATTTGATTCCGCAGGGACGAAAGGGTCGCCAACAGTGATTGAATATGGCGTTCTTCTGAGACACGGCCAGTCTTGCGACGCTTCGCAATATTGGTACAAGTATCACGCATTTGTCTCACAATGTCGAGATATTTTGGATCGGCTTTGCGGTTCTTCAGTTTGCGCTCCAGGTACTGCGCTTCGCGCTCTATGTCTTGCGTTTGTCGCTTCTTTTGCTCGATCTCTTGGGTAATTTTGCTGATTGTTTCAGGAGAATAACCCGGTGGGTAAACCATCTGACTCCCCGAGGGGGTTCCCTGAATTGACGGCGGCGTGCTTCGGGAGGTTGTGGATAGCGGGGGCCCAGCGGGCGTGGATCGGGGCGCGGGTCCATTGGCAAATGGTTCTTCTTCATCGGCAAAAGAGACAGATCGCCGCTTGTTGGCGGGAGAATCGGTGCGCAGTACCGACTGGAGATGTTTGGGTTTCTTGAGGCCCTGATTCGTAGAAGGAGTAGCAGTAGGTGCGCTACTGGGGAACAGAGGGGTGCCGAGAGAACTCTGGGTCAAGGGTACGTCCGTAGCTTGGAAGGAATCCTGGGTCATTTTGTTTCTGGGTGGACTCTTCGTGATACCCAGCCCCAGGCCAGACTTGGGAGGTTCCAATGGCCGGCCAGTAATGCTGGATCGGCGGCCTGGGCCCGAGAATGATGGGGCACGTTCCCGTCTCCCATACGGACTAGAAGGAGGCGGAATGGTCTTGGGAGGGTTCGGGGATTCGGCCGTGAAGTGAAGGGCCGATGGATCAGCGCCATGTAGACGAGGTTGCTTGGCCGGCGTACTGCGCTCCTCACTCTGTTTGCGCTTGCGAGACCGAGTCGCAGGCCCTTGATCCGGAGTAGCCAAGCGCCGGGGTGCCCCGTTCTCTTTCATAACGATATCGCCATCGCTGCCATCGTCGCTTTCGCTCTCTGCATGATACTCGTCCTCGTCATCATCATCATCATCCTCCTCCTCCTCCTCCACCGCCTGCATTTGGATATCAGAGTCGTGCTCATCTGAGCCACTTTCTTCTACGGCATGTTCTTCACTTTCGTTCTGATCCTCCTCCTCGCTCGCGGTCTCCGTTGCCTTTTGCGCAGATCGAGTTCGCTGCCATTGAGGGGTGGTGCGCGTCCCAAACAGTGACCCAGACCCACGTTTCTGGGTGGAGGCCGGGCCGGCCATTTGCGTGATCGATCGTCTGGTAGTTACCGTTCTCCGCGGAGGAGCGTTCGTCTGCACCTTTGAAAACTGGTTGTTGGATGCCGCGGTAGATTTGGACTTCGTACTGGAAGACCGGCTTTGGGGGTGCTCTGAAGGAGAGGGCGACTCGCCTAGTTCCTCGCTCTCGGCACGTTCGTTCGAGACAATCGGACCATTCTGGACCTCGACAGAAAGAAGGGGTGTGTCATGATGCCGCGACTTGACGGGAGACTCCTGCGCTGGAGTACCTTGCGCGTTATCGGTGGCAGGAGAAGAACGGTCAGACGAAATATGAGCGGTAGATGCGCGACGAGAACTCTCATCTTCCTCCTGGATAGGAGAGAACTGGGATGCAATAGATTCTTTCTTGATCTTGTTCTCCTCAAACTTCTTCGCGGCTCCATCCCAGTCCAGGTCCACGGAGGGGTATCGCAAGACCGGGGACTCTGTGGTCGGCTTCTGAATAACGCAAACTGTGCCTCGCTGGTCGAGGCCATCTGCGCGGGCCTTGCCGATGTTCACGAAGACATCGGCGACAGTCAGATCGGTATCGAGGTCCTCGGTGTCGTTGGCATCGTCGAGGAGCTTCTTGATCACGAGTGGTCTATGGAAGACAGTAGTTAGCCACCTGGGTATCAAAGATATAGGGTATGGGCTTACTCCAGAGTAGGGTGAAGCTTTTTCCATTTCTCCTGGATCATGCCCGCGAGCCCTCCCAGCGTCACTTCCTCGGGCTGCATTAATACGATCAAGAACGAAGCCGACCGGCCCCCTGCGGATACCAAATTTCCTCGGCCGTTCTCATCGCGACTGCGGTCGTTGTCTTTGCCGAGGATGGACCGAAAAAAACTTGGGCCTGAGGGGACCTGTTCCCGGGGAAAGACCTTGACTTGTAGTCGCAGAAACACCATGGCGAGCTATGTCGGTGCTGTCACCGATCAACTGTTGTAAAAAGAAGCGCTGGGAAAGACAGTGATGGAATCGATGCAAGCTAAGGGTCGAATTTGATGGATGCGCAGTTGACGGGTGGCAGACGGGAATAGAGCAAAGAACAGGAATGAGGGGCGAAAAAAGAAAGATAAAAGAAGGACAATTTCATCCACCCATAGCCCCCGAGTGAAAGAGAGATAGCAAGCCCCCAGAGGGAGTGCGCGAAGAGGCGATGTGGAAATGGGGTGGAGCGTGAGGGATGTGAAAACGAAGGCGGTCGATTGTTTGCCGCGGGTCGCGAGAGCAATCGGAGACCACCCCCGATTTTGTAGACATTAGGATATACTACAAGAAAATATTTGAATACTTGATATAATTCATCAAAAATTCATAATCATGGCTTTGGGGCTAGAGGCTACAAATAATGCAAGATATAGATCATAAGGGACATCAAAGATATAGCACATTTGGCCAACGATTTCCCATTACTCGGGGGGAGTAAAGTATCGGTGGAAACGGTCGATCTGTGTCAATCCCAGCTCGACGATGACCCAATGGCAGCTCATCAACAAGCTGGGAAAGCGCACCGTCCAGAAGATCAGGTACCCTTCAGGCAATCCCCCAATGTGTGCCTTGAGATACTCCGGCATGTCGTTGTAGTGGTTGCGCTTGTTGCGCAGAGCACGCAGGAGATCCAACATACGCGACCCGGTGTATTTGCGTTGCTTGCCCAGATTGTCCTTAAAGTCCCGAGGCAACAGCCGCAGGAAATCCATCTCGGGGCCCATCACATCCTCAGCCACGGATTCGAGACACAGGAGAGCATCGGAAGGTGGTTCGCGCGGTTCAAACTCGAAATGGTCTGACACATCGCAAAGGAAGCTGAGTCGGTCTGACGGTGGCCAGAAGAAGGGATGCATCAGGACAGCGCTTGCATCGGGACTAAAAGCCAAGTCAGTGACATCCAGATTAACAAAAAAAAAATCAACAAGAGGGGAACGTACCGCTTGCGTGGATCAAGGGAAACCATCGAGCGGATAAGATCGTCGGCTTCAAAGGCATAGTCGCCCAAACGATTCAGTTCCTCCAGGTCGAACTGTCCTTTGACAATGTTGGCCTCACGCATGAACTTGCCATTCTTATCGAACGGGTGGCTGCCACGGGTCAAGACATAGTAAAACACGCAGCCCAGCGAGAAAATGTCGATGGCTCGCGTGGCGCGACGGTTAGTCTGCGGGTCGACCACAGCGGGCTCAGACGACTCGGTGTGCTGTGACTCAAGCGCCAGGGGGCGGTGTCGTCATCAACCAACAGCTCCGGAGCACGCCAGCCAGACGTGCCGGCAGCATGCGCGGTGGTGGCACGGAAAGAGCTCTGGTTGTCCTCGAGTTTTTTGCATAGGCCAAAATCAGAGATCAGAAGCCTTAGAGATCGTGAGGAGTTGCGGCCTCGGGGCATAGCCACGAGGATATTCTGAGGCTTCAGGTCACGATGCACAATCTTTAGAGAATGCAAGTACCGCACTCCCTGGGTAATCTGTCGCAGGACGTCTGGCATGTCCAGACCACCCTGTACTAATTCAGGATACCCGGACGGTCGCTCAATCACATCCTGCAAAGAGGCAGGACATAGCTCGAGCCCAATGTATAAGAATCCAGTGGCCTGTTCTCGGCAGAAGTACCGGATCACGTTGTGGTGATCGTCGCTCTCCTGTAACAGTCCCACCTCATGGGATGCGATATCGTAAAACTCCATCAGCATGCGCTTAACAGCCACATTCCGCCCATCAAACGAGCCACGGTAGACAACGGTTCCGTGACTACCGTGACCCAGCACAACATCCGTGAAGACTTGGAGTCGACCGATTTGAAGGACGCCATCCATTTCAGTAATCTCGTTGGACACGGTGCGGGTCAGCTGCACATCAGGCTCCAGTCGGGGCTGTGGATTCAACTGATTCACTTGATCCACGGCACGATCAGCTTGCTCTGCTGTGTCGACCTCGGTGCCAGGCTTCTTGCGGCGGCGGTGCGACTTTCCACCTCGCGACCCACGCGCCCGGGCCTTTTTCTTAGGCCTTTCCTGCTCCTCGCCCTCCTCGTCGTCGGGTCCACAAGAGGGTTCGCGAATCTGTACCCGTGAAGAGGTGCCTGGCGGCGGCACACTGTTCTCTCGAGAAGGCCGTGGCGTAGCTTCGCCGTCCGTTTGGGGATCTCCCAGATCCAGGTCGACGGTCACATTAGGAACTCGCCGGGTCGGGGTAGAACTCCGCTTGAGATCTGGGGAGGTTCCCACGAGTGGGGTTGAGGGTGTCGAAAGAGGGGGCTTGTCATTAGAGTTTATGATGTTCTTAATGTCGAGCTTTTGCTTGGCGAGGTCTCGGATATGATGAGAGTTGAAGTAGATGAAAGCGCCGATAAACAACAGGATTAGCGTCACGATAATATCCAACGCATTATCCCAGCTCTTGCGAATGATGGTACTGTGCCGAAGGGCAGGGGGCAGGGCCAACTCCGACGAGCTGCGGAGGACATCTTGGGGTGTGTCGTTGGACGTCTCAGAAGCTGCTGACGCGGCGATCCTTGGGATAGGCGAGCGAAGGACCCTCGGGCCATTCAGGGAATGAACACCAGCCAAGGCATCGCGCTGCTGGCCTGGCGACAGGCTCATGAGCGACTGACCCCGGCGAAAGAAATCCTTGTCATAGCACTGGGCCATAGGAGCACGTCCTGTGACCAAGGGGTAGGTTTCCTCCGACAGGGCATACCAGCCACCTGCATCAGTGCAATCAAGGAACACACGCATGTCACGATCATCCAAAGAACCGTAATCCGGATCCGGTGGCTGGAGCGGCTGCGACAAGAGCACCAGCGGTGTCGAAACATCCGGTGAATCTTTGTTGACAGGACGGGCCACATCAAAGACTCGAGCCACGGGTGATGAGAAACGTTGTGTGTAACGGGGCCGGTCCATGTGGGAATGATCAAATCCCAATACGACTCCGTCGTGCATGCTGTAGATGTGACTCTGATCCATGGTTCGGTGATATTGGCTCTGGAGGTCCATGTCACGGTTGTTCGGCGCCCACTCAGAGTATTTCAGTGTACAGATGGGGTCACCAGTCTCGGTGTTCTGGATGGCCACGGCATACTCGACACGGCCCAGAACCAGAGTACCCGAGGTCGACTCGCAGTCTTCCGCATCCAAGCCCTGCCCATCAACTTTGCGGCACTCTTGGCCAGTCGTAATTGGTCCGCGAGAGCTAAACACTCGCAGAATGCTGCCGGTGCGGGCGTCAATGGTATACAAGGTGGTCTCTTTCCGAGCAGTGTATGTCACAGCAGGATCAATGCCAGAATAGGGAGTTTCGTCCACCAGCTGCTTGACGGTCAGGCCAAGCTTCTGCAAACCGGCCTCGGGGCCGGGGCTGTAGATATAGATGCTGCCATCCTGGCTGGGTTCAACAATCCATAAGAAGTCGTCTTCGGGCTGGGTGTCGTCGAAGCTCGAACGATTGGCACGATGGTAGATACTTTCGACGACGGGGCTGCTGGGGACCTCAAGGGCCCAGCGGGCGGAACCGGTCTTGCGGTCTCGGGCGTGAATGGTTCCGTCGACGGTCGCCAACAGCACAAAATCCTCAACCTCCCAGTCCTGCAAGGACCGCGCATGAAGCGGCGAGGCCAGACCGGCAGTCATGCTGCTGGCCTGGACAGGAGGGGCTCGAACGGCGCGGCCGGAGCCCGCCAGAGCCAGAGTTGCCAGGGCGCTCGCATCGTTGGATTTCACGATGGGGGGAGCGGCTACAGAGGCCGTATCAAGGGTCGATGAGTCTTGTCCGGCTGCGGGGAGCGGCACAGACACACGAGGAGCGGAGCCATGGGGTTCTGGGTGCTGCTGCGGAGCGACCAGGACCGGGAGAAGGAGGAGGGCGACGCTGGCGGGGAGGGTCGACCGGGCGCCCAACAGCCGCCACCGCATTGTGGGAACTTCAGCACTCTGCGAGAGTCGGCTTTAACAGCGAGGAGATACTCGTCTCATGGGTCGACGTCGAGGCCGAGAGAGAGAGAGAGAGAGAGAGAGAGAGAGAGGGAAGGGAGGGTGATTTCGTTCAACGGGTCGAATGACGAGGTGGAGCGAGTCGAGAATCCGGGTAGTTGATCCTCCCCCACCCACAGACAGTCGAGGGGTGGAATGGCTCAACCGGACGACAAGAGATTGATGGGTTGCAAATGCCACCAAACAGATCCAAAATTGGGGGATATGGGGTGGAAGAGAGAGAAGAGTGTCCAAAAGATCAAGGGGGAAGCGAAATTGGAGGCTGACAGCCACCAGGCAGATGGATTGTGTGTCGAGCGTAATACACGTGTACATGTACGGTACCGCCAACAACCAGCCCCTGGACTATGCCGCAGCAGGTACCGGTACCTAGATTCCTGTCTCTTCTAAGTCACATAGGAAACAAAGGCAGTTCCATCCATGGGTTTTTCTTGACCCCTCTCGCAACACTAGATACTCATGGGCATTGATTTTGACGGTTTTTTACAAGACCCTAGCATTGAAACGACTCGGTCACAGCCTAGGATCGACTGACGTGGGAGGATTTGGCCCCCTTCGAATTGTAGAGGCTTCCCGCCAAGGCTCCGGGGTGATCAGCAACCGAGATGCAAAAATCCATCTCCCGGACAGTTGGAGGCCACCGATGTGTATCCAAACGCCGCAAACCCCTTGCTTGAAATGCAGCAATTGCAGCTCCAAAACAACCCCGGAGCAAGCATAAATACAAGAAAGAAAAGAGCTAATCGACACGATCCAAGGGCGTATATGACAACCACAGTGGAACCCACATGGTGTCCTGAGAGAGGTACAGGCAAGAAAACAAAGAAGCCAGTAACATTCAACCACCACGGATCATCCATGTTATGGCCAACATCCAGCCGGTGATAACAATCGCAGTCACAATCCCAGCACCGGCCCGGTCGCTGGTGTTGATATCGTTCAACTGGGGCATTTGGTTATTGGCACCATTGGTACCAGCATTCGGATTGCTCTTGGATATGCCACCGGTCTGAGCAGTGTAAGGGGCCTGGTTCTTGAAGGGAACAAGGACCGAAGTAAATGCACCGAGGCAGCTCATCTGCTGCTCCAGGCCTGAGGTGCCGTCCCAGGTCGGCGCGTACCAGCGAGTTCCGCAATGTTTGCCGTTATCCCCGCCCGAGCACTGGTTGGCAGCGCCTATGGCCGAAGTCTTCAGTTTGGGAAATACTAGGTTAACTGTATGTGGCACGATGGTGGTCATATAGGCAAGCCAAGTGGTAAAGTAGGCCTTGAAGGTAAGTTGATTGCGGTCGCAGAGTTTGCGATCCTCGCAGGTGATTTCGGTGAGGATGTTACCATCGGCCCCATCATAGCCCTTGGTTGGGTAAAACTGGTTGGATGTTTGAAGTAATCCGTCAATGCCGTCCTTCCATTTCTCTGCGGCGCCGTCGGTCTACCGAGGTTAGCAGTATGTTCGTCTCCAGGGATACACTTAAGGGTAAAAGAGCAACATACGTAGTTGTACATGTAGGCGGCACCGCTGATATAGGTAGCATAGTTGTACGTCCATTGGAAGTCACCATGGTCGGTGCATTGCGACTCACAGCTGGTCGTGTCGGCAATATTCCAGTCCTTTTGTTTGAGCAACGGGGTCGAGGCACTCCAGTCCCAGATGCGTTCAGCCCAGGTGGCATAGGTCTCATTGCGGGTGTAGAGGGCCAGACGGGCCGCAAGCTGGAACAGACCGCCGTTGGAGATGGCATTCTTGGTATTGTAGCCATTCTGGTAGGGCCAGATTTGCCAGCGCATTCCACCACGACAGCTGCTGCCATCCCAGCGCGGAGTCTGGGTATTGAACACACCCTGCGCCAGTGACAGCCACGACGGTTCGCCAGCACGCTCGGGAAAGTTGAACTCGGCGGCGGTGATGGCAGCCAAACCCCAGAACACTTGATCGTCGTTCCCCAGATACTGACTGTAGTTGGACGGGAAGAAGTTGTCGTCGCCTTTTTGCCAGTACATGCCATCCTGGATGGCCTGGTTGAACTGGGAGTCGCCGGTCAACCACCAATATGACATAAGGATCATGAACATGGACCCGCCCTCCCACCAGGTGCCGTCGAACTTGCCAGGGATATCCTTCGAGTCACGAGCGTGGTAGTATGTGATCATGTCGGTAGCAACCTGTTTGGCTGCGCTTTTCAAGGAGTCTAGATGTGGATGGTCTGGTTAAACAGTCCCGAGTATTAGTCTGTGGATCAGCATACCTTCATCATCAACGTTGAGATCAAGGGCGAGGACGCCCTGGACGGCAAGAGTGCCGCCCAGAAGGGTAGTCAGCCACTGAAACAATCCCATGAGAGTGCTATGGTCAAAAGACGAGGGAAAGAGCCTACAGCATCGAAGCGAGGGCAGATGGAAGAAGAAGAAGGTGAGAACGGGGAGGCCCAACCAGACCAAGCCACTTGAGAAACAGCCTGGAGCAGGCCGTGCAGGACCAGTATCTACCCGCCTACTTTGTCAAAGGATCACCCTGATTCCGTCCATAGTAGGTTCCTGGTAGGAACGTGGATGTTGCGGATGATGCTATTATTATCTTCTGACTTTGTCTGCTTCACCTCTGGTCCTTGGAGTGGACACCCATGGTTATATATCTTGCCTTAGGTAGACTCCCTGACCCTGGAACATGCACGACCGACTGAAACAGTGTCTTGAGTATACTTCCCATCACCTTTTCTATTTCTCATCGGATAATATCCTCGTTGCAACAATAAAGCATGATCATTCTTGAATATCAAAATGACCAAGCGTGGAATTTGGCTTCGGCCGATCTACATTTAGTCGCCGCGATGACCCACGGGGGGCCGCGGGTAGTTTGTTCTTGACATGGACAACTGGCTGATGCTGGGCATGCAGCAATATACTGCTACCTATGATCATGGACCTGGCGAGATCCCTTCAATCTTGGAATACTGCTGGCCTAGGTTGCTTCGTCGGTTCTTTGTGCCTTTGCCCCTGGCTGCCAAATTCGGTAACAATACAAAACCTTAGTCATCGATTGATAACCCAGGCCGACAGGACTTGTTGCCTCATTTATCAGGCGTGATTGCCGACTATAGTTATGTACCCCGGGAGAAATAACCCGGGGAAATCATGGAATTCGAGATCTATGCCAAATTTTTTTTTTGGTTCCTTCGTAGAGGGGGTACAGGCGAAGAAGTCATCACCCATTGCATCAATCATGTCCATTACATTCGCTCCCGGCGGCGAGGGGCCGCGCGAATAATGTTGTCCACCCGGAGAAGAAGCTAGAAATTCATGTCAGTGTCAAATAAAAGTAGAACATGAACCAGGGGAGAAGAGCTTACCTCGGCGGCTTCCGATGCCGACGAAACCACGGCCTTCTTCAGTTTATAGGCCTCCACCACGCCCAGGTCGCGCATGTCCGCGATGCCGCCACCGGGGGTCAACAGGTCCAGTCCAGAGCTAGTCATGCCGTTGTTAATGGCCTGGCGCAGGCGCGTCACCAGGTCGCTCGAGTCCAAACCAGCGTTGTCGGCCAGGATGGTCGGTAGCTGCTTGAGCGCGTGGGCGAACGAGTCGACTGCCAGCTGCTTCTTGCCCGTCGTGTTTTGCGCCGCCTGCTCCACGGCCTTGGCCATCACCATCTCCGCGCAGCCGCCGCCCAGCGTCACTCGCGGGTCCTTGACTGTCTGCGACAGCACGGCCAGGGCGTCGTGCAGCGAGCGCTCGGCCTCGTCCAGCAGCTGCTCGGTGGCACCGCGCAGCACAATGGTGCATGCCTGACCAGCGGCCACGCCGGAAAACTTGATCAGTGTATCCTCGCCGATGATCACCTCCTCGATCAGGTCACACGAGCCCAGCTTCACCTGGTCAGGGTGCTCAAAGGTCGAGGCGATCTCACCACCCGTCACCAGCGCCAAACGCTCAATGCCGTCGAAGTCGGCGTGCTCGATAGACACGATACCGGCCTCGGTGAAGAGCTGTTCCGGCCAGTTGTAGATTAGCTGACGGTTGACGAAACAGTTGATACCGTGCGACTTGATCCGCTCGACCTTGGCGCGCATCTTCTCCCGCTCAGCCTTCTCCAGGTCGGCCAGCTTGCCTGTCGACTCGACCTTGACCCGCGCACCGAAGATCTTGACCTTGTCCGTGTCCATGGCCGTGTTGGCCACCAGAATCTTGGCATTCTCCAGTCGCTTGGGCTGGTTGACGCCGATCTTCTTATCAAGAATAAAACCCTCGTCCAGGTACGAATCGCTCAGCTTACCACCGGCCTTCTTGATGACCTGGATGTGACTGAGGTCGGTGGATCCCTTGAGTCGCAGAACGGCCTCGCAGGCCAGTCGCGCGAAGTGGTCCCGGTCTTGGGCCAGCACCTTGGAACTGAGGGTCGTGCGTGCGATCGAGTGAAGGTCCTTGCGGAAGGTCTCTTGGTCCTTGGTCCGGTCGACGGCCACAGTCTCGAGAGCGGCGAGAGCAGCTCGGCTAGCTATCCGGTAGCCCTCAATGATGGTCTGGGGGTGAATCTTGCGATCGACGAGCTTCTCGGCCTCCCGCAGCAGTTCGGCGGCCAAGACCGTGACAGATGTTGTGCCATCGCCCACCTCGTCGTCCTGAACCTTAGAGATGTTGACCAGCACCTTTGCCGCAGCGTTATCCAGAGCAATAGACTTCAAGATCGTAGCACCGTCATTCGTCACGAGGATCTGTCCCGTCGACCTGTCCCACTGCCATGTCAGCTCCATCCCGCAGCACATACAATATCGACCCCACGTACGCAGATTGTAAAATCTTGTCCATTCCCTTGGGACCCAGGGTACTCTTCACGAGGTCTCCGACGGCGATGGCACCGACGAAGGCCGACAGACGGGCATTCTCGCCCTTCTCCTCGGTTACGTCGTCGGCAAAGATCTGTGTGGGATTGGCGAATGACGCCTAGGAGGGGCAGAAAAAAAGTCAGCGTGCAACAACCCAGCAACCGGATCAAGAAGCAAGTATACCATTATGACCAGCTCAGGAAGAAACAATCGATCGGAAGATCAAATGTCTCGATATCTGAAGATGGGAAACAACAGCGTCAACAGTGGGGTGGAGGAAGAGGGAAAGGAGAAAAGTCGGGTGGTCCAAGCTTCTGTTCCCATTGGGTGCGGCCATCACCGCCCGCGATGACCTCGCTTTCGCTTTTGCGGATTCCAGCTTCTCCCCCCAATTGCTTGTTCTGCGCGTCGTCTCTTGACAATTCACCATGGCTGATGAAGATACTGCCCCGCCTGTTGCAAACAAACGCTCTCATTCCGCTGTCGAGGCGGACGAGAACGGTGAGTAGCTCTCGCGAAAGGGTTCCCAGCACAGAACACTGCAGATGCTCATTAATGAGATATACAGGCGATGAATCCTCTTCCGACGATGATTTCGGCCCCGCGCTTCCCTCAGAGATAGCGCCCAAGAAGAAGCGTCGAAAGCTGCCATTCGAGAAAGTCTACGTCAATGCGCTCCCGGCCTCGGCGCGGTACTCCAAATCGCTCATGCACAAGGACCAATTGTCTTTTGTGACGGTTGCACCCTTTACGGATTTTGTCATCACCAGTTCAGTGGATGGATTTGTCAAATTCTGGAAGAAAATGGCCGAAGGCATCGAGTTCGTCAAGGAGTTTCGAGCTCACCCAGTTGAGACTCGGGGCACGACCATCAGCGCCGATGGCCGCAGCTTTGCGACGGCAGGAGTGGACAAGACGGTTAAGATCTTTGATGTTATCACTTTTGGTCAGTCAACATACACCCCATGATAATTGTTCATCGACTCATTGACCTCGACCATAGATCTCTTGGCGATGTATACCTTGGAGTTCGTACCGCGATGTGTATGTTGGGTGCATCAGCGCGGCGCATCATTGCCGCTTCTGGCCGTAACGGATGAATCCAGCAGCACCGTTCAGGTCTTCGATGGGCGCGGCGAGAACCCACAACCATTACACACAGTGAAGACGATCCATCGCAGTCCCATTGTCTCAATGTCGTTTAACAGCGCATTCGACTGCGTTATTTCAGCGGACGAGTCGGGGATGATCGAGTACTGGAGGGCCGGCGATGGGTCCTTTGAGAAACCAGACAACGTGTTCGAGCTCAAATCCTCGACCAATTTGTTCGCATTCAAAAAGGCCAAGTCGGTCCCTACAGCTATCACAATCTCGCCGTCGGGCGAGCACTTTGCCACGGTTTCTTTCCCTGATCGACAAGTGCGGGTGTTCGATTTTGCGACAGGAAAGCTCTACCGGACGTACGATGAATCAATAGCAACAATCACGGATATGCAGCAGGCGGGCACGGCGCCGTATCAACTAGATGAAGTGGAATTCGGACGGCGGCTCGGAGTCGAACGGGAGCTTGAGGGCGATGCAATGCGCAACAAGGTCAACGTCACTTTCGACGAGTCGGGTCACTTCATACTGTATGGATCCCTGTACGGGATCAAGTGCATCAACACCTACACCAACCGCGTAGTGCGAGTCTACGGACGTGACGAGCCGTTCCGGGCTCTGAACTTAGCGCTTTACCAGGGCCAACCGCAGCGAAAGGGTGTGATGACAGTGTCCATGGCCGCCAGCAGCAATCCATTACTACAGGAAGCCGAAGAGCGCGACCCGATCCTGATCAGCACGGGGTTCGCCAAGGTACGCTTCTACATGTTCACCAACGAGACAGAAGTATCACGAGCCACCCGCGATGTACAAAATGAGAAGCCCGCGCAAGCAGCCGGGGCCGCACCAAGCACCACGAAAGCCGGCGAGACCGGCACTGCCGCCGTCCTGCACACGACCCTGGGCGATATCCACCTGCGGTTGTATCCCTCGGCAGCGCCCCGCGCCGTCGAGAACTTCGTCACCCACGCCCGCCAGGGCTACTACAACAACACTATCTTCCATCGGGTTATCCGCAAGTTCATGATCCAGGGCGGGGACCCACTCGGCGACGGCACCGGCGGTGAGTCGATCTGGGGCGGCGAGTTTGCAGACGAATTCTCGAGTCTGCGCCATGATAAGCCCTACACGCTGTCCATGGCTAATGCCGGGCCCAACACCAATGGTAGTCAGTTCTTCATCACGACTGAGAAGACTCCCTGGCTCGATAACAAGCATACTGTCTTTGGTCGCGCCGTACAGGGACTGGATGTGGTGCACAAGATTGAGAATGTCAAGACGCACAAGGAGAAGCCCGAGGTTGATGTAAAGATTGTGAGCATTAGCGTCTCATGATTGTGCTTTTTTTTAAAAAAAAACCTTTCTTTTCGTTTTGTTTTGTTTCTCGATCTACGCTACCTGTCGGAAGTTATACACGAGTTTTGAACAGCGCAGAAATTCCAATTCGCATTATGGGACTACATCCACGCGCAGCCCCTTCTCTCTTACGCACTGGCGTCTTACTACACTTGCGGTTTCTGCGTTATAGGTGCAAGGGGATGCAATACAGGTCATCCGGGAGCAAAACGAGAACAGCCGAAAACAGGTACAGCCAGAGCAAACAATTCAAGCAAGATCCTCGTCCCGATATCGATGTCCCATCCCATCATGGTCCGGTCGGGAACCGATGGTAGAACAATGAAATCTAGAGGAATAAAGAGAGATATAGAGAGGGAGATATAGTCCATGACCTAGAATTCCCAAAATTCCACGCACAACAATAAACGCCGAGAAGATGCAACAGATAAGAGTGAGAGTACCAAAGTCCGAGCCGGCACGGTCATTGCAAAACAAAATAAATCTCACATCGACACATCCCACAGACAGACAATATGCAACAGATAGCAACGACGGGGAGGAAACAGCAATTCAACACGCATATCGGGCATGACAGTAGCTAAATCTGGCGGATCTCGATATCGCCCGGGGACTGAGGTACCTTCTGTAGTCGTGAGCGCGACCGGCTAGGCAGGGGTGGAGCTCTAGGCGCTACGTGGGAGCGGGAACTGCTGGCGAAGGACCCGGGGCCGGCACCGCGGGACGGTGCTGAACCCGGAGTAGCCGCCGCGGCGGCCCAGGGCGCAGCCGGGTTGGACCCCGCGCTGGGACTGAGCATGCCCGAGCGGCGGAAGACGTCGCTGCTACTGGTGGCGGTGCTGCCCGCCTGGTACAGGCCAGCTCGCTTGGCGTCGTGGCGGCGCTTGAGCCAGACACCGAGGGCGGCGATGATGCCGAAGCCGACGAAGATGACGATCAACATGATTACCCATTGGTAGTGGCCGCTCCACCTGAAGAGGAAATCAAATCAGTAAAACGATCGGCCAACACAGACACAGCGCTGGGGCGGGGTTGGCGCCCTCAAACTTAACTAACTTACCAAGACTTGTGCTCTTCGGTTGTCGCGTAGGTCTTGCCACTCGAATCCGAGGAACTGGTGCCAGTCGCGCCAGTCGTGGTTGTTGTGGCCGTGGCGGTGTTGGCCTTATCATCGGCAGTGGTCTGGGCCTTGCCGCCCGATTTGCAGTAATTCTTGTACCAGGATGAGAGGAGGGACTGGTCGGAGGAGCTGGTGCAGGAGGAGCAGAGGCTGCCCGAGGATTTCAGCTGGGTCAGCAGAGCCGACTGACAGAAACAAGACACCCAGGCGGACTGGTCGGCGCCCGCGGTACAGCTATCCTGGGCCTGCTTGAGGGTGTCGCAAGATAAGCCACAGGCCGGGAAGGAATCGGAGGCCTGTGTGGGGATCAGGTTCTTGTCGGCGGCTCGGGTTGTGGCGAACAGCGACAAAAGACCGAGGAGGACCAGTAGCCCGCGCCATGTCGAGATTGTCATGGTGTATCAAATTACAGCGAAGAGCGAACGATCGGAAAACGTTGGGATTCAAATGGACTCGTTTTCTGGGGGGGTTTTGGGTCCGGGAGATTCCCGCGATCGGTTGAGACCCTGAGACGAGGAATTTAACGATGGACCAGGGAGATTTCCAGAATGAAATGAATCAGTGACAGGCCATATTGGAATTCGCGAACAATCGAGGAAATGGAAGAAATGGAAGAAATGGAAGAAAAAAGAAAAAAAGAAAAAAGAAAAGAGAAAAGAGGAAGAGGGGGAAAAGGAAAAAGAAGTTTTGGGGCCGAATGCGGGCCCTGAAAATGGCCAGGCCTAATTATTGAAAGGTGGATCGCGGTCTACCGCGGATGGCTGGATGTTCTTGGATTCTAGGATTCTGGGATCTCTCGTCCATATTATTTCTTGATCGCATTCGTCGTACCGTTTGCAGAATATGCCCCCCTCAATCTTCAGAGAGATGTCAGGAACCCAAGTCATGTCTCATGTTTCTCATGTTTCTCTGGAGAGCCCTTTTCAAGCTCAAGCGAAACAATGAAGAGGCTCCAGCCCTGAATGCAGTAAGGATTGGCCCACGTTGGGCGTTGAGGCTGTAAGGGGCAGCTGGGCTGATCTCGGTTGATCCGGGGTGTTCGATCGGGGCCTGAACGGCGGCCTTATTTTCTTTTCTTTCGACTTCTTTTCTTTCTCGCTTCTCCTATCTTTCTCTCCAGCCGACTGCCATGCTACCCACGGAATTATTCTGCTTATTTTTAGTTCTCTCGTGCTAATCTCCGGCCTCAATCAACCCCAAACGTGGGCCCACTGCGATCGGCATGGGGACCACGAGTGAGACCAAATAGATCAATCATCTAAATCATCTCAACCATCAGGATCAAAAATTTAGCTGCACAGAACTGGGCATAATTCAATATATTAATTTATACCTAGGGTATATATGACTGCTGGCCACTTCCGTGGAACGCCTCGGACACCACTTCCGACCTGGTGACTGCGGCCGATCGTCATGATGTCTGGGAGACATATATATATATATATACAAAATACTCATTCCCGAGTCTCAACTGCCCGCTGAGCCTGGTATGAGACACCATGGCCAAGACGGTCGAGTTCAACGTCTTCCGCGGCTCCGAGCGCGGCGATATCGTCCCCGACACAACCCGACGCACCCTCGACCCCGGCGAGGTCTTCGTCGAGATCTCGCACGCGGGGCTCTGCGGCACGGATCGCCTTTTCAAGACCCAGACGATTGTCCTGGGACACGAGGGCGCGGGCACCGTGCGGGACGTGGGCAGCGCGGTCGAGCACTTCCATGTCGGGGATAAGGTTGGGTTCGGATGGGTGCAGAAAGTGTGTGGCCACTGCGACTACTGTATTACAGGTAGGTTGAACTTTGGTTATCCTGGAGCTGTCTTCGTGATATTCATCGTGAGTAGACAAGGACCAGTACTGCACTCACCGCGAGCAGTACGGCACGCATGCCTTCGAGATCGGCGCCTTCGCCACCCACGCCGTCTGGCACCAGAGCATGCTGGTCAAGCTGCCTGCCGGACTAGAGTGCGAGTACGCCGCGCCGCTGATGTGCGGCGGTGCCACGGTTTGGAGCGCGTTGACCTCGGACGGAATCCAACCGGGGGACCGGGTCGGCATCGCGGGCATCGGCGGACTCGGGCACATGGCCATTCAGTTTGCCGCGACGCTCGGCTGCGACGTCGTGGCGTTTTCGAGCAGCGCCGCCAAACGCGACGAGGCCACGGCCTTGGGCGCGAAGGAATTCCATCTGCTGCAGCACGGGTCGCTCAAGGCGCTCGCGGCACCGGTCAAGCATCTGCTGTGGTGCGGGAGTGCTCCTCCAGATCTCAGCAAGTCAGTTCTTCTCCGTTTCTCTTTAGATCATTTCACCCTCGACTCTCGATCAAAGTGGGCGAGGATATCAGTAACGCTTTTTTTTTTTTTTTTTTTTTCTAGAACGATTCCTCTCGTTGCAGCCGATGGCACCATCCACCTCCTGACAGCCAGCGATCAGTCCATTCCCGTGCCCGTGCTACCGCTAATCGCCAACGGCATCCGACTGCAAGGCTCGGCCGTGGCGTCGCGGTTGGCCGTGCGACGGATGCTGCGCTTTGTGACGCTGCACGGGATCCGGCCGATCATCATGAGCTGGCCGATGACGATAGACGGCATCCAGGCGGCGTTCCAGACGCTGGACGAGGGCAAGATGCGGTATCGTGGGGTGTTGGTGGGCCAGCGGCATTTGATGGGGAAGCCGGCGGTGGAGATCAAAAAGTAGCGTAGTGTAGCCAATGGATTGCTATCTCTGTTTCCTTCCTCTCTTCTCTCTTCGTTAACCACACCACTTCTCCTACCACGTCATGTCATCTCCCGCAGCCACCGACATGCCATCCCGCCAGCTCCTCGCCTCTCTATGTAATTCCCTCGTCAATGTCCGCTGGTCCCTGACCCGCACTCTCCGCAGTGAAAACCCACTCGACCTGAACGGCGAACTGCGGGGCACAGCCACCTTCATCCCACAACATAATAACAATAACAGTGCCTCGCGCGACCGCGACTGGCTCTATTGCGAAGAAGGCGAGATCCCGACCTCGGTCGGTGGCGCAGCCGGCCTGCGCTGGACGAAAAAGTACATCTGGCGACTGGCCGAGACGGGGCGAGTGAGCGTGTGGTTTGTGAAAGTCGCCCCTGGTCCGGAGGAAGCAGATTACCTGTTCCATGACTTCGACTTCCTCGGAGCTGCTTCGGCCCCCTCTACCGGCGACGATTCTACTGAGTATGTCGCCCCGCCGACACCGCCAACCGTCACGGCGACGGGTCCTGAGACGACCGTGTTGGTGGCGCGCGGGAGCCACCTCTGCATTAATGATATGTACCGCACGGCGTATGCGTTTCGCGTGCACCCAGAGACGGGAGAGGTTCTGAGCTGGGCGAGTCGGCATGTGGTGCAGGGCCCGAAGAAGGAGCAGGACATTGTGAATCGCTACGAGCGGGGCGCGTGAAGGACATCTGAGCGCAACGAGCAATGCTCCACGATATACCTACGAGGAACGTGCATCCACGGCTGAAAGGATCAAGATCGCATTTATATATTCTCGCTTCGCCTCTACATTCCCGTCGCCGTCACCCAACTCCACTTTCACAGGGTATATGTAAAGTCCGGCCGCTGGTCACCCAACATCTCGATCTCACTCTGGTCGAGACCCTCGATCAAGCGATCCCGGTCCCCGCGACGACGCTTGCGGTTCTCGCGCCGCAGCAAGAAATACTGCACGACCGAACCACCGAACAGAAACAGGACCAGATAGCTCAGCACGACGCCGTGCCCAGGGTAGAATTCCGGAGCGTCTTGGTCGCGGTAGATGTTGGACGAGACGATACCGTTGAGATTGCCCCAGCCGATGATGAAGCCGAGGGATACGCCGCGTTTGTAGACACCTATTGGATGGAGTCAGCTATGGGTCTGGATGCATGCAGACAAAAACAGAAAAAAAGAAAAGAAAAGAAAAGAAATAGTGTATCGCGCACCCTCGGTGTTGTTACTGGCCCAGGAGATGGTGTTGGAAATGGCTGGGTAGATGCCCATGGCGCCTAGGAACGTCCCCGCGTAGCGTGCACCGGCCGATTTGCAGCCCAGCAGCATGGCAAAGCCTACGATGCCGATTATGGAGACGAGGATGTTGCAGATGCCGCGCTGGCGCGTGCGGTCGGCGATAAAGCCCACAACGACCGTCAGGATGGCGGCGGCCGCGTACGGGGGCACGCTCAGCAGCTGCGCGCGAATGGAGCTGTATCCTATAGTACCAAGTCAGCGACGAAACATCCCCACAAAGTCGGGGTCGAAGAGTACGGAATGGAGTAGTACCCTATAAATAGCAAGTCAGTACCGTTTCCCCAGCACCCATCCAGACGAGATGACCAACTTACTAGTTGACTGATGATAGTGGGCACAAAGAGCGAAAACGCATAAAGCGAGCCATCCGCCCCCATATAGATAATAGCCCCAGTATAGGTCTTCCAATCCTTCACACTCGCCCAGAAATACGACATCTTAAACTCCTCATGCTCCGCACTCGACTGCTGATCCGCCGCAAGACGGCGCAACACCCGAGCCCGATCAGCCTCGGACAAGAACCGCGCCTGGTCCGGGAAGTCATAGACACACCAGAAAGAGGCGACGCCAATTAGCACGGTGGCTAGCCCTTCCAGAATGAAAATCCACGACCAGCCGGCCTTGCCGCCGACGCCGTCCATCTTGGCGATGGCGGCGGCCAGGAGGCCACCAAAGGAGCCGGCGAGCGCAGCTGCTGAGAAGAAGATGGCCATGCGCACGCCGAACTCGGCGCGCTTGTACCAGCATGACAGGAAGTAGCCGACGCCCGGGAAAAGGCCTGCTTCTGACAGACCAAGGAACCAGCGCACGGCCATTAGGCCTGCATAGTTGTGGACGAGGCCCATGCAGGTCATGCAGATGCCCTGGATTATTTTGTTAATTTAGCTTTGCACTCCGAATTTAAATTCTCTAATAATTGACCTTGCTACTTACCCATGCGATCATGATCAATGGGATGAAGATGCTGGGCCGCAGCCGCTTGAGCAGGATGTTGGTCAACGGCTCGAAGACCGAGTACGACACAAAGAAAATGGTCAGCGTGGCATTGAACTGGGCGTCGCTCAGGGACAAGTCCTTTTTCAGCCCGACGATTTTCGCATTGCCGATGTTGGTTCTTTTGCGCGCGTTAGTATACGATGCGTCTCCCGTCGCAATTTCACCACAGTATTTGTTGCTTCTTACCGGTCGAGAAACGAGACGAGATAGAGCAGACTGAGCCATGGCACGAGTCGGATATCGAGCTTCCATAGAAGCTGGCGATCCTAGAAATAGAATAGTTCGCGGTAAGTGCCTCTTCCAAGTTTATACAAAGACAACCAGGCCAAAATCCAGTTGAATCCAGGGATGCGCGTACGATTTTCGCCTTCTCTTCGTCACTTAACCCTGCGTCCGGGTCTTCGAGACCTGCTGGAAATTTCACCGGCGCAAATGCATCGGGATCTTTCTCCAGGTCCGAATGGCGCGACACATTGTCTGCCGAAGGCTTCTCGTCGGTCGAGAGAGTCATAATGCACGCAGACGAGAGAAGAGAGCTTGCGCAGGGGTAAGAGACAATTGCACGACACAGACCAAAAATCCCCTCTTGCTGTATAACCGAAAGAAACAGGGATCCGAGGGAAACAGAGAGAGAGAGAGAGAAAGGGGAAAGCGGGCTTATAAATCGGCGTTGTGAACTCTCCAGGGCTGCAAAAGCCGGGACTCGAAGCTTGCCTTCCCCGCGCGGGCGATGATTGGCGCGGGCATCCGGGGACGGGGATATGCTCAAAGTTAAGCCGAAGGAGTGCATGATCATCGTGCGATCGGCATGCTGGAGATACGATTACGGCTCGGGGCTGCTGCAGAGCTGGCGGAGCGGGGCTGGAACTAGTGCTAGGAGGCGATTTTTATTGAAATTACGTGCATAATAGTTACTTCTAAAAAGAAAAGAAAAGGAGAGGAGAGAAATAGAATCATATCTGCTATGAAATCGAACCCCGCAAATCTGCAGACCGAATCCCGGGGAACGTTGGGTTTAGGGCAAGTCCGGGTACCAGCGGGGTATCTCCACTATGCGGGGCCCGCGATAAGTGACCAACAAGTGACCTTGTTACTGCGCAACCCTCTGCAAGATATCACGAATGTTGAAATTGAAGTGAAAAAAAATGAATGTGCTCATTGTCATCGAGATCGTGAAGAAAAAGTAGATACAACTTGGACCGTTGGCAAAAACAAGCCAGACCTCACGCCGTGGGGTACAATGCGAAGGAGAAATGGCAAACCAAATACTTTAGAATGTCCGTTCGATGTTCACTCCTCATTGCAGGGATCCGAGTCAAACCGAACCACACAGCCCTGGAAAAGCGGTCGAGAGGTCAAAATGGCCTGCGCCCGTGCCGCCATCGGAATCGAATAGAAGCGAAGAGTGAGTTCCCCCGAGTTGACTTTTTCGTGAATGCACTCAAGGTTCGAATAACAAAGGTTCTTCGACAACACGGCCTGGACCTCATGCACCAGAGTCGAACGAGTGTGGAGCACAACCAAGCTGCGAGTATGACCATGAGATCTGATCTGCTTTGCCATCGAAGGGCTCAGAGGATAGGTCGGCGTGCAAATCGGAAACACTTGCACTGGAGTGGTGCCGACATAGAATCCATCTTCAATGACGTGGCGGATGAAATTGAAAGCCCCGGTCTGGTACACGAAAGTGATGAGTGCAGTGGGTGAACCAGTGATGCGAGTGGTGTTGAGCAAAGACGCCGAGTAGATCAGACCGCCACGAATTGAAGCAAGGACCTGGGTCAGTGTGACGTGCAGTGGGAGACCCTCAATTTTGACGGCCCGGTAAATGTCTTGGTCGTCGGGGCCCGGGATGTAACGGTTGCCATACAGAAAAAATGCGGTGTCTACCATCGGCGGGCGAGGGAAACAATTTAGAGCACGACCAGCCTGAACGCGTGCCTCTGTAGAACCATCGAAAACGCTCCCATCGCCAGTAGCCCACCGCAGCCAGTTGGCCCGGGTGTCCCCAGTCTCGGTGGGGGCACTATCGATCGCAGATTCGCTCTTGGGGGTTTCCTCCTCGTCACTGCCTTCGTGGATCAGTTGAAGGGGCGATCCCTAATGTATGATTAGTTCTCTGCTGGCTGGTCCACTGGTGTGATGATTGGACGATCTCTTTCATACATACCTGTCGGATCACAGGGTCCACATCGACCAGGATCTTGGGGTTGACAGGGCTAATGTGAGCAGTTAGCACAATGGAAATTCAAGACTACCCTCTCTGGAAGTGGCACACCCAAGGCTGGAGAAGAAGGAAATAACATACCACTGTGGCTTGAGTGTCGGGATCTTGATCTCATCCACGTTCGTGTCCAGGAGTGTCATGTCCTTATTCTCCATGGCACAAGAATGAAAGACAGCGGTCGGATGAGGACCGTCTGATACGGGATCGGAGGAGATGGGGATGGGATCAAAGGGCGGGCTAGGAAGAGCAGTGGAGATGGGGGGAATGGAGGGACGGTAAGAGCAGAGCTTGCGGACAAGGAGAGCTGAAAGAAGCAGGCAGAAGAGGGAACTGCCCAGAAGAGAAAGCGTGATGCTGTCCATGATCACGTGCAGGATGTTGATAGACACGATGGAAATCAAATGAAGAATAGTTTGCTGTCGGTCTCAGGACACACCTGGGCACAGCTGATGCATCAATCTTCCTTTTGACCACAGACAGCCGAACGTTGACGAGAAACGGGTAAGTAACGGCTAAATGATGGCCAGGTAACGTGACAGGCTCCTAGGATTTTGATATCGAAGGCACAGAACGTGAATGATAACCCGACCTTAGCAAGGCTCTGCAGGTCTAACCGAGGAACTGCCCTTCAGCCAGTGCGACCCAGGGTAGGTTCGTGTCCCAGCACCGCTGGATCAATTGACGAGCATTCTGAATCTGATGAACATAGCGTTAATTTGATTCGAGCAAACCGAGAACCAATACGAAAAACCCACCTGCTTCATGCCCGATTTCTCTAAGACCAGAAACCGATCCAATAGCCTGGCTCTCTGTACGGGGTCCCGAGACTCGCAACCGGCTGTGAACAAAGGGAACAGAGAACAAACCTCCGTGGATGCTCCGGGACGCATCTGCCCCAAAGCATCGATGAGCTTGCAAAAGGCATCTTTGACTGCAAAGGATTTGGGAGGAGACCCCAGCACCCTTCGGTGTAGGTGCAGTAACCCTGCATACCGGAACGCCTGCTCTATGGCCATCATATCCACGGCCTCTACACCTTTGTGATGGGTCGGGTTGATGTGGGCGCGCTCACTAAGATCGTCAATATCGCTAAGAACCGCCTGGGCTTCCATGACCATGTCTGCAGAAGGGTGCCAGTCTGGCCGGAAATTCCCCAATTCATCAAAGCGCTGATTGTCGCATTGCTGGACAAGTCGCGCAAGCCTAATGAGGAACACTCCTGTTTGCGAGGTGAATCCCATGAAGCAATCTATGCCAAACTCGTCGTGGCCACCAGGAGGACGGCAACCCATCACAATGGAATGATACAGCATCAATGGGGGCCCGGTTTGGCGACAGGATAGGGCTCCCATCGTGTCGATATAGCCCAACCACCGCGCGAAAAACGCCCCGATTCGGTTGCCAGGACGTGGCAAACTATCACTCCGCGCAAGGAACAAGCCACGGGCGAGTTTGAGATGGCTTTGCCATGTGATGGGGACCTCGAATGTCCCCGGGGAGACGATTTTCAAGGACACAAGCAAGATGGCTGTGGCTAAATGACTATCCGTGATGTTTTCATGGGATGCTTCCAATGCCACACGCAGGGTGGGGAAAACATCGCGGACCCAGTGCGCAATGCGAGTGGCCGGCTCAGGATGCCCTAGATACCGGGCACGATGGCTAGCGGAGTAAGCCAACAATAAATTGAGCAAGTTGGAGTCGCCAACGGCCACTTTTTCAGTCAGCACCGGTACAGGCCAAAGACACATCAGAACTTACTTGACGGCAAGACTGAGATGAATGGATTGTCGTCACAGTCATGCGGAACCAGCATTCGGGACGTATGGTCGAGGAAATGATGGAAATACATCAAATTGATCGGGTTCTCCAGCAACGACGATGGAAGTGGAGACAAATATCGTGGAATGTTGATTGGCACTGGCGACGAATAATACTCGGTATAACCGGGTGTTGGTATTTCAAATGCAGGCCACGGCACCCCCGGATTTAGCTTCTCTTCATTCCGCCACCGAGAGCTGATTAAATCCAAGGCATAGTTGATATCAATGGCTGCATGGTCATTGTTCAATGTCATGTCTTGGTCCGGGCGCCCGCAATCTAACCCATAATTGTCGGTCACGCTGGTGAGATATGCCTTCCATCTGCTCTGGGCTGCAGAGGAATCGATTGCATGTTCATTTTCGGCATCCTGAATCGATTCGCCAAGTTGATGATCTGTCGGCCCTATGACCCTGGTAGCTCCAGTGGTCTTTGGGGACGAGGCAGGACTGTTTATCAAGCTTGAGATGTCATGGGGGCGAACTGAAAAAGAAGATATTCCTGGGGTACCGAGAGAGCGATGAGAATGGCCAGCTTGGCTCCCCATGCCACCCACCGCGATGTCTAAACCAGTATCACCCTGTAAAGGGGTTTCAGGTTTGGTGAATTGGTCCTCACTTTGGCTCTGATGCACGGATGAATCAGATAGGCGATTGGATGCATGAATAGAGTGACGAAGAAAGGATTCCGGCCGAGACACAGAATTGGCGTGGAAGTTAAATGACAGGTCTTCCAATATTGTTTGATTGGAAAAATATTGAAACGGGCCCCTGGAAGAAGTCGAAGTCGCCATAGGAGGTGTCTGTTCCGCCCAAGTCGAAGCAAATTGAATTTCCAGTTGTGACGGTGAGGTCACCGAGCCAGATCCAGAGCGAGGCCTGGGCGAGTCAAAAAGGGCCTCCGGGGCTGGCGTGCTTGGGGAGATTGTCGCTGGGGAGGTCAGATCCCTAGGTCGAGATTTTATAAACCCATCGGTTGGACTCCCTGAAGTGAGCAAAGTTCCTCCTTGCTTACCTGACTGGGGATTTCGGGATTCAACAGCTGGTTGCTTCATTCGGCCTCCCCAGTTCAACCGGATGCTATAATCGCATGGCTCGCCTTGCCGTTGGCAATTGAGGCAAGCCGGTTTTTCCTCACCACTACCAAAGTCAGCACTATTGAACCAATGGTATATGATGTCAGTATGTTCTCCTACCATTTGACCTTCCGGGCTTTGCATGGCCTGGTTCATTTGCGAATTAGCCGCAGGCCGGTGTACACCAGTCAAGCTGAGGAACTCACCAACATCCTTTCCGGCTCCGCCGCCTAGGCTCTGGGGCACCAGGTCTTCTTGGGCGAGGCATTTGCACCTCGACAAAGATCAGGGAGACTTCGAGGTTCAGAAACTAGTATACAGCGATCGAAGCAAGACTCGAGAAACCTCGAGAATGTGATGCACTGTACAGCCGCCATATAGATGTGACGCAGCAAGCCCCGAAACGCGTTAATTAAAACCGTTCTCAAGGCGTGGAAAGCTCGCAATTGACTCTCTTTCTGCGTCGCGAACCGTGTTGTCCCCAGGTAGCAACGAAACGATAATCGACCAAACACCCACACCTAACGTACAAGCACATCGAGGTGTGGGAGGGATATATGCCAAAGATAGGAGCCCTGCTGCAGGAGCAGCTGCTGTTGAATGTGCAAAAAAAGAGGCAAAAATCGAGAATTGCAAGCTGTGACGATCGTGACGATCCCAACTGTCAAAATAAGGTGTTAGCATGAAGCCAGAAGTTGGCTAATGGCCCTAATATGGTATTCTTTTACTAACCTTGCCAGGATCACACCGAGCACAAAGAGGAACAGCTCACAAAGTCACATCCAACGTGGAAAATGTTCACTTGGAGACAATGCGAGAAGTGTGGGGAAGAAGCTTGATCAGGCCCCAGGGCTAGATAAGAGCCGATTTATCCGGATGAATAGTTACGCCACCACCCGGACCGGCAAGCCGCGGCAGCCCGAGCAAGATCACGTGTCTACGTCATAGCAGTCTGTGTCTACGAAGGTCGGGGGTTGTTCCTCGCTGTCATTGGCGAAGAAATCCCTGCGTTCCTGAAGATTTCGACTATCCGACTCCGTCGAAGCTTAGATTCTGTGTGCCCCGAGAATGTCTCAATCTCTCATCCAGAAGCACCCACTTCAGCGGTTGCCCAGTCCCTCCCGTGGGATCTCTGCCCTGGTCCATGTAAGAAGCAGCTTGTCCCATGGTCATGCCAACCCTGGATACTGCAGATCTGGGTCTAACCATTATTTTCTGTCAGGTGTTGGGTCTTGCTAGCTTCATATGGTCTTTCAAATTGTACGAATTCTGTTCCTGAGCACGAGGACTGAGCTCCGTGTTTCAATTCTCCGACACCGTGCAATGCTTGCTGACTTGAACTCAAAAAGCATGGATGATAACCCTAATCGGGCGTAAGTGATTTTGTGTCTTGGCTCAAGAATACCCATGGCTGACAATTTCTACTAGTAATGAGGCTTACGGCTGGCATTTCCAATACCTGACCGTGATCGGGTTGACTTTGTCCACGTTGACCTTCATTACTGCGGTGCTGGCAGATATCACTCTGTCTCGGCGGCTGTTTTTAATCAAAAACCTTCTGTCGGTCTGTAGTGCTCCTATGGAGGTCCTCATCAGTGTACTCTATTGGGGTCTCCGCATGGTAGGTGATTTGATCCCTTTAGGATATTGTCTCATCTAACGTAAAATCATCAGATTGACGAGCGTTTGGTGGTCCCTGATTGGGCTGTGATTCCCCTCCATGCCGGTAGGTCTAGAACCATGACTTTTCCCTAGGTATCCTCAAGGTGTCTTGCTGATATCAGTCAACAGACATCAGCTTCCATGCAATTCCATCTATTGTGATGCTTTTGGATTTGTTGTTTCTGTCCCCGCCTTGGACTATTACTGCTTTGCCATCGTTGGGACTGTCTGGGTCAATTGCTTTTGGATATTGGTTCTGGGTTGAAAGATGTTTCAAGTACAACGGATGGTGGGTTGAAGTTCAAACTATGCCCCGAGTCCCCACTGACCTGCCTAGGTATCCGTATCCCATTTTTGAGCAGCTGCCCACTCCTGGTAGGATTGTCCTTTTCACGCTGAGTGCCGTCGTGATGGCACTGAGTACGGCCACTCTCAAGTGGCTGTATGGCCGCGTTAATGGATTCGGGCTTTCCGTTCCGCCCCAGTCTCGTGCTGGTGATATCAAAAGGAAAGAAGGACTGTGAATCCTCCATTTAGCCGAGAGTTGACAACCCTATCTTTCGATGGTTTCGCCATCCAAGGGACTGTTTGGACCAGCTAAAGGGGATTTCTTTCTTGGGGAAGCATTGGAACCATGGACAGAAGGTGGATTCAAACGATATATACACGATTTGCATAGCATTTTTGCATTTCGGCGATTATATTTTCGGTGTCTAAATTTCGGGATACAAGGAGAGGATTTCGAAGCGAGTACATATTCAATCATGCTTGATGATCTAGGTAGATTACAATTAGAAACCATTTTTAGGGGCTTATGTGGTTGACGAAGCTCATCATAGTATAAAGTTGTGGTTTCTTTCATTGGCCTTGTTAATCGACCATGGCATTGTCCTTCTATTTCTCGGTCTTGCCCTCTTCCACCCATCCTTCAGGCGGGGCTCGAACCTCATAGTTCCATCCCCAAGTATCATCAATGGCCCCGGATTGAATTCCTCGCAGTGTTTGCAGCAGCTTGATACAGACCTCGCCGCCCTGGCCTTCGGATCCGGAGTGGTATTCGAACTTGTCGCCACGCGAGCGCATCGTGATACTACCCACCGGCACCAACGCGGCTGCAGTGCCCGCTGCAATCACCTCATCAAACTGCCTGAGCTCCTCATACCCGACGCGGCGCTTTTCCACGCGGTACCCAAGCTTCTGCGCAATCTCGCCGACGGACGCCGCCGTCACGGAATCAATGGCATTGCGGCTGTCGGGCTGCACAACGGTGATATTGTCTCCGTCCCGTTTCACACCAATAAACGCCGACGTCGAGAACTCGTCGACCTCGCTACGGGTCGCGCTGTCCAAATGCAGCGTGATTCCAAACCCTTCGCGGCGCGCGCGGTCGCTATGCCGCAGCACCGGCGCATAGTTGCCTCCCAATTTGGCGGCACCCGTGCCATGCGGTGCACATCGGTCAAAGTCCTCCAGGATCAGCGCGTTCACGGCGTGCGCCCCGTGGTACACACCAGTCGGCATCGCGAAGACCGCCAGCGTGTATCCGTCCGGGGGGCTGAGCCCCAGCTGCGCGGACGACCCGAACAGCACAGGCCGGACGTACATGGCAGCGCCGGACTCGTGCGGCGGCACAAACTCTGCATTCGCGGCCACGGCCAGGCGCACGCACTCGAGGAATAGCTCCTCAGGAACCGGCGGAATGGAGACCACCTCGGCTGAGTTCTGCATTCGCTTTGCGTTGCGGTCGGGCCGGAAGATGGTGATCTTGTTTTCGGCGTGCCGGAATGCTTTCAGGCCCTCGTATACCTGCTGTCCGTAGTTCAGGCCTGGGGCCATGCCGTGGATGGACAGGAAGGGCGAGGCGACGAAGCGCGGCGCGGACCACTTGTTGTTGCCGGAGAGAGAGAGGTGGCATTCCACGTGGCCATTGACTGTGAAGAATTAGAGATTTCCTAGTTTGTATGATCTAAAGGCACACACCATCGCGCACTTGGAAGCCCACATTCGCCCAGTCGAGGGCGGCGGGTTGAGGAGGAAACATTTTGTGGAGAGAAAAACGGCGGGGGTCGGGCAATTTAAACAACCAGCGGTCAGCAGTCACCAGCCAGCACCAAGGTGCCTCGATGGGTATTTGAATCAGAGTGTGTTCTGCAATTTGCATTTGATCTGTCATTTCCACGCATGTTTTATTTATCGATCTATTCCGATCTCTGGTGACACTAGACTACAGCGTCACGAATCCTCCGTCCTCGCGAATGATGCCCATGTCACTACTCGCCTCCATCCGCTCGCTACGCCCAAACGCTGTCACCAAACACACCTTCAACCCCCCCGGGACCTCATGTTGGGCGAATTTGCGATAGTGGTCTGCGATATTCTCGAACTCGTCCTCGTACGTGAACATCCAAGATGGGTCCAGCTTGCCTTGCACTACGAGATCCAGTAGAAACGGGTGATACTGGTATCTTCGTCAACCAACACGCCACTTCGGTCAGATTTCAAATGGGAGAAAGGGGGGACAATGCACCTTCTGAGGCCATGCCTGACCACCGCGAATCGTCAATGCCTTCTGCATCATGGGTCCGATTGGGAAATCGTGGGTCGTGTAGAAGAAGTCACCAATAAGCGCAACATTGCCACCCTTGCGCGTTGCCTTGATGATGGCCGCTACCGTATCGCTACTGTCCCGCTCTAGACCGATCGCTCGCATCGCAGCGTGCGGCGGCTTCTGCGTGCTGCGGAATCCACTGGCTTCGATGGCTCGATCGAGCCCACCTGGCTGAATCGACAGGATGTAATCGCCTATCTCGGGGTTCGCACCCACGTCAACGGGAGTCATGCCGAATTCCTCGGCGAGCCGCAACCGCTGCGGGTCCTTGTCTAGTCCATAGATCTTCTTGGCACCCCGGAGCTTGGCCAGCCTTTGAACCGAGAGGCCCACCGGCCCACAGCCCCAGACACCGATGATATCGCCGGCCTGCACCTCGGCCAGTTCTAGCGCATGCCAGGCAGTGGTGACGACATTTGTCAAACCAAGGAGTTTGCGGGGGTCGATGTCTCGCGGTGCCTTGACGCACGAAAGATCCGCGTTTGGCACTCGACAATACTCTGCTTGATTTCCGGGGTACCCACCACAGAGCCGGCTGTAGCCCAGGATCCCGGACAGCCGGTGGCCATATAAGGTTTCCATTTCCTTGCTGGGATTTGTGACATCGCACAGAGAGTATTGCTGGCGCTGACAATAATCGCAGCTGCCACATGCAATGATAGGCAAGATGATGACTCGATCTCCCGGCTTCAGGGACTTGACTCTCGGGCCTACCTCTTCTACGAATCCGATGGCTTCCTGTCCCAGGATGTCGCCTTTTTGCATCGCGTCGTTGAGGTCTCCCTCGTATAAGTGCAAATCAGATCCGCAGATGGTACAATGGGTGATTTGCACAATGGCGTCGCTTGGGTCCGTGATGGTTGGCTTGGGAACGACTCCAATTTCGACTTCTCGTGTGCCCATCCACCGCGCCGCCTTCATGGTATTTGTTGGGTGTGGGTTGTACTCGATCTTAGTGATCGGGCTAGTCTGGGTGAGTGACGTTGGAAGCCCAATGGCAAGTCCACACTTACTTGGGCATTACGACTGCCATGCCTGAAGAGGATGGTTGGTGCTCACACCAACATGTGGAAGGGACAAAAGGAACATTCGAACCCACGAGACCGCGAACACTGAGTTCGGAAATCGGGTGCTCAACTCAAGGATTCCGTGTTGAAGCGAGATGGTCTTGCCGATGACTAGCACGCAACCCTACGGGCGTCCATCCTGAGATCAGCATGATGCTAGTCGAGTGGCCAGGAAACCACAGGGGGCCAAGCCTTCTGTCATAAAAGACAAGATTCGGAAATCATCGCCGGGTGATGTAATCTGCTTCGATTCACCATGGGCGCCCATTTTTTGCTGGAGGGTGTTTATGCCAACATAAATGCCACTGGCGGACCACGGATATTAAGAGGGACGCGCGCGCTATCTCCTATCGGTGGGGCCACGGCCCGTAACGATGTCCACATCGGGGACCGCGACAGGGAGGTCCGTGTTTCGGCCCGACCATAGAATTTTCGATGGACGCCAAAATAATACAATGACTCGCCTTTCGGCTTTATAAATTTTCAATCTTTTGGCCGAGTGATAGTCTCTAAATGGGCTGACCTAGTGGATGCTACTATCGATCCAGCGGACTATTCCTGCTTATGAGGCTCTTGTGATTTTTACCATAGAATCTACGTTCAATATTTCTCATGACAAATAGACCATAGACCAGAATCACCCACATATTGGAAGATATTGGAGTATCATAGGGGGCCATTAATATCGAAGTGTCAAGGAGCTTGCACTCTCCACAAATCACGGGACGGTCGGCGAGTCGGAGGTCCGTTTGGCCCGAGCCCTACTTTTTTCCTTCGCGAATCGTTGACGGCATCAAGTATCTCAGCATACTCCAGCATACTCCACTGCATCGGACCTTGGGTGTTCCGTTCGCTCATGGAAGGATTCATAGTTGATTTTTTTCCTTTATAAGGGCCACGGTCATCCCCGAATTTGATGGTCTGCTTACTTCCACTCTTGACTGTACCGTCCACTGGACACCCCCCTCAAGATGGACAAAGAAATCAAACCTGAGTTCGCCCCAATCTCTGAGCGCATTCCAACGGCAACCGAGGAGTGCGAGCTGGAATCTATAAGTCGGATTGCCTCCAGCAGACTCGGCCGAGCACTATCGGCATCTGCAAGTCAAAAAGAAACTCAAGATCCCGCCCTCGATCCCACCAGCCCACAGTTTGACCATCATCGGTGGGCGCAAACGGTACTGGACCAAGTCCATGAATCTGGTATTGACCTTCCCAACCAGGGTGTGGTCTTCTCCAATCTCTGCGTGAGTGGCTCTGGCTCTGCCCTGCAGTTTCAGGAAAACCTGGTCTCGAGCTTCACGGTCCCCTTTCGCGCTGCCGCAGCAGCTCTTACCGGGCGCCGAACCCCCCATCGACGGATCCTTGACAACTTCGATGGCCTCCTTGAAGGTGGCGAGCTTCTGCTCGTCTTGGGTCGCCCTGGAAGCGGGTGCACCACTTTGCTCAAGACTCTCTGTGGCCACTTGGGCGGCTTGACCCTCGAGTCTGGCAGTACGCTTCACTACGAAGGCGTGGATCGTGACTACATGATTAAACATCACCGTGGCGAGGTGGCATACAATAAGGAGGTCGATTTGCACTTTCCCCATCTGACTGTGGGTCAGACACTGTCATTCGCCGCTCATGCGCGCGCACCACACAAGCGAATCAAAGACATAACGCGAAACGAATTTGTGGAAACCATTACCCAAGTTGTCATGTCAGTGTTTGGTCTCTCTCACACCTACCATACCAAAGTCGGCAATGAATTCATCCGCGGAGTGAGTGGCGGCGAGCGCAAGCGTGTCAGCATCGCCGAGATGTTCCTGTCGCGCTGCCGCATTGGCGCCTGGGATAACAGCACGCGTGGGTTGGATGCAGCATCGGCCCTCAAGTTTGTCCGGTCGATGCGTCTCGCCGCCGACATGGGCCAGTCCTGCCATGCCATTGCCGCCTACCAAGCGTCGCAGTCGATGTTCGACCTCTTCGACAAGGTGGTGCTTCTCTACGACGGCCGCGAAATCTACTACGGTCCCCGGGACCGTGCTGTGGCCTACTTCCAAGACATGGGCTGGGAGCGGCCAGAACGTCAAGTCAGTGGTGATTTCCTTACGGCGATTACCAACCCCATTGAGCGCAGGGCTCGTCCTGGCATGGAAGACAAAGTGCCACGCACTTCGGTTGACTTTGCTCAGTACTGGAAGCGAAGCCCCGAATACCAGAACCTGCGCAACCAGATTACTACATACGAACGAAAACATCCTCCGAACGGCGACGACGCGAAAAGACTACAGCTCAGTCATGAACAACAACAAGCGCGTCACACGCGATCCCGCAGCCCGTACCTTCTCTCCGTGCCGATGCAGATCCGACTCTGTATACAGCGAGCCTACCAGCGAATGCTCAACGACCTGCCGACGGCCATGTCCCCCGTGGTCGTCCAGATCATTTTGTCGTTGATTATTGGCTCTATCTTTTACAACAATCCAGACAACTCGGACTACTTTTTCCAAAAAGGCGCGGTCATGTACTTCGCCGTACTCATGAACGCCCTTCTCACTATCAACGAAATCATGCAGCTCTATAACCAGCGGCCAATCGTCGAGAAACAGAATGGCTATGCATTCGTTCATCCGTTCACCGAAGCCCTGGCCAGTCTGGTAGTTGATCTTCCGATCAAACTCTTGCGTGTCACTATATTCTCCGTTGTGCTCTATTTCATGACAAACCTGCGTCGAGAACCCGGCCCGTTCTTCATCTTTTACCTATTCCTGACTACGGCTGTCCTGGCTATGTCGGGTCTCTTCCGGAGCTTAGGTGCGCTGACCAAGACTGTCGGACAGGCCATGGCCATGGCCGGTGTTCTGGTGCTTTGCATTGTTGTTTATACAGGATTCACCCTCCCACAGCCATATATGCATCCATGGCTCTCGTGGATCCGGTGGCTCAACCCAATCTACTACACCTTCGAGGCACTGATTGCCAACGAATTCCATGGGCGCAACTTCGACTGTCCCTCAATTATCCCGAGCTATGGAGTCGGTACTTCTTTTATCTGCTCCGCCGTTGGTGCAATGGCTGGTCAGCGCACTGTTTGGGGCGATGCCTTCATTGAGCAGAACTACCAATACTCGCACTCCCACCTTTGGCGAAACTACGGCATCCTCATTGCGTTCGTCATCTTTCTCAACGGCCTTTACCTGACTGCCACGGAATTCATCTCCAGTGACAAATCCAAGGCAGAGGCCTTGGTATTCCGCCCAGGCCACGCACCGAAATACCTCCATCCCGGCGAGGATACTGAGGGCGGCCAGACCGAGCTCACCAAACTCGAAGTGGAACAAACCAATGAAACAATCCGTCTCCCGGAGCAGACCGACATCCTTTCGTGGAAGTCCCTGAATTATGACATTCCCGTCCAAGAGGGCACTCGACAATTGCTGAACGATGTAAACGGCTGGGTCAAACCGGGCAGCTTGACCGCATTGATGGGTGTTTCTGGTGCTGGAAAAACAACTCTGCTGGATGTTCTCGCTCAGCGGGTTTCTATTGGTGTTGTCTCTGGCGACATTCTGGTTAACGGCAATCCCCTTGCGGCAAACTTCCCTCGTCGAACAGGATATGTGCAACAGCAGGATCTGCACCTCCAGACCACCACTGTGCGAGAGGCCCTGCGCTTTAGCGCCGTGCTTCGCCAACCCCGTGCCGTCACCAATCAAGAAAAGTACGAGTACGTTGAGCAGGTCATTAAGGTCCTCGGTATGGATGACTTCGCCGAAGCCGTGGTAGGCTCTCTCGGGGAGGGCCTGAACGTGGAACAGAGAAAGCTGCTCAGTATTGGGGTTGAACTTGCTGCCAAACCTACGCTGCTGATCTTCCTCGATGAGCCAACTAGTGGTCTGGATTCTCAGAGCTCGTGGACAATCGTCCAGTTCCTTCGAAGGCTCGCAGATCATGGACAGGCTGTCCTCGCAACCATCCACCAGCCCAGTGCACAGCTCTTCCAAACGTTCGATCGCTTACTCTTCCTGACCAAGGGAGGAAAGACAGTCTACTTTGGAGACATTGGTGACCAATCCTCGACACTCCTTGAATTCTTCGAACACAATGGCGCCCGGCCGTGCCAGGAAATGGAGAACCCAGCCGAGTATATCCTTGAAATGGTTGCTGGAGACGCCTGTCCCGGTGTCGACTGGGCCCAAGTCTGGAAGAAGAGCCCAGAGTATCAGCAAGTTGTTGCGGAAGTTGACCGCCTTCATTCCCCCGAGAATCGCACCGACCACGAATCGCCTCTGGGTGATGACGATGCCGAATTTGCCATGCCGCTGTACAGCCAACTCTTCTACGTTCTCACCCGTGTCTTCCAACAATATTTCCGACAACCGGAGTATGTCTTCGCCAAGTTCCTTCTGGGTATTACCTCGGGTCTCTTCATTGGTTTTTCGTTCTGGAAATCCGATAATACCCAGCAAGGCTTCCAGGATGTACTGTTCAGTATCTTCCTGTTGTGCACCATCTTCAACACGCTTGTCAACCAGATTATGCCGAAGTTCGTAACGCAGCGTTCCCTGTACGAGGTCCGCGAACGCCCATCGCGCATCTACTCATGGAAGGTGTTTATCCTTTCCCAAGTGCTAGTTGAAATCCCCTTTCAGATCTGTCTTGGAGTCTGCGCCTGGGCATCTTTCTACTGGTCTGTGATCGGCAGCGAGCAGGACCCCGAGCGACGCGCGCTGGTGATGTTGTTTATCGTGCAGTTCTACATCTACGCGGCGAGCATGGCCCAGCTGGTTGTGTGCGCTATCCCGGAACCCGCCATGGCCGCCATGCTGGCGACGCTGATGTTCGGTCTGTCGTTCATCTTCAACGGCGTGATGCAGCCCCCAGACGACCTACCCGGTTTCTGGATCTTCATGTACCGCGTCTCGCCCTTTACATACTATGTCAGCGGCATCAGCAGCACGGCGCTGCATGGCCGCAAGGTGGAATGCAATGACTTGGAAATGAAGGTCTTCGACCCGCCGTCCGGCCAGACCTGTGGTGAATATCTCAAGAAGTACTTGGATGTTGGCATTGGTCACCTTTCTAACAAGAATGCCACCAGCAACTGCCAGTACTGCGCCATGCAGTATGCAGATGACTACCTGGCAGCCCGGAAGATCTTCTGGGAGGACCGCTGGAGGAACTATGGGATATTTTGGTGCTACTTTATTTTCAATATCTGTGGGGCTATTGCGCTGTATTACCTGTTCCGGGTCCGGAGCTGGAAGGCTAAGACGAAGACTGCCTAATGGGGCCTTGATGGTTGTATAGCTGGGGAAAGATGGTATCAAAATATTTTTAGTATATGTTTATGAACTACATAATGTCTTTTCTCTCTTCAAGTTGTGTCTTTTTTTAGATATGTTTCTTTATTTAGATCCTTTTTATAGTATTTATGATGCTTTTATCTTTCTAGCCTAGGGTTCGTGTAAGACTATCCCCTACAAGTACTTACTCTCTATATTCTTCTTTAGATATCCTTTCCCTAGATCCCCTCCTTAAGAGAGGGAGGGGTGGGCTGCTTGAGTGATTGGATAGGCTCTATTTATTCATCAAAATTTGTAGCTTCTTGTTTGCTTTATATGCGCGTGTTGTTTACCATCATCTCACACTCCATTCCACTTCTACATATTCTTTCCTTCATTTATCTTTTCTTTACCATCCTCCTTCATTCACTTCATCAAATCTATCTCCTCTTACCATCCTCAATCTCTCCTTGATTTCGTTTTCCATGAAAAAAGTCCCTCAAATCACCATGCCTTCTGCTCAGAAAGGCAGAAACAGCTAGAAAAGCAGAGACACAATAAATGCTACAAACAAATCCAGGTCCCCCTTACTCCATGAGAAACCAACCACCAGAGTGTGTAATAGTCCCTCATAAAAGGCCATTTTCTCAATCAGAGAACAGTCTGACGCTTTCTGATATTTAGCTGCCTAACCGCGTGGATATTCCAATCCACAACCACATGGTGTGCATGGTGGGTGGGCGGGTATGAACGTGATGATGTGGAAAGGGAGACGCCCTTCATCAGAGATCGATAAGTTCCGGTATCTCTATGGCTTGGATCCCGACACAATCTTGCAAGTTGGTGAGTTCTGCCCGTGTCTATTTCTTGTGATTCTTGATCTGTTTTCTTGGCTGACAGATATGATTCCAAACCCATTAGATGGTCTGGGCCGTGATGTCTTGAATGTTTTGGATGCGGCTGGAGAATTCCATCTACAGGGGGTGCATCTTGATGATGAACACGAAATCTTCGAGTGGGGTATTGAGTTGGTGGAGGAGGGTAAGTACAAGGAGACAGAGGAAGCCAGTCGGAAATTCCCTTTTCAGTCCAGCTTCGTTGAGCTCGACTCCATTATGGGGTCTTTGGAGGAGGGATGAGGTCCCCTTTTATTTTCGGCTTTAGACTCTTATGACGATGTGACTGCCCAGATGTATGATTATGCTCAATTATGATCGAGTACAGACTCTGCACCCATTTGCCTATAAGGAGGAACTCAGGGCAAACTCCAAGTAAATCCACAAAGTGTAGACTCCACAGAGGATGGCTGTATTTACTGACCGTGAAGTTGCTCGGAACTCTGAAATAAACCTTGTCCCTAGTAAAGGTTCTTTTTTTATATCAGACCACCCTTGCTCTGTCTCCGCTTTGGTTGGTTTAATCTTGCTTGTTGATTCTCTACTAGGAAATACAAAGTATGCTTTTATATATCATAGCTAACGTTGGAAGTGGTCTGTGATTAACTAACATAAAAGAGCGTTGTTTAGTGAATATGTGCATCTTGCTTGCTCTTATATATCTCTTACCTCTGCCTATATTTACCCTACTACCACCATATCTCTTTTCTACTTTATCTACTTCCATTCATCATCTCGCTATCCTCCTATTTCCATGCTTCACTCTATATATCGTTCACCTTTGTAAAAAGGTTACATATCATCTATTGCTCTTCTTCCGCTTATTTCCCTTCCTCTGGGGAGCTATCACGCCATCCAATACTTCTCTGAAAGCTTTCAAACCATCATGGGTTTTTTTTTTTGCCTTTTCTAGGCAAGAACAGAGAGAGAGAAAGAGAAAGAGAAAGGTATTCGAACGGACCAATTGCCATAGGACCCTGCTCCGTCGCCATGGGCCTTTGGAATCTTTGGTCTGAATCCATTTATTATGTAGATTAAGCACCTGGACACTACGCATTGTATGATGTTTTCTGGTCTCTGATTTGACTGCCTTACTACTGAGGCTTCGCCGGCATCCTCCCATATCGATCCGTCCGCATTGACAGTTCGAGCAGAACCCCGTTTACAATATGTAAATGCCACGCCCCACAGACCCGATGATGTCTACTGAGTGTGAAGCTCCCAAGCGTCCCCATGCAAGCCAGAGGCCCTACCCGCCATAAGCTTGATTTCTTTGCCGTCCCTGGACACAAGAGTGCCGCTCGCCCCAGATAGATAGACCTCTCCAGTGGTGCCAGCGGGGGTCTGAAAGGAAAATTGATTGTAACCACCTCGAGCGCTGCGCTGGAAAGAGGTCGAGAAATTGCCGCGGGAAGTTAGAAATCCAGCATCCACGATGGTGAGATTGCCTGGTTGCGGAGCAATACGCCAGGTGACGCCTGCAGGTCCAGTGAGCTGGATACCAGCCGCATAGAACGTGAGGGCTGAGGTTGGGCCTGTCGACCAACCATGAGCATGCGATATCCGGGGGTCGTTTGTGTATGGTGCATAGTGAATTGAACCGTCCGTGGAGTATCCTTCGATGAATGTGGATTGGGTCATTCGAGAATCCTCCAGCATAAATCCCCATTGCAGTCGGATCAGATCCAGGGCAGTTTCTGAGCGGCCAGCAAGATAATGCGCCTGTAGCTCGAACCCACCGATGAACGGGGAGATGGTCTTACCCACCTCTGGTGCTGGGGCACCGTACTTACCCCAGCGTGACTGGAGAGCGGAAGAAACTGTGTTGCTCTGACGGGCCGAGAGCGTCAAGTTGGCCTTGATCGCCCAGGCATTTCCATCTTGCGGGTACAGCGTCGTTGTCTCATTATCGCGATAGAGACCTGCCTGGTTATCCCATAGCTTTTGGTTGGCGACAGACTTGATCTTGGCCGCAGTACGCTTCCAAGACTCCGCGGAAGACGTGTCGTTAAGTTGTTCCGCCAACTTCTGTGCATCTTGAAGCACGAAATATAGAATGGCATTAGCCTCGATGTTCTACGAATGGTGAGCACATGATCATGTTCTAATGAACCAAACCGGTGAACGACTTACATGGCCTCCCATGCCGAATCTTAGCCAGTCAGAGCAGGCAGTAATATTGGCCAGACCGGTTTTGTCGACACTCAAGAGAGCCCACCGAACTGCTCTCTTATATTGTGACCAGTGTCGGGATAGCCAACTGCGGTCACCCGAGAAGAGATAGAGATAAGACACGCCGATGAGACTGTGCAGATGGTACGTGAAGCTCACGCTATCCCGAAAGGGTCGTTCCGCATAAGGTAGGCGGCCATCGGACTTTTGCAAGTCAAGCAACGACTCCAGGGTATTTTGTACGCTGTATAGGTCACCAGTACTAACAGCGATACTCTCGAGAGCAATGGACATGTCTCCCGGCCAAACCAATCGATCACGCTTGGCACCGTCGGTAATGATACTGCTTCCATTGCCGATGGTGGTGTTGCTCCACCAGGTATCGGTCTGAGGAAGATGAATATCGTCATCCGAGGTAATACTGCCCAGATGCACCAGAGAATTGCCCTGAGTGGGATCGATAGTACAGAGCTGATTAGTGTATGCCCCTGCATACCAAATCTTGTTGAGAAGCTCGTCGTCTGAGTGAAAATATCCCGTATAGCGTCCAAGGTCCTGAGTTGGCGCAGCAGTGAAGTTTACGTGGAGATGACGAACGGGAATTGTCGCAGTGGTGTTGCTCACAAGTGTGAGATATCGGAGGCCACCACGCAGGTGCTTCTTCTCGGAGGCATAGTGGCCAGTCCCGCGACCAACCGGAAACCACAGCGGGGAATCCAAGCCCGCATCAGAGGTGCCATCAGAGGCTTCGTGGCGGATAAAGAGACTCGACTCGGAGAAGGTGACACCAAGGAAGGCTGAAGGGGATGAAGCAGATCCCACATCGAGCGATACGAGACCTGCAATATTCTTCCCGAAATCGTAGGTTACCGATGAAACACCATTGAGGGTCGTACCACCGGCGGACTGGATCAGGGCCCTGGCATTGGTGACCGACCCATTAACACTGTGTACAGAAGCCGGGAGCAGCTCTCGTGACTTCGGAGCCAAAATATAATCCTCGTAGGGCACGCCGGAAGCAGTTGCGAGGCCGCCCAGAAGTAAAGCAGCGACGATCGAATACATAGCGGATTGGGGGATTCTGAGCAATCGATTCCTCCTTTGTGGCGACCCAAAGAAGAGGACCCACCATATTAAGTAGCTGCGACATCAGGAACTCGCAAAACCTGTGTCCCATCGACCCTCGGGAGAAAGCAGTCCGGCCAAGTTGGAGATCGGTTGATCAGCGCACCGACATACCCATTGTAGCAGTGGAGATGGGATGTGGGGATGTCGGGGAATTTCTGCAGGCTCAGAGTCTGTCTGCACGGGTATGATATTACCAAGTCCCAGGGCAGTCTATAAAGCGATGCATGAAGGCATAGTCCCAAAGGTCCCGAGGGATGCAGGGATGAAAGTGTGGAGGAGGCAATTTCGACTCCGGCGGCACGTTGACATTGCTCCCTCCTTCTCCCCCCCCTCAACCCCCATTCTTTTTACCTTCCAACCTCCCCTCCGCGTTTCATCCACATACGCACTGGTCGCCCAGCTTGTATGTGAAAGCATCAAGAACTGCTGACCTCTTTGACCATCTCCATCGCATCCTCAGGCCAATCCAACGGCGAACGGATCGACCGCCAAGACGGGGCAGGATCCATGGATACGTATTGGTGCGCCCAGGCCCATTCTGGGGGTTGACACTGTGGGTCACCATGATCTTCTCTTCCATCTCCTCAGCTCTCTCACCCCATCAACGCTGGCAACAACATGGCGTCCAGCACGACGACGGTGACGGCTGCCGATACTTCTCGGGTCAGTCCCCAGGGAGGTATTCTCGAAGGAGGAAATCCGTCTCACTATGACTCAAAAAACCCCATCGTGCTATTTATTATTCAGGTAGGAGCGCCTGTTTTTACAGGGATACATGTCCAAAAAACCCATCCTAACATCGACACAGGCCGTGATCATTATCGTGCTCTGCCGCCTGCTCCACTGGCCCCTCTCCAAGATCCGTCAGCCACGGGTCATCGCCGAGGTCATTGGTGGGATCGTCTTGGGCCCTTCGGTGATGGGTCGCATTCCCGGATTTACCGACGCCATTTTCCCAAAGCAAAGCATCCCAAGTCTAAACCTGGTCGCTAACCTGGGTCTGGTCCTCTTCCTGTTTCTCGTCGGCCTGGAGACGGACCTGAGGTTTCTCATGAGCAACTGGCGCATCGCTCTCAGCGTTTCTGCGGCGGGGATGATTTTGCCTTTTGGACTAGGATCAGCCATCTCCTATGGACTCTACAACGAGTTCCATGACGAGCCAGGCACAGTACCCATCCAGTTCGGTACCTATCTGCTCTTCATCGGCATTGCTATGGCAATCACTGCTTTCCCCGTTCTGTGTCGAATCTTGACCGAGTTGAAACTCCTGGGAACCCGAGTCGGCGTGATTGTTTTGTCCGCCGGAGTGGGCAATGATGTCGTCGGCTGGATTCTGCTTGCGCTCTGCGTAGCGCTGGTAAACGCCGGCAGCGGGATCACGGCGCTGTGGGTGTTGCTGGTCTGCGCAGGATACATGCTCTTTTTAACCTTTGCCTTCCGTCCGCTATTCCTTCGCTTCTTGGAGCGTACGGGTAGCTTGCAAAAAGGGCCCAGCCAGTCTGTGGTGACTTTGACCTTGCTCATCGCCCTTGCCTCGGCGTTCTTCACACAAGCTATCGGAGTCCACGCCATCTTTGGCGGGTTCGTCATTGGCTTGATTTGCCCACACAAAGGAGGATTCGCTATCAAGCTGACAGAGAAAATCGAGGACCTGGTCGCCGCTCTCTTTCTGCCCCTGTACTTCACTTTGTCGGGGCTGAGCACCAACCTGGGTCTCCTTGACAGTGGGACCGTCTGGGGCTACGTGGTCGGTGTGATAGCCATCGCCTTTATCGCCAAGGTGACAGGAGGCGCTCTGGCATCCCGCGCCTGTGGATTGCTGTGGCGAGAAAGCTTCTCGATTGGCGTGCTCATGAGCTGTAAAGGATTGGTTGAATTGATTGTGCTGGCGAGTCCTACTATTTCTCGAAAAATTCCTTATTTGACTCAGCTGACGTGAACATGGTAGAATATTGGCCTTCAAGCCAAAATCCTCACGACGCGCACATTCACCATTTTTGTAGTGATGGCCCTAGTTACAACATTTCTCACCACTCCTTTAACTACTGCGCTTTACCCAAACTGGTACCAGGTCAAAGTCGAGCGTTGGCGACGCGGGGAGATTGACTGGGCCGGTAATCCCGTGCAACAAGAAGATCGATCTGATAGTGTGACGGTTGCCAAGGACCAGCTGAAGTCAGTCCCTGTGCGCAAGCTGCTGGTTTACCTTCGTCTGGACGGTCTTTCTGGTATCTGCACTTTGGCAGCTCTCCTCAGTTCTAACCGCGTAGCCTCCTTGCTACCACGAGTACACCCAGCCAATGTGCCCAAGCAGACCGACCAGAATGTTGAGGATGCTGTTACCCCTGCAGAAAACGAGGAAGAGACCGCGTTGCGAGTGCATGGTGTCCGCCTCATGGAACTGACCGATCGTGACTCGAGTGTCATGAAAGTCTCAGCTGCGGGCGAGCATGCGCTTTGGGATCCTGTTGTCAACACCTTCCGGGCCTTTGGCGAGTGGCATGACCTGTTGCTCATGGCGGGGGTATCTGTGGTACCCGAGTACTCGTATGCCGATACTGTGATTGGCATGGCGCGTCAAGACACCGCCGATCTCCTTCTCCTCCCATGGAGCGAAACGGGAACGTTGGCAGACCGACAGAACGGCCTGGATGTTGATGAGGCGGGCCGGTTCGCAAATGGGCCATACACAGACTTCGTCTCCAATATCCTGGAACGTGTTCCCGGCCATGTGGGGATATTGATTGAACGAAGCCTTGAGACACAATCCGCGGCCGCGAAACGTCTTGCGACCAAGCGCTCGACCGGTGCCATGAGTATCCAAAGTTCTCTTTGGACTAGACCACCTACTGGCAATCGCTCGCACCACATTGTTCTCCCGTTTTTTGGTGACGAGGATGATCGATTCGCGCTCCGCTTTGTTCTTCAGCTGGCCCAGAACGACCAAGTCACAGCTACGATCATTCAATTCGGATCATTGAATGCTGAAGTGGCCAAAGCTACCATGTCTACCACGATTTCCGCGTCTAGTTCGAACGCACGACCTCAGGCGACACCGGGCCATCCATCTGATCTTGTCTTTTTCGAGACCTTGCGCGATTCGGTGCCCACCGAGCTGAAGGAGCGTGTCGTGTTCCGACAGCCCGCTGCCCAGGAAAGTATCAGCGATCCGGTTCGATTAGCGGTGGCGGCTGTAAGAGAAGAGCTCGACCCGGCCCTCCACAAAGCCAACAGCATTGTCGTAGTCGGCCGTGGGAGTACCCCAGCTCAAGATTTGAACTCTACCTTTGAGGACGGCATTGGAACCGACACCCGCCGGGCCCTGGGGTCGGTAGGTACAGCGATGGTGCAGCCTGAAAATAAGATCTTCGGCAGTGTCTTGGTTCTCCAAGCTGGGTCAGAGGCCGCATTATTTAGTGATTACCGGTGATTTGAGAGCCATTTTGTTTGAATTATGAGAATCTTGATTATGGAATTTTTGTGCAATGAGAGCCTGGGGGTTCTTCCCTTTTTGTCATGGCCATTTGACCGAATTATTATCACCAATTACCCCGTAGGTCATCATGGCACTTGGCGCTGGGTATTATGGAGGGTCCTTCAGATGAGATATATACCTCCGGGGTATTAAATATATATTTTTTTGCCTCGACATGAAGCAGAGAAAACAAGGAAAGGAGAGACTACGTATGCAAAGTATCCATCACTGACCAGAGGATGTAGAACTCGTTTGATGAGACGAGTCCCAAAACCACGGCGGGCTGTACTCTCGGCGGACGTGGCGTGGATAGTCGAGGTGTGAAGACGGGGTTTGCGAGGACGAGATTTGATTGATCTCACGGGTACTGGATGGCAGTTCTTCGTCGTTGTAGGCCCCGCGAGCAATAGCAACGAGTTTGCCGAGGATGGCATATTCCAGCTTCAGTTTGATACTGTAGGCGACGGGTTTGAACATGACTTGGACGGCATAGTAGCCGACGTATTCGATGACGACGACGGCGACGTCGAGGACGAGGATGAGGATGTTGATGGTGAGTAGTTGGTGCAGGATGCCGTGGGGACGGCCCTGCGGACGAAGTCGCAAGAGCTTGACGGTCTCCCATACATAAATACCGGAGATGACCAATTCCTGGATGCAGAATCCCAACAGCTGGATGCGCTCCATGATATTGTAGCCATGGGCGAAGCCGCCGCCGAAATCTGATACGGAGCCGTATAGTAGTACGGTCGTGGGGATGTGGAACAGCACGGCATCAATGCCGATCATCCACAGGACCCCCCACAGCACCTTGGTGTTCTGTAGCACGAGGTGTAGGCGGGACCACAGCACGATGGACTGGCCGGTCACCATGCAATACCAGCCGAGGATAATGAGCGTGACGCAGACGTAGGCCGACACGCCTGTCGGGAAGAAAAGAAGGACATAGCCGAGGCAGTTCGGGATGATGCCGGCGGACGCGATCAACAGACTCCAGAAGTAGCACCCGCGCCATCGCTTGAACGAGACGAAGCACAGAACCACCAGTTCGATGGCATTGTACCAGGCGACGGCGGCGAAGGCGGCGAAGATGTGCGTGTGCACCAAACGGTCCGGCGAGTACTTGTGGATCAGCGACGTCGAGATATCGCTGGCGCTGTCGGTCGACATGGGCGGAGAAGGCACATTGCTCGAACCGCAGAGCTCGGCGTGGCTTCACGGCTGGAAGAGAGAGAGAGAGAGAGGCGCAGGTGAGAAAAGAGGAAAGGGGGAGAAAGAGAGAGAGAAGTAATGCCCACTTTCAAAAGGGACAGGCGCGCGGCACTTCCGTTGAAGGAGCGCGTGCCGATCCAAGTTTGCTGACCCTTGGCCCTTGGACCGATCCCTCGAGACTATTGTTCATGTCGGGGTCATAACGTTGGCATTACGGGTTTGAGCACGCCCCACGGGATAGTTGAGAGGAGGTGGGGTAACAGCAGAGACTGCTTTTTGTGTCGAGGCGGCTATGACAGCTACTCGAGGGGTTCGTTCCATGGTGCATCTTGCCCGTGCGAGCACCATATTGGAGGGTTGAGCAGTTCCGGGGTCCGCGCCATGGATGCGCAGTGCTGGCTGGTGGAGCTCGACTATTGAAGGTTGAGTCCATGCAAGCTGGCGATCATTCATTCCCGCGACTATTGCCCTCGGGCTGATTGAGTGGATCCGGGAAGACGATCGACGCTGTCGGCTGCTCCTTGCGCACCGAAAAATGCGCTCCCCTGCCCTGAGAACCGGGAGTCGTCGATCTCCGATCGACTCCAATTGTTCGACCCGCTCAGGGATCCTTTGGCACATTCGCGAGTCACGGAGATGGCGGAAAACAAAGGTGATGTGTAATTGATTCAACTTAGTTCAACTTAGGGGGTGATGTTTTTGTCATGACTCAAGTCTGAGCAAAAGCTGGCCATGTCGGATGCCGTCAACCCCCCCGAAAGGTCCAGTGGGGTATTTCACATCCCAACACTCTGGGGAAGACGTGAATCCCAGAGAGACTCACCCTCCATATCATCTGAGGTGAAAATGACTTGCAAATCTTGGAACACGCTCAATCGCGTAGGCGCGCTCGCGTCTCTCGATCGTAGCCAGATCGGGTGACGTCAAGAACCGATCCAGCGATTGATGACATCGCCAACATTCTCTTCTGGGCCATAAAGGACAATGGGCCCGCACAGCAAACGCGTCGGGAGTTGAAAGGTGATGGGCTGTCTGGTGTTTCGGCTTTACCCACTTCTCCCTCAAACCATCCGAATAAAAGGACCCAAAACAAACCCCCAATTCCTCCGCTGTTTCGCAACGATGCCGCCGAAGAAACGAAAGACCTCCGACGCCTCGATTGAGGGTCAGAATGGCACATATGCCATTAAAAAAGGCCGGCCCGATTTGCACCGGCCACACCCAAATGCGAAACAGACTGAGGACTTTGGCATTGTCCTACGCGAGTTCTACCCCCGGAAATGAGCAATGAACGGTGCGAGGCATACAACAATGGGACCCTCGAGCGACCGATTGAGACGCTGGAAAAGGCATGCCGGGAGACGGCGCAGAAACGCCAGTCGATCACGCCAGGCAACGCCGTGGTCCATTGGTTCAAAAGGGATTTGCGCCTTCACGATAACCGGGCCCTGCACCTGGCTTACCAGACTGCTCGCGAGAACCAGAATCCGCTGATTGCCCTCTATATCCAGTCTCCGCAAGATTTGGCAGCGCATATCACGAGTCCAGCTCAAGTGGATTTGAGTCTGCGCACCCTGCGACAATTGCAACGGGATCTTGGAGAGCTGGATATTCCGCTGTACATGGAAACCCAGGAGACACGGAAGGCGATCCCTCGCCGCGTTGTGGAGCTCTGTCAGCAGTGGGGTGCGAAGCATCTTTACGCCAACATCGAGTATGAGGTGGATGAGCTGCGAAGGGAGGCCAAGCTCGTCCGTCTATGTGCGGAGAACGACATCCATTTTGCGCCCAGTCATGATACCTGCGTCGTAACACCGGGCCTTCTGGCCAGTCAACAGGGCCGCCAGTATGCGGTCTTCACCTGGTGGTTCCGGTCATGGCTTGCTTTTCTGAAGGAGAACCCTGATTATCTCGAGGTTTCCGAGGAGCCAGGCTCAAATCCCGGGGATGCTCGGGGGCAGTTTGCCAATCTCTTCAATTGCGCAGTCCCCGAGGCACCACGTAACAAGCAGCTCTCCGATGAAGAGAAGAGTCGATTCGAAAAGCTCTATCCTACCGGCGAGCATGAAGCCCTCCAACGGCTCGAGAAGTTCTTGGAAGAAAAGGGTCGTGGATATGAGGCGGGGCGCAATATAGTGGCCAAGGAGCAGACTTCGGTGCTCAGCCCATACTTTGCCTCAGGGGCGCTCAGCGCTCGAACTGCCGTGGCCACGGCAAAGAGAGTCAACAAGAACCATCTCGACCGATATGACCAAGGATACATGACCTGGATTAGCGAGGTCGCCTGGCGTGACTTCTACAAGCATGTGCTGGTCCATTGGCCATTCATGGGGTGAGTCCTTTTCGGCCTCATTGTATCAATTTGTCCCTCAACTAACCTGCCTTTTCTCGCAGTATGAACAAGTGTTTTAAACCCGAACACACCGACATCGAATGGGAGTACGACGAGGAACAGTTCCAGGCCTGGTGCGATGGGAAGACCGGGTTCCCTCTGGTGGATGCTGCCATGCGTCAGATGAGACATATGGCATGGATGCACAACCGCACGCGCATGGTCGTTTCGTCATTTTTGTCCAAGGATCTTTTGCTGGATTGGCGCCGAGGCGAGCAGTATTTCATGGCAAATCTCATCGACGGAGACTTCGCCTCGAACCACGGGGGTTGGGGATTCGGGTCCAGCACTGGGGTTGACCCGCAGCCATACTTTCGCATCTTCAATCCCATCCGGCAGAGCGAGCGATTCGACCCTGATGGCCAGTATATACGGCGCTGGGTGCCAGAGCTACGCAGTGTGCAGGGGAATGCGATTCATGACCCATACGATCGTGGGGCGGCCGCCACTGCCGAGAAACATGGATATCCCCGGCCGATTGTTCAACACGCAGCCAGTCGGGATCGGGCACTGGAGCGGTTCAAGCGGGCACTGAAAAAGTAATAGGGGACTGACTATGTGGAGAGAGGAGTCGGTGGAGTGTGCCAGTGCACGAACCGTGGGACATCTTAGATCGAAAGCAGAGAAACGGCCGAGAGAGCAAAGAGTAGAGTGAGACACTAGTGCAGCTTCCCCGCAATGAACTATTTTTTCCTTCAACTTTCTCTCCATTCTTCACTTTTTGTATCTTCATTTCTTCCATTGCCAATGACGCCCTAATATGGACTCTCAGTCGGGGGACCCGCCACCGTCCACCCCCGGCCCGGTTGATTTGCCCAACAGCAAGCGACGATGGCGACGGAACCGCGTCGCCTGCGACTCGTGTCATACTCGCCGGGTCCGGTGCGACCGGGCATTTCCGTGCTCGCGCTGTCAGCGGAGCGACACTCATTGCCAATTCACTCGCGAGCGGCGAAAACGGGGGCGCATTGCTCGGTCCAAGGTGACGGGTGCGACCGACTGCACTCAAGACCGCGCTGAGGCACAGCCATCTAATAGAGACCACAAAGGTGCAGTCCAGCCAGCGCAGTCGCCTATACAAAATACCTCACCCGCGTCGACATTTAAGCCTCGATCGCCCACAACGAATGACCTGAGCGGTCTATCCGCTCCGAGTGTGGATGGTCGTCGCTCTGTACCAGATGGCTCGCGCCACCGGGAGCCGCCCGTCACCAACGCAACGGAGGAATGGCTGTCGGCGGCGCACCTATCTCCAGAGTCATGCGAGTTGCTAGGGGGTGCGGGCGGAGGCGACGGGCCTCTACCACGTCTGTTGGACGTTTGGAATCCAGCAGATTTAGCCGGCCACCTTCCCACCTCACGACCCCCGCCAGTGCCGCCAGGGTCTGGGATGAATAACCCAGGCCAGAGCCAAGCGTCGGGCACACGGTCGCCTTTGAAATATCCCGTGCTGGAGCCGGTCATGCCATTTTTGGGGTCTAACCTCCCGCGACGACTGGTGTGCGACCTGCTAGAGCTCTACTTCACCAGTGCATTCTCGACCCATATGCACCCGGTGTGCCATCACATCCATTGCTACGTCCTGCGAAAAGCCTCCTTTCTCAGCAATGACCGACCTCGACCCAGCAGCCCCGCGTTGCTGGCAAGTATGCTGTGGGTGGCTGCCGTGGATGATCGAGCATTCTCACTATCCATCTCCCCGCTCCAGCGCCGCAAAATTTGCCAGTTTCTCTGTGCCTTGACGATTCGTCTACTCCGTCCGTTGATTCATGTCTCTTTCAAAGACCAAGAGCCGACTTCTGCCGAAGCTTCGGCCGCAAGCGACTTTGCGAGCGCTGCAGCTCACCGTCCGTTTGAAGGGGTCGGTGATGATAAGGGCCTAGTAGGTCCGGCTGGGTCATTGGATGATGTGATTACATACATTCATGTAGCCTCTATAATCTCTTCCAGCGAACAAAAGGCCGCGAGCATGCGATGGTATGTCGGACCTCGAATTGAATTTTCTGGTCTATTCGAACTAACATGATTGTAGGTGGCACTCGGCCTTTACGCTGGCCAGGGAACTCAAATTGAACCAGGAGATCGAGGCGATGGCCAACATGGACAGTCAGACTGATGGGTCGAGTCCATTTTTTGGCTACTCACTTGCGGGCTGGGCCAGCTCGCCAGAAAGACCGGTTTTTGATTACTCCAACCCAGCCCAGTCAAGCCTCAACTGTCTCTGCGAACAGTGCCATGAATCACATAGCAGTTCTATGGTCACGGAAGAGCACCGTGAAGAGCGCCGTCGCACGTGGTGGCTCCTGTATATTATGGACCGCCATCTCGCATTGTGCTACAACCGCCCGCTCGCTCTCCTTGATGCCGAAAGTGAGGACCTACTCCTGCCTCTAGATGAGGGGTCCTGGCAATCCGGGAATATCCACAGCAACAGCCCTCGACCAGACGGCCCCCAATGTCTCCGCTCGGGTGAGCAGAACAAACGTCGCGTGTTTCCGAACTTTATTTGCCACGATCACTCCATCCTTGGCTTTTTCCTGCCCCTTATGACTATCACAGGGGAGCTGATTGATCTGAATCAGGCGCGGAATCACCCGACTCTGGGAGTCCGGCTACAAGGAAAGGAAGCGTGGGACGTCCACGTGGGCGAGGTGCTGCAACAGCTTGAGATCTACAAGGCAAGTCTCACCACGTTTGCAGCGACTACGGCGGCGGGGCACGAAGGATCATTGTCGACTGGCTTCCCAAACAAGTCGGATCAGCCTGTCGACACGCAGCTGTCTCAGGCCTACTCTTGGCACACACAGACAGTAATTGCCTATTCGTCATATCTGGTCCACGTTCTCCATATCCTGCTCGTGGGCAAATGGGATCCGGTCTCTCTGATTGAGGACAAGGACTTCTGGACGTCCTCTCCGGCCTTTGCATCTACCATCTCCCACGCGCTAGAAGCAGCAGATTCCGTGCAGCAAATCTTGCGATTTGACCCGGACGTCAGCTTCATGCCGTATTTCTTCGGTATTCAGTTGCTACAGGGGAGCTTCTTATTACTGCTGATTGTGGAGCGTTTGCAAAAAGAAGCTGGCGAGGGCATTCTTAACGCCTGCGAGACCATGATCCGGGCCACGGAATCCTGTGTCGTTACGCTGAACACAGAGTACCAGCGAAGCTTTAGGCAGGTGATGCGCAGTGCAGTCGCACAAGCCCGAGGGCGGCCGGTGAACCCCAGTGAGATTCGACATCGCCGCAAAGCAGTGCTGGCGCTTTACCGATGGACTCGAAAGGGTACAGGATTAGCGCTGTGACGCTACTGCGGCCCCAGATTTCGATCATGTCTTAGGTGCCTGCCGATCCCTCGTCCATAACGCGCATGCTGCGGGTCCCTGGCAATCCTTCACGAACGGTCAACAACCTGGCCAACGGTGCGGAAGTAGACCCTTATCTCAACCCTGATCCATGTCTCAGTTTCGTAGTCCCCTTTACTTTTTTCCCCTCGTTGCTATTGGTCAGGCGTTTATTATGGGGCAGGGTGGGCATTGGTTTCTTCTATGTTTTATATCGCGCACCAAGACATTTTATGTATCTATAGTGTCTGCACATAATCACAATCTTGGCCATGCAAGTGATGTCTATGATTCGGATTCGATATTCGTAGGATTCTTCTTTAGACAACGTTCTGCGAACAGATGTCCTCATGGCTGGGGGGTCTCGGATAAATAGCGAACTCAAAATGTACCCGATTGGCGGCCGGCCGGCCGAGGTCCGGGGAAGCCGAGTCGGTTAAATTAAGCGATTCTTGCCGACATCGCGAGCTTCTGTAGCTCGCTTCGGAGCTTGCATGTTCCCCAGCTTTCTCCGCAGATTGTTGTTTTCTTCATTGCTTGTGTGTGTTATTTTTTAAGTAGCTAGCGGAGGATCCTCTGCTTTGTTTTTCTTCGATCATGTCTGCAAAACCGGTTTCTTTTCGGCAACAATATATTTTTTTTGCACCCGGTGTACCTATACCTGCTATTTACTATCTTCTCTCTCTTGAAGTCATGAGCAGCACCGATTTCTACTACGACCCTTCCACCTGGCCTCTGGCAAGTCCACTTGATTCTCAGGATTCAATGTCCTTTGATCTTCTGGGCGACCCGGAGCTAGGATCCCATCCATTCGTAGCCAGTGACTTTTCACCGACCGCGCAGGAAGAATTGGGCTCTACACTGGTTATTGTCCAGCAGGACTGGAGCAACAATATTTCCGAGAAATTGCCGCATGCATACCACGATTACCCTCCATCCTGGTACGAGGCTGGTCTGGTGAACACGCAGAACAAAAACAAGAGGCATGGATATACAAGGTAAAAGTGGTTTCTGTATTCAATGGGAATAGAAATTTTGTCCTGGATCAACATGCTGATAATATCTGGCTAGCACTCCGTCTGCTGATAACGCATCAACTCCCTTGACTCACCCCAACACCCTAGTACCACCATTCCAACCTGCCTCGCAGCTCGTAGCGGAACGGGCTCTCTTTTATGACCCCTTCGCTAAACCCGCTCACCATTCCCTTTCCCGGTTCCCCTCTCTCTGATTCGTGCGTCTCACCGGAGACGAATCATACGTCGTCGAGTGGGTGGGATGTCGAGTTAGAGAGTGAAGATTTGCAGTTCCGCTGCTTTTCAAAGAACACGACACCGACGATTTATACCCTTTCTATGAATGATCCGACACACAGTCGCCCGACTCACCACACTGAGGAAGAGGAATCTCTCACACCGTTGGAAATGCCTGATGGCAGTACACGCTGGACGGCGAATTGGCTGCCTGTCGACCCCGGGGCCGGGTTCATGATCGACTCGAATAGAAAACACTATCAGAGGGGCATGGTAAATCATGCGGATACTGGGGAGCTCTCCCCAGAAAGGAAGGACATGAATAAAGATCAAAGAGAAAGCCACCGGCAAACGGAGGCCTACCACTAGACAGAGGGACTTCGGGCAAGGGAGGCTGGGTAGGCTTGACGCCCACAGTCCTCCAGGTCCGCGGCGGAGCACCGGTATACGCAGAGCCAGGACCGGCATGCGAGAAGGCCAGGATCCAGGGCGCCGCACAACGGAAGTGGCGCGCCACAACCGAAGGTGTCTAGGTAGGCGCCGAAGCCGTGACAGCGTTGCTGGCACCACTGCTGCCACCCAGCTTTCCAACACCCGCGTTCGCCAGAACGGAAGCGCGCACCTTGCTCGCGTCCAGGACGGTGATGTCGCTCTCGCCGCTGGGCCAGCTGCTGAGAACGGATTCGTCGCTGGCGCTCAGCTCGCCTGAGGACTCGAGTGAGTTTACGGCGCAGGCGCGGCCGAGAATTGAGTCGCAGGTTGACTTGTCGCTGCTGGTCACTGCGAAAGTTTCACCGGGTGAACTGTCTGTTTCGGAGGGGGTGTTGACCTCTGAAAAGACGTTGCCTTCAATCAGGGCTTTGGTTTCCTTGACGACGTCGAACGCGTGGCCGGTGTTGTTGTGCCAGTAGTTGTTGTATGCGTGCCAGTAGCTATTGAACTCCAGCTTGGGCGAACGGCCTGATGTGTGGTGGATGTAGTTGCCGGCGAAGGTTACCTGGTCATCTTTGCCATATCCGAGTCTGTCATACGGGACTGTCAGTCAAAAAAACATATTTTTTTCATTGACGGGGTCATTGCTTACACGGTCCAGTAGTGGTGGTCATCGCAGCTCGCAGACCAGCTAGTTCTGCCATCGAACTCGCTGTTGGATATAGTGACCTTGCCGCCTGGAAACTGTGAGCATACACCGAAGGGCAAATGTCAACGTTTAATGTATGAGACTCACTAGCTTCATAACCAGACACAAACATCTGCCGACCCACAAGGGAGACCTTGACATGGTCAATCCAGATCTGGTCGGTGCCATCGAGAGTTATAGCATCACCGCCCCAGATATACTGGGGATTCAACTCAGTGATATGAACATTCTGAATAATGACATTCTTGACCCCATTGGCGAGTCGCAGACCCTTACCACGAATGACACCGGCACTGCCGACGCCCACAATAGACTTGTTCGAGCCCACGGCAATGCCATTCAAGGCTTCCTTGTCATAGTCGCAGCTAGTGCTCGGGTAGTCGCCGCACCAGTCAGACGAGTCCAAGTCAATGGCGTTCTGGCCGGCGCTGCCGAGGTAGTTGAACTCCTTGTCAATTAGGATCACCCGCGGTGTGCTGTCGGTCAGCCACTCGGACAGTTGCGAGATGTCGCTCGGCGTCGCTGGCGTTGCGTCGCTGCCTCCTGTCGTGCCGCTGGCGAAGCCGAATGCCGTGCCGGACACGCCGGCGGCATGGGCATGGGCACTTAAAAGGGTGAGGGAAGTCACCAGTGACATGCGAAGGGCCATTTTGGATATTCACACAGTGAATGGTGCATCGGTAATTCGAATGATGAAAATGAGCAACAACACAACCGAACCAGCAGTGTGTACAGGATGTAACCACCGAATAGAAAAAAGAATGAAAGAGCGTGCTGTAGACATATTTTCTTGTCGACTCTGGGTTAATTTATATCTTCTTTCCATGGTTGATCCAGGGAACCCGCTGGGTCTTCACCCGGCCTTGGCTTTGTTTGACCTTGAGTGAGCATGCAGCTGGCGACGAAAATCCCTGCCCATCCGCGTAAAGCTCCCGAGGCCAGTGTCTGCAATTGTCCATGAATGATATCCGGTGTTTCAGTCTTGAAGCCGGCGAGCAAGAGTTATTCCAGCTAAAGCATTTTGTGTGGTGGATTGATGGTGTTCGGAGACACAGAAAAGCGGGCCGAGGCTCATCTACTTCGCACGTCGTGTCTTATCCCAGTAGATCGCTCGTTGGTTTTTCTGCTTTGGGTGTACCAACAACCGAATTTCTCAGCTTGTGTGGGGGGGGTTCTGCTCCGAATGCACCGTACTACATGCGTGGTCCTCGGTGGAGGCATATGCTGCGATTCATCATAAGCGCATTCAATGTATGCCATAAATCCTGGTCTTTGGCGTGGCCACACATATGCTGCTTCTGAACATGGTGAGCCCAGTCAATGAAGGGTATTCAATAGATGCTTATCATGCGAGAGTACATCGGTTTTAACACCGTCCTTATCACAAGTTATATATTAGATCGCTAAGCGACTACAAAGATACTGTTGCACCCGAAAAGAAACAACGAGCGGAGAAGGAAGAAACAAGAACTTAACTGCTTCGCAACGGGCTTGTTTATTTTCTGCACAGGAATCAGATGCCAATCCTCACCATCGGTGTCGCATGAAGACCTTGCAATTGGAACAAAAGCTGTGCCTCTAATCCCAGTCCGGCCAGACAGTGATATCCCTTAGCTCCTCACGATGCGCCACATAATAAGACTGCCCCAGAAGATGCAGCTTGCGCCGATCCGTCTTTTTGGATTTCGTGCGCGGCAATCGGTCAATGAGCAGAAACAGGCTAGGCACATAGTACATAGGCAGACTCTGGCGAACAGCCTCCGTCAACCTCTGCGTGAGGGCATGTATAGCATGGTGCTCGCTGATCGGTCTAAACTGCATGTCTTCAACGGGCCCGTTGTCGAGGTTCATGGGGCTGTTGGCCAGATACAGATAAACGCCCAGGATCGGATCGCTGACGCCGTCCACGACGCCGAGGACGTCGACTACGGCTGCGTCGCCTGTTGACAGATGCTGGCGCAGCACGTATTCCACCTGGCCTGCTTCCACTCGGGCCCCGTCTAGCTTTAGCATCGTGTCCTTTCGGCCGATCAGCTCGACGGTGCCGTCGTGGTTGTACCGGCCCAGATCCCCGGACCGATAGAGGCGGTAGGGTGGTCTGTCGGTGTGGAGCTGTGCCATCCAGGACGGCGGCGAGGCAAGGAAGTTCTCTGCTTTCCCGGATACATTGTCCAAATACCCTCGAGCAATATGCGGGCCCTCTACGAGGACCTCGCCCACAGCTCCGACGGGCATCAGTTGATCGGGAGTGTCAGGACTAACAATCCAGATTGCCCCACTGGCCGGACGCCCAACCACAGCTCCACGACCCATACAAAGATTTGGGTTGTGCGCGCAGAGAGACGCCACCTCGCCCATGCCGTATTGATTGATGACGCGGACGCGGTGCAGCCATTTAGAGAGTACGGCGTCTGAGACCGGTTCTCCGCCAATGCACATCGTCTGCAGGGTGGGAACGCGGTCGGGATCAATGTCTATGGCTACCGAAGGAGTGACGAACATGAAGTTGGCTTGCAGGTCGTTCAAGTCCACCATTAATGCTTCCATGGAAAGCGAAGTCGTCGGAACGCAGCAGCAGCCACCGGCCATGAGAGGAGCCAAGAAGTCGTTGTTGCTGATGTCAAACGCATAGGCATCGAACTGGAATAGACGCGAATGCGGCCCCATGCCCATCACACGTATATAGTCCGTCAGCGCGGACGCGTAGCTCCGGTGCTCCTGGATAATCCCCTTGGGCTTCCCAGTACTCCCGGAAGTAAACAGAACCACGCAGGGGTCAGTGGGCCTGGTTGTGGAGCATGGAACTACCCCAGGCAGCGATGGCAGTGCTTGAAGGGAAGCCTCACTGACTTCAAATTGGGCTTCCATCCGGTCCGCAAACCTCTCCGCGTAACCTTCAGACGTCAACATAATTTTCATCCGGGTTCGCTCCAGGACCGAGGCCAGATATGGCGGTGGATCGTGGGCATCGACGCAGATGTAAGCGCCCCCGGCCATGAGAATTGCGAGTCGAGCCACAATGGCCCATGTGGACTTGTAGAAGGCACAGGCAACAAATACTCCCCGGCCCACACCCTTACCAACTAGCCAATGAGCCAATCGAGAGGTCAAGTCATTGAGCTCGTAGTATGTCAAGTCGCCATCCCACGAGCGGACGGCAGGAGCATCGGGCGTAGTCTTCACATGTCGTAGGCAGAGATCGTGAAGCAAGACGTCTTGAGCTGGCGCGGGAAGACGGGTAAACCGAGTAAGATAGTCTCGATCATGCGGTGCGCAGATATCAACGCCGCCAAAGCTCTGCGAGGGTAGTTCGACCAAGGACAACAACGCCTGATTGAAACTGTGAAGGAGGCTTGTTGCCAGTGGTAGTGCCACAGAGGTCTCGCCAACATCGAGCTGGGCGTGCAGTCGGTCATCTGGAGTATGTCTGATATAGATTCGAAGCCCTGCCGAGTATGGTTCCAGAGCCTCCAAGTCGGCAATGGGCATCGGGCAACAGACCTGGCACCGGCCCATGCATGACCTCTGCCCAGATATGCGCGTAGCCGGAAGTCTCTGATAGACGATGGTCGAGTTATACCCAGCATCTTTGTCCTGCGATACATGACGATTTGCAAGATTGCCTGACACTGATACCAGACTGCTGGAAATGTGCCTCAAAAGACCCTGCACGGTGTCCAGGGGATCGAGATGAACCTGGGCTACTGGCCCCGAGCAAGCGCCGGCTGCCTCCCCCACGAAACATTGCCCCTTAACATACTGTTCGCCAAGGTGGAGCGTGGTTGAAGAGGCAAAGGCGCGGGCCGTCACCACCCAGGCTAGCTGGAGCAGACGCTGGATCTGAATATCGGGATGATCTTCTTTGACAGTAGCAGGGGCATCCAAAGCCTCAATGAGCTGGAGGAGATGCCGAGGACGCTGGGAGAGAGTGAGGTCCACGACCGACGGAGGCACAACATCGATTGGGGGTTTGATAGGAGCGGGTGCAGGACTGGAATCAAAGTGATTGGAGTCAAATAGAATCGGAGCCATGATAGCGTGGTAGTTGTGGGTTCAATTCGATATAGTTGGTGGACAGGCAATCCCAGTCAAGAGCACTCGGGATGCCCTGGCTTAAATGCATCGCTATGCTTCTTGGGTTCCCTGAGAACCAGCCTGCTGCGTTGCACAATCATCTTCTCGGTGGCGCTTGACAAGAGCGCCATCGCTGTCGACCCCGACAATCAATTGCATTTCCCCTCTTGTTTTGCTTTTGTTCAGCAGGTCTCGCGTCTTCGGCACGGTTCGGGCAGAGCTGAAGCCCGCACAATATCATGAGGTAGCACTTCTGATTGGCAAATGGCGATGTTTGCTTGTGCACTGCGAGTCGCTGGATTTCCAAATGGACTGGGACGAGCTGGAGCTTTGCAGACGTGGCAACTCAGGCCGGAGACTGTGCGAATCAGCGATGATGGGATGGTGATGATGGAAGAAAAGGGTCCTCCTTCTACTTGCATCCCCCCTCGAGCATTTGGATCGACTTTTGAGGTAAGAATGTCATTCATTAGGAATCCACTAATTAGATGAGAGGATCTCAATTAAGTACATGATACAACCATCCATCACGCATTTACACAGTCTGCATGATCCCTGGCCGAACGCTCTCCAAAATAGGAGACAATTCGAGCCAAAGCTTCTCCCGAGCTTGGCGGCCCTCGTCGCTCCGCACAAAGGGAGATAGGGCGGTGTTTTCGACATGGCCGTCAGTCATATATGAGCCATGAGATTCAAGCCCTGCCGCACCACCGGCGACCAACGTTCGTGACCCGAGTTCGGTCGACCGTGCAAGAACTAGCTTCATCGCCCACATTGTCCAGCCCGCCTCTCGGGTTAGCTGCGAGTGACAAAAGCCGGGGTTGATCATGTTGATAATCACTTCGGATCCGCGAACCCGACCAGCAAGTTCCTGCACGAGGAGGACTTCGAGAAGCTTCGAAACAGGGTAGCGTTCGGTCATCTTGGCGTGGGAGGGATCGCTGAGTTTTTGCATTGGCTTGTCGGCTCTCCATTCAGGCAATTTGACCCATGCGTGGACCTCGCTGACGACAAAACTCAGGCGGGGGTGCGTCGAGGGCACTTCACGTCGTGTGGCCTGCAACTTGGGGAGGAGCAGCAGGCCGAGCAGCAGGGTACTAATGACATTGACAGTGATGGTGCGTTCGTGGTCCTCGGCGGTTTGGAAAGTCTCGGTGGCCAGAGCAGCATTCAAAATAGCCACATCCAGTCGGGGCAGCTGTGCAATTCGGTCGCCAAAGGCTAACACGGACTGATAGGAGGCCAAATCCACCTCCCACACTTCGCAGACTCCCGAACGGCCGGTGGTCTTTTCGATATCTTGCTTTGCTGCTTGGCCCGCGTTTACATTTCGCACGCCCAGAATGACCCGTGCCGCGCCCAGTCGCGTGATGTGGCGAGCTGCCTCGAGTCCCAGTCCCACATTGGCACCTGTGACGAGGACGGTTTGGTTGGCAAAGGATTGCTTGGGATAGGAAGGGGTGGCAAAAAATTGCGAATAGAAGAAACCCATGTTTGCGATAATGTGCTGTGAGTTGTGGAATGAAAATGCTCACATCCAGCGTTGTCAACTAACATTAAATATTTGTTTTCTGCTCGCAGGCATCCAATGTGATGACGACAATCATTACGGAGATTAGGCGGCGATAAGGGAGTTCCACTTTACTGCAAACTCCGAAAACCTTCCCGGGCCATTCTAACCACCCGATTCCGAGGCTTGTTGGTTGGATTATGAGAAAATAAAGAAAAGAAAAAGAAAAGAAATCCACAATGCCTCGGAAGCGCGGTCGCCGAATGCGTGGATCTTGCCCATTTAGACCTTCAGGAATGCCGCAGCGGAGACTTATGGTTTTTGAACTATCTGAACTGAGCTAGCCGGTAAGCTTCTTTTCGACCGCGAAACCCTGGTTGTCCTGATGCTCGCATATGCTGCAGATGGCATCGGCTAGGGTCTCGAGTACTCCAGCTCGAAGCCTGCACATTCCCCATCCACATTCCCACTCAAGCGACTGGCCACGCGCGAAAGCCATGGATGGTAGATTTGGAAAAGGGCGATATTTCAAGGTCAAGTCCGCAACGACATTCGCTGCCACCGATGTGGCTCGCCAAGTACTGGTTTAAGTCGGCTTCAACCAGAGAAGCCCCCCAGCTCTGTTGAAACACGGTAATCATTGAGTACTCCTTCAGATATGTCACTGAAAAATTCGAATTATTCTTGGGGCCCACTCTCATGTGCGCCATACGTGCTATCGTGGTAAATCGCCAGGTCAATACGCCAAGGTGCGGAGATGGATGTATACTTCTTTTCCACTTTGAGGCATAGCCATCTCTGCGTCATACCAAAGCATCAAGATTTGCGGTGACCGGGTCCAAGGCTGTGGCTGCGAACATTATTTGTGGAGCACATGGAATGACACTCAATTGTTGGCTTGCTCACCTCAGCGAGATGCTGATCCTTCCCGAATCGTCGTAAACAGACGTGGGCATCCTGTGGGCTATTTTGTAAAAGTCACAGTGGCCGAAGACACGACACAATACTGCCGAGATATGGCTGCATTTTGTAGCAGAGGCCCGGCCCTGACTCGATGTTCCACTAGACTTATACTTGCTACTCGGGCAAAAAGGAACTTCCAGAAAGGACTCTGTGCGAAAGAAGCAATGAGTTTGCAGTGTTTCATTCAGTGAATGTGTCCTCTTGATAGCAGCGGCATCAGGTAAACCATGGCAATCCAACAGTTCCAGAGTCGAAAAGTCAATTTATCTCCCAACACATTGCGGATCACTACAACACGGATCGCGACTGTCCACGCTAGCAGTGTACTCCCGGTAAAGCACCCACGGTTAATACCCCAGAAAACCGGACAAAACAGCCCCCAGCCCAGCATAGGGACAGCAATCGTCCACCGAGCCACAGCATCACCGAGAACCAACGGAATGGTGGCCCGGCCACGTTTCGCATCACCCAGTTGATCCGGCAAGTCCTGCAAATGCACCGTTGAAGCGATAATTGCCCCGATGACCAGCAGCCACTGTGCCAATGGGTGAGAAAGGTGCAATGGTAAAAGGGCACTGCCCAGCGCTACCTCCAGGGCCCCAGATATGAAACACGTGTATCCAAGGGCATTGATGAGATTGCGCACCAAGGGGTTGTGCTCAGCGCCACCCCAGTTGTTATACCAGGTCCCCAGAACGACCAGGCCCAAAGACTGTCGATGCCCTCCGCTGATGACCATGCTGTACACTGGGGCCGCGATATAGAGAAAGACCATCAGTTTTGTCGCATGGCTAGGTATGATTCGGCCACTGGGAAAGGGTCGCCATGGCTTATTGATTGCATCTTCGAGAATGGCACTTCGATCGCGCTGGTTGTTGATGGCGAAGGGAAGAAAATTCGCCAAGATCCAAAATATTACAGAGATGGTTTGAGCGACAACGCGTCGCATGTTTTCCATTTCATTTGGTGATGAGGGTGTTTCAGCGACAGAAATGCCATATCGCGGAGCTGCCCAAGCATTGGCGATACCGAAGACCGTGCTGGGGAGAATGATGGTTTTTAAATCACTGAAAATGAACAGCCACAGTGTGTACGCATGGTATTTCACGGCCAGGACCCCGCCACGCATTGCGGAATGTCTTTGGTGAGGAATATATACAGCAGAGAACTGTCGAAACTGACCATGAACAGTCCCAAGGACCGGGCCACAGGGGTGGCCAGCAAAAAGAATGAAAGCACAAGTAGATGACATATGCAAAGAACTGAGTCGTCAATGCTCGTCGCCACTCTCTTCAGCTTCGCCCATGGAAAATGCCCCGACGGCTGGTATTGGCACTGCTGTGTGACCCCCGGAGCCTGTGCTCGGTCCTTGAGAGCATTGCAAGGCGCCAGTTTGCCTCCGACACAGACACAGTCAACATCTGACACTGACTTTGCTCTTATCTGCGCATCTGGTCTGTCAAAGGCGTGTTAGTATTTCGTGATGATGGCAAGCCCTGAAGCCATCGCGATTGTCTTGGGGCTATTTGCCCATTGTTTCGTCTTCATCCACGGGGAATGGCACCTCCGAGCACCCGCTGTCGTGGTATTCCATGTTTGCGTCGCAGCTCTGCTCTATATCTGGGAGTTGAGTCGACTCACCGCGAATGGGTCATGGACGGTAGTGCTCGTCGGGGCTTACATATTCTCGCTCCTGTCAAGTATTTCCATCTACCGCCTCTTCTTCCATCGACTACGCATATTTCCTGGTCCCAGATTGGCGGCATGGACCAAGCTGTGGCATGTCTGGAAATGCCGGGACTCTCGTGGACACCATGTCCTGGAGGAATGGTACAGGCAGTATGGGGAGTTCGTTCGTACAGGTAGGGCATTCCGTCCGCAAGTAGACGCCAGAACACTAACCTCTTGCTTGGGGAAATTATAGGTCCTGCAGAGATTACTATATTTCATCCCGCGGCTTACGAGGCCATGGATGGCCCGGGAAACCGCAACACGCGATCAGACTGGTACGATCTCCTCTACCCACGCATATCCTCGATCTTCACTCGGGACCGGAAATTACACCATGAACGGCGGAAGATGTGGGACCATGCATTGAGTGCCAAAGGTAAGTACCTGCTGGATCTTCTATTATGCTCAAAGATATTGATATAGCTTCACCAGTCCTGCCCCAATACAATCAGAAAGTGGTGGATAGGGTTCGCAGCCTCGAGGATCTCATTTCTGCGCATAGCTCAAGCCCGGTTATCATCAACGATCTCATGCACTTCTTTGCCTTTGACTCTATGGGGGACTTTGCGTTCAGCGAGGACTTCAGTATGATGCGGAGTAAAAGATGGCATGCATCGATTGCGAGGCTGCGGTCTGCTATTACTATCCTTGGCCCCTTTAGTCCAGCAATCTGGATTCCTCGACTTGGCTTTGCTTTTATACCTGGTCTATGGAAAGTGCGGGATTGGTTTCATATGCTGGAGTTTTGTGATCAGTGTATGGCCAGACGGATGCAGGTGAGAGAACCAAAAATGTCTGCAATGAAAAATAGTATACTGATCACGGTCGAGGATGAAGAAAACGCCAGCAGAGAGAGATATTGCGTCGTGGTTTATCGACGACCACATCAAGCACGGCGCAAGCCCAAACAGGGCACGATGGTTGAGCGGCGACACTGCGACACTCGTCGTTGCAGGAAGGTAAGAGACAACTTGCAAACAAGTTCGAGCAACAGACCGGCTCACCAGTCATGTCAGTGACACTACCGCCCCTAGCCTCACACTACTATTCTACTTTCTGGCTCGGTATCCACAACACATCGAGCGCATCTATGAAGAAATTCAGCATGTGGACCGACGAGACCCGAGTGCCTTGGCCACATTGCCGCATCTCACAGGCACTATCAACGAGTCCATGCGTCTCCTCCCGGCAGTGCCGACATTTAGCTCGCGAGTTACGCCGGCAGAGGGATTATTCGTTGACGGGACATGGATCCCTGGCAATATTAAGATCTGTGCGCCGCGCTACAGCATTGGCCGACGTAGGTTGACCCTCAAGAAATAGCAAGTACCAGCCTTGCAATACATTCACTAAGTAATGGGGGTTTCTAGTGGAATCGGCCTACGTGCGCCCTCTTGACTTCATTCCTGAGCGGTGGTATAGCCAACCCGAGTTGATCAGGGATAAGCGGGCTTTTGCCCCGTTTGGTGTTGGTACGTATCAAATACACAAATTTCCCATTGACCGGTGAGCTATATGGATGTCGATGCTGACAGTGGGACATTATAGGGCGCACTAGCTGTGTTGGTCGGCACTTGGCACTGGCTCATATCCGTCTGGTAACAGTGGGACTGGTGTCCCAGTATCGCATTCGTTTTGCTCCTGGCGAAAGGAACGGGGAGGCCGTGGAGAGGGACATGAAGGACCAGCTCACTGCGCATCCTGGTGCTTGTCGGGTGATTTTTGAGCCTCGGTAATAGTATGAACTACGGATTCTTTTTGATTGAGAATGAATAACTGTGCATGATTTGTTCTCTGAGCGAGGCAAAATGAGCACGTTCGATGTAGGCATGACACCACAAATAGAGCATAGAGACAAGGTTCAAAGTGCTATATCCTCTTGATGGCTTCACACTTCAGGCCGGAATCCCCAAGCAACATGCACGTCGAACCTCACATAGCAGCCCGACTGGATGTCCTTGTACGCCTGCCGCTCCAACTCCTCGAGCCGTTCCATACTCAGAGCCCCAGGACTCCCCTTGTCTGCTACCAAGCGGGCCCATCCAAAGATAGCCCTCATGCCATTAACCGTTAAGCGCTCACGCGTGGCATGCACCCGATCCGTCGGAATAACATCTTTCTGAACCCGCACCAACCCAGCGGCCTTCATTTCGGGCTCGAGCGCATCCCAACCATGAGCAAACTGCGGCCACAGTGCATCCATGAACCTCTGACCCATCGCGCGGGCAGTGTCGACAGTTGCACCAGGACGGCCAGGCAGATGTTGCACCGAGGTAAAGTTGCATTCCTCCCACTGTAGCGCGCCACCGGGCTTAAGGAGCCGGGTCAGGTTCTGCACGACAGTCGGCCACTCGCTGGCCTGAAGGCCGGCAGTCAGCAGCCGGACGTGGACGAGGTCGTATTTGCCGTAAAGCGTCTCGGGCACGGGCTGGCGCGCATCCATCAACTGCAGGTGCATGTCGCGGGGCCGGTCGTCCGCGGGTGGGAAAAGAGTTGCGGAGATATCGTAGCCATCCAGCACGGCGTTGGGCCAGGCCGGGGCTAGTCGGTGCAGGAATTCTGCGGTGCCCGTGCCCACATCGGCGATGCGGGCTATTGGGGGCAATGTAGATGCAATGGCGGGGTGGATCAGGTACCCGATGTTGCTGTTCACCCATGATCAGCACGTAATCTTATGCCAACCCCCCTGCTTCAAACAGTTCAGTCAAAACACGCACTCGGTCAAAATATCAAACTGTTCGTCGAGTCTGTCCAGTCAATTTGGGTCAGCATGGCCGGTTAACAACTGGGCGAAGCATGCTACCTTCGCGCTTCGCTGGAATCACGGCGCATATTCTCGGCGTATGGATCCATGGCGAACAGTTAGAAAGGTGAAATTGTGAAATTGTGAAGAGCGAGGGCATCGGGCAAAAGATGCCTTCGAGATGCATTCCGCGGTTTACTGGCCGGCCTGCAGCATATCCACAACCCATCACCGCCATTATCTCTCCTTCTAGGTCTATCTCCCGGCAATACATCTGCAGCGTCGCCCAGGATGGTTCTAACAAGAAAGCTGACAGTGGGTCGGGCGACGAATCCCATGCACCATGACTGGAAATTGCGCGCCACAAGAGTCGTACGAGGCCGCTGCGGTGCTTCCAGTCTTTGGACGAAACACCGACGGCAACAAGGGCTCGAGCGAGAGAATAAAAATGTTGCGGTGTCGAGGAACAAACTTCGATGATGGATCTGGGGTTTTGTTTCCAAAGATGCCATCTTCTTCGCTGCGCAGTCAAAGTGAACAGAATCGGTATTTTCGATCCCCACATTCGTCATGATTCCCATGAGCCCCCGTGCCCCGGCGTTGATCGTTTGGAGTCTTATTTTGCTTGCCATTGCTGCCACGGCCGTTGTTCTGCGAGTAGTTTCAACACATATTCGACGCCGGCCCTTTAAGGTCCATGATTACCTCGTCTTTCTCTCGCTGGTACAGACGGAAACCACCATTTGCATACTCCGTTCTCGCTAACCAGAAGTTCCAGTTTGCCCTAGTAGGATATGTTGCAGATGTCCTCATGGGTAGGTGAAAGCAAGTTCTATACACATGGGATCATGTATCATTAATCCGAAAATAGGCGCCATCATCGGGGGGTTCGGTGGGCATACAGTGAGCATGGCCAAGGAACACCCAGAGCAGGTGACGATTGCCTTGAAAGTGAGGATCCAATAAATATCAGTATTTCATCTGCTAATATTGTAGACATTTTTCGCCTCGGAATGGTTTTGGGCGACGGCAACAGCTTGTTTCCGTTTGGCCATTCTCCTGCTGTACATCGAGATCTTCCCGGGCCATGACACTTTTTTCTGGTGTGCCACGGCTGTTGCTGGCCTGGTCTTCCTGTACTGGGTTGCCTCGATTTTGACAATTGCACTACTTTGCCGTCCAGTGGAGTACAACTGGAATCGCGCCATTCCCGGCGTGTGCGGCGATGTGGTCAAAACCGAATATGCCTCGGCCGGGTTCAATATGGTCATCGATCTGGGAGTGGTACTGCTGCCGCTTCCTATTGTCTGGCGACTGCATATGTCCAGTCGCAAAAAAACCGGGGTCACGGCCTCCTTTGCCCTAGGGATCATGTAAGTGTGTCGCGAATTCTCCTGCTGGTGGAGTGCATGCTGAACCATCTGGCAGCACGGCCGGGATCAATCTGGGGCGTATCATCTCGACCAAGCTCTGCCCGACCAACGACATCATTTACTGCGCCCGAGACAGTTCTATTTTCGTGATCGCAGAAATGACCGCAGGGATCTTGGTTGCGTGCGTGCCCACTCTGGGACCCCTGTTCTTCCGTCGCGCCAAAGTTCCATCCGCGCGCCCCCATGGCTTGCCCACGATTGGCTCTGCCCGCGTGCGTCCCACGCGCCGGGCCCTGAAGCTGGACTCGCTATCCACGTTTGATCACACCCAGGATGACGAGGGGCGCACGGGGTGGAAGGAGCTGGGCGGTCCAGTGGGGTCTGCCCACGCGGTGGGACCCGGCACGCGTCCTCCCACGGTCGACGCGGCAAGGATTATGGTGACGCGCGATCTGGACGTGCAGAGCCTTAACCCCCCGCCTGCAACCCCGGAGAGGTTCTAGCGAGGCAGCTAAGGTGTGGAGAAGTGTGTCTCGGGTCCGAGCCACGGAGGGTTTTCTCGGAGGCGACTGTGCACCACAGCCGTCGTGCATGCTGATATACCGGGAGATCTGCAGTTAGTTCCATTTGCACCGTTTAAAGATGAGACCAGACAAAGAGACAGTCCAGGTAGTCTTTTCATGCATGTCAGATTTTGTGTTCCCCTGTCCAGTCTGTAGTACCCAGTCGCGAGGTCTGTATAACCCACGAGTATCCTGGCTTGCAGGGACGTCGGGGCATCGTGAGGACTGAAGAAATATCCACGGATGCAAAATCTCACTCTGGAATTTGTCAGAAATTCGAATGTCGACATTTCGTAGAGTAATCGAAGAGTAAGCGTGAGGCATCTCCAGACAAGCGGGAGAAAAGAAAGGAAGATGGGGAGGCTGACAACCCCACGACTCATGTCAACGACGTAGTATCCAACTCCTCCTTTGACTCTTCTTTCTTTCTTCACCTCTCTTTCTCCTACTCCACAACCATCCATCATGGCTTCGCAACAATTTTCTGTCGTGCTTTGCCATGGCTCTTACCATACGCCAGCCCCATACCAGCCACTGATTGATGCACTGACGGCGCGGGGGATCGACGCCTACTGCCCCCAGCGCCCCTCGTGCGACCTCTCCAGGCTCAATGTCGGCGACGTTCACAACCCCGACTTTGACCGTGAGCCTCCTCCCGGAGGTTATCCTACCGCAGAGGAAGATGCCACTGAAGTTGGCAAGCTGGTGGATCAATTGATCGCAGAGGGCAAATCAGTGCTGCTGGCAGGACATTCCTCGGGCGGCTGGGTGGCCGCAGAGGCGGCTCAACCTGCGCGACAAGCCCATGTCCGCGCGCAAGCCGGCCATTCCGGCGGCATCATTGGTATCTTTTTTATTGGGGCCTTCATTATCCCCAAGGGAGAGTCGGTTGACAGTTTCTTCCAACCGGCGGACGGCGAGCCTGTTGCGCCTCCTTTTGTGCGCTTCCACGTAAGTCTCTCCTCCACCAGCATCCTTCAGTTGCTCTACTGACCATGTCTGGGCAGAAATTTGGCATGGACGGATTAGGCATTGTGGTGGATGCACCTCGGTTTTTCTTCAATGGCGTAGATGATGCTGCTGCGCAGAAGTGGGCGGCCACGTTGACGGCAGCTCCGATCATGACGAGTCCTCTCACCCATGATCCCTATTCAACTCTGCCTTGTGCGTATCTGGTGTTGGAGCAGGACTGTGCATTGCCAAAGGGGTATCAAGAGGGGATGGTGGCGATGCAGAGCTCGAAGAGTAAGCCTTTTACTATCTACCGGGGCCCATGTGGCCACTCGCCGCACCTGAGCTGGACGAGTGGACTGGTGGAGACGATCGAGGAGTTTCGCAATGGAATAGCATAGATAAGGGCGAACAATAGACATTAGGATCATAATGGAGCTAGCTTCTGCGAAGAAGCTATGTGTTTGCTTGGTGAAACCGTGCGGCCCCCACCTTGTAAGACAGCGACCTCTTCTTCCTTCAACCACTCCCGTCCACCTCAACCTTTTTCTCTCCTTCAATCATTTTCGTATCGTCGTCTCTGCTCTTATGGATTCTCCTCAATACGTTTTCGGTGCCCAGGCCTTCGGGGTGGCCTGGACGAATGAAAATGTGGACCAGTTGATGCAAGCTCTCAACGATTATGGCATCCATCACTTTGATACGGCTGCCCTCTATCCGGCAACTGCCCCAGGTGGCTCTGAGAAACTGCTGGGTGAGAAAAAACAACCCGGTGCTGTCATCGACACCAAGGTGATGTTCATGCTCAGTAATATGCTGAGCAAGGAGAACATGGAGAAGTCCATCCGGGATAGTCTGGAGCGACTGCAAATCAGCGAGGTGAGCAAAAGTTAACTGCAAGAGAGAAAAGGGACAACGTGTGGCTAACTAGAAACGAGATACACACTCTCTTCACCCATGCCCCTGATCGTCAGACCCCGATTGCGGAGCAGGCTGCCAACTTTGATCATTTCTACCGTGCCGGTCTGTTCCAGCAGCTGGGCCTATCCAACTACACCCCGGAAATGGTGCGAGAGTGGCTCGACATCGCGACGGAGAAGAACTACGTTAAGCCCTCCGTCTTCGAAGGCCAGTACAACATCTTTTGCCGCGGCTACGAAGAAGACTTGTTCCCTCTGCTCCGCGAGCATAACATGACCTTTGCAGCAACCTCACCGCTGGCTGGAGGATTCTTGACCGGCAAGCTGACCTTCTCCACGTCCCCGGCGGATCTGGCCGGCACGCGCTTCGAGGCTGCTGAGGGCAACATGTTGGGTGCTGTGTACCGTATGTGGTATGATCAGCCCGTTTTCCATGAGGCGATGCGGACTCTCAAGGACCTGGCCCACCTGCACCACACCACGCCCGAGAAGTTTGCTATGCGCTGGCTTCTCTTCCATTCCCCTCTGCGGTCCGCAGACACGATCGTCATCGGGCCGAACAATTTCTCGCAGCTCAACAGCTACCTGGAGGCTCGTCAGGCTGGCGCGCTCCCCGCGGATGTGGCACTTGCCATCGACAATCTCTTCGGCCCTCTGAAGGAAGTTGCTGCTCCCATGATTGAGGCGGGATGGTGGTCGCTGTAATTCAGGCTATGGAAGTCCATGGTGCTGCTCCAGTCTTTCTATTCCAATTCGTTGTGAGGGAGAGCTCGCAAACAAGCTGTGGTAGCCCCATCATGAGGATATTCTAGCATCGTTGAAGCTCTCCAATCGAGGTCATTCCTATTTCTTTATCTTCTGTCCTTGGGATTGGTTATCGACTTGTATTTAAGGTTGATCGTACGGCTGGGAGGGTTATTGGTGTGGATGTTCCGTTTCTTCGGAGTAGGATGTTAGGGAAATTGTAGATATGGCAACGGATGGCATTGGTTAATTACATGTAGAGTAGATTTAGGCGTTATTTGGAAGCACATTCTAAACTTTGCGCTCATTGTTCAAATAATCTATCCAGGCCCTTCGGCCACGCTTTGCCTAACTTCTGTCTTGTTCCTAGGGGTTCTAGACATGGTTATATGATAAAAAGATACGATAAAACACATCGTAAAAAAATCCATAAAAATGATTAAAAAAGACAGGGGTATGTTGTCCGTGTAAAAAGAGCCGACGGAAATGTTAAAAAAAATTCTGAAATAGATAAATAAATAGGTTGGCGTTGCACGCACCACCGTGTGCAGTGTCTATCTCCACGGATTGGGAGCAAGCAAAGCGGCCACTTCCTCATACACCGAGAAAACAATCCCACCACTAAGCAATAACCGCCCTAGTCGCATCGAGCTCCCTTTCCAAAACCCGCGGATTCCATAGTCGCGTAGGATACTCCGAGTTGCCTCAACAATACCAGCCCCCTGGACCCCCTGCGCTCGCGTCTTAAGAGTATCAAAAGGCTGGGTGGCATAGACCGTCACAACACCTGCGACGGCCCCCATACCAAAGGTAGTAAACACATTAGATGTGATTCCCTGGACCTTGCTGGCTTCCTTGAGGATGTTGTAGGTCCCCATTCGCACGGCCGAGGTGGCTGATTGTTTGAGGGTGGTAGAAACCAGGCCACGGTAGAGCTCTGGGATGCCATGGTTTTGGACTAGAACCCGTGTGGCATGAAGGCTGGACTTGAATATTCGGGCTTGTTTTGCGTCGTCGATTCTGCATACCGAAATAGTCAGCAAGGATACTGGAACTCTCACTGTTTACTCACAATGCAGTCTTAATTCTTTCTGTTGGCGTGACTGCAATAACACTCTCGACGGCTCCTGCCGCCATTCCGGCTAGAATACCGCGTCCTGGTGATAGTACTCCATGATCATCGCAAAAGGAGTTGCGGATTGTATCGTACGATAGAAATCGAACGGCTGCTTTTGCCGCGGTGCCCTAGTATCGAGGTCAGTCCAAATTCATCAAGGGAGATTATTTGCAAAGCAACGAAAGGTAACAAAAACAAAACAAAAACATACAATGACCAGCGTCGAACATCCTGTGTACAATGCCCCAATACCCTCCTGGCGCGAAACTTGCAGGATCAACCGGACAGGGTTCGATGGACTGTTCTTTGCGCCATGAAGCAATTGCACGCGCGTCTTGGAGTATTCAAACGGATACTAAGAAGACTGTCAACTCACAGAACCAGTCAGCAGGGGTAGCATCGAAATTGTACCGTGACTGCCGCCTCCACACCCCCGGCAATTCCTCCGGCCACGAGGGAGACCCACTGTGGGGTGCAGCGCTGGAGAAGGTTAGCAGGGAAGTCGCGATACCCCGATAGGCCCGGCAGGAGAATTACCTTTTGTGGCGTTGTCGCGGACGACTCCGAGCGAAATGACACGCGGGTGGTCATGGTGGCGGAAACGGCGAATGGGAATGCATCCTGGCGCGATGCCCCCGACTTATACTCCGTTCGACCATTGCGGAGAGACAGAGGCGTGGGGGCCGACGGAAGCGAAATTCCCGCGGAAAATCACTATCCGTGGATCCGCTCCAACGTTATAACATGCCGGCTCCCACGGAAAGGGTTGCCATGCACCCACTCGCCATGGAAGACGTCTCTCCGTCCAGACCTCGCAGGGCTGCTCAGGCGTGTGCATTTTGTCGGCGCAGGAAGGTCAGTGTTTTGCCGATGGAGCCTTCGAGTCCGCGGCTGATGGCTGTAGCTCCGATGCAATAACGAGAAACCGACCTGCTCCAACTGCAAGGGATATGCAAAGGAATGCGTCTACACGACGAGGTCCGAAAAACCTAGGTATGATGTCATTTGTCCAGAAAAGAGGTCACCACTTATCGTTCCAAGGCCATCCAAGGCCCGCATAGCGCGTCTTGAAGCAGAAAACCAGCATCTCCGTCAACGAATATCGGGAAATGGGAGAGGACTCACAGCGGCCAGTCCCAGCCAGAACGATGAGACGCAAGAGTCGCCGGCAAAATCACCAGATACAGCGCATCCGCAGTCGGCCGTGTCGCGCATTTTCATCTCACCCAATGGCGACTCGAGCTACCATGGACTCACCAGTACTCTGTTCGACGATGCGCCCACCGACCGACATGGTCAGACCCGAGCGGATCCACAAGCTCCTGTGGAGCATATTCGCAAGCGCCTGATGGGAGAAGCGGCCTATCAACGTATGTGGTCCTGCCCTTGATTCAGGCTGCATAGCTGACCTTCCGTCTAGGGCAGCTGGAGATGTTGAATCTGCGGCAAGGCAAGTTGGACTTTGATGGCGTTGATCCGGAGCTGGGGATGCATTTGCTGTCGCTACATTGGAACCGGCAACACCATTCCTTCCTCATCACCTATCGCCCAGCATTCATGCGTGATATGGCCACCAATGGCCCATACTTTTCCAAGCTGCTGTTAAACGCGATTTACTTTGGAGCATCCAAATTTAGCAACCGTCCCGAGGTCCGAAGCGACCCTGATGATGTCCGGACGGCAGGATGGACTTTTCGGATGCGAGTCAAAGAGCTACTTGGCAGTGCCCTTGATCGCAGCGAAATCACCACCATCCAGGCGCTGCTAGTCATGACCAGCTCTCTGTTTGCCCTGGGCGATGAACGCAGCGCAGCTTGGCTGTATGCTGGCACCGCATTTCGAATGATTATCGACCTGGGCATGCATGTGGATGCGACCATGCTCACCAACATGCGCAGACTTTCCGATGAGGATTTGGAAATCCGTCGGCGTGTCTTCTGGGGGGCATTTGTCGTCGACAAAATCCAGTCCTTGTATCAAGGCCGCCCTGCCAGTTTGCAGGATTTCGACACCAAGGTCTCCCTGACTTTTCTGGATCATTACGAGGAGCTCGAGCATTGGCAGCCATTTGCTTATTCGGATGTGCAGTCATACCCAGGGTCACCTGCGTACAGTGTCTCAACCTTTACCGAACTCTGCAAGCTATCCCTGGTCCTGAATGGGATCCTGAATAAGGTATACTCAGAACGGAGCTCGAATCGATCGCCACAGGACCTCATTGCTACTCTCAATACATTGGATCTCCAGATCAAGAGTTGGCACGATGCACTTCCTGATCACCTCCGGTTTGACCCGGCACAGACTACGCCGCCACCCCATGTGGTCTCCCTCCTGGCCCTGTACAATGTACTGCTTATTCTCCTCCACCGACCCTTTGTGGCTGAAGGACATCTCCATACAACAGACCCATCAGTCGCCATTAGCTCCTTTACGACTTGTACTGCGGCAGCAGCCCGGATCATTCAGCTACTTCAAGCCTATGACCAGACCTTCTCGATCCGACGAGCGCCATATCTGATTTCGTATGCCACGTATGTCGCAGCCACGATCTATGTGCGCGTGGCCGCGCAACGAGAAGGGGGCAGTCGAGCCCATGCCAGTCTCTGGACGTGTATCAACATCTTCCAGAAGAACCAGGAGACCAACTGGGCTGTGCGGCGTGCCAAAAATGTTATTCTTCATTTGATGGAGCGTATGGGCGTGGACTTGAGCCAGCCGCATGATGGATCTGGGTCCGCCCATGTGCCCGATGGAAGCGCAGGTCTGCCCAAGGACCTGGGGTCTTTGAGTGATACTCAAGCTACGAGATTCGCAAATAGTGGTGGTTTGACCCCTCCTGAGACAGAAGCGTTTGAGTTGGATATGGACATGATCATTCAAAGCTTTATTCGGCAACACACGAGAGAAAGCCTGCCGTCGTATGAGCCCGTGGACAACCCGTTCCCGGGCTCTGCGGCTGTGCCCTTTGGGACTCAGGGCTCTTTGGCTACGGCCATGCTGCCAATTTATGATGAATCATATTTGGACGCACGATTCGACGATGATATGTTGTTTGGGTTTAATGGTTCGCTGCAGGACAGTGTGCTATACAATTGAATGAAGAATAGAAACATGGTTGAATGCTTGAATGCTTGAATACTAATCCCTGAAGCCCAACTACCGCATGGGCATTCATGCCCGATAGAACACATTACCCTCAAACAGCCGCCGCGCCGTCCGAAACACTGCTACTTGATCCACATCAACCTCGCCACCCCGGTCCATGGCCAACACAGTCTCGGCGTGAATCACGCCAGCAGGATGCCGAATACCAACCGGCAACGGCGAAGCCATTTGGTATCCCTCGACCGACATGCCGCATTTTGGTTGTCTGACACGCCCTCCCTTACCAGCTAATTCCCATGCCACAGTTCCATGAATCGCCATAGCCGCGCCCAAACACACGGCACCAGTTAACTGGAGACTGGCATGCACCTTGCCCAGACTAAACGCCAGCACCTGGATATCTGCATCGGCGTCATCGCTCGCTGTCGAAGACACCAGGGCAATCTTCGGCGTTCCGCGCACCAATCCCGCAGCTTTTGTGTCTGCCGCCAGTCCAAAGCGCACGGCGCCTGCTCTCCGAATTTCTTCTATCACGCTCAGAAACTCAGGGTCACTGGGGTCTGGCCAGGACGCGTGGTCTTCGAAGGGCATTGATGATGCATCGACGAGGACGAATGGGTTCGCTGCATCGACCAGACTGACTCGCACGGTGAATGTTCCCATAGCAGAACACTGAACGGTCAATCGCTCTTGTCGTGCCCCACTGGGAAACATCTCTCCGGTCATACTGCCCCCAGGCTTGAGGAATGCCATCCGGATGGGACTGGAAGTGCCCTCAACGCCCGGGATGTGATAGTCGCCGTCCTCGCGGAAGCTGCCGTCCGGAGCCACCTGAATGGTTTCAACCAGAGTCTGGCCGGTATTCGTGTTGAAGACTCGGATGTCCATCTGTGCAAATCAGCATTATGATGTCTATCGATCTTCCAACGGAACGTGTGTATGCTCACTTCAGACTGTCCCGGTGTGGCTCTCACGATCCCCTCATCCAGCGCAAAAGGACCGACCCCCGATGCAATATTGCCACAGTTGCCAGTCATGTCGACTTTGGCTTGGTCTGGGGCCACTTGGATGAACGTATAGTCGACATCGACATTCGGGCGCTTGGATTTCGCCACGACGGCCACTTTGGATGTTGTAGATGTCGCCCCCCAACGCCATCAATTTGACGCGCATTTCCTTGGGCAGACCCCATAGCTGAAAGCAAAATCGTATCCCAGAGATGAGATGATGCTGGGAGATCTTTCTGGTGGATGAAGAGGCCCTTCGAAGTGCCTGACCTCATCCATACCGCCGGGAATGTCTTTCGCGTGAGAAAGTGACCACATTCTTTGATTTGGTAGAGACTTGGAGGGGCCAGATGCAGATGGTCTGTGATTGACAAGGGCGATGCTTTGGTCATGATGTTTCGCAGATATCTGGTGCTTTGCATTGACGGTTTTTCAGTGTTGAAGGGCCAAAATCACTAATCCCAAGAACTAGCAGATCCATTTCTATATACTCTGGTGTTCTCTGTAATTCCATCTACTGCCACTGGAATATACACTTGGGTCCCGTCCAATTCCTCCCGCGGCAAGTCTCGTTCCGCGGATAGAGAGATGCCACGGACGTGGACCCAGAACCACGGATGCCCTTTGTCTTACTGTATGCCTTTTATGGGGTCTGTATAGCCGAGGCGGGGTCCTCTGGACATAAAAAGCGTTAAAAAAAAAACATCAAAACAGAATCCAGCAAATGCAATGCCATCGGAGCAGGTGGTGAAACGCACTTGAACTACCGAACTTTTTGCCCGCTGCCTATGATGAGTACCCCAGCACAAGAGACGTCTAGCGGCGTCCGGGTCCACAACTCGCGTGTCTATCTTTTGGCGATAGTGACATCGATGGGTGCGTTTTTGTTTGGATATGACCTCGCGTTCATCGGGACATCCATTGAGCTGGCTCCCTTCCAGAGGTAAGTGATCCAGTTGTGCTCATATAGCACGGATGCTGATCTTCCCAGGGACTTCGGATTAATCGATGCATCAGAGTCTGTCAAGGATGCATTCTCAGCCAATATCGTCTCATTACTGCAAGCAGGCTGCTTCTTTGGGTCTTTGGCTGCTGCACCCGTTGGGGATAAGTTGGGTCGCCGGCTAGCTTTGGGTCTAGGCGCCCTGGCCTTCATGACGGGATCAATCATGCAAGTGGCCTCATCCGGTATCCAGGCTGTCATGTTCGTGGGGAGAGTAATTGGCGGCGTGGTGAGTCCTCCTTCGAGACTGCTTGTGGCACCTAGGGCTGCCTCGCTGATACTATCCAGGGCGTGGGATTTGCCAGCATGCTCGTACCTTTATATTCAGCGGAATGTGCGCCACCGCAGATCCGAGGCCGGTTAGTGGGTATTTATGAAATCGGCGTACAGGTCGGCACCTGCATGGGGTTCTGGATCAACTTTGGCGTCGATCGCAACATGGCCCCGACGTCCGCGCAATGGAGAACCCCCTTTGCTTTGCAGCTGGTCCCCGCGGGACTGTTAATTCTGGGCCTGGTTTTCATGCCCGACTCGCCTCGGTGGATGGCCAAGGTCTACGGGAGAACCCGAGCAGTAGAGACCCTGGCGCACCTGCGGGATCTGCCTATCGACCATCCGGCCGTGCAGGATGAAGTGACCGATATCCTGCAGCAGCTGGAACTCGAGCGTGCCAACAGTCTGGGCAATAGTCGCGCTGCTCTGCGAGAATTGATGCAGCCGGGAATCCGCAATCGCGTGTTTCTCGGAGTGATTATCATGGTCTTCTTCCAGATGGCAGGCTCCAACGCCATCAACTACTACTCGCCTCGCATCTTTCACTCCATCGGGCTCAGGGGTACCGAGACCTCCCTTGTTTCCACCGGCATCTATGGAATTGTTCGGCTTGTGGCGGTTTGCATTGCCATGTACTTTGTGGTGGACCGGTTTGGTCGGGTGCCCATGCTGATCGGTGGAAGTGCAGTGATGGTAAGTTTAGCTCTTTTTTCTTTGCACTCGTTTAAGACATCGGTCTGACAGATACCTCTTCAGGCAATTTCCATGTGGTTGATTGGCGTCTTCGTCAAAATTCAAGGCCCCGCATCCAGCGAAAATACTTCTCTCAGTGCGAGCTCTTATGCCGCAGCAGTGTTCATCTTCGTGTTTGCGGTGGCCTTTTGCTTTAGCTGGGCCGGCGTTCCCTGGGTCATCTGCTCCGAGATCTACCCGTTGCGCGTGCGCGGTCTCTGTGTGAGTATCTGCGTGGCGACGCACTGGCTCTTCAATTTTGTCATTGCCCGAAGCGTGCCGTACATGATCTCGAATATCTCCTATGGCACGTACTTTGTTTTTGCGGCCTGCACGACGCTGTCAATTCCGTTTGTTTGGCTGATGATTCCCGAGACAAAGGGACTGAAGCTGGAGGAGGTGGATGTTTTGTTTAATGGTCGAGGGCTTGTTCCACGGCGTCGGGGTCAATCAAGGACAGACGATGTGGGAGACAACAAGGTGATGGTGGAGCAGGTTGAGGCTGTGTAGGGTTCAATCCTTTTGTCAAAGCATCCTTGTATATATGAAATAACTTTCAAAGTCACAATGGCAAAATAGTGGGCAGCTAAAGCCCTTCAAAGTGCTGCAGGTGGATCTAGTCAAGAAACCCCAATATCCCAGTTCTGTAGCCACCCCGACTTTTTCCATCCGACTGGAACATTCAGTCGGGCATCACCAGACTCGGGCAACCACCCTGCTCTGAAGCTGTCGGTAGTGAAATTCAGCAGTCCGAAGTACAGGCTTGAATTCTACCAACTCTAATTATCCACCTTTCGTGTGAGCGGATATGCTTGCTAGGGACCAGAGCATGCTATCGATTATAAAACAAACTTACTCGATCCCTCTTGCTTTATAACCGTCTGTTACCTAAAATATGTCCGATTAGCGTATATAAGCTTATTCCTTATAGGCTATCTATTAGGTAAATATCCCCGGCTACCGTTTATATAGTATATACGTCTAGTATTACTATAGGCGCGATACCTAATAAATTAGAGAAAAAGCGCTGAATAGGGAATAGGAAAGAATTTCTAATATATACTTTAAATTAAGGAAGATATAATTATAGCCTTTGGAGTGTGATTATATAATATAACCGATAGTAAAGGAAACCCTGTCATAGATAGTATATTTAGACTAAATAATAGACAAATTGAGAAGCCGGTCTTAGGAGGATTCAGATACTATATTATAAAGGCCCTCGTTCAATTTAATAAGAAAGATTAATAGTTATAATAATAAGGAAATAATATTATACTATAGGTAGTCTTACTCGAGTGAATTCCGGCTTTCTAGATCCCTAATACCTAATAGATAAAAAGCTTGAAATCTATCTAGATATCCTATTTGTATAACTAAGAAAGTATCTATATTTACTATCTTTAGTAGATAAAGAGATAAATAATTCGTGACTAATAAGCTGCCTATTTCCTGTTCCTCTTTCTATTATCTACTATTTCTGATTTCCATTTTTAAAGGCTCTAGAAGTCTCTCTAATATACAATACCTTATAAGATTAAAGGAAAGATACAGGCTTTCCTAGGAAAACTAAAGTAAACTCTAAAATAGAATACGAATCCACCTAGGGTCGCTTTAAGGGTCTATAGGAGGTATCAAAGTCTCTGGATGATGGATCATGATTATCGGTCTCCGGGCGCGAGGAGTCGTTGTCTCAAGTCAACAAAGGAAGCGGTGCCTGGTTTTCAGCCCGACCTACAAAAGGTCTGTCAGATAAATGTGGGTTGCATAGTAGAATGCGTATTTCACTTGCCCGACGACATCACGTCCATCTGGTCATGCTGTAGTTGGTTATACGGACTATTCAAGATCCGATTAATATCTGCTTCTAGTCGAGATGCGTAGTCCCTTGATCCAACTGGCGGCGCGGAAATGAAGAAGCCGTCTGTATTTGCTATGATGTCCGGTAGTAGGTATCGCCAATGGAACTTGGGAGAAGAGAAATGGAGATTGGAAACGAGCGCAGTGAGCCTCTGAGCTCAAGACCGGATTTGCAATTGTCGATATGAATAGGTCTCCGCAGTTTCATGGATATCATCTACGATTTCTCTCGTTCAGTAGTGGACGGACGTAGGTGGGCGCGTAAGAGTGAAGTTGATGAGGAGCCAATTAGAATTAATGAATCACCCGAGGGCCCTTGCTCCCCGTGGCTCTGTTTCCCCCTCGTATCTTCGAACACCCAAAACACAAACACTTGCCCCTGCTCCTGCTCCTCGCTTCTTCTCGCTCACTTCATATTATCATGGATATTCAACGTCAATTTCCTGGAGTGCACTGGATCTGGGGAGGAGGCATCTCCTTTGTTTACGAGGTTCATCCTCGAATCGTGGTCAAGGTCCCGCAGTCTGGCGAATTTGAGAAGGAACAATTCTCCAAAGAGCTCGAGATATACCAGACATTCTCGCAACGCCCGCCTTGTCCCTCCATCGTGCAGTGTTATTTTTACACACACAATGGCATCTTTCTCGAGTATATGAGAGGTATAGTGCGGACCATCTAGTAATTACTTGATTTATGTACTAACCGTCTTATTAGATGAGTCACTTTCTTCTAGAATACAAGACAATCATATCCGCAACCATCAGACAAAGGTGGTTACTACAGTGGAAAGGCTGGAGCCTCTGCCTCTCCGAAAGGAATGGATGAATGATCTCGCCCAAGCGGTGGCTTTCTTGGAATCACTCAACCTCGCTCACGGCGATCTTCGTCCGGAGAATATTCTTCTCGATCGCAACCGAATCAAGCTATCAGACTTTGACTGTACAGCCAAAATTGGAACACCTCACGAAGCTTGTCTAGCTCCATATGGCAGATTGCTAAACGACAGCGAGGTGGAGTATGGCAGCCGTGGATCCTCCGGCTCGTTAGGTCCCCGGACGGAGCAGTTTGCCCTCGGCTCCTTGTACTATCTAATCAACTATGGCTTCGAGGTGTACGGGGACCGATGTCTTACTGAAGATCCTTACGAGCATGGGCCAAAGACCGTGGAGCTACTACAGAACATGGAGTTTCCAAAATTAGATCGCGACCCGGCAATCGACAGGATCATCGACAAATGTTGGCACAATAGATATGCCACGGTTTCAGAGCTAGCCGCAGAGACAAAAGCAATTCTGGATGAAGGAGCCGACAACGAGGCAACAACAACAGAGTTCCATCATTCAAACACCCGTGATGACGAGGATCAACACCTCTTTGGAGGGGAATTCCTTTCGAAGAAAGATTTCTGCCAGCATCTGGCGAAACGTGGACTTCTTGACCTGCTTTCTTCGGGTGAGCCTGGGCAACTCGGATTCACCCTCGCATGGTATCGGCACTGTCTCTCAAATGTACCATCCAACAATGCGTCATAAAAATAGGATAAAGGGCAGGAAAGCTATTTCTACTCGAAAATACCATCCACAAATACACAACTGCCGTCATCTCTATCCCACTCTTCGCAATCATTCTAGCTCATCAAAATGAAAATTCCCATTGGCTTCATAAATGGAGTAGTATTCAATATTCAATTTGCTATTTTGTTTTGTATGGTCTGTAGGTTCCATGGGTCTTGTCTTGGGGAACATATGTGGCAGTTGCTCTCAGGGGTATATTATCTTCCACTCATCCCTCACCTGATTTTTGAACCTAATGATAGTATCTACCCCGGCTTAGGGTAAAAATATATTTACGAAATAAGTAACCAGAGTGCTCGATGCTCTCTTGTACATACTGTGTCACATGGCCTTAATCCACCCTTGTTTACCAGGCTCCTCCATATTCGGAAAGTGTTTACTCCCTTAACTTGTTGGTAGATCAATATTCAGGAATGACATCCATATAGTATAGAGTATATATATATACGCAGAGCATGTCCACATGCAATTCTCATCTAGCGTCAAGAAAAACACAAAGACGCAAAGGGTATCGCTTTGCTCGCCGTCTGCCGCAGTGCACCCAAACACCGCAATGGAAGCGAGGACGGACTCGAATCATCAACATGCAAGAAAAGAACCAAAAAATGCCTCTGACCTCTGACCATAACGGCTTTGTGTTCTTTTTTATACCTCGCCTCGGTCGAATCGGCTCAGGACTTCCGGAGGGACGGTGGGGATGTACTTGCGCGCGCGTTCGCGGTTGGTCCCGCCGAATCCTGCGCCGTAGCTGATAAGCATGTCTGTGCTGGTCGGCAGGGAGAATGGCAGGAAGAGTGTCGGGTCCAGGAAAATGCCGTTGACGCCGGGCCGATCGTCCGTCTTTGGCGCCGCGATCATACTTGTAGGCCGCGAAGATGCAGCTATCGATGCTGGCGATGCTGGCCCTGGATCCGGGGATGTCGGAACTTCGGGTGCTCCGTCAGCCGGGGGTTGAGGTTGGTCTCTGGAAGGCGTCTTCGGCCGAGCCTCAGCAGCAGCTTCGGGTACAGGGGCGGCGGCGGCTTTCTCCTTCTCGTCTTGGATTCTTTGCTGTTCCCGGAACAACATATCCGGATCACGCTGGTACTCCAGAAGAAACTTCATGGCCTGTTTGGTGAGCCCTTTCTCGCCCACCTCGGGACGGTACGACTTGACCGCATGGAGAAGTTGGGTAGGGGTCAGTTGTTGAAGTTGGAGCAGCGTTGTCACAAGGGACTCATGATCGTCTCCGAGTGACGAGAAGCATTGCAGCCACTGGAGAAGTTGGATAACCGGAGCCAAATGTTGTCTCGCGGCATCCATAGTTGTATCCCCGCTGCTGGTGGTGGATCCGTTTTCGTAGTGTTCCGGGTGCCGGTTGTTGGTGCGCGCCCAATCCTCTAACGTTGAAACGTTCATGCGGATCTGCATCGCCTTCGTGCGCGCGAGGTAGCGTTTTGTGGTCACAATTCGGTTGAAAATCTCCGCACTAAGCCAGTACAGGAGCTGGGAAAGGATTTGGGTGGTGATCACCGAGTGGACGTCATAGAGGTCGAGAACAAACAGGGTCGAAGATAATAACGAGGTGATATTCCTCGGGGATACTTGAGCTCGCCGCCGGGGCGAAGGAGGACGGAACCGCTTCTCTGCAGGTTCAGGGGTTTTGGACTTGTTCTTGGATCGGAAAAGCTTCCATTCATTTTGGAATGCAATGTCCTCCAGTCCAGGAATGGTCTCGTGGTCCAGCATTGCCGAATCCAGGACTTTGTTCATTCGGCGCTCGGCGTCGCGAATGATGAGAACGAAGATTTCATTAATCAGTTCTGCGAGGTGGAGTTGGAATTCAACTGTAGATTCCACCAGACCCGGGTCTTTCTTTAGATAATGAAGCAACAGCGTGGCATTGGACAGCCAAAACGCCTGCATGGTCATATCCCATTGATGGCGTTCAACCACGTCATTAATTTTTTCCGTAGCTGAGGTTAGTAGAGTCGCAAGCAGCTCAGGACTAGCGTGGTAGTGCGCGTAACGCGCACTGAGGAAGAGCAGATTGGCTGGTACTGGCTTTTGGGATGGAGATCGCTGCGGCGTCATAGTGGTGATGATGATATCCAGGATATGTTCCAGCTCATGATCTTGGAACACGAACATCTGGTCGTTCAGGCATCGTTCCCAAACAAATTCTTGCTGTTCTTCCTCTAACTCATCGTCATCCAGTGACTATTCAAGTCCAGCGGACCCAGTCAGCAAATATATCCGGGTGAAATTATCACGACTGGAAGTCTCACCTCCATCTTCTCGTCTATCCCCAAGCTAGACAAGTCAACTTCCAGATTGATCGCGCTCTCTTCCATCATCATCCGTCGTTTCATCTCGTTTTCGGCGATTTCCTCTTCGAAACGGCCATGTGCCAACCCGGCATCATAAAAATCCTCTTCAACGCCACTAGGGCCAAGATTATAGCCATTTTCATGCAAGTATTCGGAAATCTCGCTTCCGGGCTGTGCAAAGTCAAAAGCCGTGCCTCCCGATGAGGACTTAATATCCGGCGAGGCACCATGATCGAGGAGAACTTTTGCGATGGTCTTGTGTCGGTTGGTCATTGCCCACATGAGTGCGCTCCACTGGTTACGATCCTGCTTGTCGACAAAAGCGCCGGCCTCGAGAAGAGCCGAAACGACTTCATGATGGCCCTAAACTGACAATCAGCGTCTCACTCAATTTCCCTGGCTACTTTTCACTTCCGGACTCAGACTGCGGTCACGGAGTGAAAGGGGACTACCCACAAAACAACTGGCATAAATCAAAGGCACAGTCCCTTCTTCATCCGGCATATTGACATCGACGTAGTTCTTCGCCTGTCCTCGAACCAGCTTGCGCACCCGCTCGACATCGCCGTTACTTGCCGCCATGTTGAGGCTCTTCTGCAAGATATCCTTCTTCTCGGCGTCGGTCAATTTCTCGTCGCCTGCGATAGTCTCCTCATCCGCACCCAGCGAATCAACTTCACGGTGAGCAGCCTGCGCCGCCAGCATCTCCATCAGCCGGGCATCGTTATCCTCGGGGTCGCGGCCATATTGGGCGCGCAGGTCATGCTCGGGGTCGTGCGAGTGGTCGTCGAGGGTGAGGCTGAAAGGCAACGGCTTTGCGGCAACGGGAGTAGTCAGGAATTGCGATTGCCCTGTAGACCGAACATCATCGGTTAGTCAAATTTTGAAATCATTCATTGGAGGCATCGGGCCATGGATACAGTCCCAGTGGAATCAGTGGGAAAAGTATGAGGGGAACCAGGCGCAACTCACCTTGCCAAGCGTCGTACATCTCGGTCTCCTGGAAGACGGGGACGGACCGACGGTCGTCCAGCGACTTGGGCAAGTCATCCGGAAGTTCCTGTTTGGGGTCGGGCGAGGAGACGGGGCTGTGGTCGGGATTGTGGTCGTGGCCGGGGTCGATCTCGCTAGAGGCCCCGCGCCGCTCGGTCGTGTCCATCGTGACAGTCGCGCGGACCCAAGGCGGGACACATCCAAGACGGCAAATGCAGAAGGTCGGACCTCCCTCGAGAAAGAAGGCGATTCACACAGCTGAGGGAGAGACAGGCCCTCGGTCCGGTTGAGTTTGTTGTGGGGAGGGAAATTAAAGAGAGCCGCGGGCGGGACAGCTGGGCGAAAAACGATGTTTCTACGTAGGATCAACACGGCCAGTGATGCAGCTTTATGACGCAGGCCCACACAACTCTATGTGAAACCACGGGTACAATGGAGATTACTCTTCAGTGTTTATAATTAACCAATGTACACTCTAATACTCCTCATTTCCAGCTGACTTGAGCGTTTAGTCCTAGACATGGCTTTTGCACCATCCTTCGATTACTATGGTTGAGAGAAATGTAGAAAAACTTCTACTCGAGCATTATGGGAAGATATCATAATTCCAAGTCCTAATTAATCCAGGGGGCTTTCGACCCCGTATGCATTCAATGATGGCAACTCAAATTCCAGGCTCTGATGCAAATGCACGCTCGAAACACAAAACTCGCTCCGTAGGAAATCAAATCCAAAAACGACGATGCAAAAGTGTGGGATGTATATACGGCAGAGAGAATGACAACCCCCCTGCAAAGTTCCAAATGTCCAATGATGAGAGTAAGGAAAGAAAGGAAGAGAGCAAGCAAGAAAGAAAGATGAGGAAGGTATGCTTCCGGATACCAGAGGAAAGACGAGAAGAATCACACCAGGTTCTTACTACGAGCTTGGATCTCGTCTTCGGGAAGCGAGGCAATCCACAAACATCGCTCGATGATGCCCTGCACGGGCTCGAAACGGTACTTGGTGCTGGCGTCAATCAGACGGAGTAGGTTCTTGACGATGCGGGCAGTGGTACGGTAGCGCTCGAAGTTGACGAGCATCCCTCCGCCGTTGCCATTGATCTGAGCGGGTTTCTGCGAATTGTAGGTGAGGTCGTGCACATACAGACCTAAATAAGAATTAGTACTCTGGAAATGTCAAGGTGGGGTCAGAGTAAAGGAAGGGCCTACCAATGAAAGGAATGCAGCCTTCTTGCAAATTGGCCGTTTCCATTTCAACTCGAAGGTCGTGGAAATTGCGCACTGGCTGGATCAGACACTCCATGTCCTTGAACAGTCGTCTGTCCTCGAGCGGGACCAACTGCCACGTGTCTTGCAGCCGCGAACAGTCGGATGAGGACAAGGCAATGGCGATCTGGAGCATCGTGGCGTAGTTGCAGATGCGGCGCGCATGAGCTGCGGTATGGATGTACTTAATAATTGTGCGCACCCGCTCATGAATGTCGCGAGTCAACACGATCTCAGACAAGACCCATTTCACCATGATATTGAAGCGGCCAACAACCAAATCAATGCCCTTGCGGTCCTCGGACGTGAGGAACTGGACCCAGTTCATGATGTACGGTGAGCAGCTGCTCCAATTCATTTCGACCAAGTCGCGCCAATCAACTTCGCTCAGGGCCGCCATTTCCACCAGTGTTAGCTGCTGAGCGAGAACATGAGATTCACAGGCGAGTACAAAGGGCACATGGTCAGGGCCAGGGTGTTGGATAGTATCTTGGCAATAATGGTTGCGTTCAGAATTGGAGAGAACGTCGCTGGATACTTGCTGTACGTTCCTCAATCGCGAGTTGGGCTTCTCCGTATCCCTATGACGAGGGGATGTTTCGGGGGTAAGAGGCCGGGCCTGGAACAAAACCGGGTCCAATGGCGAGGCATTCAGGGTGAAAGAGCCGGGTTTTTGAATGGTCATCGGTGGAGATGGAGGATGCGCCAGGGGATGAGGCGGGATGTCAACAGTCGATGACGACAGGCTTTGAGTATAGGGGGATCGGCGTGCGCCTGCGGCTTCATGTGCTTCAATCATGTCAACTGACAGAGCAGACAGACGTTTCGGGGTAACTGCGCCAGCATCACGCAGAGCGTATGACGGGGCTGTGGAACCTCGGGGAATACGGCGCAGGCTTTCGGTTTCCTTGATGATTTGAATGGACGGGTGCGACGAGGCCAGTTCAGACATATCCCGGCTCGAGATGAAACTAAGCGGTGGACCGTGAGGATCGTTGTGAGGATGGCGAGCAGTGGGCGGCCGTTTCATGGACTCATCGGTCAATCCTCGCTCGAGAAGCGGAATCGAATTGTAGGATTCTTCAGACTCCGCCACTGAATCAGAGTAAGGACGAGGTGGTGCCAGTCGGCCTGCAACTGTCGAATACGCTGACTTGTCAGTCTGTCGTCTCCGGGGGAGAACATCCCAGTCGGGGTGATCCCTTTCGGCTCTGTCGACTCCGGGCTGCGTCAAAAGCTGTCCCCGGCGAGCATCGCTTCTTCCGACCTTGCCTCGAGAATCATCTGCTTGGCCAGATGCAGGGCCCTGGTCGTCGTCGGATGACCCTCCCCACTTGCCTTCTAGTTTGAGTAAAGTAGACTCGATACCTCCATCGTCATCATCGGGGATCTGGGCGAACTGCGCAATCGCGGCTTCGAATGAGCGCCTCAAGTGTCGCGATGAACGGGTATGTATAAGTGAAAAGCGAGGGTTGGGCGGGATAAGAGTAGTCATGGGCCTGGAGGCAGTATCCTCACTATAAGTCGTGGTGCCCGTGAGAGAATCATCGTAGGAGTAATCAGATATAAACGATGCACGACCCGGGGTCGCGCCGTGCTCGTCACCGGTTTGCATCTGGCGCAGATTCCCGCCGGGTCTCCTGCGAAGTGCCGGCCCAGAGAACTTCCCCAGTCGGTTTTGCATCGGATGGGCAGCACCGGCAGATTGACCCGCCTCGCTACCAATCGACAGGCGCTTTCTAGAAATCCCGCTCTGGAAGGAAGCGTACTTGCGTAGCCGGAGAGACAAGGGAGTCTTACACGGTGTGGATCCACGCTCAACCGAAAATGACCTTCGTGGGGTAGAAGGAGCAGAGGGACGCAAGGAGCTTGAGCGTTGAGCATTTGCCCCCGATTCTTCAGGGCTGTAGTATATCGGCAGCAAATACTGTCCTTCCGCCAGGGTGGACACATGCGACGGCGCGCCATCTGTTGCCAGGCGGTCGTTTGAAGTGTCTTGGCCATGTTCATCTGTGACCTCCAATGTTGACTCTGGAGCAGCGCCAGACATGACGGGAATATCGAACCCGGTATCATCGACGATGACGATTGATCCGCTGTCAGTGGTGATTCCACTTTTGATGTCGGTGTTACCAGCGTTGGGAATCTGAAGGGTTTCAGACTCAGTAGGGTTCTGCGCAGTTTCTTGTGTTGGTTGCAATCCTGGTTCCGCTGACTGCTGGGCCTGCTCTCTTGCTTCATTTTCTTTCACCACCTGGCGGTATTGTTTCAACACCTCGTCGCACAGAATATCGATACGAGCGAGATGCTTAGGACCGGCAGCCAACTTTCTTTCCCGGTAAATATCAGAGCCAAATGCTAGATGCGTAGGCATTGCAGATGTCTTGCCCCGTGAGAGCATTGCCACGGCGTCAGTAGAATTTGCAATGCGAGCAGAAATACTCTGGCCACCGTTTCTCGTGTGCAGAACCCGCTTGATCGAACCCAGAATGGTTCTCATGCCGGAGTTCGTGAGTGCCGGCTTGGACATCGTATCCGGTGTGCTCCGCCGGTCTGGGTTTCCGGTTGTCGAGGGCGGGGCCAGAGGAGGAGAGTCCGGTGCCATCATTGTCATATAGGATTCCGCAGGAGGGTACAGCTCTCCTCGAATCAAACTAACAGGATCCAGGATATCTTGGGTGGCGGATACCATTGCTTCAGGCTCCGTGACGAACATCGGCACACGATCATCTCGCACCGAGTCCGAGAAGCTGCCGCTTCTCTTGTGCCCATGGCCATGGAATGGGTGTCGTGATATTATGGGAGAAACAGGTGGGGGTTCATGGGAGGAAGGCGTGACTTTCGTAAGACCCAATGGTACCGGACGTGGCGCCTTGCCTTTCGAGAAAGGAACGGACTGGTGCTTGGCGGACTTGGGAGGTAGCGAGCAAGACAGCACCTGCATGCTTTGGTCGCTCTGCGTGGAGAACGGAATACTTTGAGCGGTCCCAGCAGAGTCGTTTCGATCATGCTGAGTTGAAAGGCGAAGGCTCTCATGCGAGTTAGAGTCTGGGTTGGGGACCATTCCGGGGAGAGGAAAACTTTGCTGCGGTACATCAGCACTAGGCAGCTCGATCTGGGCACTTCCGGGTACAATGGGCGTGTCTGGGTCATTATATGCGCGAGAGAAGTCGGATGCGGTCCAATAAACGGAGCATTTGCCATTCCAACAACGCTTCAAATCAATGAGAATCTTCAAGTCGCTCATGCCCCCAAAGTCTCGGGACTTGACCTCTCGGTAAAGCGTGTTGATCGTGTCACAAAAGTGGGTCCGAAGGTCGTAGTTCGTAACAAAGTCATCAACAAAATAATTCAAAATCCAGTGTCGAAGCGCCGCAAAGGTGCGAATCCGGATGATCCGCCCATCGTCTTTTAGCCGATTAATCGCCCAGTGCAGCCGTGCAAGGAGGAGAGCTAGCAGATGACCCGTGGAGAGGTATGAACGGAAAGTGAGAAAGAAGTCCGACACCAGCTCGTAGTCCATAAATGACTCGGAGGATATCTGGGCCACAATGCGGGCAGGTGTGGCTGCACTCATGTCCTTTGTGCCAGGAATATACCGAACGACAGACCCATCATCCATTCCTGAAACCAGGTTTTCATAGATAGACGGTTCGACAGGTTCTTTCAATTCGTAGACCACGGAGTTCCTTGGTATTGGGGACGCCCGGCTCAGATCTATGGCCGCTGTCCCCGAAAACATCGAGACCGCAAAAGAAGACCGCTGTCGCGACATGGAGTCCCTCCCGTATACACTCGAACGATGGGTCAGCAGAGGATCCGCCATGCCGCCCAGCAAGGTTGAATTCCGAAAATTGTCCGACATGGATGTGCGGGTATGACCCGAGCTCTGCAAAGCTGCGCTCTTATCGGTCTTAAATCGCGGGGACGTGAGCCGAGGACGTGGGATAGCCTCCGAGGCCGCGTGGCCCGATTTTTGCTCTGCGGACTTTGGCCGGTCCTCAGATCGATCGATAACAATTCGCATCTCGCGTTTTCCAGCTTCGGGTACCGATTCCTCATCTGATGCCGAGTTTGAATTCGACCGCAGGCGACTCTGGATGGATTGATCGAGCTGTGCGGACTGGGGAACGGCGGGCTCGCGAATATCGCGGGGCTCTTCGCGCGGGCGCAGCTCCGAGAGCTGAGAACTTGACCACCGGGATGGATCATCACGAGCGAACGCGTGTCCTTGAGGCTGAAGAAAATTGGTTTTGGCTTGGTCGACAGAGGCCAAGGGTGCTATACGGTGGGCTTTAGGGGTCGGATTCGCAATTGGCCTAGGTGATTCAAGTATTCTGTCAGCCTGTTGCGAAAAGATGCGACACAAGAACGCTGCACGGTGGTTGCGCCATCGATCGTACCTGAGGAAGATCTTCCCATTCTGGCCTACACTTCCTACTGTAAAATGGCCTGCCTTCCGGCCCGGGGAGGCGCTCCGAGCGGGCCACGCTGCGTCTGAGACCGTTGTAATGGACCCTGCCGCAACAATTCATTGCTGTCCTTGGCACGCAGCCCCGTTGTTGCCGTCCTCTCATGCGTTGCTTTCAGCTCCAGGTTTCTCTTGATGAGATTGCTTCCCTGCACGGTGTTGGCACGCCGAAGCGTCGACGGTCCATTCTGGGATCCTCCACTGCGTGTCCGATCCAAGGTCGGCAACTCATCGATGCGAACTCGTGGGGTATTCGGTTCTTTGGACGGCGCCGGCGGGTCGACTGGCGAAGGAAAGGGCTCCATTGTGGGCGATCGCGAAAGCTCGAGGGGGGAAACGCAACCACGCTCACCCCGTTCGCGACGGGTAGAGCCCGAGAAACCAGTGCTGAATCAGGGGCTAATTCAGTAATTCAGGGAGATTAAGTAGCAGAGAATAAAAGTTGCACAGATCAGAATGGTCTCAACATGGCCTGAGGAACAGAGAAAGAGACCGAGGTGACGGGGGGGGCCGGTCAGCTCTTGTTTTTTTTTTTCCCAAAGATCCAAGTGGAGTTGGGGAACGGTCCCGACGCGGCGGAACCAGGCGAACTGCTGGGAAACCGTTGCCCTTGGGAATATAAGGGATAATAAGTTTGATGTTGATGGGTCCAACAAATTCCACGTTAGAGTCGAGGAGTCGAAGAGTCGAAGAGGTGCACAGATGAACATGCGATAGAAAATGGGAGCTCACATCTCCCCCCTCGGACATGGCATTTCACCTGCGAAACAGAGCTGAGCTGCGCTCGTCGGCAAGAGTGATAGGTCACAGGCCCGGTGGGACGCTCTGTTAGCTTCGCCCCGGTGGCAGCGAACGGCTCCGCGAGTTTGGCGCAACTCGCGGCCGCATTTCTGGTTGGTTGTGAGCACCGTTATGTCGTCTCCACTTGACGTTGGATAAGAAGCGGAGCCCATGACACGGCCCTAGGCCGAAAATTAGGGTGCCTGGCAATGGGAGTTCTTTTTTTAACAGTGCCTCAATGTCTCAAGGGGCCGAGTGAGCGTGTCTCACTCCCATCGAACACTTCAACAATCCAAGCCGAATCTCCCCGGTCGCATCCCTGACTTCTGGAGGCAGAGCTGGAATTGCCGCTGCGTCACCCTCGACCTGTGAGATGCAGCGACCCGAAAATTGGATACGGAGATGATGACCCGGCATGATATGTCACATCATTGGACTGTTTAGGTTCCCTTGAATTGAAGCTTGCAGAAATCGCGGGTCCAGCAAGACTGCGGGTTGTCGGGAAGCCAAAATCAAAAGTTCGGTGAAGACCCGGCAGTATAAAATCTACCAGGAATACTGCCTTGTACAAACTGGCTCGATTTGTTTGCGCTTTCTTCGACTTGTTACCTACACATACAAACATCTAAGAAGCATTAATCAATACAAGTCTTCACATGATGGCCCTAAAATCGAGGATTGATCCGAGGTCTGCCTCCGGGCCCACGGTCAATAAGAAGATGCAAGATTTCGGGTTTGGAACAATATAGATTCATGAAGCATATAGAAACTAAGCTAATAAAGAGGTTGGAGGATCCGTATGTTTCTCTAAGCTACCAGAGCTTGCAAACCGGTTTCTTCTCCGGACACTGGAAAGCTTCCTTGAACTCACGAGAGTTCGCCATGGTTTCCTGATGCAAGAGTTAGCCGGGCATCAGGAAGGAGGGAATACGGTGTAGAAACTGACAATAATCCGTGCCGATTTGGGTGCATGAGGATCATTATAAATGGCTTGCTCGGCGGTTCCCTTGGTGTTCTTGCCACACCACCAGTTCCCATAGGCGATAAAGAACAGCTGCTCCTTGCTGAAGAACTCGAGACCCGGAAGATGAAGGTCAGGAGAAGACTCGTCGCGCTTTTTCCATGCATGGAAGGACGCTGTCAATCCTCCAGCATCAGCAATGTTCTCGCCCAGCGTCAACCGCCCGTTGACGTGAAGAGTTTTGTTCTCTGGCCCTGTCACAGTGAAGTTGGAATACTGGTCGACGAAGCATTGAGCTCGCTCCTCGAACGCGTTCACAGTCTTATCGTCCCACCAGTTGGTGTAATTTCCTGTCTCGTCATAGTGTCGACCGGTAGAGTCAAATGCTGCCATTTGTTAGTGAAAAAAAATTCCCAAGCAGCTATGCCCATATAGAAACGAGAGTATTGGCCATACCGTGAGACAATTCGTGGCCGCTAACAGCACCAAAGGCGCCATAGGCCAGATACAACGGGGCGGCGGGCCCGTAGAATGCTGGTGGTTGCATAATACCAGCAGGGAAAACAATCTCGTTGCCGGGAGGGTTGTAGTAGGCGTTGACAGTTGGAGCTGTCATCCCCCACTCGTCCCGATTCGTGGGCTTCCCAAGTTTAGACCATTCGTTGTGAAGCTCAAACTTGACCACGGCGACTTCGTTCTCGAAGAAGGCTTTGCTGGTCAATTTCAGATCCTGATAGTACTTCTTCACGTCCTCGGCATCCATGACATTGGGGCTCTTCGAGGGATAGCCGATTTTCTGAATGATATTCTCCACTTTTTGGATACCCAGTTTTCGAACTTTGGGAGACATCCAGTCGGTTTGGTCCAAAGTGAAAACAAATCTTTCCTTGATATCAGAGACGATTTTGTCACCAAGTTCCTTGGATGCCTGAGAGAATGAGTCCAGGACATAAAACCGACTCAGGCTCCAGCCGAGGCCTGAGTCGAGAACCCTAATACATTTGCGCCATCGCTCTTCCGTGGCATCTGGGTCTTTGCCTGCTAATTCATTTCTGAATCGACGAAGGGGCGTGATTTTATCATCTTCGATGATACTCGAATAACCTTGAATGAGCTTCCACGAGAAGAAGGTTTGAACCGTCTCTCTGGGGGTGTCTTTCAAGATGGTGGACAAGGATTCCATATAGGACGGGGAGCCGACAATCAAACGGTCTCCTTTGTAGTCGTTCGGTGCTAGGCCTTCAATAATGTCCTTGAAAGATATCTCCGGTACCAGGGACTCGGTTTCCTTGATGTTGTGCGGGTTGTAGTACTTGGTGACGTCTTCCTGGGTTTGCGTATCGGGAGTCGCGTTCGCGAGCTTGGTTTCAAAGTCCACAACATTCTCCACGAGCTTTTCAGATTCGCCACCAATAAACGCTGGAAGGACCTGCTTGAGCACGGCGGTGTATTGGGCCACGGTCTTGGTGTTGTTATAGTACTCCCTTGCGGGAAGCCCAATCGCTCGTGGTGGCGTCACAAATATCACGACATTATCAGGGTCACGGTCATCCGACTAGAAATTTTCATGTTAGACCAATTACAGCCCAACCTACACAAGAGATCGGGGATTGACATACAGAAACACCAGATGACACTAGGACATTGACCCCTGATTTCATCAGATACAAGAGAGCGTCCGTGATGTGGTCTTTGACTCCCTGGGACTCTGTCTTTGCGGGATATATCTTCTGCAGCTCAGTCAGAACTTTCGCCAACGGTTCACTGCCACGTTTCTTGATGGTGGGTTCATCCAAGCAAGCATCATACGCAGCTTTGAGTTTCTGGAAGTTGTCGGCGTCCGAGGGGTTCGGGGCCTCTGAGCGCTCGAGTATGTGACGAAGCCGAGTCTGGGCATTCTCTGCCATGATGGTGCCGGCAAAAATGGATCCCTGGTCGGAACGCATATCATGGCGCTCCCTCCATCCGCCACAGACATATTGATCGAAGTTGGTGCAGGGATCTACCTTGGCGTAGTTGGGATCCAAGTTGTAAAGGATCTCTGATGCTGCATGCACGCATTCCGGTGACTGGCAGAGTGAGGATGCATCGGAAGTCGGCGGGGATTTGTCGTCCTCGGGATCCTCAGTGAGGGTGTCTAGAGAATATGGTTGCCGTGTTAGATGTAGACGCTCCAACCAAGAAATCAGAGATCATACCAATCACCACTCTCCCCAGAGTGTAAAGTAGCCAGAGCAGCCAGGCAGTCAATATAAACTTCCGAAATGCAGGCCACCATGGGCAGGCTCTTTGTTGCTTATGGTTGCGGCTTAGTAAAGGACGGCGAACAAAGTCATTGTTCTCCATGTTGATGTCAACATTGCTCTTCAGCAGCCGCTCATTCTGCTCGGGATCAACATCTTGCAAAGAATGGGCTGATCCACGTCTACTGCGAGAGTCAGCATTCCATTCCGGCGACACATTAGCGCTGGCACATGGCAGCATTTGCGGGGCTGGCGGAACAGACCTGTTCGATGGATGGTCCATGTTGGCGTTGCCAGGCACTTTCTCCTGCCGGTTCAATATTCCAGGAGAGCTACAACCCAATGCCCATTCAAGAGGCACTGAATGTCTCGCCTGAGCTGCTCGCCTGGGGGCCGAAGAGAGGATGGCGCCATCGCTGGTTGCTGAGTCATCTTGTGCTCGGCCACGGGGGTTCTAATGAAATCTTTGTGGTTACTCAATAGTGACACAAGTGATGATGTGACTTGATTTTGAGGAATCTCAAGTCCTAGATTTCTTGGCTGTGTGAGGTGAGGTGATCAAGATGGGGTATTGTCTAATTCAAATTTCCAAATGCCGAAAATATATATCATAGCAAACAAGGTATAGATACTGATGGCTATTATGTATCATCACTCTCAACAAGCTTAATTACCAAAGACTTATTAGTTTAGGACATTTAGATTATACGATTTAACTTAATGCTAGCTGGGATTAGGCACTACGGCGGGGGGCTATTAGCATCTATTACTCAGTGCTTAACTTGAACTTTGGGTGTCTCACTTTCACCATTATCAACATCTTCCTTTTTGGTATTATATCACAAGAAAATTGGGATTGAAAATTTAGCTAAGAAGAAAATAGCCAGTTCGCAAATATAGATATTCAAGAGAAAATTAAACAGTAGCAAAACCACAGGCATAGGGTCAGCCATAGCATCTTTCCTGTAGCTACTCTGTACTGACCTCCGTATTCTTGGTGGCAGTACGGAGTAGACCGGGAAGCCATTGGACCCTAACGCCTAACCCAAGTTAGCTGCGCCGCTCTGAGCTGCTCACTGAGCGACGATTATTGCTTTAGCTAGTTGGGGCGGGGGCCATCGGGCCTTGTTCGATAGCATGAAGTATCGGGATCCCCATTTTGACTTCGTAAGATTTGAACCCTTTTCACTCTTGATTATAAAAAGAGACAGCAGAGAGATAACTGAAAGATTGAGGTTTTAGTTATCTGTCTATTTATTTCATTTTTCGCCTTTTAGATGTCTAGCGGACCCTGCTATTTTAGGTGCAAAGCGTATGGCGATCTAAGTGCACAGATACCTTGGATAGCTATTCGGGGGGGAGGGCGGGGGCCACGGGGGTCAGGTTCGACAATAAAGACTTTAGGTAGAGTCTACTTTTTAATACTTTGCCGGCCAACTTGACACTTGGATCGTGAAAGAAATAAGAAGGATGGAGAGGAATTAGAATTGCATAGGGCTGTCTCTTTTTCTCTACTTGTACTCTGTATACTTGGTACCAATCTCATCCACTCACAGAGTCAATCCCACCCTCACCGCTTGGCAATGTGTTTACGGGGTAAGGGGGCTAATTGATCATCCAATATAGTGGGTTTGCCCGGTTCTGTCACTTGAAATGTTCTGCTAGGCCCCAAACCTAAGAAGAATTATTTCACGACGCCCACAAGGTGGCTTGCCTTCTTTTTCTTCTCCAAACTTTCGTCTCTTCACAAGTCTCTCCACATGATGACTGGCTTAGGCTGGATACTACAAATATGTTGTCTGTTGACAATTCTGCTGACTATCTGGACACTGGGCGCAGAGGCGGACCTTATTCATCGTTCCTGTGCCAATTTAAAAGAGTACGATACGCGCGGGAATATAGTGACAAAAGGAGATTATCACGACAAGGTTCTAGCAGCTGTTGAAGAGACCACTAAAATGGTTCAAATTGCTTACAAGTTGATGAAATCCTATGCGGAAGGGAACGCTGGCATATTCGACAGGATGAGGGCCAAGAATACCTTCTACGCGCTCCAGGGAGATACCGGTGCTAGAAGAGTCACGGCTGAGCCACGTTGGACAACTGTTTACGGTAAGATTCTATATTCCGTCTTTTCCCTCTTTTACCTGAACTTAACTTGCGGGATATTCTAGAAAAAGTCAAGGAACTCGCTCACTTCCTGAAGTATCGTCGTCAACGATCGAGCCACATTTATTGCGGAGACTCGCATCTAGAGCGATACGACATTCTCGTTGATGGAAAAAAAAGAAATCACCGGTGCCTAAAGAATATCAAAAATACGTCACACATTTCCAATTTTGGGGTATGCTTCCTTTGAATGCTTCCTTTGATATCTCCTCGCTTCGCTCAAGTTTCTTGATATTTTCTGCTAATATTGTAGATAGCTGACTGTGTCTTATAGATCCTATCCTGAAGGACGCGGGAAAAGACGAATGGTGGGACGTTGATGACCACGCGTGTGGTGACGGATCAATAGCGGCTACAACTGTGCAGTTCGAATATATCCTAGTATGCAGCCACGCCATTGAAGACGAAAGGACCAAAATCGGCAAATACCGAAAAACCGACTGGAGCTATTCAAACAGTGATACGATGCGTTCCCTGGATGACCATTGGAAAACCTTTCTCAGCTTCACTTTTCTTCACGAGCTGATCCATTTGCTCTTCAAATGTAGGTCTTGCCTCTTGTCTCTTGCAGGATAAACGGGAAAGAACCATCGCTGACTTGATTATTTCATTTTTTTTTCGTCTTCAGACAGAGATGTCGCGTATATGATCAGGCCATATAGAAAAGCCTATGGTTTTGATGGGGCAGTGAAATTACTGAGACGAAGGGGGGATAAGGTGGATATGAATGTCGATAATTTGGCGATCTTGATCTTAGGTAAGCCAGAAGATCATCTCTAAGCATAATTGGCAGAGCAGGGCTAATCTTGAATGGAATCACAACAGCATGGTTCATGGAGGTTGATGATTGGAGTGAGGGATACCCCCAAAACATTCAAGATTTGCGATGCTATGTCTAAGCCGCATTATAGACACAGGTCTCCCAAATTGATCTACTATCGTTGATAGTGAGACATTCCCTACAGTCAACACTGTAGAAGAAGGCACTTGTAGATCATGGTGTACTATCTGTCATATGTCATATGCCATATAAGTGCGTAGGTACCCATGCATGTCCGAAACGACGATCATGCAAGATTCAAATCAACGCAAAGATAATCAAATATAGGATCAGAACCCAACAGGAATATGGCCACCAATGGCGAAGATAAAAGTGCATGAGAAATCCTTTGGATTATCAAGCATTCATATTTATCCCCGGGCAGTGGGGTGGGCAATGTCTATGAATATTGAGATAACGGCCTGGCTTGAACAGCGTTGGACGCCATCATATTCAAATATGATCTCGTAACATAGCTGGCCATAAATGGCGATAAGTCCCACTGAGGTTGAATCTCACCTCCCATACAAATAAAAGGGGATTTCGTAGAATCTATAAAAAGAAGAGAATGTTCCGGTACGTTAGTCCTGGTTGTATGCTCCAAGCATATAGTTGAAAGGACACTGAGAAAGGCCCCAAAAGTATCTGTTTTCGGCGTCCAGTTCACCGTTACTTAGCCTTGTGGTGTATTTCCCAAAGATAGCCCGAATATTCGCCATAAATGGCCCACACTACTAAAAGCAAGAAATTCTCCGAGCATGCACATCTTCACGCCAGAACGGGCGAGAACCCCCCCCAATACAAGCCCTTGGCAGCCGGGGAAATTTCCGACCTTCATGGGACATCTCGCAAAGCCGGGATTTGGGCTGCCAAATGTGGATCGACGTTTAATTTGCCAGGTCTCCACACGTCCAACGCACCCTGCACCGTCTGGCCGTTAGGCCGTTTTGTGTACCGCGTATGCCGTTAGTACTGTTGGCGGTAATGTATGATGTATTGTGAAATGGCCTTGGGTGAGCGGAGAAAAGGGAGGGTGGCCGAGTCGAGTCTAGCTCTTGATTCATGGTGTCGTTTGAAGTATTCATTTATATGCTTGTGATTTGTAGTATATGATTGCGATTGTGCAGCCCTTCAAATATCACCGGCATTTAATTCAAAAGCAGGTCTTTAAGTTCTAGATGGAGTGGTTAGTCTATAGTAAAGCCATCCTGTGGCTGAAGATCAACTGCGGGAGAGTTTGTTAGTTCAGCAGGAAGGTTCAACCAAGGATATAAATCGAGATAGTATCGAGTGATGTCTGAAACCCAGGAAGCTATTTTTCGGAGTATCGAAGCTGGTTCCTCTGAGGCGTAGCATGTAGTTGAGTTTGTGATCCCTAAACAGTATCAGGAACTTGCTTGATACTCCCTTGGTAGGAGAGCTCGTTGAAATACTTGAATTCGGGCTCTTTCGATCAGATATCGAACCCGAATTCTTGTCTCTTGCGATTCTAAGTGTATCGAGATCGACTGTTCGAATTTCCACGTTGCAGTATGCAGCCGAAATCCACATGCTGCGACCGTGGATGTCCTGCATGATTCTAGCTCATGAATCATGCAAGGGACTGCTACTGTTATTGCGTCTCCATCAGGGATAAACAGCTGCTGTCTCCGGATCAGATATCCTGCTTTAGATTGAAACGAAGCTGAGCGTATTCATAGTGCGTATAAATTCAACAAATGTGTGCACAAGTCCAATCAGAACAGGATGCGGACCCCTGCTCGAGTCATGCCTAGAGAAGAAATCAAGCCGGAGACCAGGAACCGGGATCCTTGTCCCCGGTTTCAGGTCTGTGGCATCCCATAAGTACCCCGGAAGTCCCGAGCGCTGTCGATCCACAGCGCGAACAGGGAGTGCGACAATCAGCTTGAATCCCTCAAGGCTGACGTCTTTGAGTTTTGGAAATGTTTAGCTTGCGATTGACTGCATGAATCAGGATGGGAATGTTACATAGCGTTGAATTACGAGCGCCCGGAACAAGTGGAACCAGAGAGTGACAGGATCGTAGCGTCGTCAGCTACTGTTTTGATTTGGGGGGTCAAGCCTTCCAGCTGTGATCCACGAGTATGTAAGGCAAAACCCACGTGTGCAGATGCCATGCAATGAAGCCGAGATTTCGAGTCCGTGGATTTCGAACAGTCCCAGTCGCGCTGTGTATCTGGTGGGATCGGGGCTGTCTGGAGTGGGGGCACTTCCAACTATTACCGACGTGCATGAACGTTCACCACAAGTCAGGATTCAATAGTTTGAACCTCGGCATGAGCCGTCGATGTTGATGGACGTAGGAATGGATTGGAAGACGGAGGATATCGGAGCAGGGAGAAGCTGGAGTGAACAAGTGAAGTAAACAAGTGAAGTCGAAGTGGAAGAGGGGAAAGAGTCGGGACAGAAATCCGCCGTTTCAGAGTGAGCAGCCGATCGATGCATTCCACATGGTGGCTGGGCGTGGATGCATGTTACATGTTGTATTATTAGTATTATTGGTATTAGTATTAGTATTATAGCTATCATTTCTATAATTTTAATTGATTTGTCTTGCACCTACTTAAGCTGCGAGAAAAAAAAAAAAAGTAGATGCTACACATGGGCCATTTCACAATACATGGATGCCCCCATTTCCTGGGTAGTGACAGCTCCAAGTGACAGGCGGCCCGTCTTGATTGTTCCCCATAATCGCATTGTTATGTATGGGATTTTCCCAGTATTATTGGGCCGGGGGCCAGGTGGATCTCAGCCGAGTGCCCCTGTATTTCCCTGCAGACTCGCGAAGATCAGTGGAAGAGACGGAGACGGGGAGAAAGGGGGAAAAGTACAGAAAAGAAAAGAAATTATAACCATTGTATCAAATAAAGAATCAAGAAGAATAAAGAAAGGAAGAAAGAAAAGGAAAGTACACAATTCTTGATCAATCAGGAGACAACATTCCCGAGGCCTGAAGAACAAGGCCATCGCGGGAAATCTTGCGATCATTTCAGCCGGGCATCCTCTCTCCCCGCTTGTGGGCTTCTTCGCGTGGGACGGCAGAGAAAGAGATGTACGACTCATCTCTCTAATCTTCCATTTCTCTTGCCCTTTTTCCTTCTCTGTTCCCCCCCCCCCCCCCCCCCTCTTCGCCTCGACCAGGTTCGGCCCCCTCTCTCGACAAAACCCCCCCCCCCTTCCCAACACTTTGGGATTTTTGGACTCTGTGGGAGGCGTTGAGTTCTTTGGGTTGTGTTTTTCTTATACCGGAACATCCAGGATCCAGGGGATTCTGCTCTGATAAACTGCGCGACTGAACTTGGGAACCTCTCGCGCCATCCCGCTGTCTCGGCCGCGATCGTCGCTATTTGTTTTTCTTTTTTCGCCTTCCCTCGACGTGTGCCCAGCTGAAGTCGCATCGCCGACCACATACCGAACTCGAGACTTGTCTCGGAGGATAAACTGGCCCAATTGGAAATAAAGCGCACTTGTCTTTGGAACGTGGTCGATCCCGGGTGTGGGGAAGAACCGATCGAAGCTCCCAGCATCAGCACCATCCGGACACGTCCACGGGCAGTCTCGTTGGGTTAGTCGAAGGGGGATACTCAAAAGAGCTTTTCTTGTCGGTAGGGACTTCAAAACAACCCCCTAAATGCACAACGGCCTCGTGTCTCTCGAGTCCTGTCAGGTCCATGTCTCTGAGCAGTCCGGCTGAGTGGCGCACGGCTATCGCATCCCTGACTCAGTTGGAGTTCATCAAGGTGTCGAGTGTTCCAAGTCACTCCAGTCACTCCACATTTGATGGTTGCTAATGACTGCCTCACTAGACTATTTGTCGTCCCGTGCCTGAATCATGGGTTGCATAAATTCCAAGCCCGCTGAGGCGGACAGGAACGCTGTTCAGCAGAGTGCTCGCATAGACCGAGCCCTCAGAAATGACAAGAAAACGATGGACCGCACCATCAAGATCCTGTTGCTGGGTGGGTGATCCCTCCGCGGTTTTGACAATGTGCCATTGGCACCTGGCGCACAACGCTGACCATCTGATCAGGCGCTGGAGAGTCAGGCAAGTCCACCATCATCAAGCAGATGCGGATCATCCACAGCCGAGGCTTTCCGGAGGAGGAACGCCATCAGACACGCGCCGTGATCTATTCGAATGTGGTCATTGCGTTCAAGGTTTTGTTGGACATTATGAGCACCGAGAATATCAAGTACGAAAACGAGAAGAGCAAGGTATGTATCTAGTGGATTCTTGCATGTTGCGCATATGATCCAATTTATTGACTCTTCTGAAAGGGACCGGCGGAACTACTAGAAAGTGCCGACTCTGACGTAGGGTCGGATGAGGCCTTCTCTGACCGCAAGGTCCGCGACGCCATGAAGGCTCTGTGGGGTGATGGAGGAATCCAGAAAGCTGTTTCGCGCGGTCACGAATTTGCCCTCAACGACAACTTGCATTAGTACGTTCTTGGATCATGGGCCCATCTTTTTCTCTTGCTGATGTTTACCCCCAGCTTTTACGAATCTCTGGACCGCATGTTTGCACCGGGCTGGCTCCCTGATAACCAGGACATGTTGCAGGCTCGACTTCGGACGACAGGAATCACCGAAACTCTATTCGAGCTTGGGCAGATGAATTTCCGCATGATGGATGTTGGCGGTCAACGGTCAGAACGAAAGAAATGGATTCATTGCTTCGAAGGCGTTCAGTGTCTGCTATTCATGGTAGCCCTGTCTGGGTACGACCAGTGCCTGGTTGAAGACCAGAATGCTGTAAGCGCGCGACATGTCCCTTATCTTCCCTGGTTGACGACTAACGAGTGTCCTCGCGTTACAGAATCAAATGCACGAAGCTATGATGTTATTCGAATCTCTGGTCAACGGCGAATGGTTCAAACGCAAGCCTATCATTCTTTTCCTCAACAAGATCGATCTGTTCAAGGCCAAACTCGCCATTTCCCCTGTTTCAAAACACTTCCCCGATTACAGCGGCTCCAACTCCGACTTCGATGCTGCTGCTCGCTATTTCGCCGAGCGCTTCCGCGGCATCAATCGAATACCCGATCGCGAGATCTACATCCACTACACCAATGCTACCGATACCACGTTGCTCAAGGCAACCATGGATTCAGTACAGGATATGATCATTCAGAAGAACCTCAACACCCTCATACTATAAGGCGACAACACCAAGGCACGGTGGCCTTCATGAACTTTTTCCTGCTACGAATTCCCTCCTCTTTTTGGTTTCTTTCCTTCTCTTTCCTCGAGCCTTTCAGCCTACCATTTTTTTTTTCTGTTGCATTATATGGCGGCTATCTTTTCTTTTCTTTTTTTTTTCACTTTTACTGTTTCTTTCTGGCAGTCCTTGGACGTTGCTCTCCCTTTTTGTTCTTTATTATGTTTTGCCATCCTTCCCTTCTTACGAAGCGTCTTATAGAGGAGCCACTACCGGCTCTCTGTCGCATCCTTGGGTCTGCTTCGTTGCATCCAAAAGCCCATCTTATTTCGCCAACTAATGTCCCGCATCGGTTTAGCGACGGTTTTCTTTCTCTTTTTTCTTTTTCTCTGTTATAATGCAGGATGATACCACTTGCTTTGTCTGCAATTGTGTGATACTTGACGATTGCGTTATGTATTATCAGTCAGTCTTGTTCGTTTTATTAACGAGGGAACTTCCTTGCTCTTTGGAACACGGCGTCTCCTATTTCATCCCTAACATACCGAGTCTGATCTGCTACGACTGACGGAACCTCTATTGGAGAATAATGTATGGATACCTAGTTTTTTCTTACATACTGTTCCAGTTTAGCTCTGGTTAATTTCATAGGCTATTCTGTAATTTATAATCTTCTAGCGAGTCCCCTCAATGAGAAGAACTGCCCATATCGTTGGATGTAGACAGGAGACAAATCCAGTAATCTACGGCGTACGTCTGAGAGTCGCCACCTCAGGCATCAACTTACCTAATGCCCGCATGATCAGTGACGCCGAGTTCCGACCCGACTGATTTCGCCTCTCATTCGGCTCGACTCATTCAACCCTCACTGTCTCCCCAGATCCTGGGTCTCCCGCTAAAGATGTTGTCAACATCGTTACGCCGGGCTGCTTGGGCACCTTTGTCCAACGTTGCTCGCCCGGCTCAGAGCCTCCCCCCAACCTCACCCCCAACGGCCTCGGCGCGACCCGCCATGTGCACCAACGCCGGTATTCCTCTTCGTCCAAACCGCCCGTTCCGCCCAGCGATGGACCACGTCGGATGGATGCTTCTGCTCCCGCTAAGGGAGTGAATGGAGCTGGCGAGAAGAGCAAGGCTCCCCGCCGCCGAGGGAAGGAGAACAGTGCCCGGAACGGATCCTCCAAGTCGAACCAGCATGCGGCGTTTTCGAAGCTGCCGAGTGTTCCCTCAACGCAGCACCGACAGCCACATGGTAAGTAGCCAGAGAAAAAACGAAGTTCTTCATGTATTTTGCTTGGTTTTGCATGTTTTCCATTCGTCCGACCGGTTAACATTTGATTTTGCTTCAGCAGATGTCCAACTAGCGTCGTTCTTCTCCATCCACCGTCCCATCTCCGTGACGACCACAGTGCCCCCAATTTCGAGCGCCGAGGCATTTGATGCGATCTTCGCTTCCAGGAAATCGCTGAAGAACGAATCCGACGATGTCATCTTCACTTTGTCTTCAACGGTCGAATCCATGGAAACCACGGCGCAGTCTATGTCCGATTCTGAAGAGCAACTGCACCGCAGCTTCGCCAGCGACCAAGACGGAGAGATCCGCATGGTTGATGTCCCGGAGACGAAGTTGTCTGTGGAGGAACTCACCCGTCGACTCCGCCCGTTCCATCCCCCGCCGCCGCCGACCCCCATGGATACCTCTGCCTCCGAGGCCATGGAGTCGGCCGATGCCCAGAAGCAACACGAGACTTCGACCTACTCGACGGTCTTGACGATCCGTGAATCTCGGCACGCCGACGGCCGCAAGACCTACGAGGCACACACGGGCCCGTTCGTCCGCGACGACGAGGTGGAGGCTCCCGCCGGCGTCCGCGGTGAAGCCACCATCGATGCCCCCAGCGGCTCTGCGCCCGGTGCGTCATACATTGAGCGTCTGCGCCACAACCGTATGCAGGCCATCAGCACCCGGCGACGCCGCAAGGCCAAGATGAAGAAGCACAAGTTCAAGAAGCTGTTGAAGAGGACGCGCACTTTGAGACGGAAACTCGACAAGGCTTAGACGGGGTATTCTTGTTTCTTTTTGGCTTTGGGTCTCTTTTCTTGTTGGTTTCCCTTGTCGATTGCATCTCGTTTCCTCTTTTCGACCCGGCTTGTTGCATTTTTTTTCTCTCCTGGGTTCAAGTTCTAGTCTTTGTTCAGGGCATATATCCTCTTTCTCTTTCGTACAATTTTTGTTTCTCTCTGATTTCTTCCTTCCCGCCTATACACATTCTCTATATCTCCCCCCCTCCCCGCCTTGTTTGCTTTTCCTATGCTCGATCGAATATCCAAATATCCTGCATGTGGCTTCGTTCACGTCCCTGCTTAGAGGCTCGTGGTCTGGCTTTTTGTGTCTTGGGTGGCTTGTCCCCGTGCATGGCGAATAGTCCAATAGATTCAGTCCTCTTGACATCACTTTTCAAGAAGCGTAGTGAGAATTGTAGTCTCTTTTTACTATGTTTCACTCTCGTTGAGGGCTGAAGATGTAATGCACAAATCGGGATTGCTATATCGTACCAAATACAAGGCCCGACCAATAAGAAAAACCAGACAAATAAGGGGGAAAAGAACCAAGACAAAAGTCAAGAAAAGGCAACCGAGAGAAGGAAGGGAATTGATGGAGGGCAGACCTAGACAGACAGGCACTGTCCGGCGCCACCGAGCCAGCGCAGTTCCCAAACATAAATAAAGTACAAGGATTCCGCGCAGAGTCATGCAATGTAAGCCAGTTTCCAATATATCTACCACCTGCTCTTCAGTCCCGAGTGTCCGGGAATCCAAAGTTTCACACAAACGAAAGGGTGCCCTCCCCGACTCTACATACCACGGTGATCACAGGAACATGAAAGGGAGAAAGAAAAGAGGGCACCCGGTCTCAAAAATCGAAAATCAATTGTATCATTTGCCGAAATCCTTTCATTTCTTGCAACAGTCACAACAATCACACACCTCTCCTTCTCCCGAGGAGAGACACGACAGGAGAGCATTGATTTGCATCGGGATCAAAGGGCGAGAGAAACACGTTGGGGGGAATGAATTATAAACCACCGCAGGTCCAATGATTCACGATCCAATCGTCGAGTACGACGGAAGAGGCTTCGCGTTTAGCACGTAGCTTTCGAGCGCGAGTTCATCAGAAGGGCAACAATCAGACCGTACAGACCTGCAGGGACACCATTGGTTAGAAGGAAACACTTTGCAGAGAAGATGGAAAGACATACCCAGGACTTCAGCGAAAATGAGAATCAAAATCATTCCGACGTAGAGTCGGGGTTGCTGCGCCGTTCCGCGAACACCAGCATCACCGACAATACCAATAGCAAAACTGTGGCGGAGAAAAACTGTCAGATACAAGGCGGCTGGCAAGATTGCGGAGAGGAAGAATGGGAGATCATGACCACATACCCCGCAGCAAGACCAGCCAGACCAACGGACAGACCGGCACCCAGCTGGATGAATCCCGTGTACAGAGGGAGCTTCTGGGTCAGGTCGTTGGCGACCAGGACCGAGACGACCAGGCCGTAAATACCGATGATACCCGCCATGACGATGGGAACGATGTCTGGAAGCCATCGCATCAGTAAACAAAGATCACAGATAAAGAATATCTAGCCGCATAAAAGCCGACGAGCCGCAACTAGCTTCGTTCCCGATAGGTCACGTACTCTTGACGATCAGGTCGGGGCGCAGAACACCCATGCCGCAAACACCGACACCAGCCTTGGCGGTTCCATAGGCGGCACCGAAGCAGGTGAACACGATAGCGGACGTGCAGCCGAGCGCACCAAAGAAGGGCTATAGGAGAAAGATCAGCGATCCCATCGATGTCTCATGAGTAGGCGAGGTCATGGCTGTGGAGGGGGCGGCGAAAACACGAGACGACTGGCATGATGCTTGGGTTCTGGAATCATCGAGGACGCGTAAAACTCACCGCATAGACGGGGCTATCAAGTTCACCAGGTCAGCAAATACTATTCGTTGTTTCGAGTCCAGGGCGGAGCAACATCATAGCTCTCCAGCACCCAGGGGGCTGGACAGTAGCCTCCGGTAGGGACTCACCAAAGTTCAGAAGCCATTTTGCTTGGAGGTTGATCCAACAAGATTCTCGGAGGGAATTTGAAGCTTGCAGATATAAGAGACCCGGAATGGCCGTGGATGGAGTTAATCGGAAGGATGGAAGTGCAACTGACGGGAGGTCGGAGGCCAAAGCTGGCTTCAGGTGCGGGTCACGTGGTCTTGGCGCAGTCTATGCATCGACTCTTTGCATCTGGTAATTATCGTGTCTGGAAATTAGAGACTTGGTGGTATGTTGTTACATTTTATGATACACTATTTCACAGGTTTATTCTATCATACACATCCCAGCACCACTCGGAATCCAGGAACATCTAGCTTCGTACTGGACTCAGCTTGCGTCACCGGCTGCGAGTACGCAATCGCCTTCTCTGACAAGGCCCCAAAAGAACCTGACACGACATGGAAATCTTTCTCCGCCTTGGTGCTTGGTGCTTCGTCTGCACCGATGTCAGATACAACCCCAAAGTTGTAGAGAATAGCTTCTTCGCCCTGGCTGACATTATTTGAGACGCCGTTCGGTACACTGGTTGGTTCGACCGACACAAAGAACTGAATGAAATCTCCTGCTGTGGCGACCTGTGACAAAAGGGATAGATCGTCCACGACCATCCCCTGGCCGAAGAAAGGCGGCATTTCATCAAGTGTGGTATTGGAATCAGACTCGAAGACTTGACCAAGACCAACCAACTCATCGCGACGAGCTGCGCCCTGGAAGCTAACTTCCGGGTCCAGCGAAAGAAGACCCTGTTTCTTTCCCCATCCGCCTCCGCCACTCATGACGCGGTGCAATTTACCACCTTGGCGCAGTGACTGGGTCAAACGGGCTTGCGTCGGGATGTCTTGGTCTGCCACAACATTGTCGGCTTTCTCAACAAGTGCCCATACAGACAGCCTTTGGTCGACGATGTCATTTTCTTCAATATATCGTGGGAGCTCTTTCTCGAGCTCGGATGACGCGGGCATTGGCTCAGTCGATGTCGGGTCGGTTGATTTAGCCACTTGACGCAGGATGTTTCCCATGCTGGTGATGACTCTCCTGCGCTCGCTCACCGGATGCAACGGTAGTTTCAGTTGGGCATCTACCACTGTGGAAGAGGGTGCCACAACGCAGCTTATGAGATCAACAGACTCGTGCCAAGCAAATCTCTCCCTGGCACCATCCCAAGCCCAGCGCATGCCAAAAAGAGTAGTTTCACTGCCATTCACAAAGATAGTGTTGGCGAGGCGTAATCCAATTTCATGGGCAGATCTTTTGGTGCTGGGGTTGGCAGTCCCGGTCTGAAGCGAGACCACAAGATCGGATTCCTCGCCGCCGGAGCTCCTGATGCGCCGGGGAGGGGCAGCTTTACCGCGAACATTTTCTTTGCCCACTACTAAGACGGACAGCCCCTCTGATTCTGAGTCATTGGAGACAATCGACTGCTTGTTTTCGGGTATTGTACGAGTGTCCGGGAGTTTATCGACGATGGCCGCAACAGCGTAGAGAGGATTTGACGCCACAGAATGACCGTACAGTTTGTTCAAACATTGTTCCATAAAAGGATTGCAACTATCGAGCCAATGGGCAAAGCTTGGGGTGGCAAGAAGGAGAGGCACGGAGGTTGACGCAGTTGAGGAAGCTGGCATCGGAGGTAGACTAGACAAGATGTCATCTGGGCTCTTTACGGAGCAATTAGCACTTGCAGCGAGAGTGGTAAGGCGAGTTCGATGAGCTCACAATATCTGCCGGTGTTTTCGTGAGCCAAGTGCACGCAAGTGGCGGTCCACCCTTGGCCAAATTCCTCTCAGTCGCATAGTATCTGCTTGCGCCAATGGAGCTTGGAGCTCGATGAGAGCTGAGGGATTGCCGAAGCAACCCCTGTTGGAGGGCGGACCTCACTGGCATAAAGTTCGGGACGCGCCCGGGTATCATTGACATGAATACATTAATATCAATGCAGTGTCGATGTCATTGAGACAGATGAGACTCCAGCGGGGGGTGAGCGGACAACCGGGGGCGGAATATCTGTTTTTGCGAGTGTAGATGTACTGCAGTCACTCGATCCGCTGAATGGTATCTAAATTTTGAAGAATAAAAATATATAGAGCTTGGCATGTTCCAAATAAGCTTGATTTTATGCATATCTCTCAATAATTGTAAATGTGCTGGTCTGTATGTTGTGAAAGCCTTGGTACTAGCCGGCAACGTGAAGGCCAGTACTGTATGCGGAAGACACAGCCAGAGGTGATCAAAATTGTATAACTTTCGTTGATAATAAGCAGTCTTCAAAGAAACACAGATTTCCTTGTCATTGAAGGAGGTGGCTGTCGAACACGCAACTTGTTTCTAGCCATCAACAGGCTAAACCCTGAGCCCTCGAATGCCGATATACTTCAATCGAGAGAATCCCCAAAGCCCATCCCAAGCATCTCCATCGCAGACGGCTGTCCCCCATCCCAGCTATTGAGAAGCGCCGATATATCCTGGGCCTCAGGATACGTGAGATAATCCATCATATCGACACCGAGGAAATCATGCGAGGAGTCCGGATCAGACCCGGAGGCCTTCCACATCTCTTCCAACTGCAGCGAGTCCTCTTGCTGATTATACTTCCCCAGGCCTGGTTTGCGGGCTTCGACTAAACCGCGGGCCACGCGAGCAAAGGTCTCACAGACCTTGTACAGGCGCTCACAGGCACTGGAAACAGCTCGAGTATGGTGCAGGGTCGCGACTACGTCGTCGAGTAGAAGGACGTCATCTATGCTTGTCGCGGCAATCGCATGGAGGAAGATGACAATGAACGGGGTTAAGGATGAATACAAGAGGACCCTAAGGAGAAAAGGAAGGAAAATAAATGATAAGCAGTCTGGGGGTCAACAAGAGTTCCGGGTTGGTAGCAGACGAACCAGTTGGCATATTCTACAGTCGAGTAGGGCCCTGGCTTTTGGAAAGCTGAAAAGCAGCGCAGATGGCTCTGCAGGCTTAGACGCGCGGATTCAAAACACCGCGAGCCAATCTCGCAGGTGTTGCCCACAGTGGAGGATGCGCGCAGAAGAGTGGTTCGGGTGGAATGCCAAACGACATCCCATGCTCCTTGGGACACATCGAAGAGTGGACGGTCATCAACTGTGCTTGAATCGACCTAGTCGTGATGAGTATTATGTATCGGCTTTGGACAGAATAGGAAGAACGAAAAACAAAGAGGAGGGGGGGAGATAGTTGGGTACCTGTTCTCTGTCATATCGGCACTGGATCAGTTCTGTATCCAAGGACTCGATACTAATTGCCCAATCAACCGGCTCAGAAGGTGCTCTTTTCAAAGCCCTAGCCGAGTAGTGTTTATCATAGATCTCGCCCTGGACCCCAGCCAATCTGATCACCGGAAGGGCAATCTCGTCCCAAGGCCGGATGGCAGGATCGGAAGACGGGGTTGGCAGTCTCACGTCGATATCAAAGTCCTGAATGTAAGAGGTGCGGCCCAGGATAAGGGACATGTTCTTATCGAAGACATAGATGGTCCAGAAGAGCCGGCGCTTGTTCTCTGCATCTCTTTCGTCGCTCTTTAGGTAAGTTGACTCGCGGTGGTATCCGAGCATCTGGCAGTGTCGGGCGGCGGTTGCAACTAAATGGCAGCCTAGTAAGGGTTTGGCTTCGTCTTGTGCTTTGAGGATCTAGACATGGAAATGATATTAGGAAAAAGAAAAAATGAGTTGCGGGTTCAAAGTAGTCCAATACTCACGCCGATGATTAGTGCAATGATATTCTCAAAGCTGGGCACAGCCCACACATCGTACTTCTCTATATCGACATAGAAACTCTGCTTGCAGCTAAGCAGATGTGTCTCGAGATCGAATTGGTCGCACAGGGGGTCTTTCTTCAGGATGTATTCTCTTATGAGGAAATAAAGGACCCCATGCATGGCTGCGATATCGCCCGGGGATATGGTCCGCGTTGGGAAGTAGACTTTTTGGCAAATACGCTCCACCAGGGACGTATCATTGATCGGGTGTGACCACAAGAACATGGGTTTTTGTACTAACAAAAAGGTGAGCCATATAAAAAACCACCGATCGGGTTTGTTAACCACGTACCCTGGATACTCCGCAGTATGGCAAGTACCAGCTCAGCGGGCAGGGGTAAAGACATGGGCGTGGGATTAGGTGTGGCAGTATCAGAAAACCGGTGGTCTTGTGAAGCTGGTCGCAGAAGGGTCTTGAGAGAATCGAACGATCCATTTAAATTGGACTCGTCTGGGCCTGCAAAGGTTTCGGCAACGTCTCTGGCTTGAGCCGACTGGCTGGTGAAGGAGGAATCTCCTTCATACAGAGAAACTGGCGGGCCTGCCAGCTGTGCTGCCACGGGTTTATTCCTGGTTGTCGCTGTATTAGAAACGGGAGAAGTTGTACGGTGCTCCGAGGCACCTTTCTGGCTGGCGAGCTGGCCTTCGATGGTACGGAGACAACCCCCGAGTGCTTCGATTTGCTCTTCCCTGCATATGGGTAAATATTCTCTTTTTCGTTTCTAGGAAGTTGAAAGTCAAAGCCCTACAAATGCGTGATCCGTGCCGACTTTGGCCTGCTTTCAGGCTTGGGATCGGCTTCTTGACAAACGATCCCTGATATCCGACAGTTCGAGCATGGAATAGAGCGGTCACAGCGGACCTGAAGCATCTGTGTTAACTAGGGGCCTTGTCAAATGCAAAAGACATCTTGCAGTACCTTGCGAGTCTTACATCCTTCACACTGCGGGGATGGTTAGAGACCGGTTTGTATTCCAAGTGTCACGGCACCTCGTCAGGACATACAGCTCTGGGGACCAAAGAAAGTCGCTGGCGCTTCGACTGGATCGTTTCCTCTCGATCTGCTCCCTCCATGTCGTGTCGATAGCAGGTTCGTGGGTTGTCACCGACAAGAGCAAAGCTCGGGCCCGCGGTGTCCGGGTGGCCGAGCCAAGACTGTCAAGTGGAGTGCAAGGAGCCAATGACTCGGTCATGTTTATGGAAAAGGAGATCTAATCATGAAAAAATAGATCATACTAAAGAATATAAAGGGGCATGGCTTCATCCTCAGATCTGTTCTCGCTAAATTCATTTCTTCTGTTCAATTGCCTCGAAATATACCGTCGCCAGTGTCGTTTGGCGGGTATTCTACAAGCAATGGGACTTGAGCAACCGCATTCGCAGGCCCAACCGTCTCCCACCGAAGAGAATAAAGCGGCGATTGCAGATGACACTGTATCAGCGTCTGATACAACGACTGTGGGAGAAGATGACGCATCAACCGAGAAGAAAAGCCCCCTGTGGCGATTAATAGCCGTGACTATCGCTCTATGCGCGGCCATGTTTTGCATGTCCTTGGTAAAGAAAGCCTCGTTGCGAGCAAGATCCATGCTCATAATCAAATGACCAGGACGGAACAATCCTCGCCACGGCAATCCCCAAAATCACCACCGAATTCGGCTCCCTCGACGATGTAGCCTGGTACGGCAGCTCCTATCTCTTCACCACCTGCGCCGTGCAGTTGATGTTTGGCAAGTTCTACACCTTCTACCCGGCCAAGTGGGTGTTCCTCAGCGGGCTTTTCATCTTCGAACTGGGGTCTTTAATCTGCGGTGTGGCGCCCACGTCGACGGCGTTGATTGTCGGCCGCAGTGTCGCGGGATTGGGAGCCGCGGGCATCTTCTCGGGCGCGATCATCATCATAGCCAGTACAGTACCGCTGCGAATCCGCCCCATCTACACTGGGATATTGTCCAGCATGCATGGCGTGGCCTGTGTGGCTGGACCCATGTAAGTTCTCCCCGGGGCTTCATCAGTGGACCGGGCTAATGAATCTATAGCCTGGGAGGAGCGTTCACCGACCATGTAACATGGCGATGGTGCTTCTACATCAACCTTCCGTTCGGCGGCATTACCGCGCTGTTCATCTTCTTTTTCCTGCCGGCTACGGCAATGCCTGTCAAGAAACTGGGCTGGCGGGAACATGTCAAGCAGTTCGATCTGCCCGGCACGTTTTTCCTGGTTCCGGCAGTCATCTCTCTGCTGCTTGCCTTGCAATGGGGTGGCTCTGCCTATCCATGGAGCAACGGTCGGGTTGTCGCATTATTCGTCGTGTTCGGCGCACTGTTCAGCGTGTTTCTTGGAATCCAGATGTGGCAGAAGGATCGAGCCACCATTCCAATCCGCATCATGAAGAACCGAAACATCTGGGGTGGGGTCTGGTATGGAGTGTGCCTCGTAGCGGCGTTGTTCTTGTTCACTTACTATGTGCGACACCCTTTCCTTTTTTTTTTTGATGCTGTTGCTCTGTCCGGATCATTAACCTCTGCACCCATAGTTGCCGATATGGTTCCAAGCCATCAAAGGCATGTCGGCCACGCAGTCCGGCATTGATAACCTCCCCACTTTGGTGGGATTGGTCGTTTTCTCCATTATCGGGGGTGGCCTGGCCTCAGCTATTGGGTACTACACCCCATTGTTGATTGTGTCGTCGGTGGTCACGTCGATTGGCGCGGGGATGCTGAGCACGCTGAAAGTGGACTCGACCATCGGGTACTGGTTTGGCTACCAGGTCCTGCTAAGCGCGGGAGCCGGGTTGGGAGCCCAGAACGTGATTCTGGTTGCTCAGGTGGCCGTGCCCCCGACGGAGATGGCCATGGCGACCTCAATTCTCGCCTTCACTCAAACTTTGTCGAGTGCCGTCTTTCTGTCGGTCGGGCAGAGTGTGTTTCAGAATCGGTTGATCGCAAATCTGCAATCAATTTCCCCAGACATCGATGCGCCTTTGGTGGTACATAGCGGTGCGATGGGGTTTCGGCAGCATTTCTCAGCCGCTCAGTTACCCCTGGCCTTGCATGCGTACAACCAGGCGCTTGTCCAGACTTTTTTCGTGGCGGTTGCGACCAGCGCTCTCTCGATTGTTGGGCCAATCTTCATGGAATGGTTGTCGTTGAAACCAGAAAAGAAAACCAAGGACAAGGATGAGGATGAGGAAAGCCAAGCCAGCGAGATGCCCAGAATTAGGACCGAGGCAACAAGTTCCGATCGGTAAACACCAGGGAATTCCATGTCGTTATGTCCAGCGCGAAGGCATCCACAAAACGCTCGATGATTGCCCTAGGCGCGTAGGCTGTGACATCTCCGCACATCTGGCTAGCTCCCGTCACTATTTTAATCTCATTTCGAGGATGCCTTCTCTGAGTGTAGTATGGGATGCGAGGGGCCGATCCAAGCCACACACAGGCTGCGTAGGCCTCGGGTCAGGTACTTCTATACGCCAGCCACTTGACAACTGGTGCAGAGTGAAATCATCCTTGGCGGCCAATGACGATATCGGGTTGCCTTGGCAGGTGGGGAGGGAAGTGAAGGGTCCATAGGGCTGGCAAGGCCCGTTAGGGGGTGAAGGGCGCCACAGATAGTCGACCCCAGGCACCAATGAAGCTGGAGATCCGCAGCATGGGATCCTGTCTGAATCCACCCGAAATATCAAACCGAGCCGCCAAGCTGCTAGGCAGCCAGCAAAAGCTCACACGCAATAGGACGGGCTGGCATGGAGACAGCACAGTGCCATGATTGGGGAACCAGCCGCCAGCACCGACGATCGTGTGGCTTCGTGGCAAGGGGAAGTTGAAGAAGAAAAAAAAAACCTGCTTAGCTCAGCGATCCCAGCCACACCCCCCCATGACGCAACGCTGCCTCTCCTGATTACTTTTAAGAGCTCCTCTCCTCCGCATTCCTTTCTCCCCCCCTCATCCCACCTTGATCCCCTACTTCGACACTTGTCCCATCCAAAATGCCTTTCACCGCATCGTAAGTGCTTCTTCCAGATCTGGATTCCGAGAGTTAAAACTGTGTCTCGCTCTTGGAAAAATATTTTTCAAACAAAAAAAATCCCTAACTGACCTCGACAGTGACATCTGCAAGATCTTCTTCGCCATCATCCTGCCTCCTCTGGGTGTCTTCCTGGAGCGCGGATGTGGTGCCGACTTCCTGATCAACATCTGTTTGACCATCCTGGGTTGGATCCCCGGTATCATCCACGCCCTGTACGTTGAAGCTCCCTAGACTTTGCGATGAAACTACCACTGACCACCTATTAGCTACATCATCTTCAAATACTAGACACCCTCTAGCGACCATATGCTGCTGCATGGCGAGTAATGTCGTCCGGTCTCCCTTCGGAAAGCGGCCTGCGATCGTTCGAGCTTGCAGCATCGTGGCCGTTGACCTCGATGCCTGGCGTGATTCGGTGTCCGATGCCTCGAAGTCATCATGATTCCGTGGAGGTCCGATCGGGACTAGCATGCAGCCTTCCACTTGACATCGCAGATGTCCATAATCTCTAATACCAGTGGCAACCCCACACAATCGGATAATGGTTTCTCGTGGCTCGGCATGGTTGTTTTTGTTCTCTCCTATTTCCTTGTTCTTTGCACTGCGGGGTTTGCTTCTTCGTTTCGGATGATACCAGCTCATGTTGTGTGACTCTGGGGCCTCGCCCATTGCCTGTGGCTGCTTAGCTTTGATGAGTGATGGAATGGCAATTATTTCTTTCAATCCGCCTTTGCTAGTAGAATTTTCTTTCGCCGTGGACGCAAGGCTCGCGCCTGGTCCAAATCGCATGACTCGACCCTAAGGACCGTGAGCCTATCGGGTGATGTGGATGCCAAACCATCGTCATGGATTCTTCGTGCCAGACTTCCAGAAACCCAAACAACCCTGAATTTACGAATCAAATATTGTTTCCCTCGCGTCTGAGAAAACAAAGAAATCAAGTATCAGCGTCGGGTGTCGACAATTCTGAAACACCCTCCAGCGCGATCGCAGCTTGTGGGCCAAGCGCCCGCGCTGTTCCCGGCGCGTATCGCAGCCGCTGGCAACGCCACCCACGAGAGCATGGGCGCTTCGCCATCACAACTATTCGCCTGTCTCGACAGTCTTGCGACAGACAGGGATTTCTCGTTTCACAATAGCGCCGACACCAGCACCGCCCCAACGCTTGTGTTTCAGAATGGTATCGAACCCGATCTGCTTGGCCCCCAGCGTAGTTCGGCGTCATGATCACCGAGCTTACTTCGCGCCTGACATCGCGATGCGCTGGAGGCTGGTGTTTAATTAGGTCACGGTCCCTCTTTAGACGGGGAATTGACTAAAGCTTTCATTTTCTTCGTTCTGAGGTCATATCGGTTCTGTTGTTTGAATATTCCAAGAACTTCATCTACGGCTTGACCTTCGTATACCCGAGTCTGTTGCTGGCCAAATTCACCGATGATGATAGCCTCATGGAACATATGGCTTCAAGGGTAGTCGCACCCATGCAAGGTTCAACCAGATCAGTTGAGAACAGCGAGGAATACACGGGAAAGATCTGATGTTTACCATATAGTACAGGGCCACCACACCATGCTTGCCTTTCCTGTCTCCCGGACACTCGTCACGATCCTCCTGCTAGTCGTTTTCTGTGTTGCAGCCGAGTCAAATACCTCGAATGACTCCTCGGACTCGTCTTTGCTGAAAATGATCCCGAAATGTGCACAACAGTGCATGGAAAGCTTCATCAAATCCGAATATGGGCCCGCCGAATGCACCTCGCCATCCAATGCAAAATGCCTGTGCCGTACACGTAACCCCAGCGGCTTTACTCTGGGAGAAGCCGCATTGAGCTGCATTCTTTCCGAGTGTCCCGAAAAGACCCTCGAAGACACCAACGCCTATAACATCTGTGACTCGGTATCGGGGGCGATTCCTCGTACGCATTCTACAATCACCGCAACTGTCTTTTCTGCGCATCCTGCGACGACGGCAGACACGACCACCTCTTCTTCGAAACTTGTCCACACTTCCGAATCTCCTTCATCTACATCTACATCAACCACCTCCACTACATCACCGGGGCTCACTACATATCGTCCATCGACGTCATCGACGGAAGCAGGGCCGGCAACTACCAACACCGACCAGTTCTCATCAGAATCCAGCACTCCTCAAGCAGAGAAAACAGGTGATGAACATGTCATCAGCCCCGCCGCCGTCATCGGTGTTTCAGTATCATCCGGGGTAGCGGGCTCCTTTATCATCGCCGTCGCCGTGATCTTCTGCTGCAAGAGATGGAGACGACGGCATCCGCGAGAATCGGATGATGACTTCGAAATTGGTGGCGCCATGTCAGAACCTCCAGGGTTCTCACACCCCTCGTCAAGACACCCGACGCCGGAGGTACAACCCAGCAATTCTTCCTCCCATGCTGCAGGCGCGAATCAAGAAATGTCTCAACCGACAATGGGCGCCTTTCCATCGGCGGCCCAATTTCCGCCACGATTTGGCCCAGGGCCAGCCCATCCTTCTCCCAGGGGACCGCGCGATCACGAGCGAATAGGTTTTGCCATCAGCTCTGACTCGGACTGGGAAGCCTCACCCGGGACACAGTCATCACAACACACACTCGCAGAGCTCCTCCCAGACCAGCAGGCAGGACTCTACCCAAAACCACTCAAATGGAGCCATCGCCCCGTCAGTGGGGAAACCCTTTTCGAGGAGGACGATAGCAACCCTGCTGCAGCACAGGTGCCACAAAGCAGCACGCAGCGAGCAGGCACCCCGACCATGGTGGCAGGGTTACCGGCCAATCCTCGAGCCCTGAAGGAGGGATTTCCAGCAGAGAAGTTCCTGCGCGGTGGAGGGAATCAAAATCCCAGGGCCAACCTGAATCAACCTTTCCCTGGGATTCAAAATGGCCATTGGCGGGAAGGACAGGGCCAGATTTCCTCCCGCAGCGCCACCTACGGATCCTCGATATCCAACAGCAGCGGCGCCTTCCACGACAGCTCCGACTCCTCTCATCACCCCCCATCCTCCAGCACACTCCTTAGCGCGCCTCTCAGCACAGCACAGGGTCACATTCACAATGGCTCGTCTCCACGAAACTCCCCCCAACCACAACCACCAATCCCAACCCCATCGTCCGGCACACTCGGCCCAGCCACCGAAGTTGTCTCCCGGCCTCGAATAGTGCGCGGCAACGACATCAAGCGCGTCGAGATCCGTGGCAGCAAACGCCCACCCAGCGAGGTCGTCGTGCCCTACTGCCCAGAAGATTTCTGGCTGGAACGCGGCCGCGCATATGCGCCGCCTCGCTCTATCTCTGCGGAGCCTCCCTATCCCTCAGATACATGCCCGGGGGTCGTGCTGTACCCGTCAAGCCCTAAAAAGCGGCCTGAGAAACCGGTTCCGCACAGGTTGTCGCCGATGGGTCGGAACCTGACTCCGGCTAGACGTGGAGATGATTTGATTTTGCGCGTGGAGTAAATGTGAGATGTGAGACTATCTTTCGTTGTATATTATCGGGGTTTGGGGTACATTCTATTCTTTCCTTTCATATGGGTGGCGCCTTGGTCTTATTATATATCAAGTTTGTTTATGCAGCGATGAACATGAACTATATGTACCTTATCCATGAATAGATTCACTTTCCCCGGAGCGAGTCCAACACTTGAACTTGAGTTTCCATTCCAGCCTTAAGACATCTCTCCCCGTTCTATTCCCTCAACAGCATTCCCATAGACACCATAGACAACATGGCCCTAGATATGAAGTCACGGCTTTCCCAGAGAGTTCAGCTGAGATGGGATGCACAATTAGTGAAAGTAGTATTGGCGATGCTGGTGATCCGACTCGGATGGCTTCGCATCGAGAAACAGCACCGTATATATAAACCCCCGTTATCAAGCGTCCATTTTCTGTGTATCCTGTAGACTCGAAAGGGTAACAAGCAATGCGGTCAGGCGCCAATGGGCGCTATGTGCAATTATATCGAATAGACGGACAGGGTCTGCTTCCAATCAGTCAGGAGGGGGAATTATCACGTTGGAAAACCCATGTCGCAAGTTTTTTTTTTTTTTTTTTTTCCCAGTCTATGGTTAGAAAAGAAATAAGAAATGGTATTGAAGTGTTAGATATACTGAAATTTCATGGGGCATGACGTCGCCATTGGATACCCTAGAAGCTAGGCAATATTATTATAGAAGACGCGTCTTCGTACACGCGTCACTAGCGTACTTGAGTAGTATCTTCCAAGAAAAAGGTATCCAGAAATCGCGAAATTGCCACGCTAAAACTACCTGCATAACTAGGGCCCTTTTAGAGATTTTACCCCGGATTTCATTCTGAATTCATCCCGGAATTTACCCGGGTCGAGGCCCATATTGAAATTGGGAACCGGGCCAACAAAAGGAAGAAGAGGGAAAGGCGGAAGGTGTTTCATTCGAACATTATCAAACAGATCAAAGAAAAGAAAAGAGAGTCCTGTCTAAGCCAAAAAGGGGTATTTGTGTCTCGGGGTGCGCGACCCTTGTACAAATACAGACTGGCAAGATCGCTCTCGTATTGTAATTGTTACCTCTGCGAAAATGCCACGAGCAGGTGCTCAGTGAAGACCCCCGCCAGAAACCCGCTCGTTCTTACAGAATGTGCGCCATGTCCATCTACAATACCCTCGTTCTTGCGGAGCTCTGCTTCCGCATATTACGGCGATCACAACAACGATGATCCGACAGGCTGTACCAAGGCAGCATAGTTCACAACCCAGACGAGGCTATCCAGTCAATTTGGAGCCCGGCAGTCCACATAGCCGGATTTGCACATGGAAGGCAATGACCCGTGATTATTACCACTGCTTTTCTGCGGGGTTCTAAAACAGCAGAAATCCCTTCGTGCGAGAGCTGGTGTTATCGGTTGGCGTAGTTCGGGCGAATGCGCGGTATGTGATAAGTTCGGGTATGGTGATGGCAGCTCGATTGGTCGGCGGCGGTCGTATAGATATGAAAGCGATGACGATAATGGGGGTTTCGAGAGGAAACCTGCTTGAAGGATATTAGTACCTTTTACCTGAACGAAACCATGATATTCAACAGTGGCGCGATTTAGGTAAAATTGTGCTGACATTAAATTCGTTAGAGCTTTGGAGTAAGGACAATAGCTATCGACTTGCATTCTAATAGTAACTAGTTTTAAATATAGATTGATATATAACGGATACTATATCACAACTTGGGAGAAACTTTGAGAGAGATCAAAGAGCCTACCGAGAAAAGGAGCATCGCCGCTTTGGAACCAAGCCATAAGAGTATCAACGTGTCGAAACAAGGCAATTCACCCAGAAACTGGGACTAGACGCAGATGAATGGGGCAACGGTGGATTGAGTGTGTTGAACAGACTTGATGCTATCACCAAGCGAAGAAGCAGCAGTTTTATCTAATCGTTGGACCAGTTGGCATGCTCGTGGTCCCAACGGGTGAAGCCGTGGAGAAGCCTGCGAAAAGAACGAATAAAAGAATCATAAGCCAGGGAATAGTGTACCAAGCAACAGGAGAAAATATGGAACTCTAGGCATCGAACGTTGGATGCCCAATTCATGTTTATGAAGAAGTTGTTAGTGATGTAGATAGGGAAGTAGATGCTGTATATAGGGCCAAAAACAAATTCAGGGGTGGCGGACAATCGTCGTATGCGGAATATGTACATGGGGCGGCTGGCATTCACGAATGCAGGTCATTATTCTAATGTTAGGAACACTAATGACTTTCCTCGCGTCGCAGCCTGGTGGAGAAAATTCAGAACCCCAGGAGACAGGCCTCTTGTCGGACCATCTTCATTTCCAAGGGAATATGCAACTCGAGGGCACAGCTTACCGTCGGGCGTTGGGCGCTATTTATGGTAATTTTAGGGCCCTTGGCAATAATTTTGTGAGGTCAGCTTATGAATAATATCTTTTTTTGCTTTAATTTAACCTGAAGTAGCCTAGTCCATACTATTCCTCAGTTAAAATATACCCCCGATCCTAAAAACTAGGATGTGCACTTATTGGATTGGGAGGGTGTACGAAGAACGGGGGTCCCTAATTAAGTTATATCCGTCGCTGCCTACTCTGTATATCTTTGGACCTTTTTGTGATGATTACGACCCGGAAGGATGATCATCTTCGATGGCCCCTCCCCAAATCACTTGGCCCCGGGGGCAGAAACATCGCCCCTATAATGAAAAAAAGAAAAGCCCCGGTTACTGCAAGACCCTTTTCCTAACTCCTACCATCTTTCATCACTCAATATGCGTCTCCTCCATTCTCGGCTGATATTATGGGGGCTCTGTTCTTTGCTCATCCCTCAGATATCCTCTGTTCCAGTCCCCGAAGACCTCCACTCCCAAGACGTCCAATCCTCCCCGATTAACCCTGAAAAGACGCCTATGCCACAAAGCCTCTCCCTCGACCATTTACTTGAGAGTCGCGCCGATACTACACGACCCAGTGGATGTTTCCCTAAGGGGAAACAAACAAGTCCACGTGGGGAGGGCCAGTTCAAATTTGTTATCGCCCAGAAAGACTTAAAACATGGTATCTCCGAGAGATGGGAAAAATATGCGGAGTTAGTACTCAAACACAAATTGGGGGATAGTGGCCCAGGCGAGCTCTGGGACGGAGTGCTCACCTACCTCGACGTGGCACAAAACAAGGCCCTAGGGATTAAACCTGGAGTGCCAGAGGAAGTAACGGTCAGGACATCACCCGGAGGATCCGGGTTAGAAAAGTCGAGGATCCAAGATCGCGTTAGCAAAAAGTCCCCCCTACGTGATGCGGCCCATAGAGCGCTTCTGGTCCACAACCGGCAGCGAATCGGTTCTAGTCATGCCAAAAGCTAAGACGACTCTGGCCCATGCTCAAACTCGACCCGGAGCAGTCAGTACGCGAATCGCAATATGGGTTGCTGGACAGGCATTATTAGCTGCTAAAGCTGAGAATATCATCCATGGAAACTTGACGGCCGAAAGTGTGCTTTACGTTCAGAACAATATTTATGTGACCAATTGGGATGCCGCTCGCGAAATAAATGATAGGACCATTACAGGAGATAAAGGGTCACGGTTCTACATGAGTCCAGGTAAGTTTCAGTTCTGGCGACCTCCCCTTGCCTGTAGCTTATCAAAGAGAGAAGTGCTAATCTATATGGTGTTCAGAGGCCTTTAACGGAGAACCATTTGATGCCTACATGAATGAAGTTTTCAAGTTGGCCATGACATGGCTGATCGCCGACCAATGGGAGAAAATGCAGTGGTACCAACATCCCGACTCTCATGCGGCAAAAGTGATTGGAACCCTACAGCAGGGTAGGGTGGGTAATGATCCAGCTGGTCTAGGTGCTCGGGACACTAGGGATTTTCTATTCAACATTTTCCAGGGAACCTTAGACAAGGAGAAGGCGAGAGTGATGGCGAAAGGTTTATGCCGACAGGATTCACGCTATTCCATAATAAACTGGTTGAAGGATTTCGAAACGACTATGAATATCCGAAAAGCATCACGTTGAGAGTGTTGAGGTATCGACATCATGTGGGACGCCAGGCAGCAGCGGAAGCAGCGGCGAAAGAAAGCTGAGGGATTCGATCTTGTGGAAGAGAATTGCATAGAAATTTGTATTCAGAATGAATCACCGCAACTTCTTTTCTCCTCACTTTTGGTATCATTCACGCTTCCCCTTCAAGATTTCAAAAGAAACTGCATGAAGCAACCAACAGAAAGTCGATTCTGCACCCGCTGAAGAGTTATCCTTTTGACCCGATGTTGATACCCAACCTCGATGAGTTATCCTAACCCCCCTAGTCCTAGTCATAGCTTCCCTTCGTAACCATTCCAGCTCTTTAGCCTCTTTTCTCAATCCAGTGGGAGCCAAAGTACACTGACCCATTCACCAATCTTGGGCCTGTCATAACTGATAGGAAAACCGGCACATATCCAGACCTTGCTCAGTGGACCGGCATGTCCAACGATTCGCCTTCCTGCCAAAAGTCTGGGCTAGCTAATATCCGCTTCCCGGTCGATATCCAGGTACAGCGCCCTACCGCACAGTGCGCTGTATTTGATGACTTCTCCACAATGACCCACCAGGATCCCGAATTTATCTACTCTCTTGGTTCTGTTCCAGGGATATTCCACCCAGGGCGTGAAGGCAGTTCCTGCAGACTCGACTGCTTTTCCGCCTCGGGACGGAAACCTCATCGCGCCGCTTATTATCTATGAGCCTGCTGGGGAAGACCTTGAAGCCGAAGCACATGGATTCGGGGAATCCTGGCGAGGCATTATCGTTGAAGCGCGTGGCCAGAAAGAAATGTGCAGTTATGTCAATTACGTCGTTGGCAGGGAAAGACTGCAGAGGCTGGAGAAGCTGCGTGCGTTGAAGACCAAGTATGATCCAGATCGGCGACTCAACTTCTATGCACCCTTCCCTTGATCAAGAATGTTGGGATCGAATCACTTTTTTTTGGACATCATACAGGCATTTTTATAAGGTACTGCTGGCGGAATCACAAGTGTTGTTGTTCTTCACGCAATCCGTCTGGCAGCTGGCCACTGCTTGGGACGTGAAAAGGAGGGCCGAAATGGCGACAATCCGTCAATTGATCAAGGTCAGATGGAGTCCCAAGAACGCTGCATGGCCCACAAAAGGACTTTCAAACGTACCAGAGACAATTTCATGATGGCAAGATGGTTCTTGGGTTTCTAGAGGAATGGTAGAATGTATGTGAAAGTCGGTATCCTTCTGACCTCTTCCGCAACCTCCGGGAGAGACCCCCTATTTATAATTGTTGCAAAAAAACCAGCTTTCCAGCTGATGTCAGCTAGGACGCTTAGACAAGCAATTTCTGAAGCATGCTAGCTATGTCCATTACGCATGTCTTTCGTGGCCCCCCGGATCTGATAATGGAGCATGGTGGGTCCCCTCGATCAGATAATTTCCGCAGCACCAAGTTTTTTTGTACAAGCAGGATTAGTTGTAATTGATGGGTGTGGATACGCTGATCAAACCTCTTAGTGAAGGCTATATGTAGTGTCTTCTTCAATTCGTTGGTAGTATATCCATGAAGGATTCAAAATAGAACTGTGAAGAAATCGCCCCTTGGGTTGTGGGATGGAGCCGGCCCTTGGCCACTAGGGGCCAGCTCATGGCCCACATAAGTAGAAAGGTAGATGGGGCTCTTGAATTCGGTGTTTTCTGCTTCTCTTTGTCGTATGATTTCTTGGCTTGGTTGAATACCTATATTTGCAGATCCTGACTATTGTCTTCGGCGCTACCCTTTCTCCTGGTTTATTGTCCCCTGTGTACTGTTCACGTCCAGAGCCACAAGAACGACTATTATGTCCGGCTTGTATCTGTCCGAGGAAGTTCTGAAACCGCTTGTTCACGATTTGGGTTGACTAGACCGGGGGACTCTGACCCTTCATAGAGAAACACGACTAAATGTAATCTCTCTCGTTTACTTATTGATTTACGCCATCTTATTTGACAAGAGAAAGAGCATGTGAATACTACAAAGACAAATGATTCGGTTGTCTACAAAAGTGCTGGAATGAGAAGGCGGCAGGAATTGGCTTGAGTGTTCTGGCACGCAGCGACAACACTTCGACCAAGACATCCTTGTCACGCCTAAACCCACCGTGCGCAGGCGGCACTCGAAAAGGAACACGATTGGTCTCCAGTCCTCCATCCAGGGGCCATTGCCGTCGACAGATCGCAACACAGACGAATAGCCTCTTGAATATGGTCTACGGGTATGAGCATTACACCTTGCATCCCACGGTAGGGACTAGAATCTTCGCACCACGCCTTGGATCCATGGCTACAGTGGTGGCTAACTCCCCTGACTAGAGTTTTTCGAGGTCGCATTGGACGCCAACCTGGCGCCGCAACCAGCCATACTGCTCTCCCCATCCTCAACTTTATAACGTCAGCACGGGTGCGGCGCAGCCTTGATACTTGATTCGGCACAAAGCGATGGCGTTCTTTGGTTCCTGAGGTCGAACAGCCACCATGACGTCAGACGCCCGGTCTGCCCCGCGATACGCGTTGATTCGGTCTCGTACGCTCAGCGATGCGAGAAAATCCCCGGAATACTCTGTACAGTAAAGCCAGCGGTTGGGTCAATGCGGCTGAAGATCGAATTATTACCACCAGAAATCGCGGAAGAAGCGCTTGGGGTGCAATCTGCATAGAAAACTGGTCAACAACACTTTGGACATGAACATCATCGTCTCCACTTTGCAAAGTCTCCACGAAACCCCCCCCCCCCCGCCGCTACGTCAGTTCTCTCCACGGGCTCCGCTTAGCTCGGCCATGATTGTTTGGAAGGCTCAATCAGTGCTGCCAAACGGACTTGTGGGCATGGCTCGCTGTGCCAAGGACGTGCTGGTGTGGGACCACAGGGTCGGGTCTTCGACTCCGAATGCTCGAGTTGGAATTCAGCGAATTACGAGGATAATGAATGTCTGAGCGAACAATGGATCCGTGTTTCGCTAAGACTCTCGCCTTTCTTCCTCAGTGGAGGTCTGCTATATTAATGGCCCCTGTTTCCCCCACAGGCTCCATCTACCCAACTCTTTCGATATCATTGGCGACGTTTCCTGCAGTTTGATCAATCTTTCTGCAGTCTGCGCATCATTGAATAGAATCGTGCTCACGATCTTGGTTTTTAAAAAAGGGATCGCTCCCCCCCCCCCTTGTTAATCTCCTGCATCTTCTGCATCCCCGGCGATCCTTGAACAAGTGGACCCGCTTCTTCGACCCACATACACTCCTCCATTCCTCCGTTCACAATGGCCACCACTGATGGGTTCGGGTCCCAGAGGGTCCGCCGGCTGGACAGCCTTGACGCCACTCGGGCCGATCTCTACGGCGGTCCCAACGTCGTCATGCCTCTCAAGCATCTGATAGCCTCGACCTCCGAACACGATTTCACCATTGCTTCACCAGTGACCTCCGACGAAGAAGTCTCCTCTGAAAACTCCCCTCAAATCACCCCCATGTCTACTCCTCCAATGGTAACTAGCGATGACTTTGCGCTAGCATTCGACATTGATGGGGTCTTTGTTCGAGGCGGCAAGGCCATCTCCCAGGCCCATGATGCCATGAAATATATCAATGGTGAAAACCCCTACGGGATCAAAGTGTGAGTGTTTTCTCCTTAGCCCCTCGCCCGCCCTTGATAGTAGCTCTTCTTCTATCACGAATATTCCATTTTCTGACCCGAATCTTTCTCACAGTCCGTACATTTTCCTGACCAATGGCGGCGGCAAAACTGAGGAAGAACGATGCATCGATCTCAGCCGCCAGATTGAATACGAGGTTTCCCCGGGGCAGTTCATCTGCGGCCACACACCCATGCGCGAAATGGCAGAGCGATACACCACGGTGCTGGTGGTTGGTGGCGAGGGTGAGAAGTGTCGGATCGTGGCCGAGAGCTACGGATTCAAAGACATTGTCACCCCAGGAGACATTATCAAGACGCGACAGGATACGACACCGTTCCGCAAACTGACAGACGAGGAGTACAACAACTCGCGGATGCTCGATTTGGATAATTTGCAAATTGAAGCCATCTTCGTCTTCGCCGACAGTCGCGATTGGGCTGGCGATCAGCAGATCATCCTGGACTGCCTGATGACCAAGGAAGGACGGCTGGGCACACGGTCGGAGACTTTCGATGAAGGCCCGCCCGTGTTCTTTTCGCACAACGACATTGTGTGGTCTACGTCGCATGATTACTCGCGCATCGGCATGGGCGCGCTCCGCGCGTCGCTCGAGGCTCTCTACAAGGCCATTGCCGGCAAGGAGCTCAACACCATCGCCTTCGGCAAGCCCCAGAAGAGCACATTCTTATTTGCCACCCGCCTCCTCCAGGAGTGGCGTAGCCAGTCCCACCAGATCAACAAACCGCCGTCCATCATTTACTTTGTCGGCGATACCCCCGGAGTCCGACATCCGCGGCACCAACGAGTTCAACGACACCTCTGATATTGAATGGTTCTCCATCCTGGTCAAGACCGGTGTCTACCAGGAGAACACCATTCCGCGATTCACGCCCAAGCATATCTGCGACAATATCTACGAGGCAGTCAAGTTCGCGGTTGAGCGCGAATACCAGAAACTTCTGAAGAACTCGAAGCCCGGCCAACTCGAAAATCACACCACGGGTAATGAATTGAGAAACTAATGGCCGGTGCAGCCGGGTCTTCTGCTCCTCTTCTCTTCGCCGTTTTGTACTTCCCGACTGCTTCTCCCTATCATCAGCCGTCCACCCTCCTTAGCAACCTGGGTTTCCCCCTGAGCAGAGGACCTTCAGTCTGGCCAATTGCTATGTTTGTCTCTGTGTACACTCAATACGATTTCCAAATACTTATGGGTCTTTTGTTTGCGGTTCCCTGAGTGGTGGCCCGCGTTTTTCTTTACGATTAGTTACCATATTTACATGATGAGTGAATGACAGGAAATTTTGAAATACCTCCCGGTACTCTGGTTGTTAGATGCATGGTATGTTGGAAGTGTCTGCTATTTCCTGTCCAGTGAAGCCTCCCTTGAGTCTGTAAGGTTATGGCAGACAATGCCATGCCAATCGAACCTTAGAAGATATCCGTAGTTATAGCATCCTATCTACCCCCAGTCTGTGCCCCGGATTCTATAGAGAACCTTGGAAATGAAACCTTCCCCAGCATCCCCGGATTCCCCAGGAAACATTCCCATCCACCCAGCGGCTCCCAAGACCATCAAGATGATGTAACTTTTTTTTTTCCTCTTCTATATCTTTCTCTTCTACTCCAAATCCAACCACATAGATGTCCTCAACGAGCCAGATCCCAGCTTTCCCACTAGCATCCCTCCCTGCCTCGGACAATGCACCCATCCACACCATCCTTGCATGCCACCGGCAAATCAAGTGTCTGCTACTGCAATAAACCGGAAGTGACTGAATAGGTAAATCCGTGGGTTTACGATCCGGACTCCCGAAGTTTCCGGGGCCCCGGGGAGCCTTTGGGGGAGGGGGTTGTCATAGAATGAGTGGAATGGGCAGGGAGCATATCCGGGGTGTTTAACTACTTGGCTTTCTTGGGCCTCGGTGGAGTTGTGGGAAGGTTGTTGTTTTATAGGGGTTAATAGTTGGATCGGTCTGTAAACTATTCATGATGATTTGTACTGTTATTTATGAGTAGAATAAAGTCTAGTATGTCTAATATTCTTTTCTTTAAGCACCAAGCCATTTCGAAAGCATCCTTATACTACCATCTTGCGGATGAATTGGTCCGCGGAAAATCTATGGCAGCCTGAGGATCCAGGCACGCAGTCTCCATCGACGCGGGGACAATTTGATTGTGGACACCTCTGGGATATAGACATAGACCCGCGTGTTTAGTTCTACATAACAAAATCGAGGAAATGGTATGTCCTTGCCCCTCCCACCCACAGCAGCTAAGCACCGCTCATCCTCCTAACCAGGCCCACACCGAAGCCGTGTACCTGCACGACGCCTCTCTAAGGACTCTAACCACAGAGATCTTAGCCTACCAGCCCACCGCCTCACTACCAGAGAATGAGCAAGCGCTGGCCCGTAACCTCAACTCTGGCAGCGCAGCCATCACCACACGGCAAACCATCTTCTACCCTCAAGGTGGCGGGCAGCCCAGCGACACGGGCAGCATAGCACCACCAGACCAGGAGCCCGTCTTCAACGTGACCCTCGTCCGCAAGGGTGACAACGGACGTATTTTGCATTTCGGGGAAACACTCCACCCCACCAACTCCTCTTCCTTGGCGACAGGCCAGCTAGTCGTTCAGAGCATCAATGGCCCCGCACGCGACTACCACTCCCGGCTCCATACGGCGGGCCACATCCTGGATCTGGCCATGCAGATCCTGATGCCGGAGATGAAGAATATCAAGGCGAATCATTTCCCAGGCGAGGCATCCTTGGAATATAAGGGTTTGGTTTACGGCGACCGCAAACCATTGATCCAAGAGAAAGTCGATGAGTTGGTGCGCCGCGATCTGCCTGTTCTTATTTCCTGGCTGGAAGAGGATTGTCACACCCGCGTGGCTAGTATCGGTGGCCTCGATCAGACCCCTTGTGGTGGCACGCATGTTGAACGGACGGGTCTTGTTGGCTCGGTTGTCGTGCGCAAGATTAGTCGGCAGAAGGGTGTTAGTCGTGTCTCTTACGATGTATCTCCTGATGCCCACTAGTCTTGTTGTTTTGTAGATACTAAGGGATAACAGTATACTTGGGTAGAAGTGGAGTTGTATACATTACTGTCTCTCTGTATAGACAAATATCTATTTGTGTACAAAGCCAAAAACGCCATTCGGTCCATTCCCAAGCAAAACTAGACCACAAACTCCTTGTCAAGCCAGTGTTTCATCACAATCTTGCCCTCTCCGAATCCTTGCTTGGGCATTCGGACAATTATGGCTGCATGGCTATGGCGGTGTTTATGAATGTGAACCGGGTATTTGCGGAATCCAACAGAGTTGAGCGAGTCGATGATGGCAAATTGTGCCGGATTCAAGGCAAGCTTGGGAGCCAGCTGGTGCTGGGAATCCTCCAGACCAGCAAGAGTATCACTCGTTTTCAAGCTAGTATCAGTTTGACGTTCATCCAATTGGATTTGCTCTGAGATTCCAAGTGCAGTGGCTTTCTCTGTGGTTAAATCAGAACTCTCAGCTTCGGTGCTGGAGAGATACGCGGGCTCTTGTCTGGAGTTGACGTTTTCAAAAACCTCCTCCACGGCATGTCGCACATCCTCGACCAGCAGAGGCACTCGGTATCTCCCAAAAAGCATACCGTTCTTGCCTTCCTCGTGCAGGCGGATCCGTTTCCGACTGCGACATGTCTGCACGGCGGCGTTGAGCAAGAAAAGAGTCGCAGCCAGCGGGACGAAAAGAATGATCAAGATCCACAATGGCACCCAGAAAAGAAGCGCCTGAAACTGCTTCCATGCCCGAGAGGATGCAGTTTCCGGCTGCCTTGTTGCAGGAGGTAGCGCATACTGATCGGGATCGATAATCACTCGGTCGTAGCCCTTGACGTAGTTGATATTCACCTCCTCCAAATCCCGGAATGGATCCACCTTGGAGAGCGCTGTGGTATAAAAGACTGTGGAGCGGTCGTTGACAATATTCGCATAGACACACCGGTGTTGAAACTTGGCCAGGCCCTGTATGAAAATACTCTGGGGATCTGCTAGCACGCTTAGCAGCGGCCGGCCCGTGTCGCGAAACGAGTCAATCATGAAAAGCTGTCTCCCAGATGTTGAGACAGTCCTCGCACCCAATACATTCCAGATATGGTCCCTGAGGCCCTTGAGCGGCGTTCGTACCCCAACATGCGGCGATGCAAAGGTTGTAAAGTTCACCGGCTCCAGCTTATCCAGCCAACCTCGGGCATGAAGCAGGCCGATTGCATATCGTGCCACCAGACCCCCAAGCGAGTAGCCCACCAAGCTCAGCTTAGAGATCTTGTGGTTTTTTGTGGCCAATGCATCCAGTGTCTCTTCGATCTCGTGTGCCAACCGCTCTCCGCCTAGCTCGATCCCATCGTATGTGAAGTTGCCACTGTTCCCCTTTGCGCACAGAATATGGATTCGGTCTTCCCCGTGTCGTTCTCGGAGCGCAGAGGCCACGTAATCCAGGTGCGATGGGTTGCCCCAGAGTCTTAGGGAGTGAGTGAGCTTGGTTCGGTCTTATCAATCGTCATCCGCGGCGATCAAAGGAGAGACTTACCCATGAACCAGGACACACAAGTGGTCCGCCTTGATAGTATTCTCCGACATGGTCTGGCTCCCTGATACCATGATGAGTCTCAAGGGGTATGGTCTCAGCAATCGTGTCAGATGGAAGCCTGGAATCTCGCGGGAGCCTCAGATCAGCAGCCCGGAGATAAGGGATAAGCTCCGCGTTGTTGCCTTTATCCTCAGGCTTGTGTTTGTCAGTTTTGCATCTTCCTTTGCTTCGGGTCGAGCTCCTTCATCTCGTTGCGTGGCTCTTGCACAAAACACGCCTGTGGTTTTAAGAAACAAATTGACTTCATCACCGTCAGTCGAGGACAGCAAACGCTAGCCCTGGACTATGGGTGGCCGAGATTCGCCCTGCACTGGTTGAGCGCTGCTCAGTTGAACCTTTGATCCTCGACATCATCCACCATGAGCTGCTTGATCGAATAACGAATCTCATCCGAGTGATCTCTCCATCATATTGGCCTGATCGGCCCAGAAAATCTCTCTCCAGCTGTCCTTTGCCACGCCCAATATTATCTACCGGCCATGTTCTCGACACTCGGCCTGTTCGGGGACATACCCTGTCCACAGGGCCAGCAGTGCTCTCTTCTGACATGCCTGTTCTCTCATAAGTCTCTCGAATTACCCTCAGTGGGGTCAAATACTTCTCAAGCAGCCACGCCAGCCATTGACGACAGTGCACGTGCGTCGAAAAGGGTCAAGCGAGAAGCGGCCAGTGATTCCTCGGTTTCATCGCATAATAAACCTGCCACCGGCATAGCAATCAATGCCTCCACGTCAGAAGTGCCGAACCCCCCTCAAAGTACCAGTCAGGATGCTCCGAAACTCCAATCAACTACTCGGGCAGTGACCCCGCCGCCTTCAACGCGCCCAGTGTCAAGGTCTTCCCAGCAGGAGCATACGAACGCCGTTGCGAGCGCCTCTTCTGATCGCTCAATGTCACAGCTCCCACCAAGAAAAGCGCCAAAGGAAAGCCTCAACCCGCGCATGCTTACCAAGGCACCCGCAAACCACGGCGTTCGGACCGCTATATTGAAAAGACTGCACTTGGCCATGTCAGCGCTGAATGAGAAACTTGCTAAAGAGAAAGAAAGCACCAATAAATGTTTCGTCCTCACTAGAGATGAGCTTGTGACCATGGCTCTCGACGAGGAGGAAAAGGTGGCCCGGGAAAGTCCCGGTGTCTATTCTAATGTCATCAAACTTCGGATCGTAAAATTGACGAAGTTGGGCCTGGAGGACTGGGCCAAGGATGTGATGGCCCACTTGAATACCCGATATTATCATGTCAAGCCCATTCAGGCTCCTCAAGAAGCCCCTAAGCCTCTTGACACCGGCCTTACCACCAAAGAGGAAATCGCGCTCGCGTCTCATCTCGTCATGCCGCTACATGGCCTCGAACAGTTTGGTTATGTCACTAAAGCACCCACCGAAGCAGAGGTCAAGACCGCAGAGAAAGGCGTCGCCGAGTCCAAGGGCTGGGAAAAGTGTGATCGATGCGGCGGGCGGTTTCAGGTCTTTCCAGGTCGCCGCGAGGACGGCGCATTGGCCAGCGGTGGCCAATGTACTTATCACCCCAGCAGGCCCATTTATCCTCCTCGCAAAAAGACAGACCACGTCACCGGCTCATCTGATGCATACTACCCCTGTTGCAGCGAAGCACTGGGCACTTCTTCCGGCTGTACCAAGGCCACTACACATGTCTTCAAGGTCTCAGAAACCAAACGACTTGCATCGATCCTCCAGTTCGGGGAAACCCCGAAACAACCTGATAAGGGGCCTTTGGAGCCCGTGTGTCTCGACTGCGAAATGGGATACACCACGCTGGGTCTGGAGCTGATCCGGCTTACCGCTGTCAGCTGGCCCGAGGGCCGGGACCTCTTGGATGTCCTCGTCAAGCCCATGGGCGAGGTATTGGACCTCAACTCGCGGTACTCGGGCGTCTTTCCCCAGCACTTTGCCTCCGCTGTGCCCTATGGCACCCTGACTACCCGCACAGAGGCATCCACCCAGCCCGAGAAAGAAAAGAACCCCGTCCCGTTGCAGGTAGCTGAGTCGCCTGCTGCAGCGCGAGCCTTGCTCTTCCGACTCCTACAGCCAGAGACGCCCCTGATTGGCCACGCTATCGACAACGATCTCAACGTCTGCCGGGTGATCCATCCCACGGTCATTGACACGGTCCTTCTCTACCCTCATCCGAAAGGCCGTCTGCCCAACCGCATGAGTCTCAAAACCCTTGCGCGGAAATTCCTCGATCGCGATATCCAAACTGGAGGCGATCGTGGCCACGACTCCAAAGAAGACTCCATCGCCACGGGCGATTTGGTGCGGGTCAAGGCTGGCGAAACGTGGAAGGGTCTGAAGAAGAAAGGATGGCGCATCGAGGGGGACAAGTTAGTCCCCCCGGTCGGTCACCGTCCAGTAGTGCGAGAGCCTAGTCTTGGTGCTGGACACAAGAGGAAGGGTTAGGATATCGTTGGAAGGCTGGAGGATATATGGTCCGAGACCTATTCGTGGTGCATGCAATAGTTGAAATGATACCCTGGTTTATTTTGAGATTGGGTAGAATGGCTGTTTGTCATTCAGCAACCTCGCAAGTCTAATCCTGCATCTACGGAATATAAATACTCTACGTAGAGAATCCATAAGAGGGTATAAACGTTTTTGTTTTATTTTTGAAGCCTCCTAGGCAAATCTATCCCCACATATCACACAATCGAATCCCACATCACTCGCACTCTGTAACGCCAAAAGTATCGAGCGAAGACCAGATCCGATCGGCCGACAGACAGGTCAAAGAATATCCAGGTAGCACGTTTACTCCTCCTCCTCGTCGTTCTCGTCGTTGACGACGTTGTAGAAGCGGAGCTCGTAGACACCCTTGGAGGTGGAGACGACGCGGAGCCAGTCGCGGAGCTGCTGCTTCTTGAGGTACTTCTTGGTCCTGAGCGGGGAAACGAGCAGCGGTCAGTGGATGTCACTCTTGTAGGAACCGAAAAGAGTCCAAACAAAACACTTACAGGTACTTGAGGTAGCGACCAGAGAAGGGGATGTGGGTGACGACCTCGACCTTCCCGTCGCCGGTCTGCGAGATGACAATGTTGTCACCAAGGTTGCCGACACGGCCCTCAACCTTGATGCGGTCGTGCAGGAACTTCTCGAAGGCAGAGACATCGAAGATCTTGTCGCTCGCGGGCTGCGAAGCGTTGATGATGTACTGTAGAAGCGCGAAGCCATGTTAGTGATCCTGTCGTGCTTTTTGCGAGGCCGGGTTTCAGGGCGCCAACGTACCTTCTTGGTGACCTTCTGGGCCTTGCGACCACGAGTCTATAAACCGGAATACCAACTGATTAGCCTACTGCTCCATCAAGTCGATCCCCGATGGCGGTCTCGCTCGGCACGGTTTCAACATGGCACAGGGTTTCCCAAATAGATCTTTCAATATCAGGTGTACCATGTCGAAGCGGAAATCCGGCGAGACTCGGCCTCGGGGGGAACAGCAAAGCAGTTCGCAGGATGATTGTTTTCAACGTACAGCAGCGGGAGCCATTGTGACTAATTGGAGGGATTGAAGGAAGAGGGGGAGGTGGTTGAGGTCGCAAAGAAGTGAATATCCTGCGCCGATATGAGGAAGTTCGAGGATGCGACTGTTCTCGGTGGAGCCCTTTTCGATAGCAAAAAAATCGCTGCGCGGTGGGAGACACTAGTCTGTGTTGGGTAATATTAGGGCTCGTGGGAGGGGACTAGGGCTGGTGGTAAGTCACCTGATGGGTAGCAAACTTGGTGAGTCACATGTCTCGGGTGGAAAGATATCTGATTGGGCCGCTTAATCGAAGCTAGTGGCTAGCGCAAGCACAGACCTCATCGCCCTGGGTATAAATACATGCCCATCCCCCCTGCCTTTAGTCTTTTTTCTTTTCTTTTCCAGCTCTCTTTGCCAATTGGCTTAGATCAAGTGTAGTATCTGTTCTTTTCAGTTTAATCTCTGAAAGTTTTCTACGGAAAACAACATTGATTAATCTCATTTTTGGATCCCGCAGCTTGGCCTCTGTGCTTGCGCATGCCTCGCTGCACAGTGTCATCGGGCTTACACTACCCCCGATCGACGCGAACTTTTTTCATCAACTGAGTCGGCTTGTCCGACCGCTTGGAGAAGAAAGTGTAGTCCCTGCTATTCGAATTCATTGTCGTCACCCCGTATGTTAACTCACGTCGCAATCTAAGGGTTCGAGTTATTGCTGTCTAAACTCATGAGTACCTTGTCAACCCCTGCTGCCATTCCAAATGGCGACCCCCAATGCTCTCCGTCTGGAAACAGTCACCCTCGACGATGTCCCTGCCATGACTGAAGTCTGGTTCGCGGCGTTCACAGACCCTGACCTGCGACGCCTATGGCCTGATACTCCGGGCGTACGCAAGTGGTGGGACGATGCGAACCACCACGATCTCCTCAACAAGCCCTTCCAGCGCTACGTGAAAATCATCGACCCCGAATCCACCGACGCCCACGGTCGGGCCCGGATAGCCGCCTACGCGAAATGGGACCTGGCTATGCCCGAGGAGCGAGGACGTCGGTACCCGCCCTGGAATGAGGACATGCCTGGCGAAGAGTGCGATACATTCTTTGCGAGAGAGGAAAGCGAGAGACGACGGGTCATGGGCGATCAGAAGCATTACTGTGCGAGCAACCCTTGATCCTTCTTTCACTTCGTCGCGTGCGCTACGTCGGCTAACCACCCTCCCAGATCTGGATACCCTCGCCACACACCCTGACTACCAGCGACGCGGTGCCGGCTCCATGCTTCTCAAATGGGGCTGTGATCTTGCGGATGCTAATGGCGTCGGGGCGTACGTGGATGCCAGTAAAGCTGGTGCCCCGTTGTACCAGCGGTTTGGGTTCGTCGATGAAAGTGAGCCTGGCTCTGGCGATGTTGCCTCGATGGCTCGACGATAGCTTGCTGCATGCGTTTGTCTTGGGCACAACATTGGAGATCTAGACTAGGTTTCTTCCATGTTGGACCTTTGTGCCGTGGGTTCCTTGGGAGATAGGTCTGTATAGATGACCAGAGCGATTTTCCGCGACATTGCTGTAATCTTTTCAAAGCGTTCGATCGCTATTTTTAACAGTTGAAAGAAAACATTCTAACATTCTTCAATTCAAAATACAATGTTGAACAGTAGAATTTAGATTCCTTTGACCTTCACACTATATATCGCACTCAATCGAGCTGGATTCCGGTTAGTGGATCATGACATGAGGGGCTAGGAACCAACAGTTGCAAGCCTATTCTCATCTTCTCCCCCTCGTCCCACTTCATGGCAACCAAATCCCCCGCATCACAATGTCACCTCGACCCTGTCAACTTCGATGACGAGGAACAATTCACCGAGCTCCAAAGACAGCGCCTCGCCTGTGGCTGGGACCACGACTCGCGCATCCTCCAGAAATGGAAACAAAAACAGCAAGAGAATCTCAAAAGCCTATTCTGGATCGCCGTGCCCAGCACCAGCACCGAAAAGAGCAATACTGCTATTCGCGCAGGCCATATCGCGCTCGACGCATACTGCGATCCACTGGACCCGGATCCCGCTGCGCAGACAAGTCCGTGCTCAAGATTAGCTCGTTCTTCATCCTGCCCGAATACCGCTCGCATGGACTTGGGCGACGCGCGATGCAGTTGGTCGAGGGGCTCGCCGTCCGAGAGCCGTATGGCAGTCCACGCTGTCGGGTTGTTGCGCTCACGGCGTTGAGTAAACGCTATCTATACGATGAGGGACCCGAGTGGCGCGGTCTGTGGGCCAGGATTGGTGAGGCGATGCCGTCGTTCAGTATCCAGGAATGGTATGAGAATCTGGGGTATAGTAGTTGGAAGGAGGAGGTGCTGTATGAGGTGACGACTTTGGATGGGCAGGTCATTCGGCTGTGGGAGGCGTTTATGAGGAAGGAGGTACAATTGACCTGAGATCAGAACGGGTCATTTTCTAATTAAGATAGAAGATTGCCAGATGGAATATTATTTGGTCATACATGTTCATATATATCCATGGTGGTATAGAGTGGTTCATGCCCCCCAATACAAGATCACCATGCTAAATTCACGACGGACAATTCAAGTGGCAACGGAATCTGCGACCAAGAATATCATAACCACGCAGCCAAAAATATCTATCATCCCATTCGACAGATTTACTCACTTCAAGACTTGGTCGCCCGCCACACAGTCACATGACACCGATCGGGGGGCCGTAATCGATAAAGCTTGAGCTTCCCATTTTTCCATTCGGCGTCCCTTCCCCAGCACAACCCCAAGCAAAGACCACGATGGGCTCGATCGTCCTACCTCATCTACGGACCGCCTGGCACGTGGATCAGGCGATTCTCTCCGAAGAAGAGCGCCTGGTAGTGATCCGATTCGGGCGCGATCACGACCCCGACTGTGAGCAACCACCCCTCCTCCCTTGGGCCCTTTCGTCACCCGCCTCGACATGGCGGTAGAATGTTACATGGACGCATAGACTAACAGAGCATGATGTAGGTATCCGCCAAGACGAAGTCCTCTACAAGATCGCCGAGCGAGTGAAAAGTCAGTTGTAGACCCGGGGCCCCCGCGCAAAACTTCTGAAACGCGACCAAAGCTGACGGGCCGAAAACCACTAAACACGAAACAGACTTTGCAGTGATCTACCTGTGCGATCTAGATGAGGTACCGGATTTCAGTACGATGTACGAGTTGTACGACACGATGACACTCATGTTCTTCTATCGCAACAAACACATGATGTGTGATTTTGGGACCGGAAATAATAACAAGTTGAATTGGGTGCTGGAGGACAAACAGGAGCTGATCGACATCATTGAGACCATCTACAAGGGTGCAAAGAAGGGCCGGGGTCTGGTCGTTAGTCCGAAAGGTACGAGTAATGTCCCGCTGTCTTTGCGAGGGAATGACTCGCTGACTGACAGCCTGGTTGCAGATTACTCCACGAGATATCGCTACTAAATTGTGTGCTGTGACGATGCGGAGATTCTCGGTAGAGATTCCATGTGTTTTCTTTTAATGAATTGACGACGATCACTGGAAATGACCCAGCGAGAGAAATGCAGACATGATACTAGCTAAAGCCGAGCTTCATCTTGGATTTGGTGGAGTCAGATTCCAGCTCAGGATTCTGATCGACTTTCATCCTTCATATTCGTACATAGAACTGGAGCTTGACTTTCGTTTCGGGGATGCCGGATTATCGGTAATCTTACCCGTTCTAGTTAAGGCTTATATGTGCAGCCTAAGCGCAGGCCCCTTAAGCATGTTGAATCTGCGATGAAATCATGCAACAAAGCCCGTCAAGCGTATGTCAAAGCTGGATTTTGAAATCGGAGTTGTAGAAAAGTATTCGATATCAATTATGTTATCGATAATTATAGACTTTTGCCACGTTGGGTAGGAACCCAGAATTAGAGAAAACAACGGCGTTGGTCGAAGGAATGGAGGAATGGATCCATTAATATTGGGGCCAACTTTTCGACGCGTATGCCGGCAGTGTAGATCCCCACGCTCCCATCCAGTATGTAAGATGTAAGATACTGTTTTGCCCCATCTTTCAGGGGCCAAAATAAATGCTTAGCAGAAATGACGAGTGCCCAGGAAAGCCATGTTCGTCAAAACAGGGGCAATCCATTGCCAAGAGTGGAAGTTTTATAGGAATGCAATATCGTAATTACGATCCTGGAAGGATCATATACGCAGGACAGGAGATCGGCTTTAATTGCAGGGGTTGCAGTTGTCAGAGAATCTCCGAGAAACGAAATCTCGCCTCAGCAATGCATTCTCGATCGTTGTTTTACTATAATTAAGTGATCAGCATGTCCATGTGGGCCTACCAGATAGTTTCATACAAATCGATTTGGGATAAAGTTTCGCTGGTAGCCCCGGCTGACACCGGCTGATGCACAGGCAACCAAATGTCCTGGGGAGTGTAGAGACGTTTACGATAGATGCAAAGCCCCACAACTTGCGACGTCCTCGTCTCACGTTGGAGTGAATGGGAAATACCGATCCGCAACAGGGCTGAAAATGCCTTTGATTCTACAAGTGGGATGGCGGTGGAGTCTGCCTTACCGGCCAGGATCTGAGATACTCGTTATTTCGATTTCCATCCTGTTGCGAGACTAGGAAGTGATCTGCTCCGGCGCAGGAGCCTACCGAGTACGCAAAACAGGGGCCAGCCTTCCTCACAATCTGACTGAGGAAGAAAGTGGACAACTTCGCCCCAATGTCAATGCGGATGACGTTCCTTTGGGGCATGGGGGCCAACCATGGAACAATGGCAATGCTTATGTCGAGAGAGGGAAAAAAAAAGAATAGGAGGCGATGTATATAAAGCGGCACTCCGACTGGCAGCAGTAGTTCCCGTCTTGCTTCCAGAGATCCCCCATCCGCAAGCCAACTTCTCCCAGATCTTCCTTGTGTACCTTGATTTTCTTTTCCCTTCCAAATCAGCACCCTTTTTCAGGCACAATGAAGTTCTCCGTCGTCCTGGCTTCGGTCTTCGCCTCCACTGGCATGGCCATCCGTTACGGGCCTCCCGCGCCCAACAGCAACAGCTTGGCCAATACCTGGGCTCAAACGCCCGCCGTTGTCTCGAACTGGGCTACTGGGACGCCTGTTGTCTCCAACCACCCACCTGCGGCCACGACCTCCGGCAACCCTGGTGACGGTAACGGCCACCATAGGACAAACCCTATGCAAGTCTTCTTTGTCCTCATCAAGTACCTTGTTGAGCACCCCCAGATGGCGAAGGACGAGAACTTCCACCAAATCCTGCAGCAAATTCAAAAGGAACACCCTAACATGCATATCGAGCAACTGTTGGACCACCACCGCAACAACAACAACAACAACAACAACAACAACAACAACAACAACAACAACAACAACAACAACAACTTCCCCTGGAATGCGTCCCGCGGCGGCCAAGGGGGCGTCGTCGTCACCACCTCGAGCACTTTCTCGGTGATGCCTTCTGTGACCCAGGCCGCTCGTTAAATTGGTTCATCTCGACCACAACGCATTCGAAGATGACTACAATGTTTCTGAAGAACATCTTACGTCCTGGATGATGAGGCCCCATGATATCACTGCGCGTGTATCTCGCCAGGCAGGTCCTCGCCCCAGACGATCATTCAGCAGCGGTGCTCATATCCAAGCCGCCCTGACTGAGCATGTCCGGGGGTGAGGGTTTTCTTGGGTGGTTTGCAACTATAGGGGAGGAATACTGTGTACTGTTTTAATGTTTTGGGGAATGTATTATTGGGCTTACGGATTTTTTTAAGGCTTGATGTTTTATATCTCCTTTGTCACTCATTTTACGTGGATAACGCTCTTGTCGGCTGCAATATCAGGTTCTAGACTCTGGTCTTATTTTGAGAACTTTTAGAGAACATGCTTCAATCAAGAAGATGAGAAATCCTACCTTGTATTCAGACTTTTAGAAACAAAAGAAATGAATCAGAAGATCTTGGTCTTCCATATGTATGTAGGCTTGGTCATTTAGGGCTACCCGGCTATATTGTACATGTCTGATTGGCTTGTCTCTCCAAGGCCCTACTAATGGACCCTTCATCCACAGTGCTTGACATGCCTGAAATCTGAGTGCATAATCAGCTGAGAAAGCTCTGATACTTTTTACTTTCATTTAATCCAATTGTTCTACTATACAGTAGATTGGGACGGCCTTGCCGGATATGATGAACCCCGGTGTCTTTCAAGAGAGCTTTGCATGGTAAGTACCTCTGAACCAGTAAACAATTGAGATGTCCAGGAATAGAGAGATTTTCTGGTTGGTTACACTAAAGACCCTGGACGAACCGTGCATTTCCAGGATACGATGCTCGACCAACCAAGTTCGACCAGGAGGCGGATAAAGTCTTCACCCCTGAACACGGCATGAAGCTTAATTACCCTACCCCGGATTTTCATTTTCTTGTGTATAGTAGCTCTCTGCACCCCGCCATGGCCATCTTTCTTCAAGTGAATTGTGGTACCATTCTCCTTTACTCAAAATCAAGCAGATTCGCTTGATAAGCTCAAGAAATAAATCGCGGAAGTTGAAATCTAGCATTCACATAATCAGTTTGGTCGTGTGATCTTCTCCATCGGAGTCGTGGCTTGCAACCCATCCAGTATGCCCGGCCTCGGGATCGGGTATGCCGATCGGCTTGGTGACCCGGAAGGCCAATCACCAATCAAACCCCACCAAAGAGTGCTGAGTCAGAAAAAGCTCGGGAACCGCGGGGGACAAATTCCCGGGGAAGGTCGAGTTCTTACCCGCGGGTAAGAGCTACTCCGCCGTGCCCCCGCGCCTCAACGCAGGCCATCGCGAAATTTGATATCCCACGTCCCCTGACGATGTGGCTGTTATTCAGTTGACCGGTGATAGCTAGGGACCTACTGCTGGGATATTGGGATTGCCAGAGATAAGAAGATATGTGGAATTTGGATTTAACAACAGTTTTTTCTTCGGCATGTAGTGGCGGTAACTACACCTTGGGATCTGGGTTCGGCACCGTTGGAAAGGCTCCCAGCCGAATGATTTGCCGTCGCCATCCGCTTCGCTCAGGATTCAGACATGCCACGCCATTTCTGAACTGTCTATATAGACCCTCGAGGGCCTCTCCAGATTTTCTCTTTCATCTTCTTCCATTTCCCCCCCCCCCCCCCAACCCTCGTCCTTAAAAACAGTCTTTTTTTTTTCTTTCGTCATCTCATACATACACACACCACACCATGTCGACCAACGCCCGATTCGACCCCAACTTCACTCCCTATGTGATGAACTCCATGGGACCCAAGACCCCCGAGCGCGCTCGCGTGATCTTGAGCTCGCTCATCAAGCACATCCACGACTTTGCTCGGGAGGTGGAGCTCACCCCGGCCGAGTGGATGCTTGGCGTTGAATTCATCAACTCCATCGGCAAGATCAGCACGCCTGTGCGCAACGAATGCCACCGCATCTGCGATGTGATCGGACTTGAATCGTAAGCACGATCCAAAGACACGAAGAGAAGCAGAAACAGAAGAAAGCTGACCAACCCCAGTCTCGTCGATGAGATCGCCAACAAAATCGTCACGGAGCAGGGTGTCTCCCCGACCTCCAATGTCATCCTCGGCCCCTTCTGGTCGCCCAATGCGCCGTTCCGCAGCCTCGGTGACACCATCATCCAAGACCCCAACCCCAACGGCCAGGTCACGTACATGCACGGCGTCCTGAAGGACATGGAGACGGGCGCGCCGATCGTCGGCGCCGTCTTGGATATCTGGCAAGCCTCGGCCAACGGACAGTACGACTTCCAGGACCCGGGCCAGTCGGAGAACAACCTGCGCGGCAAGTTCCGCTCGAACGAGAAGGGCGAGTTCTACTGGTACTGCTACCACCCGACGCCGTACTCGCTGCCGACGGACGGTCCCGCCGGCGTGCTGCTCAACCTCATGGACCGCTCGCCGATGCGTCCGGCCCATATCCACTTGATGATCACGCACCCCAACTACGCCACCGTCATCAACCAGATCTACCCCAGCGACGACCCCCACCTCGACATCGACTCCGTCTTTGCCGTCAAGGATGACCTCGTGGTCGACTTCAAGCCCAAGACCGGTGACCCCAATGCCCAGCTCGACCTCGAGTACAATGTCAGCATGGCGCTCAAGAAGCACCACCCCAACCCGAACTCGGCGCCGCCCGTGTCGTCGTTTGAGCGCCATGCGAAGCTCAACCAGAAGCTATAAGAAGCTCGGCTGAATTGGTGTTTAGACGGATGGGTGTATATTTTATGCATTTTTGATTTTTTAGCGATATTTGATGCTCTCCTGACAGATGAATGAATTTATTTTTTTTCTTATATGAATTATTTGACTGGGTTTTAGACATACCGTAGCAGTGTAGCTATGGAGGAGTACAACAGCAAGGGACTGGAAACGAGGGTGAAAATTCAATGTGAAGGATGTTGCACAAAGTTTTCAGTAGAGTCACCTACAGCAATAAATCCAGTTGAAGGTCAACGCATCAGTAAAAAGTTGACGGTAAAAGAGCGACGAGTTCATCATTTTTGACGTCAACCCAATTGGAGCTCTCCTGCACATCCCCCCACCGACACAACCTGCCTTGTTGCCCGTCCCTCGAGTCACCCATTCACCAGCTCACCAAAACCGGACAAGATGATTGACCACCGCATCTTCGAGGATCTGCAGACTAAGATCGACGAGGAGAGCACCGTCCGCGATGTAAGGACACATCCGAGACGCGCGTGTGGATTGAATTCTTCGCGTGCCAAGCCCCCCCCCCCCCAACCCCAAGCAAGCTGCTTGGGCACGAAACCATTTTTTTTTATAGCTAACAGGCTCCCTGGATAGGAGGTGCACGATATTGTGCAGACGCTTGCGAGAAAGGGTATGTGCGGTTTATTACAGGGAGCTGTTTCAAGCAGGCATTGTCGGCTGGAATCCAGCATGGTCTTATTTTGAGGACCTGGGATGAGACCTCGACTAACCGCGACATCGACAGGACGATCCACGCAGGCGATTCTGTCCAGAGCTCATTCTACACCTACTGATCAAGGTATGACTTCTTTTCTATCTACCTGATGGGTTGATGTCTTGGTTTTACTTTTATTTGTATTATATTATCACCTCTTAATAGTAATATCCCGCTGATCAAGAACAATAGTGAAACCCATTCTTGACGATGCACTCACGGAAATCCTCGCCCAAAAGGAAGAGGTCGCTCGCCTCAAGGCCGTGGCCGACCAGCACCCGTTCTACAAGTACAACGGGCTGTGGACGCGCGAGCTCCAGAACCTCGTTTGTGTCCTTGTCCATAATTGATACGATTTGTGTGTTTTGACTAGTCGATACATTAGGTGGTGTCAATTGAACTGTGCGCGTGGCTGGGTGGATTGCAAGAGCACAAGGGGCCCAGCTCGGCGTCTTTTATGACGATCGAGGATGTGGGCAAGTTCCTTGAGAGTAAGTTACCCCTAGTTCATCTGCCGCTTTTTTGACTATCTCCGGGCTGGCAATAGTTACTTATAGGCTATTCGTGCAGTCCCCGTCAACCTGAAAGAAAAAGATGCTTTCCATCTCACCATCGAAGAATATCTTCTGGCGCTCATATCTATGGTTGAAGAGCTGGTATGTCCCCAACTATTCTCCCTCCCCCCTCTCTCATTTCCTGATCTAGTCACTGACTCCTGGCTGTAGTCTCGCTTGGCTGTCAACTCGGTTACGCTGGGTGACTATGGGCGCCCCGTGCAAATCGGCAACTTTATCAAAGATCTGTTTGCCGGTTTCCAGCTGCTAAACCTCAAGAATGACATTCTGCGGAAGCGCAGCGATGGGATCAAGTACAGTGTATGTTTTTGCTTTGGGTGGGGGTTTCTATGAGCTGAGGTGACTAATTCGTCGTGTTGCAGGTCAAGAAGGTCGAGGATGTGGTATACGACTTGTCGTTGCGGAACTTGATTCCCAAGGGTAGCGCTGCTGCGTGATGAACCCGGAGATGACAGGCCAAAAAAAAGGAACCTAACTAGTAGGATCATTGATAATGATTTTAACAAGAGGTCATTTGACCCAGCGAATGAACAGCATCAGCGAGGCATTAATTCGTCGTAATCACATAGGATCAGTAATCCTCGTGGCTACGGAACCGCAAGAGTATTGATATAGAACGAAGAAAAGGTATGTCCACACACAAGAAACACAGTATCTCTCCCAATCAAGACAGCTTCGCCTGCTCCGAGCCTTCCTGGGGCTGACTCGCCGAAGCCAACGTACCCTCCTTCTTCGCCTTCTCAATCTCCTTAACAATAGGACTCTCCAGGGCCTCCGGCTTAGTGGTAGTCGCCCAGCGCGCAACAACCTTGCCATCCGCCGAGACAAGGAACTTCTCAAAGTTCCACTTGACGCGCTTCAGCCCCATCAGGCCGGGCATCTGCTCCTTCAACCAGGTCCACACGGGCGCCGCGCTGTCGCCGTTGACATCTAGCTTGCCCAGCACGGGGAACGTGACGCCGTAGTTGATCTGGCAGAACGACTGGATGTCATCGTTGGACCCGGGGTCCTGCGAGTTGAACTGGTTGCACGGGAAGCCGAGGATGGTGAAGTCGTCGGGGTATTTGGATTTCAGCGTTTTGTACAGGGTCTCGAGGCCCTCGAATTGGGGTGTGAAGCCGCATTTCGAGGCTGTGTTCACGACGAGAACGACTTTGCCTTTCAGTGACGAGAGCGGGAATGCTTCGCCCCTTTCTGGTGGGGGGGAAAAAGAAGACTAAGGTTAGCTTGAGGAAGAGCGGGGTGGATGGTGTGATACGCACTGTCGGCGGGCTCAAAGTCGTAAAAGGTCGTTGCGGACGCCATGGTGCTGGTGTGCCTGGCGAGTGGCGGGAGAGGACGGGTGAATCTGCGAGAGCTGGGGTGGGACGATGATGACGTCGTGGACAGGCACCTGATCAATGGGTTGGTGTTGGCGACAAAGTAGCGAGGCACTCCGGGTTTTTGTAGATTCTGGAGGCGTAGACTTGCCAGCCGAGGTCGCGCCATTGCTAATTACAAATGATCGCTGGCCCAGCCCCGGAGATCGTGGACGGTTGCGGGCATCCCCCCGAGGCTCCCGGATAAGCCCACAATACATCGATTATTAATGCATAACTCCCGTATGCATCACTGGATGTACTATTGATTTTGCGTAATGTGTAGTGGCTATTGCGTATCGACTGCGCAGATCTTTCGAATGGATGTACATTGAATGATCAGCGCCCCGTATCTATGGCATTGGCACTGCACCATCCAGGGACTCGGCCGATGTCCTGGGCGCGCTAGTTACCATGTCGCAACTCCGCAAAGGACAACGACAGAGCCAGCCGTCGCACCAACACTCTCAATGGTAGTTTCCCATGCCTATCCCTTCCCTGTTCTTCTCTCCGGGAGCTTGACAGCCTGAGAATCATCGCCAATGGCGGGGTCAACCCCTCAACGAGACCATCCCCCGAGACCCAGAGACCCAGTATACAGTAGCCCATCACAGACCCGCGTCTCAGCAGACTTCAGGCAAGCAATGAATGTCGAGGAGAGGAATGGTCATTGTAGCACATCCACCCAACTGGTTTCCCCATAGAGCGCTGAGCAGCCGACCGACTGGACACTTTCTTCTTCAAAAAGCTGTAGGCAACTTCAACCCAAACTCAGCCCAGTTTTCTTTGTTCACCCCTCCCTCTCTGCCTCCGCCTTTAGCACATCCACATCCAACTCCGCCATCACCCCGAGCACGACCCCCAGACTCTCCATGAACCCGTTGACCGCGACGCGCAGCATGCGGTTGGTAGTTGCGCGGTAGGTGGTTTGCAGCACGGTCTGCGACTCGTCCGGGTCTTGTTTCTGCTTCTTTTCTTGTGGCTCGGAAGTGGAATGCGGGGACGGGGCTGCGAGGGTGAGGGTGCGTCGCACAAATGGGGATAGCTCAGCGTCGACTTCGAGGGTGCGCAGGGCGGAAGATGCGAGGCGGTTTGTGGGGAGGGGGGAGGGAAATGGTTCTAGGCTTTATTAGTATGTGTTGGAGTGTATGTGTGAAGATATATAACGGGATGGTGTTTCGAGAGAGAGAGAGATATATATATATATATATATATTGTGGTCTTGTTGAACTGGTAGCGGTGTGTAATGCGCGGGGGGCTCGTACAGTGAGTAGGGGAACTCGGTATCAGTGAGTTCTGTGGTAGCCATAGTGAATTGGCGAGATTGTATGAGCGCCAGAAAAGACTGCGAAGCTGTTGAGAAGCAGATGAGGTCGACTAGCTACACGCCGAGGGGCACTTGGAATAATCTGCGGCCATCTACAATGATGACTCAGCTTCTACAGAAGACCCGTAGACACCTCAAAAACAAGCGGTAGAACTTTGGTCGAAGTCTACAGGCATACTTGACTATTTGACTACTTGACTGCCAGAGATCGAAGAAAAAACTGAGAATTTTAAAGGATCATCCCTCATCGCAAGCTCAGATGGGAGTCGTCAAAAGTATCAAAGCACTCATGAAGGTATAGTACACAAAAACAAGCGCGTTCACCAATTCCCGAATAACCATTGGGACACAAGAGAATTAAAGACATGCAAATAGACGTCATGGACTAGACAGCCACGACATGTTTGTACCACGAATACACCGGCCCAACCGAATATCAACTTAGTGGACGGCGATGGCGGACACCACGTGCTGGATGGAGGCAGGGAGGCCCTGGAGCTGATCCTGGGTGAGTTGGCCTGGAAGGTCGTCAGTACATGTGTACATCAGGTCGTGTTGAGAGGAGCTTACCGATAGCGATCTCGTTCTGGACGTTGCCAAGGGCACTGAGGAGGCCGCCGGGGTCTGGGAAGAGAACATCAGCTAAATCCCTGGGGATGGCTTCGTGGATGGAATGACATACTGGTAGTCAGACCAGAGAGCGATTTGGACAGAGTAGATTCAATGACGGAAGCGGAAACCCCGAGCTGGCGCTTCTCAGTGAGACCATCGGCGACAGAGCCGACCTCTGGGACTATGTTAGTCGTCTTCGCCCCGTATCTCTCCGGCGAAGTTGAACATACCGGAAACAGCGGCAGGAACAGTGCTGCCGACGGTACTTCCGACAGTGCTGTCAACGGTGTTACCCGCGCCGCTAACAGCGCCACCCAGATCATCGCGCTTGTCTAAAACAAAGTTAGTACTGGCACCAAGTTTCATTTACTCGCCCATGTACTTACGAGAACCAAGGCCCGCAACAGTGCCCTCAACGGTGCCAGCGGCACCCGAGACAGTGCTCTCGGTCGTACCGACAGCGCTGCCAGCAATGCCAGTGGCACCGTTGACAGCGCCGGGGAGAGCCTGGGTGGCGGCGCCGACCTCGTTGCCGGCATCGCGCTTGATGGCACCACCGAGACCGCGGACGGAGTGGGTCGCATCGTCAACGATGTGACCGGTGCTGTCGGTCACGGGAGCGACGGCTCCAACAGCCGCGCCCTCAGTGCCGGCAACAGTGCCGTCGATGTTGGAGGCAGCAGGGATGACACCCGCAGAGACAACACCAGCAAGGGCGAGGGAAACAGCGAAACCGGTGAACTTCATTGTGTTGATGTGAAATCAAAAGAATCAAAAAAGAGTGACTGAGTGAGGGTAAAGTGTACAAGTGAAGGGTTGGAGATTAGAAAAAAGAGTGACTGGAAGTGAATGGGAAGTTTTGTATGAAGAAAAGAACCCTGGAGCCGTTGGGCTGAGAGCCTGGCTTATATACAGTTCGCTGGCGGTACCCTCAATTTCGCCATATGCGCAATCGACAACTCCTCGCATGCGATGGAGATTGGATGATCAGGGGCAATGTTTTTCTCCATGGACGGTTTATTGTCCGGTGCGGCCAGCAGGAATCACGATCGACATCCAACAGCCTGCCATCCGGTGAACCGTGCAGTCGATTCATCTGGAGTCAACCAAGGGATGTTCCCACATCGGCTCCAGTGAAGAAGCTGAGACAAATAACAACAAGTTTCGGAGTCGGTGTGCTCAACCGGAGTGCATCCGTTTGAATCCAGGGCGAGATTCTGATGCGCTAGTACTTCTCCAAAGTTTGTGCTGCTTGTGGGATCTCCCCACTTCTCATTTACCTCCATGCGAGGAGAAATTGTCGGACTGGATAGTGAAGAGTTGAAGGTTGGACTTGCATCTGCGCCCTCCCAAGTTCGCCCCAGGATGCACACATAAGCAAGCTGGAAGCAGTGTGCTGAGACGACGTCAAAGCCCATGAACCATGCCTCGATCATAATAAACAATCGGCCACCAGCCCTCCCCATCGCATGTGAGGGATGCTGCACGACAGACCGCACAGACCGAGCTGGGCAGAGAAGCTCAGGCAAGGGTGGCGCTTTATGTGGAGTTGCGGCGAATCTCGTCGATCGCCCGCAGTCGAATCCATCCGACCTTTATAAAGCGGATGGTCATTCGAACTTCCTTGCATGAAAGATGCTGAAGTGGACCCTGGGAGGGTCGAGTGTCTGCACTTCCCCTGGCTCTTAAATTAACAAGGCCGGCCGTTCAGGGTACCAGCCGTCAGTCCCAGAGAACTTTCTCCTCTGAAATGAGATGTCAAGGCAGATTCAGAGAATGCGGTCACATTTTGCAAGGCGGATGTTCTGTCCGGACAAGGCAGAAGATGCCGCGGCTTTTGCGTGGAGGCTGGTGGAGACTTCACGATGACCTGTCACTTGCGGCAAATCGCAACCAAGAATGGGCCAATGGCCATGCCGCAGCATTCTTCTGCGCTTGACCACGAAGAGGAAGCTGAGACGTCGGCCAAACGAGGGTTTTTATTTTTTTTTTTTCAACCCCCAAAACATTCTAAATGTGAGTGGGCTCCAATTGCTCTGTGTGTAATGGGCCTTTTTCTTGCAAACCACGAGTAACTACGGCATTAGAAAGTAGAAGTCGATGGATGGGTTTCTGAGGAATGAATGGAAGTTCTGATTCTACCTTCGACCGATAGAAACACTGTAGGATGGTATTGCAGGTGATGTTCAATATACAGAGGTATGTATGACATGACATTCCAATATGCGAAGACCAAATGTCAGAGAAGACGAGGCATTGGTGCCCACAAAGATGGATGTCACGCGGTGATCTCACATGGCGAGCGCGTTCTGCGCATTACTGTGTGTGTTGTATAACTATGAACTGTTGTTGTTGATGATGCTGTTTTGGGAATGTGGGATTGGGTGCCTGAGGCCACAGGTTGCTGGGTCAACAACGGGCACCAAACCCAAAGAGGAACACAACATAACAGCCCCCGGCGCTAGCATCGGCCTTGTTATTATTCTGCGGTGTTCCTCATCCTCTTCTTTGCCCCTCGTCTTCTTTTTGACTTGTACAGCTTCTATTGTCTCTTGCTTTATTTGCATATCCTTACTCTTCCGCTCTCTCCTGGCCTTGCCCACATTACCCCCATACAAGTCAAGTTCGGATCACCCCCGATTATGACCGTTTAGATCTTTCCATTATTGATCGGACGTGACTTGGCTGTTTCAGTTGGCCTTGCCCTGACAGAAGTGACAGTCTATCTGACTGCCGGACTCGTGCAATTTTCAGTCTGCATTGTTTATTTGTTTTTGTCCGACGTCCCTCGAGTCGCAGCTGTCAACAAAACAGCACCAACATCATGTCAACTGATTCTGGCCATGGCGGCCAGGTGATTGAATACATTCAAGGTTTGTAAATCGCGTTGTGGCCTCATCCCATTGCCATCATCGTCTGACCGTCGCGGGGCGCTAACATCAACAATCACAACTCAGACCGCCTTTACCTCGCGTCCTATGACTCTGCCCCCAGCTCGAGAACACCATTTCCCTACCAGCTGGACCAGCCGAAATCTCCTAGCAAGCGCTCAGCTCGAGCTCAGCCCACCACGCCGAATGGCAAGCGGCGGTCCCCGGTGTATTTCACCGTCGATGATACCCTTCTCTACAATGCCTTCCACGCCGATTTCGGCCCTCTCCATATCGGCCACCTGTACCGATTCGCTGTGCTCTTCCATGAGATCCTCGGCGACCCCGCCAACAGTGATCGTCCCGTCGTTTTCTACAGCAAGACGGATGCCCGCAGTCGCGCGAACGCGGCCTGCCTCGTGGCATGCTATATGGTTTTGATCCAATCCTGGCCCCCTCACCTGGCTCTGGCGCCCATTGCACAGGCAGATCCCCCCTACATGCCATTCCGCGACGCCGGATACAGCCAGGCGGACTTTATCTTGAACATCCAGGATGTGGTGTATGGCGTCTGGAGGGCCAAGGAGGAGTCCCTGTGCGGGCTGCGGGAGTTCAACTTGGAGGAGTATGCATCGCAGTTTTCTTGTTGCCCGGAACTCCTTTGCTGACCGACTTCTAGATACGAGAAGTTTGAGCGTGTTGACATGGGCGACTTCAACTGGGTTACGCCCCATTTCCTCGCCTTTGCATCTCCCCAACATCAGCCAGTTGCGCCCATTCCCATGAACACCCCTGAGTACAACGCCCTGCCCTCGACGATCTCCGAAGTCTGCTCGTCCAAGCTACCCCTTCCTTTCAAGAATGTCCTGGCACACTTTTCCTCCCGCAACGTGGGTCTCGTGGTGCGATTGAACTCGGAACTCTACTGTCCATCCTACTTCACGGCCATGGGTATTGCCCATCTCGATATGATTTTTGAGGACGGGACATGTCCGACATTGCAAATGGTGCGGCGGTTCATCAAGATTGCCCACGAGATGATCACGGTCAAGAACAAGGGGATCGCGGTTCACTGCAAGGCGGGCTTGGGCCGTACGGGCTGCTTGATCGGAGCTTATCTCATCTACCGATTTGGCTTCACCGCGAACGAGGTTATTGCATTCATGCGATTCATGCGACCCGGCATGGTGGTTGGGCCCCAGCAGCACTGGCTGCACCTCAACCAGGGCTCTTTCCGCGAGTGGTGGTTTGAGGACAGCATGAGGGAGAAGCTGGCTCAGTCTGCACCTGTCACGCCAGCCCGCGTTTCGGCCAAGAAGCGCCCCAGCAATGGCCCGGTGGCCACGCCGCCCAACAACAGCCATTCGAAGCGTGCCGCCCTCGGTGAAATCGATCACAATGAGGGTGCTGCGGGTTATGCCGAGGAGAACCTCCCTGCACCGACTCCCGGTCAACCTCGCAAGTCTCACCGCAAGGATTCGCGGCATCACCCCTACGCTCGCACCGCTTCCGGGCACCTTGCCTTGGAAAGCGAGACAACCAAGCACGGAGAGCAACGTAGTCACCGTTCTCACCGACAGAGCAACGAGAGCAGTGAGAGTGACGAGGAGATCCAGCTCCGCATGCGGGCTAAGCGAACGTCCCGATCCCCCGTGGCGTCTCCCTCGTCGCGCTCCATCAGCTACTCTGCCACTGTCACGGCAAGCTACACCCTCGCAGATGGCATCCATGAAGACCGCGAGAACTGGGTCGACAACGCAACCCCCAAGACCCCGGTCAGCCGGAAGAGCGGCGGCGGCGCTATCTCAGTGAACAAGTCTCGCTCCAGTCCTCGTCGAGTGACCGACAGTACCCGCAGTGAATCTCGCGGCGTCCGCAAAGCCAGCAACCGGGTCGGCAGCACATCAACCAGTCCCTCTCGGGCAACTCGAGTCGTTCAGTAATGTGCAAATCCCAGTACCCTCCTCGACATGTTCATCCTCTTGCGGCCTCCTTTTTTTCTATTCTTACTGTCCTTTTCATTGGACGGGAAACTTTTGTGCATACCCCCCCTTTTTTTTCTGTTTCTATTGCATTTGAATGCTTTTTTTTTATTAATGTTTTGAGCTCATGCTTTGTTCCCCTTCTGGTCTCTCTCGGGGGGTTCAAGTCCCGCATGAGGTTCTTTTCGTATTGTTTCTCTTTTTTTTTCCTGGAGCGAAAATGATCGGTTGGTCAGTGTTTTCCATGGCGTTTTCTGGTTGCACTGCTTTTTGATTCCGGATTCGCTGTGACGAGTTGCAAGATGGCGTGGGCATGGCTTCGCGTGTTTCCTGTCTGCTTGGCCTCTCGGGCTTCTGTCGGATTATTGCGTTGTGCCGGGCATGGTGTTTTGTGGGTTTTTATTGCTTCTGTACGTGTCAATTCTACGCCGATACGACAATGTGGTCCATTTGCATAGTAATTGAGTTGTAGTTGTAGATATCCACGGGTAGTCTGTAGGCTTAGCAAGAGTAGTGTGTTAAGGTTTGTGAGGATGGATATATTGCTGTCGCACTCAGATAAGGGGTATATATATGGACAGTGACAGTCATTGGATCATTCGCCCACGAGATTTCCATGGCTCCTTCTTTCACCGGAGGCAGTGTCATCGCAGAGATAGTGCCCGCGTCCAGTAGTCGTCCGTATCATCAGATACAGGGCTCTCCTTCGCATACGTGACGACCTCGAACGCCTCCAGTCCCATGGATGCCGCAACATGATCAAGCCACTGATCCGCCGGTAGGATCTCCTCCTCTTCGCCTGTCGTGGCAGCGCCTACACCTGGAGATTCGTCGCTGCTGCCATGCAGTTTGGACACAATGCGGAATGGTAAAGGGTCCGAGAGGTCAACCGGCCGTTCTTCTTCCAGATTGTCACTTTCCGGACTGCTGCCGGGACTCGGCATGTCCCTGCTGTGCAGATAACCGAGGAGCAGGCGCAGAATGTAAAGGCACCTGTCGGCACCGCGCAGGACGCTGTTTGCGAATGCCTGTGGGAAATTCGAAGGGATGGGGCCGATGAATGTTGGGTTGTTGTCGTTGTTCTTAGTGTCGGTGGCACGGGAGTTGTTGGGCTCGGGCTTCCAGCGGTAGTTCTGTACGGCGGCTGTCAGGCGCAGGTGGGCAGCTAGTTGGTCTAGACGCTGGCTGCAGCGCAGGGCCTGGGCGCCTAGGGAGCGAATAGCTTTCTCGGGGTTGGGCGCGGCGGCGAGGCGGCGCGCCTGCACCAGGAAACCAGGGACGCGGGCGACCTCGAGGAAGATGCGGTCCTGGAAATCGATGAACAGCGCGATGGGCCGGTCGACGCGCGGCGAGGCCATGTCTTCGGCGCGGACCTGGTCGATGTGGGCCTGCCACTCGGGCCGATCGAAGAGGCAGTGCTTACCGTTCACGAAGGCTTCGGCTACCAGGAAGCTGCGGAAGGAGAGGTAGAGACAACGGTCGAAGCCCGTGAGGTGCGCGGCCGGCCCCCGGTGCGCCATGAGTAGGGCCGTGGCAGCTGCGTGTGGCGCCCATGAGTCCGGGCGCGTGCGCGAATACGCCTCGAACAGACTTAGCGCGATGGTGATGCTCACGCTCTCGCGCGACCGCATCCCCGCCTCGCTGCCGATACGTTCCCCGAACAGTCGCAGCGCCCTGCTGTACATCTCACGGCTGGACTGCTGCAGGCGGTCGTCGCTGTGCTTGTGGCCCATGAAGATCGAGTTGACGCAGAAAATGGCCGTGTCGAATGCCGCGCTCTGGCCTCCGTGCTGTGCGATGTACACTGTCCATGGTGTATGTACCCGGAATCGGTTCAGCCCGAACCACTTAGTGAACGCCTTCAGTACGAATTCGCCGAAGACCACTGGCTGCTGCTTGCCCACCGACTGCGCGGCGAGCGTCGGGGCAATTCGCTCATCGATCGACTCGGTGTTCTTCCCAAATCGCCGTTGGAGTTGCGGGCCCTCGTCCAGGAACTTGTGGCTGCGTGTATACCCGGGACAGTCGACGCCGTACCGTTCGCACTGGCGACATTCTGGGTGCCGCAGGTCACACTATTTAATTGTGAGCTTTTGGTAATCCATGTATGGTTTCATCCGGGTATTAAGAGGGACATACCCTCACTCGCCGCTGAAGGCATGTCTGACACCCTTTGCTCTTTGGGACGCCGACCATGTCGATGGGTCTGACTCTAGCATTCCCAACCACCAGCCCTCACACAAAGTAGGAAGTCTCTAATTCGTCCCGATTTCAACCCTGATCGCGGTTCATTGTGTGAACATCAACCCCACGGCCACGCAATTTCACCAACCTCACCAGCTATTGCCCGACAGTATTAAACTAGTCGGCGCGTCGAGATTGACCAGGTGATCACAGTGGAACGGCTGTCGGATTTTGGATGTGGGATTGAGAAGAGGGAAGAGAAGGGAGAGATAAGAAAGACATGCAGAGCCGATCCCCACGGGAATGGGGGGGTAAGACTTGGCCAAGCCCGGAACTGCCAAGAGCGAAGTGAATCATCCAAGTCATCAAATACAAGAAATACAAGGAATACACAGTTCCACAGCATATTCTTTTGCTTGTATTTCCTCTTCTATGCGTTGGTCTTTTCCGCCTTGATAGACGTGGATATTGATCCGTGGATTCTAAGATGCATCCATGGATAGCCCCTACTGATCTCTCGTCAATATCAAGCCTGCTTCGGTGGAGATTCATGATCTACAAACTTTCGTGGATGTACTGCTGGCCAACGGCAGAGTGTTCTTGGCGCTCCTTGATGCTATGCCGGGTGTGCTGGCCAGGGATGTAGTATTCAATCATCTCCAAAAAGGCATAAAATAGAAATCAAGACGAATCCTGAGAGGTGAATGTTTCGCGGATATTCACGACTTTCACGACTCGTTGCGCTAAACCCCGTTCGGACGGCGGCAAAATGCCATCGCGACTTCTTTCTTTCTCTTCCCTTTTATCTTCCGGCCAACACTCGGCTGTACAATGACCGATGATCGTCGCTCTCGATCACCGGCGACTCGTCGAAACGGCACCCTCCAGTCGTGCGAACCGTGCCGTAGATCCAAGCAGCGATGTGACCACGCCCGGCCGGTGTGTCGCCGGTGCGCGGCCAAGCGCATCAACAACCAATGCTTCTACCACCCAGCTCCGATGACCAGGCGCAGACCCTCGGATGCAACGCGTATAGTCGCCGTGGCTCCAAACCGCTTGAATAATAATAGCCGGCCCACTTCCAAGTAAGTAATTGCCCTGCAGGCCCCACCGGCCGAGATTAACATCGAGGAAATAGTGCGTCTAGCCCTGGGTCATTGGGCAGTACGCGTCTTTACGCACCACTGGAACGGCCATCGGCTCTCACAGGATACCTGGGCTCCACGAGCTACACGGCGGTCCTGGCCGAGCATCGCAGTGAGATCCCATTCGAACCCGAGGAGAGTACCGACTCGGCCCCAGTCTTTTCGGTGGAGCCTGATCGACTGCAGGCTGGGCTGGAGGTACTGCGATTCCTCTATAACTTCCCGGTGAATCGAGTCCTCATTAACAAGTTTTACGTCCGTACATGGAATGCCGTCGTGCCCAAGATCGTCATCGAGGCTATTGTGCGTTCGATCCAGCAGATCTTTGACGCGTTGGATCCCAATGATTTGACCTCCCAGCTGCAAGACCTGGCCACTCAGATCTTCCACAATTCATCCCGACCCATGACTACACACCAGTCCACAACGATTGAAGAGTATTGCTCTTCTTTCACTGGTTCTAATTTTCGCTGGGAATCCCTTGCGAATATCTTTCCGCTGTGTGGACAGCAGCTGGTGATCACACCAGATAATGATCCCGATATCGTCCAGGGATCGGACGATCCTCGAGCCAAGGACCGACTCCTGGAGCAAGTGACCGTCGCAAGCGCCATCTGCCTTGGATTTGTGGACCAGGCTTCGTCGAGCAATGAGCTGCTAGCATTTCTGCAGTACAACGACGTGATGCTGCGGACGCAGCAGTATGGCGATTCAAGTACGGGTTTTTTTTTTTTTTTTTTTTTTTTTTTGGCCCGGGGCAGTGTGATGTGTGTTCATCTGCTAACAATTCATCTAGGCTACCAAGCATGGCGTCGGCTTGGTGATCTGATAGCCACCATCTACGCTGCCGGTCTGCACCTGGACACCGAGGGTGTCGATAACTGCCCCTTTTTCTTACGCCAGTGGCGGAGAGGCTGTTTCACAGCGACTTTTTACATGGACAAGATGATGGCGACCTTTGTTGGACGCCCACCCTTTATGAACCATCGGTATTGCACGATGGTGGCGCCGTTGGATTTGAGTGACGACGTCCTGATTGCAGGGGGTGATGCTCTCAGCCAAGCGATTTCCGAGCTTGACAGTTCCGGATGGAATAGGAAGGGCCAGTACCACCGAATGAGCCTCAACCGCCTGCGATTCCTGCTCGCCAGGTCCAGAGAGGAAGCTCTCGAAATTGCATTGGGAACCTACAAGCCGCATGACCTGATCCAGAAATCAAAGTAGGCATCGGCCCATTCATTCTTCTTTTGCAATGGACTAATTTACACCCTTCTTTTTTTTTTCAATAGTAAAATCAAGGACAGATTACGTTCCGTTTGGGAGACCACTCCGGATCATCTCCGATATGATCGACAGGTGCATGAAGATACATCCGAACCGGGGTGGCTAATCCTTCTTTATACCTATCTGGATTATCTCTACACCTGCTTTCTGCTCCAGAGAGCTGTTATCAAACAGACGAATACCGGGCTCGATGATCTCTGCGATATATCTCGTCAGCTGCTAGCGATTGCCATCCGCACCAGCACGTCACGAACTCCGCTGATGGATCTGGACCGTCATTTTTCGTGGATTGTATGAACCCCCCTGTTTTTTTCTAAAGAATCGAGCAAATGATTCTGATCGACACCCAGGTTCTCACCTACGGTCTCCCCAGCGCCAGTGTCCTCCTACTCGAACTTTTGCGCCAGTCGCACCGGCCAGGCCCCCACCCTGTGGTTCTCCCGCGCGCCGAGCTGATCCGCAATCTCAGCGTCTTTGTGTCATTTCTGTCGTGGGTGTCGCGTCCCGGGCATGGCAATTACCACACGTGCAAAGAAGCCGAGAAGAAACTCTCTTATATCCTCGACCGGCTGCTCGACCCGCAGCCCGTGCAAGCAGGCGTGGTGGACGATGTCACGTCCGGTCTCGACAACTTCTTGGACTGGTCCAACTATAACATTTGGGACTTTACGTCGGATTTGATGCCGCTGACGGATGGGTTTGCGTCGTGAACATGCCAGTTCGAATGTTTGAAGGATCCAGGTCTATATTCAAAGTCACATTCAAGGTATAAGTGGGATATATGGGCATTTAGCTGCTGTCATTATCTCATAATCCATCAAATACCATACATCAAGCCTCGAACCGGATATGCCCCGCGCCGCCCTCCCTGTTACGGCACTGCAAGCACCACCCCGCGCGAGAGGTCATACCATCCATACATAATCATTGCGTGGAGGCGGCTCCGCCACAAAATACACCCGATGACATAGCGGGCAGTTGAAATGGTCGCCCAGAAACCATTTTTCCAGACACTCGCGATGAAACACATGCAGACAGCCCAGCTCCCGGATTTCTTGGGAGGGATTTACTTGGTCTAGGCAGACGGCGCTGGAAACAAAAATACTCATTATTTATTTTCTTCGGGAAGGGAGAGAGAGAGAGAGAGAGAACTCACCACACAAACTGGCCATCCACACCCTCAGAGAGCCCCAGCTTGCCCTTGGTACTGGACCACCACTGCTCCAGCGTGCAGGTGGGCGAGACAGCGTCGAGCCTGCGCAGCCGCTCGTCAGGGCCTTTGTGCTGGTGCAGGAAGGAGCCGTGGTCACGCCGGTTGACGATGATTGTGAGACTAGAAGGATGTTAGATGGGCAGGAATGCTACATGTTGGCTGGCTCGGCCACACTCACATGAGACTCAATATGATGAGCACCACCACCCCGAGCCCGATGCCTAAGACGATGGCCATATGGCTGCTCTTGAGAGTTTGGCCCATCTCTGTGTAGTTGTTAGTTGGTTCAAGTCATCCAGGGATAGAATGAGCTGGGCCACTATAGAAGTAACAGAGATAAGAAAAGAAAAGAAGAATACCTATCGAACAGCTCTCTCTCTCTTTTTTTTTTTTTTTTTTTTTTTTCCAACGGAGGTAGGTCCACGATGTGATGATCTCTCCTGCACTACGCTCTTGGCCGTGGATACCTTGGGTATGTGGAAGTGTATGATAATGATACCCTACAAGTATGTGGATAGAGAGAGAGGGGGAGAGGGAGGGAGAAGTCAGAGATGAAGAATGATAAGCCCCTCTATCAAGCCAAATCGAAAGATAAAATAAAAAAGAATAAACGAATGAACCAGAGCTGCAGTGTGCCCTCGAAAGAAATTAAAAACGAGCGCAGTTCTGGAGATGATCGACCAAAGCGGGGGACACGACAGCTCCCATCTTTGAGTGGAAGGGATGCCAAGGGAGGACTAGTTGGGAATGCTGATCGGCTGAATTGTTTGGTGTGACGGTGATGTAATGTCATTCACTCTCTTCTTCGGTTGTTCTGATGTTTTGTTCCTTCTACTCTGGAGTTGGTGGAGCTGCTCCACTTTACTTTACTTTGATACTATTCTATTCTCTTTATATTATTTCTGTTTAAATCTGCCTTCTCCACATTCATCGTCGAGCCCATGTCCTCTTTTTCGGCCCGCGCCTCGGGGCCCATGCCCTCGACGCTGACATCCGATAGCGGACCTAGCGCCCGTCCGCCGAAGAGCAGGTCGATCTCCTCGAGGGACTTTTGCTTGGTTTCTTGGAAGAAGAAATAGATCACGGGCAAGGTGATGCAGAGATCTAGCAAAGGTCAGCAGACACTCAGAAGAAAGCAAAAAGCAAAGAGACCAAAAAAAAAGAAAGGAGAGGATCGACACACTCCACGCCACAAACACAAAATAAAACGCCCAGCCGATGCGGCCCAGCGCAAGGGGGGACACTTGATTCCACAGCGTGCCGACCGCCCAGTTCCCGATCCCCACTGCAAAGGCGTTGCCTTTGCCCCGGATCTGCATCGGCATGACCTCGGCCATGTAGACCCTGCAGAGATGTTACTAACCGATCATACCGATAATGTAACAAACAGGCTTTCTGAGACCTACCAGCTGCAAGGCCCAAACGACATGGAAAACGCCACCGACACCGCAAAGAGGAAGAAGACCCCGCCGACGCTGTACCCGACGCGCTGGCCGTCTGGGTTCGCCGAGTTCAGCGCCGCCTCGCAGACCAGCGCGATCGAGATGGCCACCGTGCCGAACAGCAGGGGCCGGCGGCGCCCGACGCGGTCGAGCAGAAATACCACAAACACCAAGTTCGCCAGCGGCCCGACACAGTTATACAACCCGGCCACGAGCGTGTTGCGGTTCCCGGTGATGCCGAGCGCCTTGTACATGATTGTTTGGTAGTACCCGATCACATTGATTCCGGTCATTTGCGTGAAGGCCTGAATGGCGACGCCGTGACTATCGAGATGAGATCAATCACTATTCACTACCTATCAAATGGAGAAGTCGGGCACTACACGTACAGCAGTCGGGTTCGCCATTGCGGCACCGTGAACATCGGCATCCAACCCGGTGCCTTGAGAGTCTTCTCGGCCTCGATGGTGGCGCGGATCTCACTATACTCGGCCTGGATCCAGGCTTCGTTGGTGCCGTTAAAGTGTAGCTTGCGCAGGACCCGCAGTGCTTCCGGGTACTGCTCCGTTTCGACGAGGAAGCGGGGAGACTCGGGTAAGAAGAACATGCCGAGACCCAGAACCAGTGCCGGCACGACCTGAAAAGCGATCGGGAACCGCCACTGGAACTGGCTGGAGGCCGGTGCATGCAGAGAGCCGTATCCGACCCATCTATATTGGAAAGACGGTCAGCTAACCTTCTTGGATAACCAAGCAAGGGTGCTTCTTGCGCCATACGTGCTAACAATAAACCCAATACCAATCATCTGCTGGGCTAACCCAATAATCAACCCCCGAGACCGTGGATGGGCACACTCGGCCTGGTAGACGGGGACGGACATAGATATGAGCCCGACAGCCCAGCCCGCTAGAATGCGTCCGATGAAAATCATGGGTAGGTTCTGTGCGGCGGCCTGCAGCGTCGCGCCCACGAGACAGATGAGGGCACCCAGCTGGATGGTAGCCTTGCGGCCGAAGCGGTCCACGGTCAGTCCACCTTGAAGGGAGCCGATGATTGCTGTGCATCCATGGGGCCATGGGACATGATTAGCCAAATTGGGTTTCCAGAATGTAGTCTATGTAGACTTGCGGAGGACTCTTTTCCTTACCTCCGCCCGAGAAAGTGCTGTTGATGGCCCCGACCACGGCCGAAGTCTGAGTCGTGTTGAAGTACTGCAGGAAATTGGGTGATTCGATCACGTCGGTCATCACGCCCGAGTCGTAGCCGAATAGAAACGACCCCGTTGCCGCTAACACGGCCACGGAGATGGTGAAGAGGTGGCCCATTGAAGAGGAAAGAGAAAGAGAATCCGAGACATTAAGACAATGACTATCACTAGGGATGGGTAGCACCCGCCGCTTGAGCGCTCTCAGGGTGAGGCAGCATGGTTTATAGAACCTCGAAATCGATCAGAAAGAGGGGAAACCAGCCACAAAGCTAGAAATCCGGGGTCGCAAAGTATCGCAGATCCACGCATCTCCGCCTATTGGAGCTGGATGAGCCCAAGTTTCCCCAAAGTTGTCCCGGTGAGCCGTCACGGTTGAAGCATGAGCTCGTTGAATCAAACATCCATGTTGATGTACTTGGACACTGGGACATATTCGAGACTTGAGAGCATTCCACGATCGTCCATCAGATTGCCATTTCTCCGAAGGGAATGTGAGCCCATTCCCCGTCTCTCGTGGAGGTCACGTGCACTCGTGTCACTGCGCGTCGCACCAAGTCAACGTGCGAGTTTGTCAGGAAGATCAGCATAGAAAAAAATATCAGGATGTTCGGGCAGATGGTCGAGCATGCACTGAAAAGACGGTGAGAAGGACATGATTCAGGTGTAATTTGAAGAGATGGGGCCCTCGCGTCCACTTGATACTGTACCTCGTAGTGTACAATTACACTGTGGGCCCATCGCGTCCATCCCGTGTAGAAGAACAGCCCAAACCGAAATATCCTGCAATTGCGTTGCGATAAATTGAATAAAAAGAAACCTACCGCAATCAAAACTACAAATATTCAATCCAGTCCGATAATAAAATTGCAAAAAAAGGAAAATGACCAAGAAATGGGCGGGCAAGTAGCAGGTACCTCGGAGGCGCACTGTCATAACTAGCGCGGGCCACGTTCTTGCTACCTCCGCGTCCGCATCGCGACGCGATTTGACACACTCGGGCCTTTTTTGCATATTCGCTTTTCCAGCCTCATTTCATCTCTTCTCTTCTTTTCTCTTTTCTTCTCAATTCCAACTCCCATGCTCTTCTAATACCATGTCCGACCCGGAGCCCTCGGCGGCCTTGTCCTCGCCATCTCTGCCGGCTACCGACTCCAATGCTCTTAACTATGCCTTCTTAGTCCACTCCCAGAAGACCCTCACCCAGAACCTACCTCCCCGAGTCGATAACAAGCTACTGGCTCGCCAGAAACGGCGTCGAACTAGGTATGATTGTTTCTTTCTCGCTGCAGGTGAGGTGGCTTTCATAGTGTACGCGTCGTACTCACCATATTCGATACCCGTGCAGTCCGGAGGACCACGCCGTGCTGGAGGCAGAGTACCAACGGAACCCCAAACCAGACAAGGTTGCCCGAGCCAGCATCGTGGACCGTGTCTCACTCGGCGAAAAAGAGGTCCAAGTATGTGTGATATCTTCCGAAAAATGTTATCCCCTCAAATTCTTTTTTCTAATCTTGCCCGGTTTGCCAGATCTGGTTCCAAAACCGCCGCCAGAACGACCGTCGGAAATCCAAACCGCTTCAGCCACACGAACTACTCGGTCCCCGATCGGGCATGCTCGACTCCTCTGGACACCCGGTCAGTGATGATAACGCGTCGGCGGAGCCCGGGTCGTCGAGTGGGGCGGAACACTTTGAGGTGCAGGATCGGCACGAGGGCACAACAAAACCATGGGATGGTGGACAGCTGCAGTTATCTGATGAGGTCGAACCCATGGCTGGGGAAAAGGACGAGTCCGAGCAGGCTCTGCCGAGCACCCAAACCAGTGTGGCAACCGAAGCTTTCGAGGACACCCCGCCCTCCACACAGGAAGAATTCTCTCAGAGCCAAAATGACAGCACGGGCGAATCTCTGCTGCAGGTATCGAAACGAAAACGCTCGGTGTCGGACATCCGTGGAGAAGAAACACAGAACGAACAGTCTGCAGAGACGGATCCCCCACAGTCGGCCAAGTCCCCGCCTCCATTGAGACTGTCTTTATCCTTTGATGGCGAGGCCATGGTGCGCAAGGAAGGCGAGCTGACGCCGTCCCCACCCAAGAACCGCAATGCATTACGCATTGCCATGTCGTCCGACGGCAAAGCCGTGATCCGTGCAGAGGACGAGCCGTCGCCGTCTAAGAACCGCGTCGCCATGTTTTCGGTCCGCCGCACCAGACTCTCGAGTCTTCGACGCAGCAATAGCGCCATCCTTCCGACCACGCCGCGGGTAGGCCTGTCCGAGAAGGACAGATCCTTTGGCCGGTCCCGCGACCCCCGAAACTGGGAGTCGTTCGTTGATACCGACGCACGGAGTGCCCTGTCAACACCATCCAGCTCGCAGGCCAACACCAACGCGTCTCCGGGTTTCTTCCAGTCCCGCAGCCAGCGCTCGCTCACGCGAAGCCGCTCCTCACGACACAGTCTGCTCGCCGCCCACGCCGATTCCTCCCAGACACCGATATCCCAGTCGGTGGGCGAGAAGCGGCGGAAACTGTCCCGCACGGTATCCTCGCTTGGAAGACTCGAGACCGGCCGCAACAGGCAGTCCGGGTACCCATCGAAACTGTCCAAACCCCTGCCTGCCAAGTCGGGCAAAACAGACCTGGAGCTGGACCCCGGTGACTCCGACAAGGAGAACTGGGTCCCAGGCACGCGGACGTCGCATGGTCGTCGACGCACCACTTCCCACTCGTCGCGGTCTGTGCTCCGCGAAGCCAACCGGAACCGCGGGCTCGGCGTGCTCTCCAGCGGGAAACGCAGCCGCCCATTCCAGTCCGGTGCCCAGGGCAAGGCACCACCGAGTGTGAGTGCTGAGGTCTCGGCATTTATGGGCGGTGGCTCCGGCGCCAGCCAAGAGGATGATGACCTGGATTGTGTCCAGGGACTGTTATCGTTGAGCCAAGGGGCATGGCGATAGTCCTGGTCGAATCCTTCCCCCCCCCTTTTCTCATACTGTCTTCTCTCTTTCCTTTGTCAATTTTCATTTGTTTCAGCCCTTTTCTTTGTCTTTTTCTTCCCCTTCTCTTGTCTCCATGATTCGCGATGTGTGCTTTTTTGCAAGCGGTTCTTCGCCACATCTGTCACGTGAACTCCAACCTGTCTATGATCTTCTCTTCGGATGGTTTATTTTACTCGCTGCATTTACTATCCCGCGGGCGATGGCCTGCCTCTTGTCCTTTTCCTGTCAATGGTATTTGTTCGGTGTATCCTCTTATGGCTTGCTGTCATGGATGGGGATCCGACGGTGAACAAACTGGGTAGAGAGCTACCCTAAGATACCTAGGTCACTCTACGTACCATATTTCTTCTGCCAAGTGGGGCTTTCCTTTCTTAGCTGCCGCCGCTTTTATGAGGGCGCTCAGAGTCTGGCTCACTGAGTAAATTTCAGTCCGGCCTCAGGCTCAGTGACCTGCGCAGGCCAAGCACGTGACGGACTAGGGATGCCCAATGAGCGCTCACTGAGCACTCAGTGAGCATGATTGGCTGCTCACTGCTCTCTCAGTGATTACTCAGTGATTTTCTGAGGCATCTATTGAGCACCCAGTCGGCACCAGAAAACAGGTCAGGGGGACCCCCTTTAGCTCTCAGTAGTATGTGGGGCGGCGAGCTCAGTAGTATGTGCTGTAATTGGCTTATATAATATCGGTCATAGTATGAAATATATAGTATCTAGGGCTATTATATTCTTGAAATATTATGTTTTTCTTTACAGTAGCTAATAAATAATACTAGTATTTCCTATTGATTTACTAGTTTTCTATTTTTCACTACGCTATGGCAGAGTACACTTCTACTTAGTAGCGATATCGCTATACCAGAATCGAAGATCTAATCGATACTCATAAGACGCCTTCGATCGAGAGTTCTGATAATCAAGACGATAAGGAGCTCTTTAAGAGTAGGGATAATAAGCTTCTATATAAGCGTTATACCCCTAAAGTAAATATATATATATATATACTCTCGATGATATTATTTACTAGTTAATTACTAGTAAACTAACCTCAAAATAAAGAATAGCGATTACTCGTTAATACCTCTTACTCAAGGAACAATTAATCTAATCTCTGCTACAGAAATTAAGTTTATACCGTTTCTACCTAAGTATCCGAGTACTTATCCTAATAGATATATATATATAGTAAATCTTCGCTATATAACACTAAAAGAAAAAGCGAATACTCTGAACGTAGTAAGTATATACTAGTAAAGTATTAGTTATTTACTAGTTATTAATAAATTTAGATCTAATATACCTATAAACGAAACGGCCTAGTAGATAACGTTTTCTGCTTATTTCTTAGTTATTATATAACCAAAAAAGCTTTTATATATAGTGGTATCAAGTATTACTAATATCTTAATAAGTATCTTAATAGGATACCTTATATATTAGTCGATAGCGACCTTATTAGTAAAATCTTTACTTTTTGCGATCAAAAATAAGAGCTTTATTAATATAGATAGCGTTAACGTTATTTAATAGGGTAAAAAAGCTATTTACTAGTTCTCTACTAGTTTTTTACTTATTATATCTTTTATACTAGACTCTATAAAGCCGCCTAAACAAGATTTATCTAATATATAATATATAGTAAATATACCCCGATATATAAGCTTGAGTTTCGACAATATTATATCCTAGTAAATATAATATAGTATTATTTATTAATATATTACTAGTAACTAACTAGTATACTAATATTTAGACTATATCTAGAATCTTCTATCTATACCTCGTATATAAATACTCCTTAGCAAAAAACGCAAAAGACTATTTTAATTAAAGTCTTATAGGAAGATAGTCTAGTTTAAACTTATCTCTCCTTAAATATCTTATAGAAAAAGGCCTACTATAAGATAAAGACGAATCTTGTATTTATATATATTAAATAATAAGCCGAGCAGAGTACTATAATAAGTATTTCTGGCGATATACTAGTTTTATACTAGTTATTTACTAGTATTTAGGTATGGTTCATCCTTAGGGTCGTGATATAATCTAAAGATAATTCCTAAAATATATAATATAATTTCGCTCTTTTATGCCTCTTAATATTAAGCGATATCTATATATTATCTTCAACTCTCGTGGTATTCATAACTATATCCTACCACCACTAAGCCGGCTACTATAGGAGCTTATTGAAGATATCTCTAGTCTTATTAGTAGGCTACAAATACTAGATCTAATACTAAGTAAGTAATATAAACTAGTATTATACTAGTATACCCTTTTACTAAGTTATCTTAGGTATATTTTTACGAAGTAATAGTCTCCGAGATTTCTATTGATAATATAGCTATTATACTCTCTTCTTACTTTATTAGAGCTTTACGAAAACAGAGCGATTCTCTGTAATTATTACGAAGTAACATATTTTAATATATCTATATAATAGAGAACTAATAGGACTTTACTATAAGCTTAAGCGAGATAAAATACTCTAGATAGATAGGTTTATTTATATAATACTAATATAATATTAATATTTATTAGGGTTATATTTGTGGTATTAAAGATAATAAGGTAGGAATCTTTATTTTTTACGTATTTAATAAGTAGCTTCGTTATCTTATATCTCTCGAGAGCTTTAAAATTAATATATCTTATAAAAGAGTTAAGGGTATTATAAATAAGGTAATTTTTGTAATATATATTAATAGATATAGGAAAGGTAAGTCTTCTAAACTAATATTATATTAGTTATTTACTAATTTTTTTTTTAGTAATTACCCTTTACTATATATATACTAATTAAGAGACTATAAAAGGATATTAATATCTTTTTAGTTAGGTATTTAATCTTATCAGAGAGTTTATAGGCTATTAGATTCGATTCTACTATTTTTATAGTAGTGGAATAAAATCAATTATCTACAATATATATCTAAAGTAGATAGTAGGTAAGTTAAACTCTACTAAACTAGTATTTTACTAGCTTTTAACTAGTTTTAGGGATTAGACAAATACTATAAGGTATTAGTTAAAAAGATGAAACGTGGAGATAGTATACGATAAATATTCTAATATTCTATAAAATCTATTTTTAACGTATAGTAACAAAATTAATACTAGAGAGTTCTAATCCTTATAATTTATCTTAACGAGATACTCGAGACTAACTTCTTAGTCTTCTTATATATTAAATAAGAGAAGACTACTTTAAACTAATAGAATTAATTAAAGGTATTTACTAGTATTTTACTAGTTTTATACTAGTATATATATTTAACTAACTATGTCTTTTTAGAGTATTATCCGGAGCTTGCTAATTAGGCTTAATATAAGCAGATTCCTATTATTGCTATTAGTCTTTATACTATATACTCTTCTATCAAAAAGGAGTTTTTTAAATCGACAAGAAACTATACTAATTTAGTTAGATATGGACAGACCCGTCCTATGGGTCAAAGATCTTGACCCATGACCCAAACCCACGACCCATAGGTCGGGTCAATAAAATCCTGACCCGCCTATAGGTTGACCCGTGGGTTAACGGGTTAACCTATTTTTGACCTATTTTAGTATAAATTTCTTAATTAGGATAGATAATTTACTTATCTTTTTTAATAATATACTATTGTTAAATACTATTTTTGTTCTAATATAACTTATAATTCTAACTTTTTATAAAAAGAATATTATATAGTAATAATATATTTAGAATATATAATATATTAATTTATTAATTTAATACTTTAAGATAAGAATTATATTTTATAATAGATAGATATAGGCGAAAGAAGATATTAGTTAACTATTTCTTATACTAAACCTAAAAATATATATTTAAAGTCTATAGTAGTACTTCTATTTTTTATATAAATAAACTATATATATTAGAAATAATAAAATAGATATAAATCTAATATCTAATATTTCTTTATTAATATATAAATATATTATAGTCTTATTTATATAAAAGAATTATTTTAAATATTTTTTCTAAATTTATATAAAATAATAATATTAGCTAGTTAGGTTAAAATTTTTTAGGGATAAAAAGAAAAATCTTAGGGTATTACTCTTACCTAATTATTTAGGTTAACAAGTTAGTTTATAGATTAACCTATTAACCTATTTCTTACTATCTAATAAACTTTATATATATTAATAGAGCCTATTCTAATTAGTTATAAAATTTAGTACTAGGATAATACTAAATTCTACCTATTAATAAAAAATAAGTATTAGATTTATATATTCCCCTAAATCTACGATGATTTACCTTAGATTATTTTTCTATATCTTAAGTCTCTTATTATAAAAAGGTTATATAGTCCCTTTTTTATTAGATATAATAAAATATATATCTTTTTATAGTAGTCTTTCTATCTCTATTAGAACCGGGGTTTTAATCTATCTACGCGATTACTTAAAACCCCGGTTTTAATCTATCTACGCGTTTATTTATAGCCCTAGTTCTAATATACCTACATAAAAAGATTAGCTAATTAGGTTAAAATTTTTAGGGGATAAAAATAAAAGTCTTAGGGTATTACTCTTACCTAATTATTTAGATTAACAAATTAACCTATAGATTAATCTATTAATCTATTTCTTACTATCTAATAAGCTTTATATATATTAGTAGAGTATCTTCTGATTAGTTATAAAATTTAGTACTAGGATAGTACTAAATCCTATCTATTAATAAAAAATAAGTATTAGACCTATATATTCCCCTAAATCTACGATGATTTACCTTAGATTATTTTTCTATATCTTAAGTCTTTTATTTTAATATACTATTACTATATCTCTTCTATATCTTAGTTATCTACCTTATACCCTCCCTCTTTTATTAAGAGTAAGGGGTTTAAGTTATCTATTTTCTATTCTAATCAATTTCTTAATACCCTCTTAGAACTATTAGAAAGCTAGTAAACCGAGTAAAGCCTCCCTCCTATTAT